TCCTCTTTGGCAGGCTCCTCTTTGGCAGGCTCCGCTTTGGCAGGCTCCTCCGTGACAGGCTCCTGAGGGGCAGTCTCGGCAGCAGGGGTCTCTTCGGACTTCTCGGAAACCTCCTGAGCCACAGACTCCACAGCAGGTTCCGCAAGAGCGGCAACTTCGGGAACGTGGTCAGTCTTGACCTCCTCAGTGGGCTCCGGCTTAGCCTCTTCCGCGCTGGGCTCGATCGTAGACGCGACGGGCGCAGCCGACTCGGAGGGTCTTTGGGAAGCGGGTTCTTCCTTAGCGGGTTCTTCCGTAGAGGCGACAACTGTTGCCTCTGTTGCCTCAACTTCCTTGACCGGCTCCTCCTTCGCGGGTTCTTGAACGCTTGAGTCTTCAGCAGGAGTCTCAGTCGCGACTGGCTCGGTCTCGCTGGGCTTTTCCGAAGCGGCTTCCACTGCAGGAGTCTCTTCCGCGGCGGCTTCTATAGCCACAGTCTCAGTAGCGGGCTCATCAGCCTTGGATACAGGCTCATCGACAACCTTCTCCGTCTCAGACACTTCAGTCGCCTTATTGTCGGTCTCGGGCACGGGGGCGCTGTCGGCAGCCGTAACCTCGTCCTCCTTACTTTGGTCCTTGTCAGCGTCTTTGGCAGTTTCGGTGACTTCGGAGATGACTGGCGCTTCCTTGGTCTCGGTGGCGGCAGGTTCTTCCTTCACTGGAGTCGGCTCGACTTGGACGGACTTCTCTTCGACGGCGTCGTGCGCCTTCGCATCGTCTGTGGTCTTCTCCTCCGAGTGCTGCTCCACATGTTCAGTGCCGTTGACCTCGGGGGCGGCGGTGCCGTTCGTGGTAGACTCATCCGACATGGCGGGCTCGGACTTGTGCTCCTCGGGAGATTCCTGCGCGGGAGTGTCGTGCTCCGCGACTCCATTGACCCCGTTCTCCTTGGGGGTAGCGTCTTCCGTCACGGCGTCTTCCGTCTTATCGCTAGCCTCCTTCTCGACAACAGGCTTCACAGCATCCGCCGCAGCGCCCTTCTCCGTCACGGTAAGCACGTTAACGAGACCACCTTCACCAGGAACTACACATCAAAAGAATGTTAGTCTTCACTCCCTTAAAACCCGACAGAAGAATACCCTAGCACAATGTAGTGCATGATCACAATGGAAAGGGATCAGAAAATGCATACCATGCTTCACAGCCTCATCGTGGAACCACGGGCCTTTTGTGCCCTCACGGAATCTGTACTGATGTTGGCCGGGGGGCAGCGTCAGGTCGTGCCAGAAGAGATATTCGGTGGAGATGAGTCCGTCCTCATCGGGTTCGGTGTCAACGGGCTTGGAGTTGAGCTCGACGGGTTCCCATTGGGGGTCGGAAAAGGTGCCGGCCAGGTAGATGGGGTCGTCGATGGGACGGCGAATGGAGATGGTCACAGTCTCACCAGCGGGGGGAGCCATTGTGAATCGTCAGGGTGGGAGGGGGTGTGGTCGTAACAGTCGTTAGAATGCAGAATGGATCTCGCAAACGGCGCAAAGAGGAATTGGAAACAGAGGTAATGTACAGAGGCGAGTCCGGTGAGTGCGGAGAAGTCGGACCGGACAAGAGGGGAAGAGAAAAAAAAAAAAAAGACCACCTGCGCGGAAGGAAAACGAGGAAGGGGAAGAGAGGTAAGGGAGGAAGGTGTGTGTCTTGAAGGGGTGTAGAGAAGAGGAAGAGGAAGAATGGGGGAGGGAAGAGGAGGAGGGAGGAAAGGTGGTACAGTTGGGAAGTTGGAGATGAAGATATGATAGATGGAGGTTGATAATAATAAACAAAGAAAGAGGAGAGGGACGGAAGAGGAGGAGGAAAAGAGGGGAAGTCGGGAATATCAGAGGGTGACTGGAGGGCGCTCTCAGAGTAGTCTAGCTCAGCTTCAATCCGTGTGTCTTGTCCGTCAGTCAATCCAGTGTGACTCTTGACTCGAAAGAGAGCAACGATGAAGAGCGCAAGAGAGACGGAAAAAAAAAATGGGTTAGTGTAAAACTGGGTCCGGACGGAAGACGGATGGAGAACTACTCAGGACTAGTAACTACTTCTTAGTCGTCGGCCCATACTAAAGCAGAGTGTCTAGTTGGCGGGGCTCACTCAGTTGGCATAGTGATCGTGGGTTTTTTTGGGGGGGCTGCTGGTCATCTTGACTTTTTCAATTACTTGCTTATGCTATTACAACCGGGACATAAGTCAATATCTGGACTCATGTGAGTGGAAGAGAAGTAGGGAATGACGCGGAGGAGGGGAGATTGAGAGGCCAAAGAGACAGCTTAGGCCCAAGGTTAATCCCACGCAACACACACTATCAATCATCCCAGATCCAATCCAAACCGACAGAATAATCCCTGGATGAGCTGCAAGCCTGCAACAAGAAATCAGATGGGCTTAGTTTTTTTTTCCCTCCTCCATCTGCAGAAAAGAAAATGCGGTGAGCACGGAGGACACCAATCAGAGTCGTGGTGGAGATCCACTCCAACCGCTGCACTGCTGATGTAAGCGAGCATACAGCAAGCATACAGATAAGCAAAGTGGTTGATATATGGCAGGGAGTGTAGCACTCAGTCTGCGTACAACATCTTGTACGACCCTCTCGATTGCTGCCCTACAGATTATCACAACTGACAAACAGACACAAGATCATACAACATCCAGAGTCTTAACAGACATGTTGACAGTCAACCCTCTCCTAGTGGCGGACCCCCCAATAGTGGCGCCATCAATAAACAGTATCCATCCCTCCATGACTCCACCGGGCGCACCCAAGAAAATCCCTTCCGCCCAGCAGCAGCGGCATCAGCAACATAACCATCACCACCATCGACATCATACAACCACCCAGTACTCAATCAACCACCCCAATTCTCAGCCGCAGAAAATAATCAAAGCCCATCTGTGCGGCAATCTGTAATCGACGACGCGCGCGCACACGCACGCACGCACGCACTTATGCACCCAAAGATCTCCGGCGCAGCTGCAGCCCCAAAGTCCCACAGTTGCTGTGCTGGCACTGCTGACGGGAAGATAACATAACATGCCTATTCTATACATGAACCAGTGGGAGACCACCACCACTTTCTGTCTGTCTGTCTGTCTGTCTAGATAGACCATGAAAGGGATTGTTCTCGTATCTGCATCCTGAAAATCCTTCCCCTTATTCACCTCGACGGAGTTATCTCCATCAGCCCCTCCCCCTTATTGCCGATATATCGAAATAGAAAAGAAAAAAAAAACTATCTACCGGATGGGTTCTTTTTTTATAACCCCCCACAAAACACACCACAAAAACGTCTCCGGATTCGGATATTGTAGCTCTCCTTTCTTCTAACTACTCCCTAGAAAAGAACGGAATGAAAACTGAGGACTCCCCCTTTTCATCTTCAGTATCTCTGTCCTCTCCGACCCAGATACCGAAGGAGAAGGAAAGCGGTGGGTGGAGAAAGGGAGCCCCTCGGCTGCCGTAGTCCGTTGCCCTGCCCGCTCGCCCTGCCTGTCTGTCTGTCCCGGGGACCCTGCCAGCCAGCGGGGGCATCAGCACATAAAACAAGAGGCTCCATCCGGGGCAACGGGCCATGACGACATGCACCTCTGTTCAGATAACTCATTCCAATGGGAAATACAATGACGGGGCGGTGGTCGGAGATGTACCGAGTTTTAGCCCAGGTCTGGTTTTGGTGAGGAGGTATGGGTTTTCATGGTCATAAAGGCAGGTTAATGATGGTAATAGTAGTAGGTAGTAGACAATAGACGTGGAATAACGCAGGTCTCGGGAAGCGGTTAGATAAGAAGCAGGAAAGGAGTCAGTACAGTGGTGTTGATTTTGCCTGCACGTTCTAAGCACGAAACAGACCATTAAATTGGACAGGTACGGTACGGTTGATTGATCACTTGGGATGATCGAACGTCTATCGATGAAGAAAGATTCAAGTTGATTTAGAAAAATATCCTAGTTGACAACCTATATAACGATTCCCAATGCGAATGCATCGACGAAACACCAAAGCTACCCTGCAGTACCCCCATCAGTGACTCCAAATTCTCTCGCCATAGCCCGAGCAACAAAGGAAAACAATAACAAAGCAGTAATCATCAACTCGTGAGTATAGCGCAAAGCTCATCGCAGCCAGTAGCCCTAGGGGATAACCCTAGCCATTAGCAGCGTGCAATCATCGCCGTGACTGAATCAAGTCCATTAGGAGATCTCCAAATCCTCAAACTCAACCACCAATCCATCCGCCACCCCCGTCGAATCCGACCCATTCCCATTCATCGTCGCCCACATCGTCGCACCGCGCGACAGCCGGTTCGGGCGACTGGCGTACACACCTACATGCACGAACTTATCCTCGATCCCGTAGAAGAACCAGGTCACCTCGCGCAGCTTGCGCCACATGCCGCTGAACATCGCGCCTGGGGTCATCGCGTACGGCGCCACGGCGGGCACCTGGTACCAGATCCACAGGGCATGGCCCACGCGCTCCAGCTTGATACGCAGCGAGTGGACTGGCGCCGAGCCATGCTCGGGGAAGGACAGCGGTGAGGCGCACCAGTCCGCGCCGTCCGCCGTGGCACTGACGCTGGAGACGTTCATCGTGCCGGAGCAGAATTCCATGCCGGCTTTGACCCATTTGCAGGGTCGGGAGGAGGCCGGTGACGATGCTCCGAGTCGAACGGCTGGGGTCGTGCCCAGCGGCGGCGATATTGGCACATGATGGACCGGAACATCCTCCGACGATTGCGGCGGCGCCCCGGCGAAGATCACCAGCCCGCCTTGGTCCCATTCCATCTCCCAATCCGCGGTCACCGTCACCTCGGCGACCTCGAATCGACGTCGCAGCGACGTGAACACGATCGGGGCCGTGGCCGTGTCGCGATCGCCCGGTTTGCGCCAGAGATCCGTGTTGGGACCCGCGGTGAGCGTGAAGTAATCCATGCATTGGGGGAGGCTAAACGCTGATGGAAGGTTCAGGGCCGTAAACGAAGAGCCATTGGGAGGCATCTTGTCTGGTTGCGAGCATGTAATCTGGACAGTTGATCCAGTCGGTTCGGTTTCGGTGGTTGTCCTGTGACAAGTGACAAGCACCGGACTGTATATCGACCACTTCAAGGTTCAACCCTTAACCCTCAAACGGCCCTCGAACTAGGGAAAACAATCCCGTCAGGAGAAAGGGGGAGGAGGCTGAGAGAGAGGATTGAGAGATGGAAGCGTGGTGAAAGTGTGCCACTGTGTGGTCGAAAGCCCGTTTCGTTCCCACCTCCTCGAAGCAAGGGATTTACACCCCCAATGGTCCACGCCAAGTTCGACCTGAACGTGCCGTCCAATTTAGCAGATCGAGAACTAGCAAGGGCGAAAGGCGTCAGTAGTCGAGAAGCTAGTAGGGAACCCAAGCCTGGTCCGGGCGGCCAAGAAGAATCTGAAGAAAAAGCAAAACCCAAGACTCAAATATAGGGTCTTTGTCGGACTCTGCTTTCTTCAGGGCAGTAAGATAGATCCTGAGCAGGATAAGTATGTATATAACGCTTGATATCCCTCGGTTAAAGTATAAGTCGCAAGTATCACTGGCGAGAGAGTCGGCCTTGACGAAGATCGGCGACAATCTGACATGAGACTCAGGGATGAGAACGCCCAGCCGTGGCGATTTCCACCACCAGGGGGCATTGCTTTATATTGCCATAATCCTGGAAGGAGCTTGCTGGTGGGCTCCTTCAGGGTGAAGGTCTGGCAGAAAGATTGGACAGCCCAAAGGTCCGACTCAACGAACCACTCCGCTGGAACTGGCGCTCATTGAGCTAAGAGATCCAGGAAGTCGGTTTTGACGGTGTACCCATGGAGGTTTCTTTTTTTGTGTGTGGGCTTTCTGTTCTTTGGACAATTTCAAATGCTTTCCTTGACTCTTGGCCTTGCAGTTGGCGTCTGGAAGCGTCCGTTCTGCGGTCTGGGTCGACAACCCAGCAGTGACTGACGCAGGCCAGTTCAGGAGTGGCGGGTCACCCTGCAGCCATTGGGAAACAAAAAAGAAAAACCCAGACAGCCCTGCACAGAATGCAGGCTTCTGAACAGTGGATCCCTGAGGATTCGAGAGACCAGAGCAGCTGAGACTCCAGCTACTGAGTAGAGACGATTGGGACTCGTTGGTCGGACATTGGTGGGCTCAGGCTTGGGAGTGAGAAATGAAGAATGAGCTGAAGCCGAGGAGGGCGAACTTAGTATTTAATCGTCGCCAGTTGCCACAACACCCACTCGGGGACTCCGCGAGAATGTCTGTGCACCTTTTCTGCTTCATCTTACTCAAATCATCGGGAGTTGCTGCGAAGGACTCTACAGGTGTGCCTCGTGTCTGATAGTCTGCACACCACCGGCTCAGCTTTGGTGGATTTCGTTCCTATGTCAGCCTGAGGAACTGCAGGCGAACTCGAAGCGATCGACTGTTTGGTAAGGTACTTTGCATGTGAAGGCGCTGGAGATTTAATTTAGTTCCTGGTGGTTATTGGCCTGCTTGCAGGCTAAGGTACGATGACTTGGAAGATTCGTCGAAGTATGACTTGTCACTTGCTAGTTTGGTCGCAAGGTCACTACTTAAGTCACGGTTCATATACTGTGCTATGAAAAATTAATAGCTCTATGGTTGCCCTACCAACGACCTTTCTACCTATTATGCTAAGAATTCCTCTCAAGGACATACTCTACTACTAGTACAGGCAATGCGTAGAGTCTAGTTCAACCCGGTTGCAGCGCACTCTTTGATATAGTAGTGAAGTCGTAGCAACCGCGATATACAATCATCCACCTGAGCAACATCTAATGCACTGTCACGCAATGACACCTCACATATATAGCCTACACGCAGCATACTTAGTCCTCATTAAGTAGCAAGACCATCGAGCTCCCAAATACTTTAATCCCCAGATCGTAGAGTAAACCATCCAACCGAACAAGTGTACACGTACAGATTTCTACTCCCGCGCACACTAACTAACCACGCAACCAGCACCCATCTGCGCCACACCCCAAGTGGCGTCACAGCCCCCACCAGCCTACACACCAACCCTCCGCCGCGCCACACTCTCCATTAGCATCTATCATCACCATCATACTAACCTACATACAACCAGCAACCGCAACCTAACTGGCCTTCATTACAACGACCAGCACATCCAACCTCTACCTCTGCACACACTTCCAAACACTTCCCCATTCAAACAAATTCCAAATCAATCAAAATGGTCTGCGCCAAATGCCAAAAGAAACTCAAACAAACCGAACTAGCGACACCCGGCGTGAAGCGCAAAAGCGAGATGTACTATGGCTCGCCCTCGACGTCCCTCGGCGGGGGTGGCAGCAGCAGCAGCACCACCAGTGGAGCCGGTAGTGGTAGCTCTAGCTCTAAGCCGACGTTAGGGAATACGGGGATCGGGAAGGTATGTTTTATCTCTGATTCTTAGTTCTAGCCTTGCATCAAGTTTCCGAGTTGGGTCTTGCGTCCAGTTCCCAGGTTGCGCTGCTATTCTCTCCCCCCTCTTCCCTCTTCTTTCTTTGGTGCCAGGGGAGGAAGGGAAAGGGGATAGTGCCAGCTAGCTATCCCAACTGGAAGATCCAGCATTCACTAAATGGCAGGGGATCCAGCTCCAAGCCAAGAGTGCTAACGCAACCAAAACAGAGTAAACTACTCAGCGCGAAAGCCAAGAATCCCTACGCGGCGTATTCGTCCTCGTGCGAGGTGTGCAAGACCAAGACGGAGCAGGGCCGGAAGTACTGCCAGCGGTGCGCTTATCAGAAGAATTGTCTGTCTCCTATCCTGTCCCCTACATAGTATCTCCCCGTCTTGGAAGGAGTAAAGCTGACTGTATGTACTCTAGCTTGTCCGATGTGTGGGAAGAGTCTGGCTAAAGGAGTTGCTAAGGGGCAGCCGGTTGTTCAGGGGCAGAAGTTTAATTTGAAGTGAGCTGTAGGCTGTTGTGTATGTATGTATCTAGTGCGTTATCGGTGGGCTTGGTAGTGTTTGTTATTATGAGAGGGGTACGGGTATTCATCACTGGCGTGGCGTTGGATTGGAAATGCATTTGCTGTGGTTCATCTTTTCTTTCTTTAAAAATAAGGAAAAGGTTCTTTGCACATGATATCAACCGAAAAGAAAAAAGAGTAGAAGAACTTGGCGAAAAAAAAGCTAGTTATACATGACACACACACACTCTCTCTCAAAATATATGCAAAAGATTCCCGGTCCATGGCTGCACACAACATACTAAATCTATCTTAACAGTACAGTAAACGAGCACTCAATCAAACCAAATTTTTACCGCTCGGCCAGCATGTTCTTGATGCTGGCATAGTACTGTGGCCGGACATATTTCGAGATCTCGTCCTTGGCCAGCCACTTGAAATCGGTCAGGTTGTCGGTGTTACCGGACAGGTCCGCCTGGCCGGTGAAGATACGCGACTTCATGAAGAAGGTCTTCTCGCCCAGGTGATCCGAGGTGGGTTTGCGGACGTTGTAGACGTAGTGGCCGACAGGGTGGTAGCCCACGAACCAGGTGTTCATGTTGACACCCGCCGACTGGGCGAGGGTACGCTCGGCAGCCTATATCAGATGGACGCGGGTTAACGCTACGCCGCCACCACCGCTTCGTGAAAGAAAACGTACCTGCTTGATAGTCTCCTCCGTCTCAACCGGAGAGCTGGGGAATTTCCAGTATCCTTCCTTGGACTGCACGAGAAGATACAAAGTCCTCTGCAGAGCTCGGTTCAGACTCTTGTCGTCGCCCTTCTCGTCCGCCTCCGTCACCCGGGGCATCGGTCTCGCGACCTCCTCCTTCTTGCTGGTGTCCTGGGACGTGGCGTTGACCGTCGCCTCCGCATCGCGGACGAGCATCTCGACCTGGTGAGCCGGGTCGGACTCGACCGCGCCGACGAGTAGCTCATCGTTCCACGCCTCCGGCGAATAGGCGTTGTAATTTCCGATATCGCGGGCGGCGGTCTGGCGCTCGCGGATCTTGCGCTTCCAGTCCTCGTCGGCGGGCGTGCCGCGCTTGAAGTAGAAGTATTTGGTGAAGGGGAGCGTCAACCGCTCGTTCAGGCGGCGCTGGTAGAAAAAGTATGCCTTCTCGAAATCGGTGAGGTCGCGGGTGATCTGCGGCGGACGGGACAGAAGCACGCCGGCTTTGATGGTGTAGGCAGGCTTCACAACGGGGAAGGCCGAGCTGGGAGGCGCGGTGGTGGTCTCCGGAGTGCCCTCCGTGGCCGCGGCGGAGGCAAAGTTGCGGCGAACGATCGTCTCTTGACAGCTTCTGCACACTCTGGAATCGGAGGCGGAAGGCCCTGGTTTAAACAAAACAGTCAGCTGTCCGTCGACAATCCTTCGGCTGGAGACCTGCAAAAGGTCTCGGATGAAACTCACGCAGAAGCGACGCTATGCGCCTGGCACCATTGGACCCGGAAGACATCTCTCCAAAGGGCTATGTGAAAGTTTGAGGTGCTGGTCAATACGTCCCGGACGCCGATACTGGGCGAGAAAAGTTGGCGCGGCGGTCACCTGCCGGTCTGTCTGCGAGAGTCCGCCCGGATCAAAGCTAGTCCCGTCCAGGCTAGCAGTGCACGTGACCATTTGGTTTTTAACCATCGCTGCTCTCCCGCCAACCCTTTCTCTTTCTTTTTCTTTCTTCTCACGGCACCATTTCCTTATCGTCACTGTTCTAGATATTCCACGACCAGTCGATCATTTTTCCGGTGCTCAGAGTGAGCCCTCTTGCGGCCATTTTTCGCTAGCGGTACCTTCATAAACCAAGGTGTACTGTTAGATAGACGCTGCATACATTCCCCACCAATGCTCAGTTCAGCTAGGCATTTGGCGGTTGTAGTAACTCGTAATCATGTTTTTATCGCTACGTTGCTATACGCGTCGATTCAACTGGTATACATGGTAGACTCGAGTCGCCTCAGCCCATTTGGCACACTCGCTCGTCTGTACCAAAGACACGCAACTTGTTTCCGTAGACGCTCCAGAATCTGGCGCCTAGCCGAGGGATCAGCTCACCTTTGTTGACTTTCTGCTGGACCTGAGGGGAGACATTGGGACTCAATGCCATTTCATCTGCCCCAGGAGGAAGAATGCTATCATTGCCAACCGGGTTCTCGATAACCTTGTTAACCATGACGGTACCGAACATGATCTGAACATTGCTCGGCTTGGGGCGTATGGGTAGAGAGACTCGGGCCTGGTCCATGTGCTGGCTCTGCCTTCTAGCCGACGCCTGATCAGGAGCTTGAGGATGTGACGGGGTAGGGTTCTCATTGGCGCCTCGGTCTCGAAGCTGTGCAGAGAGCTTGATGAAGACCTGCGCTGTGAGCAGACTGTCATAGCCCGCTTCATGGTCTATTCCTTGGGCATGGTACTTGCTATGCTGCGGATGAACGCCTACAAAGGCATGTCAGTGTAATCTTGAGAATGGTATCGACGATGACCACTCACTGATCCTTGGATATGGAATGGCGACAAGATTGTCGTTGATTTCTTGCAAGGAGGACGTAGGGTTGATGGAGCCGCAATCATGCGTAGCCATATACTTCGTGTCCATCAGCACCGGAAACATCTGGTGGGCCATGGCTTGAAAGTCCTCAACACGGTCCGGCAGAGGCCCGAAGAAGCAACGACAGAAGTATATCAGATCCGTAAACAGATTATGGCCCACCAATACCGGTCGATTGGTTTGCAGCCGTCGCTTGATCCGGTCCGAGAAATCCTTGAGAGAGCCCTTGAGTCTCCCTGGCAAGCCTTCCATGATATTTATGAAGTAGTGAGGCCCTAGTTTTGTGAGGTCACCACCAGCCAAAGCCTCGGCGATCCATCTGAAGCCCCTCTGTTTCCAGGCTTTCTCCTGCACAAACTGGATCCTCTGCTCATGCACGGCTTTCTCCCGTTCCTCGTCATAGTCAATGATTTGCACAAACCCCTGCTTGCCGATGGTTGTGAGCGACGGGTATTCAACCTCGATCAGCTGATGGATTAGTCTCTTCTGGAATCTGTTAATCTCCACCGGCATGGAACTGGAACTGGGCTCGTGGGTTGGATTGGGACGGCTGGCTGGTGGGATGTTGAGGTAGTTGCGCCGGGCCTGTGCGGTGATTAGACGAGCTTCACAGAGTACATAAAAGACAGCTACATACACTACCCTGCTTAAGCCAGGCATCCACGAGAACGCGCACTTCTTGCAGGAATGCGAGTGATTCGTGCTCGGTTTCATCGACGCCTAGCGTAGTTGCCGTCCTCGGCGGGCGATCGCGTCTCTCAATGGCTCTGGTGATGGCCGCCTGCTCTTCGTCCCGAGCCAGATACGTCACGCCATTTGTGAAGAGCGACTCCATGCTGAATCTGTTTGCCAAGAGAAACGCGATAGCTAGAATGGAAATCGCAGATTAGCCACCGGGGGCAGCCGGCTTGATGATAAGCATACCGCTGCTCTGGAACGACCAGTCCCTCTCAACATCGAGCTTGCTGTCGACAATGGGGCTCAAGTATAAGTTATACGGTCTCAACGTGTAGATGCCTGCGCGGAGCCAGTGAGTATTCTTTCTTGATCAGGAAGCACATCAGTTGAGTGTTGACTGACCAGTTATCGGGTCTTCATGGCAGATGGTCAAGCCGACCTGCAGGATCTGGTACTGGTCGGCAGATGCCTTGACCTCTTCGTACCGCTCCTGGAGGGTACTCTTTCGTCTCATGCCTCCAGTATGAGATTTGGCTATTCCGGAGAATTCGAAGTCCAGGGATACGAAACAACAGGTTGACAACTCGTCCAAGAGCTTGGGGAGGTGCAGACCGAAGGTCTGTGCGGTGATATCCATGCTTTGTGATATAGGGACTATTCAGCGCCTGATGGCGGTAAAGATAGAATGGTTTCCAGGCAGTGGAGATGAACGTGGGCTTGATCGAGATGATTTGTGTGTAACACGCCACAGTTCTTTGTGTTAGCACGAGTCGAGGCCGATCTAGTTGTTATCGGACGTAATCCGGGGGGGGCAAGAGGGACAGAGATTCAGTGATCATGTATGGTCACATTCCATGCGCATGTACTGACAGACTCCGGCACGTTATTTCCTATATAACATTCAATGCTTATTCTCTCGTCCAGACAAATACAAAAAAATGAATGCGCAGTGTGATGAATGCTTTGAAGGGAGTCTCGAGCTGTCACGGGATTCGACCGTTATCGGTGTTGCTGTAGCCTGAGGCAGCCGACTATCCCGTGACAGAACACCCCCAGACTGTCTCGGCCAGCGCAGTGGAACAAGCCGAGGTGAAGTTGGAGCAGCAGCCATTGAACCTTCCCGAGTCCATCGGAGTACTTCCTTAATACTTAGTGTCACAGCGTTCCGTCCATCTTCCCCAACCTCCTCCCGAAGCGCAATCTGCCTGTCGACAACACTTTCCATTGTCCATTTCTCCCGTTGAAGCATTATACCCCTCATTGCAATCCATATCCCACTCTCGAGTGTCCCGTCGCATCCCCGCTGGCGGTAGCTACAATGGCCGACCCATCGGCGTCCCAGTCGCAACACCTCTCCTCCTCCACAACTTTACCACTCTCGCCCTCCAAGCTGTGCTCTAAGACCTACAAGAAAGCCTCACATCTCTTCCTCACGCGACGACTTCAAGAAGCGCTCGCGGCCCTGGAACCCGCCATCACGAACCCCCGCGGCAATGACGAGCAATTCCCCAACGGCGACTCCTCAGCACCCGCCGTACCGCCCATCGCCGCCGCCCAACCCACGTGGCGGATCAAAGTATGGAACCTATACATCACGCTGCTCAGCGCAATCGTCGATCTGGGCCCCGAAGATGGCAAGACAGTGTTCGGACAGAAGGAATGGAAAGCGATCTCCTCCCAAGTCCGGGAGGGAGAGATCTGGGAGACGGTCGTGCAGACCGGGTACAAGGGTCTTGAGGGATCCGTGGACGCGGAAGTCGTATACAACCTGTGAGTTCTGGCCTCGGCTTCTACTGTATACTGTTGCTATCTAGTGAAACTGACCGACCACCCCCACATGAATTAGTGCCACCTTACTCCTCAGCCACATGCCATCGCAGAAACTCAACCAACAGCGACTCGAGACCTACCTCTCCTCCTCCGGCCAACCGAACCTGGAGATCACGGAGCATCATCTCCGCAATTCCTCGTCCACCACTTCCCTTCAGCGAGCCAACGGCGGCACGGACACGCCAAAGGACCTGAACGCACGGGTGCGGATAATCGAGCTGTTCACGCTGCATGTCCTCCCCCGGAACGACGAATGGGATTATGCGCAAGAATTCATCAGTCTGAGCGAAGTCCTCGACGAAGAGCGCAAGGACGTGTTCCTGCAGACCCTGGAGGGCCTGAAAGAGGAGAAGCAGCAGGGCGAGCTGCGGGCCGCGGCGCTGCAACGCGAGAAGGACGCGGAGCTGGAGCGCCAAGCGCGCGAGGCCGAGCGACGGCGAGCGGAGGAGGAGGAGGTCGCTACCGCCGCCGCCACTGCCGCCGTAGAACAGTCGCAGCAGCAGAAGGGCCACGGCCGGAGTAGCAGCGAGGTGGACTACGGGATCGAGAAGACGTACCCGAATGGCAGCGTCAAGGGCCGTGGGAAGAGCGGCGAGAAGAACGGGAGGCCCGGTGCGGCGGGCGCGACAAGCCGCACAGCCCTCTCGCCGTCCGGGTCGAAGAGCGTCAAGAAGACGGACAAGCCGGACGCGCGGGCCAAGCGATCCCAGGCGTTGACGAACGTGGTGCGCAACCTGATGCAGTTCATCACGAAGAGCATAGCCGGCAACCCGCTCTCGGTTGCGCGGACGCTTCTCTTCCTGCTCGGGCTCTTGTTCGCGCTGAGCAGGCAAGACATCCGGGAGCGCGTGCGGCGGATAACCGGCGCGGGGTGGCAGAAGGTCAAGGGGACTATCGGGATGGGGGTGAAAGTGAGCTATATCTGAGGGCGGACTCTGTGTTATTAGTCCTGGGGGTCCTGTAAATTCTATCACAATCTCTACATGATGCAGCGTTGATATGTCCGAATGTCTATACACATGCTTATACACGAGTTGAAGCGTCCTATTCAACCCAACCTTGGGCCCGGGGCCCCGTCTGGACACCGACGGCCTCTTTCCCGACCCCGAGTCCCTCCCCCTCCTCCCCATCCATTCTCTCCTCATCCCCTCTCTCCCCCTCCACCTCCCTCCGCATATCCTCCCCACCCCCATCCTCTAGACTACCATCCTCAACCCGCGCCCTCCACGCCCGAAAGAAATGCACAAAAAAATGCGCCACACAAATCTGCTCCGTGGTAAACAACAACACCGGCACGGAGGTCTTAGCCTTAAGGTAGAGCTCCAGCGGGCCCCACATGGCGTATAACAACGGGATGCCGAGGGCGGTACTCTTGGCAGGGCCGCAGAAGCACACGGCGATGGTTTCCTTGGCTGGGAGGGGGCGGAACGGGCGGAATTCGTGCTTTTTTTGGTGCATACGGCTGGGGACGGGGACGGGGACGGGGATGGAGATTTTTAGGGCTGCGAGGAAGGTCGGGGGCCGGCAGAGGAGGAAGCAGGCTGCTGTTAGGAAGATGTAGAGGGCTATGTTGAAGGTTGTGGTGAAGATTATTGTTTGGGAGGAGAGGGTTTGAAGGGCTTTTGTTGCGAAGGCGGTGCTGAATGTTGTCCTATCCATTTCATTCCATTCGTTAGTATTGGGAGATTGGGGTTGAGATAACTCTAACTCTTGATCTAGGGTGCGGTAATAGAAGCTGAAAGGAAGGCGGGGTTTGGGGGTTTCCCCCCTCCCAATATCGCTAACTGTCTGGTTTAGGGATGAGTGTTTCTGGGGAGCTGAAAGAAAGGGGGGGTATGGGGGGTTCTCCCCCCATGACGCTCACTCTCTTGAATATGGGGGCGGTGGAGGGGATGGAACGCACCAGACGAGCAGGAGCAGGCAGGCGGTGCTCAGCTTGGGCAGCCTGTAGGTGTGCAGGGCGGCGGCGACGCGGTCAGGCCAGGACCAGCGCACGAGCTGGCCGACGACCAGCGGCAGGAGGACGGCGAGGCCGAGCTGCTTGAAGACGTCGCGGTACATGGCGGAGAGGTCGCCGTTGGCGGAGCGCCAGGGGTCGAAGGCGGGGTCGGCGGGCAGCAGGGCGACGGTCCAGCCGGCGGTGATGAAGGGGCCCAGGAAGTTGGCGATGATGACCTCGACGAGGGCGGCGGCGTCGTCGCCGCCGGCGGAGCGCGTCATGACGACGTTCGAGGCGATGGTCGTGGGGATGCAGGCCAGGAAGACGTAGCCGGCCAGCACGGCGCGGTCGATATGCTGCTGCGGGTCGCCCGCCAGGATGATGTGCACGATGGCCAGCATCAGCGCCGGCATCACCAGGAACGAGAACCCCTGCACCAGGGTGTGCAGTCGCCAGTTGAACAGGTGCAGGAACAGCTTCGCCCGCGGCACGCTGAGCCCCGAGATCAAGAATATCACCGCCATCGCCCCGTACAGCACGCTATACTCCGACCGGATCGTGCCGCCGTTCTTCGCCACGTCCGGGAAGTAGTACGCCAGCACGCAGACGACCCCGATCCCGATCAGTAGCCATTGATGCAGGATGAAGAGCGCGGTCGTTCGGAGGGCTGGTCCCACGCCCCGCCGGTACCATGGAGTTAGGCTCTGCGCGGCGGCCACGCTCATGGTGGAGGTGCGCTGGTGAGTCGGAGATTGGGTCAGAGGTGAATTCGCCAAGCGTGTCCGCTTGTCTTATGTTCGTCAGAGGGCCTCAGATTGTGCCATTTTTTGTAATTTTTTCTTTGCATGGTGGTGAGTTATTTCGGTGGTCGATCGGCGTCAAATCTAGGGCCGAGCTGATAAACTGATAGGCTGAAAGATCTTCCATTAGGCATGGTGCGAGGCCGTCGCTGCTGCAAAAGTCCGGCTGGTGGACATGCATGGATATGCAACTGAGCTGTTATACTCCAGGTAGCTATAGTTTCACGTGAGGCAGACGAGAAAAGGCACTACATTGGGCTCTAGTCCGAATGTAGGGGATCAGCCAAGTGGTCTATGCAGTGTGGTTGTTGTCAACCTCTATACTCGGTCGGGGGAACAATGCACCGTCCCTGAGGGCACGTGACCCTTCAGCGTCCTACAGTTCAGGTCTTGCATACCAGGCTGAGATGCTTCGGGAGTAGTACGGCAGCTGAACTGTCCCTCGGAGGTTATGCTACCCCCAGAGTGACGATCAAAGCTGGGTGCGACAGGCTGAGATGTTGTGCAACGACCAGCATGTGATGATCTGAGAGCCTCAAGTTGTTTTATCAGAATCAAGGTAAAAAGTCATTTCTTTTTTTTTCTTGCCCGTGGCTATACACAGACTCTATCTACAAGTAGATCAGCTCGGAATGAAGTACCGGGACAGGATTGAAATCCAAAGGATTAGAATAGTTGGAATGCAACGGCAGGGGAAAAACGGTCAGCAGACATGGATAAGAACTGAACCGTGGGGGAAGAACTCTCGATGATAACTATTCCGACATGACTTGAGCGAAGTCGCGGCGGCCATCGTTGCGAAAATCGGAGTAAAGGCAGGACTCCGGTGGTCGAAGGTCACAAGATCTTCCCACGCCAATGTTTCCTCCACCAATGTCCATGTCCAGTGACTGGCGATAATCATAACCTCTCTGAAGATGCGGCCGGTCCAGATTACTCCGGGGGAATTTGGAGGGGAAAGGAAGGGAGTTGAGAAGACCTCGGCAGCATTCGATCTCCAGTCTTGGCCCGGGAATACCCGTGACATGAGAGAGCCTGAATGCATTACTGGGGATACCACTACTCACTATACACCATACACAACTACAATTCGATTACAATGACTCTGACTAAGGTGTCCCCCGTTCCAATGGTCCCAGTCACAAGCTCAAACTCTGAATGCGGAGGATGATGCTGTTCACGACACGCAGATGACGACAATACGCTGGGCAGCCGGCTCTCTCCCAGCATGTGAAGGTTGTCTTGCCCGATGCAGCGCTGGGCTGAATCACCAGTCAGTGACTGAGAATTGGGCCTATCTTAAGGGAGGTGAGGAGTGGTTCCGCTCTGCCATTGGCACCATTCGGAGGAAAATTGGCCGGTCACTGGGATGCCAGACTGACGGCCATGTCCTGACCCGGAGCCTCGGAAGAGCGCGACATCGAGGGGATGTACAGTACTTGTATGTAGTTGGACATTTTGTGATCAGGGCGTAGGTGAGGATAATGAGCAGGGTATAAAGAGATCACGTCTCTCCCCCTTGGTCATTTTCGTTTCATCTTTCTCTCTATCCAGGATATTCTTGCTCCTCTTCGTTGGCAAGCAAGCAAGCAAGCAAGACAGAAATTCTCGGCTGTTGTTGCAGCGGCAGCTCATCCGCAGTTCCGCTCGTCCAGCGAACTTTCAAGCTTCCTCCGCTTCCCCGTCATAGCTTCTCCACGCTGTACTGTACTCTACTACAGACTCAGGGCTAAACTCATCCACCCCCCCGTCAATTGCAACCGAGAACCGCACCTCCGTCTCAGATCCTCGTTCCCGAGCCCATTCTTGCGAGATCATTATTGCTGAGAACCCACCACCCAAGTTAGGCCCCCTTACAAACTCCCCAGACCCAGTGACCTCCCCAATCGCCGATTTTAAATACCTTGACTTGGTCGAGCCGAGGGAACGTAGTTGCTATACTTCCGTATCTCCCCGTACCAGCAAATTATTGGCATTGCTTGTGAACCACCGATCCGTCAGTCCTTCACCCTATTAAAAAAGATTCCCTGCGCTTCAGACGAGGGTTTAACATCCTCCTTTTTTCTTTCTTTTCCTCCTTCCTTGCTTCCTTCTTTTATCCGTCTGGTGCCCCTCAAGACATCAATCATCATACTTGATTTGTCTTGCCATTGAGTCCGAAGGAGCGCATACAGTCGCATCGCATTGACTGCTCTCGCTTCTACCTGGTGGAGCCCCGAGCAGCAATTGACCAAGAATTCATATTTCTTGTTGTAAACTCACACATTCTTTCATCATGTCTGCGAAAGGAGGAAATGGCAAGAAGCCGGCGTCCCCGGCTGTCAACCTGATCGGTACGAAGCTATGGGTCTTCCCGGCGCAAGCTGTCCCCGCACAAGGCTAACCTACAACGCAACAGCTGGTGGTGGTGCCGGTATGATGGAGGCGCTCGTGTGCCATCCGCTGGGTAAGACGCTTGACCTACCGAGAACACCCAGAATGGCCGATTGACAGTTGGTTCAGATACCGTCAAAGTCCGCATGCAGTTGTCGCGCCGGGCCAGGGCCCCTGGGGCAAGTACACCCCCACCCGCGCAAACCATTGCGCTACGGCTAACACCCTGGACCAGGTAAAACCGCGCGGATTCGTTGCCACCGGTGTTGATATCGTCAAGCGAGAGACCGCTCTGGGGCTGTACAAGGGTCTGGGAGCCGTGCTGGGAGGCATCATCCCGAAGATGGCCATCCGATTCACATCCTACGAAACGTACAAGCAATGGCTCGCCGATAAGGAGACCGGCGCCGTGACCAGCAAGGCCACGTTCCTCGGTAAGTTGCGCGCATGTCCTGTCCCCCAATTGCCCGGGCGCACTGACTCATATCTGTTTCCTTTGCAGCTGGTCTCTGCGCGGGTGTGACGGAAGCCGTGGCGGTGGTCAACCCGATGGAAGTGATCAAGATCCGCCTGCAGGCACAACACCACAGTCTGTCGGACCCGCTGGACACGCCCAAGTATCGCAGCGCGCCGCACGCCCTGTTCACCGTCATCCGAGAAGAAGGCTTCAGCACCCTGTACCGCGGGGTGTCTCTGACGGCCCTCCGCCAGGGAACGAACCAGGCCGCCAACTTCACGGCATACACGGAGCTGAAGGCGTTCCTCCAGAGAAGCCAACCCGAGTACAGCAACTCGCAGCTTCCTTCCTACCAAACGACCGTCATCGGCTTGATCTCCGGTGCCGTCGGACCCTTCTCTAACGCCCCCATCGACACCATCAAGACGAGACTGCAGAAGACCCGCGCCGAGCCCGGACAGTCCGCCGTCACCCGCATCGTGGTCATCGCCAAGGACATGTTCAAGCAAGAAGGCGCCGCCGCTTTCTACAAGGGTATCACGCCCCGTGTCATGCGGGTCGCCCCCGGCCAAGCCGTCACTTTCACTGTATATGAGCTCCTGAAGGGCAAGCTCGAGCAATCGCGGTGGAGCTTCGTGGGCGGCACGTTCGAGGAGTGAAGAACGATAGAAAGGTGTTTGAGGGGAAGGTTGATAACCGCCATGTGTTTTCGAAAGCATTTGATACCATTGAGCATGGTGGCGTTTTCGATCACTGCTTTCTATATGAGTATTTCCTGTTTATATGTTTTGGAGGCCTGGATGCCCTATCGTTCAGATTCACATCAGGGTGGATTGTATATATCACGTCTTTTGTTTTTGGTCTCGTGTTTCCTATGTATCTATACCTTCTTGGAAGGATTAATAGATTCGAGAGTGTTCATCAATTAGGGTGCACAGTATGAAATGGGTTGGAAAGTTCAATGCCGAGATAAAGACGGAAGATACATGCATGATGCAAAGGAGGAGAGAAACGGGCGAGCCAGCCCTGTTTCTTCCGCTCGACGCAAACCCCACTAGACACACCGCTTCTGCGCTTGCCTTCCCCCTCCGTCCGCTCCGCAGTAAACATCGCCCCCATCAACCAAGAGCCACAGCATCAACAACCACCGCATCAGATAGAGCCAGCCCACCAGCCCCGGTGCATCTCATTCAAGATGCAGTCCGGAATCTCAGGTACGTCTCGCCGACATTCTAGGCTGATCCATCTCTCCATCTCGTTCGCCCTCCCTCCACTGCACCGCAATGCAATGCACACCCCACCTCCCCCTGACAATTACGACATCAGCCAGCCAACCTGAACCCATTCCCATCCAACAAACCACCAACACCACAACCCGCCACTAACCAGATAATAAACAGTCTCCCAAGAACTCCAAACAGCCTTCACAACCTTCACAACAGACACCACCCTCTTCTGCCTACCAGTGACGATCCAATCAGAGCGCCTGACCCCGCTCGCCGCGCTCCCCTTCACCTCGACCAGCAACCCAGAAACCGCCTTCTACGCCTCCCTCCCGCAACTCTCTAGCGTCCTCGAGCCCAAAACCCCCATCTACCTGCTCCTGCGCCGGCCCGCCGGAACATCCGGAAGCCATGAGCTCCTCGCCCTAACCTACATCCCGTCGAACGCAGGCGTGCGCGCCAAGACGCTCTTCGCCGCGACGCGCGCCACGCTGGCGCGCGAGCTCGGCACGGAGAAGTTCGCCGCCACAGTGTTTGCCACGGACGAGGACGAGGTGCTTGGTGAGGAGGCGTGGCGGGAGCGCGATGCCGAGCGGAACAATAAGGGCTCGGGCTCTGGAGACGGGGCCGGTGGGTTCCGTAGGGAGGATCTGATGGGTGAGAAGGAACGGGAGTTGGAGGCCGTGCGGCGGGCGGAGGATGAGGCCCGGAATGGCACGCCCAGTCGTGATATTGGGATCGGGGGCACGTTTCAGCGTGGGAACCCGTTTGGAGGCGCCGGCGGCGGTGCGTCCGGTATGCGGATCCAGATGCACGTTGATGATGAGGTTAAGGGGGCTTTGGGAGCGCTACAGCAGGGTGGGTTGGTGCAGTTGGTACGTTTTCTTTTCTGTTCTTTTGCTCTCGTGGTGGGAGTGACAGGAAGATTGAAACTTGAATTGGATTTTATTTTGTGCTTGGCTAACGATCTTGATTAAAAGGCCATCGAGGTCAAGTCTGAAGCTTTCAAGGTGGCGGTCGTGGAGTCCGGCGTAGACGCGAACTCCGTCCAGTCGCACATCCCGGATTCGTCGCCGCGGTACACCTTCTATCACTATCCGGACTCGGACGCCGTCATCTTCATCTATACCTGTCCGTCGGGCTCGTCGATCCGGGAACGCATGCTGTACGCCAGCTCCCGCATGCACGCGCTCGCGATGGCGGAAGAGCAGGGGCTGAAGGTCTCCAAGAAGGTGAGTCACAAGGCTGGTCGTTTTTGGAATGCGTGTTCGATTTTCTTTCGCATGTTGGGCTTCCCTCTAACGTTGAGACTTTGCAGATCGAGGCATCCTCCCCCGACGAGATCTCCGGTGAGAGACTGCAAGAAGAGGTTCGCCCGCCACAGGGCACCGGACCCAGCCGCGGCTTCGCGAGACCGAGACGGCCCGGCCGGTGAATGGAGTGGTTGTGACCACCGCTCTTCCGTGATTCTTGTAAATCTTGCTCGCTTTAAGACATCGATCGACAGTATATAGCATTTCCAGCATTTAGAGCAGCTGAGAAGTCAGTCTCCGCCCTGCCACATGGCCTTTTCTTATTCCCCTCTTATTTGTAGCCGGAACGCACCCGATCCCCATAGACCCCAATCCGTAAGAACAAGAAAAAAAAGCCCCCTCTCCCAGAGAAGTATTCCCACCCTGGTCCAGCCCAACGGACCAAACAACCCAACCTCTCAAGCCAGGAGGGATAGGACAGGGGAAGGGGGCCCCACCAAGATCAATGATTCCGAAAACTCTTTTTCTGGTAGAACAGGTCCGTCCGCGAGGAACCCAAATTGATGATCTTGGGGCAGCCGTCGCGGTCCTTCTCGAGGCGCGTGCACTCGAAGCAGTAGAAGGCGTCGCTGATGCCCTCGCCGCCGCACACGATGCACTTGTTCTGGTAGTTGCCGAACGAGCACTCGTCGCAGATCCGCACCAGCGTCGTGGGCCGCACGTACGAGTCACAGACCGGACACTTGCCGTCGCACTTGTCGCAGAGTCGGCCGATGGAGATGCCTGGTTGCTTGCGGCACATTACGAGGTCGGGGTGGTGGCGGGACATTTTTGGATTTGGTTTGGATTGGGTTGGTGTGGTTGTTGGGTTTGAGGTTGTGGGTTGTACGCTGGTTAAATGCGCAGGTTGTAGTGGCGTGGAGGGAGGGTAGGTGGGTGGATTTCAAAGCAGAGCTTGACTTGCGGATGCAGGAGAAGGGAGATGAAGGAGACCGAAAGGAAGAACTTAGGCTTGAAGAATCGCGCCGCCGCCCGCCGTTGCTAACTTGCTCTCCCCCCGATTGGGTAAGGCGTGGCCCGTGCACTGGTATGGTTGGAGTCCCGCCGCCGAAGCAGCGAAGAAGGTCGAGATCGCATATCAGTGGTCAGCCTGTTGACTTTGACGGTAAGTGGTTTAGAGACTAGAGCGACTTTGCCTTTTACCTCTTTGGTGGTTGTTTGAAACACTACCCTGCAGACTCTCGTTGTTCTAACTCAGCTGTATTGTTCGCTCTCCTTCGACAAGACGATCCTAAGGCGTTGGCTGGTGTTATCAATTTTCTTGAAACCGACCACCCTTTCGTACAACCCCGGTCCGTTCGGGCTTGTTTCTACAACGACCTTAAACTAAACGGCTATGGCTGAAGGGTAAGTCTCTTATTTGCTTCTCCGCCGACGCCGCCGCTATGATAGGATCCGAGATAACTAACACCCCGATTAAACAGAACCCTCGCATCGGCGGTCGCTCTGCCCGATCCCCAAGAAGACCACCAAACCACAACAGCAGGACAGAAACGGCGCCAGTCCTCCTCCGCCACAGAGCCAGGCGAGGACCCCACGACAGCAGCAGCAGCAGAGACCAAACGCCGCCGATTGAGCACCTCCACATCCCCCTCCCAGAACCACGCCGCAGACACAACCGACCAACCCCCCGTATCAGACGCAACCTCAAACCCCCTTCCGTCCCCGGAGGAGCCCAAACACCAACAACAACAACCTCCTCGCCGGCCCGGGGCAGGCCGGAAGGAGGAGGAGCGCAAACGCGGCCAGCGGCTGTTTGGCGCCCTGCTCGGCACGCTCTCGCAGAGCAACTCGAACACAGCGGCCCAGAGGCGGCGGGCCGATATCGAGAAGCGGCAACAGGATAAGCTCAAGCTGCTGGATGAGGAGTATGGGGAGCTGAAAAAGAAGAGGCGCGAGGAGAGGGTCGAGAGGCGGAAGAAGTACCAGAGGGCCTATGAGGAGGAAGCGGTGGGTTCTTCTTGTTCTTCATATGCTTGGGGAGATGTGTGCCATGCTAATTTACGGTTTGGGCAGATGCGCACGCGGCATGAGAATCTTTTGGCTACGGCGAGGTTTTTGAAGACGGAGGCCGAGCCTGTTTTGGTATGTCCTTCATCTTATTGTTGTTTTCCGTGGTCTTCATGGGGTGCTGCGAGTGGTCGGTTATGACAGGGCTGACTGTGAGTTTCATAGTACTACAAACCATGGCAATTGAGGTCGGAGGATGAGGCGATTATCGACGAGCAGATCAGAGAGGCGGAAGCTACTGTCGCGCGAGAAACGGCAGAGTTAGAGGCTCGGTACTCTGCTCCGAGCCAGGAAGACAATGCAGATACCACGCGGAAGTCTGAAGGCACACAGGAGGAAGCTCAGGAACAAGCGCAACCAGAGGCCCAGGAACCCAAGAGCGTACCTGACGAGACTCCTGAATCTGAAAACACCGGCGCAAACCCCGACGGCGACGCAGAGACGGCTCCACAAGAAGCCACCCCTGCGAATGAGAGCAGTGTGTCTCTGGCGGATGGCCACGATGATCTGCATCGGGCACACGACGACGACGGCGGAGAGGTGGTCGAGGACCAGGAGGACACTGTAATCTACTGAGAAACTACCACTGAAGCTGTGGGCGATTTACGCGATTGTACTTTATAATGGCCATGTTCTGAGACTCCGGAGCGTTATGTATCAAAAGCCAAGCCATGGGTCGGACTGCATGCTTGATGTATGTGACTGTCCCGCATCCTACCTTGCATTTACGATAGCCGAGGCATTCGGCAGCAAGATCAGACAATGGGCGACTGCAACTGCAACTGGAACCCTCCGCTTGTCTCTTCTACAAGGCAAGACGGCTTGACCGCTGCACTACATAAGTTGACCCAGTAAGAAGAGTAGACGCTCTAAGAAAGCCTCACTTTGCCGGCCCAACGATTCTAGATCTGCCTCGTTGCGATCCTTTACTATCAATAGCTTCAGTTTCACGTGATGAACAGCTGGCGGGGGAATCTCCATCAGGTACCATAGAATAAATTAAAGACAGTCGGTATGATTAACTTCTCTCGCGACTACTTCTATCGTTCTTTGCTACAAGTATTTAACTTTCCGTCTGACTTCCCTAGCAAACCCATCCCATAGAATCGGAATTCCAGAATGGCGGTGGACAAGATCGACGTCACCGGCGATTCGCGAGTTGACCGCCGCTCCGCCAACCTCAATGGCAAGACATACAGTATGTGACCTGGAGCACGACGAATTCGTCCTAATAAACTGTGCATGCCTGAGAAGCCATCATCTCAATCCAACTCAAATACAAATACACTCCCCGCAACACCAGCCAACCCGAACTCCAACCCGATCACTGATTACATATACTATCGCACACAGGCTATCTATACAGCGAGCCAGAGTCAGGAATCTGGCGCGCCACCATCTTCCTCGTAAGCACTTGAATACCCAGCCAGCTTTCGACAATCTTACTCAGAACGAATAGCTCCATGGCTTCCCCGACCTCGCCATGGGCTGGCGCTATCAGATCCCGATGTTGCGGAGTTTGGGATTAAGGGTAGTTGCGCCAGACTGTCTGGGCTACGGGCAAACAGTATGAACCTCCACCACTTCCCACCCCCTCAACCTGGACCACCAAACTCAATCGCAAGACGCAATAGGACGCACCCGAAGACATCAATCTCTACTCACACCGCAACTGCGCCAATGACATCAAAGAACTCGCCTCCCAGCTCGGCGCGGAGCAGATCATCCTGGGCGGACATGACTGGTACGTGCTGCACCCATGGCCTTCTATCCCCATCCCAAACCCAACACATACTGAAAAATCAAAAAGGGGCGCAGCCCTCACCTACCGCGTAGCCCTCTGGCACCCGGAGCTCGTAACGCACGTCTTCACAATCTGCGTACCGTACGCCGCGCCAACACGCCACTTCCTCCCGCTGGAGGAACTCACCCGCAAGATCGTGCCGCACTTCGGCTACCAGCTGCAGTTCCGGAGCGGGGCGCTGGAGCGCGCGGTGCAGTCGCGCGACGAGATAAAGCGGTTCCTGTTGGCGCTGTATGGGGGCCGCACGGATGAGGAAGACGGTCAGCGGGTCGCGTTTGATGCTGAGGTTGGGGTGCTGTGGGATCGCGTGCGCAGGGTCGGGGGGTCGGGGTTGTTGAGTGAGAGCGTATGTTCCCTTTTCTACCCCTTGGTTTGCCGAGAGAGATGCTTATGTTGGTTTGCGCAGGAACTCGAGTTCTACGCTGCTGAATTCGAGAGGAACGGGCTGCGCGGTCCTTGTATGTTCTCCCCTTCCCGACTCCCGCTGCTTTGACTACCCCAATGGTGGGAAGGCGAAGGTAAGCGCATATGCTAATTTGTTATGGCACCGGGAAAGTGAACTGGTATCGCACCCGGCAGATCAACTACGAGGACGAATTGGCTATCCTCAATCGCCGCATCATCGCCCCCCTGCTGTTCGTTCAGGCGCTGAAGGACCCCGCGCTCCCGCCGCATCGAGGCGGGGGCATGACGAAGACGATCCCGCACTTGACCTATAAGCACGTCAATACGGGCCATTGGGCCCTGTGGCAGAAGCCTCAGGAGGTTAATGAGATTATTGCGTGGTGGTTGGAGGAGGTTGTTTTTGGAAGGGCGGGGTTGTCGAGGTTGTAGGTAGGTATCTTAGTGATGCTGTGGCGTGGAGGTGGGGGTTTGAGAGGGGCGAGGGAATGTATGTTAGCGTGTCGGTGGGATGACTTGGCCTTGGGGACTGAATGGGTGGGAATGAGAGGGTGGGATTGGAACGACTGGACTGTTCTGCAAATCTGGTTATGGTGTTCGTTGTGGTCGTTTGACTGCGTCATGCTGTGGTGCGGTGCTTCGTTGCAAGATTCATTCATATGGGATACAGTACAAATAACACAACCGATTATACAGACCATACCATCATAACACGACACCAAGATCAGTGCTCGAAAATCTGCGTCTCGACCCGACACCCGACTTTCTCCCACCGATCCAACAGCTCCTGTCCTAGCACCGCGCTCGTCACGATCCCACCCCGCGACACCCTCTTAACCTTCTCCTCATTCTCGAGAATCACCATCGCCGCCTCGGCGAGACTCAGCCCGGTGAATTCGTACATTCCCCCCTGGTACCGCAACTTGCCGAACGCGCGCTTCGGCGACGACGACGAGGAGGAGGAGGTGGAAGCCTGATCTGCCGTCGCGACGGCACGGTACTCGACCTGATCGTTGACCGAGTCCTCCTCCCGCGGCCCGGTGCCGGGACTGTAGACGTACTTCCGGACCAGCGCGCGGACAGGCGAGAAGATCAGCAGCGAGATGCTGATGAGGAAGGCATAGTGGAAGAGAACGCCCACCAGGGCGTTGCGCACGCGCAGGAACTGCCGGAAGTGGAAGCTAGGCCCGTAGAACTCCGGCATCAGGGAGCTGCTGCGGTGGACGATGTTGATGTCGGCGAGGCCGGACGGCGAGGTGGTGAGCGCGCCGAGGTCGCGCACGTAGCGGACGCCGGAGAGTCGGGCCAGCAGGGGCTCGCTGGGCACGTTGCTGGGGGCCGGGGAGGCGGCCAGCGCGAACGGGTCGGCGGATTTGGCGATGTCGGCGAAGGAGAGCGTGTCGAAGACGGTGAGGATCGTGCTGAGCGTGCCGCCGCTGGCTCCGGAGGATCTGTTGGTATTTCGCGTGAGTAATGTGGTTGATGGTTGGGGTGGGATTCGGTTGGACTTACTTGATCTCGTGGATGGCGGAGACAACTTCTCTGGTGTCGCAGGCTAGGTCTTCGCGGATGCGCTTGACCAGAGCCCAGGTTAGCATGTCTGCTGGGGCGCTCTCGATACCGACTGAGGGGATGATCTGGCCGCACTTGGTTAGAAGCTGCGGTGTGTTATAAAGAAAGAGAGAGATCACACGTACCACGGCCCCGTTAGATTTGGCAGTGTCATGATATTTCTCGATGATAATCTTCAGCCAGGGGGTTTCTCCAGTTCTGTACGGTGTGCGTTAGTCTAGGATGTTAGGCCGCGAGTGAAGGGCAACTGACGCATCGACGTAGTGTGTTCCATTGCTAGCACATGCCTCGATCACCGGCGTTGAGTGCAAACAGTACGGACCCACACAATTGATGATGATCTTCGTCTTTTGGGCCAGCGGACCAAGCTCTTCTCGGTTGAGCTGTACAGTAAGGATATCTACTACCGGTTAACAAGGCTATACAGTGTATGCGAAGCATGTGCAGCCACAGTACCAGGGTCTCTGCGATCAGAATTCAAAGCCTTCAGGTCCTTAACAGCTTGCTCCAGCTTGGGCTGAGAGCGTCCGCCCAGGGCCCATTTCAGGTTGGTAGGAAGATGCTTGACGATATGCTGGGCACAGAAGCGTCCTGTGTAACCGGTTGGGCCAAGGAGGATGATGTCATACTCTCTCTGTGAATCCATCTCGACGAAGTTGTCTGTTACTTTGGGAAGTACTTATGTTATGGACGAGGTTCTTAAGTCAATGGCATGAATAGATGTGTTAGACTGTAGGATGGAGTTGCTGCACGCTGGTATGCGCATGGGGTTTATACAACTAGGGATGGATCAAGACTAAGTACAACTGGAGGCCTGAGGTTTGTTCCCCATCTGATCGGTGGTACCAGACTAACCGGATCTAGACAAACCCATGTTTAACTGAATCCGGGCATGTGATACACACTAAACACTGAGCACTGTGAGATTGAACATGGCTCTATAGAGGTTATGTCGTGTGGATCATCGAATTCAATAAAGCTTATGCGGGATTTTCAGGTAACATCTACGTTCTTACGACAACAGCATGCATGCATAGTGCCAGTGCGCCAAGCGTCAGCAATGACAGTTATGCTGGTCCGTATTACATAATCGAATGCTGTGGATATATTATGTCATCATGGCTTCTGAATATGCCTCGCACAGTGCGGCGACGATTAGACAGAAAAAAGCGCCAAAAAGGATATAATAGAAGTGAAAGCTTTTTTATTATGATAGCCAGTATAATCTGCGATTCTCGTTGCTTAGTCTCCTCCCAACTTCAGTCTGTTCGAGCCTGATGGAAGCCAAAGTATGATGCGGCTCACGTGACGCTAGGTGCAGCCCTAAGCGAGCCCGCCCACAACCACTCCGACTAGAAAGACTCACGTCTCGATTTCGACTTACCGCACTGTATCCATCTTCGACCTCAACAGCCGGATCCAGCCAAGATGACGAAGCGCACTAAGAGTATGTGTATACCCTCGAATCTCTGCGCCAGATGAACGCGAATTTCAGCCTCCGAATAAATTACTGACTGAATATCGCAGAGGTCGGCATCACCGGTAAATATGGTACCAGGTAGGCAGTCGCGCCCTCCCACTCCGAAGCATCAGAAAAATTCCACCAACCTCGATCGCGATCAACCACCCGAGCGATGACCTTTGAGCAACTACACAACGATGTCTCTCGAAATGGAACGAGCGAATATTGACGATTGTATGATCACAGATACGGTGCCTCCCTGCGTAAGCAGGTGAAGAAGATGGAAGTGTCCCAGCACGCCCGTTACATCTGCACCTTCTGCGGAAAGAACACCGTCAAGCGCCAGGCTGTTGGTATCTGGGAGTGCAAGGGCTGCAAGAAGACCGTTGCCGGTGGTGCCTACACCGTCTCGTAAGTCTTTGCCTTTCTGTCGACTTGGCTGCCTGGATCGGCCGGACTGGACCTCTTCAGGCTCGAAGACGTGACACGATTTGCTGATCGATGGACTCTGTAACACAGTACCCCCGCCGCCGCTGCCACCCGCTCCACCATCCGCCGTCTCAGAGAAATCGCGGAGGTTTAAATGTGATGATGGGATTTCCTTTTCTTTACGTTTGAAATAAAAAAAATGCCAACTTAAGATCTGGAAAAACTGCTATGAGCGCACTTCTCGTTTCGAAACGTCGTGATCCGATGTTGTTAGCACCGACTTCCTCCTCGGTTTATGATTTCCCCTAGACTTAAATGCAAACGGTGATACCAGGTCCATTCCAACTTTAGTCTTTCTCGAGTCACACTCTTCGCATTTACCAGTCTGCCTGGTTTCTCGTATGACGCCTGCCTACTCTCATTTTTTGGGGTCGACAACTCGTGATCATGCCTTGACGGGGAATTTGCGGCCCGTATGTGAGGGAGAAACCTAAGTTTTGGATATCTCGATGGCAACGACCATACTTCCGTGCCAACGACCTCGACAAATGTCAGTATGCAGAGGCACACTACATTGCGGAGGGTTATGTGGGTGGTCATGATCTCTTTGCCTGATCACTAAGCTGGACACCGTCAGTGCCAGTAGTCGCACCTTATGGATAAAGCCTATAGTCGAGCGTAGTCTGTTTTACAACCACCGTTGAAACCTCTGAACGCCAGGAATGCTACTTTCACTATGCTGCTAATCTGGTGCGATAAGGTTACTACTATCTTTAGTCTCCCTGAGGGGAAGGCAGGGGCGGTCTACACTCCGACCGATGGATAGAATCCATGTCCCGAAAAGAATCATGGAAAGAGGGGAAGGGGGAAAAGGTGCAGTAGGTGATTCAGTCTGAACTGCTGTGCTTACCGTGACTGCTTCCTGCTTGCTGGTGGTTTGGTCCTGCTGGTGCTTCCTGGTGCTTCCTGCTGGTGCTGCAAGGGCCAGGGCATTTCCTGGCTTGCCATCATCCCAACGCCTGACTAAGGTCGCTTTGCCGCTTTTTGGGGGCAATGATTGGCCCTGAAGGCTATGGTCACGTTGGGCTCCAGCCTGCTTTGCGTTAGATCGGATTGGCGGTCCACCTTCAAAAGGCCGGTTGCTTTCTCCCCACATCACTCGACCTTGACCTCTCCCTCTTCCCCCCCCTTCTCCTTCTACATCTCACACCTTTCCTATTTCTTTTCTCTATTTGCTCTTCATGCCTTCTCTCAGCGTTTCTGCAGACAATTCTGAAATCTCCCCTTCTGTTAATGTCCGACACTTGTATTGTGTGCTTAGGAGACCTTGGCGAAAGCGCCAGCGATCCTCTTGCCGTCGCCGCCGAGGCCGCGCCAAGACTTGACTTCGAGGCAGAGAGCGAGTCGGCGGACATTGCCCTCAAGGTAGATAATGTCGACAGCAATGAGGATCCTGGTCAAATCGCCCAGTTGCTGCCTTGTGGTCACATTCTGCATAACAACTGTCTCAAACCATGGGTGGAACGGGCCAACAGCTGTCCGATCTGCCGGCGGAGTTTCAATGTAGTCGAACTCAGTGATCGCCCCGGCGGTAAGTCCTTATCACCATGCCCCAAATCTCCATTGACGCTTATGGATTCCTTTCCTCATCTCAAATAAAGTCTGGCCTTGACTGATAGATTGTCTGTTTGGAAACATAGGTCCCGTGATTTCGTCTTATGCTGTCGAGGACCGAACCCAAGTTGCCGATGTTGATCCTTCGATGGTTATCGAGTACATCGATGACGACTTCATCGATTTCCAGCCTTGTCCAGTCTGCGGTGACCAGGACAATGAAGAGCTTCTTCTTCTCTGCGATGGCTGTGATGTACCCTCACATACATACTGTGTTGGCCTCGATGATGTGCCTAGTGGGCCCTGGTACTGTGCACGGTGTGAAAACCAACGCCTTCTCGGACGCTCCCCTGAGGCGAGTGACCGGGTTTCCCGCCCGCAGGACCGACGAAACCGCCGCACCAGAGCACAGCAGCGGAGGTTACAGAGCAGAAATCAAATAAACTCTCTCCACTGGGCGCAAGTGTGGCAGTCTGTTTGGGATCACCTGAACATTGACCTAGATTTCCCCTTCGATGATGATAGGGCTTTGGAGCGTGCTCGTCAGCAGCAACGACGGGAAGAGGCCAATCAGCGTGAGTTCCGCGCATGGCAGCGTCGTTTTGAAGTTGCTGAACGACAGGGTGGCAGCAACCGTTTTCGGGATACTGCGGCCTTGCTCGATATCGAGGCCTCGTGGCCATCGCGGCCGCGCGTACCCCGCGAGCCCACCCCGGAGCCCGAATCGCTTGAAGAAATGAGAGCCTGGAATGCATTTGAGCGGGCTCGAGAAATTGAGAACGACCCTAGTGCAGCAAGAAAACGCAAAGAGCCTACGATGTCCCCGTCCCCAGAGCCCAGCGAGCCTGCACGCAAGCTCAAACGTCCCCGGACCCGCAGAGCCGAGGACTTGGCTGCTCTCGCTACACAGAACGGGGAGTCATCACGGGCTGCAAGTGCACAGGCCACTGCTCGGATCAATGCTGATCCCCCTAATGAACCGAGCTTCCTACAATCGCTGTTGAAAGAGGTGGAGTCGTCCTCGAATCCCAACGGCGTTAACTCGCATGGTCCCTCAGCTCAATCCTCCATCGCCCCGACTGATCACTATACTCCCGGTCTATCCTCACCTTCTATCTCGCCTTCACCTTCTAATCACTCATCCCCTCGAATGTCCTCTGCGACACCACCACCCCATGCCAGAAGTAGGCCGATATCTCCCTTGCAGCTCGGGTCGCCTTCAGAATTATCCTCCCCACCTTTCTCACCGGACGTGTCTCCGAGTGCTTCGAGTAAAGACCGTCATGAAGATCGGTCACCACGGCCCACCCCTCGCTTGAACCGCCGGATTCCGCGGGCTGCAGCTCGATCGGCAGCCCTTCGATCGCTCCATACCTCGCCCACTCGCTCTGGTCCGTCATCCTCTGTCAAGTCGGCTGTCCAGAAGCTTGTGGGGACCGAACTGAAACCCTACTACCGCTCAAAGCTTGTTTCCAAGGATGAGTATACAGATATCAACCGAAATATATCTCGGATGCTATACGAACGAGTGGGTGACGTTGAGACCCTCGAGGCCGATGCCAGACTTTCGCTGGAAGGAGTGGCCAAAGATGAGGTGGGCAAAGCCATAGATACGTTGAGGCAGCGCAAAGACGCTGCCAATGGCCATGTTGTTGAAGCCAGTTCTTGAGATCTATATAGCGAGCGAATATGCATACACCGGCGTATTGTAGCAATTCCAGGGAATTTGGAGGACAAGCCATCCCGGCGTTTGTTGCAAAGGCACTACTGTATTCGTGGGCGGGGATCTGTACGTAATCATCCTTTGGGCATCCCGTCTATTTCTTGTGGCCGGTGTTAGGCTTGTCTGGGTCACTTTTATAATGGCATACTAGTTTGCAGCGATTATATAGCCTCGAGTTGATTCAAATATTTTCCGCATCCTGGCTGATTGCTATGATGCCAGGTGGGCAGCCCCACCTGCATATTAGGCATTTTGTTTTACATGTACTCAGTAGGACCTTGAATCTGCTCATATCCAGTGATCGATCGGCGGTGATGTGATGATCGACTCAAAGCACGAAACAACTCACCTTTGATTCACCGGAGGTTGTGTTTGAGACTCATCCATTGATCTCCCTGCCCTGCGGCCTGGCACCCGCTCCTACCAGGTAGACTAATCCAGAATCCACAGCCGTTGTGCGTAGATAGGTACTGAGTAGGCATGTCGATCACCAGCGGGCGCCTGCACGGGCTTTCCGAAAAACCAAGGCCAGCATGCAGATCGGCTATGTGTACGGAGCACACGCCTCTGAACTGGAACCCTTTCCGATCAGCGGGGGAATGAAGCCTCGGTCTTGATGCGACCAGCCAAAAGACCGATGGCCGCGCTTCAGGCTTCCGTCCGGTTATTGTTGAATTGATCCTCTAGATCAGATGGATACTCAGTAGGCTGAAGGGGGATCTGGCATGGATGTCATGTGTCCTACAAATTGTCGAAAGGGGACTAGTTATTGGTCGGCTGTTTTCCGTGCTCCGTGCGTTTTAGTTTTAGTTGTTTGCATTGGTCGGCTGTTCTCCCCGATGACTAATGGATCTCTGGGTGTCACGGGTGTGGGTCTAAGCGCCGTGTGCCTCAGGTTGCGGTGTGATTGATGGGTGGAAGGTTCCGTAATGTTTGCTGTCATTGATAGTTCTGCCGAGCTTAGCATTACTAAAGTGCTTGGTGTGGGGTGGTTGAGTCTGCCCTGCCATGCTACTCCAGTGCTCTGCTCAGCAAGAGATACCTAGGGCCGTAGAGCGAGGGATCTCTAATCTCGAGGGGCAGGACAGTTTAAATGCTTAGCTGCTTCAAATGTCCCTTGGTATTGAGGTACTTGTGTGAAGTGTTTGGTGCTCCCTTTTATTTCCCTCGGTTTGCTTTATCTTTCAAATGCAGTAGCGCTCCTTGAACCTCCTTTATTTGTGTTTGCATCAGGGAGGAAAAGATGTGGCTTGACTTTCGCTCCTCGGCTCGCGAGTCTAGACGCATAGATGCCCCTTTCTCATCCATGGCTCCACAGCAGTTTCACATCCTGAGCCAGAGCATCTACAGGACTTTGGCTGAACTTGATTAGAACCGGAGGTAAGCCATGCTCGGGTAACTGAAAGGGGTGAGTAGGCTATCGGGGAATTCGGAGACCACGCGCGCTGAGTTGGGGCTTGGAGCCTTGGGCTAGCCTTTACCCAGGAGCCGGAGTTAGGCCGGGATTTGAGATTGTGGGACTGACTTCTTTAGTCTACAATCTATATGAGCCTGGAGTGAGTACTCCGTCCTTAGTCTAGTCTAGTCTGTGGACTCTAGGCAGGCTTATGTTGATGCTTAGTACTGATGAGGAATCTAGGTATCGAGGGAGAGATGAGGAGGCGATCCGAGGTCGGTTATCGGCAATGTCTGCCTGTCTCCAGCTGCATGCATCCGTTGTAATATGTGATAGAGCGGCGTGAAGGTGTTTGACAGATGTTAATCACAGACTCTGTCGAGATTTCCGTTCAGTTTTAGTCATCGACTCATCGCCCACGCACCCGAGCAGCACAAGCGGGGCAGACGAGAGAATCAAGCACCTCGCGAAGCCTCTCGAACAAGTTCGAATGAGGAAAAGAAACAGAAAAAAAGAAAAAGCTCTGTCGGAAGGACAGCCTAGCGGGTCCCTTTTCCTAATCAGGTGTCGGCTGTCGGAAATGCCGAAAGCGCGAGCGAGCAAACCTTTGGTAAGCCAGACACTACACTTCCCACGAGTCAGGCGACCGGGCTTGCCCCGGTGCCTTTCATGATTCATCATCATTACATCCTTAGTTGACTACAAGGAGGGGGGAGGGTTTATGCACCTTATCCGTTGCATTATCTTCGGGTATCACGGATACTTTAGGTTGCTGACTGACGGACTGACGCCTGCAGGAAGAGAACATGACCTCACTGGCAGTTGATTCATGACAGGCAATGAATTGATGGATTTCGAAACAGAAACTAACTAGCATGGACCGGGGAGCGGATTTAACAAGCTCGATATCCAGTATCCACGACAAATCAAGTGGGTGGAGTCCGTCTCGCGTTTCCACCTGTGCCTTAACCCCGATCACTTTACTAATGCTTGCTCGCCATGATTCATACCTTCTATAGGCCCATGCTATCAGGGTTTTTTTTTCTTCCTCACTGCTGGCGGGTAAAAGTGGCCCACTTGCTTAAATCAAGGTTGTCTCTTGTATATAACAATGGCTAAAGCCCGTGGCAAGGGTCGTTGGTGCCCCCTCTTCTTTCTTCATCTCTGATATCATCGCCACTCTCCCGGGGACTTAGATACTATAAGTTCTTTCTTCGTATCTCCCCACGGTTGTATTATCTGTATCATTGGTTCCACTGCCCCCTGGTACCCCTGAGTTTTGGGATAGGTTCACAGATCCCCATTTGCTGCTCCTACGCGAGCCTCAGTCACACAACATGAGCGCCCCTCATAGTAGCAATGCCCCGGAGTGGGCTTCGAACACCGAGCCTCACAAAGAGACGGCTCTCCAATCATCGGATTCCACCCTGAGGTCTCAATCTATCGCTGCGACCGGGGACAACGAGAAGGAGATCGATCATTCGTTCGACAAGGATTTGGAACGGGATGGATCAGACACGGACGCCAACGTACCCGAAGACCAGCTGGAGAAAGCCGAGGAGAAGGAGAGGGACCCCAACCTTGTCGACTGGGATGGGCCTGACGACCCGGAGAATCCTCAAAACATGGCATACTTGAGGAAGTGGATCATCACCATGTCCATGGCTTTCATGACGATGTGGATTACCTTCGCTAGCAGTGTCTTCTCGACGGCAACCCTGGTAACGGCCAAAGAGTTCAATGTCTCGACCGAAGTCATGATTTTGGGAACGAGTCTCGTGGTCTTCGGCTTCGCAGTCGGCCCTCTGATGTGGTCTCCTCTCTCCGAGCTCTATGGACGTCGCATTCCTCTGTTCTCCGGCTATCTTATCTTCGCTATCTTCCAGATCCCTGTCGCGGTGGCCAAGAACGTCGAAACAGTTCTAGTCTGTCGCTTCCTGATCGGAGTCTTTGGTTGCTCCCCCTTGGCCGTCGTCGGTGGTGCTATGGCTGATTTTTGGGATCCCGTTGACCGTGCGATTGCTATCGCATTGTTCTCTTCGGCTACCTTTGTTGGACCTGTGCTTGGTAAGTGTTTCCCTGGGTAACAGTTGAGTCGTGCCAGTAGACTAACTCTTGTGTCTCAGGTCCGATTGTTGGCGGTTTTCTTACCGATTCCAGCCTTGGTTGGCGATGGACCGCTTGGATCACATTGATTGCCTCGGCGTCCTTTGGTCTTTTGGCCTTCATCATCGTCCCCGAAACTTATGCTCCCGTTCTCCTGCAACGCAGAGCCGCTCGCCTCCGCAAAGAGACCGGCAACACCGAACTGTACGCCCTGCTGGACAAGAGCCGCCCGACTATGAAAGACATTGCCACCAAATACCTTCTGCGGCCCGTCCTCATGCTTTTCCTTGAGCCGATTCTCCTCGCGATCACCCTTTACCTGGCTTTGGTCTATGGTATCCTGTATCTCTTCTTCGAAGCCTACCCTGTGTCCTTCGAGCAGGTGCGCGGCTGGACGAACGGAGGTATTGCTGGACTGCCTTTCATTGGAATTATGATCGGAGTTGTCTGTGGTGTTGCCTTGATCGTGTGGCAGACTAAGACGCGATTCGCCCGCAAGCTGGCCAAGCATGGACGCGTCACTCCGGAAGAACGACTGCCTCCGATGATGATCGCTTCTGTTCTCTTGCCCGTGGGTCTGTTCTGGTTCGGCTGGAGCTCGCATCCCAGCACCTCGTGGGTCGCCCAGGTCTTCGCCGGTATTCCCATCGGCATGGGCATCCTGGTCATCTTCATGCAGGGTCTCAACTATATCATTGATGTGTACTTGATGTTTGCCAACTCGGCTATTGCCGCCAACACCCTCATCCGCAGCAGTCTGGGTGGTGCATTCCCCTTGTTCGCCACGCAGATGTATAACAAGTTGGGCGTGGACTGGGCTTCCAGCTTGCTCGGCTTTATCACCTTGGCCATGATCCCCATCCCGGTCCTGTTCTTCTTCTTTGGCAAGAAGCTGCGGGCCATGAGCAAGTTCAGTCCCAAGCTGTGAACCTTCGCTATCGTCATCTGTGAACGTTTAACTCTTCACCTTTCTCCGCTTTCCCTCGTTCTTGAAGAAAAACTTGCATTGAATTTCACTCACTGATCTGGCGTTCTCTTGGCGGGCATACGATAAAAATGGGTAATGTTTATTGAACGGTATATGTGACATGTGCATAGCATAGCGGCATCTCGATAGATACTAAATAGCGTTTGCCTTTCCATCTGCATATATACTGGCTGAATGTGATACAATCTATCTTCAGTGACTGAATCATTTGGCTGTAGAGTCTGAACGGCCGTTGGTGGGACGGTAGTGCGGTGTTGAACACAGAACCGGTTAGAGAGTGGTCAGTCAGACATCGTCCCCGATTTCTCTTCTAGGTCCGGTCGAGATGGGCTGCACGACATCTATTGTGTATCAGGAACCTAATCCGTAGTAAGTCTGGCCACGTCGTGCAGGGGGTGAGGCGGGCTTGTTTCAAGAGATTGTCAGGGATTGCTTAGTCAGACACAGCGTTGCAGTGGCTGATTCTAGAGAGGATGATTGTCTCCTTATTGTAGAATGATGATCTGAGGGACTGTAACTGTCATGACTGCATTGAGCGTCAATCCCCAATCCTGGCTAGGAGTTTATGAAGTGACTGTACTCCGTAGACCCGAACTACAGAGAGCACCGAAAGAGGCAAGTGAGTGTCGCGCGACGCGTCCCGCCCATAAAGGCGGTCAAAGGCGGTCGGGGAAGGCCGAAAACCGCCCGTCAATCCGTCGCGGTCTGTCTTTTGCTGTTGCTGTTGCTGTTGCTGCTACTGCTGCTGCTGCTGCTGCTGCTGCTGTGCTGCTAAACTGCTACTGCGGACCACAACCTAAGCTTCCTCTTCAACTCCGAATTGATCCTGTCCCCTCCTCCCCTCCTCCCCACCCCATCTTCACCTCCTTCCTTACTCCTCTTATTCTTTCTCTTCTCCTTCTATTCAACGTAACGGAGGCCGAATTCCTCCCCATTCGATAAAATCAGATCGTATTCCCCTCGTCCGTCCGCGCAGCGCATGGTGTGTTGAACCTTACCCTCATCGGCTTCCCCGCGCTTCGTCCACGATGCCCGCGCGCACTCGTCAAGGTCCCTCCGTCGCGACGGAGGTCGTGGACCATGAAGATATCTCCGGTGGCCTGCGCCGCCTCAAGTTCAACGAGCCGCTCTCCTGGCGCGTAGGACGGTCCGCCATTCCCGTGGCCGACCTACTTCAGCGGCTGCAGACTCTGGCGCAGGAGCTTCGCAAACTCGAGCAGGAGGAGATCGATAATGATTCGCTTAAGAAAGTGTCGCAGGAGCTCGCCACTGCTCATCTGCTGGCGCATAAGGATAAAGGTGTACGGGCTTGGACGACCTGTTGCATCGTCGACGTCTTGCGCCTCTGTGCTCCCGACGCGCCTTTCACGGCAGATCAACTCAAGGTGCGCTGAATTTGCCGCATTCTCTTCGGCCAGGGCTACTTAGCTTCTGCTCCAATTGGGCTCCTCTTGTCTGATGGATGAATGGAACCCGGGGAGTCTCCGCTGATGGCGATGCTAACGTCTTCGCGATGATTTAGGACATCTTTACCTCTATAGTCAAATCCATCATTCCCGCATTAGGGGACCCATCAAACCCTTACAATGCTCAGCATATCTACGTCCTGAATTCTCTCGCGGAGGTGAAGAGTATTGTGCTCATGACAGATCTAGACCACCCAGACAACCTGATCATACCGCTATTCACAAGCTGCTTTGACATCGTCTCTGGGTCCGCGCAGAACTCCACGGGGGAGGAAGTCGCCAAAAATGTTGAGTTTGATATGACGCGCCTCCTGGTGACGGTCATCGACGAAACGCCCGTCCTGGCGGCCGATGTGGTGGACGTCATCGTGGCACAGTTCCTGCGCATCGATCCCCGCGCCATGGAGCTGCCTTACAAGAGAGGAAGGAAAGGCGATACACCGATTGATGCCAAGCAGGGTACGCTCCTCCTCAAGGACTACCCTCCCGCCTACAATATGGCAAAAGCTATTTGCCAAGCATGTCCCGAGAGAATGACTAGCCATATCAGCCAGTATTTCAACAATGTCATCATTGACGCTTCAGCTCCTGCGGAGGGCGCAAATGGATCTTCCAAGGGTGGCCACCGACGGCCAAATCTCGATGACTCGGACGAAGAAGGAGAGGATATCAAAGAGCTGAGCAAAGCACATCGCCTCATCCGAGAACTGTGGAAAGCATGCCCGGAGGTATTGCAAAATGTGGTCCCCCAATTGGAGGCCGAACTGTCCGCAGAGTCTCTATCCCTGCGCTTGCTGGCTACACAGACGATTGGTGATTTGACGGCCGGAATCGGGGTTGCTGGTCCACCCTCGCCTCCGCCAATGGATCCTGCAGCCTATCCACCGGTGACCCTGGCTGAATATGCTCAGACCGTTCCGCAGCCCAGTGTTCTTCTGACGCCATTCTCACCAAAGCCCTTCTCGCAAACACACGGTTCTACCTACGAGAGCTTCCTCAGCCGACGTCTGGATAAGTCGGCTTCGGTCCGAGCTGCCTGGGTGACTGTTGTCGGTCGAATCCTGTTAACGTCCGCAGGTGGCTCTGGATTGAGTGAGAACGAGGAGCAGAGTCTTATCAAGCATGTGGCGAACATGCTCCGTGATGCTGACGATAAAGTGCGTGTCGCTGCCGTGGATGCAATCAGCAATTTCGGTCTGCCTTATGTTGTGAACAAACTCGGAGTTAGCGGGGGCTTCTCGACTCCAGACTCGGTGCTTTTTGTTCTTGCTGAACGAGTCAAAGATCGCAAACCGCTGGTGCGGGAGCATGCAATGAAGACCCTGGCGCGGATCTGGGCTGTCGCGGCCGGTGAGATCGAACGGGACGATGAGGTCGTCGCTCCCCTGCTCAAGGATGGACCATCGAAAATATTCGATGCCTTCTATACAAATGACCAGGATATTCACGTCTTAATTGACCGTGTCCTGTTCGAGATCCTCATCCCGCTCAACTATCCTCCTGTCAAGGCCAAGTTGACCCGCAGCAGCTCTACTCAGTCGCAGAAGCAGAAGGGATCCCAGGCATCGGAGGGCGACTCGGAGGTTGATGTAGACAAGGTCCGCACTCGTCGTATTCTGACCCTTTTGAGGGGTATGGATGACAAGGCCAAGAAGGTCTTCTTCGCTATGCAGGCCCGGCAAATATCGATGAGAACTGCAATGACCATCTATTTGCAGGCCTGCGAGGATTACAACGTGAGTCACACCCGATTAACAGGATTTATGTTTGACATTACTCATTCTCTCGATGCAGGGTGGTGTCATGGAGAAGGATCAAGACCGGATACAAGCTCAGTTGAGTAAAGTCATCGACACACTATCTAAAACGTTCCCCGATCCATCGAGGACATCTGCAGATCTATGGAAGTTCGCGAAGGTGCATGATCGACGTGGCTACCAGCTTATTCGCTTCGCTATGGCCGCCGTCAGCGATTATCGGACGGTTGTCAAGGCCATCAGAGAGCTCGCGAGGAGGATACAGAGTGCCAACAATACCCCGCTACTTGAGACCCTTACACCTCTATTGTATCGCAGCAGTTCGCTTGTGTTCAACCGGAGTCACATTCCGGCTGTCATGAGCCTTTCGAGGACAGACGAGAACGGACTGGCAAATCCTGCCCACGAGATGTTGCGAGAGATTTCCTCCCGCAACCCTGAGGTCCTAGAGGCACAAGTTCAAGAGATGTGCAAAGACCTTGAATCACAGGCGCCGAGCGCCACCACCAAGGATAGCGCTGGTACGGAAGAGATTCTCAAAGCATGCTCCGGGTTCGCAAAGAAGCTGCCTTCCAAGCTTCCTAAGGAGCGGAAATTCTTCCAGGCCCTGGTCAACTATGCGCTTCACAGCCCATCGCCCAAGGCCGCCAAACATGCCGTTTCCATCCTCATGGCTGTCGCCGATAAGAAGGAGATGTACGCCAAGGATCTGATCCACAAGTGTGTCTCAGGATGGACTTACGGATCTGATCGTTTCCTCACCAAGCTGGCCACCCTGTCCCAGCTAAATCTGTTGGCGTCTAAGGAGGCAGATGATGAGCGTGAAGCGATCATCTCGATCTCTGTCAATCAGGTTCTACTCTCGAATCGCTCGCCACAACCAAACGCTGAATATTCGTGGTCAGATGCCGTGGATGACGAGACTGTGGCGAAAGAATGGGCTCTCAAAATCATCGTTAACCGCCTCAGAGCTAAGGTCGTTTCTGACGACGCGGACGACTTCCGTGCCCATGCAGAGCCTGTTTATGATACCTTGAACAAACTTATAATGAATGATGGGGAGCTTTCGAAGAAGAAAGACACACCGGCAACTCAGAAACCGAGACTGCGTCTCCTCGCAGCTAGGTCAATGCTGAAGTTGTGTGCGACGCACGGTATCTGCGACCAATTGCTGACGCCAAAGGAGTTCAACTCGATTGCCCTCGTCGCACAAGACCCTGTCCTAGAGGTCCGGAGTGGCTTCATCAGTCAGCTCAAGAAGAAGCTTGTACAACAAACCCATTTGAGCTACCGTTGGTACACAGTCCCCTTCTTGCTTGCGTTTGAGCCACACGCTAGCCTGAAGGAGAGCACTCTCACCTGGCTGCGCTCTCGTGCAGCATACTTTTCCCAGCAGATGAACGGTAAACGAAGCGACCAGCAAACAGTCATGGAGTCTATATTCTCGCGCCTTCTCTCTCTTCTCGCGTACCATCCCGACTATCCGCCAGCGGATATGGACGATTCCACCGGGATTGAGGAATTGACCGACTTTGCACGCTACATCTTGTTCTACCTTCAAGCAGTGGCCAATGAACACAACCTTTCGCTGATCTTCCACATCGCCCAGCGGGTCAAGCAAACACGTGACGGCATCACCAAATCTGATGAGATCAGTACCCGCCTTCATACGCTTTCCGACCTCGCCCAAGCGACCATTCGTCGGTTTGCCGACATCTACGCTCAACAACGCAGATTCGGTGGCGCAAGCGGCGGCGCCAGCATTCTCCAGACCTACCCTGGCAAGATGGGCGTGCCCAGCTCCATCTTCGCGCCGATGGGCAGCCATCGCGAAGCGCAGGAGGTGGCCGACAAGAACTTCTTCCCCGAGGATGGCGAAGATCTGCTGGACCGCGTCGTACGGTCCGTCATGAAGACCAAGAGCGGGTCTCAGGGGGCTGCAAAGAAGAGAAAGCCTGAATCGAACGAGGCGGGTGGCGTTACTGGTTCCGCCAAGAAGGCAAAGAAAGAGAAGCAGGAAAAGCCGGCCCGGCCTCCGCGCAAATCGTCCGGCTCGGCTGGAACATCCAAGGCGCCGCCGAAGAGGAAGAAGAAGGATGAGGATGGATGGACCTCTGACGGAGGCGCTGGTGGTGTTGGGGCTACCTCGGCTGCTGCTCGGCGACGGAGCAGCCGCGGAGCGTCTAGGAGGGTTAGTTACGCCGATCGAGACAGTGATGAGGATGATATGGAGATGGACGATTGGGATCAGAATCAAGAACAAGAAGAAGAGGAAGAAGAGGACGAGGAGGACGAGGAGGAACAGGAACAGGAGTCCGAGAACGACGAGCCAGCCGAGGCGGCCGCGGACAGCGAGGATGACGATGCCACCAAGGAGAACCACAAGCCCAATCCGTCGGGCAAGGAAGCGAACCAGCCATTAGACGAGGACCTTGATGACGACGACCTCTCAGAGCTAAGCTCCCCATTATCATCGCCGCCGCCCATCTCTCCCCCCAAGAAAGCAGCCAGTGGCCGAGCAGCGCCCCGCGGCAAAGGCAGTGCAAGTCTAGCGACCCGACGATCTTCTCGCAGATGATGACGTTGATGATGATGATGAACCCCAAACCAACCATGTAGCTACTACCAAACTCCTCCCCCCACTGAGAGAGTCACAAAAAGCAAGCAGGACGCATTCACCCATCGCGGATGATGCTTGCGGAAGCGAACCCCAGCCGGGTTTATGTTTCATCTATCTTATCTATCTTATCCATCCATCCATCAATCCATCCATCCATCTCTATATTATGTATGAGGCGAGAAGCTGTGCGTGTGTGTGTTGTCTACTTCACCAGAACAAATGTATAGTGAGAAAGCAAAGCGTTCCGTGAGATTATTTACCATACCATATCGATTTCTTTTTCTATCTTCAACTTCCCTTGAATGGTGTTCCCATCTTTTTTATTTATCTCAAGTGTTCTTCCCATTGTCCAGAGGATTAGGCGTCGTTTTCCATTCGACTGTCGTGTATGTCTCTTGTCTGTCTGTCTGTGTGTGTGTGTGTGTATCTATTCATCCATCCACCCGTGCCATCCATCCTTCCTTACTACCTGTCTATCATTCTATCCATCCATCACTCTACAATACTTGCCTCCATTCTTCGAAACGAGTGACACCCCTGCGTTGAAATCTTCTGTAATGTGGCTGCTAGTGTATCTACTGCGAATCTCCCGTATTTGTATTTACCTTTGCTGAGTATGGCATGAATGCAGTTCAAGGTATCTGTCTTCTTTGCTGAGAGCGTACGGCGGAGATATCCGGTTCGAGTGTTGAGAAACGGGAATGGAACCAATGGGGGGGAGGGGGTGGGGGCAAAGGGAGGTGTTTAGGATTTAATTAGTGGGTTGAAGAACGATTCAAAACTCGAAGGGTGCGTAATGGTCAGGTTTAGTTTGATTGCTTGTGGGCATATTCAGGGATGTGGGTATAGGAGGCTATTTAATTGCTTGTGGACGTAGGTATGGATGTTGGTAATAGCGGTCGTTTGATTGCTTTTGGACATGAGTAGGATGGAGGTATAATGGTCTGGACTGAGTGATCGCTTGTGGAGGTATAAGTCCATGAATGTAGATTTATTGTAAAGAGCTACCTACCTACCTACCTACCTACCTACATGTGATTAATGGAGGGGACCTGAGGGACACCGGCTTGTCGTTGAGTCAGAGACAGACCAGACATTCAGCATCGAATTCGGTATAGTCAACTGAAAACCTACTTACAGTCTCAAGTAGGCTATCACGATTGATTTCAAGGTTCTTACTTAGCTAGGAAATACCCAGCCTACACGCCCTGCTACGGACGAGCCATCCCTGCGTCTAAACTAAATACAGCACGCATGCGCGGTACGTCAAGAATTACCCATCGCCGAGTCAAGAGGGTAGTGTACAAGTCGAATGACTCAATACTAAGATTTATCACGTCCGGATCCAGTATCAAACATTCCGAGGAGAACCTTGTAGGAGTTGTAATAGTAGTTGTAGTCAAAAGAAAAAAGTAAATGAAAAAAGGACCCCATTTTCTTTCCACCAAAAGAAAAATGAACAATCGCTAGAAAATCATGTACATCAAGTCATTGGGGGTTTGATGACTTGTTGTCGGTAATCGGTAGTGTGGGCGGTGTATGGCTTGCACTCAAGAGATGGAGGTTGTTTGATGTAGATGAGAGGGATAAAATGGAACAAGGGAAATGTGTACAGATACAGGAAAGGAAGAATCGCACTCACGCAGAGTGCGCATGCATCCTTCCATCATTCAAGTCATTATTCACTGAGGCGCGAGACCACCTCCTCCCCCCACAGCCGTTCCAGCTGTACCACCTGCCGCCGCCGTCGCCGCCGCCGCAACTCGCTCTTCCACACGCTTCTGATGTTGGCGATTGCTAAGGTGGACTTCGAAGTTTTCGACCGTCATGCCAGGACCAGGGGTGTAGAGTTTGCCCGGACAGTCGTGGCAGCGAATGCGAGGAAGGTATTGATATTTCAGCCGGTGGCTAGGGAGGTTGTGGGGTTCAAGTACTGGCTGCATCGTTTCCACGTCAACGGCCGAGTAACGCATCACGCCTTCGAAGGAGTCATTGGGATTGGAGCGGTTCAACTGCATTAGTGCCGCGGTAAGCCAACTTGGAGGCGGAGGCTAAGTCAAACTATGTTAGTCTGTGGTTGTCTGAGGGCTTTTCATCCTCGGTCAGATTTTGCGGCCCGGGTCTGAGATTTTGAGGAGGACTTATGTAAATCGTTGATTACTCACCCCGGAGACTCCCGGCTGAGGGGGGTGGGGAGCATGTACGGCCCCAATTTGTGGAACTGGCATTGGCCGTGTCGCCGAGGGAGGAGCGACGGGCACGCGAACGTCAGGTTGAGACTGAAGAGGAGCCATGGAATTCAGGGTCGGAGTTTGAACTTGAGGAGTGTTTTGCTGAGGTGTCGGTGGAGCGACGGGAGTGGAACTCGCGAGGCTTGCTATCGATTGTATTCCGTGCGTAAGGTATTGTTTGAACTTCTCCTTCGAGATTTTCAGCTTCACAATCAACTTCTCCGGCTCCTCCACACTCTCTTCCCGGTATTCACGCCTGCGTGATGCGGCTCTCGCTTCGTTGTGAGGCTCGGGTGTGGCGGATTGACCCAGACTCGCCCGTAGCGCGGCATGTGCTGCGGTAGCGGCTCCTCTCATGCCTCGCGTGCGCGCCGTACCCTGGGCCAAGTGAGGTCCAATCGCCGGAGATGCTGCAATTGAGGACTCGTCACTGTCCGATTCCTCTGACTCGTCCGCTCCGTCGCGCATGCCAACAACAGCACGTCGAGTGCGACTCGAGCCAGACCGCTTGAACACATTGCTCTCATCCATAGAAGCCGCACAATTTGGTATGACTGTCGAGACAATCAAAGTGCGGATAGTACGTTGGCGGTCCTTGAGATCAGGCAGCGCCGGCCCACCGCGACGATTGACGGACCGTTTCTGTCGGCGCTGGTCTCGCGAGATCGACACTTCTGTCCGTTCAAGCTCAGCTTCATTCAGCTCGTACAAATATGGCGTGAACTCCTTTGCCGCCTGGAAAGGTCTGAAGGAGGAAGGAAGAGGGGAGGGGAGGAAGGCGGTCTTCAAGTCGGGATCGTCAATCGGGCGTCCGTCGAATGGATGGGAGAGGATATAGAGTGATTTGATGAAGAGCTGTGATTGTTCCCGAATCGAATGTGCAATGGCGGTTGTGAATTCACCGGAAAGGGACAAATCGTCTGTCATTCGTGCTGCAAAGTCTTCCGGGGAGTTTGAAGGGTCATTAATGTCCCATTCAAACTGATCGATTAATGTATGCTGTCCGATTGTAATATTGAGTTTGACAAGAATGCGCATCTCATCATTCTTATAGGCACTGTAAGGAAGATGAGGGTCTAGAGGATCTTCTTCCATGAAGATCTGAGGGTAGTAGTCGCAAAGTTGTTCCTGTATACTCTGCGAAACCATGCGCACTAGCGGAGCGCACGTTTCCATAGGAAGACCCAAGTCTTCTACGAGCTTCTCAGCAAACAGCTCTGGCGAGACCACACGGTCATGGAGATTCCACGTGAAAGTGTCTCGAATTTTAATCTTCTCCCAGTCAATATCCAGTCGAATAGGCACCAAGTCTTCCAGTTGTTCGCTCTGCGTTTTCAGATCTTTGCGAGAAACCCGGAGCTCTCGTGTCCGTCTGTTCCCGGGACGACGACGGTTTGCTGGGTAGAGCAGCTGGGGATGCTGATTCCGCAGATCTGTGCGAGCATTTCCGAACCCTTCATACCCTACGCCGTATAATGCTGCGGGATTAAGGTGATTCTCGCGCCGGACCGCCAGAAAGTAATCCCGCTCAGCGCGTTTCTGCTGTAGAAGTTCGTGACTGGGGTTCTGCCAAGCTGTCAAGGCGGAATGACGAAATTCGCGGTTGACGTAGTCTTCGAGAAGGATTTTATCCGCTGGAGTCTCGCGCACGCGCACTGGCAAGCTTTCCATAGAGGGCGAGGCTTGTATGACGGAGCCGTCTCGCGATCGTTTCCGGCTAGATGCTGATCCATTGGCGGTGTTTGGCTGGGAATTGGGTGACGGATTGCCATTGGACGTATCGTGGCCTGATTCGTTGGATGCAAGCGAAACGCCCGAAGCTGCAAGGACGGCTTTCGCATTTTGTTTACCCTCCGCGATAGCATCAGCTCCGCTTCCACCTTGGCCCGTCGACGAATCCGAGGCGACCATGGTATGGTAGTCCCGGCTTATGTTAGACAAGCCGGAGCCGTCGTCAAATTGCGAATCGGAGGGAAAATGTCCTGTTTGCGAGGTATTGGGAGACGGCATCATCGAAGAAGATAGGTGGTGAAATCAAGATCGTTAGGCAAGACTGGAGAGATACCGCTCGCGCAGACGGCTCGATGATCCGCAAGCGACACGTTCAACTCGAAGATATAGGCGAATGAGGACACGAGTCTGTTACGATAGCATCCTTAGGAAGACTCTGGGTTGAGCACAGCCAAGTCAGTCAACTGGTCTTTGGTAATCCGCAGCCATCGCAATAATGAAGACGCGACGGCGCACCAAAATTGAGGCACGAGACATTGTGGGTGAAACCCCAGCGAAAGGGCGTGTCGCAACACCGCCACCGGTGAGTCGCTCTCCGTATCATGGTCCAATGCGGTTCAGCATCGCGAAAAAAAGCTATGGGGGGAAGATCTGCGCGAAGCTGATGGAGCGAGGTGGAGAGGTGGATGACCAGCTGGGAAGGAGTGACATACCTGCCAGCAGAAGGGCCAAGGGAAAGAATAGGTAGAGTAGGATGGGCAGAGGGGAAGGAAGGAAGGTAGGTAGCAGAGGGTAGCACGGATGGCACGCGGGAGAATCAAGGTAAAGATACAACTAACCAAGAAAGCCACAAGCAAGAGAATGGGATTGAATGGAAGACGGTGATACCAAGCAGACGAGTCGGAGCTGGACTCAAATGGCCGATGGATGGGAAGGACAGACAGGAGTGGATGGGTCTGCGTGCCGGGTCTGGGTCTGGTCTGGTCTTCTTGTCTTGTCTTGTCGGACTGTTCTGTCTGTCTGTCTGAGAGAGAAAGACGGACGGGGAGGCTAATCAGCTGACGCCCACTCCCGTAAGGTTGCTGCTGTCGGTAGCTTCGGTTCAGCGGAGCGAAGCTTGCTTCTTATTTGATTATTTCACACTTCGTTTGATATTCAAGTCGTCAATAGATCGATGACTATTCGTCACGGACCAATCGCTCAAGAGAAACCAGTGTGGGGGGGTCGGGAAAAGGCCGAGTCCATCAGATAAAGACGCGATTTGGATGCGGGAAAGAGAGGAGAGAAAAGAGAAGAAAGAGAGAGAGGGAAGAGAGAAGAGGAAGAGGCGAGAGAGGCGAGAGAGAGAGAGAGAGAGAGAGAGAGACAGACAGACAGACAGACAGACAGCAGCGGAAAACCAAAGAGAAACCGCCGTTACAAGTCTCTGTCCTCTGGCCGGGCTCCCGGGGGTGAAGCAAGAGTCGTTCAGGGGACAAAATGGGAAGAGCCAGCCGCACCGTGAGAGGTTTGACTGACTTTCCAGGGCCTAAAGAACCCTTCAAGGGCCTTCTTGAAGCTATTCAGACTCATCTTCATGCTCCTCATCTTCTGGTCCGATCCCAACCTTTCTTACACTTGTTATTGTATCGACTTGGTAATACCGTCGCTCGTACTGTACGGTAACCAGCGCGCTCCCGCGCACTATACCCATTCAGGCCATCATGTGACATTACACCTTCCTCTAAGCGGTAAGCCGGCCTTCCGCTAGCGCGATATTATCTCCAACAGTGGATCGGCTCTTTCGACTCCATACCAAACTACCTGCCAAGCATACCGTGTTTTACCGTATGGACAGACCTGGCTTTTCCACCGTTACTCGTCCGGTTATTTCCAAATAATTGCGTAGAAGGAGAACAACTCCAGCCAGAATCATGGATCTCTTCTCGATCTTCTACTCGCCCAGCAGCACATCGACCACCACCGCCCGGTGGTCCGAGTTAAAAATGCCATCCTCGAACCGGTTCTCGAGGACGGCATACCCCTCGACCGTCCACGGCTGGCGACCGTGGCTGCAAACCTTGTCGGCCGTGGATTCCAGCAGAATGTAGTCAATGCGGGTGGGAGGCTGTCCTTCATAGCCAAACCCGGTCCATGTCACATAGTGGCCGTAATGCTCCGTGGGTGCCACCAACTTGGCGGCATCGGCCAGGGGCGATTCCGGCGCCGTCAGCACGGTATAGGCTTCCTGGTCCTCCTGGCTGTTGAAGTCGCCCGCGAGGAACACGCCCGAGATGCTGCGTCCCCCGAACGGCGCGCTCCTCGTCCGGTACTCCTCGACCTTGCCCAGGATGATATGGGCTGCTTCATACCGGGATCGGGACCCCTGGTCGTCGAGATGCGTGTTCAAGGCCAGCACGGTGCGGCGGCTCGCGCGGTGCGTGAAGACGCCCACCGTCACGATGCGCGTCGAGGCCGCATCCCAACTCTTCGAAGGAACGGAGGGAGTCTCGGATAGCCAGACCGTCTCCCAGTCTCGCAGCTCCCAGACGGTCGGTTGGTAGAAGATCGGAGAATACTCGCCTGCTTCAAAGCCGTCGTCTCTGCCAACTCCGATGTACTCCCACGTTTGGCTGGCGGAGTCGGAGTGCGAGGAGTTCAGCCCGGTATGTATGTCCACCAGTTGGTTGTGTAGGACCTCCTGTAGACAGATGAAGGCGTTCTGATGGCGGGTGTTATACTGTAGCTCGTTTAGGAGCAGCTGCCTCCGTTCTGCCCAGGGTCGCTCACCCTTGAAGGGGGATGAGGTTGCATAACGGATGTTGTGGGTCAGGATACGAAGGGGAAGCTTTGCTGCTAGTTTCATTATACAGCCGAGGGGACAATTTGGAAGATGCGATGTACTCTTACTGAAAAGAAAGTTGCTGTCTAAGAGGGTTGGTAATTCGACATCGAGGACGGTACCTGGTGAGTAGAAGAAGGGGGGGAAACCGGAGAATGCGGAGAAAGCTGAGGTCACTGCCGAAGGTCCGGTGATTGGACGTGCTGCATGATTCATTGTGCTGCGCCAGGAACTTGGAAGTTGGAGAGAGAAGCAAGATTAGGTAAAGTATATCCGGTTACTGATTCGAATGTTTAGAATGGGCAATTCGGCATTACAATGGGAACCTGCCCTTCTTTTTGACCATTTTTACCCCGTGGCGTGATATGCAAATAGCTAAGATGCGTGCACCAAGACTATCATCGTTCATTACTAGTTGGCCTTCTGAGTATGCCATCACCATGCGAGTCACAAACCCTCTACAGTGTTTGTAGTAGCTACGCACGTTGAGATAATGTTCGCGTTGATAGCTTCAAAGGTTGAGACAACACCAATTTGTCCAACGAATGCACTGATGACCCCGAAAGATAGCGCTTTGCAGTATCGTTCTACCAGGACGACGTCAAGGACTTGATACTCAGACTTAAAAGCCAGTGGCGTGCATTATCACCTCCTATACCTAGCTTGTCTCGCGCACGGATAGGGTGTAACGCTTCACCATCTGTGAGCCCTCGTACAGAATAAGTAGCACAGACAATTGCTCCAGTCTGGATACTCAACTCTTATGAAGACGACTGCGAACTTCGGAGTTCAAAGGTGACACTCTAATGGAATGAAAATTGCTCAGCCGAGTCCGGAGTCTCGTTGCATCAGGCAATCCTTTGTGGCGGCCTCATAAATCCAAGTCAGCTGATATGTACTCTGCCCACCTTCCGGAACCTCTTTGTCAGGACTAGCGATCATGGCGTTCACGACAATCGGGAGCGGGCACTGTTCGCAGTGTGCTGCCTCTCCTCCACGAAGGATTCGGGGCAAAATCCACCTGTCAAGTTGAAAACCTCACTTTTCCCTCGCTGTCCTCGTGGTTCTGACACCGCGATCCTGCAGGCGTGAAGCTGCTTCTATTTTGCGGCGCATGGAAGCGTATAACCGGGCTTGAATGGGCCATCGTAGCTAGGGGACACGTTCGCAAAAGGAATGAATGACTGAGCTTCGAGAAATGCATTTGGCTGGGCTAGGATGAAACATGGACTCCGTAAGCTGCCATCGGTTTAACCCCGCCGCCACGCGATACGGCTTCTATGCTTCTAGCCTTGCGCTAAAGAACATCCAACCCCAGTATATCAATGGCGATCCATTCGACATGTCTGTTCAATTAGCGTTCTCCACGAGTTCACCGCTCTTGTTTGCTGCGCCGCGATTTCGGAAGCATATTCGGTTGGTCCGCTTGGCAATGTGATCGCCGGAGGCTTTCGCGGTATTGGCTTGCTCTCTGATGAGGGACCGTTTTCTCAACGCGACGTATTCGGCTCTCGTTGGGCCTAAGCCCGGGGACTTAATGCGAGCTGATGTCCGGATCGAAGTCGAGCCCCAACCAATGGGGATAAAGAAGAGGAGACCGCTTTGTCGGGTTCGGCGAGGCGAAGACGCAGCCTGGAGCGCTGTGCCACCGCCAAAGGACGAAGGAATCGAGATCCTAGTTTTTAGAGTTCAAGATGAAACAGCCGACAAGAAGCAAAGTTCCGAAGCAAGCCCTTACAAGAACATGACTACCAGTCCTGTTGTCGGGAAGGTCGAAAGAGTGGAGAGATCAAGAGAGCAGTCGGACACGTATGTTTCGCTTGCTGGTCCACGAGGCAGTATGAAGGTGGTGCTGCATCTGCACCCTGATCCTGATGAGTGGCTCGAGCAACCAAGTATGTTGAGCATTGATTTTGATTGCGCCTTAACGGCATTTGTGCAGTGCTTGCTGAGGTGTCGAGACACTACATTACAGGCATTCGGGATGATTGATGATCTTCATCTTGGTGGCTGTTTGGAAAAGATGGATAATCCTTACTACAAGAGAAAAAGAAAAACATAGGAAAGGAAGGTAGAGCAGGTGAGAGGACATGGGCTCTCATGGTGGTCATGAATAGCGTGGCAGCCCAAAGGCCTTCTCGTGTTTGACACTGTAGGACTTCGCTGCAGGTCAGATTTTAGTAAAATGTGATGATAGGTTTTCGGCAGAGAGACCGCGTGAGGTTCGGAGTCGGAGTCGGGAGGCGGAGAGGTCGACGGGCGACAGGCGAGAGAAGAAGGCCAGCCACCATCGGAGCGGACGTGCGCTGACTGCAGCAAAATAGGTGGTTATTGAAGCCACGAAGAGCGCCATTCAAGCAAATCTTACATCCTCCTAGTAGTTATGGCCCCCATCTTCTTAATCTAGTTGGAGTAGGACTTCGATATGAGGCTGTTGTATCCATTCAAGCCGATCTGGTGCCAGTCTCCCTTCGCTTTACATCCTACACACGCTCGCAGCATAATCGTCAAAATCATTTGCGTGTCATGGTCATAGCTTCATTGATACAGAGTTGATGGAGATTCTGTCTTGGCCGGTGACCGTTCAATGGACCATCCTGTCTGCACGCGCACCTCCCCCGGCTCCAAGGCTAGGGCAGAGCCAGGCTGCTGTGCTTGCCCTGTGGCCTCCGTCCAGCAAAACCCAAGTCCTCGCATCATCGATCGCGAGGATTGAATCGATCCTGTTTCCGCCAGTGTCGCTTTCGTCTTCAGTGGTGCGGTACTGCCGCCAGTTGTTAGGGTCCGCATTGAACCCAGCAGATAGGAAGATCCATCCTTGGAGTGGTGGAGCGAGGTATTCGCGATGGTACGCAAAGGTTGGCAAAGACTCAGACTGCCACATAACGGCGCCAGAACCAATGCATTGGCCACAATCATTGCCGCTGTCCACTCAACAGTGAACCAAACCACAACCATCTTGCCGGCTTCATTGAAGTTGAGGAAATTGGTTCTCGCCAGAGTGACGGTCAAGATGATGGCAATGGCAACGGCGCTAATTAAGGCTCGGTTAGAGAAGTTGAAAGTTGCGATGAATGCTTTTCCGTTGCACGGCTGGAGGTATACATACAAAGCCCCGATCACATAGACACCAGCAGTTGCCAATCTCTGCGACCGCGTCAAGCTCGTTTTCAAGAGCATCGGTACAGGCAGAATAACGATAGCAAAACTCGTCGCAGCGTCAACAATACCAAGGCCTGACAAGACATGGTTGAGATTCACGCAATGTCCGACGCTTAGATGCGGAGTCCAGTTGTATTCGAATGGGTGGCAGGCCAGAAATGCAAGAAGGAACCCCGACAGGCTCCAGAAGGCACATATTGCCATCGTTATCCAGACAGCTGCCCGGGAATAGGTCGTTGGCGTAATGAAAACCTTCTGAAGGGCTTGCAACAGACTGCATTTCACCAGGCCTAGCCCTATGGTATATGCCAGCCGGATATAATAGATGCACTATGGGTCGGTCAGTACCCCGTCGCTCACCAACAGGGGTTGTTATACTGGACTATTTACCTTGAATGCAATGGTGAGCCGCCAAGCTGGGGTTTGTGAGATCGGGTAACCGATATGACCGATGGTCAAAGCTGAGCAGGAAACAGTGTCTGGGTTAGGATAATTGCGAGCCATCAGTAGATAGGTAGGTGAGGTGCCATACCGAGAAAGACTGTCACCGCGCTTGAGTAGTACAGAATCTGATATTGCTATATTAGCCCACTCACGATCCAGATAGGGTGATATAGCCTGGTTCCTACCAGCGATATAAGTGCGAGATATTCCGATGCTTGGAAGCGCTGTCTTCGCATGACCAATGTGTAGAACCGAAGCCCCATGGTCATGGTCACTAGAAAGAGACAGAAAGCCAACGTTATGGCAATGTCTTTCCCATCCCCGGAGAGCCCCGTACACTTGTCGACTGCATCCCTGAGAGCAAACATAACGTGTAGCGACGACTATGGGAGATCACTTCGTTCAGGATTGTGAGAGAAAAGGCGAGACATCGAGGGCTCAGCAATATTGGCTTCCGAGCTCGAGTAGCTGCCTGGCAAGGGGCGTGAGAAGGAAGAATAAAGAAAGATTAGCGGACCATGTCCGTATTAATGCCATCTTGTTATGTTATTAATCTTTTCGTTCGAGAATACCGCCCCCAAGCTCTTCTCAGAAATTGGGCTTTGTCGATGAGTAGGGCAAACGAAGAGCTGCAGCTAGGCGGATCACCTTGCAGCAGTCACACCCACGCGCGGGGCCGATGCTGAGCCACGAGGCCAGGCGGTGATTCCTTGCTTGCATGATGGGGGAATACTAGCATTTTTACTGCTGACAGCCGACAGGATTTCATTAATTTGACTCTCATCCCTTTGTTGAAGATTTCTAGCGAGAAACCCAAGACTGCTACCTAGGATTATGTCATACACCACGGAGTCTCCGGAGTAGATCCTTGCCAAAATCACGCGGTATGTTGTACAGGATAGTAAGCACAAAGATGTCTGACGACAGTACGAAGTTCTTGTTCTAGATGAAGGAGCGTGAGGCTCAGACAGAGAAGTATCCCACCCTCTACCCCGGCTAGAATACTTTGTTGGGTAAATAGTATCGGATATATATATTCAAGTTGTAAAGAGAAGCCTTCGGCCCGGGCAAATACTATTGCGCAGTTGATCTCCCCAACTCCGAGTCGCCGCCCCCGAATACTAGTACATCACAAACGCAGATTGAGGGAATAGTCGTAATATTCCTGGACAAGGTTCTGATGCATCTAAATGTTGACTATGTGGCTCGTACTTTAGGTAGACTCTTCTGCCATGCATGTTCATACCATCTATTAGGCGTAAAAAATTAAGCTTGGCAGAACAAGATCTCAGCCTATTGGCGCTGGCCTCGCTGAAACAACAACGAACTCACTGTCCAGAATTCAATTGCATGCGTGGTCAACGCCAATTGGCGCCTAGCAAATTAGCAGCGACAGGAAAGATGGGTTTCTGATCTTAAAGCTACAGTATAACTGACGAACAAGTGTTGATGAAAATTATCTAGGTCTGCATAGAAGGAAAGAATATGGCTCGGTTAACTATCCACCGTAGCATTCGTCAGGGCGATGAGGACGATCAGTGGCGACGAATGAGTGATGTCATGCACAAGCTTCAGCTCGACCTTGGGCTCATCACCCTAAAGAGATACACTCTGGGAATTGAAAGACAGGAGATGGCAAGCAATGGCTGGAAGCAATTGGGAACATACTTCCCAAGTCGAGCTGAAAAGCTCTTTGCAATGCGAAGCTTCTTTCCAAGGATGCCATTGGGCCTGGGAAAAAAGTGATGACGGCGGGCGGTCGGCCGTGGGACGGAAGGTATTGGCAGAACCAGCTGTTACCGAGCCCTACTGGTTGCCAACCTGCAAACCCCCACCATGATGAGGGCAAAACGCTGGCAAAAGCGGGCAAAAGCCCCCGCCGTGGTGGTTCGTAATGCGTAATACCAGCCAGCACACGACTTACTCCATCGAACGACTAGTCGAAGGTTCTCCAGCTTCTGTTCCAAGTCCATTTTCCCTTCTTCCCTTGAATATTCCGCAAGACCTACTGTCCCAAGAGTCCCTTGATTAGTATCATTTCCTCGTCCCCCGCGCGAGGATCCTCTAATAAGCACACAATGGCTGAGACTCAGACTCAGGCCCCCGAGGTCGGTATGTATTCACCGTGCTCAATACCTACTACCTAACCCCTCTTCCCTCCTACCAATTTAAAAAAGCTCCGGCGTTTGTGGGTTCCCGCTTGGTTTTCATCGTCATGGATCAGGCTGCTTTGGACGGACGGCGCTGCCAGCTTCAACCACCCTCAATCGCAACGTTCACCTGGCTGCCACAATTCTCTTCTGAACCCTAGCACATAATTTTATGCGGTTTCCGAATGCTTTCGTTCTTCGCGCGCCGACTAGCCGCTAACTGGATCGATCCTAGACTACACCCTCAACAACCCCGACACCTTGACCAAGTACAAGACCGCCGCTCAGATCTCTCAGAAGGTTCTCGAAGCTGTCGCAGGTGTGTTCGATCCCCCCGATGACTTCGTATGCAAGTTGTCGCATAGAATTCTGTCGTGCTAAGCCGATTTTCAGGATGGTGTGTTGAGGGAAGCAAGATCGTCGAGCTCTGCCAGAAGGGTGACCAGCTCCTCGACGAGGAGATTGCCAAGGTCTACAAGGGCAAGAAGATCTCCAAGGGTATGTCACCCCTCCCACCGAAACAGTAAGAATGTCGGTAGTTAACGCGAATCCGTCGTAAAAGGTATCTCCCACCCGACCACTGTCTCCCCCAACTCCTATGTGACTCCCTACACCCCCCTGGTGTCCGATGCCGCAGAGGCCGAGACCACCCTGAAGGCTGGTGAGGTTGTCAAGATCCAGCTTGGTGCTCAGATCGATGGCTTCGGAACCATCGTTTGCGACATGGTCATTGTTGCCGACAGCAACTCCTCTTCCGATGAGGTGACCGGCCGCGAGGCTGACCTCATTCACGCCACCCACTACGCCAACGAGCTTCTCATGAGACTGCTGGTCCCCGCCGGTCTTCTGGCCAGCGGAACTGAGGAGGAGAAGCAGAAGGCTGCCGCCCAGAAGCCTTACACTCAGGCTCAGATCACCCAGCTCATCGAGAAGGTTGCCAAGACCTACGACTGCAATGTTGTTGAGAACACCACCAGCTGGCTGTTCCAGCGTAACGAGATCGAGGGTGAAAAGAAGATCATCCTGGCCCCCGGCACTGGTGTCAAGGGCGAGGGTCTCCCCGACGTCGGCGAGGTCTGGGGTGTTGAACTCGGACTGTCCCTCGGATCTGGAAAGGTCAAGACTCTTCCCCTCCGTGCTACTCTGCACCGCCGTACCACCACCACCTACGGTCTTAAGCGTCCCAGCTCCCGCCAGACCCTGTCTGAGGTTGTGAAGAAGTTCGGTACCTTCCCCTTCAGCTTGCGCCAGCTGGATGACGAGAAGGCCGCCAAGGTTGGTGTTGTCGAGTGTGTCCGTGGTGGTGTTCTGAGACAGTACGAGCCCGCTGGTGATGCTGACAACGCTGCCGTGTCCCGTGTCTTGTCTACTATCGGTATGCCTTGTCTCTGCCCGCGTAGTATCAGCTTGCCGTGATAATTAGGGCGGTTGCGATTGAGAACTGAAACTGACCTTTTTCGTAGTCATCACCAAGAACGGTATCACCCGTCTTGCCGCTCCCACCACCCCCGATCTTACCAAGTTCAAGACGGACAAGAAGATCGAGGACGCGGAGATCCTTGAGATCCTTGAGCGCCCCTTGGCCAAGTCCACCGGCTCCAAGAAGAACAAGAACAAGAAGAAGAAGACCGCCAAGAAGGACGACTCCAACGACGATGAGTAAACGCATCGTTGCATCGGGCCTCACTTGACGCAATTCCGGGACCATGTTTTGGCTCACATGATTGCATATGACAACTGCTCGGGGTGAGATTTTGGTGGCTCCAAAGCCCTGGCCATGCCCGCCCTGATGGTGCTTTGTTTTGAAGTTGAAGCCAATTGGTTCTTCTCAAAGATCGGAGAGTTGTCGGAATGCTGAACACCAGAGACAAGCCTGGCGGGAGAGATCTCTCCCTCGCAGTTCCCTGTTGAAAACATGTTGTCACATAATCTATTTCAAAAAGAGGAAGAGTTGTATATGTCCAGTGAAACCAAGCCAGATACAGAAATGAACTTCACGATAGCTGCTGCCAGCTGATTTCTGCTGAATTCTCGGATCTCTAGCTCCTCATTTCTATGCTTAGCGACTAAACCAGTCTCATATAGATCAAAGTAAGCGGCCTTCAAGCCTTCGAGACTCGAAGGCGAATGCTCTTCTAGTACTGTGTCTCCGATCTTTGCTTCGGATAGGATAGGATAGGATAGTGTTGAGCACCACCCCCGCTCCCTTCACATTCACTCCATTTCTGCCCTATCCTCAGGATCTTATTGTTGAAATCCACCACCGAGCTGCGCCTTATCTCCCTCTACTGGGATGGATAGCTACGAAATCTCCAGGATAATCGGTGGTGGTCCGGTTCCTGATCATCCGGTCAACCGATCAAGCATCGCCCCCCAATGCTTCTACCCCCCACACAACGACAACAAGATCGGGGTTTCCTTCAGTGCCAGGAGAATACCGCCATTCTGAAAAGCACAGATGCCTTGTTGCAGTGAACTGTAGGAGATTATTCCGAAGTCCTCAAGTGGTGTACATATTACCGGCCGATGGGCCACGCCACTAGAGAACAGCCAGGCATAAGGTATTCGAGTCGGAGGACCAAATGTACGCGATGTGCCCAGCTTTTAGGGATCTGTAGAATGCAAGAGCCTCGCTTGTTCGATTTGCGTGGACGTGTTGAGTCGTTGAGCGTCAGGATCCAGATGGACAGGGGCCAAGGAGGCAGTGGGCCAGACTGAAAGAAGAACCCGACTGACTGCTTTTTCATTCCCCGAACCTCTCCGTCTTTTTTAACACTTCCCTCCCCCATCCCTCTTACATCCAGACTTGCAAGCTTGTGTTGCAGACTTGAGATTTCGTTCTGGTGTTGGTGTTGCTGCTTGCCGGGTGAATAAGACGTCTCTGCTCCCTCCCTCCATCTCCCTCCCTCTCTCTCTCTCTCTCCCCCTTCGACTCGGCCCACATCCTTCTTCAACCCCGATGTCCCGAGACTTCCTCAATCACCAACAGTAACACTCTTGTCTTCCTCTTGTCCAAAGCAGACTTTCTGCTTTTCTTCTTCCTAGGTTCTGCTTGAACTTTTCAACACATCTTCCACTGCATGTATCCTGCTTCTCGCTGGCTTAAAAAGAGTCAAGCTACACCTACTCCCTCGCCCGTCTTGCACGGCGACACCAAAGCCTTTGCAATCTTCTGTTATACACTTAAGCTGTTTGAGAGCATTATTTCGAGACTGCTTGCATCTATCTCGGCATTCAGAGCTGCTACACGTCGCAAGCCATCCGGTGTTGCTGCCACTACACGATTCTCCCTGCATCACACGCTTTTCTACCTGGCTGTGTTCCCTACTCTTTCGCGCCTCTTACTCACATCCTAAATCCATTGTACTCGAGACTAAGACTTTCTAAGGCCCTGCTGGACGCGTCCTTGGATCTTCTAGTTTCGCTCTCTACTAGAGAAGCCGCTTCGTGCTTGTCAGACATTGTCCTCTTTTCGTCTGTTGACCTCGAGACTTGGAAAGTCAACTCGACCGTCCTCTTCTTCTGATTTCCCAACACTTTCAACATATCCTCGATATTGAGAGGCCCCTCGCGTCTGACGCGCAGCCCTTATCTCTCTATTTGTGATCAACGGATCACAGCTTTGGAACTTCGTCTTGCAGACTTGCTGTCGCGTGATCATTACCTTCACTCATCTGCTCCCTGCGTGAGTCTTCTTGTTTCTCTACCTAGACTGTATCAGAGGAGTCCTTGGACCTGCGTGACTTGAGGACGTTCTGTCTCAAAATCTCAAGTTTGATGTTTACTTGTTTCCATTCTTGTGCAATCACTTGTGAATTCCCTATCCTTGAACCTTCCGCCGCCGCCACCATTCTCATTCTTACTTTCCTCTGTGATACAGAGTGCTCTTGTGGTTGAAAATCTGTTTCTTGCCCTGACTCATTGACTTCTCAAAGTCAACACTTAACCTTGTTGCCTCAGCTTCCGCGACTGGATCGTGACTTCGCCAGAGGGCTTGGTCGGAATCTTCAGTGGCAGACAGAACACATAGAAAGCTCTTTACTCATCAGACCCTACCTTGGTAAGTCACTATCCCGAGTCGCGAATTGCAGCGCCAACTGCTTTCGTACGCTTTCCCAACCCTCTGTCTTATGCTAGACGGAGCAGTTATCTTTTCTTGATGATTCTGCTCAAGAAACTTTTTCCCTTCAGCATGTAGACATACAGGCTGCTCATGTGAATAGCTCTTTGGTCCTAGTCGTTAGGACTTCATCGTGGGCCAATATTGTTGGTTGGGCATCAGCGTTGGCGAAAAGCCTTGGGGACCAAATCGTTACTGACCAGAACACAGGGCTAACTGCTCCTTTGAGCAATTCTCAGATTAGTACCTCGAGGATCGCCAATCTGCTGCTAGCCTCTAAGCTGCTAGTGATATTGGCCGCGCAACCGAATTCAACTTGTCTTTGTACAGGTGACTGGAAACCTAAGGCTGTGCCCTACACGGCCATTCTACGCTCGTGTGCAGAGACCTGTAGCTAAGAAGCTGCCAAGAGGCAGTATCTATCATCAAAGGTAATTTCCCCTACATAAAACTACTTTTCGGACGTTTCATCGCTAATCATTTCCTTTTCGTAGGGCTAACGAGCCACCTTTCGTGGTTGTGGCAGCTTCCGCAACAAACCCCTTAGGAGCCTGGTTGGGGTTCCTCGAAAACTTCCGGGCGAACTCCGCGGTCCTTCTTCCTTTCTTCAACCCGCAGACTGCGCGCGGGCTGGCCTCGATTCCAACCAGCCACGCTGGGCACGCTCGGTGTTCGCTTGGAATCTTTTAACCTGGTAAGTATTGTTCTCACATGATTTCAAGCTGTTTTTAAAGTCTGTCGTCACTCCTCAGCTAACCCAGCGTCTGCAGCCGTCGCACCTCTCGAGCCCTGTCTACAGCGATGGCTCCGACTCTCCGCTCCTCTTCCTCCCGTATTCACTCCCGACCCACCACACCATCTGATGCGCCGATCATGGCGAGTACAAATACTTCCGTCCCCGAGTCTACAAGGCCCAGCAAACAGCGGCGCACGGGCAGGAACACTCGCGAGACCACCGACCCCCCACAGAACGCGCCGGAGCAGCAAGACAATGGAGGCAAAGACTGGGCTGAGCCCCCTGCTAGAGTGCCGGCCCCTAGTTATGTGGATAGCCCATGGTCAGGTCACTGTGACAGTCGCAACCCGGTTCTGAGCACAATGCGCCCATTGGGGGCTCGCCCCTCGCCGGCCGACTTGCGGAAGGTCGGCTTGATGCCCAAGCCTGTTGCACCCATAATACCTGCCAAAAGACGGTCTGGCGTCGAGTCCAACGAGCCCGCCCCACAAAAGCCCAAGCCGCTCATCGATATTTCGGCTTTTGGGACAATCCCCATACCCACTTCGGCGGACATCAACGTGGAGAAGCTCAAAGTGGCTGTCAGAGAGGCCCTGCGCCTGGCAATAGAGACCGACAACCGTCCAGTAAGTCGCGGGCTCCTACGCCTGTGGGAATCAAGTGGCAGTGATCCCTTCTTGCTATCTGTGTTAGAGGGTGTATGCCAAGGAAATCCTGGCTCGCGCGAGAAGTCAGCGTTTCAGAGCGTCATGCGGGCCGCCTGGGATGAAATCAAAGCAGAAGAGGCTCTGGCGCAGGCAGAAGAAGAAAAAGAAGAAGAAGAAGCAGAGGTCGATTCAATGCCAACTGTGCCTCGTGCTCGGTCAGCTAGTAGCGTATCATCCTTATCTTCGTTGAATACATTCGAGGACGCCGATGCAAATGGGGTCTCGGCACAGCTCTCTGAGTTGGCCCCTGGATTGAAGGCTTCCCACGCAAAGGGCAAACACACCCGCTCTGCGGGCATCCACAAAGGCGCAACAGATCTCACAGCTCGCCATTCCATGCCCCCAATCACGGTCAGCTCCCAGCTGAAACATGCTTTGGAAGAGGACGATACACGGTCCGAAGAGCTAGACAGGATAGACAGGGTCAAACGAATCAAACTCCAAACCCCACTGCCAACCATCGTGCCCCCTGAAAGTCAAGTCAGGCCTTCGCATCCAACTGATATTCCAACCCCAGTCCGCTCACCCACTCCACCTTTTGTGCACCCTTCGGCACCAACACCTCCTCCAGCTCCTTCAGCTGCTCCCGCCACCTCAGCCGCTTCGGTTCTACTAGGCCCTTCCACAGCCTCTTCAGGAGAGAATGCAGAAAGCCTTCCTGAGAGCCGAGCTAGTAGTGAAGCTGGTGACAATCGTCGACTCACGCCGACCATGGGGTAAGCCCTGCGCCCCTTTCTTACCCCTTCTTATGTACTACTGATATGTCTATATGCTGACATGCTTGCAGTGATGATAGCGAGTCCGAAGAGGAAAGACCTGACAACGATGAGGTCTGCCATGAGTGCAACAACATAGGCAATCTTCTTTGCTGTGATGGTTGTACTAACTCATATCACTTCTCATGCCTGAAGCCCCCACTAGATCCAAATAACCCTCCGGAGGGGGATTGGTATTGCCCCAAGTGTGCCATGAGACGGTCATTTCGCTCTCTGAGTAGCAAATTTGATCAACGTTTTGGCAAGAAGGAAGTCAGGGATTTTCAACTTCCAGCACGTATCCGGGATCATTTCACTGGTGTCAGGGTGAACAAGAAGGACGGTCAATCATACGAGGCCATAGTCCCCATGCCGAAGCCGAAGGGGCGACGAGGTTACCGCAGCGGCACCTACGACGATTCGCATCTTTTCAGAACCGCGGACGCGCTAGGAGCGCCCATCTTCTGTTTCGCATGTGCAGGCAGTGCCGCTAGCGGGCGGCCTGTTATGCAGTGCGATGTTTGCCCTCTCGGTTGGCACATGGACTGTCTCGATCCGCCTATGGCCGCGCCCCCAGCCCAGGTCCCAGGCAGTGATCTTGCGTATCACAACTGGATTTGCCCAAACCATGCATGGCATGATTACGTCTACGTGATCAAGGACGAAGAAGGCTATGATGTTCACAGGCGCATTCGCCGTCCAAAGCACCCTCGGATGGTCGACATAGACGTTCTCCTCTCCGATGACGAAGTCACCCAACTGGAAGAGCAGGAAGAAGGCAGCATTCGGTACCGCGTGTCAGAGCATGGACTCAAACACACATTTATCACCCAAGTTAAAAGGCCAGTAAACCCTACAGGCTGTCCTCCGGCTACCCATACTGACTCCGCGGACAGGGAAAATGAGGAGTATAAATTGCTGAAAGCCAATGCGAACAAATTCCTTCAGCAGGCAAACGCAGACTTCGCCAAGATCATGTCAGGCGCCCGCGCTGCCTTCCCAACGCAAACACCCTCGGTGGCCGACGAGCCTGCAAGCATCACGATTTCAAACTCTCGCACGGCTGCCGAACGCCAGGCTGCAGTCAATCTTGTCGAATTTGCTCAGCGGGAGCACATCGGCCCTCCAGATGTCAGTGACAGGATGAGCTTGCTCATCGATCAACTCCGTGCCAACGCTCCAGAAATTCGTCCCTCAGCAGAGACGGAGGTGGCGTCATTACAAGCCCTGAAGGCTCTCATAGACCGGCGCATCCAGGACTTGTCGGCTCAATCTCAACAGTCATAATTTACTAGAACTTGGCCATCGCCATGGTCTCAACTTCAGGATCAACATCCAAGCAATCAAAGAACGCTCGAGAGGCGATTGCTTGTTCTCTTTCATAAATTCGCACACAGGCTATGCATATCTAGCCATGATGACGATCTGATACGATGTTTTGTTTATTTTTTTTTCTCGCTTTTACAATATTTTTAACAGTGAGTTATCCTTGTAACTGAACCATTAGTTTCGTCAAGCCGCGCCTAACCCAATTACCACCAGGCTTTGGCTGCAAACAGGGCCACGAAAAAAACCATTCAGCTCAAAGCTGCAGACACATGCCTAGCCTTCAAGGCATGTGTACTATCTAGTACTTCCCCAATCTCAGGCGTATCATGAACTCTTTGCATTGGCTACCAGGTTTTGTTTTCTTTTCTTTTTGACGACAGGTTGAATTTTACGGACGTCCGGCGTTTTACGGCTGTCATACATGGCGATTCTATTATTTTTTTCATTCATTTAAAGAAGGTGCATTTCCCTTTCACGTCTGCAAGGAGGGCAGACAGGGAGGGGAATATATGGATTCTGTTACTATATTATTATCATCTTGTGTTCCGCATCTCTCGGATAGTTGTGTTTTGTCTCTGTATTCGCCGATTGATTTCCTTCGTCTCTGGTTGCATCACGAACCGCATGGATATTGTTTCTAAACTAGCAGATTGCATAAATGAAGGTCCGCCCTTGGGGGTGAATAGAATATTCACTGTCGCTTTAATTGACTACGTACGTAGTTTCGGAGTTGAACTATCGAGCGCATCTCTTCCGCCGGTTAAAGCATCGACCACTGGAGGAAGTCTATTCCCGCCTCCCTTGCGTTTTTCAATAAGCGGGTCGGGATAAGGGGATATTGATAGACTCCGGCAGCAGTGCGAGACCAGGATACTTATATGAAATACTACTAGACGTACGACGATCGCTGGTCGTGGCTTACTTTTATTCAGGTTCAAAGGAGTCTTTATTGCAGTCAATTCCGATCCAGCGCCAAGCTCGTTGTCAAAATGGAAGAGAAGACAGTACAGTATAGGTAGGGTTACAGTATAGTGCAAGCACAAGCACAAGGACAAGGACAAGGGAACGGTGCAGAATAGCAACTCTCTATATCAATGATACTATGACAAGAAATCGGAAAGCAGGCTGACACGCTTCGGATAAAGTTCAGGATGTTTTTGGTATGGTCGGTATGGTTTACAAGATGGTTTGGTAGATCTCTTGGGTTGCTATGGCATGTCTTCCTGGCATGAGTGGTTGGCCAGATACCATGTGAGGGTGGTGTTGGAGGAGACGTCCGCTGCGTATGAAAGGAGGGCCTGAAGAACGTCGGGATTTCAAAGGAAGGGGCGCGCGCGCGTGTGTGTATGCAACCCGAATGAGAAGCGGCCGTTGCTGCCCTATATTCATTGGAGACAGGAAGCTCACAAGAACTTCTTGGGCATGTTGTTGCGGCGGCGTTTGTAGAGGACATAAGCACCGGCAAGGAGACCCTGGAAAGCGATGATGCAGAAGATGAAGAAGCCCATGCGGGGAGCGGAAGAAGTAATGCCTAGGTAGTAATCGTGTTAGTTTGAAGTTACCGTGTAAGCGGCGAAGGAGGCTGCTCTTTTATCATGGGAAAGGAAGGGGAAAGCTGCGTACCGTTCAGAACTTCCTGGGTCAAGCTCAAGTGCGACGAGCGCAGAGTCTCCTGTAGTTGAGAGAAGCGGCCGTGGTAGTCTTTGCCTTCCAAATCCCGTTGGATGGCCTTTAGAATATCCTCCATCTTCTGGAGTCTGGCTTCGAGCTGGGCCACTTGGTCCTTGGTAGCTGACTTTTGGAGCAGCTCAACGTGACGATTCTCGCTCTTGGCTCCCTGGTTACCAATCTCGCGGACAATGTTGTTCGTAGCATGGTTGATCAATTGAATGCGACTGGTAAGGTCGACGAATTGCTCAGTTACCGAGCGAGAGTCACCCGAGCGAGCCCCCTGCTGCTGTTGCTGCTGCTGAGCTCCTTGATCCTGGGCAGCGACCGGTTGCTGGTTCTGATTGGCATTCTGTTGCTGGACAGGGATAGTGCTGCCCGTGCCGGACTCGGCGGACTTGACAACAAACTTAAAGACTTCGAAAGAGTCGGGATTCTCGGGGGTGGCAGCGGTGACACCAAAGTAATTGCCAGCTGGAAGAGTGACCTGATAGCCGTCAGCCACAGGGGTCTTGATGGGAGCTGCAGGGCAGGAATACCTTATCGGTCGAAAAGCACAGCTTGTCGTCAACAGTAACCTCCAGGACTGCATTGGTGTGCTTGATACGGACGCTAGAAGGACGCCCAAGGTTGCGGTATGGATAGTCACAGTGCCCGAAAGCTAGACTGTCCACGCTTCTGTGACTCTTGTAGTCCGTCGTGCCATCATTGAGAAATCCTCTAATACTGCCTCCCTGTTTGCATGTCAGTTATGCTTACACTTATAGGAATAAGTTAGAGACATACCCTTCCACCATGGCTGTCAATGACGAGGGCAAAGCCGTCGAATTGATTGACAGTATAGATGCTCGAAGTGCCAATCTTATCCTTCCCATCCTTCGCATACCACACCTGGAGATTACCACCGCCACGTTCGGGGCCTGTCGCTCGGAATTCGAACTCCGTGGTCCATTCTGATTGAGTTACACTGGGGAATATAAGCACGAATCCATCCGACTGGGGATTTATGGAAGACTTACGGAGACTCCGCCCAGGCATATCCTCTTGTGTTTCCAGGGTAAGGGGGCGTAAGAATTACTTTGTTAGACAGCTGCCATGCAGTCAGTGTCTGGGAGAGCCAAGATATTTTCGCAATTGACACTGGGACAGAACCATACAATATCAGGGGTATGCGCCTCGCCCTTCACTTGCCAACCCGGGATGAAACCTGAACCCGGCGTACGTGACAGCCTACAACGACGTCAGCATTAGTAACCGAGTAAGGCACAGCGACGGAGCAAGGAGAAAGGGTCTGTACGCTGGGCCATAACCAAAGCTCGAGCTTTCAATCACGGATTGAGCGGTCGCAACGGCGAGAAAGGAAAAAAGTGAAGCGGGGGTCTTCATGACGTCGATTCAATCGGAGGTACGTAGAGGTTCGGGGACGCTGTGACCAGGTTTCGAGGCAACAACTGAAACAGGGAAGTTCAAAGAAAGAATTATTGAGGATGAGACGCAGATAAAGACCAAGAATAAGGACCCCAAGCAAGATAGCTCAGCTGAGAAAGGACCAAAGGAGCTGCTGCGCCAGATGTATCAGCGGGAAGATCGTCACTGGTCAGAAGGAGCTCTGCGGTTCAACAATGCGGAGACAATGCGCGTAGTGGTCCACCCAACCACAATGGCAATCACACAAACACGAATTTCCTTCGCGATAGAAGCAGTAGCAGGAGAGATATCGAGTAGATGACGGATTTCCACCGAGGAAAGAACGTGCGAATGACGGACTCCAAAGTCCGAAGCGGTGGCCAAGTCCATTCTAATGGAGACTAAATAAAGTCATGGGGGGAAAAGAGGGGGAAAAAACAATTAAGGGACAAACTGGCCTTTCATTCCCTCTCCGTCCCTGACCGCCGTCATCACGTGCCCGCATCCCCCCCGGATTGGTACCATGGACCTCCTCCAGCTTCAACTCATCCTCATCTGCCTTCGGTCCTAATTCCACTCCTCTGCTTCGATTTTCTCTCTTGTCTCCATTCCTCTTCCCGCCTCTGAGAGCGCGTCATGCGCAGTCCCTCCAATGGCTGAGCTCTATCCTTCATTGGCCCAATGCGCCATCGTCGCGACGGCCTTCAAGATTCTTCTTTTCCCCGCATAGTACGTGGTCGGCAAGAGTTCCCCGACGATCTTCTCCAACCGGTGCTGACCACCGAGTACCGTTCCAGTAAATCCACAGACTTCGAAGTGCATCGAAACTGGCTTGCAATTACGAATTCCTTGCCCGTGCAGGAGTGGTACTACGAGGTACGGCGACAGCGCCATCGTTGGAGACCGAGTAAGGAAGCTAATAGCAGTCAATCGCGGTTAGAAAACGTCGGAATGGACCCTCGATTACCCTCCCTTCTTCGCAGCCTTCGAATGGCTTCTTTCACAAGCAGCTTCCTATGTGGACCCTGCGATGCTGGTGGTGAAGAATCTCAATTATGATTCGTGGCAGACAGTATACTACCAGAGAGCTACGGTGATTGTCACGGAGCTTGTCCTTCTGTTTGCGCTCAGCAGGTATTGCTTCTATGCATCTACTAGTTTGTGATGGTATTTCAGCTGACCATGTCTACCCTGTCCTGAAGATTCGTCAAATCCGTGCCTCAGCAGAACAGACACCTTGCGCATATCGCCAGCTTGTCCATCCTCTTGTCTCCCGGCTTGCTTATCATTGATCACATTCATTTCCAGTATAACGGCTTCTTATACGGCATCTTGATCCTGTCTATTGTTCTGGCGCGCAAGCAATCCACGCTGCTTTACAGCGGCATCACTTTTGCTGCTCTGCTGTGCTTCAAGCATATCTACCTCTACCTCTCGCTCGCCTACTTCGTCTACCTGCTGAGAGCCTACTGTCTGGATCCCAAGTCCGTGTTTCGGCCCCAGATCTTCAATACTATCAAGCTTGGGGTTTGTGTCGTGGGAATATTTGCTTTGGCATTTGGTCCATTCGCCTCATGGGGCCAGCTTCTCCAGCTGAAAGACAGACTCTTCCCGTTCTCGCGAGGCCTGTGTCATGCCTACTGGGCGCCAAATGTCTGGGCAATGTACTCGTTCGCGGATCGCGCTCTTATCCCACGTGCGTACTCACTTTTGAAGCATATTTTGTTTAATTGACTGACCTTGTTTTCTAGTTGCCCCTCGCTTGGGACTTCCGGTCAACCAGGATGCTCTGACCAGTGTCACGCGCGGCCTTGTTGGTGACACCTCGTTTGCGATACTTCCAGAGGTGTCCAAAGAGCATACATTCGCACTGACATTCATCTTCCAACAGGTAAATACTCCGTAACTTCCACCAAGAGAGCGATCATACTGATTGCCATACAGCTACCGCTGATCAAGCTCTGGCGCCGGCCGGACTGGGAGACCTTTGTTGGCGCCATTACGCTGTGTGGCTACGCGTCCTTCCTTTTTGGCTGGCATGTTCACGAAAAAGCCGTGCTGCTGATCATCATCCCCTTCAGCCTCATCGCGCTCAAGGACCGGCGGTACTTCAGCGCCTTCCGACCGCTGGCGGTAGCCGGCCATGTTTCCCTGTTCCCACTGCTCTTCACGGCCGCCGAATTTCCCATCAAGACCGTCTACACCATCCTCTGGCTTGTACTTTTCCTCTTTGCCTTTGACCAAGTGGCTCCGGTTCCAGAGCAGCGTCGTGTGTTCTTCGTGGATCGCTTCTCGCTGCTCTATCTCACGGTGGCTATCCCGCTCATTGTTTACTGTTCCATCGGACACCAGCTCATTTTCGGTCTGGGACGCTATGAGTTCCTTCCGTTGATGTTCATTAGCAGCTACTCTGCTCTCGGGGTCGTCGGTAGTTGGGTCGGATTCCTGGTGGTATATTTCACGGCATAGCTAAAAGGGCGTGTGCCAAGTTAATTTCCCATAGCTACAAAGCAATAAAAAGGTTTCGAATACGGTCATAGCCTCTAGATTATCCCAGTTCACGAAACCATCCCGATGCGAAACCTATAAATGGCGTTCGACAAGGTATACAAGCACAGCGTGGAAATCAAGACGGCACTTCCTGCACGGAAACAAATCCGCGGTTGAGCGAGACAAAGCGAAAACGACAGACAGTGTTTGCACCGTTTGTCCCCATCCCACGTGCTTCTTTTTCTTGTCCGCGACCCACACCCCCCTTCGATCAGGCAGTTTTGCAAAGTTTATCAGCGGCTATCAAGCCTATTCGGGCTTAGCCTGGCTGGATCGCGTCCATGGTATGTCACACTGCAGATGGAAGCTTTGGAGGAACAGCTAGGCAACCTGAGCTTGGGATGGAGCTGGGGCACTTTGGGAATTTGGTTGGCGGTGTTGGCGAGCAAGTGGCTTTACTTGATGGGCTTGGTTGGTTTTGTTTTACTTTTACCTTTTTTTGTCGTTTTCTGGAGAGGTTGCTGTAGGTTTGTTTTCTTGCTTGGGGTTCCGGAACGCGATGTGGCTTGGCTTAGTGTCCGGTTTATACTTCGGGATGTAGGTGGCCGGAGGCGAGAGATCAGATGGACTTTTTGGGAGGTATAGCTGCCATGGTTGTTTGTGGATTATGGAAGGGTGCCGGCTATATTTACCTAATTGATGTTTTGTTTTTCTTTTTTCCTTATTGTAGAAGTTTCGTGTTTAGTACCTAGATATGGATTTTTGTGTTCTGTCGCCACTGAGTAGCTATTGCTGACATTGAGCCAGTCAAATTTTTGAATAAGTCATTGTTCCCCTTGCTTTTGAGAAAAATAATATTTACGACTCACTTGTTCTACTATATATTCTGACATAATGTGGTCTCTGTTGTTATGTAGCCCCGTTGAGCGCTTCGACGCAGCGCTCAACGCCACCTGCCTTTGCATTGATACACCCTGATGTTCCTGCTGCTATCACCTGGATCTTGTGTTACTTTATGCATGGCTGTTACAGTATAGGGATACTACGTCAGAGATTCAAGGAATGACTCCAATCGCTGCCAAAGGCGATATCTCAAGCGAGTTGAGCCAACGCCATGATAAGGCATAGACTACTCTCAAATGTGCCTCGCGACAAGAAACACTGAATGCCGTTGTACTTCAATGAAAGAGCCAGTGACATAGGGCGCAGTGTAAGAGAGTGAGACTATCCAGTAAGGCACTGGGTGCTCTATTGATCAGCCCGGATTGTCATGTACAAGCCCTTCGAACTACAGGACTACACACGAACTCTGCCACAAGTGACGCGCAAAGGCTTGTCTGGAAATTTCGAAGAGAAGAAACTCTAAACAGTAGATATCCAAGCATAAGCGCTGTGATTGTGGGAAAGTGTTGCATGGCTGTTTCCGATTGCGAAAATATAGCTTCGTTCAGGGCTTGTCATGCGGTACCTGCGGACGTTAAGCATAAAGTGACTCCATACAAAGGCGAGTCAGCTGTTCTTATTCCAAGGACAATGTTTCTATGCCAATGTAGGTCGAAAGAACGGTGGCGTGGTTGTCGAGAGTGACGTAGAAGTCTACCTGTGGACCCGAAGACCACTGTCGGTACCCGAAGTGATCTATGTAGTCGCGTGCCTGTTGGAATGGATTGCGATGAGGGTTACTACATGGTGACTCTCGGCCAGACGAGTCAATTTCAGGATATAGAGTAGCGAGTGGATGTGATGCGGGTGATCTGGGTATATCATGCGAATATTCGAGGCGCAAGCCCAGAAGTCGTAGCTGTCGGATATTGACCGGGTGTATGGTCCCCGCAGTCGGGTCCAGATGGGACTATGGGATTTGCTCGAGCGCGACGAAAGGAGGGATTTAGGTGATACCTAGAGTCACTCAATATGTTCGCGTGAAGATGAGGAGTCGAACAAGTGCAAATACGTGTAGGAGAGATGGTTGGGGGAGGCATCGACAGCGGGCAACAGCAGCGAGGGCTTGAAGGGGAGAGGGAGTGGGAGAAGGGAAAGAGAGCAGGCGATTTACCCCCAAAGAGGATTAGCGGGGAGTTCTTTACCCCTACGCAGTTTGACGCAGTTTGTTCCAGTCCGCCCGACCCGACGTCTTGTCCGTCCTCTCTTCCTCCTCCTCATATCCAATCACCGCCTTCCGTTCCGCGGCGGCCCTCCCTCCCCACCCACTCAGGCTCACTCACTACAAGCAGCACTGCATTTGCTGGGCTGCTCTTGTACTGGCGTCTTTGCCGCAATGATCCTCCACTGCATGGGGCCCGCTTCAGTTCTGCCGTTCGTTCTTCTGCGGCGACCGCTTCTCCTTTCTGCCTTGACCTCTTCTTCTTCTCCTCCTCCTCCTCCTCCTCTTCTTCTCATCCTTCTTTCTCTTCCCTCTCCCTCCTCTCCCTCCACACGCTTTGCAGCCTCGTTGCTCAACACCACCCCCACCATCGCATTCTCCTCCCCGCACCACAGGGCCTCTTTTGGGATATCGCTTTCCCGATTCGAGATCGGCAATCCACTCCCGGACTTTCGCGCGACTCCACGCTCTTCCCGAGTTCAATTTCCGTGTCGTGATCCGCCCACCAAGTCCGCGGAGTCGTGGGTTGCGCGATTTAGCACGCGTCGTTCCGGTAAGTCCTTCACATACTCCTACAAGTTACCTCCAATGCCCAGTCAGCACTTCCGCATCTCCGAAAATGTTCCCAGTCCTTCGCAAGCTACGTCAGATCTACTGTGCGCGCGCAACGATTCCGATGTACCATCCTTCCTTTGTCCCGCCGCTAATAGCACCTCACTTTGTGTTCATTGTCTTTCTATATTCTCTTTGTCTCTCAACATTGGGCTTTTATATTGACTAGACCATATAATGTTAGGCGTGTTCCCCAACCTGCAAATCCTCATCCCATCTATGGTCGACCGATTCGTGTCTTCAGCAATCTAAGAGACCATGGTACGTCGGAAAGCTCGAAAGCGCGAAGCCTGGGGATAATTGGGATCTTGGATGTGGTCGCAGGAGATCACAAGTGAAACTTACGCCGTTCTGCAGGTCTTGTTCAAGCGGAAACCGGTTCAGTACCTCCCACGACCCGTCATTGAAGATGACAGCTCCGAGGTACGGGCAGCCCTCAACAACAATTCTCGGCGGAGTGTGCGCATGGTTACTTACCGGAATTGCAGGTCTGGGTCATTCCGGAGACCAACGAGGTCTTTGTTCACTATGAACCCTATCTCCAGCGCATGGACTTCTACAAGCAGAAGCGCTTCATATGTGAGATCACGGGCCACTCGGGATTAACTTTCTTCGAGGCTCTAAAAAGCGAGGTATGTGACAATAGTCAAGCGGCTTTTTGCTACTTCCGCTAAAGAATGCATCAGATGGAAGAATCGCGGGAAGTCAATAGTGCCTTTCCCGATGCTCTGAAAGAGCCCATTCTCCGCCGGATTCAATTTTCCACAGTGTCGCGGGTCGACAATCTCGGTTCGTCCGCACCTTTTTTTATCTTATTTGCTATTGCTGTAACTGACAATTGTTTGGCAGTGGATGAGATCTTCGAGGTATATTCAATCGGGAACCACTTTCAACCATGGTTTAGGATGCTGATCCGGTTCGCAGGAATTCAAGCTAGACTTTTATCCAGGGGAGCCTGTTCTAATACTTCTCGACGATAACACTCGGCTGCACGGCATAATAAGGGACAAGGCCAATTTTGCTGAACAACTATACCCGGATGGAACCGTCAAAATGCCCGCCCACAGCATGTACCTTGTGAAGGTTCTGGACCGCCCGAATGAAGAAGCTTTGCTGGATCAGGACCATATTACCCGTGACCGGAAGACTTTCACCAAGCAGATGCTGCGCGCCTTCATCAAGAATAATGTGACGAGGGAATCGTGGAACGGGGCTCCTTGGTTGGTGAAATCAACGATCGCCGATGAATACAGAATCCCGACCGAAGTACCAAAGCATTTGCAGTATGGCGCCAAGGTTGCTGAAAAGAAAGCCATGAAAAAGGCCGACCAGGAGGGTTTCTTCGGCTTCTTCGCTTCGCAGCAACTTCCGGAGCTAAAACCAGCAGTCAAAGGGCAAAAGCTCAAGCCATCACAACAGGATTTAGCTCGCTCGAAAGAAGCCCAGTTTTTGGAATATCAGCGATCTCTGAATGGCAATCCGTCCTTCCTTCTCGCTAATAAGTCCACCAACGGGGCCGCTCGTCCCTCCAAGTCTCAAGAACCAGAGAAGAAGGCGCAGCCACAACCCCCTCCAGCCGTTGTTGTCAAGGTTGAACCGCCAAAGGAGCCGACACCACCACCTATCAAATATCCTATCGAAGATCTGGATATCGCTCCAGACCACGAAAAGAAGAAACAGCGCCCAGCTCTCAGCTATATGACTATCGATGAGGTTGATGATCCAGATGATGAAGAGCTTCTGCACAGCTCCCTCGAGATGGGATCTGTGGGGCGTCTCTTGGAAACGTGGAATACGCTCAACGTCTACTGTGAGGTTTTCCAGCTGGACTCTTTCACCTTCGACGACTTTTTCCAGGCCATGAGGTTCTCTTCCGAGGATGTGGATTGTGAACTGTTCGTTGAGGTACATTGCGCCGTGCTGAAGAAGCTTGTCAATGCGGAGAAAGATGATGAAGGGGCCGTACAAATTTCTCTTCCCGAACTTCCCGACGAAGAATCCGATGACTCGGAGGCAGAAGAGGAAGAAGAAGAGGCAGAACCTACCCCTGAACCTGAGCCGGTGGTGACACGAATGACGACTCGGAGTAGTTTGGCCAAGGCTGAAGCGGAGAATCTCAAGGCGCAAGCAGACCGCGAAGGTTCTAGCTCAGAGGAGGTTCCAGTTCACCGGGCCGCTGAATTGTTCGCAGAATATGGTTGGATTGACCGTTTACGGAAACGTGATTTCCGTAACGGTGGATGGGAGCTGGTGATGGTCGGGCTCCTCAATCGACTTTCTGGCCGCCCGCGCATGAAGGAGGTATGCGACAAGATTCTCAAACATCTTGCGCCTTTGGATGCCGAACCGACCCTGGAAACTGTTCAATCCCAGTACGCCGTTATGGATGTCGACCTTCGCATCCAAGCTCTGCAGATCATCTGCATGCTCAGTCTCGAGACGAAAGCGATTCGAAACTACCTCGAGGAATGCAGCAACCAGATGACGGAGTTCCGCAAGGAGAAGATCGAGTACCAGAAAGCACGCAAAGTAGTGTAAGTCTAACCACCCGCCTCTGTCCATCTACTTTGTCCTCAAGCCATTCTGCTGCTTTAGTTGTGCTAGATTGAGAATGCATTTATTGACTTATCTGTGATTTGCAGACTCGAAGATCTTCGTCGGTTACACCAAGAGCGCAAGGCCCTTCAACCCGAGCCCGAGAAGTCTCCGTCGCCAGCGCCCGAACTGGACGCATTGGAGGACTCGAAGATGACTGGTATTGATGGTGAATCGGATAACTCAGATCAGGAAGCAGCTCCGCAACGGAGTCTTCGTGGTGGCCTGGACAGACAACTTGAGCGCAAGCGCAAGCAAGAAGAGGAGCGCGAGCGAAAAGAGCAACTGGCCAAACAGCCTAAAGGAACCAAGCAGTACCAGCGAGTGCTTAAGAAGATCGAGGACCAAAAGGCCGCGGTCAAAAAGCTCGAAGACAAGATTGATATGATCGACAATGACCTTAGGGAAGCCGACTGCCCACGAACGAGATGCCTCGGGAAGGACCGGTTCTGCAATCGCTACTGGTGGTTTGAGCGAAACGCCATGCCGTACGGAGGCATGCCTAACAGCTCCACGGCAGAGGCACAGTACGCGAATGGCCGCCTGTGGGTCCAAGGTCCCGATGAGATGGAACGCGTGGGCTTCATTGATGTTTCCGACGAGTACAAGAAGCAGTACATGAAGGAATTCCAGACCACACCGGCGGAGCGCAAGAAGCAAGAGGAAGGACCCACGCGACTGACGAACGCAACCGAGTGGGGCTACTATGATGAGCCAGAGGCTATTGAGCAGCTACTTGACTGGCTCGACTCGCGCGGTAACCGAGAGTCGCGACTTCGCAAGGAGTTACTGTTGCAGCGTGATAAGATCGCCAAGTACATGAAACTCCGCAAGGAGTACTTGGAGCAGACCGCCGAACGGGCGGAGTCGGAGGAAATCCCTAGCAAGCGCGTCATGACGCGCAACAAGACCTATGTGGATGATAACAAGCATCGCTGCATGCGCTGGCGAAACAACACGGGCATGAGTGACAATGGACACCTTCACGTGGATGCCTCGCGGCCGACCAAGCGGGCCAAGCGGGCCATTGACGAGCCTAAAGAAATCAAGGCGACGAACCGTCAGGGCAAACCTCTGACGAGACAAGGCACGCGCTACAATTTTTGAAGCAGTCGCCATCTCATATTCTTTGTGTTTGTTTCTGTTCTGGGATTAGAGGTGTTACAGGATTATCGGGTGTGCGCATGGCTGAGGCTATACATTTGGGGGTGGCTAGCCCTCCACAAAAAGGAGTTTGTGATAGAATTTGCATGAGCGATGTGACCATGATTTTTGTTCCCCGTCAGCTTCAGCTTTTTCCTATATATATATGCATGTTGGAGGAGAGCTACATGAGCAGTGAGGGGGGTCGTCGCCCTTGATTGAGCATTCGTGGAGTATATAGTAGTATTGCAATATACATGCATTGTGCCTCCAAGAGGCCTACATTACATACATAGACTATCTGGTTCATTGAGGTGTGTAGCTGTATGTAGCTGTAATGTTGGTAGGATATACTGGTTCCAGTGCAGATCCTAAGTAGAAGAAAGAGGAGGGGGTAAGACTACGTACTACGATCACAAGCATGCAGTGAGTGAGGGGACTGATGAATGCCTCAGGTGTCCCCCGCAATGGGCGTGAATAATTCTTCGGCTGCGGTTGGCCTGCCCAAAGGAGAAATCCACTTCCGCCACTCCAGACGGATGCCGAGGTGTTATATGACGGTAATGTGAGGGCCGGTGGGCGGTGACGGTAGGTATCGGCACGTCAGGGCTGTAACGTCATCTCCGTCTGAATCTTGAGTTTCCGCTCTTCAGGCCGCTCCGGAGGTAAGTTGCTGGCTGCATGCTGTCTTGCCTCATTTGTGACTCTGCCAGCTGATCGTCTCTATTCTTATCTGCCCCTCGGTTTGCCGCGGCCCTTCTTGTCCTCCTTCAAACCCCTCCGGTCTCCGCACATTCCTCCCTCTCCCACTCGTGTCAACATCATCTTCCTCCCTCCTACATCCCTCGACGACATACCCATGGCCGCAATTATCCGTTAGCCCGTAATCTGCTTGATAACCCTTAGTTGCGCCACGATTGCGTTCATACCGGCGACTGGACCGGATAATGCGCTCCTGACCAGTCTCCTTTCTCAGATCTGAAGTGCTCTTTTTCTTTCGTTATAAAAACCCTCACAGTCCAGTTCTGCTATTATCTTCAATGGAGCAAGCCGCTCAAACAAGACCGACCCGAGGTCCACCGACCAGTGACGCAAAAGAGAGGCTAGCGGTGGGAACGACACAGGCGACGGCGGTGGACGATGCGTCATCCCCACACCAAGCACAGAACGGCCGCGGAGCCACGAAAGAGGTGAACAAGCGCAGCGTGGACTATGTCGTCCGCAGCGGCGTTGCGGGGGGTCTGGCGGGGTGTGCGGTAAGTCTCTTCTCTCTTCTCAACAGCAACAGAAAGCCGCGGTCGCGATAAAAGTTTGAAGCAGAAACTGACGGACGAGAACAACATCTGTGTAGGCCAAAACCGTTGTCGCGCCCCTCGATCGAGTCAAGATCCTCTTCCAGGCCTCGAATCCGCGATTTGCAAAATACACCGGCAGTTGGTTCGGTCTCGTGGCAGCCGTGCGAGACATCAAACGGCGCGAAGGCCCCCAGGGCCTCTTCAAGGGCCATTCCGCGACGCTCCTCCGGATCTTTCCGTACGCCGCGATCAAGTTCCTTGCCTACGAGCAGTTCCGCGCCGTGATGATCCCGTCCCATGACAAAGAAACGCCGCTGCGCAGATTGCTCTCGGGGAGTATGGCGGGCATCACATCTGTGTTTTTCACGTACCCGTTAGAGTTGATCCGGGTGCGATTAGCGTTCGAGACGAAACGGACCGCTCGCTCTTCCTTTAGAGGTATTTTTCGACAGATTTATAACGAGCGGGTTACGCCGCCGGCGACGGCCTCCAGCGGGGTGTCGTCGACGCAAGCCCCCGTCACGGCAACGGCAGAAGGTGTCTCGGCGGCTGTGAACAAGGCCGTGCCGCGCTCCGGCCTGGCCAACTTTTACCGGGGTTTCGCGCCCACGCTGCTGGGCATGCTCCCCTACGCCGGCATGTCCTTCCTCACGCACGATACCGTCGGTGACTGGTTCCGCTCGCCTGCGCTCGCCCCTTACACCACCATCCCCGAGTCAGAAACACCCGACCATTTCAAGAAGAGGTCTCGACGACCGCAGCTGACAGCCGCCGCGGAGCTGACATCCGGTGCGCTGGCGGGTCTGGTGTCCCAGACATCCTCCTACCCGTTAGAGGTCATCCGACGACGAATGCAAGTCGGCGGCGTCGTCGGCGACGGCCACCGCCTGGGGATTGTCGAGACGGCGCGCACGATCATGTTGGAGCGCGGGTTCCGCGGCTTCTGGGTCGGCCTGACGATTGGATACATGAAAATCATCCCAATGACGGCGACCGGGTTCTTTGTCTATGAGCGGTTGAAGTGGTCCTTGGGTATCTAGCGACATTTTTTTTTGATCGATTGTTTAGATCTTCCGAACGAAAGAGTTGGGCGTCTGGGGTTGTGTTGAGTTGTGTTGAGTTGTTGTGATGTGTCTATTTATACCATTTGTTCATACCCATTGCGAGCAGGCCGAGACTCTAGGTGATGGAGTACAGAGAGAGAGTCTTGTACATAGAGCATATATTAGGTGCGACGTCACGTTTAGATACAATTGGAGCATTTACTAAACTTTCAGTATTCCAATCCTTTCCAATCTACATCAACTATTATGATCCCAAACAGAAGTAAACCACACTGCCAAGTGTGAAGATCGACACCCTCATCTTCTACCGCACGCGTCGAGTGCCACAGGGACATAAAGATATCATATCCGTACCCTCGGTCCAATTGGCCACCCGCACCACCGCCCAAGCACAGACCATCCAACCGGGCTCCCTCCATCCAGTCTAGCCCGCGGCAGAAAAAAGTTCCACCCAACGCAACGCAACGCAACCTACAAGCCAAAGACGATCAATCGCATTCCGTCTCCAATTGCCTAAATCACCCATATTCGAGAGGTCCGAAAAAATGTCCTCCCGCAAACGGAACGACCCCTTTGATCTAGTCGCCAGCGACGAGGACTCCGACCAAGACAAGGGCTATGATTCCGCTGCCGACGAAGAGAAGAAAAGTAAAGGCGCTCTAAGGGCTGCGAAGCGGCGGCGGGTTGCGACGCATACCGATAATCTTCATGGGTTGGATTCTGAGGAGTCAGATGCGGATGCGGGGTTGGATAGTGAGGTTGAAGAGACTAAGGGGAAGGGGAAGAGTAAAAGCAGGAAGAAGGGCGTTAATCGTGGTGGAGAGTCTGAAGATGAGGAGGAAGAGGAGGAGGAGGGGGTTTCTGATGCTGAAGCTGTCGCTGGCGCCGCTGCGACTCTGACGAAGGAGAAGAAGGGTAAGAAAGACACAAAGGACAAGAAGAAGAAGAAGGAGAAGAAGAAAGGCGTCGTCTACCTCAGCAGTGTACCGCCTATGTTAAAACCGTACGTGACCCTTCCCCATCCTCAATCTCCCTCTATCCCTCAGACATATACTAATATACCCGGTAACAGTTTCGCCCTAAAAAACATAATCGAAACCCGGGGCTTCGCGCCCATCACGCGGGTCTTCCTCACACCCGAAACCAAAAGAAAGCATTCCGCCAACAAACGGCGCAAGACCTACGCAGACGGCTGGCTGGAATTCGAGTCCAAGAAGACAGCGAAGATCTGCGCCGCAACGCTCAACGCGCAGCCGATCGGCGGCAAGAAGGGCGGCTTCTACCACGATGACCTGCTGAACATGAAGTACCTGCACGGGTTCAGCTGGAATGATCTGCAGGAGCAGATCAGCCGGGAGCGCTCGGAGCGCGAGGCAAGGCAGCGGGCGGAGGATTCGCGGGCGCGGAAGGAGGATAAGGTCTTCCTGGAAGGGGTGGAGAAGGGGAAGGTGCTGGATGGGATGCGGAGGAAGAATGAGGAGAAGGAGGCGAGGAGGCTGGCGGCTGAGAAGAAGGGGGCGGAGAGGGCCGTTGCTGATGCTGCCGCGCTTGGGAAGGTGCGGCGTGTATTTAGGCAGAATGAGGTCCGGTTGGGGAGGGATAAGAGTACCCAGGAGATTCAGGACTTGGGAGATGATACGAAGAGAGTGTTGGGGAAGATCTTTTAGTGTGTATGTATATATGTATGTACAGGGAGTCAGTGTTTGGCTTGTGCTTGGGCTTGCGCTCGTTTGCTTTTGTTTGGATATCCCGATGGTTCATGAAGTTATTCTATACGACTGGTCTTGTTGACTGTGCTCAGTTGGTGTAGCTTGTATTCGTTGAACGGTTTGTCCAGTGGATGGACCCTGGCTCTACCATTGCCTTACTACAGACCTCAGAGCAAGCCATCTGAAGCTATAGTCTCCTCAAACCGATTGGCAGGTGTCCCAGTCTGCCACCGCCAAAACTCCCCAGTTTCCCCCACCTTTTTTTATGGCTGTTTGCCACGAAATCCGGAATTTTCGCCGCGAGGTCGTGAGCATTCTGCCAGACTTAGCGGTAAGGAAGGCGGTCAGAGCGGAAGTCAGTTGCCATGATCGGCCTTCTTAACTTCTTTGTTCCTGACGGACGCTTTGTGGGGCGCCCGTGTTTGACGTTTCCCCGCACTGCTAGTCACTCGTACGTACTACGTATGTGATTAACGAGGTAGGCTGGGCTGGCTGGGCTGGACTGAGCTGGGGTGTTGGGTGGTCTCCCAACACTTCCCCCTCCCAGCCCAATTGTAGACAGCGCTTGTGCTTTTGCTCTCTCTCTCTCCAGCACATCACCACAAATATGACTGGCACTACTTTGCTCAGAAAACCCTGGTGTAGACCGGGTGGAGCCCTCCGTACTTTATCTCTAGCTATGGCCGTGCGCCCTCAAAGTCATTGTTTGTCTCGGATACAAGCCTATACTTCTTCGTCGTCGTTCTCATCGTCCTCCTCTGCGTGTCAGGCGTCCTCTGCTGAACACCCGTCGTCCGTATCCTCTCCATCCGTAAGACAGCTTGACGCTGCTACTTCCAAGCCACAACAGCAGCCGCAGCAGCAGCCGCAGGAGCAGCTTTCCGCACAGAAAAAGCAAGCTCTCTACGAGACATTCGGGAAATACACAGCCGCGGGGGGCCTCGTCACCGACGAGCTGGGCTACTCGGTCGTATCTGCGCTCCTGACGCCGCGCCCACCCGACGACGCAGAGTTCCCCAACCAGGTCCCAGACGCAGACAAAGAACTGGCTCTCCGCGTGCTGGAGTATCTTTCCTTACAGGGGACGCCGATTCTCGTCATGGGGACGCTCGCGATGCTCTACCAGGCGGCGATGTATTCCCCGCGGTGGCCCAACAACACAACCACAGAAAACAAGCACAACATCCGGCCGTATGGCAACGGCAACAACGAAACCGACGATGGCGCACTCTCCCGTCTACCTCGCATGATCAACGCGATCCACCTCCCCTACAACCCCCACGACGCGCGCAGCATCATGACCATGTTCTTCCAGAACGGCGACTACGAGAATTTCTGGCGGCTGTGGCGCCGGATCCCGCTTCAGGGCTTGTCGCGCACCGCCGAGGACTACGTGATGCTGTTTCGCTTGCATGCTGAGCTGGGGAATCGCTACCGCGCGGAACAGTGCGTGCGGACCTGGTTTCCGATGATGGAGAGGGAGGAGCCGCCTGTTCTTGTGGGTGAGGAGATCGCGCTTCTGGTGGCGGAGTGTGTGTATCTCGCTGATCCGCGGGTCCAGGATAAGGTCGCCGCGGGTGGGTCGGCCGATACGTTGGTGCAGATCTGGGATGTTGTTTCCCGGGCGGCTGGGCTGGATTTGGCGGAGAGGGAGGAGGGAGAGGAAGGTCAGGATGAGCCTCTGTAAATAGCTGATGGGTAGTAACATAGGAGCTGACGGAACGACTTGGGGTGCTTTTGTGATTTGAAGGTGGGTTATTACCAGGCGCCTATCAGAAATGTCTGATGGTCAGCTGTCTTCCGGTGCACCCAAACTATCAATTGACTTTCGCCGGGTCGAGCGGCCCGGAAGAGAGGGCGCAAAGAGCATTAGCATTCCTGAAAGTGTAATTCAAGAACAACAAAGGCGTGACCAGGCTTAGAATACTGGCGATGGTGGCTCTGAGTTTTAACGGAAAAACCATGAAGGGGCGGGAGGAAGGCGATTATCGACCGTGTCCGTGCAATGATCGGTGAGCGTAGAAGAAGAGACAACAGGGCTCAAATAGACTCCTCAAAAGCTTCATGTAGGAGCCGATCATATCCCTCCTTATCTTTAACCTTTTCCTTCAGAAATTTGAACGCATCAACTGCCCAGTATTCCATAATGATGGTGAAAAATGCTGCTTGGCCCATGTGATCTTTCAAAAATCGTGGCTGTATGTGATCATAGAAAATACTGAAAAGACCAGTCGGGCTGTCCAGTGCGAGAGAGTACCTAAATGTGCCTTTGTTCCATCCGTCCTCCATGATGCCCCGTAGCAAAGGCATTTTCACTTCACATTTTGCGGAAGAGTCCATAAATTCTTTGTGCATGTTTTCGTATTCAGCAGCATCGATCAAATCGACAGCTCGATTCGTCAACCACTATGGAGGGTGGGCCATCTCTGCAGGACGAGAACATGCCCATTCAAGCTCAACAAGGCATGTGATGTTCCAGTCTTCATCAACAAAGATGTTGCTCTGGTGGAGATCTGTTAAGGCCATAAAGAACGGGCCTCGACGGAGCTCAGGCCGGAAGAAGGATTGCCGAACAGTTCTCATCACGGTCAAAGCAGCCATCTGGAACAACCCATCCTGGAGATAGTTGACTGCAATAGGCTGATGTCGAAGACAACTCTCGTAGTAAGACAAAATATCGTTGAGATGAGCGTCGATCGTGGAATAAGTCAAGTCTCGCGAAATATCCACGGGAGTTCATTCGTTCTCCAGTTGTTAGATCTCAAGTATAAGCGGCCTGTTTTCCAGCTTCAGGTCGCCCATTTCATCTTCAATGAACGAGCCAATTCTTGGTAAAGAAGTGCGCGGAATGGAATGCATGATGCGAGACATGCTAGAGAAGAGCTTCGTCCGTAAGTGCATATCGCGACGTCCTTCTTCCCACGATTCCAAAAGCATTTGCCCCCGGGATATATCGACATATTCAATCAGGAGATCCCCTGTTCCAAGGGATTCTCTCAATGAATGCCGATAAGGGGCATAAGAAGTCGGCGCAGGAAGTGGACAGAACGTGCCCAGAAAGGCAAGTAGTCAAGTGCCGTGAACTGGTTCCTGAGCAGATAGGTGATCTCGCCTCGGAGCAGACGGCGACGCTTCACCGCAGTTGATGGGTCCATGGATGACATGGAGGCATTCCTGTACTATACACGTGATGAGTGATGGGGAAGGGAATAATCGATTGCGACGCGATGCTCACTCAGGACACCTGCAGCAAGTCTCTCCTTCCAATCGCAAGAACAAACAAAACATAATGACTGGCAAGTTAGATCTGTGACATTGCCCCCTTTCGAAAGCCAAGAAGGCATCGGGGATCGATCATAAGCAGCAGAACCGAAGCGGAGTGGAAGGCGGCCGGCCGATAAGCCTCGGCTCAGCCCAGCGCGGCTCCTCCGCATCTTTCCCCGACCACCACCCAGTCGAGTCGCCCACCTCCATCCATCCAACTCATTCTCTCCTCAACACCCTCAGGGGATGATGAATGGCAGTGCTAAAATAGGATGGAGTACTTACCGAGTTTGCAGCAGGAATTCGACGAGCTGAAGCCGTCTCTCTTCGGTAAGTACACCCCGACTCATCTCTTATCTCCATCTCGTCCACGCCCAACTGATCGATCTGCTGCATTCCAGAACTCCTCGCCGAACAACAGCTCTCCGCGCTTCTCCCCCCATCTATCCGATATATCCTCGCAGTAGCTACTCACCGGAACCCGCGCTACCTTCTCCGCATCCTCAATTCCTACGACGAGATTTACGCCCTTCTCTCCCTCCTCGTCGAACGATACTACCTCCGCACCTTCGGCGGCTCCTTCACAGAGAACTTCTACTCCCTAAAGCGTGAACGAGTCCTCCTCACGAAGAATGGCGAGATCCCCCGCGCGCAAATCGGCGCACCGGGCCCCGTCCGCGATGCCCTCAAACTCCGCACGCGGGACGTCTGGAAGAACCTTCTGATCATGGTGGGCATCCCGTACCTCAAGAGCAAGCTCGACGAAGGCTACGACATCCACGCGGCGCCGCAAGCCTCACTGATCATGAGCGGCGGCCCGCGATACAACCCTGCAGACGACCTGCCGGCGCGACCAACCCTCCGCCAGCGCCTCTTTCACTACTACAAATGGTTCCTGCGCAACATCTACCCGTCCATCAACGCAGGCTACTACTTCTCCATCCTAGCCTTCAACCTGGCCTACCTCTTCGACAACACAAAGTACTCCTCGCCGTTCCTCTGGCTGATCGGCACGCGCATCCGCCGCCTCAGCTCAGCAGACCACCGCGCCATCGCCGCAGTCCTCGACCCCTCAAAGACACCAGGCCGAGCGACCGCCAGCGCCCGCTCGCGCCCCGGCGCCAGCCTGCTCGGCCTCCTGAGCCCGCAGAATCTCTACCCTCAACTCCTCGCCTCCCTCCGCTACTTCCTTCCCGCCTCCATCTTCGCCCTCAAATTCCTCGAATGGTACCACGCAAGCGACTTCTCGCGCCAGCTCACCCGCAAAGCCACCGAGGTCCTCGACCTCCCCGCCCCCGTCACAAACGGGATGACCCCGCCGTCGCAACGGCCCAAGCCCCAGCCCGAAAAAGCAGCAACAGCATCATCATCACCATCACCCCCTCTCAAACCAGCCCTTAAGTCCTCCTCCCCCTCCTCCACCACCACCACTACTCCAGCGCAACAACACAACCACAAACAATCGACCCATACCCACCGCCAACCCCCAGTTTCCGCATCTTCATACCTCCCCATCTTCACGGTCCCAATCCCCACCGCCGACTCTGATGTCGCACAGGCCTGCCCCATCTGTCTGAAAGGCCTGGCCAACCCAACAGCATGCCAGACGGGGTATGTCTTCTGCTACGTGTGCGTGTTCCACTGGTTGAACGGGGAGCATCAGCGGCAGATTGATTTCATGGATGGGGAGAGCAGCGCGGCGGGAGCGCCGTGGGAGGAGGTTGATCTCGAGCTGGTTGCTGAGGCGAGGAATGGCGATGGAGACGCAGATGCTGCAGGCGAGGGGCAGAGCAAGGGACGGAGCCGGAGGGGGAAGTGGGAGAGTGGGAGGGGGAGGTGTCCCGTCACGGGGCGGCGGGTGTTGGGCGGTACGGAGGGGTTGAGGAGGGTTTTGGTGTAGGACGTTGTATTTGCTTGGGGGTTACTTATGTTGTGGGTTATGTATGTATTGTATGATGATGGCATGATGGAGATTTGGGAGCGTGTATATGAGGTGTTCTTATTGATCTAGAAGAGGAGCTCTAGACGTCCTATACAGTTATGAAGACCTCGGCTAAAAGGATCATGGCTCTTGCCTTCCTAGAACAAGCTACCGTGTATATAGCCCTAACCCCCTACTGGATGATATACGGCTCCGCACCCTCCCCAAAGATCAAAGCCGGTTTCTCAGCCGCGAGCTTCAAGATCGTCTGCGCGAAAACCGAATTCGCCCACGCGAACCACGGCCTCGTGTACGTCGAGATGTTGTTCACGTTGATCGACTCGTGCACCAAGCCCAGCAAACTCGAATTACGGACCAGGTTCACGCACTCGGTTATCTCCGTCTCTTCGTCTGTTGTCATAGCCTGCACGAGCAGGGACATGGGCCAGGCATTGCGTAGACCAACTATCAAAATAAGTCAGATTAGTCTGATGTTCTGCTGCACGAGTTATGGGAAATTGAGCAAAGGGGTAGAGACATACTATGCGGACCGCCGATACCATGGAAATCCGAGCCAGTCAGATAGTACGGGTTCCCCTCGGAGCTGAGGATCATCTTGCGGGTATTCTGGTAGACCTGGTCTTTCTGATCCACGAAGCCCAGTAGCGGCAGCGAGAGGAGCGACGGGACGTTCGCATCATCCATGAGAATGCGCGAGCCGTACCCGTCCACCTCGAAGGCGTAGACATCACCGTAGGTGGGATGGTGCACGATACCGTGATCCTTGACGGCCTGCGCGAGATTCTTACCGCGCGACTGTAGGTCGGCGATGAGAGTTGCGTTGCCGCCTGCAGCGCGCAACACCGCGGCTGTCTTCTGCAGCTGCACGGACATCATGGCGTTGGGCGGGATGAAGAAGCCTAGGATGGTGGCGTCGTCGCTGGGACGGAAGGCGCTGCGGATGAGGCCTGTGCCGTGGTTGAGGGGGTTGCCGATGCCTGCGAGGTTGAGGGTCTCGGTCCCCAGAGTGGTCTGCCTTTGGAAGGTGTACTCATTCGTCACGTACTGTAGGGCGTCGTTGAAGGTGGGTTTTGACTGGGCGTCGAGCACTCTCAGAACCGTGTTGAGCGCAAGGTACCATCGCTTGGTCAGGAACTCGGTTGAGCCCGTGTTTTCGTGGAATTGGGTGCCGAGAGCTAGGAAATTGGCTAGGGAGTCGAGCTCGTACTTGCATTCGAAGACTATGGATGAGTTGTATGGTGGCGTAACGGTGTCCCTTTGGCTGCTGCTCGCCGGTTGAATGCCACTGGGAGATGGGGGCTGAAAGGCATTGCAGTAGGGTGATTGAATAACGTATTCAATTTGGGTGTTGATAGCACCGAGGATGAGGTTGTGCAGGGCTTTGTCGTCCTTTGCCAGGGCTTGGTAGCCGGAGAGCTGGTTCGTCGAGTCCCGTAGCCATTCGGCATTGATGTCGCCGGTGACGATGAAGGACTGCGGGCCTTGCCATTGAGGAGCGTTGTCCCGTTTTCGCTTCTGGGAGCTTGTTGATGTTGACTGGGTGCCGTTGACGTGCCAGCGAACAGTCGTGTCGAGCGTGTTGGGGAAGGCGTTGCGGAACAGCTGCGCGAGGTCTTTATCCACCATCCGCGAAGTCACATCTTCAATGACATTTTCGACTGCAGGCGATTTAAAAGTCCGACATTCCACTGAAGGCCGCTGGTACGGCAGGTTCAAGGCACCGCCGCTGTATGGGGGACTGAAGGCGATCAGTTGTGAATGCTGAACTTAGACGTCAGAGGAATTCAACTTACTGTCCGACTGAGGAGTAAGAAAGGTAATCAGGACAAGATCGGCGTAGGATAGACTGTTCATCGCGAGCTGTGACACCCGCAGCGCCCAGACTGGCCGCTAACACAACGGCCAATGTCGTAGAGCGTGTCATGGTGAGTCTAGGTATAAAAGGAAGCCAATAGAGAATGATTGTGGTTAAGACAATGGTAAAGCTCACAAAGAAGCGAACCGGAGGAAGGAAAGACAGGAAGAAGACATGGTGGGAAAGTGGACTGGTTTTGAGTGACGAACTTGACAAGGGCAAGTTGGAATGCGGGCCAGAAATGCGGAGAAGATCAACAGGGATCGGCGCGGAGGAGGCCGTCGCATTGCATTGTTACACTTGCTTCCACTGCATCGTATGACTTGACACCATGCATTAATTGGCATATATCTACGCTATCCATAACGCCTTCGTTTGGGTTGTGTCTTCACCCTCAGCCTCTGCTCATTGATATGCTATTTCTTGGCGAAAAATGACATGATGCTGCCCTGACCAGCTTTAGCCCCAGCCTTGGCCTTGGGTGCACTCACAGCCGGCTTCTTCTTGGGCGGCGGTGCTGGCTCATCTTCCGAGAATGACTCCCAGCTCGGTTCTTCGACGGTAACTGAACCAGGGAGTTAGTGGCATTCAACCGAACAGCAAGGCACCAGAGCAGATCTCACCTAGGTAGCCCTCTTCATCCTTGACAGTCTTCTTCTTCATGATTTGACGTCTTCCTCGTCGACGGCCTGCACAAACCGTCACCTCCTTAGGTTCAGGTTGCTTAGCAGGAGGCTGGTCGATGATATTCGATTCCTCTTCAGGTGACGGCGCTGCGTCGGGCATTTCCTCATCCGCATCCTCATCCTCATCTGCACAGTAAAAATCAGGAGGCGTTAACCAAGCAAAGTTGGATATACGTACCGTCGTCTTCCATCATCTTCCGAAGCCTCTCCTCACGCTCTTTCCTCGACTCACGAGTTGTGGCAGAAGCAGACTTGTTAGATTCTGGGAAGAGCTCTTCAGACTCGTCCTCCGATGCGTCATCTAAAACAACTGAAGATTATTAGCTAGTGTTATCTTCAAGTCGTCGAGTAGACCTACCATCTTCAGGGGCGCTGGGTTCCGCCTAGTGTACCTGTTAGCTTGCAATTGAAGCATGAACCGGAGTTGAAATAAACTAACCGAATCAGCTCCGGAGGTTGTGGGAGTTGCTTGATCTTCCTTCTTCGGCTTTGCCTTGGCCTTCGCAAAGGAGCTGAAGATGCTACTCTTTTCCTTCTTGGCCGGCGCGGCCTTCTCTGTCGATTTGGTCGAGGAGGGGGTATCTTCTCTCTTCAGCGACTGCTGAGACTTGGGTTCTTCTTCCTTGGGTTCTGTCTTAGGCTGCTTCGGCGCCTCACTTGTGGCGGGCTTCTTGGCTGGTGCAGCGGATTTGGCGGGTGTGGGTACAGGAGCGGGTGCGGGTGGTCGAACGCCAGTTCTTCTCTGTAAAGCAGGTGGCGCGTTAGAGCCGCAATTGTTGACCTTGCCAATAGAGAAATACCTTGACATTCTTATTCTGAATCATACCCCAGGACGAGCCGTACTCCAGCGGATCTTCCTGGGCATGGCTGGCGATTGTCTCTCTGGCGACATCAGTCAAGACATTGAGATCCTGCAATACAGTAGGCTGTAGGCTGTAGATGTATGTTGAGGCAATAGACTCAAACGTGGCTTTCGCATCTACTCTCATCATCAGCTTAGAAGATCCGGCGCATCATCGTCCTGCATCTTTGCGACTGACCCTCCAGATCCTCCTCACGAACCAGCAGCACCGACGAAATTGCGACATCATCTGTAGCAGCATCCTGATTCGGCATCGAACTGCTTATGAATGGACTGCTCGGGGGAATATCATCTGTCTCGGCGTTAAAGTGAACACCGTTTGTCGAGGTCGCCGGCTCGGGTGCCTTCTGTACGCCTGTGAGGATATACGTCGCATTGACACTGTTCGGCTTCTTGCTGTTCTCGTTGCGGTGGAAGTCGTATAGCATCCTTGTGAATCGAAGCTCGTCAGAAAGCGCTCGCTCAGAAGCGAAAGGTCTCTCCCAACTTACTGCTTTGCTAGAGTGCTATGGACGCGGAGAGCCCGACCCAGCGAGCGATATGTGACCTAAGCAACGACATGAACTGAATTAGAGCCCTTGTGCATGACCCAAACACCTCGTCATTGCAATCACTCACCGTGCGTCGCTCATTGAGAACATTCTCCGCCAAGTAAGTCTTATAGTCCGCGATCGCCATAGCGCCAGGAAATTCTGTTCTGTAATTTTTGTGGTTTTACCTCGTCACTGGCACGAGATCAACAATTAAAGAACGGAGGGGAGCTGCGGACAAATCGGCCGACGGACGCGTTCTCCACACCAAACCACTTTACGCGTATCAGTCAGCAACGCAAGAAAGCAGCAGCTTTCCCGCGGCAGTCTTGGCGCCACTCCCGCCGCCGAAATCCATCTTTCCATCGAGACAGCCCTACAAAGAAAACGTCTCAAGGCCCCTAATTCACTTGGGCGTGTCAATTAAACCTTACCTCTCTCTCAACGGAACCTGCTCAACTCAATAAGTCATACGCAACAACCATCCAGCCACCCTTTGCCCCGTCAATCGCCTCGCAAATCAATTTCCCACCTCAATGCTCTCGCGATAGTCCACCGCCGATAACCTACCTACCTACCACCTCACCCTTGGACCCCATGGACCAGACCTTCGACCTCCCCGACTCGACCGACTGGCTCGCCACGCCGCTGTCCGGTCTCGCGCCGCTCGAGTCCGCGCTCCGCTGTCAAGTCTGCAAGGATTTCTTCAATAACCCCGTCATCACCTCGTGCAGCCACACCTTCTGCTCGTTATGTATTCGCCGCTGTCTCAGCGCGGAGGGGAAATGTCCCGCGTGCCGCGCCTCGGATCAGGAGCTGAAGCTGCGGCCGAATTGGGCGGTGCAGGAGCTGGTGGAGACGTTCCAGAGCGCGAGGCCGAGCGTGCTGCAGCTGGCGCGGCAGGCTGAGGCGCGGAATAGCGAGGATCTCGAGCAGCCGGCGTCGAAGAAGCGGAAAATGGAGGTCTCGGAGGAGCTGACAGATGACATGTCTACTTCTGCGGATGCGAATATCGCTGCGACAACGAGGTCGGTGGACGGGGTGAGGACGCGGTCACAGGCAAGAGGGGGTTCGACGCCACAAGGGCCGCCTGCGGCGGAGGTGATTGAGGTGATCGACGATAGTCAGGATGAGGAGTTTGTTCCTGGTATGTCTAAAGTCTTACCTCTAAACGGCTGTGGCGATTTATTGTGCTGACCCGCGTCTAGCAGACGGACTCGTTGCGTGCCCTATTTGCCAACGGAAGATGAAGAACGAGGCGGTCTTTTCACACCTTGATAAATGCACTGGGGAGCCTTCGCCGCCTAAATTTTCACCGAAATCTTCCTACGGGTAAGGATGCTGTTTGAAATCTGCTTAGCATGACTATGTCTGACTCTCATATAGCTCCTTACAAATGCAGATTCCTGCGCGATATCCGTATAGAACCAAAAGCAAAACGCTTGAAAGACTTCCCACCATGAATTACTCTCTGTACAAGGAAAGTATGCTTCGAAAAAAGCTCAAAGATCTGGGCATACCCAACACAGGCCCACGGCCTCTCCTACAAAAACGTCATACCGAATGGGTGAATCTCTGGAACGCCAATTGCGACTCTAAATCGCCTAAGCCACATGGGGTCTTGTTGCGCGAACTCGACGTCTGGGAACGGACCCAAGGTAACCAGTCCTCTTCGGCGACCGAGGCTCCAGGATCGATCATGCGCAAAGATTTCGACAAGGCTGCTTGGTCAACGAGCCATGAGGACGACTTCAAGAGGCTAATAGCCGATGCTCGGAAGAAGAGTGGCGCCGCTGTGCATACCGCAAAACCGCAAGAATCCCCTGTGTCAAGCACACTGCAGAACACGTCTGTTTCGGAGCCGACAGACGCATCAGTATCTGTTGAGACCACCAATCCTTCCGAGACTATGCCTGTAGATGCCAGTATGTCAGGTGCTGGTGCTCCTGAGACGTCAGTGCCACCAGACCTAAACCATGGTCAAATGACTGAGCTGCATCAGTAATGCTCCGTGAAACGCCGGTCGCCGGACAATATGCTGTGTAAATAGTCTCCTCTGACGGCCGAAGTTGTGATACCCTCTGTTGCTCACTGCGCTGTGGCACTGGGGCCCTCCTCGACCGACATCCGGGACAACCTCTCTTCTAACTCGGAATCAAGATCCTTCTCTGCTGCCGCACTGCGTGCGGCTTCTTTGGCGCGCTGCTCGAGGTTGTCGAGCTCGGCAAGCTTGTTGCGGGTTTCTTCCGCATCCTTCTCTTCTCTCGCCTCCCGCTCCTTGTTCTCCAGCTCTTCAAGCTCCTCGTCAATCTCCATCTCATCGATTTGTGGGGCGGCCTCGTTCAGTATATTTCCGACCTCATCCACCTTCGTCATCTCGTCACGCAACTCCTCCACAACGTCCTCCACCCTAGCAGCACCGCCGATTTGTGCATGCAAGCCACGCAGTGCTCCAGCGCTTGACTCCATCACCTTGACAAACTCGATCTGATCCGCCGCCTCTTCAATCTTAAAGTAGACCTCCTCAAGCTGCATCAGGGTGTCCAGCCTCTGCTTCAGATTATGCTCGGCCAGTTTCTTCGAGCGCAACGCCGAGAGCGCCGAGACGCGGTTTTTATTCTGCAATGCAGTCTTGGCAGTTAGATTCAGCTCATCAACCTTCTTCTCCAGACTCTCGACCTGCTTGTTCATAGTAGCCATGAGCGACTTGATCGAGGCCACGGCGGTATCTTGCTCCGTGATTTCCCTCGGCGAATCGTTGGAAGGCCTGAACCTGATAGTCTACCACAAAGTCAGCCACATATACCTGACATACCATCTCAACAATGAAACATACCTTCCCATCATACGCGATGGCACCGCTATCGCGGGACAGATAGAGCAAAAGCACATCCATATCCGCATTCGACAACTGGCTCTTTTCATCCAAAATCGTAGCGAACTCCTCCACAAAGCTCTCCTTCGAGTAAACCAGCTCCGTCTTCGAGGGATTGTGCCCCGTAGCCTTCTTGACCACCCTCTCCGCAGCTTCCTATACCCAAGTAAACTAGTTAGCATATACTCGGCAACCAAACCACCACCCCCGCCAAACGAGAAAAGCATACCTTAAGATTCTCCACCAGAACCAACTCCTGAGCCTGTAGCCTTGGCGTAGCCTCCTCAGACCCAAGCACAACCCCCTTTATCTGCTTCATGCCCCAGCTCATAACCACCCACGGGCTCAACGCAGACGTATCAATTCCCCAGCCAGGCTTCTGCAAACTCACTCCACTATTCTTATACATCTGCAACGGCACCATCGTACGGTTCCGGATCGCTTCGTCCTACCAACAACCCAAATACTCGTTAACAAAACCATCCCTTGAACAAGCCCACATATCTCGCAATCCGTGCCGCAAAACCACCATCACGACCACAAACAACCCAGAGCAAATCAAGAAGTCAAAGGAAAGGACCCTGGAACTTACGAAAACCGCGCCGAGCGCCACAGGCCGTCCGCACTCAGAAATCTCCAAATCACGCAACAGGGACTCGTCCGCCCGCAGGATCAAATGGTCGGCTTTCCTGCGCGCAGCGGAAGAGGTTGTGGAGGCGGGACCAGAGTGAATGTGGCCATGTTTCGCGGCGTTGGTGAGAGCGTGTTGCCAGGCGGCGATGTTAGTGGTGTAGCCCTCTGGGTTGATCTTGCGGTGGATCGGGAAGTCCGAATAGAGGGAGGGGAGGCGGTTTCTGTAGTGCGAGAGATCGAGGTCAGTAAGGTTGTCTCTTGTTGAAGTGGAAGGATTATCGTCTTTGGGGGGTATGGTGGCGGTTGAGTTCTCGAGACACACTTTCTGAATTGATCCTGCGAGAGGATGTGGTTGAGGAGCTCGTTCATGTTGGATGTTGCGTGGATATCAAACAGATTGCGGGAGGTAACTGATGAGAATGACAGTATAGTCGAGTAAGTCTTAAGAGTGGAAATACAGTGGGCTGAGTTCAAACAGCACAGTGAGGATGCTGCCTGCTTGTAGGCTGCGCTGGCCTTTGTCCTTCGGATGGGATCTGATGTCAATAAATGCGCCAGCCGTTGGTTGTCCGGGTGGTGATCTTATCGATAAGATCTGATCATGTGACTGGCCGCTTCTGAGAAGGACGTCATTTGATGGAGGTGGCGGGGGCTTCGCTGGGACTGCCGATTGGGACATCGTCGATATTGACAGTTTACAGGTAAATATGCTCATCTATAGGCAGGGCCTACAAATACTCCTGCCAAGGGGCAGAATACATGTATATACGAAGCATTAAATTTGACCATTGTCTATAACGATGTATACCCTTTCGTGCGCCCGTTCGGCCTTCCGTCCCAATCTTTAAGCTCGTTCAAAGTCATCATCGGCTGCATTGTCATTATCCCTCATACCCTGTGTCGGGGAAATTCCCGAATCCAAAGGGTTCATGATCAGCGACTTTCGGTTCTTGCGTCGGTCTAGCTGTTCGCTCGTCTCTTCAGTCCCCAAAGCTGCTGCGGTAGCTGCCTCGTCTCTCGTGTCCAGTCCTCTGGCCTCGAGATACTCAACTTTCACGGCGTGTCTGAGGTTGTCAATGAAAGTCTGCATCTCTGGCATCGGGAACGCCCCGTCACCCTGTAAGACGTCGGCATATAAGCGCTCCGCCTCCTCCAGGGCTGCCGAGGCCAAGGACGGTCTTCCCAGCCGAAGCCATAAGTCTGCAGCGAAGACGCTCCACATTCCGGCTTTGCGACGACGTGAACCCCAGTTCATGCCCGGCACTGCACTTCGCGCCGCGTAACAGGCCGAGATGCGTTCGCTGAAGAGACCTTGACCGGTTGAGCCCACTAGACCTTGGTCCATGACCCGCATGGCCCATCTAGCCGCGCTCTCCACCGCCGAGCCACCGCGTGATTTTAGTAACTCCATAGCCAAAGTTAAGCAGCGCAGAGCGTTGGGCGCATCCGAGCATCGGGTCAGGTAGGAATAAGAGGCCGTCTCAAGGAGCTGATCGATGCCATCGATCTTGACTTTGGTTCCCGTTGACGAGGGGCTCAAAAGCAAGCTGACTGCAGACATCTCGTAGGCACCAGCATGATACTTCCAAGCTTTGTCGTTCGCATAGTCAGATCGGAGAAGCTCGTACGTCGACGCCGCAAGCTTCCAGTCGCGGAGCATGAAAGCAAAGTCAGCCATCTTCCGTAGAACAGCCTCGGGCGCGTCGTATCTGTAGTAGCCATGAGCGACATCGTAGTTGCCACTTGCTCCACCAGAGGTCAAGCTCGACCGGGAGCCAGATCCAAACCCAGCCCATCGGCGTGACATGGACATGAATCTTCCGCTAATGCCACGTCTGCGAGACGCTACTTGGTCGTTCCAAACAGCTACTCTGTTTTCCATGTATGGCACGACTGACTGCGCGACTAGTTCCCGAACAAATGCTTTGATCGCCATCACATCCGACTCAAAGACGTGGGGAAGGCCTTCCGTATCAAGGTCCACTAACGGTTCTGGTAGGTGTTAGCTGTCAACGCACATATGTTAAAGCGACCGCATCTCACCTGTCCGTCCGAACAAACGTTCTGACGGCGAGAGCCATTCACATTCGGGCACTTGTACACTATCGTCATCGGTGACAACACACTGATTGCTGCGCAGCCTCAGAAGATGGCAATGCAGTCCGAAATGGCGTTTCATTTGGTCGTATAGCTTTGTTGATTCTGTGATGTCGTCCCGATCCTCATCATGCACGAGTACGTAGTATCGCAGATACTCGGGATTAATCCAGTCGGGCACCTTCTTGTCTCCATTATTGGTGTCGGCATAAAGCCGTCTGAGACTTTCCAGAGGGGCGCTGTTGCGCGAGCTGATGGCAATAACACTGGCCACTGGATGTCGGAAAGTTTCATGTGGTGTTGCCGATGCTATGGAAAGAAGCTGTCGAAGGTAGAGCTTGTATAATGGTGATGTGCTGGGGAAACCCAGAAAGTCCTTTGGGTATAGAGACCCGCCCAGCGGATCGTCCAATGAGCCTAATTGCTTCTCCAGAACCTCCTCCACGTGTGCGAGAGGGGAGCTCCGCCCCGCGCTCAACTCAGAGGGACTTTGATTATTGTTCCCCAACCCGACAAAGCGAACTCCATAATCCTCCCAGCTCCGACTCGCTCCAACACTGTCCCGAATGACAAGCTTTCCAGGTATATTCTCGCCAAATGGCCGGATCAATTCCCAGAAGCCCCCCGCGAACCCCTTTTGCCGTACTAATTCATCGGTGTCCGCTGATGCGTAAACTCCGACTACAGGCGAAAACGACCTTATAATCAGCGAGCGTATCTCCTCCGAGCCTTCGAACCGGCCATCCACGGGGGACCCGAGTGAGGATCGGGCTAATTGGGGGGTTGACGATCGAAAGGACGGAGTGAGTGGTGACGCGGACCGAATGGGGAGATCCGATGTCGTGGAGGAGAGAGGTGGGGGTGGGGATGCGACCCTGGAATTTACCAGGTCTGCATTCAGAGACGGGGAAGAGTCGCGGCGCTGATTTGGATACCTCGTCTTAGAAGCGACACGCGGAACACCGGGCGAGAATGACGGCGGAGGCTTGACCGGAGCAGCATCTCCGGGCGATGTCATGGACTCCGAATGGGTTGCGACGCGACACTAAAAGAAGTTGGTATGAAGAATCTAGAGCCCATGGACTGGGACACCAATGGTAGGAAGGGGTAAGGTTTCAAGTTGAGAAGCGCGCGAGTGGTAGAGCCAGCTGTCAGCTTGGGGGTTGAAGAGGGAGAAGAGAAGAAGAAGATGGGTAAGAGGAGACGGTGCTGGAATGAATGAAGCCACTTCACCGCGGCCGGAAGGTAGGAGAATGGCAGAGTTGAACTAGATAGTGCACGTGAGACACCCCTTTAGCTACATATAGTGTTGATTATTCGGCATAATATCTAGAACTAGACTGATGTATCACAACAACAAGAATCAACAATACACTTCTCGATTGTAATAGGCTCCGAAGTCAACAAGACAACATTACATTATGACTGTGGCTCACTCTGACCTCACCCTGCCGATGGGGAGTAGACCCGAAGAAGCAGGCGGTGAGGCCCGCCCTCATGATTTGCCGGTCGTAGCATTGCTGCAGTCATCCTGGTTTGTTGGCTTGGACTTCTTTATGAGTCGAACACTGTCAATATTCTGTCATACTCCTTTACTGAATTCTGTGAGTCACGGCGGTCATGGCTAGGGTCAATGAGTGCGCAATCCGTCTTCCGTGTCTTTGTCAACTCCCCTCCATTCCGCTCCGCCGTCACTCTTCCTTCACCAATTTATAGCGCTGCTATTTCAAACCCTCCGACATACCTTCGCCCTCAAGCTTCTTCTTTCTGCCCGGATTCGAGACACTGCCCATACAAGCACCGAGTTGCGCCTTTCAGCTCGTTCATGAGACGGCCCAAATCCCGCAGCCCTTCTCAACGTCCGGAGAAAAGACGGCGCCTATCTGGTGCTGCCCCGCGCGAAAACACCATGAGCGAGCCTACCAACACCCCTCCTGAAATCCAGCTCACACCTCTCGAAAATACCCTCAAAACTCTCCTTCTCGATGTTGCGCAGTTTATCGATGAACGAGCCAGCGCAAAAGGCTCTCCCAAATCAGACCTCTCTAGAACCGTTCTGCGATTTACTGGAGGATGGGTGCGCGACAAGTTGCTCGGGGTGAACAGTCAAGACATTGATGTCGGCATCAACAATATGACTGGATACCAATTCGGAACTCTATTAAAAGAATACATGGACATTCCCGGTAACTTGGACAAGTACCGAGAGAACCATTTTGGCGGCAAGTTAGGGAAACAGATTGTCAGTCTGCACAAGATTGAGGCGAACCCGGAGAAGTCAAAGCACCTGGAAACGGTGACGACAAATATCTTCGGCCTGGATGTCGACTTGGTCAACTTGAGAAAGGAAACCTATACGGCCGACAGTCGGAACCCTCAGATGGAGTTCGGAACGGCCGAAGAAGACGCTCTGCGCCGGGATGCCACCATCAATGCCCTTTTCTATAACCTTAACGAGTCGAAGGTCGAAGATCTGACCCGACGCGGTCTTCAGGATATGCAGGATCAGATTATCCGCACTCCGTTGGAGCCATACCAGACCTTTCAGGATGATCCACTGCGAGTGTTACGACTCATCCGCTTTGCTAGCCGCCTTGGATACCGTATACACCCGGAAACAGAGGCTGCAATGCAGAATGCTCACATAAGCGAGGCTCTCAGGCTTAAGATCAGTCGTGAACGTGTCTTGAAGGAGCTTGAAAAGATGCTTCATGGTAAGGAATCGCGCTTGCAGCTCATGCTATGCGTTCTGCTCACACATATCTAGGTCCTGATCCTCGTGGAGCTCTACATATCATCGATTGCCTAGGTCTCTATCCGACTATCTTCGCCAATTTCCAAGATGATGCTACTGTGGAGACTTCATCTTGGCTCTCTGCTTACAATACCGTGGAGCGAATCTTACGCGCAAGTGAAGATGGCCTGCCAGCGAAGCAGGAAGACCTACGAGACTTCCTCATTCGTGATAAACAAGAGGAATACTATGCCTGGATGCTCTCAGCAATGGCTCCGTGGTCGAGGATCCCAGCCCGCCCTGCCAAAGGCAAAGGGCGACCACCACCACCTCGGGCTGCCGAGGTCGCCAGGGACAGTTTGCGAGCCGACAACAAAGTGATCTCTGTTGTAGGAGATGCAGCCACCAGCTGGCAGTCCATCATTGAGGTCAAAAACTCACTGTCGAAGAGGTCTATGGGTGAAGATCCAGTGGAGGTTCGCAAGCTTGTTGGGTTGCACATCCGGTCTTGGAAAAAGGATTGGAGGTTGTGTGTCCTTCATGCTATGCTTCAAGAAGTCATGCAGGGGCGCGAATATGGCTCTGGTGAGAGACTCTCCCCCTTTGTATAAATCTAGCGACAAAAGCTAACTCACTTCCAACGACAGTGGTTGCAGAGTACGCGGCGTTCATCTCGTACATCAAGGAGTCAGACTTACAAGATGTGTACGAATTGAAGCCGCTTGTCAACGGCGACCAAATTATGAAGACAATGGGAGGAAAGAAGGGACCCTGGCTGGCTAAGGCATTGCAAATGGTGATTGATTGGCAACTACTGCATCCGTATTCAACAGACCAGGAGGGGGCACTGAAAGCTCTAGCTGATAAAAGAGAAGAGCTGGGTGTTTGATGAAGGCGGATCCTTGGTATAGAATAGGTACTTGCTAGGTATTCACTAGGGACTTGCTACAATCTCAACCATAAAATATTTCTGTGGTTCCTCGGATTTGTAGTGGGGAGAATTCCGCTGACTGACCGCTCGCTGCGCATACTGCCGTTCATACAAACCATTGCATTCCAACTGCCCCAGAAACTTTCGCTTAAACCTACGTATTTGCTTTATCATCGCCGTTTTGTCCTGTGCCATAAGAACGGGTCCATTCGCTCTAGCAATTTCTCCAGCCTAACGGAGCTTGATTGCCTGTCACCTGCATGATAGATGGAAGAGCTTTGCGCAGCAGCACGTGAATTCCTCCCCGGCGGCGATCTTCAACTCCCGGAGGCTGCCACTGCCCGCTATATTGGCCCAGGGGGATTGAATCAGCTATGGCAGGATATTGCCTCTCAGTCACAAGTAAGACACCTAGTCCCAGGCTCCACACATCTATCACTGACGCAAATACTCCAGACATGTGAGAGTCTACTTGTGGCACAAACAGTCCTTAAGAGCTGGAGCTCTGAGACGTTGTCTGATGCCGACACAGAGGCCGTCGATTGTATCTATGACTGGGCAAGCAACGCATCTCTTCCTTCGTCGATCTTCGCAGTGACGATTGATGAGGCCAGCCGTAAGACATGCTCAAATCAATAAGGAAGTCCGCCGCTAATCATGTTTCTAGAAAATCAACTTGTCGCAATCGACGCAGAGAAGCAGAAATTAGCGCAAGCTATCACGGTGATTTCAAGATTGAATAATCTACGTCCTATCCAGAAGGCAGCCAATCCTTTCGATATCTTCATTGCTCTTGCGAGCTTTTCTTCAGAATCTGATCCATGGACGACCAAGGAGACGCACAAGATCTCGATCGATGTCCTTTCAAAGTTCAGTGCTACTACGCGCTCCGATGGCTCACTATGGGCACTCCTCGAGACGACTTTGAAAGAGAAGATCCGACCTCTTTTCACCAAAACCAGAAACCCAGCCATCACAGCCGAAGGCCGCAAGAATTTCCACCCAGTCCCATTAGCGCGATTCGACCTCACCACGCTTGACCCAGAAGCCAAACCATGGAAGGCGTTTGCCGTGTATTCAGCCACGGTCTTCTCCTGGATCCTCGCTCAATACGATGTGCGTCCCCACTCTGATCCCATCCTCAAGAAACCAGACATGGCTAACCCCAGTATCACCCAGTCGAGCGCGATCTCGCACCTAGAGCGCCAATTCTCGCTGCTCATCCCGCCCATCCTAGCGCTCATCGACGACGAACACCTCCCCCACAAAGTCCGCGGGTGCACGCTTCTCACGCAGCTCCTCCGCCCGATCCGCGAGTCGCAATCAGATATCCTCCACCGCACCAACCTGTGCTCCGTCTTCGAAGACGCGATCCGCCCATGCCTGCTCTCCCTCCCGACCATCACACCGGAAGACGACTCCATCCGCCTCTTAGGAACCGCGTACCAAGCCCTGCACGCCCTGCTGACCACCAGCTACGCGACCACCAACAAACCCGAGCTGATAGCGCGACAGACCAAGACGCTGCGCGATAACCTCATCCCCTCCTTCCACCACATCAGCTCCACCAGCCCGATCACCACCCCATCATCCGCCTCCACTCTAACCTCTTTCCCGCACCCGCGCTTATCCACGCTCCTCCTCAACGAGATCCAAGGAACGGTAACCACCCTCGGCATCGAATCAACCAAATACCTCCAGGAGACCATCCCGCTCATCTACAGCACCCTCACCAACCCCTTCGGCACCGCCCACCCGCCGCTCCTCCTCGCCGCCCTCGGTGTCGCCCGCGCTGTGATTCTGAACGCCCACCCGAGGATCTGGCGCTGGCGCACGGAGATCCTCGGCGCGGTGTGCGCGTGCTGGCTGCATGTCGTTGCGGAGGGGAAGGAGATCCGAGATGGGCGGCAGCGTCCCGAGGACGCTGACGCTGATGACGGGCGGTTGCGTGTGCTCGATAGGCTGAAGATGGAGCTGCAAGGTGTTGCCTATTTGCTGCGGTTGGCGGTGGAGAGTCCTCTGCGGCCAGACGCGCCGGAGAAGGAGGTCCTCGCTGCGGGTGGTGGTGGGTTCGTCAAGGAGTTGGAGGAGTTGGTCGCTGCGGATGTGGAACTGCGGGAGCTGCTTCTGGGAGAGGTGGACAGGACAGATGTGAGGTATTATGGGATTGTGAACGAGTAGATACGTGATCCGATGGGGAGGTTAATTTGTGACTATAGTAGCTTGAGTCAAGGGAGATGTTGGTGCGCTGTAATATACTAAGGTCCGAAATGCGGCCACATTACTCGACTAAATAGGAAGGCAGTCAAACTAGTCAACTCCATATCAATTGAATCTAGGAACGAAGTATCTCGAAATAGCACAATAATGTAACGCCACCCGAGTTCTAATAAGCCCGCCAGGCAGAAACAAAACCCAAGTAGTAGTAACAAGTGACAACATGTGGCAGACAAGGAACGAGAGTGGGGCACACGCGCAAAGGGGTATCATGTCATGACAGGCATTTCGTGAACATAAAGTAGCAGTGCGACGAAAATCAATCAAACGACAAAAAAACACGAATTGACTCATGCCCGGCATGTGAAACTTTTTTCTGTCTTTTCAAATGTCAACGCGTTGCTTGAAAAGACTCTTGCCCCGCAGCCATTGCCGGTAGCGCTTGTATCGCTTCTTATCATAGTCCTCCGCGACGACTGTCAGCCCAGTCTCAGGCACGTTGAGGTACTCGACGTAATCGGCCAGGTTCTCGAGCGCGTTCGCTTCCAGTGTGGCTTCTTCGACGTTGCACTTGTTTGCGTACTCGATGTAGTCCAGGTTGGCTGCGTTCTCGCGGATGGAGGTTGCGGTCAGTTCGTTCTCGGAGGTGACGACGAGGGGCACTTTCAGCGGGTGGTTGATGTAGCGTTCGTATTCTTCGGCTTCCGCGGCAGTGACGGTGGGGTTGAGCGAGTCATGGACGAGTTGGCCCAGGGTCCATTGGGCGATCTGCGCTTTGCTGGGCGTGGTACCGGCATCCAGAGACGACTGAAGGGTCGTGCTGGCTTGAGAGGGTGTTCCGAAGGAGGTGTACGTAGAATGCTTCATGATCCCCGCAGCTGGAAGCTGTTTGTCGGCGGAAAGCGGCTGGTTCAACCAACGCTGATTGGATTGTGAGGTTGTGGAATTGGAACGGCCAATCGCTGCCTTGTCAGGTTCCTGAATCTTCACAGTTCGGGTGGCTTGACGTTCTCGATTGACTTGTTCGTGCGGAATTCTGGGCACAAAAGGGCTGATGTCGTATGGAGCACCGGATCCAGGACGGAAAGGGAGGTACCGGAGGGTTGAATTCATTTTGTAGGAGAAAACCTTCGAGAATGATGACACTGCCAATGGCCGGTAATACTCGAGCCAGTAGTCGTCATAGCGCGACAGCGGGTCTTTAAGTGGCTTGGGAGCAGGCGGCAGTTCAAATTTCTTCAAATTGGCCGGATTGTACCAATTGATATAATGAGGACGTTTTTTGTTTGACCATGATCGTGGATCGGCATGATGCAAATAGTAGTCAGTCGAGAGGTCCCACAGCATTGGCTGTCCCTGAGAGAAGATGTAGTTCCCGAGGAACAAGTTGTATGCCTCTTGACGTTGGGCATCGAGGAAAGAATTATTGTAGTAACGCTTAAAACTTTCCACCATGTCTCGCGAGTGGCTACTCCACTGGTTAATCTTGCGGTATGTAGCCATAGTGTTGACTAGATGAGACCCTCCGTACTGAATGGCGATCGTGTCACCATGGTCATGCCACATATCGGTGAATAGATTGACGGCGTCTGAATCGTATTCCACTGTGGTCCCATCAATAATTCCCAGAGCGTGGAGCTGATGGCCGAGTGCGCGTTTTCCAATCACGAACTGAGCAGCATTTGTACGGTCAAGACAGTCGATGCAGTTAGTCCTCGCTATTCCATTCTGCAGTTGAAGTCCAGATTCTGCATCGACACCATTCTGGAAGAACCCGGTCTTCGGGATGATGTCCCCAGCAATATCCTCTAGAGTCCCAATGACATCTTGGTCGCGACTTTTCGCAGCACGACTCATGTCCCAAGGCTGATATATTATTTTCTTGTCTTCAGGGAGGAATTGATTCAAGTATTGAATAGCATTGGTGTACTCTTTGAGGAGCTTCGATTCTCGCGGAGTCCGTTCCCGAGCTTTGATCAGGTTCAGTGCATAAACCGGAGCACCGTATCTCTCGAACAAGTTGTCGAAATGCAAAGCAGCAGCGGAGTAAAACGGATCTACAAGGTTCAGCTCAATGTCTGGCTTTGGAGAAACACCGGAGTTCTCCTGCGTCCAATAGAGAGGGATACTGCCACGGTGCTGGACGTATGAGGTGTAGAGCGGGTTAGAGTAAAGCAGCGGACCCGGCGCATGGAACGATGTGGCCGACATGTCAGAAACAATCTGCTCGGTCTCGACGTCATTGGCGACATAACCCAGATCGTTAGCCCCTCTCTTCAGAAAACGAGCTCCAGCAAAGAAGCGAGAGCGTCGAGCAATGATTGTTATGTACACGATCCGCCCGTAGATAGACAGTTTGGCTTGCTCCACATAGCCATGAATGATCGGGAGACACCATTCCCAAGGGTTGCGCAGCTTTGTGAGAGCCGGTGTAAGAAGATGGTGGTTCCAGATAAACATCGGATTATAGTCCTGTTGGAAGGGTTTGGGCTGGCCATCGTGCTGAGCTTTGCGCTCACGACAAATATTGCGCTGCAAGGTGTGGGTTATGTCGTAGGAATAACTGAAGTAGAACGACCTAGTCAAGTCCAGATTATTCAGTATCGCGATATATCTTGCCTCCTCGGGATTCTTCTCCGGCCGCAGGCGCGATGAGCTGGAGGTTGTCAAAGAGATCAACTCAGTTCCATCGATCTGGTAGACATAGTGGCCGCCGAGCATAGCAACCTGGCTTCTCTTTGTGACCAGGAGCATGTAATAGGCGTCCGTGAACCGAATGAACCCAAGCAGAGCCCAGGCACTGCATTTGAGCTTCAATCCACCCGAGCTTTTGTTCCCATCATCAATTGTATCCAGCAGCTGGCTCATCTCTCGCTTGCTGTACACGATGTCATCCTCAGAGATGATCAGCTCGCCCGACTCCGAAGTCCGATCTATTTTCAAAATCCGGAACCGTGTATCCGACAAGTCCATGCCAACCATGTAGAATCGTGTAGCTGTCTCGTACAGCGAGAACTTGTGCATGCGGTTGATCCCCTCTTCGCCGCCTGTGTCGAAGAACGCAGATCGCTGCTTTTGCGCGGAGGTAGGTGTCGAGTCCCGCTCGAAGGAGGTTGCAACCTGAGGCTCTTCATCTTCTATTTCATCAACCTCCTCGCTCATAGGTGCCGCGGGGACGGACGGAGCACTGTAGGGCAGTGGGGGGAATGGCGAGGCCGCGCGGGGGGATTTTAGATCATCTTCTAAGTCGAGAAGGCTTCGCAAGGCTGACTCGGGCTGTTCCCCCGGCAGCTTGCTGCTCGAGCCGGAGGTGAAGGAGGTGTCTGCATAGGGGAAATTGAAGTCAGTCGGAGAGTCTGGAGAGCTGCTACCAGCTTGAGAAGCTCTGGAAGAACGACCGCCATCGAGATGACCGACACTTCGATCTTCTCCCCCATCGCGGGGAATGGGAATCCCATCAAGGCTATCCATGGTAGCAGCTGAAGCTCATGGAAGCTCGTCCCAGAAGATCAGAGATTCGCGATCTCAGCAAGCCATGGCAGTTCTCCCAAAACCACCATCAAGAGGATTCGATTTGGCGGTCGAGATCGATGGGCTTGTGTTGTGTTTGAAGAACATACCGGTAAGTTTGGTATTGAAATTACCCATGGCTGGCTGTGGTGACGTCACTCACGTCTTCCCGCTCAAGGCACGTGATGCCACATGATGAGAGGTGAACTAGGAGAGAGATGGTTGAGGATGAGATTCAGGCCCTGGAACTTTTTTTACAGCAAGGTAAAAAGTAGGCTGAGACCTATCACGACATGCTCATCCGTGTTACTATTGCTAATTTAGTGAATGTATGAGGGTGGAGACATAGATGTTCACTCAGATTGTTTGGATTCTTTTTGGAAGGAAATATCAAATCCACCAAACAGAGTAGCTCTAATTAAGGACCCTGCCTATGGAAAAGCTTCGGTCTGCAGTATGCTTAATCTGATCTTTTTACAGAGCGTTTACAGTGCCTTCGTTACAGGTGGAATGGATAGATTTAGCCCTGCCCTGGTCTACCGCATCTACTTCCCAACCCTCGGCTGTGAATTCTCCCGATGAGCAATGCGTCAAGCTAGCCAGGCACGTTGAGTTGCCGTGCAGCTTTTGGATCGCGGTGTGTAACAGAAGAGCCAAGGCGTACATTGAGTTCAAGGTCTTGACCCCAAGAAATGGACGTCTCCCTTAGTGATGTGAGTAGCAATGCTTGGGTTAAAGCAACAATTGTCCATCCAGATGACCGTTGATAACATCCTGCGATGAGCTTCCGCAAGTTGACTAAAGAAACAGGGCCGAGTTGTTTGTCTTGCGCAAGCTCGATTGGCAAGTTGACCGAGACAGCCAACCATCTCTCAATGCCTTACGAGCATGCAACTTCTAGCTGGACGGGCACAAACGTTGGAAATCTATATTTCGCATGAGGTTTTTCGCAATGCTTCGACCTAGGTGAATCACTGTGTGTAAAAGTGACTATTGGGAAGTCAGGCAGCAGTACTGTCTCGTTATAACCCTGTCAAGATCTGGAAGTTGTCATGATAGTAACCGATTGCATCTCCGACCTGACTCTCAATAGCTATCAGCGACTCAGCATGTGTCGCGAGGGGATTTCTGCGTAGCACGCAGAATTCTCCATTCAGCCTGCCAGGTTACGATGCAAATGATGTTCGAGAATTTTTGGAAACGACGCAAGTTAGATTCCACTGTGACATGGCTGATTCTTTTCATCGAAGGTCAGCATGAGTGCATGTCTGAGCTGCTTATATACTGTACATATTTCCTGGTCTCTGTAGCAAGACCCATCGCATCTCTCTCGTGATCCGCTTGAGTATCTTGGCTGTGGCTATATAGCCTCGATCGTGATCAGTCAACCTGGCACGATATCGAGGAGCTCTCATCGCGAGGCCTGCAAGTATCTGTGTCGTTTGTGAATATGGGAAGTTGTCCCAGATTCCCAATTGACTGGTCTCTTTGCGAATGGATTCGCTAACGCGAAGTTTGAATTCGGCAAGTGATAATTAGCTGATTACCTCAGGGCTAAGTCATTATCACAAATCCCGATACTTTGTAGGGCAAGAATTGGAATTAGCTGACTATTTGAGATCGAGCTCCGCAACTAGAGCCGTGGTCTAGATAGTAGGCAAGGGGGTTCTCCGCATCTTTACCCCAAACTCCCTAATTCAGCACCCGCGTGGGGAAAAGCAACCCCCCAAACCGAACATAGTAACTTTCCCCGCTCCAAGTACATCGATGTTCTCTCAACATGAAGCACAAAACCAGAGCACGCAATGCCACAGAGAAAATGGCAGCAGATCTGATGGAAGCCTGTCATATATAAGCTTCTCGGGGTAAGCTGAAGTCGCCTTGGGTTCCCAATTCCATTCCTAGCTCGTCCAACCAACCGAGTCCCATCCGTCCCAGCGCAATCACAGAAGTCATCACACACATGGTTCTCTTGAATTACAATCCCTCCATAACATGAAGCGAGTTCGAGGAGCACTTTGCCGTCTTCCTGGCGCTGAAGGATAGGTGCAAGAAGCCAGATACTGGGCGACCTTACATGAAGAGCATGAAAGCGGGTGCGTGGGTGATAGGGCTCATAGAGCGATTGCGGGCCAGGAGCTAATCTTATACATTATTTGAGCGATGAAGGCAAGAATTGCAGGTGGGAACCGTTCAGCAAAGGATCGACACATGGCTTCGTACTGGATTTCGAGAACCAAGCGGACCTGGATTACTATTTGACGGAGGATCCGGTCCATCTGAAGTTTCCAAGAATGCGGCGCCGTTGATGTATGTTTTGAGACGCAGTGGGACAAAGATCGATGCTAACTCTTGCCTGCAGTGAAGATTCGATTGTAATCGGTAAGCCTGCACCAATCCACCAAGTCCAAATCACAGGTACCCATACTGACGAGACGGCATCCTTCGGCCCCCAGCAGAGAAACCCACCATCGGCGCCGGAACCTTCCACGGCAGCTGCCCCTGTGGCGACTGTTCCTGGACCGCCGAAATCATTGAACCCGAACACATCCTCTGCCACTGCGAAACAGATCATCCACAAGGTGTGTTGGCCCTCTACTCCCCCTCCTGTTCTTCCAACGGCGTACATGGGTGTGCGCGCGCAAAGCATACACCCAATGCATTGTGCATAAACAAAACAAACTGATCGCCAGGATGATGGTGGTGGTGATGACAGGATCAACTGCGAATCATCTCCGGAAAACCCAGCACCGATACCTACACCGGAGCTTCCGGAAACCCCGTCCACTGCTACTTCTGTCCCAATTGCACCTCGCACATCTACCATCATCAGGCCGTCATGGGAGACCGACTCATTATCCGGACCATCTTGCTCGACAACGGCGCGCGCATGCCGCCCCGCCGGCGAGATCTTCGCGGAAGGGAAGCTGGCGTGGGTTGATGCGCTTCAGGCGGAGCTTGAGAAGCGATAATGTTAGTGGGGAGAATTGAGAGGCTGGAGACTTTGCAGATCTCACGAGGTTGTGTGGTCGCCATTTAAGTTACATGTAGTGAAATTGATGCTTGGCTCGACGAAAAAATGGACGTGCGTTGTTTCAATATTTATATGATAGTTTGTCCAAATGTAAGGGTTCTTGAGATGTTATAATACAGTATATCTTATTTTATTTGAAAATACAGCGTTGTGCGCTCTTACTCGAACTCCCTTCCGAACCTGCGCGTACGGATTGATCCAAGCATAACAGCTCAGATCAACAAGAAGATGCGGCAGAGGTCGTGGCCGGGTTTGTGTGCACAAAAGCAAGGATGTCTTGCAATTGTTTCCGAATATCCTGACATTGCCAGCGCCGACGAGGATCGGGATCCAACATACCTGCAATGCAACTCGCCAAGGACTCTGCAACAGTGTCCCCGTTGCTCAGCACTATGCTGCCCATGTCAACTTCATCCTGAAAGTCTTTGGGGACATATGCGCCCCTGAAGGACGCAGCCGTTGGCTTTTTGTACGGTTTCTTTTTGTACGGTTTGTACGGCCCGTCCGTCAAGACTTCCAAAACTAGTTGGCGTTCCATCCTCGTTTTCAAGGGGTACAGCAACTCAAACAGAATGATGCCGAGCGAATAGACATCAAGCGACCAGTCGCAGACATATCTGCCCGGCTGCTCGCCTTGAGTGTATCGACGAACGAACCCGCTTGAAATCATTCCGCTTGAGTCCAGAGGCGGGCGGTAGAACTCCGTGCCTACAACGTGGTTGATCGTCGACCCGTGTTCTGATGACTGGGCTGTCTCGTCCCGCGGAGTCTCGTTCAGATGCGAGAGATCAGCCACAAGGCCAAAGTCCCCGATCCGAGGCTGGCAGTAGTGAAGACCTGGGCCACCGTCGGATTGGCAGCGGGGACAGCTATGGGTGTGATGCTTTTCCGGACATGACAGGAAGATATTGGCCGGCTTGAGATCACGATGGATGATGTCCTTCGAATGCAGATAAAGTACTCCGGAAAGGATATCCAACATGAGTTGTAAAGATGGTATCAAATGAAAGCAGTGGCGGCGCGGTGGGCTCCCTTCTGGATGTGTGCATTCGCTGGGTTCAGGGCTCAGATATGCGTGGAGAGATATTGGATGCATTGACATTTGAATATGCAGGATTAGTGCAGGGATTTGTTGAGTGCTCTGGTTGCGTCGAACTTGCACCGAAACTTCGTGACTGCGGTCATCCGTAAAGATGTCTTCGGTCGTGCCCCCGATTGAAGAAAGCTGATCCTGGGAGGGATTGTCGGGGACGTAAGGGGCTGACTGGTCTTCGTCTTCGCTGTCTATAGTTGTGACCTTCGATGTAGACGAGCATCGAACGGAAGCCGAAGCCTCTGAATTCTCAAAGACAACTGGAAGTGGCTCCTTCCGGTTGTCCGTGATAGAGTGGTATGAAAAGCTCATCTGCGGGGATAACCTGTCAGCAATTGAGGATGTTTCTGATGTGGGAGCATCATAGTCGAGGGGATTTACATGTTCTGCCCAAGCGCTGTAATACCGCACGACATTTGCATGATCGAGTTTTGCGATTGTTCGAATCTCTTTCAAGATAGTCTCCAGCTGGTTTTTCTTGCCAGCTTGCAGTTGCTCCATTCGTCGCTTACTGATAGGTATCCTCTTGATCGCGTAATTTTGCCCATCAAAGTTATTTTTCACATGGTAGACCTCCCCAAATGAGCCCCGACCTAGCACGCCAATTTCAGAAAAATCACGGGCGTAACGCGACATATGTATGCCGTGGCTCTGAGAAATGTTGTCGAAAAGAGGAAACGGCGACGCCGAGTTTCCCAGGAATGGAGGCAGAGGCAGCTTCCTGGCTATCCTGTCCATGTCAAGCTGCAGGTCCTCAAGGGGTATGTTAGTTCGGGGTGACGCGAAGATCGAACGACCTTTCGTCGAATGGAGCTGTATTTCGCTCGAGGGCTTCGATCCTGCTGTTCCCTTGGACGCTTCATGTTTTCGCATGCCTTTTAGAGCATCCCGAGCAAGCACATCCAGCGTGTTTCGGTAAAATTGTCTCGTAGGCCCCATTTCCTCCTTTTCCGAGCCTTCCTGGAGAACACCAGCCTTAGAGAGGAATTGGGATTGATGAACGTACATCTGATTTCCCAAATACAATGCCTCGGGGGAGTCTCGGGTGTATTGTGCCTCTGAGCCTGGTTGCGAGTTCAGTATATCCGCAGCTCGTGACTGACAATAGAACTCGAGAAGGGCGGCAGTCACCATCTTTCCATGGCCCTCGGGGTCATGATGTTCTTTCAGTGACCGAGGAGGCGACAAGACGCCTTTCTTTTTCTTCTTCGTCTGCTCCGACTCTTGCTGCTCAGAGCTGGCTTGGCGGTCGACATCTGGGTCATCCTCATGCTCGCTCTCCTCGGGACTGGGAGAAGAAGATGACATCTCCGAAGGTTTTCGAAAACTGATGACAGGCATTGAACGAAAGGAAGGATAGTCGATTCAATGCCAGGCTATATCCAGACGGTGTAAAACCAACCAGTCACCAATTAACTGGGAGATAGTACAGACAAGTATAAATACCAGCCGCTTCAAAGAATCCTCTTGTCTGATTAGCAGAAATGCCATGAGAAACAGAGAGGAGGGTTTCCTCACCCAGTGGCAGTAGCAGTCTATATACGCAGTGAGAGATAATAAGCTTAGTGTACACGTTTCGCTAGCGAAGCGCAGCTGTAAGAAATTCCACAGTAGTTCTTTGAGCAGCACTGCGATCTTATTGTGCCTATAATCAATTTAAGGAATAGCTCCGCTCTGCCTTTCTTAAAATCTTCCATCAGATTCTAACGGAAGATGCCATCTAAGGAGCACAGCCGAAGGGGTCTGTGTCAACCCCAAAGCGTGCAAAGAGATGTGGAATTTGGTGAACCGCAAAGGGAGTTCTACAAGAGACGGCAATAACTTGTGAACACAACGATAACAACAAGGATAAAGACTATGACAAACGACTGGGAATTGAGATCGGATGCAAGATCTAGCCTGGTTGGCGCGAAGTGGGGGGAGAAGTGCCTGAGTCACCGCATCCCGCGTTTCTCTGCCTCAGGCAAGATCGATGGACTGTCCATCGCCACTTCTCGCTGGCCGACGTCGGCCGCCAAAACAACCCATCAATCGTCCACAACACAAACTCAATGGTTGATAAAGCCCGGGCTAGTGCTTCAGAGCTCCGAGATTTGCCCGAGAATGCCATCATACCACACTTCAACGGCACGAAGCGGTGCAGAAGACGGATAAATGTGGGGTGGGCAAGAGCGAGCAAGCACTGGTCACTATGATTCAGTGGGGGGAGGCAGGTATACGAGATGACTATCTGGGACAAATCCGCCGAGACACACGCGCGGCCATCTTGGCTGCCCCAGTTCTCCTGGAGGATATATACCAGTGTTGGCCCCGAGTATTGTCGTCCAGAGGCGCAGAACTTGGACAAGATGCAAGCATCACACACCGCAGACATCGCCGTTATCGGCGCCGGCATCGTGGGCTCGGCCCTGGCATACTTCTTATCTTCCTCTGGAGACAGCAAGAAAATCGTCTTGATTGATCGTTCCTTTACGCCGCTGAAGGGCTCTACTGGCCACGCCCCTGGGTTTGTTGGCCAATACAACGAATCCGATGTCCTCACTCGTCTGGCCAAGGATACGGTCAATGAGTACAAGAAAATCCCCGGTGGGTTCGATGTGGTTGGGGGACTCGAGTTGGCTACCAGCCCTGCGGGAGCGGACCGCCTGAAACAGCGACATGACTCGGCCAAAAGGGCTGGTCTCGAAGCCGAGCTCATCTCTCCTGAAAAAGCAATCAGCATGGCCCCCGCTCTGATGCAGGGGGATTACACCGCCGCGTTGCACTTCGCCGGTGACGGTGCCGCCAACGCCATCAGAATCACCACTTTCTTCCAAGACGAAGCACGGGCGAGAGGAGTCCAGCTTCTGCAGGCGGATGCGACAAAGATCCATGAAGCCAATGGCCAGGTAAATGGTGTAATGACCACTGCTGGATTCGTTCAGGCCAAGAAGGTCGTCATTGCAACTGGGATCTGGGCACCGGAGCTTTGCAGCTCCCAGACGCCAATCCCCATCGTTCCAGTCGCACATCCCTACATGTACGGCGAGTACCATGAGTTGAGTGCGCATAAGGCACCTTGGGTCAGATGGCCCGAGCATCACGTCTATGCCCGTGACCACGGTACCTTCTATGGACTAGGCTCCTACGACCATCCACCATTCGCCCAACAACCGAGCGAGACCGCCATTGGCAGCTGGATTGAGGACTTCACCGCAACATTAGATACCGCTATGAAGTTTATTCCCGAGCAGACAAAGTTGGTTATCAGGGAGAAATTCAACGGCATTTTCTCTATGACACCAGACAACATGCCGTTGGTGGGCTTGGTTGCTGAAACTGCTGGGCTGTACATGGCGGCTGCCGTATGGGTGACCCATGCAGCTGGATCTGCCAAGTTCTTGACTCAGCTGATTCAGGGCGAGGCAGTTGATGGTACCTTGAAGAAAGCCTTGGACCCCAACAGATTCCAGGGACGGGAAATGAAGGAGTTGACACAGGAGTCCTTGGACGGGTACAATCACATCTACAAGACAGTGGCAAGCTCAGAATAAGTCACTCTATAAAGTGAGATCGGCACGGATCAGCCGCGATGACATGATACCGCAATCTCGAGGGCTGTACATATTCAAAGCTTCGCACGGTCGTCCGCTGCCGACCGTTTATACTGAACAGCAAAACTATAAGCCGGATCATAATGCATATCCCAATACTTGTCCCAGATCACGCTTGTAAGCGGCCCGACCTTCCCATCACCCACCGATCGACCATCCAGGGTCGTGATTGGCATAATCCCTCCAGCCGTCGTACACATGAAGATCTCATCTGCTTGGTAAGTCAGCTCCACTGGAATTGGCTCCAACCGAACCTCCAACCCAATCCTCTGCGCAATCTCCATAACACTCTTACGCGTGACACCATGCAGCACTCCCCGATCAGCGGTATAGATCACCCGGTCCTTGACCAGGACAACATTATACCCCGCCCCCTCAGTAAGATGCGCATCACCATCCGTCAAAAACGGGTACGCCGCCCCCCTGTCCGCCGCCTCCAGACACCCACGAATCAAATCCCCCCACTGCAGATTTTTGACTGTCGGATCGATCGCACCGGGCGGCACACGCCGTACCGTGCGCGCGATGATCGCATCGCCGCCCGTCCGCTGCATCTCGGGCTCCATGACCCAGAAGTACGGCTTGATGAACAGATACAGGTTGTTGGTGAGAGTGAACGGATCCTTGCCACGGACAACCTCGAGACCGCGCGTGACGATCAATTCGACGTAGGCGTCGCGGATACCGCTGCGGGAGAGCATTTCGAGAAGAATGCGAGTGATCTCGTCGCGCGGGACAGGGAGTCTCATGCGGAGTTTCGCGCAGCTGAGCTCCAGCCGTGAGAGGTGGTCGTCGAGCCGGAAGAAGCGCCCGTCCCAGACCCCGGGGACGTCGTAGGTCAGATCCCCGCGAAGAAAGCCCTCATCCAGGAGGGGAATACGCGCTTGATGGAGCGGCGTGAAGGTGCCTTCGATCCAGGCGATGCCTTTGGTGAAGGGGTTGTCGGTGTTGGCTTCTAGTGTGGCTTTGCGAGCGGAGTAGCCGGCGAATATCTTGTCCATGGTGGTCATGTTGGTGGTTTGGGAGGATGAAAGCAGGTTGCGAGCGTGTAAATGAGCTGGTGCTGATGGTATATTTTTTGGTGCGCGGAGGTTGTTGGTGCTGAAAGAGAGGGGTCGAACGTGAGGGGAACACAGCAGCCTTTGGGGCTTGCGTTTCATTGCAGATGCCATGCTTATCTCTCCATCTTCACTCGTTGATCTCCTCATCATGACTAACCCACCACGTGGGCGGAAATGATGTCCTGCAATTGAAGAAAGCCGTGAATAGCCGTTTGGGATCTCTAACAGTCAACGTTGGCAACTTGAGGTACAGCGCACTCTGCTCTAGAAAAACGATGTATGGCCATTGAAGGGCCCGAGAATATGCACTTCGGTACCCAGGCTAGAACACACTGTGTCAAAGAGTGTTTTCATCACGTCCGAGGTGTTCCCGATTTGATTATGAGATGGAAGGCTAAGTCATGTTCAGATAGTGCGCAACACGGACGGCTGCGGTCGATGCCGATAATTCGCAAGATGGAGTCAAAAGGTCAAAGGGCGTCCAATGGACAGTCGGTATGCTTTCAGAGGATGCTTGGCTGCAGATTGTGTTACATCAGTTCCAGCCCGCTATTGCAGCAAGGCAAAAGCACTTTGCAGGCTAGTTCCTGAAAAAGGGCTTGAGTTGAGCGGAAGGAGACTGGTAGGGCAATGGCCTCCCCATTTCCCGGTATACTTTGACCTCGTATAGGCTGAATACTTCCATGTAAGCCCACATCGGGCATGTTTCTTCCGTTCTAGCAATCTGCTGAATATATAATTTCACGCAATGGCGACAGTTGGCCAATGCAAATTATATGACTCATAACTTCAGGTTGTTGCAAGGGTGTTGGATGTCTTCGAGGAAGAACTGGTAGCATATCGTCTGATAGTATTACCCAACAACATCAATCCAAGCGCAAACAGCAGGTATAAATAGAACCAGAGTATCCTCGTTGTCCAGAAATCCAACGACAACTCTATTGCCTCCAAGCGTTCACCATGGCTTCTCAAGCAAGCAACCACCCCCTCAAGCATGTATCCCCGCACATTCTATCGCTGCTTTCCAAGCTGCATAACCAATCCGCAGCCCAAGAAGCTAATCTGAGTTGGGATGACTTCGAGCCGGAAGCTGTCGATGAGAAAATGCGCGACAAGTTTATCGCCATCGAGCAGGACAAGGCCTATTTTCTCTACCAAATGGGCCTCGCAACTCAAGCAAAGACCATTGTCGAGGCTGGCACCTCCTACGGTGTGAGCACCATCTATCTCGCCCTGGCCGTTGCAGCCAATGCCGCAGTTACGGGCGTCCCAGGCAAAGTTATCGCGACGGAGCACGAGCCTGAAAAATCTAAGAGAGCTCGAGGGAATTGGGATGCATGCGGAAGCCCTGTCAGCGATGTCATTGAGCTGCGAGAGGGTGATATCAGGGAGACTTTGAAATGCGACCTGGGGGAGGTAGACATGCTACTGCTGGATAGTGAGTGACGGGATTCCATGCTCTGCTCGTAACAAGGATAGTATTGTGCTGATAGTGACAGTCTGGGGCCCGATGCTACTCCCTGTTCTGAAATTGGTACAGCCAGCATTGAGACCTGGTGCGGTGATCATCGCCGATAACACGATCGCTGCTGCAGAGCACTGCAAGGAGCTTCTTGACTACATGCGAGCTCCAGGAAGCGGTTTTCGGAACCTCACGCTTCCGTTCAACAATGGGCTCGAATTGAGCGTGTATCAACCATAGGGATCTCAGTGAGACTGGATAGCAGGGGTGGAAGGTCGGATCGAACCAGCAAATCTGTATTGAAAATTGAAGTGTTGATGCAAGCATGTTGGTGACATTGTAACCCGGTATGCGACTCCAACAGAAACATAGCCTTATTGATGTTGTTTGCCAATATCTGAAAGCTCTCACTGTAAGTGGAGGTTAACAAAGCCATATTGTAGTATGAAAGGACACCAGGTCAAGAACAAAGCTAGGTCTTCGAATAGAATCGGCGACCCCCGTCTACAGCTGAAACTGCTGTATATCGCGACTACAAATGCTGAAAGATTCATGACGTCATTGACAAAGCACTGTGTAATTGACATAACGTCCGTTGCTCGTTCAAGTTAAGAGAGTGCATTTTTGGTGGCAGCAAATTGGCTGGTTGTGTCGTCGGAGACAACATTTTAAATCCCGTAGCAACGCGAGCAGCCCGCGGTGGAGCTGGAGAGGAAGTGGAGATGATGACCTCCATCGCCCCTGAGCGTGCCAGCCAGATCATCACGTGACAAACACACTCAACGCGTAGAGGGCGTCACGTCACGGCGCGAACGGGACACGAACTCGCATTAATTGGAGCGCAGTTTCCCGCGACCCCAGCATCGCCGGCTCAACTTCCCTGAAGATCAAGCACCCCCATCCTATCTTGCGCTTCTGTCACGGCTGGTAAGGGTTCTGGAAGGGCAATTGCTATTGTTCGTCATATATGAACACTCAAAATGCCTGAAGCCGTCACCATGCCCCAGAAGCGGGTGCTGGGCGAGGCAACGAACAACCCTCGCGGCAGCACTCCGAAGTCACCAACTGCGCTCAAGAAACGCAAGCTCGAGAATGGGCCTTCTTTCAGAGCCAGCCAGGGCCCACAGGCCCAGCGGAGAGTCCCTGGCTCCAGTCAGCCACAAAAGAGCCAGTTCGAGGAGGAAGTTCTCGAGAAGTTGACCCAAGATATGAATGGGTTAAAACGGAACAACTCGGAGAAGGATCAGCAATGGGAGCGTCCGCCGCTCGGCGAGTTTGACCCTTCCAAGGATAATATTTGTTTCCAACAGATCGATGCGGAGGAGGGTGCAATTCACGGCGGGAAAACCGCAGTTCGACTTTTTGGAGTTACAGAGGTATAGTCGCGCAGTTGCCCTTCTCCCAGTTACGTGCTTATAATCTTCGATAGGCCGGCCAGTCTGTTCTGCTCCATGTCACAGGTTTCCAACACTATTTGTACATCGCGGCCCCCGTGAACTTTACGAAAGACGACTGCGAGCCTTACCGAGCGTTCCTCGAAAGTCGGATCGGACAATTTCAACCTACAATCCAGTCGGTACAGATAACAATGAGGGAAAACATATACGGCTTTCAAGGCAATCAGAAGAGTTATTACCTCAAGATCACGGTCACAGAACCGAAGCACGTCAGCAAACTCCGCGGCGCTTTGGAGAGCGGAGGTGCGCAGAGTCTCAACTACAAGGGTCTCTGGAATAACTCCGATGGCGGAATTCTGACATTTGACAACATCCAATACCTTCTTAGGTTCATGATTGATGTTGACATCTCGGGCATGTCATGGGTTGAGGCGAAGGCCGGAAAGTACCGAATATTCGGTCCACGGGAGAAGATGTCGAACTGTCAGATTGAAGCGAGTATAGATTATCGCGATCTGATTTCGCACCATCCGACTGGCGAGTGGGCCAAGATGGCACCCCTTCGTATCTTATCGTTCGATATTGAATGTGCTGGTCGCAAGGGAATCTTTCCAGAACCAAACCAAGACCCCGTTATCCAGATCGCGAATGTTGTCACTCGTTACGGAGAGTCCAAGCCTTTCATTCGCAACGTCTTTGTCATGGACACATGCAGTCTTATCGTCAATACTCAGGTTTTGGAGTTTCAGGATGAGTCTAAGATGCTGATGGCTTGGCGCGACTTTGTCGAGAAAGTAGATCCAGACGTCATTATTGGATATAACATTGCCAACTTCGACTTTCCGTATCTTCTGGATCGGGCCAAGCATTTGAAATGTACTGGCTTCCCTTACTGGACTCGACTGAACGGGGTGGCGTCGATCGCTAAGGACACGAACTTTTCCAGCAAGCAGATGGGCAACCGCGACACGAAGTCGACAAACACTAACGGCCGAATCCAGCTGGATCTGCTTCAATTGGTACAGAGAGACCATCATTTGCGAAGTTATACATTGAATTCCGTTTCCTACGAGTTCTTGGGAGAACAGAAGGAAGATGTGCACCACACGATGATCACTGAGCTGTATAACGGCACGCCAGATTCCAGGCGACGTTTAGCAGTTTATTGTTTGAAGGATGCATACTTGCCTCAGAGACTGATGGACAAACTGATGTGTTTGGTCAACTACACTGAGATGGCAAGAGTCACAGGTGTGCCTTTCAACTTCTTATTGTCACGAGGTCAACAAGTCAAGTTCATCAGTCAGCTGTTTCGAAAAGCATTGGAGCAGCAGCTGGTTATCCCCAACATGAAGTCCACGGATGAGCAGGATTATGAAGGTGCCACAGTCATTGAACCTGTTAGGGGCTACTATGGAGTGCCTATCGCAACTCTTGATTTCGCATCCCTATATCCTTCTATTATTCAGGCGCACAACCTGTGCTATACCACGTTGCTGAACAAGAACAGTGTAGAGAGGCTCAAGCTCAAGAAGGATGAAGACTATATTGTGACACCAAATGGCGATATGTTCTGTACAGCCAACGTCCGCAAAGGACTTCTGTCCCAGATTCTCGAGGAACTGTTGACAGCCAGAAAGCGGGCAAAGAAGGAACTTGCTGTTGAGACTGATCCATTCAAAAAGGCAGTTCTGAATGGAAGACAGCTGGCTCTGAAGATCAGTGCCAACAGTGTTTACGGTCTTACGGGTGCAACCGTTGGAAAGTTACCATGCTTGCCAATCGCCAGTAGTACGACCAGTTACGGCCGTCAAATGATTGAGAAAACAAAGCAAGAGGTCGAAGCCAGATATACCATCGCCAATGGGTACTCCCATGATGCCAAGGTCATCTACGGTGATACTGACTCTGTTATGGTAAAATTCGGTGTGAGTGAGCTGGAAGAGGCGATGAAGCTTGGACAAGAGGCATCCGAGTATGTCTCTTCGAAATTCTTGAAACCCATCAAGCTTGAATTCGAGAAGGTCTATTTTCCGTACCTCCTCATCAACAAGAAGAGATATGCCGGGTTGTATTGGACGAATCCCAAGAAGTACGACAAGATGGACACCAAGGGTATCGAAACCGTTCGCCGTGACAATTGCTTGTTGGTACAGAATGTCATCGAGACGGTGTTGCACAAGATCCTGATTGATCGAGATATTGATGGTGCCCAAGAGTAAGAGCCCCTTCCCTGCTCTAGCACGTGACCTGCTAACTTGCCTACAGCTATGTCAAGGACACTATCTCGGATCTCTTGCAAAACAAAGTGGACATGTCAAAGCTTGTGATTACCAAGGCACTTTCTAAAGATGCATACACAGCGAAGCAGGCGCACGTGGAACTTGCCGAGCGTATGCGGAAACGTGACGCTGGATCTGCGCCTACCCTTGGAGATCGTGTCGCGTACGTCATCGTGAAGGGTGCTGGAGGTTCGAAAAACTACGAGCGATCCGAGGATCCTATCTATGTCTTGGAGAACAACATTCCTATCGACACCAAGTACTACCTTGACAACCAGCTCGCCAACCCACTGGGTCGTATCTTCGAGCCTATCCTTGGCGAGAAAAAAGCCAGCCAACTTCTTACCGGCGAACACACTCGGTCCATCTCTGTCGCCGCACCAACTATGGGAGGGCTGATGAAATTTGCGAAGAAGACCCAAACGTGCTTGGGTTGCAAGAAACCCCTATCGCGTAAAGAGGAAATGGCCGGTGCTGTGTGCGAATACTGCCGCCCTCGCCTTGGCGAACTCTACAGTAGATCTTTGAACAAAGTGTCGGATTTGGAGGTCCGTTTTGGACGTCTGTGGACGCAGTGTCAGCGGTGTCAAGGTAGTTTGCACAGCGAGGTCATTTGCTCTTCTCGCGATTGTCCTATTTTCTACATGCGTATGAAGGCGAAGAAGGACGTTGAAGACTCGCAGAAAGAGCTGGCTCGATTCGATTTTGACGCTGGTGCATGGTGATTATGATATCTAGGTTGGGTATATGTTACATGCGTTGTATATCTACTTCATTGATTGTTTGGACCTGGGCGCAATGGCGTATTGGAAAATGGCTCGGAGTTTAGAATCTGTCTTCCTACGCAGCATGATAGTCTTGTACGGCGACTTTTATGAAGAATGCATAATATCTTACCCACGCGGAGTCTCCGTTGCTCGCTCTGTCTAGGTAGCTGATCCAGCTTAGTATGCGGGTCATTCCTCGTGTTTTTGTTGCTGTATCAGAACTACGCAAGAGCCACATTGGCCAATGCTGAATTCAAGCGCGCAGATTAGTTAACCCCCCCGGGCTAATTTTGTTGCCATCAAAACGAAGTTGGGTTGGAATCATGGATGAATGTGCGAAGAGCTGTTGGTGATTGGCTGGATCGGATAAATATCCTTTAGCGGTTAGCGAGTGGGCCTCGTTGAAGTGCTTTGTCATTCATTGCTCTTTCCTTCGTTTTCAGAACATGATGAAGTATATCGCCGGATTTAATCTCCATTTTTCATTTTCCATCTGCTATCTATTGCCTAAAGATAAATGACATAGCGCTATACCTGCATGAGTCATCGCGCTGGTCCTCGTTTCCACGATGACAGTATGCAAGCGTCTCAGCGGCGGCGGGATGGCTGCACCGAGTGCAGAAGGAAGAAAGTAAAAGTAGCGTCACCTTGGTTACTCCAGATTCAACTGTTCTTGACTAATGCTGAACTGTAGTGTGACTTGCAGAAGCCTGTATGCTCAAGATGCCAGCGATATCCGAAGGGGTGCGAGTACAATCTGAGTGTCATTGGCCAAGTACCCAAACCTCGTTCCAGAAGACTACAGCCTTGTGCATCCCACTCGGAAGTTGCAATTACCAGACAAAGCCACTCGAGCATTACAAAAAGCTTAGGAGCCTTGATCAATCAGCCCCAGTTCAACTTCTCGCCTGTTCTGTCATCCGAGGAATTCAGGTTCTTCATGCATATCTTCGGCACCGAGACAGCACCCAGACTATTTCCCGCCGCGCCTGACCTGTTTCTACAGCGAATGATCAGTGCGTCCTTGGAGACACCGCACCTTCTGTATGCTTTGCTAGCTGTCGCCTGCAGCCATCACAGTCGTCTTGTGCAGGATACCAGTTCGTCGTCGAAGATGTCCTGTCTGAAATTCACAAACCTTGCGATTTCCAGCCTGCGCTTTACGATCAGCGGCTGCAGTGAGAAACTGAGTACTGAAACCGTCGCTACGGCAATGGCACTATGCACGAATGACGTCTGTAATGGAAACATGCATGTCTGGAGAACACATCTCGGTGGAGTCAGACAGCTTCTGAATGCTTTCTTGTTGCGGGAGAAACCTTGCTGGGTTCAGGATTCATACATCCAGTCCCTCGTTAAATGGTTCATGACCTTGGATTTGATTGCAGGTCTGTCGGGACAGTACCATACAATCCAGACTCCTGAAATGGCAAATGAGCCTTCCAAATTGATTCTCGATCAAAGTCATGGCCATATTGATGATGTCTGCGGCTACTCATTGGAGCTAGTGCCGTGTCTCACCCAGCTATCACGGCTTGTCTATCAGCAGCATATCATCGCAGGCATACAAGATGAAATATCACAACGGACGGTCTCGCAAGATACCAACTATCTTGAGGACAAAATTAGGCTACTTCTTGGCAGTAGCATCTCAGACACAACTCTGAGAAGCAAAAAAGAACTTGCCCTGGAGCTACAATATACCCATTGTGCCTTCGTCCACGCCGCCCTATTGCATCTCCACCGCCGTGTCCAAAAGCTCCCAATCAGTCACCCGAAAGTCAGAGCCGATGTTACAGGAATCATTCATGCCATAGTAAATATCCGACCGTTCTCCGCCGCGAATATACTCATTCTCTGGCCTGTCTTCAGTGCTGGTTGCGAGACTGCTATTCACAATGAGCGGGCTGTCATTCAGGACAGAATGGCCAACATGCAAAGTCTTGGCATGGGTAACTTTACGAGAGCTCGGGAGCTGCTGAATAGATTCTGGACGTCTGAAACGTCTCTGCCATGGGATGCTTATTTTGCCCAGCTCGGGCTGGAATTGGTTTTGTTTTAGGTAAAGTGCTCGTGCTCGAGATATGGATTTTGAGGTGTGTACGCCGACGATTACACATTAATACATCAACCACGTCAGACGCTAAGACCAGGAAGGATACCATGGCCTCAAGGTGAGCCCGTTCGCAACTTGGTCAAATACTGCACCAAGTACAGCCATGAGAACACCTCCAAACACCAAATAAAGTTTCTGCAGTCACATTACTACCACAGTAGTTCAAAGCCTCATACAACGGGCAATTGCTCATACTCCTCCCGCATAAACACCCTCCAAGCCGCCAACCCACGCTCCAAAACCTCCTTCTCCGGCACATACCCCACGCGTACAAAGCCTTGGAAATTCACCCCTTCTCCAAAACACCTACTTCCCGGCACCAACATAACGCCCGTCTTCTCTAAAAGCCGCTCACATAGCACCACATCATCAACAGGCCTTCCTTGTCGATCAACAAATTTGACAAACGCCGTTGTACCCGCCTGCGGCCTCACCCACTGTACCGCCCAATCAAACTCATTCAAGAATACCTCAAGAGTATCCAAGTTTGCACTCGCGAGCTTCATGTTGCGAGACAGCAGATTCCCCACACATGGAGCACTTAACGCGCGCGTCGCAAGCTCATCATCGACCTGACTCACCGAGATAAGCGTATAATCACGACTCGAGGCACACGCCTCAATAATACGTTGACTCCGGGATGCAATCCATCCCACGCGCAAACCCGCAAGACTAAATGCTTTGCTCATAGACCCAGTTGAGACGAGATTCTCATACTCAAACTCCAGAATTGATGGTGGGGAGGTCTTTTCATCCTTCAGAGAGTGGAAGAGCGGACGATAGACTTCATCACAATGCACAATGAGGTTATGCTCCTGGGCAATCTCGACAACACCGCTCAAGAATTCGCGGTAAAGTACGGCGCCTGTGGGGTTTTGCGGATTACTTCGCCGGCAATTAGTACGCATACTTTCTCCTCCTTTTGGGCTTGACATAGAGAGGAAAAACTCACTTCAAGATAATAACCTTCGTATTCGGCCGAATCAAGCCCCTCAGCTCCTCCAAGTCCAACGCCCACCCGTTCTCCGCGGAAGACCGCCACAAGCTCACTTCTGCACCCAGCGATTCGGGCACAGAGTACAGTTGCTGATACGTCGGGTAGTGGCAGATAACATGATCCCCCGGCCCGACGTTCGTGTACAGGGCGAGGAAGTTCGCGTGGATGGCGCCATTGGTAACGAGGACCTGCTCCGCAGTAATTTCCGCGGAATGCTGCTTCTCCTGCGCTTGACTACTGTTACTGGCAGCAGAGTGATAGAGCTTCGCGATGTTAGATCTTAGCGCGACGGATCCACGGATGGCACCGTAGGTCTGTTTGCGCGATAGATCGAGGAGCTGAGTCGATGCTGTTGCTGACTCGGAAAATTGAAGGAGATCATTTAACGAGATGGAGGCGCAGCATGTCTCCGCAAGGTTGTGCTGGGCATCGTTCTCATACAGGTCCATCCACTGTGTTGTATGTGTTTAGCATGTATGAAGAGGTTGGGGGGAGGGGTGGGAGCGTCCACTAACCCGTTCGACGTTGAATTCGGCTATTTTCACCATTGTCGCTTTGGTCTATATAATACTTGATATGTCGACAGCGGACTGTAAGAATATTAAGATCGAAATGTGAAAGGATGCGAGGGATCTTAATATAAGTTTCGGAATCGAACTTGTCCTTTCCCATGGCTCCGTCTGGATGGACGGCTTGAATGCTTTGCGGAGGTCTGATTTGTTGAATCGCCTATGCTGCCGGATTAGGCTTAGTAGGCTCTGACCGATAAGATCAGATAAGTGGGACTGGAGATCCTCGGTTGAGGTGACTATGGAATTGCCGGTGTCGATGCAGTAGTTATCATTAGTGGTTCAGTGGAGAGAATCGACGAGTAAAAACGCGATGGGACACGAGCATTGAGCACTGTGTACAGTACAGGATTTTGCCTGCTATACCCTCGAACTAAATGTAAAGAAAACGTTGCAGCCGGCCCTACCTACCTACCTACCTACCACAGCCTGGACCGCATTGCGTGAACTCGCTGTTGGCTATATGAGGTCTGATTAAGATACTAAGCAGACGGCGATCAAGTTTGCTAGTCCTCGATACGACGTTTGCCATCAAGTGTACCATGTTCGATGGATACATCCATGCTGTCTCCAACGCTCTGCGTTATGAAAAGCTGCCAGGGCAAGCATCTTCGTTATCTTCTTGTCAATAGTTGAAGCTTATATTCCAAGACACAGTATTCGGGATGGTGCGAAGTGGACAGTCTCTTCCGCCTCTCCAACTCCTCGTGAGCTACTAACCTGAGGCACGCACGCAAACTTCCTCCCCACCTCTCATTGTTTCCAGCCGCTCCATCACAGTCATCAGACTTATCCTACATCAGAATTGAGGTGTTTCCATCGGGTCACTGGCTATTATCGTGACGAGTAAACTATACTGTCGTCGTTGATAGCTAATCTCTCGTCCCCCTTGTCGTCGCCGAAAAACCCTGTATCAACTTCCATAATTCGAGAAACGCAAATAAGACGATTCGAACTGGCGATCCGCGCAAGCTGAACAGCTGAACAACAACATCCCGACCCTACATAGATCCCAAGGGGACATCTGTGTGGTGGATTTCGATGGCACCTGGGCAGTGACTTCAAGCGGGAGTTGGTAGGTCGCCATTGCACATTTAAGAACGTTGTACATATCGTTATATCGATTTGGTCGATCTGAATGGCCCCATATAACCGTAGGGGTGTGGATTTCGGTGAAGGTGGAGGTTCGATGAGGAGGAGTGTACTCGTCGCTTTCCTGATCGCGGGAGTAGAGTGTTAGTCTGATTCACACAGTGATATCTCGTGGGGGTCGGTTGCTTTTTGGCTAATGTGCAGATACCAAGACTGACCTCCATTTTAACTGAAAGCAATAAGATGGCTTGGGATGATATGTGAAAGCGGGAAGGTGGGAAAAAGAGTAGTGGGATCGGGATGTGGACGGTGGTTCCCGTCAACAAATGAATGGGCAGATCGTATTACCTGGACAGATCAAGCTTTCGAGACAAACCTAGTAAGGGACCGCGAGTTGAAAGCTCAATTTCTCATCTTTGGAGTCTGCTTCTACTAGTCTGCGTGTTATGGCTTCTTTTCCCTGAATGTCCTGCCAGGGACCGAGCTTTTGCTTGCTTTTGACCGTCGTGATTCTGTATGAGTTACCAGCTTGTAGCATTAGTAGAGACCAGGATGGGGCTTTTACAGGTGATCATCCTGTTCATTGGAGGTATTACAAGGTGTATCATGAAAGAACAGGTAAATATGTTTTAGGAGATGACGTCAACCCTGAAAGCAATGGAGAAAGACCTGTACTAAATTATGCTGGATTTGGCCTGTTTTAGACTCATATCTTCAATGGACAATTCTTGTATCTATGACACGCATAACATCCACAGCTAGATTGTTGTAAGGCAACAAAAATCGATAGACAATCCGAGATGTTCGAATCTGAAGCACATGTACCAAGGCTAGAGCGTCTTTCCACTAGAATATCAGCATACGCCAGGAACTGTTAATAGGAAGAACAGACATGACCAACCTTCAAAGTTTCTTCACCAGAATTGCAGCAAAAACATGGATTGTAGCACTCATAGAAAAAGAATTTAAAAGCATTAGCATGAAGCTCATCTCTGTATTCCAGAGATATGTGCTCACCTCTTGAACACAACTTTTCTTTTAATCTTTTGATCTTCTGAATATCTTGATTCATGCAAGATACATGGCGAGTATTTTCGTGATTTGATTTGGCGGGTCATTTCGGGTTGGGGAGAACTTCTCGTAGAATGGAGGGTATGGAGGAAGACTGCAGCAAACTGCATGGTGCTTATAAAAGAACATGGCGAAAGATTATTTGTGTGAGGATTCAAGACTCCGTCCTTTGAGCAGATAGATGGCAATAGATGCAAAAAGGAAGAGCGTATTGTCAAGAATGGCCTGCACCTGCCCAGCCAAGTGTACGTTGTGACCAGAATGCAAAGGCAGGTACATCACGCCTCCATGTCAATTCAACGAAGCATACACATAAATCGGACCATAGTAGTTGCGAGGATTGCTGTACAACATATGCTTGCTGTTGTCGACAAAGAACGGTGTCACGGCATCATACCCGTTCAGCATATGGAGATGGGCCATCTGAATGGTAGCATAGTCATCGTACTGGGGCCATCTCACAAGAGCCCAGAGCTTGTAATGGGAAGAGAGCACGTAGACTGGAAGGCTGGTGTCGTCGATAGTGTGCGCTGTCTTGAAATCGTACTCAAGGTGGTTGATATCAATGACCAGGAAGACGCGACCGCCCCTTACTTCGATATGGAGGAAGTTGATTCGGCTGTCATCTTCCCAATCGGGAAATGTTTCTCTGAAGAACGCGCATGCTGATCCGCGGTAGTCGTGATGTTGTAGTCGCTTTGCGTTGATTTTGATGACCAGGCGTTTTGCGTCGTCGTCTTTGAGCAGCTCTTCACTGATTTCAGAGGCGGTGCCGATGAAGGCCATGGTGAAAGTCGAGAGCTGAAAGTTGACTGGAACGGGAAGGAAGGTGATAGTTAGATGGAACCTGGAACTTAGGACTGGGAAGTTGGAAACCAAGGTGAGGAAGCTTTGATGTGATTGGAACGAACAAGTTAAGAGGAGAAGGGAGGAGAAGAGAAGAGATGAGAGGAGAGGAGAGGGGAGAGTTTCAGTTGTCAGGGTGAGGGTGAGTTACTGCCTCATGCCCGGTGTAAACATAACGCTCACGCAAGGAACAGGACCCCGAAACTGGGGATTTGCCTTTCACACAACCGGCGAGGTGAAACTGCGAGATCCCCAAGCTATCCTTTGTCAATGTCTTTCACTCAAACATCTTTGCGTAGAGACCACGATCAAGCAGTGGCCCTCATGACAGCTGCATTCTCTTGCCATTGGCCGCCTAGAATAATTTATCCTCGTCGCATTACCTCACCAGCCAGCCAACAACAATGAAGGCTTGCTTAAACTTGATTGCAGGAGCTGTACAGTTGTCTGGACACGCGATGAGACTACAAAAGCAACTGAAGCCGTACCAAAATCGTTGCTATTGAAATATGAATATCAGATCACTAACTAGTACGGATGAAGATTTATACGGATAGCATGTTTCGGTGTACAAATCGTGTAGTTAGAAGAGTGCGGTTGGTAGCTGAGCTCAATTCATTAACATAATAGAGCCCCCCCTTGGTTAATCAAAATTATAGAGCTCATGGAAGAAAGGTGGATTAGTGCCTTGGGTAGACATAACGTCAGATAGGAATGTAAGGCCATACGGACCAATGCACTACCTCAAATGCTGGTCTGCATTTTTGCTCGATGGTTAGTCCGCCATCTGAGCAGTTTGAATTATGCTTCCCAGGGGATTAGTCACATAGATCCTAACAACCCCGGAAAATCCGGATACTCCCCGGACGAAAAACTATGCAATTCACCTGTTTCCTCGTATAACGATGGCCAGAAACCCGCAGACAACAGGTGATCCTGACTAAATCCCTCCAGAGCCCCGTCCACAGGTCTGCTCTCCCAGCACAATGTACAGCTGCTTGTCTCATGGCTGTCCTCGGAGGACCATTGGCAAATTTCCGTTGTTGCTGCATTATCTTCCCAAGGATAGTCCTCTGTGATCAGCTCCGTCAGCATACGCAAAATGTCTTTGTTCACCACAATGGCATGTAGCATAGGCAGGCGAGACTTGATCATCTCTCTGGCTTCCTCAGAAAGTCGAGATCCACCGTCATACTCAGAGGAGCATTGTGTGGGAATCGAGTCAGCTAGAATGTCGAAGACATCCCGTAGTAGTTCGGCTTGTACCCAACGCTCCGAGAGAACAGCTAAAATCACCGTGCATGTCCTGACTGCCTTGACTATTTCTTGAGATTGAAACAAGGCAGATCTTTCTGAGACGGGTGTGGCCCAGAGACAATATAACAGGATGATGCCTGTTCCAAACTGACTCAAGAGCTGGGGTCTGGTCAGCCAACTTTCAAGTATGTCGCCGCCCAACTGTGCCGACTTACCCCTGGCCATAACTGCGCTGTTTGACGTCTTTTTAGATAAGTCCAAAATGTATGAAGAATATTGGAACATGCTTTGAGACATTGCTCAGCAACGAATCGGCACGAGTCCTTCTTGGTTGGGCGATATAGGATAAGGATAGTGTAATTGTACAACATACCCACCCAGCCCTCGCTCGTATATCCTTCGGAAGCCGGGTCGCTATGAGGCTGCAGTTGCATCTTCCATTGGTCAAGTGCGTCTAGCATGTGTAGACGCCAGTCATGGCGCGCTGCAAAGCGTTGTTCGTAATCTGTGCGCATCATCATCCCGAGGATGCGCGATTGAATCCTTCTGCCGCGAAGCAGATGCAGCGCTGAAGATACTTGTGTTATGCGAGGTGCTAACTCGCGCTCTTTCTGTTGTTCGCTTCTTGATTCCCATGCTTTTATTTCGTCGTCATTCAGGTTCGCAAAAGGCTAGTAAAATTGGTTAGTCTTCGATGTTTCACGTAACGTAGAGGAGCGGGAGGCATACTTCCACCTGAATGTTCTCATCTGCGAGGCTACAGGGAACATGATAGATCCAACTTAGTAAACGATCGATGGCATAGGCGGACCAGAACACTCGACGGCGCATCTGTAGATTTAGCAAAGTGGAGGCGTCCAAAACATTGCTTATTGGTGGAACTAAATGCAACTGTGCAATGACACAACAACGCATGGCAGCAGAGATCATCGTGAGAACCGTCTGTGACGATGGCGAATGGAGAGCATGCAATGTGCAAAGCAGGTAAGCCTGCACATGTAACACCGGATCGAGGCACGAGAACACAGTATCGAGCAACGGCAAAGCAGAATTATATAGCGTCTATCCCCGCGTTTAGTAGGCCCCGAATAATGTGGACATAAAAGCGACATACCTGCGAAGTTGTCATATCCTCGGGAGATACCTGTGGGGCGATCAACAGGCTTACCGCAAAAGCCTACATGGAATCATCAGTCAACAGGATACGGAGATGAGCTTCGCTCGACTAACCATCTTCACAAAAAATTCCTTCCACCTCTCTTCGGCTGGAAGTAGTTGACCCAACCGCTTTGAGCTTTGCCATGTATCATACCAACCAACGAACGTCTCTTCATGGAGGAACGGGTATCGGGGATTGACGCGCTCTAGAAAGATTTGAATGAGCTTATTCTGCGTAGCTGATGAGATACCTGTCTCAGCGTGCCCCCCAGCATCCAACAATTGCCCTGTGGGAGAGGACTGCGTAGGTGGCGTAAGGATGGTGAGTGACGGAGTGCTTCGTGCTCCAATGCTTCCGCCTTGCAACGGGATTGCTGTGACAGGCGAGCGTTTCACAAGTACATGTCTCTGCGATTGTGACTGAAGTCTGTCGAGCGTGGACGCTGTTCCCATAACATCCGCAGAGGACATGTCATGACCTTCAATTGTTGGGTGAGAATCTCGTCCCATGGATTCTCGTTCGGCTTCGAGCTCACGGATTCGCTCCTCGAGAGCCCGTGCATAACTACATGAATTAGTTAACATTTCCGTACTGTACAAGCTTGAATAGTGCGTACTCTGGATTGACCCGAGTATCCCTAGGCGGTTTTTGGCTCGCAACACAAGCTAAAATTGTCCCTCGCCAATCAGACTCAGAAAATCACTCCAAGTTCCAGATGGTACTTACCGGCCTCGGCTTGAACACAGTTGTGACAGGGACGCGATTGGCTGCACTAGTCTCGATATTAGTGGCTTCATCGTGCAGCACAAGCTGATATGCATACTTTCTGCTTGCGGGCGCGACAACGTCTGCACGCTAGGAGTGCCGGCCTTGATTTCGTGACTTCTCTCCCCCTCTTTCCAAGATTGACCTCAAAATCATCTGACAGGTCCATTCTCAATATTTATCATGTGAGCTCAAGCTGCGGTTTTAAATCCATGACTCATGGATTGACATTTATCTTGCGACTCATGTAGTTCGACACGCTGCCGGGAAACCCCCGAGCTTAAACTGCGCTAAGCCTCTTATGGACCGTGCTGACTCACAGCCAGATAAGACGCGATGCTTGAGGCAAGAAAATGCTAATTGCGGGGTCGTGGGGTAGACACCGGGCGCGTTTTTCGAACATGAGATCAACAACTGAAAGAAGAGTGAATTGGATATATCATGTATGTACACAGGGTCTCTGCCCATCAAGGCTTTTCTACTGCAGTCAGCACAGCTCCTCGCTCACAAAGGAGGAGGGTTCAGATCCAGTCCATTGACTGTCAACTTGAAGGCATCGTTTCGCGAATAGTGCCCAGTAACATCGAGATCCAATTTTCCTCTGTCGCAATCATCTAGATCAATCTCTGTGATCGAGACAGCGGCTTCGAATGCCGGATCGTTCAGATCATTGGGGTTCGCCGCATCATCAGTACAGACCTCCCAGATCGGCTCGCGGAGCACCTCTCCCAAAGGACCGATAATGCATGAGCCACCCCGCGAGATATATTCGTCTCCGTTCTCCACTGCTTCCTTGGAAGCGGCTCCAGTGATCCAGCCCGGAAGCTCACGACGCCGCACGCATTGGTTGGCCGTAAGAACAAATGTGCGGCCTTCGCCAGCAATAGTCCGGACGAGAGGGAGCCAAGTGTCGCGGCTATCAGCCGTGGGTGCCAAGTAGATATTGACGTTTTGAGCGTAAAGACTTTGACGAAGCATGGGCATAAAGCTTTCCCAGCAGATAGCGGCACCAATGGTCAAATTGACGCCGTTCAGCTGGGTTGTAATTGCTTTGAGGGTCGAAGGCGAGCCTTGAGCCCAGATAAGACGCTCAGAAGCAGTCTAGATACTGTTAGAATCGGTTTCTTATGTATACTGAGAATCCGACACCAAACTCACCGGCATAACCTTTCTTCTCTTTCCCAGCATGCCATCACGAGGGTCAACATAGACAGCAGAGCAGTACAGGCTGCCCGCCGCTCTTTCGATCACGCCACATGCAATGAACACACCCGTCTCCCGGGAAATTCTCTCTAGGGTCTCACGAGTTCCATCACCGCGGTATTCCTTGCCTCGTGGAAGGGGTAGTTTCCGATTGACCCAGTCATCGCCAGCGCCGGCCGGGGTATCACCAAGATCAACAGCAGAGTTGAAATACTCTAGGAACTGGTCGCGACCGTGAGGTAGGCGGAAACCGACTGCTGTGCCAAAGTCGCATGTTCTCGGGTAGCCGCCCAGATACGCCTCCGGAAACAAAATCAAGTGGACGCCACGAGCCGCTGCGTGGCGAGTTACCCGGTGCAAGGCATCCAAGGTAGCGGCGAGGGTGGATTGAGTGCTCGCTTGCGCGACGGCAACAGTGATCTTGCGGGGCATTTTGAAGCTGATTAGGTGTGTGATGAGATTCAATACACTATGTGCGTTGCTGTCGTATATAAAGAGACATTCTTGGCTTCGGAAATATGGCTCCGTCGGAGCCTTGCCGGCGAAAAGTCCCCGATGAGCCACAGATCGGACTCGGGATATGCGGGTACAGTACACGAACAGGTCTCCACAGCGGGTGTCTTCGCATGTGTTTGAATTAAGATTAAGCTATGACTGTTCGGCTCGCAGAATGCCAAATTCATTGACTCATCCTCTTTCAACAGGTGGGAGTCATCGTTGGTATATCGATAGTAGTGACCAGAACGAAAGTATCTTCTGCGCGACAATTTGACCCATTCAATCGAATGAACTATAGGGACTGTCTGGGTGTCTTCAGCGGCATTCTCAGTATATCTTGGCACGAAGTCTTGCCACCAGATTCAGCATCTTCCGATCCAACCACGCTCCCACCACGAAATGCTTAATCGATCAAGCACAACGTTTCAATTTTCTTTGTATATCATCTTGTACCCATAAAGCCTTCGTAAATAAGACATGGAAGCGTTGATGTATGACCAAGGAGGATCATAGTCAGCAAGAAGTAGCCTGGAAATAGCGCCGAGTTCACATTACTGACTTGCAATTTCAAGGCCTCTGTATGTGCAGATCCCAGAAACGGAGGTTACACACTAGAGACATTTTCCAAGCCTTGAAAGACTTGATGTATTGTGTGTCAGTGTTGGAGTCGAGTTCAATCTGCTCGTATCTTCTGAGATCGAGTTGGCCAGGAGTTGACCTTTCAACAGGCCCTGTCAGCTTGATCTATCACCAGTGAAGCGAAGTATAAGGTTGATAAATAAGCACAGCCTGAGTACATGAGGAGTCAGTCGAGAAGACAGAAAGACCAACACATATCTAAGAGTACGAGGGACTCAAACTGTCTAACAACATGAAAGTGGCATGTCCCGATAGATGGATCCAGCAGTTGTTGAGTTGTTGTTACCTCAAGCGGAAGGCAGGATTTCTCCTTCAAAATCTTGTCACGTGGCTCATGCTACTTCCCTCTTCTATTGTTCCTCACTACTAATCTTTCTTATGGCTTCCCTCATACTGCCTTTGGCCTCTGACCAATCTCTGAATTAAGAAGCTTACGGACAAAGTCCTCCCAAGTTACAAGGTCAGCATACCGCTCGCATTATGGAGAAATCCAAGGTTGATTTCAAAGGCAAAGTTCACAAAGTGATCATCTGTTCAAACACAAGTTACGCAAGCATACACCCTTGGAGTGCAGGTTTCTCCCTTAACGAACGAGTCACCTCACCCACACTGCAAAATATCAAACCAGGGACGCGCCAGAAAATTCCGAAAAAAGCCCGTGTTGCAAGAGCAAATAGCGCAGTGATCGTCAGACACCCCTGTCAATGTCGACATGCCATTACTGAAGTCTTTTACATATCAATATGCGATAACAGGAATAAATGAGTTGCAAGTTATGGTGACATTCTTATGCAATCGTATTTCCTCGGCTTTTAGGGGCTCGATCTGCATGGATCGGAGCTCCGTTCATCCACTGCATGCCTAGCCAGTCGCTTCGGGGGTTCAAAGAAGTGTTCCCGCTGCCGCATTGCATTTTCGTCAGCTGCATGCTTAGTTGCTGTAATGAACATGCTATTCTCAGTATGTGTGCGTGCGGGGAAATTGGAGAAATTGGAGAAGTGCCAGTCATGTCCGCGATTCACAGTCGAATGCCTCGGTGAGAATCTTGACGGTAAGCATCGCCTTATGGCAAGACTTGACTATGACTAGTGTCCAGATGGCCTGCAGCCAAGCAACATGTTGACAACTCGGCCGAGATCATTATTCTTTCATGACTACTGCACGCCTACTTTTATCCTAGTTTGAGGTGACTCAGATCCTTCGTGCCCCCCTACGGATTGTTAGAAATAGCGCATCAAAACTCCTAAGACGAGATCTGGCAAGTTCAGCCAGCATTTGTTACACCATCTGGACTTCATCATTATCACACACCAGCAACAATGACGAAAACGGGCGATGATGAGATTTCAACTTCCACAACAGAATCAATAGTCAAACCACCTCCAGATGGCGGAGCCAAGGCATGGACTCAATCTGCCATGGGCCACCTCGTGTGCTTCAACACCTGGGGCTACCTCGCCAGCTATGGTGTATTCCAGTCTTACTACCAAACCCACCTCGGGGTGTCTGAGTCCGCAATCTCCTGGGTCGGCTCCATACAGATGTTTCTCATCTTCTTCGTGGGCACGTTTTCCGGGCGAGCGCTGGATGCGGGCTATTTTCGGCATGTCTTCTGCGCCGGCGCATTCCTGCAAATCTTTGGGGTCTTCATGACCTCCCTCTCCACCCAATACTGGCAGCTCTTTCTCGCACAGGGACTCTGCACGGGCTTAGGCAGCGGCTTGCAGTTCTGCCCCGCAATGGGTCTAGTGGCCACCTATTTCGACAAACGCCGTGTATTTGCGGTAGCCTGCTGTCTCGTCGGCAGCGGGACGGGAGGCATGGTCTTCCCAGGCCTAGTCAAGGGCCTTCTCCCCATGATTGGATTCGGCTGGACCATGCGAGTTGTAGGGTTCGTCATGCTCGCCACCACCATTCCCGCGGTTGTGCTCTTTCGCACACGCCTACCCCCGCGCAAATCCGGCCCCCTCGTCGAGCTCTCCGCCTTCCGCGACGAGCCCATCTACACCCTCTTCATTCTGGCCATCTGGCTCAACTTCTGGGGCATGTATTTTGCAGTCTATTATGTGGGCGCCTTCGGCCGAAGCGTGATCGGGCTCACATACTCCGACTCGACCAACCTGATTATTGTGCTCAATGGGGCGGCTAGCCTCGGCCGCCTGATCCCCGCATACTTTGCTTCGTTTCATCTAGGCCCGCTGAACACCATCATTCCCCTCTCCGTGGCCTCTAGCGTGCTGATGCTGTGCTGGGCGGCCGTGCACTCCGCACCGGGACTCTATGCGTTCGCCGTGCTGTACGGGTTCTGCGCCAATGCGGTCCAGGGGCTCTGGCCACCCACGCTATCCAGCCTGATCACAGACCTCAGCAAGGCGGGCACGCGGATTGGCATGGGCTTCACGATCATGAGTTTCGCATGTCTAACCGGACCTCCGTTGGGGGGTGCCCTCGTTGCCAAGGCCCATGGTTACATCGGAGCCCAGGTGTGGGCGGGTGTAGTGATCTTACTGGGAGCCATGGTGCTATTGGGGGCAAGAATTTCGAAGACTGGATCGCGCATCAATGTCAAGATCTGAGATCATTGTCCTTTTCTGGAAATGGCGGCGGGTGAATGTCGGCAGCTGGCTCGGAATCGGAAGTGCCGTCGGAAAAACGTAGTGCTGAGCACTGGTCCTATTGAAAATCTGTTTTGGAAACAAGCATTTTGTTCACAGTGGGGATCAGAGATACAAAATTAGCTGTGTTAGACCCAATACGAGCTGTAGAGAGTCGAGACGTCTTGTTTGATGCCTTGAAAGAATGACAAAGTGAAACATGTACTGGCCTGCTAAATCATATGCGTCTTGTCGCCCTAGCGGTGAATCCCACAACCGAACGAACCCACAAACCGAGGGTCCAAGGCTTAGCGATCTTCAAAACGAATGCTAAAAATAATCCCAGGGGCGGGTGATTCTTGAACCCTGTGTGCCAAGAGAACCCCGCTGGCCGCCCTGGCGCATGCATGGTAACCCTGTCACCTCCGAGTCCGACCCCCCGACGCCATCCCGGCTTACCCGGAATTAAAGTAACTTCAAGAAGTCCGGGGAAAGAATGCGCACCAGCCGACGAACGACCCCCCCTCCCCGGTTTCTCTTTTTTAGCCGAGTGAAAACGCACTTTCAAGCCTTATGGGAAGATTTAGATTTAAAAATAGGGTCAGTAGGGCAGAAGGAACAGGGGCCAATCACGACGGTGAAGGATGCAGATGCCACAATTGCCAAGAAGATGGTATGCCAAATGCAATCAATCCTGCCTTGATCACCTTGTGTCGTATATGACCGCCTCGGAAATGATTTTGATTAAGGAGGTTGTGACTCCTAGCGCTTACTCTGGACTTGCAAGGCCGCTGCCATCCAAGGCCGCCGTATGGAGAGATGGATCTCAACCACACTGAAGATCGTCCTCATGGCCAAAATGATCTTGTTCCGGTCAGCTTAGTCGGGTAAATGCTGCCCACAAAGGTGATCAGCCGGAGAGAAACGAACGTCGAGAATAAGATTTTTGAGTAAGATCATATGTAACACACTTCACGTGTCAGTGGAATTATAGCGGACCATCGGAACACACTTCTCTCGGAAACCCGATATGGCAGTCAACTCAACCGAACTTGAATCTCATCCGAAGATTAGTCGTATTCATCCTAGCCACGGAGGACTCATTGACTTGCCATGTGTTACTCAAGACCTGCAGCCTGGTCTTCTTTCAGGGCTTGTTCGATCAAGAGTTTTTGGGCTGCATAACGGAGTAATACTGGGTCATTGCAGCAAAACTTCCGGACCAATCAGGGCTGAAACCCAATAGCATGTACGAAGGCTGCATTAGTGTGTCACTGTCCCGCGTCGTGCCCGTGGCAAAATCGCTCTGCTTATGACCGCGCTTCTTGGTGGTTGCGACGGCTGGGATCGTCTTCCCTGCGGAATGGTCGAGTCCAGACTCGAAGAAATGCCTTGAGAAATGACCTAAGACAACTGAATAACGTAATTACCATTGCACATATCTCTGACTTGCGTGCTCTATTGCATCGCACTAATGTTTGCTGCTTCATAATCGTCGGATTTCGCTGTACGGCACGGAGTCGGAAGTGTTTTGAAAGGCCCGATCGTGCAATTGATGCATGTATGCGACATGGTTCTCGTCTAAGGAGATATTATTCTGTTACCACGAGATGTACCTATGCCGCATCTTGATGTAGATCTTCTTGGCAATAGAGGCCGATGAGGAGAATTCACAAGACATCCTCTGAACTCCGAATTGCTCACAGTGCAGCAAGTGTCTCATGGAACGGAAACTGCACTTGCAGAAAGGGAGGTCGTACTTGGAGAAGTGTCTTGGCGATCTATAACGGTTCGCCTGAGTGTGGTCATGAGAGTCTGTAGTTCTATTCTCGGAAACGCATAGAACTGAATACCGCGCTGCCTGGATCGAGCTCAGTGCATACGCAACAGAGAGTGGCATAAATACTTCTACTCACCGGTGAGAGCTCTTCCATATTGCTCCCACAGCACGGAGTTCCAATCTTTCTAGCATTTATCATGGGTGCCTCACAGTCTTCTTCCTCTGATCCCCAGACGGGAAATATTGTTATAGTCGGAGCCGGTGCGAGTGGCATTGCAGTGCTACTGCACTTGATTGAGAAGGCCAAGAATGGCAAAGTCCTGCCACCTATCACTATCATCGAGAAGGAGACACGGTTCGGTCCTGGATTGGCATACTCCTCCCTTTGCTCAGGCACCATAATCAACATGCATACCGACACAATGGGGTTGTATTTCAATGACCCCAAGCACTTTTCACGTTGGAGGAGCGAGCTCGAAAGTGGGCCATTCCCTTCACGAGACATATATGGTGAATACCTCGAGGACATGTCGCATCAAGCACTCAAGGCGGCCCAACAGCTGGGACTGAGCGTTTCTTTCGTTCATGACGAAGTTACCGACATTGAGCGCCGAGATGATGGGTCGTTCCTTTTGAATCTAAGCCACGGTGAACCATGTCATGCGAGTCGGGTCGTAATGGCCCCAGGCAATTTCACCTCTACCAGGTATACACATCTGATGAATCAACCACAATTTTTCGCGAGCCCATGGCCGACAGAGGACCTGAAGACTATTCCTGCCGACGCCACCGTTTTAGTCATCGGATCTCGATTATCAGCTGTTGACACCGCTATATCCCTGTCCGAGAATGGGCATCAGGGCCCTATCACCTTCATGTCGAGAAGTGGCCGAGTACCTACAGTCCAAGGAGACCCTGAGCCTTTCCCACGGCGATATACCCTCCATGTACTTGCACGAGAACTTGAAGAGAATCCGAACGATGCGTTGGTTAAACTCATGACTTGCTTGATGGATGAAATTGATCACGCCACCAATGGCGACTGGAGCTGGTTCCAAAAACATGCTTCCCCGCTTGAGGAATTGCAGGCTGATATTAAGGCTGCACGAGATGGTGATGTTCACTGGCAGACTGTCCTTCGCTACACAGCACCTGTCATTGAGAGGTACTGGAACTGTTTGCCACTTGAGAGTCAGAAGCTATTTCTGGATAAGTTCTTCAGTCCATGGATGAGATATCGTCACGGGATGCCCGTGCAAAATGCTCAGAAGATCTTGAACTTGATGGAGAAGTCCCAGCTGCACGTCGTCGCTGGCGAAAAGGTTTATTGGAATCCCGACAAGAAAGTCTTCTTTGCAAATACCTCATCAGGACTGGTTGAAGCATCCTATGTGGTTGAGGCTACTGGTCAGGAATGCCACCTGGACCGGATTTCATCTCCGTTGATTCGGTCGCTTGTCTCAAAGGGGCTCTTCACGCCGCATCCAACGGGCGGGGTCGATGTCGATTTTGACACGTTTCAAGCATCGCCAGGACTATATACCATGGGAACACTAACACGTGGAACACATTTTTATGTCAGTGCTATTGACCGCGTTGCGGCGCATGCCGCACGAGTTGCGGATGCTTTAGCTCAAGATCCTCCTGCTAGGTCCTTGCATGTCGCTATTTTCTTAGGCTCTGACTTCCTTTCCACCATAATAGTCAGTGAACTTGTTCCGAAGCTTCTTTCTCAAGGGCACATGCCTTTCATTTTCCTGTGCCCAGATGAAAGACGGTCGGAGCCTGTCAAGAGACTGCCGCTTGGCAGGCGAGAGTCAGAATTCCTCGAAGTTGAGCTTCTGCGGGACTACGTCCGACCATTCTTGCAGTCTCAGGGCTCCAAAGGTACCAAGCACATGACCATTGAACAAATCAAGTCCACATATGGATTGTTTCTGCAGGACCTCTCCTCGGTGGATGATGAGACATTCTCAGACACGCTCAAGCATCATTTCATCGACGTGGGAGTATCGCTGAGGTGTGGTGACCGCGCTCGAAAGATTGCTGCACGTTATTTCTCGTCAGCGTCTGGGTATCTGCTCGATCTTTATCCGACATTCCAACGGGCCTCGAGTGAAAGGGGCTCCAAGAAAGCAACGCTTAGCTACTCAATGGCCATTTTAGGTGAGGCTGAAGGTCCGATTGACTCGAGCGAGACTCACTACGAATCCGTCGACCTCTCTCCTGATGTTGCTGGAAATGAGGATTCAGTCTATGACCAAGCGGTGCAGATGGTGCTGCAATCAATCGAGTCTCTAAGCCGAGGAAGAGGGCCAGCTACGTCAGAGCCAACGCTGAAGCATATGAGCCAGACGCATTCGAGGAGGTATTCCCAAGATGAGGTCTCTCCCTTGGGTCAAGACTTTGTTATTAGCACCTTGGTAGACTCATTTGCGCCGCCTGGAAAGAGGCAAGAACTGGGCGCTTATCTTGAGGGGGTTGTCCGTACTTGGTACGCAAAGCAAGCCGGTACAACAGTTCTCGATTGAGACAGATTATCCAGTGGTTGGTGAGAGAACAGATTGGGGCCTCGATGTATGAGCGCGAAAGAGTTGTTGAAAAAGCGCGGTGACACTTCCCCGCGGTTGCTGTCACTTCAGGTGCAAGGTTGATTTCCTTCTTTTCCCGAATCGGAAACCGGTTCCGATTGCCGGTTTCCCGCTTAACGTCCTCCATATCATGATCTACTTTTTCACCTACCTTCTTATGAAAAGGAGGAATTTCATTTGGTGTTCATGTGTCCCGTTCTTGGTCTTCTACTATGAGTTAAAATACTAGCCTAGAGTCAATTGATTGCCTCCACCAATGATCACCACATATTGTTCGTCGCATAAACTACTTAAAACGGGAGAAAATATCCCCACCCTGGCTAAGGCTCCAATCTACTTCAATGTTCTCATACTTCAAGTATCATGAGGCCAATAGATCCACTCATTTCATATCACAATCGTCTTGTCCTATAATAGTATGGCAGTGATATTTACTACTGGCCGTGTGTTCATTAGTTCAATACAAGCAATGCGGACAGACTGCCCGAAGAAATCGACTGCCAACTACCTGGATGATATGATCGGCATTTATCCCGATCGCCCAGATAACGGCACCTTATCTTCATACAGAGATAAAATGATTGACATTGTGTGCACTGATTCTTATTTTAAGCTCGACGATGCAAGTGAAGTAGGGTCTTAGAGCACGTCTTCGCATCACGCGCTGACGCCATTCCTACTATCGTTCCGTGATAGGGGCCGATCTCCTTCGACCGTTGTTACAATGGCCTTTGATTTAAAGCCCGGCACTGTCAACTTCAAAGTCTAGTGATGGTTTCTCACAAACATTAATTACTGTCTCGTCTTGCCAGTCGCGTCTGGCAGAACCAATGGTGATGGTTATTCAACAGAAATATGCCCAGGAGGTTCTAGACCAAGTCACCGAAGTTGAGCAGAATGAGGTCGATCCGGTTGACGCAGATGATGAGAAGGCGCTGGTGGGCTTATTGATTCTTCTTTTTACAAGTGTAAATTGTACAAGCTGATCGCCTATTAGGTATGGCGACTGGATGTGATATTCATTGTCGTCGGGTTTCTGGGATATGCGTTCAAGTACCTCGATCTAACCAATATTGTGAGCAGGCCATGTATTTTCTCAACTGGGGATCATAACTTATCTTGTCGAATATCTGGAGCAATGCATATGTTTCTGGCATGCAGGCAGACCTGAAACTATATGGAAATGAGCTGAATTACTTCACAACATTCTTCAAGTCAGTGTTCTTGCTACGAAGACTGAACTATGCCAATCGCATGCAGTATCGGCTATATTGTCATGCTTTATCCCTCGTGTATCATCATATCTCATGTTGAACCAGCGATTTGGCTGCCCACATGCGAGGATAGAAGTCCTTATATCAACGCACGTTCGGTGCAGCATATTGAATTCAAGCCAGGTCCTTTGGCGAATATTTACCTGCTGCCTGTCCACTGCCACCTCTGCGAAACAGGTAGCTACTTATACCCCAGAGTCGTCTTTCAGAATTGTTGAAAGATTAATTGTCACAGGTCTATGGCCTTCGCTGTCTTATAGGTTTCTGTGGTGCTACCTGACCAGGATATTTTACTATAATTAGGTACGCTTTCTTCAACTCCTCGATTTTCACGTAAACTTAGACCATGATTTATAGTCAATGGTACCTCACACACCAGATGGCATTGCGCATGAGTCTCTACAACATGCCCAGCCATTAGGTGCCATGCTTTCCGGAGCACTTCAAGGAGCACTCTCGACAAACCTCGACGGCACACTCGGAAGAAAAGGGTGGCAATGGGCGTTCATAATGAACGTAAGTCATGCCTTATTGATATGTTCTGGTGAACTGATAAGTCTCCCCGAGCAGGGAATTTGCCCCATTTTTGTTGCCTTTCTCGCCTATGTCGCAGTTCCAGGATTCGTACAAGCATACTCTTTGCAATCCTGGCGCACTACTGACCATACCGGTAGCCGAACGGCAAAATCCGCTCTCTAGAATCTATCTCAAGCTCCGACACATCGGTGAGCCAGCTTACAAAATATCGTCTAATCTAGAAATGTATAACCTGACCCCTTCATAGAAACCGCCCTAGCGCGTACACGTCGAGTCGGCCGGAGTCCGCAGACCGGGATCACTCCCAAAACCTTCCTCCGCGCCTTCAGATTCTGGCATCTTTGGCTATTCTCCAGTATGACTTGGATATCCACTGAGTATATTCACCATTTCCAATGTTAACCGCTCATTGGTTGCATGGTGCATTGGCACTGGGACGACTCCGACGAACTATTTCAATCTCTGGCTCAAATCCTTGAAAAATGCTGACGGAGCAAAGAGATAGTAGGCTAATACAATGACCACACAAAGCCTTAAAGTGTTAACGATATGATTTCAATTCCGTTGCTATGCTTAACTATCTGCCTATAATTGGGCAGGCTATCCAACTCGTTGCCGAGATTCTCTTTCGCGGGTTCAGTGATTTCTTCGGCACCAGGCTGCCTTTTCTAATTTTGCACGTCGTAAGCTCGCAGATCCCACAAGGCTCTATTTTCACAAATCACTGATACGTCAACAGGCAATCAATATTACTTCTCTCATTATTCTGGCCATCCGACCGAGCAGCAAGTCTATATACATGGCTGGCTGTTATATGAACTACGTCGAATCGTAAGTGACGTGACTTGATAGCCACAGCGTCATTTCTTCACCTCCCTCATCCGGCTCAACTGAATGAACTTCAAGCCAGTGTTCCAAGCTACGCTTCTATGCGCCTGGGCAACTGCTCATCTCAGGACCGAACCACAAGTCCGAACAGTCCTTTTCGCTAACGACACCTTATTCCCATACCTCCTCAAGGGTTTCCTCCCTATAGCCGCTTATCCTGCTGGTGAAGCCCATCACTGGCGCATTGGGGCAAATCTGTATATGGCTTTGTCACTATTAACAGCGATTCTCTTTGTTACAATCCATTTTGTGTTCGAATAGGAACAGCGCAGAAAAAGAAAGAATGGAGCGGATAAGCAAGCCGCTCGGGAGCATCGCGATCGATCACAAGAGTATTCTGACTCTGAAATCAAAGTAAAGCTCCGCTAGAGGGAGAATCCGACCGGGTATTCCAGCTTACCCTTTGGACTACTGTGCTTCCACCTTCCTCACTCGACCTATAATTGTTTTATCTATGTTGATTGTCGTAAATCCCAGTACTTTTTACGGTGATAAACAGACTGAAAGAATATTTAGTGATTCAATCCTTGTGCTTACGATCTGATCATTGGGTTGACGCCTAGTTGTTCCAGAAACCCAGTATCAATTTGTACCCGTGAAGATTGAGAGGAAATAGTGCTATAGAAGAGATTGCGTGAAACGATGTCATGATGATCAAACAGCCGGGATAATTAGAGTAATTTCGGCCTGCGACCTGTCTAGTGAGCGTATAGCGCTCAAAGGCCTAACCCGGGATCCACTGGCCCGCCTAAAAAGAGCACAGATAGTGTACCTAATACTGCTATATCCATACCTTCAAGATCATTTCATCATAAGACTTAAGGCTCCAAGATAAGATGCGTCCCCACCGAAAGCACAGACCCTGGATAGATTGCGGCAGCTTTTCCACTAGAAGTTGCACGATGGGCGACCGGGTGCAATAGTATGATCTCGGATCCTGAGAGGGAAAGCTCATCTCTCTTGACAGTGTTGAGAGCAGGAGTGTTAGGCTGATCGGAGCAGCGACTAGAAAGCTGAACCGAGAGATGGAGGGGACAGCTCAACTGACTCTAGATTCTGTGGACCGTGGGAGCTTTGATTATAGGCAATGGTAGAAGATCTTTTCATAGAACAGAGAGCTCTTAGTTTGAGTTTCAGATCGAGACCGAACTGACTCTGGGGGGGATCGCTATGTTCGACCAGGAATGGGCCCCGTTCGATAATTAGCGTTGGAGGCAGTTTGAGGGCTTGTTGTTGTGATATTAGGTTTGCAAAGAGACACAGTCTCTATCGATGGCCAAGAAGGGGTTGACAAACGGGTGAAGAAACACCAAGGGGAAGATAAGCCATCGTTCGGTTGATGGAGAACATGCGTTGGATGTACTATTATTATAGAAATGGGATTGAGATTCAAACTAAATGACATTATTTCCTGCAGACACTACAATAGAGACTTGCGATAGGCATGTAGATAAAGTCATGATTGTTTTTCGCATTGCCCCAAGGCCGAAGGCCAGTCAAGGTGACGGAATGGAGAGTCACGGGAGCAGGGCCTAATCTGTACAGTATGGCAAGGACAATCAATCCCCGAAATCCTCCACATCAAACGGCGATAAAAGAGCAGAGACGGAGATTATAGACAATCTGGTTGGCAGAGACGGAGATTATAGACAATCTGGTTGGTCCCAGGAATCATGTCTGGAACCATGTGAATGAGGGCTACAAATAGGGAAACGGAAGCCAAGCCAGCATTCTCGGGCCGATCCCCACCTAAAGAAAAGGATCTCCGCCCTTGCGGAGCCACGCCTTAATCCAACTTCATGTCTTCATTCAGAGCTTGTCGAAATGCCAATATCGAGTCAACCACCCCCAATGAATCCCACTGTAGAGGAAATGCAAGACAAGAGTGAACCCAGTTCTGCAGGCGGCAACGTCAACGCCGCTGCGCAGCAATTGTCGTGGGCTGAGGTGTGTAAATCTCCCGGGGAATGGCCGCACGATTCGGTCATTCGCCCAGCTGCCTGCCTTGCGTCTCCTTTGCATTAACACAGCGGAAATATTGGGACTTTAGGTTTGCGCTCAGCACGAGTTTCTGTTGGAATCACACCTCAAGTTGCTACGGCAGGTCCAGGGTGAAGTTCCGTCCAATGGCGATGCATCGCGGTTGGTGTCCAACATGTTGGAGCGGACGAAGAAATTGGTGATGCAATTTAAGGTCATCAAAGGCAGATTCGTAAGTCATATCTGCTATGAAATATACCCTTATTCCGGGAGTACTACTGACTCTATTTTTGGCCCAGGGTCCCAGTAAGTGGTTCTGCTTTCTCTGCACTGCACAGAGTTTTTTCTGGAAGAATTTTCTACCCAAACCCCGGGATCAAGAAAGTCAATTGACTAGGTGATAGAAGCTTCCGTCGCTGGGAGAGGGTCGCAACCGGCGTCTAGCTCGGACCCTACAACTTCTCGCTCGACAAGTGATTCGTCTGGAAATGGCAGCCGGCCGAGAGTTCGAATGAAAAGAGCACGCGCAGACGAGAGCGAGCTGGACTCGGAAGGAATTACTGCAGTACCTGCTGCTGTTGATCAATCTGTTCTTTCGGATCACACCCGCTTCCAGAAACGCAAGCGCTTGATGAAGGTACTGCCTGGGGATGAGGACGTTCGGAATGTAAATCCGATATCAATTGATACAGAGGACATCTCTGAAGAAGTTCAGCGAAGGCTGGCAATTCGAGAAGAGTACCGGAGAAAACGGGGTAGTACTAAGGCCGAGAAACGGAAGAGGGACAGTCTGACATCAACCGGCAGTGCACCGTCTCCCCGGACCGGTGCTGTTACGAGTCAGCCCCGGAAAAAGATCAGAACAGGGGCAACTCGAGACCACTGATATCAATGGATGGTCAGTGTCCACGTAATATCATGTCCAGCCTTGCCTTTTCAACAGTATTCAAGTGACCCCCAAGACTCGAATGGTGAAGGTTCCGCTGTCAAGCTCTGCTTCCATAAATGGCACGGAAATTGAGCTGAAGAAGTCAGCAAAGATTAAAACCGTACCTGAGAGTCTAACCCTGATTTTTCTGCGGCTGCTGTCTTGGTGATTGGCCCAAGCAGAATTCAAGTGGCAGCAGGCTTTACCCCCATGGTACACCTCCAGATACTGCTAAGCTTTCTGCGGTGCTACTGAGTGGTCTGAGTAGCGTTGAGATGGTACCCATTAGGGAATGCTGTCACAATCTCGACGTCCTGGAAAGAGTCCCTGTAGGTCGTCATGACGTCCAGGAGCAAGGCCGCTGGGGTACAACTCCTGTCCTTCTCCCGGTTCCCCTCCGGGGCCTTCTCTCTCTTCTCCTTTCTCTCTCCAGACTTCAATCCATAAAAATTAAGGGGGTCTCAAACAAACTTCCTTCTGTTATTAAATTAACCTGAGCTTCAAATCCGAATCACCCTCAATCTCATAGAACACGAACAAGTTTTATCAATCCCTATACATCATTACCGTTTCCCTCCTATCCCAACAGAATCCCAAGGTTCTATTCATCCTTCAGCATGAAAACCATGTCTCTCAAGGATCTGGAGAAGAAGTTCAGCGCTTCTCCCAAAGCCGACCATGGCAGCACCCGTCCACGAACAGGTCGCACTCCACCAAAAAAACAGGGTCTGCCAGCTGGAAAAGGCCAACAACTGCAGGGTATGCGCCTCCAGTCACCACATAGGAAGCCCGATGCTTCCACCCCTGGCCAGTGTGGTAACAGAGCCCCTGCTTCTAAAAATGCTCGTCACCATCAACCTCAAGGCCGACGCACCCACCGGCCTCGCCGTAAGGCAAACTCCTACTATGGAGATATCGAGATGAAGGAAGCCCCTTCTCTTGGTGGGGATGTCAAGATGAGAACCAATCCTAGTCTCGACGGAGACGTCGATATGCTGGAGGCAGCCCCTCTAGACACAAAAATGGAGATGACGGACATGAAAGGTGTTAGCAAGGCTGAAGAATTGGCCTGGTCGTTGTCGCTCTCGTGGTCAGCAATGACCTTCGATGACCGGATGGAAGAAGCTCCTGCTCTTCCCTGGTGGGTAGTGTCTGGGTCGATGGAGTGAGACGAGGCTATACAGCCGTTGAAGATCTTTCTGTTTGAAAAACAATCCCCTTCTACTTGACGACCAAAAAAGGTCAACCTTCTCATCCCCGACAAAAATCAAAACTCTCTTGCCCCCTTCCCCCCTGCTTTCTCGTGTCGGAGCATGTATGGTGGTGAGCCCCTCTGGGGTAAGTGTGTGTTGATGGGACTGAGCAAAGCTACAGCCGTCGAGGATCCTTCCCTTGAAAAGTGGAAAGGGAATCCAGCCGCAGTGGACCAAAAAAGAGTCCATAAGGCAAAAAAAGAAAAAGAAAAAGGAAAAGAAAAAACCTCTTTCCTTTTCATGAAAGCGACTCACAAGCTGAGCGCTAGCAGACACCAATTGGTGATCTTGCTTCGATGGACAAAAAAAAAAAAAAAAAAAAAAAAAAAAAAAAAAAAAAAAAAAAAAAAACCCCCCCCCCCAACCAAAAAAAAAAAAAAAAAAAAAAAAAACCCCCCCCCCCCCCCCCCCCCCCCCTCAAAATCCAAAAGATCAAAAAAAAGGTCAAAATTCTTTACATCCACGAAAAAAAACCAAAAGTCTTCAGCACCCCAGTTGTACGGGATACCTGTGTATAACACCTGAGCAAGACTTACACCTCTACGTGGTGCTCAGACTAGTAGCCGAAAGGCGAAGCCAAGCAAGTCTATAGCTTCATGTACGTACTTCGAATGGGCTAGGCTATATAGCTGATGAACCAGTACTGCATGGAAAACGCCATGCGATTGGCATTTGCTTGACAGCGGCTACTGTCCGCCAGACTTCTTTTCATTGCGCGAATGGGACTTTGAGTGAGAAGACTCCCGTCCATTTCTTATGTGTATGAAGATTCTAACGTAGTATATTAGAGTGCAAATGCCAGGAAAAGGATTTGTCGCCAAGCCCTTAAAATCAGTAGCCCCAGTTGTTTGCTTGCTTTGGTGGATGAGGTTCACCGACCACGCGTGTTCGACGGTATATTTGCCTGTCAACGTTCGAAGTCGAGGTTTCCCATTCTTAACACACAGAAAGTGCTCCAATTCAGAGGACTATCAACAGGTAAACTGCCCAGGGCTACGGATGAGGGTTACGTTTTCCCTTTGTCCTTCTACTCATTCCGCACTTTCTAGTTGCATCCTGTCTGCCAGAACCCACTTCTACACCATTCATTACGGCAATACGCAGGTTTGAGCGCTCCGAGGAAGCACTATCATATCGGTTCAAGGAATTTCTCAGAAGGTGCGCAGCTTTCTTTTCCTAGTACCCTTGAACGTCAGTCTTGGATGTTAACCTTTGTCTTGAAGGATGTGAAGAAGTCCGGGGGCAGATTGCAAGACATGGTGCTTGAAGGAATATAATTACCTGGTGAATAAGTATCTCATGCTTTCCGCAATCTGAAGAAGCAAGATAAAGCCCTTATCAATTAGGCGAGCTTGGGTACGGATGGAAAGATACGCCAGATTCTTGTTTCGAAAGATGTTCCCTTTCTGTACTGACAGACGTTGTTTCTAAGCCGTCTCCAACGGATAATATGAGCTCTGCAGGAAGGCAGTATATCGGACAATATCTGGATCCTCAAAGGCAGATAGGGACGAGATGCAGTAACCTCAATGCCAACGGCATTTTTATAGGCACAGTTGAAGCCCCCAACTATATCTGTCCTTGTTGTATGCAGTGGTATAGTATTCCGTAACCAAAACCATGATGCTGAGAGCCGGAGCATTAGACGCACTATATACTTTGGCTATTCTGTTCTCAAGTACGTCAGTAACAACAACAACAATCCTTTCATTTCTGACAAGGTCTCTTATAAATGTCCCAAAGAGCTGTTCAAGAACGGTCCATAACCTCTGAAATACTCTCCTACCCACAGCTTCTGCCCAAAACACCAAGTCCGAAGGCACCTTGACCAAGGACAGCAAGCCAACAAGACACAAATCTGGTGATGGAGAACGTGAATGGGATAACTAAGTGCGAGGAGCTGTCATACAAATGGGTAGTAGTGTTCTTCGATCTCAAGGTAGAAGAGCCTTTTGCTGTTGTTTAGCATTTCGTTCTGATTGAGGCAGCCAAGCTCTTCTCAAGAGCACAAGAGATTCGATTCTATGGAAATTACTTCTCAATCTCAGGGCAATGCATTGAGAGTATCTAAGTCTGATGGGATTCGGGACTATTCTCTATAATTAGGAAGTAAACACGTACGCTCCCAGACCTATGTTCCTCCACGCGTGTGAAAGTTTTGTAGAAGTACCTGTTGGTGTCGGTGAAGCTCGATATCCAACATGTGTCTGGCTGGAGTGTTGATCCTTGGATAATCCGTCAGTAGTGAGAGCCTCTCATACAACAATGGTCTTCTTCGTTTCCAAGGTGATCATTGTCTCAAGACGTCGAGAGAGCTTCGGCCAGGTCTCCACACCATTTGAGCTAAGAACAAATGACACGACACTATCGATTGGCAAGTAAGCTTTCAACGGAATCCTCATGCAAGAGCGTCCTTTCAATGTTTGTTTCACCATCTTGCTGGCCAGATAGCTGTTTCCATCGTACTGTTCAGCCCATTGATGGCACCTCAAGATCAAAAATCACCATCATTGAGAGCATTGACTTAACTCTGAGGGCAATCAACAATAGAGGCCATATTGATAGGCTCGGGAGACTTTCGAATGAGTTCAAATGAATCCCTCCCTCATTGTCACCAAATCAATCAACTTTAGTACTGCAGCACACAGTGCGTTGATTTGTATACAGGTCACATGACCATAATCTGCACATATGGTGCAGCCGTCAACCGTAAATTTCTACCCATGCGTTCGCCGACAAGGGCCATTCGATAAGGAAAACCCTCATTGAAGAAAGCCACAATACCACCTACCGTCCCAACGATCATATCACATCCTTGACATCTTGGTCGCTCAACTCGGAAGGCCAACTCCACCACGCTCCTCACTTCCGCCCACAATCCGAAACAACACAGCCGAAAATGGCCAACGAGCAACCCCAGACCCCAGACCAACAACAAGCTGCAGCAGCAGCAGCCGCACTGCAAACGCAACGCGAAGCCGACTACCAACGCTTCAAGACCTACACCGCCTGGACCCTACTGATAGCCTCGCCGATCCTCATCGCGCTCCCACCCCGCAAACTCGACAACCTGACCGTGCTCCAGCTCAGCGCCTTCTCTATCTCCGCCAACCACCTCACCCGCGAGCGCACCGGCCGCAGTATCGTCGACCGCATCGAGGACAAGATCGCCTCCGGCCGGACCCGTTCCGACGGCACCCTGGCCTCTCTGGGGAGCGGGCTGCCCAGCGAGCGGGCGCTGGAGATCCAGGCGCGGTTGCGGGCGGACCGGGAGAAGCAGATTGAGGAGGCTAAGGGGGAGGAGCTGGCTAAGTTGAAGGCGCGCGAGGAGTTTGAAAAGCCTGTTTTGCAGCGGGTGTGGATGGGCAGCGAGACCGAGGGGTGGAAGGAGCGGCGCATCCGCGAGGAGCAGCAGGCGCTCGCGGAGGGGAAGGGATACGGGGATCTGATCCGCGAGCATATCTGGGATGTTTGGACTTGGGGGAAGGGGAAGGATGAGGGGGAGAAATGAGGGGTTTTGGTTTGGAGGTCCTGGTGATCTGACAATGGGACAGGTTGGGGTGGATGTGATGGTTTATGATTGTATCTCTACTTTTGTTCTTCCGGGGATGTGTCCGCGGTGTATATGTTTGTTTGGCGTTGGGGTACCTAAAAGCGTTGGTTGTCTTCGTGTATGATATAGTATAGCGGGCTCTAGATTGGCCTGAGAATGAGTATTCCGTCTATATTCATCTTTTGCAGTTGTTAGTCTTCATGTCGAGTTTATTGGTTACCGATACACTTGATTTCTTGTCTATAAATGGCATCCTGGTGCAGATGTTGACTTTGAACATGCCATCGGGCTTCTTGATCCCGATACTCGGACGATGCTATCATGGTAAGTCTATGGTCGATACTCTGCACTCAACGATGCCAATGCCACTGGCACCTCCATAGATCTGTCGCTAGTATTATACTAATCATGAGTTCATACATGCTACCAGCGCCTGTTCACGCATGCAGGGAGATTTATGAGAATACAAGGGGAATATACCTCATAACTTGCAAGGTCCATGCGCTCTTTCCCTCCCTCCCTTCACGCGCGCCACTTGGGCAAATCTGATCATTGAGTTATCTGTGCCTTGTTGACTGACCTCCGATGGTTGTTGACCATATGGGTAGTCAAATAACAACAGCACTATATCATACTTTTCCGCAGACTTCCGTATAGATTGCCCATGCAATGGAGCTTCACTCTGATGACGCGATCTGACATGGAAATGTACTCATGAGAGCCACTCTGGGGTCCATTCGCACTTGACAGTGGCAAACGGTGACATCAATTGGGGAAGAAGGAGGCTCGATGAACCCTTTGGACTTAGAACTCTCGTCCCCAGTCTTCAAAAACAGCCTGGTGCTCGGCCGAAGTTGCCTGGCGGCACGGCAGGGTGATATCGGCCGTCTCTTATCATTTGGCCTAGGCTTGACTGATAGATTGCTGTAAACAACAGCGTATCGAAACCCAAAGAATTATGCTTCGGTCGCCGAGCTCTTTCGGCTTTTACGTAAGAGCTATGCGAGGAGCGGAGTAGCTTTCTCCGAATCGGAGGCGGTGTGTCGTTGGACTGAAATTGATGATGAAACGAGACTAAAGTGTCCGACACAGTACCAGTGAGTCCACCTCATGCAAATGACAGTCGACGAGTATAGCTGCATCGCTGTATGGCAGTCTATCTGCCACCACCACGACTCAGATTCCGAAGTGAAGCTATTCCGGTTTGGCTTGGTCCTGAATGACACTAGGCCCAACGCGGACCTGCTCAGTGCTGCGGCTGCAGGAACCGTTGCAGGACTCACTAACCCCAAATAGGATTAGTGATCAGTACTCGCACGTACCTCGCACAATCCAAGGGCAGATCCAGGACTGGGAACTTTCACGGCTACGCAGGCTTTCTCGAAAAACTGTAATACTCTCGCCACACCAACTTCTTCATGGCTCATCCAATCCAGTACTCGGCTTCCGTGCAGAAGAGTTTCCGGATCTTTTCCCCCCTGTCATCAAAGATCGTTTCAAATCGCTTAACTAATTCGGGTGTTCAACCGCAGTTTCGATATCGCGGGCCAAGTGGAGGCCGTCTTCAGGGAACTCGCCATAGAGCGGGCACGCTTCCGGTGGGGAAGGTCGCACGCTTAGTGTCAATGGGGAATGGTGTCGACGCGGTTCCCGATGTCGTGATGGCGATTGCACACTGCGGCGACGTTGGAAAAAAAAAAGTGGTTCTCTGCGCGAGGCCGATCGGTGGCAAGCTGCTGGTTTGGTCGCCTGCCTGTCATCGATTGATATAATTGTCACCCAGTGTTCCTCTTTCCAAGACATTTCCCCTCTCATCCCATATTTCAGTTTTCCCCCGGACTTTTCTCGCCTTCGAGCACCTGCACACCTTCGGCGCAAACGATGTACGACTGTTCAGTCTCCGCTGCGGAGAATAAGTTTAAGCATCATGGAAGCGGTGATCCAAAGGTGCCCAACTATTATGGCGAAGAGGACGGTGCCCCGGTGAAAGGGGAGCTGGAGCTCAACGTCGGTGGCCGTGGTGCCACTCAGCGTCGACTCAAAAACTACCACATCACCATGATTGGTTTCTGCGGTGGTATTGGAACTGGTCTCTTCGTTGGAGCAGGCTCTGCCTATGCGAAAGCAGGGCCTGCCGGTTTATTGTTGGCATACATTGTCGTGGGGTTTGTGCTGTGGTGTGTCATGCAGAGTATCGCCGAACTGGCGACGGTCTTTCCCACTGCAGGCTCCTTCCCCCACTGGGCAACTCGGTTCATCGATCCCGCCGTCGGTTTCTCTCTCGCCATTACGTACGGATACTGTTACACCATTGCGATTGCCTCGGAGGTTTCCGCAGCCGCGGTGGTGGTCAGCTACTGGTCGGATATCACGCCGGCCGTAGTCATAACAGTCGGGTTGGGATTGATATTAATCATCAACCTGATGAGTGTCCGTTTCTACGGCGAGAGTGAAGTCGTGACAGGTGCCATTAAGATTTTGTGTTTTCTGGGCTTGGTGGTCGCGGCTATCGTGATCACTGCAGGCGGCGGCCCGAACCACGAGACCATCGGCTTTCGCTACTGGCACAACCCCGGTCCCTGGACCAACTACAATGGCATCACAGGATCGACCGGTCACTTCCTCGGATTCCTGTCGGCCTTCGTCAACGCCTCCTTTAGCTTCGTCGGAGTTGAGACCGTCGTCATCGCCGCTGCCGAAGCCGTTGACCCCCACCGCGCCATTCCTAAGGCCGCTCGTCGCGTCACCTACCGCATAGCCTTCTTCTACATTCTGGGCGCCCTGCTGATTGGAATGATCGTGGATCCTCGGAACTCGGGCCTCACCTCCGGCTCCGGTAATGCCAACAGCTCCCCGTGGGTTATCGCCTTCAAGGAAGCCGGCATTGCCGGTCTGCCCTCTGTCGTGAACGCCTGCGTCTTGATCTCTGCCTGGTCCGCTGGTAACTCTTACTGCTGGGTCGGCTCACGCATGATCGTGGCCATGACAACGGATCGTCAGCTCCCCCAGTTCTTCGGCAAGGTCACGAAGAAAGGTGTCCCGTACGTGGCGGTGATTGTTTCCTGGCTCTTCGGTCCCTTGGCCTATTTGAGTAAGTAGCCTTTGCCCACCAACTGCGATGCAATCCTCTAATCTGGCTTCTGTTAAGGTCTCGGAAGCGGTGGTCCCGCACAAGCCTTCACCTGGCTCCTTAATCTTAGCACGGTCGCCGGCTTAATTGCTTGGGCGACCCTCTGCTTCTGCTACATCCGCTTCCATCGAGCGATGAAAGTTCAAGGGCACAGCCGTGATACTTTGCCCTGGAAGGGTCCCTTCCAGCCCTACACTGCCTGGGTCGGATTCGTCGGATCTACTATCATCACCCTTGTTGCTGGATTCCCCGTGTTCCTCAAGGGAAACTGGTCCGTCTCCGACTTCTTTGCCTCATATGTAGGCATTCCGATCTTCATCGTTCCGATTATTCTCTGGAAGATTTTCAAGCGCAGCAAGGTTAGTCGCATTTTCCCGTCACTGATTTGGTCGCGTTGACGCTAACACATTGCTCTAGTTCGTTCGCGCATCTACACTAGATCTCTGGTCCGGCCGCTTGCTGGAGGGAGAAATTATTATCAAAGACCATGGACCTAAGTCGCCGCTTAAGCGCTTTGTCGAATGGTGTTTCTAAGTACATATCCTCTTGTATATAGACTTGTATATACCTAGACGACGATACCCATCAAACTTTTTTTTTTCAACAATTATGGCTCTATTTTGGTATAGCAAGAAATTTTTTTAATATGCGGTAGCAGTCAATCATGTTGGTACGGATGATCCATTTTGATTATTGAAACTGTTGTCGCAGCTTGGCGATGTCTAGATGCGATGCTTTGCAGCAACCGCCCACGAGGAAGGAGCTAAAGTGGCCGGCAGCACGAGCATTGTTGACGACCTCAGCAAGCTGGACCTCCCACGGACGCTGTTCATCGTTAGTTACGCATGTCTGAAATAAGAAAAAGAGCTGCAGCAATATGCCACCAACTCGACCAACGCAAGGGAAAAAAAGGGAAGAAACATACCGCATCCGCCGCGCCAGGCCCGTCACCCTTCTTCTCCCACACCTGAGTAGTAGTGTTATAGACCTCGCCCTGCGTGCCATCAGGATACAACACCAACGCGGGCTTCTGCTCATGCGCGAGCTGCTCCCCAAGCACATTCCGCACGCCCTCGCCAAACGACTGCACCAACCGCTCCAACCGATGCAGCTTAGTACAATTCACACCAATGCCCCACGGCCGCGGGAGGTCGCCACCACCCAACGCCGCCTGCACGACAGTCTGGACATCACTCCCATCCGGCAACGCATCCCGCCCCTCAACAGGAAACACACACACCACCCAAAACGGCACCTTCCCCTCCAGCCCCGCGGCCCTCATCGCACGCCTAACAGCCCGCACCTCATCCAACCTCGGCACCGTCTCAAACGCAACATACTGCACCCTGTCCTTCAACTCCGCACCATCCGCCCGCACTGCCTCAACAATCAATCGCAACCGCTCCAAATGCCACTCATACAAACTCTCCTCGTCATCATGCGCCGCATCATACGCCCCGCTGTATTCCTGCCCCGGGATCATGCACGCGCCGTACGGTCCTAAGCTCAGCGCGATCTTAGCACCGGTCTCGCCCACCGCTTCCGCTGCTACGTCTAGCCCTGTGCGGATGTAGGGCGCGATTGCTTCGCGCGGAATCCCATCGGGGTGTGATGGTGTCTTCGTGCGGGAGAATCCCTCGATTGAGACTTGGTAGGTTGCTGTCAGCAGGACGTCGCTGCCGGCTTTTATGAAGGATCGCTGGCACGCCAGTAGCGTTGCGGGCGAGGAGATTAGGAGGTGGGAGGACCACAGTGGTGTTTCGCTGGAGCTGAAGGTTATGTTGTGGTGGTCTTGCAGCGTTGTGCCGAGGCCGCCGTCGAGGATTTGGATTGGGGTTGTTGGTGGTGTCATTTTGGGGGTGAGTTGGGTGGGTTTGGTTTGTAGTCAGAGGTAGGAGGGTGAGGTTGTGGGAGGGAGAATTGTGGAGGATTGATGGAGGGGAAGAGGAAATGTTGGAGGGGTGGTGCAGTGGAGGGAGAAAGTTACTTAAGCTGAGGAACGAATGTGGAGGCCCCACTTGGGATCATGCTTGGCGGAGGGAGAGTGCTTTAGCGTGCAGACTACGCGTAAGGTACGGTCGGCAACTAGTAGAGTCTTGCCTATCTACTCCGTACTTCTGGCTACTCTCGATTAGAGAATTCCGCGTCGTCAAAAGAACAGGGAACAATTTCGAAGAATCCATTTTAATTACCAGGCAGACCAACTCACCACCATTTCACCATCATCTCTTTTTCTGGTTTCTGTTCACGTCAAATGGCCACCAATAACAGGTCGCGGCAAAAATGCAAAGCGTGATATCGCGGAGCCGCTCACTAATGCCAGATATCATCAAGACGTATACCCACATCGATCTGAGGACGACAAGCAGTCAGTTATGGGCAAGCCAGTGCTCAATTCCCGCCAGTCCGAGGAATCCAGACACCGGGCTACGACCTGCTGTTGTTCCGAACACCGATCCCCTCGCTTCTCATCACGACTGATACCAATGATGGCGACGGCAAGAATGCAGGCCATACAGCCATGATGGCGTCAATGAACGACAGACACCAAACGCAGCGCAGCTTGCCATCATACACTCGGACGTCAACTCGGCATTGTTCCTCGTCCGCCACGGACGCGCTTGTACCTCGGGAAGGAAGCCTGCATGCGGGCGAGAAAGTAGGTAGTATGGCTAAAGCGCTATAAGGAGGCGGCGAAGGATCCTCCATTTGCGACTCAGGTTCATGATCCGCAGACTTCAATAAGACGCGAGAGGTCTTTGGGTCAGCGGCTAAATTAGCAGGGCCCTTGGGAGATGTGACTGGAGCCTAAAAAGTCTCGGTTGGAGCCTGAGGGTATGAGGCCGTCGAAGCTCGACTAGGCTCAGACTCAGCTGGAGCTTCAACAGGGTGAGGAATATCGGGCTCCATCGTGCATCTGCAAACACTCATTTATTTGTGACAAGGGCTACGCTGGCTCGGGCAGTGTCTAGTCTGCAGCTTTCCAGGCCCAGTAAAAATGACAGCTCGACTGAGCGGCTTGACAGTGTAGATTGTTCGAAAGAGAGCGAGGCTTTCATATGAATACCACGATCAGGCTGGCCGGTTTGGGTTCGCCGGTGGGTCCTTCTTCACGTTTGTTTGGGGATACCATCTGCCTGACAGAGAAACCACCTGCCTGATAATGGTGCCTTGTCAGAAAATCATGTTCGTCGAGGGGTCAAGGCCCCATCGAATGAGTGCTTGGTTGATTGGTATTCATTGTCGTTGCCCGCCTTGTTGTCGCTCCCGTTGTCTGCGCGGGTGGATAATGGATTGGACAGGTTTCGTTTGTTTGTCGGGAACAAACAACAAGGAGAGCACGAGTCAATCTCCTGAACAAACGCCTTCAACTTTCAGCTTGTGAATAAGTAAGCAATGAGGAGCGAGGCAGCTGACTCTGGAAGGATTGACTAAGATAAATAAGTGCAAAACGAACAGACAGCTCCAGCTCAACAATGCCATAGGCATCATGAAAGACCATGATCTGTCATGATGCATGATCGGCACCAGAAAGACAATCAACTCTATTTTGTCCTGTGGCCAAGCCATTACACCAGAAAGACCAAATCATCTGTTATCAGAGGCTATTTGAGAAAAACAGGCTCTATCATGATTTTCAGCGCCAACGTGACACACGAGGCGACAAACAACGCTTATCGACAAAACAGCCATTCACTTGCTATGACATCAAAGCCACGATACACGGAGCCAATCACCGACCTGGTACTTGACTGGTGGTTACTTCTGACAATGACTGACCGGAAACAACCTTGAACCTTTTTTCAGTATAAGAAGCTCATATCCTTTCGCTGGACACGGAATTGTCTGTTCCTCTCACCTTCACCTTCGGGTGCCAACCTTTGACATCCTCGATCTCGACACTGCCTGGTCCGATACCTCCAACCAGCTTCCACCCAGGCACCAAGAGTTCGTGATATACGATGTCTTCCCAAGCTCAAGCTGAGCGTTTCCATGTCCCCGTGACCTCTGAAGCCTCAGACGAGTCTCTTCAGGGTCCGATGGAGTTTCCAGATGTACCTCAGGGTCCGTTTGATTCTGTAGAAGTTTTCGAATCTTCAGCTGAGGGTTCTGGGGCTTCTCAGACCCCATTGGGGTCCTTAGGCGAGTCTGCTTGGTCGTATGTCTCGCAGATCCACGATCATTCGACTAACGATCTTGGGGTTCGAGAAACGTCTCCAGGGGATACCCAGGGCGTACTGACTGGGTCCTTTCACACTCCAATAGCCACTCAAGAAGCGATGCAGGGCCTAGCTGAGCCGCACGGAATATCTCATGACCCAGCTGAATCTTCTACAACTTCAATAGCCCTCCAAACACCGGACAAGGCTGTGGAAGCCGACATGACCACCCAGGCGCCAATCGAGTCTTCCGAAAATCCGGAACCACCAGCCGGACCTTCCCAAGCGCCAGGAGGGCTTACTCGACCGCCTTCGTATTCGTCCGTGGCTCCACCTAGATATAGACGTTCCACCGAAACTACAATCGAGCCGATGACGATCGAGGAAGCCGAGGAAGGATCCGCCGAAGGCAACGGCGTCCGTGCCAAACGCCGCCGTTGCCGGTGCGCGATTCATCCAAAGCTTGTCAAGGAATGTGATATCTGCTGCACGCCGAGAAATTTGGGCTGTATAATGGCTGTAGTGTACATATGTGCATTGTCTGCGCTAATTCTCGCCGCCATAATATTGTCAGGAGACCGCGACAATGATCCGGCGCTGGTTCACGACCACTGCTTCAAGAGCCAAACAAAAGCTTCTTACCTCTCCGGATTTGTGGGTTGGATGGGGGCCGATCAATGGTATGCGCATCACTGGGGTCTCGCGGTCTTCAAAAGCTTGTCCATCATCATAGGTTTGGTATGGACGTCTCTCCACTTGTTCATTCAGGCCGATCCCCCGCTTGACCTTGACTGGCTATGGTCGACCTGGCTCTATAGTATCCCTGTCGTGGTTCTTTGGTGGATGATTGATACGGTGCTCTGGCTTAAGGGCGTGTATAGTGTTCCTGGATGCCCTGGCGGTGGTGGTGTCTAGGTGACACTGTTCTGGGGTTGTTTACGGACAGTCGGCAGCGGCTGTATTTGCTCCTAGATTGTTTTTTGCTCAATTTACCAAATGGCGACAAAATTTGTTCTTGATATGGGACTCGATGTAGGCTACATGAAAGCATAGAAACGCGAGAGACTGAGGTTCAACCGCTTCACTCATACTCTCTTGTCGACCAGACATAGTAATGCAGCTTTCACTTTTACTGACTAAGACGGAATATACTCGAGTCAAGGTCTGCCTCATCTGGTTGACTCTGTGATATTACCTGGCAGTTGCCGTAGACGGGCATAGCGGTACTTCGCGTATCCAAAGCCGAAGCCCCCTTCCATCCACGCATAGTAGTACCCTGCCACGCTACCTGTAGCCTGGGTACCACAATGCCGCAGTCGCTTTAGGCACTGGCAAAAAAGAATTGATATGGAAGATCAAGACTATCGTACCCATAGATAAACATATTGACTTGGGTAGTCATATCCTCTGGTGTAGAACTAGGGAGCATGGAATTTTGATGAAGGTACGACGCTTTTCCAAATCGGGAAGCGCCTGCCTGCCAGATCAAGACACACGTGCATCCCGCCAGCACTCCGGAATGTGATCGTCTTCATGATCTCCAGGCCTGCCTACTCTCCTCGCTTGGGCATGACTCCATCTATTATGCTGCAGATTTCTCCCGCTTGATCTCATCCATGTAGCATCATCGCATATATGCGACTTGACGTGATGACGGGAACTGCCCATGTGCCGAGAATGGGTAGGGGAGCAACCAACTAAAAGACTGACTCGGTGTACGTGTATCAAGGTTCCCCCGGGCCGTGCAAGGTTAAGTATAAGTTCTCGAAGAAAGAAGATGAAGCTGATAACTTGCAGTCCGTCCGTCTACAGATATCAAACCGCAGGAGCATCAAGAAACTCTATGTTTGGTCAGGACCGTTACCAGTCAGCATTGCTTCTGGAACCCTAATGGTATAAGCTTCCAGATGGCTGGTCCGCGAGAAGGGTTCGCGAGCAGATGAATTCGTCAATAGATGAGGCTAACGAAGTACTCCCCGCTCATGCACGTATTTTCGATACTCACATAGCACTTGCATCTCGCGATAACCCTTTTGCCATGTCCCCCAAAGGAACATTGCGTCGTCGCGAGATAACAAATGCGTATAGAACTGTATTAGATTCTCTAGATGACACCAATAAATCAGACGAGGCTGATAACACTGACACGCAAGTCGAAGCATATCCACAAGGATCAGATCTGGACGTGATCCAAGACTGGCTTCACCATATATTTTCTCGGCGCCTTCGTCTGAAGGATGTTGGCAAGGATGATGATCTGGTCGATGCTGGGATAGATTCACTGCAGGTGGCCGAATTAGTCAGGATTCTGCAACATGCATCGAAGAAAATGCACCCTGCGGGAAAGCCTATGACCTGGACAAGCAATGAAGTTTACCAAGCTGGTTCAGCACAGGGTCTAGCCGATGCTCTTCATCACCATATTGATGGCGATAGGTCCGATGAGAATGCAGGATCTAACGCCAGGTGGTCGAGAGCCGACCGAATGGTTAATTCTATTTGGAGTCACTCAGCACCTCGGCCATGGATGCACTACGGCAGCGATAACGGGCTCAACAGGGGATCTTGGGAGTTATCTTCTCCAACATTTATTGCAAGACCCAGCGGTCGCGGAGATATACTGTCTCAACCGTAGCGCCGATGCAGCTGATCGTCAGGTGGACTGTTTCCGACAGAGAGGCTTGTCGGACGGGTGGCTTACAGCAACCTCGCGAGTTCACTTTTGGCAAGTTAGGTTAGGCGACGACATGCTGGGATTAGCTCCTGCTCAGGACCGTCTTCTGCGGGATACAGCGGACGCCTACATTCACAATGCCTGGCCAGTCAATTTCAACCAACCTCTGAAGGCTTTCGAGGACTCTATGCTCATGAGCGTGCGAGACCTCTTGAAGTTGGTTGAGGGGTCCCCTCGTAAACCCCATTTGCACTATATGTCATCTGTTTCGACAGTTGGAGCATTGACAAAGACACATGGGTCAACGATTCCCGAAACATTGCACGAGGCCTCAGTGGTGCAGGAACTGGGATATGCCGAGCCGAAATTCGTGGCCAAATCTCTCTGCGGAATAGCAGCTCGACGCACCGGCCTCGCCGTGAGTATCCATCGGGTCAGTCAACTAGGCGGGCCTTTGTATCCAGCGGGGGTAATGTGGAATCCGCGGGACTGGCTTCCGGCATTGGTCCGCTCTTCGATGACCTTGGGCAAGATCCCAGATGATCTGGGGGCAATGAAGGTTAATTGGGTTCCTATATTAAGTCATACGCTGCGTCACCACATGCACCATCAAGTGAGATGCAATCTGAATGCTGACGCCTTTCCTTTTATGTAGGACGTGGCTGCTCAAGCCATTGTACAAATTGTTCACACTCGTGAAGAAGAGCGGAGTCTTCTTGGACTGAAGGTGTACCACATTGTCAATCCTAACCCACAGAATAGGAGTCATTTGGGCCCTTGGTAGCCAAAGCCTGCAGGGCCAAGATTGTCTCGCTTCAGGACTGGGTTGATGAACTGGAGCAGCAGGCCTTCGACAACTCAAGTCGGAAACGTCTGGAGGCTTTACCAGGTCTACCGTTATTGGGCTTTTTCAAGTCGCTAGTTGCTCATCCCTTTGGAGACGAACAACGGCATTGCAGACAGTGCAGCCCTGCGTAAACTCAACCCGATCAATTTCGAGCTCTTCGAAAGTTGGTTGCAACAGTGGAAAGGAAAATGGCTTCCGGATCTTGATATTTGGGCAGCGATTGGTCAAATTTCGTTGCTTCTCTGAAGCCCTTCCTGAAGAAGACGATTAAGCTTAATGACTGTCTCGATCATAAGTACAAACTGCGGCACTAAATACGTTACGTTGGCACAAATTAAAGGGCACAGTAAGGACAGGCAGATCTGCCGCGGTTGCGCCACTAAATGAATGTCTGAGACAGACAGTGTGTCATCCCGGCAGCCGGTCGGATCGACACTGTCGGATGGTCATGGATTCTACTTGATATTTCTCAACGATAAGAGGTCATAGCGGTCCAGACCAATCAAGGGATTCTGGCGTTTCATCCACATTGAATGAGAGATGGCGCGCGGCTTCCGCCCCCAAGCCACGCTAATGTGCGTTATCATCACATTACGGATGCCACCGGGTAGCACGTTACGGAGTGAAATGGCTCGAGATAACGCACTCCTCGTCTTGCTCAGTTATAATGGCTAAAGCTCCCAGTCAAAATCGACTGCCAAGGGACTCAAGGTTGTAGCGGGCCACCGATGAAACTTAGGCGCCGGGCGCGGCGCACGATATCCCGCGGAGATCGTGTGGCTTTGCCCGGAATCCGCCCTGTGCCACACAGCCACAAGGCAGCAGCAACCAAGCAAAACTCATTTAGCCGAGATACAGATGATACCGCCTTAAAATGGGGGCACGTTAGATGGGGTCCGAGACTAATCAAGGAGCTCTGGAGCCTGCAACGGTGATGGGGTTCGCCGCCCGGCCAATGATCGCTCGGGGAAAATGTTTCTGCCTCCAGGGATCCTGATGGATGCGATGCAAGGGACCATAGCCTCAAATCTGGTCGCTGATCCGGGGGTTGAGTTTTCTCGAATCGTTCCAGCCGAGGAGGAAGTTCAGGGACCAGCCACAGAATAGGCAACTATACCAGTGTCACTGGAATCGAGAAAATTCGTGCTTGCTAAGAATAGCACACATGTTGCGCACATTGCGCGGCAAATGCTGGCCCCAAGAACTTTGGACCAAAGCTTCATCAAAGCTTGACGGTAGATGGGACTGCGGTTCTTGGCATTTGGCGGGAAATTTTGGCGGGAACGAATACGGTGTGGTAGACACTAGCTCAGACGAAAAATTGAGGTTGCCTGATTTTCTTTCCTCGGAGTGCAGCTGGGCTTGGCGCTCGGTGGTGGAGTTTTCGAGTCTGCCATCGGTCAAATTTGGCGGGAGAGCAAAGTCAAAGGGTGCGAGTATTGATCTGCTACTGTAGCGCCGTATGGATGCACTGGTTTGGGATGGTCAAGTGGATACTTGCAGGGTAGTGCATGACTACTCGCAGAATGAGAGATCATCATTGTTCTTGCACAGAATAGGCGCCCTGGAGCAGCGATACTAAGTTTAGAGACTTGAGTCCATAATTCTACATGAGTATCATTGCATGAATCCCATGACAAGGCTTACGCTTACCAGGCCCCACCCAGCGACACCAAGAGCGGCAGGGCTGAGCCGCTGACGTGGACCGTCTCGTGGCTGTGACTGGTTAATGTCCAGTAATACTGTACCGTACCGTACAACTGCCCGTCAATCCACGGGACCCCTGACCCAAACATCCATTCACTCACCCCGAGCCTTGAAACATAAATACCCTTTGCCTGGCCCATTTGGTGTCAGCTTACCTTCGAACCATCTGAAAGAGCAATTCTCCTCATAGACTCTCCTCTTTTTCCTTTCAAGTCCACTCTCAAACTACAACCCACTAAATCAAGATGTTCAACCTCTTCAAGTCCTCCAAGGATTCCGCCCCCGAGGCCACCTGGAACCCCGACACGGTGACCATGACCACAATGCAACAACCCACCAGCCCACAAGCTCCGACCACCGAGCGCGTCGTCACCGAGCAGCCTGTGCGTTCTGTCTTGTCCTACCTTTCTTCAGCTGACTCTCGGAACCAACAAGCTAATTACCTTTCTTTCTAGTCTTCCCAAGAACAAATGAACATGACCCTTCGTGGTGGTGGTGCCGGTGGTGTTTGCTGCGGAGTGTATGTCCTCCTTTGTTTTCTTTTCCCGAACTTTAACCTCCTACCCGAACGAGAAGCTAATTCTGAGATATAGGTGCGCCGGTTTGATGTGCTTTGAGTGCTGTGAGGAGTGTTGCTAAACAAAATTCTCATCTGGGTCGGTTTTCGCTGGGATCGGATCTACACCTCGCATTCTACAATCAATTGGAGATGGTGAGATCGCGACACGTGCTTGATGCGATATGGCTAGATTCTATATCTTGTTGAGGGATGGCTAACGGGCGGCGGGCATCCGGCTGGTCGGTCGATTGGCTCTTGCTGTTTCCGCTGGTTGGATACAATCTTGATTCTATGAGTCGATTGGGTTGTGACGTTGGGAATGACTGTTGGCTTTTCTTTACGTGTTGATGTGATGGATGGATGTCTATACCCCTTTTTTGCTTTTCTTTTAGTGGTTTTATGTGAGATGAAATGTTATTCTTCTGGTTTGACTGTGCTTTTTTTACTGGAAGTTATACTATTAGAGGATCTTACGTGAATTCTTGCGCGAATTCTTCCTGTGTGGTTTGCTCTGCGGAGGCTTGTTCTTCTCTTGCTAGGTACTGCGTGTGATTGTGACTTGCTAGACTTGGGTGGGATGTAGAGTAGAACCCTTTCAAAGAAAAAATGAAGTTTGCATATTGAATGATGATGATGATGATGATGGTGATGGTGATGATGATTTTATTTTGTAGAAAACATAGGAGAGAGACAACATGAGGAGATAGGAGAAAACATGACGAGTAGACCGAAAGAACAAAACTGAACGAAAACAAGAAGCACAGAACCAGAACGACCATAAATCTCAGACGCAGTTCCCCCGATAAACCCGAAAATCGATCGCAGCGCAATGCTCAATATTGCCATGCTAAACCCCAGGCAACTACCACTCCACATTGGCCATCCGATAGCTCGAGTCCACCCCGACGAGCGTCGTCTCGTGGTCCGGCTCGTACAGCGGCTCCACGTTGCCCGCCTCGTACTTGATCGTGCCGTCGGGGAGCCGCCCTGCGACGCGCACCACCCCGCCCGTCAATTGATCCACCACCTGGCTGTGCAGGGCGCCGCTGCTCATGCTGCAGCGGTTGCTGCCGGATTCGATGTGCGAGACTAGGTCTGCGGAGCGCTTGAAGTTGCGGAAGCAGTAGGGGCATCTGTTTGATTATGCGTTAGTGACCTTGAATGAGGAGAGAACAGGTTCTGTTTTGATGGATGTGGTCTTGTTTGTGAAGGGAACGTTATGCAATAGCTTACCCCAATGGCTTCTTGTCGCGAACCTTCTCCAGCATATGCGCCTCGAAATCTTCTTGAAGTCGGTAGCTCACGCGGCAGTGGCAGACAAAGCGCGAGCCAGCCATGTTCAGGAACTTGCTCGCGTCCCAGTCCGGATCTATCCTGCGGAGAATATCGCCGGCCGTGGCGTCCGGTCTGCCGAAGAGGTCCCACTCCAACGACTTGTCTTTCTCTAGCTCGATGGCTGTGCGGTGCGGAACTATCTCGTCGTCGGCGTCGGTCACGGGCATTCTGGACGTCGCGGTCACCATGCTCTCCTCGGTCGTGTGCGAGTGACATGTACTTGGGGACCCAGGAACCTGCTGGGAGAGAGGGGAGCTCTTGACCTTTTGTGCATTCGGGCTCGGCATAGGCGACTTTTGGGCGTTTGCCTTGGGGCTGCGGGGACTGACGGGGCTCTTCACTGGGGTCCCATCCAGCATGACTCCGCCATCATTGTCGTCGATATCGTCCGGGTGGATCGGGCGATCGCCGTCCAGGATCTCTGCGATCATCAGCCGGGTCTCCTGCTGCTGGAGAAGGCGAGCCCGAGGAATTCGCCGGCACCCGTTCTCTTCGATGTGGCCCATCAGCGCGCTGGCGGATTTGAAAGTCTTGGTGCAGCCGCGGCAGTCGATGCTTTGCTCTGCACGGTGATTCTATCATATCCCCAAGGCGTTAATGGTCATTCGTCTGTCTTGAGGGTGATGTTTACTTACCTGGCGAATGTGGACGTCACGGCCACCTGTGCTGCGGAAATCCACGCCGCAGACGGGACAGACGATATGCTTGGGGCTGATGATCTTGTGCAGCAGAAGACGCTCCTCGTCCGCGTAGTCTTCGTCGCACCGGTCGCAGTATTCGTGTTCGAGGAGCTTGTGGGTGCTCATGTCTCTCTTGGTGGTGAAGTACTTCTCGCATTTGGGATAGGTGCATGGAAGTCTGACCGGTCCTGTATCAGTTGACTTGATTGGAGTTTCTACTTTGCTCGAAGGGCTTGCGAAAGGAGGTTGTTTGAAGGAAGGTTGGGTGACAGAACGATTATTGGGATGACGACCTCTGTCCAAGGGGTCTGCAGTAGAGGGTCCTGCGCCAGGGCGGCTCGTATTGATGGGCTTGGCACCGTTGTACTTCTCTCCCGGCTGTGCTGCGCCAGAGAGTCCAATGTGGCAGTTGTCAGGATTCATGCGGCTGGCATTAGTGGCTCCTCCGCGAGAGGATCCTGTGTTGATACGTCCTGCATTCGCGGTGCCTGCTCCTGGGCGACCGGCACCACCACGGCCTGCGTCAGGGCGGCCCAGGTTTGAGGGGCCTGTGGAAGAGTAGCTTGGACGAATGGACATCCTGAAAGCGTATGGAGGGTTGTGAGGGATTGGGAGAGATGATAAGGATGGGATTTGAAAGGCGTCAATAGACGTGGAGAACTGATCAAGGTGAAGAGGTGTGGTCTTCGCGAGTTCTGATGGAAAGTTTGAGGATGCGAGCGAGATGACGGATGATGGATGAAGACTTGGAACGGATGAAAAAGCAAGGTGAAAGTGATTCAGTGTGAAAGGTGAGTCAGTGAATGTGGTGAGTGCGGACTGGCTTGGATTGTATCAAACCCGTCGTCACCTCACCATGACACGATACAATCATTTCCCGGCTGATGTCAGGTCTATTTCGACACATATTGTGGCTTCTGTACTTGGTGCATTGCGTTGATATTACGGAGACTCGAAAAAGAAGACTCGAAAAAGAGTCTTCAAACACGTATCGAAAAGCGATGTTGATTCATTCAGATATTGCTTATATGCACTACAGCCCCAGCCCCACTAGTTCACAACAAGAAAAAAAGTACGCTCAGAAACGCGAGAAGGGCAACCTGTCAAAGTCAGTAAGACACCCAAGAGCTTGATTGGAGTTAGAGAGAATGGCTGACGCACCATTTCCCTCTCAGCGTGATGACCGCCCAATTGTTTCCCGCCTCATCGGTCTCCTTCTCAACCTTGGTCGAGAATGAGATAGCGCTCATGATTCCGTCACCGAACTTCTCGTTGAGAACCGCCTTGTACGCATAGCCGTAGTTCTGCACAATCTCATACAATCGGTAGATCAACGGTTCCTTGGGAGGCATCTCGACTGTGCGACCACGGTCCGGGAAGCCACTGAGCTGCTCTTCGAGGAGGTCCCGGGGGATTTCCAGAAGAGATGACAGCTTGTCGATGTCCTCGGGAGATGCCTTCGCTTGGCCGTAGAAAAGGGCGGCGGCAGCGACTTCATTGCGACCAATGTGCTCCGCGATTTGCTCGAAACTCAGCTTTTTCGATGCCTTGGCCTTGAAAAGGGTCTCCGAGGCGGAGGGGAGGTAAGGGTGTTGGGAGACCTGGTCGTAGACGGTTAGTACGCGCGGAAATGAGTTCCTTGACAGACGTTATCGGCATCCTCGGTCTCGGGCGGACTTACGTCGAGGGTTGCGAGAGACATTTTGATATTGTTTCGCGGGTACAGCTAGATAATTAGAACGTTTCTTGGGGATCTAGTTGGGAAAGTACTGGTCAAGAGGACAGAAGAGATGACAAGCTTTCAATATGGGCCGATGTCATTCTTAAATAATGGCTGTTGCGCTGCTTTCTCCAACCGCGGTGCGGGGTCAAATTGCTGCGGGGCTTGTCAGTGAGGGGCAGCCCTTGCAGCAACTCTCCCCAATAGCATACACTACCCATTTTAAGGTTCTAGCATGACAGCTCTAGGTTGATATTCCAGATGTCTATGCTTCCTAGCCTCGAGAATGAATCTCTGAGCTTACCCTGTTGCCTTGGTCTTTTGATAGGGTGTCTGGCTAAAGACCTCCGATGGACCCCCACTGCTACTGCTCTCCCAACCAGTGCGGGGTTGATCTCCAACTCGCTGTAGCACAAAACAACGACGTCATTCTCTCAATTGACCTTTCGAGAGTGTACTGCATTTATAACATCTTTTCAATCACCTAGTGAGTCAACACGTTCATTCTCAATCATGTCTCATGCCAATCCAACGCAAGCTTAATTATATGTTTGTTTATGAACCTCACAGCTAATATATATATATCTATTTGGCCCAACGCAACACTTTCCATTACTACACTCATCAAGACGAGCATAGATCAGAGAATACCCGATACACTATCCTCTAGAACTGCATCAAAGATTAACATCCATGACAGTGTTCGATAATTCGAGAATTGTACCAGATACTGGTGCCTGTGGGTCTCCGGTCTCTCCGCAAGTCACTTCCGCTTGGGCAACATCGAGTATCCATCCAAGCTGTGCACGACAGAAGACATCTAAACCAGAACTTTCTATCACCAAATCCTCGCTAGTTGCTCCCCAAAAGGACCCCGATCCTTTGATGAAAGATAGAGCAACTTAGAAATATGTCAAAACATTCAAGCAAACCGCTATGGCGTTCGCTGAAGATGATTTTCACTTGTCATGCAATCGCTAGCAACCGAATCTCTCGATATAGTGAGTCTCTCGTCTTAATTTGAAATCCCTTTTCTTGCTAATCTGATACCGAATTCTTTCTGCAAAACCGCATTCTGTACTGACACCGAATACTCTCCCCACGATAAGCCAATGTCCGCCAAAGCGCTGGATGCAGCGTCATAGGTACACAGCCCTTTTACCTGGATGCACCCAGCATCTCTTCGCTCATCCGCCTCAGTCAACAAACTTTCCCTGTAAGACATCGTGGAGTATGTCAAATAGCATACCGGTGTGCATTGTAGAGCAATATTAGGTGTTACCGGGTGCCTACAGCAAGTCCGGAGTGATCCTCATGTACAGACTGCTAATCGTCATCTAGCCTGCCGGTATGTCTGAAAATACCAACTACCATGCGAACACCTCCATGACTACATCCGAGCAGCTTAAGACATCAAAGTTAGTACGTTTTGGAGTAGAATCACTGCACGCGAAGCTATTCCCATTGAAGTGGATCATGTCTCAGGATCGGCGAGACGAGGACGGCGTTGTTCCCGTGTGCCAAGACCGCCTGGTTCCGAACCTTTCCAGCTCAGCATTTATAGCGCTCTCGTTTAAAGCGTTGAATGGCCATTCGCGATCAGTTTCGGGATGAGCGATGCGGTGTGGCAGAGCCACATGAGCCACAATTACTAGAAAGGCTGGAACCAGCCATCATGCTGGGCGTCATCGGAGCCTGTCAGGTAAAGCCCGTATGGGTATCTGTTTCAGGCTAGCTGGGGATTCCCCGCCATGAATGCCGGCACAGCCACACTGCAGCGATCTAGAAAGGTGATGATGCATCGCCCCCCGCCCTGCAAGGCAACGACCGCTCCTGATGGTTGGCAGAAATGCTCGCAACGACACATGCAAATGAATGTCAAGGCCCACAAATATCCTATGAGCTGAACAACCAACGCACGAAAGTAACAAGCAAATGAGATACACCCTTGGGGCAAACAAACAAACAAGCGACTAAAGGCGGTAGCCTAGAAAGTGGAAAGTGGAGGCAGATGAGCTGGACTGGCGGGGCCGGTCTTAGCCCCGTATTCCTTCCCTAACCGTAATTCCCTCCTCAGATGATCCTCTTCTCCCCCACCTTCACCACGGCTACATAATAATAACAACTATCCTCTCCCCCCCGTGGCGGTCAGCTTTCTTTTTTCTTTTCTTGTTACACCCCCTTTTCCATTCCTAGACCCCGGTATCCTTGGTCATCTCTCCATCTGTCGTCCTCATGTCCCAACGCGAGGAAGACCTGGCCTATGGCCACTACTACGGTGACTCGGCGCGGGGCACATCCGGCGACACCGCGAGGGGCTTTGTCGGTGACACTTTCCAGAAACTGAAGGAGACCTACAAGAGTCATCAGAGCCAGCAGGGCTCGGGTACTTATCAGGGCAGCAGCAATAATCAACAGGTAAGTCCTGCGGATCTGATCTCAGGCACCATCTTCAAATTACTCACCAGTGGTTGTCATCCCGCAGAACCAATACCAGCAAACCCAGTCCTCCCAGACCCAAGGTTCGGCTCAGCAATACCCGCCGACATATGGAAACGCCAGCCCGCAACAGCACCAGCACCAGCAGTCAACCTATCATCAACAGACGCAGAATCCCCAGAAGCAGGATAAGCTCTCGGGATTGTTCGGAAAATTGGAAAACCTGGGAAATGAGTTTGCCCAGAAGATCGGAAATGCCCTCGACCCGCAAGCCTATGCGGAGTATGGCTCGACTAAGCCGCAGACGCAGAACCGCTTCGGCAGTTTCGCTCCAGAACGCCAGGGTAATGAAGTCAAGTGGCACGTCGACGGGTGTGCGTACTTTTATGCTGTCTCCAAAGCCCTGGAAAGTGCGAGAGAAAATATTTGGATTCTGGACTGTAAGTTTCTGAGGTGACACAACTGGGTTATAATGAGTGGTGGGCTGACTGAAACTCAGGGTGGTTGTCGCCAGAGCTCTACCTGAGACGCCCTCCCGCGAAGAACGAGCAGTATCGGCTGGATCGGATGCTGCTAGCTGCTGCGCAGCGCGGCGTTCGTGTCAACATTATTGTTTATAAGGAAGTGACTCAGGCATTGACACGTATGTGCAGAAAGCATGGCTCATTTACTTGGTTGAGCTGACTCCAAATCGCAGTCTCATCCCATCACACAAAGCATCATCTGGAGGATCTCCATCAGAACATTGCAGTATTCCGTCACCCTGACCATCTTCCCGACCGTCAGGAATTGGAAGCCTCAATCGCCGCTTCCCTTCAGAACCTCTCCTTGGATGCCGGGAATCTGGCTAAGATGTCGGAGGACACCATTAAAGGAATTTATGGTATGCATGAGGATGTCATCCTTTACTGGGCCCATCATGAGAAGCTCTGCATCATTGATGGACGCATCGCTTTTATGGGTGGCTTGGATATGTGCTTTGGCCGTTGGGACACAAACCAGCATGCCCTCGCCGATGTTCATGGCCAGGACTTGAATGAGATCGTTTTCCCCGGCCAGGACTACAACAATGCTAGAGTGCTTGACTTCCAGGATGTGTCTAACTGGGAGAAGAATCAGCTGGATCGGAAGAAGACCTCCCGTATGGGTTGGTCGGACATCTCAGTCAGCTTGCATGGACAGGCTGTCGAAGATCTGAGACGGCACTTTGTCCAGAGATGGAACTTCATCTATGATATCAAGTACTACTCGCGCAACAATCCCAGATATGTGAAACTGAACTTGTACGGCCGCCCTACCTCTTCTATGGGCGCCCAACAAGGTCAGCAGCAGGGTCAGCAACAGGGCCAGCAACACGGAAGGCCGGCTCAACAGCCAGCAACGTCAACCCAGAGTCCTTCTACCCCCAGCTGGCAGCAGACTTTCACAGCCCAGCCGGGTGGTCTCCCTACCAGCTCAAGCCCTGCCACTCCTAGCTGGCAACAACAGGCAGCCTCTCCCTCCGCCGTGCAACCCAGCAACACCCAGTCGTCTAGCGCCGGCAACGCAGTGACACCTGGCTGGCAGCAGCAGACTCCTCAGCAGCAGGCACCTCAACAGACTGGTTCCTTTGGCAGTAACGCTCAGCCCGCCACTCCGAGCACTCCTAGCTGGCAGCAGCAGCAGCAGCAGCAGCAGCAGCAGCAGACCTCATCCCCTCAACCTGCTGCCTATTCTGGTAACATTCAGCACACTCAAAGCTGGCAGCAACAGCCCGAGCAACACCAGGGTAGCTACCAGGCCACCAACACCCATGATGCTCCTAACTGGCAGCAGCAAGCCCCACCGGCCTATACACCTAACCAGGCGTATACGCCTAGCCACGATGAGAAGCATAACTACACCTATACTGGTGACTCGTTCCCTCCACCTCCCCCTGTGCCTCCCCCAAGCCAGGGAACCGCACCAACCCAGCAGCCGAGTTACACCCAGTCTCAGGATCAGGGATACTCTCACCAGCAGAGTTACACACAATCTCAGAGTCAATCTTGGCCTCAGCAGCAGACCCAAACTCAACCTCAGGGACAGGCTTATCCTCAGCAACAGACTCACACACAATCTCAGGGTCAGGCATACTCTCCAAGCCAAGGCCAAAACCAGCATTACCCGCCTCCTCCCACCCAAGAGGGCCAGCAATCGCAGACTCGTGGTGTTCACGACTACCACAGCGGAGGCCATGCGTACGGCGACTCCGAAAGAGGCTTCAACTTCCGTGGTATCAAGGAGAACTTCACAGATTATGGCAACGTTCTTCGCGGCGAATTAGCAGGCCAGATCCATCATTACCAGGATCGTATGAATTACCGCCAGGGTAGCCAGCCACGCGGCAACATGGTTTGCCAGATTGTGCGCAGTGCTTCGAAGTGGAGCAACGGAACACCGACCGAGCATTCTATTGCCGACGCCTACGCCGCTATCATCCGCAACAGTCAGCACTTTGTGTACATCGAAAATCAATTCTTCATCACCGCGACTGGTGATGCCCAGAAACCCGTTCAAAACAAAATCGGAGCTGCCATTGTCGAACGTATCCTGCGCGCTGCACGGGCGGGCGAGAAATACAAGATTGTCGTTGTCATTCCCTCAGTCCCCTGCTTTGCTGGAGATTTGAGCGACGATTCCACTCTTGGCACTCGCGCCATCATGGAGTTCCAGTACAACTGCATCAACAGGGGAGGCAGCAGTATCATGGAACTTATTGCCAAAGAGGGATACAACCCGATGGAATATATTCGCTTCTACAACTTGCGCAACTACGATCGTCTCAACGTCAGCGGCCCGTTGCTTCAGGCCGAAAACAGAAGTGGTGTGAACTACGAGGAAGCCCGCAAGGAGCACGATGTGACCACTGCCGGCCCAGGTGGCTATGGACCCGGTGCTCCTCGGGCGGCCTTTGATACCACCGCCCCCTACCAACAGTACCAGCAAGCCGCTCAACAGGTGTCCAGCACCAAGTCTGCTCCTGGCCGGTGGGATAGCGTCAGTGAGTGCTACATGCTGAATGGTCCAGATATCCGCAATGTGCCGTGGGATGGCCCTGCAGATGCTGAGATTGACGCATTCGTTACCGAAGAACTTTACGTGCATTCCAAGGTAAGTGCTACTGATTGATATGCGAACCCATATGCTAACGAAGATACAGGTCATGATTGCCGATGATCGCGTTGCTATCGTTGGATCTGCCAACTTGAACGATCGCTCTCAGCTGGGTGACCACGATTCCGAGCTTGCCATCGTCATTGAGGATTACACCCCTATTCAGTCGCGCATGAATGGCCAGCCATGGAGTGCAAGTCGGTTTGCTGCTTCTCTCCGTAGATACCTGTTCCGCAAGCATCTTGGTCTTTTGCCACCTCAGGATCCAGAACGTCCCGATGCCAACTACGAGCCCGTTGGTGTGCCAAACACATTCGACGCCGAGTCTCCAGAAAGTCAAATCGTGGCCGACCCGCTGGCGGACACAATGCACAGCATGTGGAACACTCGGGCTAGAACTAATACTGAAGTATTCCGAAAGGTCTTCCACTCGGTTCCCGATGACCAAGTGCGCAACTGGGCCACGTACAAGGAGTTCTATGGATACTACTTCCACAACGCAGACAAGCAGGCCTATGGCGAGGACGACTCTCAGCCTGCTCGGTACGAATACGGACATGTGGTGCGGGATGACTTCCCTCCGGGCCCTGAGGGTGTCAAGCAAGTGAAAGAACTTCTTAGCCAGGTCAAGGGAACGCTGGTCGAGATGCCCTTGATGTTTTTGATTGAGGAGGATATTGCCAAGGAGGGGCTGACATTGAACGAATTGACGGAGCCTATCTACACCTGATGCCATATTCTAGTTCAATATTTTGGTTCTTTTGTTTGGCCAAGCAGCAATGAAATTGGATGTTTCTTTAGTATTTTTTTGGATCCCAAGTTGTAAGCGTGTGGTGGTTTAGTATTGTTGTTGAAGAACAATAGGAAGCGACGGGTAATGATTCGCCGCCAGACCAGAACTTCGCCCCGCGTGGCAGATCCAAACTCAACCCAACGAGGATGCCACGTCCACGGTTGGTTCATTCTTACATTGCAGAATTGGTACAACACCATGTGGCAAAGAGGGACTTATGTCGGTGCATGCAATCGATTGCTCCAGACTTGTCAATGCACTAACACACCAAGTATTCGGATTTACCATCGCCTCCACTCGCTTCCATGCTACCACTGTTCGTGCGCGACTTCCTTATGAAAGATATCAAACAGAAATAAAGAGAAACAGCCTCATTTCCAGAGCCGGAACATCAATGCGACGCTTAGCTTGATTCTACACACAGTTGCACAGTCGTTCATTGGCCCATTGCCAAGAACAATATGAAGCCCTGATCCCTGCCCTTCCATACATCTGCGACGACCGCAAATCAGAGGTCTCCATCACTTCTAGCGAGTTCTTTCTTCCTTCCACCCATGTGGTTCATCGAGTCAAAGCCTTCTTGAACGCCATGATGAAGTTTACGAACAGGATTAAAGAAAATATCCCAGGAACGAGCCCGACTTCCTCGCCCCCAGACTATTCTTTCACTCGTACCTGTCTTTGCCCAGTCTGTCTTGCTATTCTTCTTGATTGTCATTGGTTTCTGCAATGGATTTCAAAGATGGAGTATACTTTCTTGACCACAGTTTCTAGGATCCAATATGTGCCCTGGACATCTATATAAGCCTCTTCGAATCCTCCCCAGAATTGCTCTTTCTTCTCTTCATCCGCAAGTTTCATAACAAGCAAAACAAAAACATTTTCGATCTTTCCGATCTTTCACTTCAATCATTCAAAATGGCCCCCGTCGAGATTGTCAAGGAATCCACCACCCGCGGTATGCCTCCCGCATGACTTGTTCACCACAGCCCCATCCCACTTGCATCCTTCTATCAAGCATACCCCAGGCACAGAATGATAGCTAATATCAACCATAGGCGCCTCCCCCGGCGGCGGCTGCACTGTCATGTAAATGACTTTCCCTGAGATAGCCCGGAGCTTCCTCTCGCTTTCCACCTGAACGCAAACAATCTACCATCCGGTCCAAAAACCTCAAGTCTTCACGACATTTCTCAACTTTTCGTCCATCTCGAATAAGAAATCCCCCCACCCGCAACATGGCTTATCTCATACACCATAACGCTATAAATTTTGATTCACCATAAAGACCAATAAAAATACACTCTACTCACGCTACTTTCGCCATCCCGAAAAACCGAAACGCCCGCGACAAAAGCCACCAAAAACAACAGCCGGTCTCGTTGCCGTTGCACCAAAACGGGGGCTTCAGGTTCTAGGGTAGCAAAGATGATTTCCTCTCGCTTAATTTTGTGTTCCAGTTACGACGTCGGTTTCTCAACCTTTTCTTCATTCCTGTCCAGTCTTCCCTTATGACAGATTTGAAGGGAGAGTTGTGGTGCTCTGGACACAATTTGATAGCTGGGGTGAAGATCAATAATCATCCTATCCGGATTCCAGTCTTTCGCTTTTTAACTTTTTCATCAACTCCGCCAATTTTCTTATTCGAGGAAGATGTACTCTCTGGTGTATCTGGATGGGAGATGGGACAGTCCGTTTTTTAGACAGGATGAGTTAGATTCGGAGAGGGATTGGGGAGGATTTGGGTTTCTAATTATTTTAGGAAGTCTTGTTGCGGTCTTCTATCGTTTCTTGTTGGTTTACTAAACTTCACTTGGAAAACCCTTTTCTGAATTGGATAGGATGTGTGTGGGTTGAAGCTTTTTTTTTGGTTGTTTTATATAGCTATGTGTGAGTGGGTGGATATATAGTCTTTCGGAATATATGTTGCTTGCTCACCGATTTTGGTTCTGGATGTAGGTTTTTGCAAAGTAAAGTGTGTTTTTGGGTGGATGACTTCCTTGAAGATTGATAGGATAACGTGTTGCCAAGCATCCAAGTCTATTGCAAGACCACCACAATCCTAATTCTCCCCTTTAAGATTCTCAGGCTGAACAGGAGCAGAGTACTGTACTGGTTAATGTAGTGATGACGATGACCCTTCTTCCGAATCAAAGCTGAACTACCATAATCTACGTACACTCACTCACTACAAACAAATCCAGCACCTCTACCCCCGTCCCCCCCCTCCCCCCCACCAAAAACAATCCACCTCCAGAACCAAACCCATCCAACCACAGCCTAATTCCCAGTCGCATACTCAAACAAAACCCCGCACGGTCAACCGCACAACCACCAACCTGATCAATGAATTCGTCTCCCCACAAAACACCCCAGCCTCCAACCTCCCCACCTCCCGCTCAATCTCCTCCTCCATATCACGCAGAAACTCTCTCGTGGCAGCCAATACCCCAGCCTCACGTAGCAGGTGCACCAAACCGGGGAAGTTCATTTCAGAGGTACAGTTACCGGCACCGGCACCCATCACCTGGGGACTTCTACCCGCGCAAGCACTGAAACCCTGACACCCTGCACCACTACCACCCGCGGAGGGCGAACAAGAGCATGATGACGATGACGACGAAGGCGTATCCCTCCCCGACAAACCTCCCGGAAAAGAAGCCGAAGCCGAAAGCAGCGCACCGACCTGCGCACGACATTCAGGTCTGGAATTCAGCAGCCGGATGACGGGGTACGAGTAGCTGAATCCCCCCAGCTTGCCTTCTGCTGAGGTCTTGCCTGTAGAGGAGGAGGAGGAGGCAGCAGGGGATTGGGGCGAGGTGAAGAAGAGGTACTCTTCGCGGATGCGGATGAAGCGCGCGAGGAGGTTAGTGAGGTGTAGCAGCGAGTCTCCCCTGTTGTTTTTGTTACCGGGATTGCTACTGTGGGGTGGTGGTTGGCAAGGGGCTTCCGACTGCAGGAGCTTGACCAGGATAGAGAATAACGCTCCCGTCGTGTCGTCGATTAGACCTAGGTATTCGGGTTCGGTCGGGGTGTGTGTTGTGAATTGCCAGTTTAGGGCCCAGCTTTGGCCTGTGAAGAGTCGTGTGAGGCCTTCCGTGAGGATTGTGGTTGCGTTCCGTGGGTTGCGGAAGAGGTGCGGCTGGTGCTGCACCGATTGTAGGGCGTGCGTGAAGGCGTAGTATGCGCTGTTGGTTGCTTGCGCGGTGCCGAAGACGATGTGTGTTGCTGGGCTGCTGTGGCGCGTCGGGCTGGCTGTGAAGATGTCCCATAGGATCAGGGTTGCGTTGTGCAGGTTGCTGAAGATCGTATGGATGTGGTGGAGCGTGGGCTCCGGGGCGCGGGTCCAGCTGTTCAGCGCGGCGGGGATCATGTTCAGGATTGTGGTCGTTGGGGTCGAGGCGATCGAGCTGATGTAGTTGGTTGGTGCGGTTAGGGCCGTGGTGTTCTTGGTCTTGTTTTCGAGGGTGTGGTGGTTGTGGTGGTGGGCTCCGTAGCTGAGATTGGGAGATGAAGCGCATGGGTGGTTCGAGCCTCGATCCAGCAGGGTCGTCGACGTCGTGCCGGTCCACTCGGACTTGCCGCAGCTGCTACTGCTGCTGAAGCAGGGAGAAGACGAGAGGCTGGCCCGCCAGTAGTTATAGTTGGCCATGGCTGCGCCTACGGCCTCGATCCAGCGGTGCAGACGAATCGACTCGGTCGGATGCTGCCAGGAGAAGCTATCTTTGAGCGACAGGAACCGGGCTTCAAGCTCGACGATCTTCCTCTTTACCTTCTCCCGTGCCGCGTCAACAGACAGCCCCTCGACGCGGATCAAGCAGTCGATGATATTGCGTCCTGCTTTGGGGTCTGCACACCCTGCCGTCCAGCTCCAGTATTCATCGTTCAACGCGAGACACTCGTCGGCGACATCCTTGATCTCTTGCAGAAGCATGTGGTCGACGTGCGAGAGAGGGACCCCGATAGCGAACTCCAGTATAGGCCAGAAGGCTCTGGCTCGGACATCAACATTGAAACCCGCGCACCCAACACCAGCGGAAGGAAATACACTTACTCGAACGCGAACTTCTTCTTGCAGTCCAGCGGCGTCGGTGCCCGAATAATCGCCTTCCGGTATACCTCCAACAGATGCACACCATGCTCGCATTCCACCCGGCAAACCTCAGAGAAGACCTCCTCGATGACTCGCTGCAGGTGGTGATGTTGATGGTGAGGGTGGTGACGACCGCCTCCTGGACCCTTGCTGCACGGCCCCGAGCACGAACAAGAGCACGCAGCAGAGAACTGCTCGATGCATCGGTTCAATAACTCGAATCCCTCGTGTCGATTATGCGTTCCGAACCGACGGCAGAGATCTACCTCATAACTCAGCACAATATCTTTGGGACGAGGCGAGCACAAAACAAACCATCAAGCAGCCGCGCCATCTCAGCCAAACACGCCGCCGGCGCCAGTCGCTCCGGCAGCGCCTCGGGAATGATCATGACCAGCGGATTCTCCTTCTGCGAGAAGCGGGAGGAGCCGGGATAGTCAGACCGCACGTCGAAGTGGCAGTTCCACTTGCACACGAAATCCTGGGCAGCCTTGGTGGCGATCTCGCTGTATCGGTTCATGCGGATGGGGAGCGAGGTGAAGGCACCGGCTCTGCGGGCCTCAAATTCGTTGATCATCGGGGAGCAGGCGTGGTAGTTGTCCATTGTGTGGAGCAATTTCTAAATGCAGAATATAAAGAAGAACGAGAAAGAAAACGAAGATAGAGTACAGGAGAAAGCAAAAAAGAGCAGAAAGGTGCTTTTGGACGAGATCTCGAATTTCCAAGATTCAAGGGCTGGGATGGATGTATTTTTATGCTGTGTCCGAACGCCCCCGCCCCCAACGCCATGGTTGAGCTGTGCCCCAGCGTCTTCATGAGCTTCACAGAGTGTCGGTGTATGGGCGGCGATTACAAATGTTTCGTTGCATGGCCGTAGGATGAGTGTGTGAAATTCGTTCGAAAATGGTAATCCGGGATCGTAGTCCCCCGGGATAGATCAGATTCGGAAGAGTGCCTTGCTCATCGCATACAGATTTGCATACATATCACTTCATGCATACCGCTTCGAAAAAGGGAAGCTCGTATCATCGACTAAAATGATGGAATGGCTATGGCTCGTAAGGGGGCAACTCGCGATCTTGAGCAATATTATCCGAGCAATGGCTTAATTTAGACTGCTAGATATGGTGCCTCATCAGTGGGAATGCTCTTGTTGGACGTATCTGAATTAGATTGATACTCTTCGCTAGGCTTCCTTCTCGTGAATTCCGACTATCGTATGCTATGCTCTTCAAGTCATAGTCTTTCCCGTGGACTGCGAGTGGTTCTGTGTAATCCCCGGCCTAAGCAACAAATTTGATAAAGCTTAAGTTACAAAGATATGGAAGCATAGCATGAATAACACATTTGATTTAGGAATTGTTGTCAAGGCTCTGTTCACATGCTCGAGACTTCAACAAGAAGCTCATACTATGCTGGGCTAATTTAGTCTACCCATTATGATCGAAAGCATCTTCGACCAAAATCACCTCCAGGTATCGCTCTCCGTGGCACTGCTGACTCCACAGCTAGAGGGAACAGTGTATGACCGGTTAGGGTTACTCTCCCAGGTAACGGATCCATCGGACGCCTTGCGTATGTACTTGTACTGGAAAGTAGTGCCGGCAGGAAGGCTGATCGTAGCATACCAGAGATGTTTGCTGGAGGTGTACTGGCTGGCGCTCAATGCGACCGCGCTACTGCTATCCCAGCTACCCAATTGGGAAATTGATCCTGAGATATACACGTCCTCGCCGTATGTAGTGGTAGCAATGACATCAAATGTCACGGCGACACTGGTGGGAGTTGAGCAGGCGGTGGTTGTGGTGGAAGTGCTTGTGGAGGTTGTACCGCCGCCGCTAGCCTTGGTGGTAGTGGTAGTGGTCCCGGAGCCGCCGCCGCTGGTCAAGGTGCTAGGCCATGCAGTGTTGGTGGCGGTGCTGTAAGTGCCCATCGCGGAGGTTGCGGAGCAGACAGAGGGAACGCTGCTCGCGCCGGTCTCGCCCCAAGAGGGAGGTACGACCGAGTTACGGCGCATATTGGCTGTCAAGACAGCAGCATAGGACCAAGTCAAGTCGCGGGCAGAGAGCTGAGTGCCATGGTTCTTGTCATACTGTTCGGCGAGGGAGCCATTGGTCATGGCATGGGATTGCTAAACGACATCAGTAAGGTGCTTTATAGTAAAAGGGCGGTGGACGCACAACAACGCTCACGTATCCATCAGCGTAAGTCTTAACAGCGCTGACGATGGAGCTAAAGGCTGAGCTGGAGGAGGAATAGGTTCCGACCGCCGCCGAGCTGTAGATATCCTTGAAGAAGGCAAGCGATGTGCTGTCAATAGTGATGGACCCGATGCGGTTCCACTGGTAAATCGCATCGTACAGCTGCTCCGCGGCCGCAAGGGTAGTCAGGAACCAGGGGTTGCCGTTGTAGTAGGAATCTTCAGGGTAGCGACCGACTGCAACAGCGGTGCCCTCAGCAATGCCAGAGTTCAGAGAGTACACAGACCGGAAAGAGTCAGTGTAGACCTTGTGGTTGGCCAGCGCACGTGGTGAGCATGGTTGGAAGGTCGTGTCGTCGCAGCCCGCGGCGGGATCAAAGGTATGGATACTGGCGAGCACGGTGTTCGCATCCTTGCCACTCCGACCACTGTTGGTGTTGGCAAGCATGTAGGATCCGGTCCAGAAGCTTTGCATGAAACACAAGATTTGCGGGGCTTGGGAATCACACCAGCTGCAGGATGAGCCAACGCTCTTGGCAAAGGTGCTGCCTTCCACAAGTGCCCGGTGTGAAACAGCAACAGTGAAGAAAGAGGATCCACTGACTTCCTCCCACAGATCTATATGCAGTTAGTTCAGTACTTTGAAGGGAAATTTCAGGCTTAAGATAACCGACCGTAACCAGTCTGGTTCCAGTATTGAGCGACGTAAGACAAGTCATTACGGACAATGGGCCAAACAATGTTCGTCGCTTCGGTGGAGTAGCCATTGTTCTGTTTATTGTCAGCCAAAGTACTTTGTCAAGATCCAACAAGACGTACGATCAGCCAGTTGCCAAAGGTGATCAGAGCGGTCGCGCGCAACGCAGGTCCATCGCGCTGGGGACGGCCCCAGCTGCCGGTGAATGCCGTCTCGTCAACATTGAATTTGGGTTCTCCAAGACCTGCGCCGCCGGAGAGCGACCCAGATGGGTTGGAAACGGTCTGCAAGTGGGCTTGCGAATTGATATACTCTTCAATGACCGTCTGCAGACTCGCTTGACCATTGACGAAGAGATCAACAAGGACTTTCATGGTCAAGGCTGAGTCTCGAGTCCAGGTATAGTAATCTGTGCAGGTCTGTTAGCAAGCTCAGCATATTCATGGGTAAAAAGGGGTCGCTCACAGTCCGGGTTGCTAGTACTCGGGCTGGCGATGACAATGCCAGACTTAGCACTCTTGGAGAACTCTCCGTCCGCGCCAATGTTCGCAAGAATGCCATTGAGGGAGACCGTGGTCTCAGTTCCAAGCCAGGCGTCCACGCTGCCCGTAGCCCGAGCATCTAGCTGCGGGGCTGCTGTCGCCCAGGGGCTGAGAGCCAGCGCGCAAAGCGCATAGGAGATACCCCGAATCATGGCAAAACGCGAGAGATACCAGGGGTTTGAGAAATGCGAAGGAGGATGAGAGTGAGGTTAATGAGAAACAGACGGTAGGAATGTCGCTGCTCTTTATAGACCGCGTGCGGGAGGCGAGAAGCACCGTGTGAAGGGGGGGAGAGGTTCGACTCGACTGCATGTGAAGCGGACAGGGACATGCATGGATCCCAGACATCCAATCGCTTTGTCGGCATTTGCCTTGTACCTGCTAGACGAATTGACCTGCATAAGCCCCTGCGCAGGCGTTCTGCACACTGTGACCAACTTCTCCGATGAGGTCAAATCCGGGGAGCCAAGTCCGTTTCCTCCAACGAGATGGCTCCGATTTCCCCGCAGAATCGCCGCCCCTGGCTCGGTTACGGCTTTTCTTCTCGGGGGTCAGGCCGTTACGGACGGTTGATCGCGGGAAACGCGTTGGAATTGGCACTAGCGCGACGCTAGATGGCAGTCCGTCAAACTTGCGATGCGATGAAGTTGCTGCAGATGGTCAAGTGGCGTGATGAGAAGGCCATCGCTTACCTCGGAGGTGGGGGTGGGGGAACCGCGAGCAAGAGCGAAGAGGAAGATGGAAGGGAGGGAAGCTTGCTCAGCCGGAAATGAGATGTTAATGAAGATGGCTGTTGTCAGCCAATGGAGACGGTCGACCACCACTCCTTCGCTGCTTGTCTTCATTTCCCCCTCCACCCAGTCCCGACACCAGACCATTCTTGTATCCTTGTTTTACACTCTTGCAAGCACACGGGAAAGACTGCAGAAGACGATTGGGTCATTAAAGAACTGAATTACCGAAATCGTGCAGTGCCCGCTGGACGCTACCGCGGCGACTTCAATCCAAGTACATTATCCCACCGGAGAACTGGAGTGACAGAGCAGGATGAACTGATGGCTGTGGTGCAATGCGCCTCAGCTAAGGCCCCAGGACCGAGCAGCGCCGTGCCTTTGGTAGAGAAACTCTCCGTCGTCGAACTCCTCAATGCACAGACAGGGACATTGCGTGCGCGGCCGGCCGGCAATGGGGTGTCGTGATTCTATTTACTTATGCCTCGCTTTGGCCAAGGCCGCTTTTTCGCCCTTCTCCCCATCTACAACTATAAGTCAGCGCCAAATGGTTTTCAGCAATGTTTCCTAGGCGAGAGATGCGCCTCATCTACACAGTAGTCACCCCCGGGAGAATGAACGGATAGCACAATGCAAGATTGCCTCATATACACACGCGGACATATACCCCGCTATAGCCGATCCTCGCGTATTTACACTGCTTATGATTTAAGGTGAAGTTTCCTTTCGAATCATATCTACTCGGGCGATATCATCCGCACTGGGCTCAGGCAACTCCGAATCCTTCAGCACAAATGCTTCGCCAAGGGCTTCCTCCACCTGCTCCAGCGCATGTGAGACCAAGCCCACCGACCGTGCCATCCCAATCTGCGTCAGGCTCTCGCCCACCGCGGCTTCAATCTGACCATCGCCACCGTTCTTTGTGAGATCCGCCTCAAAAGCATGGCAGAGAGATTTTAGCGGCTCCAGAAAGCGATTACGGAAGTAGACATAGGTCTTCTCCAGTTGCAGTTGCTGGCGCAGATTGGGTGTTGAGACCAGAAGGTAATACAAACTGAGCGCCGCATGGATCGATGGAGTCAAGGTTTGTGAGAACTTGATCCATGATGCCACAAGATCGGATGACACGTTCATGAGCAGTTCGGAAGAGTCGAAGAGCGACGGGAACAACACGGAAAAATAATGCGGGTTGAGAAACGGACTGGACTCGGATGTGACATCGGTCTCGGAGGCTTTGGATGCATCTAAGATCCCGTCCTTTACCCAGACGATGGCGCTATCCTTAACAGTCCGGAATCGGTCGTCCTCCAGAACCGTCCGAATGAGCTTGAAGCGCGCAATCGCCGAGGAATTGCTCTTAACAACTGTGCCTGGAATTCGTCGAACTGAACTGTAGTTCTGCCGGGCAGTACAGGCCGTCAAGCATAGAACAAAATCGACGAATTCTTTTTCTATGGCCGGTGGCTGGATAGGTTGCTGCATAGCAAAGACGGTTAATGCGAGTAATGAGTCTAGTAGCACCTGTGGTTGCCCGAAAGCAACTTCATCGGGTGAATTGTAACCGCCGACGAAGTTGCGGAAAACCCGCGCCAGGTCTGGGAAAACGGCGATTGGGGTGACCTGCCCGGACGAGAATAATTCCGCCGAGGCTGCCCGCGCTGCCAGGAGCAGCAAAGAACCATGTCTCTCCAGGGGAATTTCGTCCGCTTTGCGAGGTGGTTCGTCGAAATCAAGCGGAGGCGGTTGGTCGTCGGGCGATTTCAAGGCGATTTCCAGAAGCTGCTTATCACTAAGGCCGAAGTCGCGAGATAGCGCCTATACATGTTAGCATGTCATTTGAACCCAGGATTGGGTCTCGGCCGTACCGTGATCTTAGCAACGATTAAGTCTCGCTCCTTCAGTTTCTTGCTGTGTGCAAAGACCTCGGTCTGCGTCTGCTGGCTGGCGATGCGCAATCCGGGGTGGAGCTTCTCTTGTAGTCGAATCGTCCACGACATTCCGGGGTCCAAGGGGCCGGCAAAGCTGAGCAAGTATGATTTAAGTACCTCAAGCAGGCCAAATTGTAGAAATCGCTGGACCAAGACTGCCTCATTATCACTAGCTGGGGACGGCGATTGCACTTCAGCTTCCGGGTCCGGCGCTGAGGCTTCGGAGAGACGAAGCACGCTGGATTCACTGGCCGCCCTGGGAGGCGGAGCCGGACGTTTCGACGGCGAAACATCCCGAAAGAATTCCAACAAAGCAATTGTTGTTTCGCTCGTGGGCATCAGTGTATACGCTTCTAGCAAGGCTTGCAGAGATGTGGCCAGGAATCGGCTGGGTGACTTGGTCTGGATGCGAGAATGCAACACTGACAACATTGAAACGAGTGCATTGAACTGCAGGATATGACGAGGCAGAGGTTCCATTTCGTCGTCAGATTTAGGCTCAGAGTCAGCGGTGGCGTCCTGCGACGACTCCCCATGCTGGTGGTGTGGTTCCAAATCTACAGCGTTCGATTCATTATCGTTGTCCTCCTCATCGGCGGGTTGCAGCTGCATGAGAGCATCTGAAACCCGCAGAATGACCTCTCGGGGATTTCCCAATCGAGCAATATCATGCAGGCAATCCAAAGACTGGGGTAACATAGGTAGGAGCAGCTGCACCAAGTCCCAGCCGATGTTGGTCGTTAGCACCTCATCCTGGAGGAGCTTATGCAGCGTGGGCAAACGGGCGGGGGTCAATTGGTATTCGAGCAAGGTCAAATAGGTCAGATAGTCGGTCGCAGGAGGCAACGCTTGAATAAGAGGGTCGTCGACCTCAGCCATGGCGAACAAGTTGTGGAGGGGGGATAATGCTGCTGGTGATGGATCATGCGAGATCCGGATGGGTGGGATAGCAGAGCAAAGAGACGGACGTCGTCGGTCAGAGCGGGACAGGTGAGACGAAGATGAAGCAGCGCCCGGGGGTTGGGTGGAGATGACATCACCCGGGCTAGGCCACCCCTCAATCAATCAATCAATCAGCCAATCAATCAATCAATTGATCGAGATCACATACAATCCATTGTATGTGACACAAGCTGACAACTAGAGAGGTCAGGATGTTAGATGAGGGGCAAGCTGGACAATCGTGTCATCAGGCAATTTACAGTTCCTGCTCAGCCAGAATCGATATCCATTGGGATGGGGTCGCCCACGGCTGCCCCGTGTGAAGGATCGAGGCTGACCTCACACTGTCCAGACTCCAGAGACGACATTAACATTGCCGCTAGACATCCCTAGGTTGATCTCCCGGTCTCTATTTCGTGCTAACAACAGACATTCTCACACAAAGACCGAGTCAAGGCTGGAATCACCCAGTTCTGGTCAGGTATTGGAGCGTCGAGGCCACCGCTCGACTCGGGAATCGGGATCTTGCTGACTCATCGCATAGTATGAAAGTGATCCAGAGAATTGAATTGAAGCATCAATCGTGATTCGAGGCCTCGCCAAGAGCGGAGCCAGTTCCACATCATTTTCATGATTCTTTGCGAGCAGTACCTGACTGGATTAATCGAGCAGTCGGATATCACATCCGCATGTCGATTCCGATACTCTTCAAGGGAGGGCACGTCGGCAGGAGGCTTCACGGGTTTTTACGAGTAGCGAAGCTTGAGTCATGCAAGGCATTGACAATGACTCTCTTCTCTGCCCCATGATGAAGTCACGGTACATACTAAGTACTTGAACTGGACTAGATACTCTACGCCCAAGAAGCAACAACAAAGTCTTCGCCTCCTCTTTCCAGAGTCTAAACCAGTTCAAATAAAATCTGGAATGAACCAAGAAAAAAAGCACAACTAGAGAACCAAAATTCCTCAGCAGAACCAAAGACCGGATGATGCCGATTGAGCCGGGCGGGAATTCCCTTCCCACTTCAAGGCTGAGACGACGATGACGGTGGAGGGCCGCAAATGGCCAATCATCGCCGAGCTCCAGGCACATCGCGGCGCCCACTGCAGGTTTAATTTCTCAGCGACTACTGATCTGAGTATCGTTCCATGAAGAAAATCAAGACTGACTGAGACTACTGCGATTGACTGGTTTGATTAACTCTTGGCCAACAAGCCCAGCATCATCCCAGAGAACTAAGAAATTTAGAATCTTGACTATTGCCTGAGCAGTCGTTCGTTCTTCCAATCATTAATTCCGGGCCGCTTTTCTCGATCCGCGACCTACCGGGCAGGATTTCTAAGTCACTCTTCCTTCTGCTCGCTCTTCTCTACTTAATCCCTTCTCCTTCTATTCTCTCAAGCTTTGTATACCATCTGCTCCTTGCCTCCTTTGCTTGACTCCTTGGTTGTCGTTGTTGTTGCCGTCTCGTTCCTGTGCTTCATTGTCGTAGGACCTCCAGCTATCCCAGCGGATCTGCATTTGCAAGCTCACGATCGGGTGTCGATCTCGCAACCCAACTTTGCACCCTCGCGCCCTACTCCAGAGCTCCCATAGCAATTGTGTTCGGCAGCGCTCGGAGAAAGATACTGTCGTCTGCAGCAAGAAGACGACGGCAACACGCTACTACGATCGTAAATCGAACACCGACGACCAAATCTCTGACGGCTGTTGACCCGCCTTCTCCGCTGGTTACGGAAGGGAGTGCAATCGGCAAGGCTACGGACGAAGGAATTGCAAGGAACAACAGCTCCTCTTCAGGAAGCCTCGACCCCCCTGAAATTGGCATTCCGACGTATATATGAGCAGTCGCGCGGAACGATGCCTCCCGAAATGCAGTCGTTCTACACCCCTTCCACCTCCACGCACATCTCCTCCCATGCTCCGGCGGCAGTGGATGAGCTAATCAACAAATACTCCTCCACCATGTCGACCTCGACCTCCGCCGTTAGCCATCTATCCATGAAAAAATCCCACCGAAACGTCTTGCAGCGAATCACAGACCGCATCCGGTTAGAATACTATCGCTATGAGGTCACATTCGGGCTGTATGTGATGACCCCAGGCGAGAAACTCGTGGCCAACACCTTTGTGATTGTCGTGCTCTCCCTTCTATTTTGGGCGCTGCTAGTCTACTTCCCCGCTCTGCTGTACCAGAAGGCCAGCCGTCTTTTGTGGTTGTTGACGGGTGAGAACGGTGAGGAAATGGGAGCTGCCTTGGGTATCATCGATTCACACGTCAACTCGATGTCTATGCCTTCGAGCTAAAAGCACTTCGATTGCGAATGAGCTATCAGTTTTGGTTTCGAAGATCGCATGACCATGATCCTTATATTTTTTATTGCTCTTTTTGCGTGATATGCGTCTGCACTTTGCTATTTTGGTTTGTGGATATCAGGAATCAACAACGAAGGTAAGGGATCTCTTGACTTTCGTCGCTTGCGCGTCGAAGCTGACAGTTGCGACAGGTTCCCGAGTGCCACCTTCATCTCATATTTGCAAGTTCGAACCGGCGTTTTGGGAACTATATGATATACAACCGGTAGCGGCGTCTCTGCGCCGACCGAGCTTAATGATTGGAACGGAAGACATCGGAATTAATGAGCACGCGTGTCGAGCGTGCAAGACGACAAGCCAGAAGGGGATGCGACGGAGAGGTTTAGCCCTCAGATCCGAGGGGGTTGATCCCTCAAGATGCGTGTCGACCGTCCACTCTGTGTACAATATTGGTGTTTTGTATGGCTTTTTTTTTGGAGGGGTCGAAAGGTCAAGAGAGAAATCTCATGCACATGGTTTCGCACCCACTATACGGTGATGTAAAGGCGACCACCATGTGGACTAGACCAAGTGGGTATCGTTAGATGTCAAGTAATGCTTAATGTGAAGTATGAATGAACCCCTGTGCGAGTTGAGGGAGGCATGGTGTGTGCGTGATTCCTGCTGTTTGCTCGGACTCAACGCACAAACCTCTTGTCTGCTTTGCAGTGTCACCGCTTTATTAAAACTTCTGCGGGCGGATAGTGGTGGAGGTAGCAGCTCGAGCGGACACCAGCCACCAGCCACCAGGTATTTGGAGAGTTGGAGACACAAAGCGATGGACATTCTTGACTGCCAAGCCGAGGACGCGACGTTTTACCGGCGGTGCCACCGGTTTATAGCACGAGTAGACGAATGGGGATTCGTAGAGGAGAACGAGGAACCCCCGGCCACAGCGTGCCCAGCCAGAACCTGACCGTCACGGCCCCAGAAGTTGCGTGGCCCGCAGTCAGCGATGACTTGCGTGTAATCAATCTAGCATGGTGGCTGACGACGAGATCACCGCCCAAAAATAGGCGCGTCCGCCCATTCGGAGCAGACACGGGACTACTACCATCTAAATGACGCCTGCCTAAACTTCTTTTCTTCTTCTTTTGCTGGTGGGTTCTACTCAGTCTTTCTTTCTATCTTAATTCCTGAATTCCCTACGACTTGTTGTTGAAGTGTTCAATCCTATTATCTGTCCGAAAAGGATTGTTGACAGCATAAACCACAATCCACACCTGTTGGGGGCGATCCGTCACTGTCCAGTTTCTACTTGAGTAATTTACCCGCCGCCTTTTATTGACGCCTCATCAGGGGCAGGGACCGAGCCTTGCTCTTAAGTCATTGTTGTTGATCGGTTTCAGCCCTGTTTGTTCTCTTGCTCGACCGCCAAACTGCCTGCCTGTCTGTCTGTCTGTCTGTCGGCCTTCCTTTACCCCGGTCAATCTCCTGCACCAACTCGATCACTATCATCCGTTGCAGATTGAATTCGCCCAAAAGGCAAAGCAACTACTAAAACTTTCCTTCGAAATCAGCCCTGCCGGTCGCAATACTTAGTCAAATAGCCATCACCTCCCCCCCACCCCTTGCGCCCGTTACCAACTCGGCTGACCATCCGACATGGCGGCCAACAGCTACTATCAGAGCGGCTACAGCAGCAATCCGCCTACTTACGAGCAAGTCAATCCACACACATCCCAGTACCCGGCAACTGGCCATCCCGATTTCAACACACATCCTTACCAGCCAACGGCCTCCGACCCTCAGCTTCACTATAGTCAACAATCACTGGGCTCCGATCAAGGAGCCTATGCCGCTGGCGCCAGATTGAACGAAGGTGAACAATATGCCGAGAATATCCCCCTCAAAGCCAACAATCAGTATCCGAATGGGCCCCCGCCGCCTGCGAATTGGATGCATCAACCAACGCATTATCCGCCGTCCCCGGACGAGATCGAGCCGGCCATGCGTCCGAACGCTCGTCGAACACAGAAGAGGGGCTTGTTGGGAAGGAAGATCGCTTGGGTGACCTATACACTGACATTGATCCAAATAATTGTCTTCATTGTGGAATTAGTCAAAAATGGTAAGTTTGGAGGGCATTGGACAGGGCGGAGAGGATGATGCTGACCGACCCAGCTCAATTTACAGGATCCCCGATCGAGACTAAACCATCGTTCAATGTCATGATCGGTCCGTCGCCGTACCTCCAGATTTACATGGGATCGCGATACACCCCGTGCATGAAGAATACGCCAGGCATTCAGGATGCCAAAGAAACGATCCTCTTCCCTTGCCCCAACGCGACGACAACCGAGGCCCATTGTACCTTGTCCGAACTGTGTGGCTTTAGTGGTGTGCCAAACCCGACCCCCAACGGATCGCTCGATGACCAGCCTGAGCCGAACCAGTGGTTCCGATTCATCATCCCAATGTTCATTCACAGCGGATTCGTCCACATCGGCTTCAACTTGCTCGCGCAGATGACGATCGGTGTTGCCATGGAGAAAATGATCGGATGGTGGCGGTATGCTCTGGTGTATCTGGCCAGCGGGATTTGGGGATTCGTCCTCGGAGGCAACTACGCCGCTCAGGGCCAGGCCTCCTGCGGCTGCTCCGGGGCACTATTCGGCATTCTCGCCCTCGATCTCTTGGATCTGTTCTATACTTGGCAAGACCGCCAGTCGCCGTTTGTTGAATTGGTTATCATGATTCTAGGAATTGGCGTGTCTTTTGTTTTGGGACTTCTGCCGGGACTGGATAACTTCTCGCATATCGGTGGCTTCACCATGGGTCTGGCTTTGGGACTGTGCCTTTTGAGGTCGCCTAATGCGCTTCGTGAGCGCATTGGACTCGCACGGAACCCGTATGTAGCCATGAGCGGCGGTGTGGGCACGGCCACGCCGGAGGATGGGCAGAAGGTGGTTCCAGGCCCCAGTCTTGTCGATTTCATCAAGGGCAAGCGCAGCCTCAAGTCGTCTGAGGGCAAATCAAACCCGATGAACTTCTTCCGCGGCCGGAAGCCTCTGTGGTGGGCATGGTGGTTGGTGCGCGCGGGAGCTTTAGTCGCCGTGCTGATCGGGTTCATCCTTCTCATCATTGATTTCTACAAATACCCCAAGTCGAATTGCTCTTGGTGCTATCGACTCAGTTGTTTGGTAAGCTTTTTCTCTTCTGGTCTTTGTTGTGGAATTATGCTAACAATCGTTGTAGCCGATCAAGGATTGGTGCGAGCAGGGGAACATCACGACAGAGCAGAACTCTACTTAGACGCATCTGATATATGGCATTTTCGATTCATCGGCATATGATTTTTGCATCATCTGAATATCCCTCTGCGATTTGATTGGCATTTCTTCTTTCTCATCGGCTACGGCCATTACAGTACATTATTCGACGGCGTTAGTGGAGACGACGCACGCCTGAGTTGCATCAGTGCAGCGGTCATATGTTCATAAAGTATCTCTGGTAGAATAGCGAATGCATAACGAACAGAATTGAGAACCATAAGCATAAGAATCTTTACATGAGACGCCAGGAGCCAAGAAGCAACTGCGCCACCAGCTAGATCAAAAGCGGGACATGTGATCTACCGGATGTGGCGGTGACAGTCCGCCCGATACGGTACCGTAACCATCCGCCGACAGCGTCGTAATCACCGCCGATGAGATCCGTCATCTCGGATGCCTACTCCTCGGCGTTCTTCCTGCCTTACTACATCGATTGTTTTTTTCTTCATTGCGTCAAGATTGCCTATAACGTTCCTTTCTCCTATATTCTGTCTGACTGCCATGATCTGATAGCACCTGAACCACAGACTCGATCGGCCGCTCGACGACTTCCCCGGCAACTTTCTTGAGCCATGGCAACCTTAGCAGCATCACCGCCGTTATCGCCGTCGTGGCCGAAGCGACGACCGCGAGCCTGGGCGCTGCGCATCGAACGCTACTGCTGCACCGCGGCGTCGTTCTTCCCCCTGGCCTTCGTTTACGGGTTGACGACGTGGGCCGTGTGGGTGGAGGCCAGTGTGGGCTTCAAGTCGGTGCAACATAGTAGTATCTGGATCGGTGAGATTTCATTCCCGGGGGAGAAGGGGGAGGGGGGAGTTTATACAGTGGAATCCTCTGTCATTGCTCAGCTCTTAACTGACTGTTTTTGTTGCTGCTATTGCTAGGCCTACCCAGCTCCCTCCTGGGAATCTTCCTATACATCTGCCTAAACGCCTGCTACACGGTAGCGGTATTCACGGACCCGGGCAGCCCGCTCAAGCCATCCGGCAGCAACGGCCGCCGGAGCCAACAGCACGAATACAGCGCGCTGCCTGTGACGGAACTACCTCAGTACACAGCCTACACGGTCAATTCGACGGGCGGATCGCGGTTCTGCAAGAAGTGCCAGTGTCCCAAGCCGGACCGCGCGCACCACTGCTCGACCTGCAAGCGCTGCGTGCTGAAGATGGACCACCACTGCCCCTGGCTGGCGACCTGCGTGGGGCTGTACAACTACAAGGCGTTCCTACTGTTCCTGATCTACACGTCCGTGTTCTGCTGGGTGGATTTCGTGGTCGCGTCCACGTGGATCTGGAATGAGATGCTCGATGATAGCAAGTATGTGGATTTTGATAAGATGTTGCCGATAAACGTGGTGTTGTTGGCGGTTCTGGGCGGCATTATTGGCCTGGTGCTCTCTGGGTTCACTGCGTGGCATATTAGTTTGGCTGTGCGTGGGGTTACGACCATTGAGTGCTTGGAGAAGACGAGGTATGTCTCGCCGTTGCGTAAGGTGCTGGATCGCCATCGCTACGAGGCGCTGAGCGGGGGCCAGCATGATTTGGATGGTGGGGAAGGAGGTACTGGAGGAGGGGGTCTAGGTCATCGGTTGCAGGAGTACGGCGGGCAGATTCTGGATGCGCATGCCAACGCCATTCCCGGGGTGACGCGGGCCGAGGAAGGCGAGGAGGAGTTGACGAGATCGTCGCCGCAGGGGGCGGGCGCCTCGCAGTTTTCCTCTGGGAGGGACGGGTTGAGCCCCGCGCGGCAGGCGTTGACGCGGTCGTATGCGGAGATGGAGCGCCAGCGCGAGCATGATCGGTATCAGAGTTACTTGGAGGAGCAGGACAGCGAGAAGATGCCGCATGCTTTCGATCTGGGCTGGAAGCGCAACCTGCTGCATTTGTTCGGGAGCCGTCCACTGCTGTGGCCGGTCCCCGTCTGTACTACGACAGGCGATGGCTGGCATTGGGAGCCGAGCGCTAAGTTCCTGGAGGCGCGTGACGGCGTGCGGCTGCGCCGCGAACAGGAGGCGGCCGACCAGCAGCAGTATTACCGGGATCTGTACACGCGGAATATGAACAATAGCCAGAGTTGGATGGGGGCCGATGCTGCCACGCCTGCGGCCCATAGCGCTGCGGCGTGGACGCCACAGCAACCGCTGGATGTGGTGCGCGATCCCGAGCGGCCCAGTACCGGCGTGTCGATGAAGACGTTGCGCCCGATGTCACCGCGTCTTCGACATGGGGAGGAGGAGAGCGATGAGGAAGGTCGCGCGCGCGGAGACGATGAATGGAGGAATTGGGATTGATGTCGTGGTAGTTGATACACTGTACACTTAGGGGTGATTATATATAAGTATGAGATTATGACAGCCTCACATTATAAGTATATTGTACTGTGCGTACGCGACAGTAAGTCACACGCGCGAAACGGTGTATGGATATAGCCCACGAGTGAGCGATGCGATTGACAAGAACCGAGAGTCTGAAACAAGGTCTGGGGATGGATCATATCATGTAGAAATATTGACAAACGCTGAATACTGTGTGGATGAAGGCGATTACGCAATTGTTCCTGGCGGGTCCACCTCACATTCCAGACAGACACCTCAGGCCAGTTGGCCTCTCCTCATTCCCCTCACGCCTCCTCACTGACTGCCACTACTTCAACCTCCCATCTGATTTCAAACTCTTTTTCCAATCCTAGCTCAACCTACCCAAGCACATCAAGAACACAGCAACCACAGATAACGCAAGAGAAACACTACCCAGCCCACCAACGATAAAGAAGCATACAATGCGCCGCTTCCAAACGACCACCACCTCTCCACCTTGAACCGAACCGAACTACAATCCAAACTAAACCAACACCACGACCTCAACCCCAAACCCCCACGCTCACCCCCGAAACAAAAAAGAAAAAATGACAACCCCCTCCCTCCGCCGCCTAACCCGCGAACAAGCAGACCTGCTCAAAAACCCCGACCCAACCTTCCACGCCGCCCCCATCAGCCCCTCCAACCTCTACGACTGGCACTTCACGCTGCAAGGCCCGCCCCCACCCTCACCCTACAGCGGCGGGATCTACCACGGCCGGATCGTGCTGCCGCCCACGTACCCGCTCCGCCCGCCGTCTTTCCGCTTCCTGACGCCCTCGGGCCGCTTCGAGGTCAATCGTGAGATCTGTCTTAGCATCTCGGGCCATCATGAGGAGACATGGCAGCCTGCTTGGGGGATTCGGACGGCGTTGATTGCGTTGCGGAGCTTTATGGATGGGGATGCGCGGGGGCAGGTTGGCGGGTTGGATGTTGGGGTTGAGGTGCGGAGACGGTATGCGCTGGAGTCCCGGGGGTGGAGGTGTGAGGGGTGTAGTGGGGGGGAGTTTATGGGGGATGATGGGGAGGGCGATGGTGGGGATGGGCAGGGGAGGACGAATAGGGAGGTTTTGGAGGCTTGGTGGGGTTATTGTCGTGGACGGGGGGTGAGGGTTCCTTCTGATGATGATGATGATGATGGGGGGCGTGAGGGTGGGACGGGGGATGAGGGTAAAGAGGAGGGTATCGAGGTCAAAGAGGAGGGTGAAGAAGCTGAAGGGAAAGACAGGGTAGACGCCCCCGTGGAGGAACGTCCGAACGACTCGCCGGAACAGCACCAACAACCCCAACCACCCACGATAGCACCCCAATCATCGGAGACTCCGCCAGTGCCTGACATCCCAGATCTACAACCCACATCACAGCACACACCGGTGGTGCAACGAGACCATACACAGTCACAGCAAGTATTGCCTCAACCTCAGCCTCAGCCCCAGCCCCAGCCCCGGCAACAACAACAGCAGCAAATATCCCCCGATACCCCCTGGCTCGACCGAGCCATCGTCGGCGTGGTCATCGCTTTAGCAATCATGATCCTCCGGCGCATTGCCCGAGACGAGTAACTATACTCCCCGTCAGCCATAAAAGAAAGGGTTATTTTGGCGTTGGAAAGGCTAAAGCGTGTATTTGTATCCTTTTTGTCTTGAAGCTTCGATGTTGGTATACTGGATTATAACCTCGAATCAGAAGTTTTCCCCGTATTATAGCGCTCTATTCAGACATCTCTTATCTGGATCTTGGATGTAGGTGTCGAAAGTCCTGCGAAACGTTAAAATGAACCGCGAGCAGCGGCTCCTGATGATGAATGAGCCAGAGATGTTGTCCGGTTGGCTAAGGTAGATAGCAAAGAGTTGCAGACTGGTTGCTAATGGTTGGGCTGACAGTTCCTGCCTGGGCATCAGTTGGGACCTTCTTCACGAAGCTTGCAACAGGTAGGAAGATTTCTAGAAGAGGATTCCACGAGAACATAGGCTAGCGAAATGGGTTGATCACTTTGTTTTGGTAGGGGGCAAAGCGCAGGCTGCACGTATCATTCCTTTCTTCTTCAGCCGGTAGAAAACCAGTCGTACTCTCATCCAAGACAGTATCAGAGCTCCTGCAACAATAGACCGTTTGCAATCCCCATCAACTCGGAATTAAGATCCTCTCAAGTCCAACCTAATGCAATTGCTTCCTTTCGTGCTTCCAACAGTCTCGCTCTGGCCAGGTCCATTGTCTAACATGGGTCCCGAAAGAGCGGAAAGAGTCCATAAAGATACCTTCGTGTGCATTACTCTCATTGCTAGACTTGATGAGACATGAGTAACCAAGCATATCCAGATACCCGGACCTTCTTTCTTCGGTCTCGCAGTCCTGACCTCGTCCTGAGATGCTTCATTCGATGGAGCAAGAGAACAGACCGAGCCACAGTGGATGATACGGTCTTTGGCTTACTACTCTTTCGCAGTGGTCCTATACTAGGCAGCCAGACCACCCGACAATCCAAAGAGATAGTAGGACCGAAAGCCTTTATGAGCTAGAGCCGAATGAAATAAGGCTTCTGAGTCTGTTGCTAGCAAGAAGTCATCGCGGTGCGCACCTCGGTAGCGGTTCGAGGTTGTTCTCTGCTTGGAGCCATCAGGACGAGAGATTAACAAGTTTCGCAGGGCCTACACGGAGCACTCATGAAGCATCACCAGTACGATCATTTATTATTCAACAGGAAATCTCATTTGCTCAGCGGTTCCTAGCAACCAGAAAAAAACACAAAAGTCACGTCATATCCTCAATGATCCGCCGCAACACATCATCCAGGTCGACAGACTGCTCTCCCTGACTTCGCTCTTCAGAAGTACAGCATACCCCCGGGTTCAGATCCTCCTGTATCTCCTCCAAATCCGCCGCCTTCGGCACTGTCCTCTGGCTCCTCATCTGCCGCTGGATACCCCTCAGCCTGCGTCTCTTCGCCCTCGTCATCACTCCTGAAGTCTGCAGCTGCAGGGATCGTATTAGCATCCACTTAACGACACACCACACGTCCCCCCTTCAAACACAAGAAGAATTATACTATACTCACAGCTTGATCCTGAATCCCCTCCTACTCGCGGGCACAACCAGTCAGTCACAACACGCACGAACCTGTACCGAATACCATCCCCACGGAATAAAAGATAAACTTACAGCCCGTCGCCCCTCGTTACCCCACCTATCGGGACACTCCCCAGTCCTATGCCCTCTGCCTCCGCAGAAGATGCAATTCAAACTCGTATCCCTCGTATTGCTGGCCACACTATCAGTGTCACGGAGCGCGGCCACACAAGGAGGCTCTATGAGTTCCCCGGAACCGAACTCTTCGTCGTTCTCGAGCGGAACATAAGCGCTTGAGGCTCTGTTGCGCGGGTGAACCGGTAGGAGGAGGTTGCTGGCAGCGTTGACGGCAGCTTCGGAGACTCGATCGTGGTGGATGAGATGGGAGAGGTCGTTGCCTCTGAGTTGGGATTTGGCGTTGTAGCCAGCGACATGGCCCCTGCTGTACTTCGCATGATAGCCTGCATCATTTCCCGAACCGTACTGAGCACGATAACCTGCAGAATAGTCTCCGTGCCCTGCATTGATGCATGCATTGTACCCTGTATGATCCCCAGCGACGACAAAACTCCCACCGCCAATACCACGCTTCAACCTACCCTCGGGCACAATATAGCCTGCTGCGTTCTGGCTTGCGCCCATACCTCTTCCCATAACGTTATAGCCCCCAGCTTCCTGGCCATCTGCACCGTAATCCGCACCGTACTCCGCGCTGGGCCTTCCCCTCTCTCTCGCAACTCCACCACCATGTCCAACTCCAATCTGATCAAGAAGTCGAGCTCCCTCCCTGGTTTCCCGCCACGAGGAGAGCCCGAACCGTGGCTGGGCGGTTGTGTTGAGCTGGCCCTGTCCTGCTGGTGCGGCAGTTGGATTGGGGGGTTCGATGGAGGGGAGAACGCCCTGGTGCGGTCTTCTGGGATTGCTTCGCCTGTGGCCGTTGGGTTTGCGGTTTCTTTTGCGGGTCATGGTTTGTTCTTTTGAATCTGACGGGAGGGTTGGGGTTGGGTTTGTTGGGGTTGGGCTTTGTTGTTGTTGTTGTTGTGGGTGTGGTGGTGAAAGTTGGATGAGAATGAGGAGGGAAAGAATGGTGATGAAGAGGGTGAAGGTGAGGAGAAGTGCAAGAATGTGAAGGAGGAGAGGAATCATGGTATTTTTATGATTGCGTTCGCTGTTTATTCAGGCGAGGTGAATGAGGGAATCAACTAGGAGGTCCACGTTGCGAAGGGGAAGGTGGATTAGGTGGGTTGTCTGCCAGTGGCAGTGAATATTGAGAAAGTTCAGGTTGTATAGAGCACAAGGAATAGTGTGGGTTCCTTGCTGCAATGAGACAAGACAAGTTCAGAATGGTTATATACAGAACAGAAAACTATGGCAAGTATAACACATTGACAAACAAAGTGTTAGTAAACAACAACTACCAACTACTGTACTTATCCAGCATCAATACTTACCAACCCAAAACCTGGTCATCAACGCCTGTATAGTACAGTACAGATTCTCCAAGTCTTACCTGTGAGATCTCAGATCATAGATCAGTTCAGCACCATCCACCACCACTCATCCACTTTCCAGCCCGGCTCGTCCTCGTCATGCTTCGTCTCCATCCCCGTCCAATCCAGCTTCACCACCCCAACCTCCTTCATCCACTCGAGCAAGAGCTGCACCTCCCACCCTCCCATCGTCGGTTTCAACATGGCGGCAATGCTACGAGCGCTAATCCCAGGCCTCGTTGCGACACATCCCACCACTGCCGCGATAGCCAAGTCCCACAGCACTCGGACGAAGTCTCCATGAATATCATACCACAACGGAATTTTCGCTGGTAACGATGTCACCGGGTCGATACTTTCAGGCAAACGCGGCGGCGTCACCGCACTCATCTTCTCCTGCACCGGATTCCCAAATACATAAGAGTCCGTGGGCCAAATCTCAACCACAAACCTAAGCTTCTTCTTGTCCATCTGTCGTGTCAGATACCCACCCTCCGTCAAGCCATATCTGTCCCTGGGCGGGTCACGCGGTTTGAGAACTATCCGACCAGCTGAGAGCATGTTAATGACCACAAGTATGTCCCCGTCTTCCGCGTTCCAGTCAATTTCAGCGAATCCCTGATCCCGAAGCGCGGAATCCAATATCTCTGCCTTGAACCGATGGGCCCGGCGCAGCTCGGTGCTCTCAATAGCTCGTCGCTTGCTGATGGCGAGCAAGAAGTACTCTGTAATATCGTAGTTGCGTCCTGGAGTGATGCGACCCCGGTTGCCCATATAAAGAGCACGTTCTGTGACCAGCGATTGCAGCGCCTGGTGGACAAGTGGTTCTCCAAATCGTTCCAGACTTTGTCGGGCCTCCGTCGGGCGGTACGTTGGCTCCGGCGTTATGACATTCGCCCGAACCCACGTCTTGACTACTTCCAGACGGCCCAATTCGGCTTTTCGCGGCTGGGTCCCAGTCATCTTGTTGGCTAATGGCATGGCGAATGTGACCCCGGCTGCCAACGCGCGTTTGCGGCTAAGAGTGGTCGACTGATTGGCATGGTACAGTTCGTCCAGAGCGTTTGTTGGCTCCTCCCGGACATCGAACATGCCATCCAATTGCTCCCTTGTAGCTGGTAAATCAGGAACTCTCTCCGATTTGGGTATGTCGAGATGAAGGCTTGCCCAATCGACCACTCCCTCCCAGTCATAGCCATATAGATCATCGTAGTCAATGGGTGGCACTTCATCGTTGGCATAAGCTTCGAGGAACCTCTCATGGAAATCACTCTGCATTTTGACGATCTGCAGTCGGTATTTGTTGAGGACAAAACGGCTTCTGTCCGCTACGTCTTTCGGGTCCATGTCTGGAAAGCAATGGAACATAAGACTCCAGTCAATATTACGTGCGTCCGACCCCCCTGCCAGACTGCGTACAACAGCAAAAGCAACCATGATCCGCCGAACCGTCTCGGGTGACAAAGTAGCCCGGTTCCTCTTGAGAATCGTGCTCCGGTTGTTCAGCTGTTGACTCGACATGGGTACTTTGTTGTCACCTGCCATAAATTCGTCGATTCTGGCTATCCGGCGATTTTGAGGTGCCATTGGGGCGGCCTCAGACCGTCGACGTCTCTGCCGGGTTGTCACAGACAGTCGCGGTGTGATGACTTCCCCAAAGCTTTCATCGAAATCAAAACGTATACCACTTTCTATGCCAGAGCTTTCCATTTCCGACACCGTTTGATTGATGAACGTGATATCAGAGCTCTTGCGCGCAAGCAGACCCTCATTTTCAAGCTCCCATCGAGAGATGGTATTGGTTTCATGGAAGAACTGGCGCGAGCGCGGATCACTACTTGTAGAGTAATCAAGAGTGTGCCTCCGGGACTTGAGTATGTCCTCCAGAGAATGCGGCAACTCAGTGGCCGGGATGAGCATATTCTTTCTTGCAGCTGCTCTTGCACGGTCTTTGGCGGCCTGCAGTGCAGGGATACCAGCTTCTGTCGAGAATGTTCCCGTGGTGGGTATGAAGGTCGACTTGGTATTCATGAGCATCGAGTATGGAGCCAGTGAAGACCAGAGACGCCGCATTTTGCGAATAGAGGCCAATTCAGCTGCTGCACGACGTCTTTGTAGCTGTCTCTCTTCCTTGCTCACTGGGTATGGCCTGGCAATAGATGTTAACCCCCGGGCCCCGTTCTTTCCTGCCCGACGTCGGAATGTCATGAGTCGAACAATCTCAGAGCCGCTAAATGGATCAAAGTCTTCCTCCATAGCCATATGTTCGAGCAATTCCCTTCGCATGGCCATATCTCGCCTTTTCTCGATCGCAACAACAGACGCTGGCTTGTTATGCAGTTGCACTGTGAGCTCGTCAGGCAACTGGGGAAAGCGCTTGTTGAATCGGCCCTCGTCGATTCTTTTGCGTTTGCTCCCATTCTTCTTGATTTCCGGGTCGATTTCAACATTTTCCGGGAAGTAATATCGGTCTGCCGCTAGCATATTTTTTTGCAAGTCTTTGATGAGAGGATCGTTGGCCTGCATTTCCACTCTACAGATGATGCTCTTCGTCACCATAACACCTTTGCTATCACGACCACTGAATGTCAACTGACTCAGCTTGCCAGCATCAACCAAGCCCTTCACAACAGATCTGACCGTGCGAAGGTCCGGGACCTCCTTGTAGCGGGTCTTCTGCCATGCGGTCATGAACGGATACCAGAGCTCTGTGCCCATTGGGTAAGCTCCTCCAGCTTGATCCAGGATTTCCATGACGATATGCCGGCGAAGCACAGCAACCGATCCGCCTTTTCCGCTTCTGGTCTTGCGTCGCTTGTCCGCTGATTGCTGAGATGGTGTCTCCGCTTCTTCTGTCTCGGGCGCAACTTGGGTGATTGACGGGGATGGGACATTCACTTGATCTGCGGCTGGATGATCATCTGTGCTATCAACATTTGCTGTATCAGAGTCGATGTGGGTAGCCGTTGCGTCACTGTCTTTGCTATCGGTACCATTAGAGGCTGGAAGGGATTCTGCTGTTGGCTCAGCATCTGCATTACTCCGTGTCGCCCTCTTTGGTGTTTGAGATGTTGCGAGCCACTTCCGTAGAGTATTGTTCGCACGGGGCTTCTTCGGTGATGGGCTAGCTTCACTTGCAGGTGCCCGAAGAGATCGGTTTCGTGTGGAAATGCGTGTAGCGGCGTTGTCCCCATTCTGCGGGGTCTCGGGCGGATCAGTTCCCTTTTGGTTTCCATCTTTAGGAGAAACGGCTCGTTTCCGTTTCGTGCGCTGGTTCGATGCTACACGGCTTGTCTGGCCAGCTGGGTCCTCTCCTTCGTTGGGAATGGAGGGGCTGGTGCTGTTGGCATCAACAGGTACCGCGACGTCTTCCGACTTCCTCTCAGTGAGTTTCCGTTGCTTTCGAGCGCTTCCAGTCCCTGGTTCAGTTGCAACATCCGACTCACGCTGCCGTAGGCTTCGCTTACTCCCTCGCTGATGGGTAGAGGTGGAAGGCATTGGGGACCCGGGAGCCGTGTCAGAATCTGCCAACGTAGGCGCAGGCGTTTGTTCCAGTCGGGGTGGTTGAGGCGATGACCGGGAATGAATGGCAGGAGTGCCAATCTCTTCGACAATCTGATTCTGGAACCACGGGAAGGATGACAGTCTCGAAGACTTGAACACTGCAATTCGGCTGGCCCGAGGACGTCCCTGTCGGTTGCCCGCCGCCCTTCGCCGGCCTCGTGGGGTGACGTACACGCCCGGGTTCGATCGCTCTATGAGCAAAACACTGTAATCTGTCCACGACTCGTCATATCCCATAGCTCTCAGTCTTTCTTTCTCGGACATGCCCTTGAAACGTTCTGGGTCATGCTTCTTAATACGGCTCCTCGCCGGCTTCGCTTCGACCATGTCTTCATCGGAGACTTCGGAATTCTCCTCTTTGACCACGACTGGTGTAGACTTCGGCCGTAGCGGACTAGTCCCAAAACCAGCAGAACCCTTAAGCCGCTGCTGAATTACATACGTACCATTTTGCTGCTGCACCGCCACAGGGTCTCGACTAGAGCAAACGTAGTTCGGTGGCTTGGCGACGAGAATACACTCCAAAAGGGAAGCTTCACCGCGTTTTAGAACTTCCTTGCTCGGAGGATCAATTGGTAGCGCATATTGATCTAAACGAGGCACGGCATCGACGGGAGGTGGTCGGATGTTATCAGCCTTAGCATTCTTCGGGCGGAACTCAACCGCCTCCCACAGCGCATCTCCTGCATTGACTAGCTCCTGGAAGCTCAATGCCGTATAGTGGACGTAGTGCGTGATGGTTCGTTGAAGCTCTGTGTCTCGTACCACAGCCAGATGACGTAGATGCAGTGGCTGTGATAACTGCCAGCAATCTGTAAGGCGACTGATTGCGTTCTCTAGTGGTCTGCGGTAGTAGTATCCGAAGCAGTTTCTGATTATCCCCTGATCGAGGCGTCAGTAATCCTGATGTCGCGATGCCTTCAACCCTTTGCTTACCTGATTGGTGACACCCTCGGTACCCGCATTATCTATCGTTTCGAAGATGAGATTATGGATGTTGCGGTCAGGGTTCCAAGAAGGGAGAATTCGGCCAGCGTCTTCCACTTCTTGCTCCCGCTTCACCAAAGCGGTATTCGGGGCGGCTTGCGGTGCCGCCGTCGGTCCTTCCTGGTCCAACTCGTCGTCCAATTCTACATTATCTTCCTGCTCCAGATTGGACAAGATGCCTCGACTGAACTCATGGAACAGCTCGATATCTTTGTCCGTAGGCTCCCGAATGAGCAAAACGCATGGATGAAACTTTTTCAAAGTATGCGCGTACTGAGATAAAGCTTTCACGCGCTTCAAGACCCCGATACGCTCGAACTTGCGTAGCGCCCGGGACAGGATTCTCCAGCGCCAGTGGTCTGCAAACCCGAGCTTCGATTTGAGATCGTTGCGGGAAATCAGTTTGTACTCCCTCAAGATGTCAAAGAGCTCCCCGGTGAATTTATTGAAGTCAATCATCCGCGTTCTATCAGCCTCTGCGGAATGTTGGTCGGGTTGCTGAGCGGGTTCTGATGTTAGGAACCGACGAAGGGTGCACAGACTTGTCCGGGCAGCTTTGATCTGGATTGCTCGCTTCTCGATGTAGCCTTTTTGATGCAGGGCGTCTGTTCGCTTGGGCACGGACCGCTTGTCCTGACCACTAGCCTTGACTAGATCTGTCTGAACAATGCCTTTGTGCTTGCGGGACGCAATGATTGAGAGAAGTGCAAATTCAGTGGGCAAAACCTTGGTTTCATCCGGCTCGTGGCCGGTGATTGCTAACCATGTTCGCTCTCTTGAGACGAATACGCGAACGGGGCCAGACTGCAAAGTCGGAGCATGTGTATTGGCGGAGGATTCATCGTTGGACAATTCCGCGACTTCGCGAAGACCAAGATGGTTTCCTTCTCGGTTTTTGCCCACGGAGATTTCCGGGTTCTTGGTCAGCCAGGACCAGACTTTGTCTTGGAAGCGTCTGTCCACGGCGTGTTTACGCTCCGGAGCATCTTGCGAGAATCTGGCATAGAATGTATCAACGAACCCTAGTATGTCCGATGGTGATGCACCTGGAAGACGTTAGTGGCATGGTCGTTGAATGGTATTCTTGACCTGTCAAAAAAGAAAGACGGGCTTGGATTTAAGCTACTTGTAGATGTAGATTGAAGTAGGCTGGTCCAATCGGATGCATGCAAGATGCAGGGCCAAGTGTGCTGGAAATTTTTAGTGGTGGTGGAGCATCACCACCACTTCGACTTGATTGAAGCAAAAGGAAAAGACATGAAACCGACCTTGGTCGCCACAGAGAGCAATCTCTGCAAGCAGATAATCAATCAGGTCCCGAAGACTTGGGGCCATCTTATCCCCATAATCACTGCCTCGTACTGTTCAATCTCGATTCGGAAAATTCCCCTGCAGCGGAAATCGATTTCAGGCCATTGCCTGGACAACGGAGTTTTCGAGTGGCAGGAAATTGGCAGAGACCGAGGCGCGATTCGAACCAGCGTCGTGGAGGAAAAAGCTGGGAAGTTGAGGCCGAATTGCTGGGCGGGGTCTCGCTCACGTGATAGTGATTGATGTATCACGTGAGTAGTGGTTACATCCTTTGCCATGGAATCGCTCATTGGAGATCACTTTTTTGTTGACATTGATTGTAGTAATTAAGGAGTTGGAAAGTATGCTAGAATGTACACCTGCCTACATTCGGGTCAATGCCGTGAGCGACAATTTATATGCTCTCGGAAATCATAAACTGCTGCTCTCCTCACGGTCCTTATGCCAGTTGCATTCCGCTCGAGACCGGGATATCGGGATGTCCGTCTGAGTCAACTCAGAGAGAGTCGACTCGGATGAATTCCCATGCCGTGCCTTCCTTCCGCTCATTGTCCACTACCAACTCTGTCTTTTCCTTTCCTCCGACTTTCATCGGTAGAAATTGATTCCAGTGCTTAACCAGGAGCACATGTCCGCCATCGGGATGTTGTCGAGCACAGGCAGATTGTCTTGCGCCGTGAGACATCTCCTTGGCCACGAAGCGCCAGTTCGACTTTTTGTCGTTATTGTGCCCGATGTAGGCAGCTGAGACTGTGTTTTCGAACCCAAAGCCACATGTCCTCATTCTCCAGACATTTCCAGGCATTTCCAATATGGCCCGAGGCTGTGATTAACCGTGTCTTCACATGGCCTGTTCGTGTGGGGATAGAGGCCCAAAACACCATCGCTCAATGCAATGACAAGTTTGGACCGCCAGCCTCGGATAATGTATGTCCCTCCTTGCCATGGACATGTTGGGATCTTCAGTGGATCGATGCTTGCGAAGGAGGGAAGCCCAGCTGAATCAGGGCTTGTAGAGGGAGGAGTTGGTGTGTCGTATCCTTCGTCGCTCGACATTCCGCGTCCAACATCTATAAACTGGAGTTCTAGAAGTTTAGCTACCTGATCCTTGCTGGAGCTAGAAGTGGGGCCTGGACTAAAGAATTTGTGGGTCGAAAGCTAATCTTGTGTCCATTTTGGGTTTGTTCTGGCTTGTAAGGTACAGTGGATGTGGACGATAGAAAAGCTGAGTTGATTTCTTGACAAATGACAGTTGGAAAAATGCAGATACAGTGCTGGATAGGAGGGGAAGAGATGAGATGGTCCTTTGATGTAAGAGGCACCGACAATTTGGAAGCATAAGGTGGGGTAAGAACGAGGAGCATGTGCCAAATTATCAATCTGGTACCAGCCATCCATTGCAGTGCGATGCTTCTGCAGTGCTGCTTTACGCTGGTCAACATTGATGTGTTTGTCGATTTATGCTACTGATGTAGTAGCCACGATTGTCACCTCAACGTATTATGTACCAATGCAGAGGCTTTTGCTACTTTAGAACAAGCAACTTGAGACAGGTCTCGGGACACCTTAGCTATCTATATAGTGGGTATAATTGATTACTCGCCTTTACTTAGTACTACATGTGAACGATATTGCTGTCACAACAGCTGTTGCATAATTATTCAGCCCGTTATCAATGTTTGTGCATGACTTCATGCATCCCGACGATCAGTTGCTGATCATCCGGTCCGGCCAGGGTCCAAGTGGAGCTGGCAATGATCGAAGACATACCTAATCCCGTGGCTCGAACGTGGCGGCACACAAAACCTTTCGACGAAAAGAAAGCCATAGCAGAACGGACTATATCCAGCGGTAACCGTGGGAGGCAAATTCTCGTAATCCCATCTTCTTGGGCGGGCGGGTCGGTCCAAGAGACGAGCAGATAGGATGGATGGAAGTTGATGCCCTGCCCATGTAATGTGAATTAAACATGGACCTTCGCACTGTCCAAGACAAAAGCATACAATAAATAGAGTAAGACAATAGTGGCTCATATAACATCAGCCAAGTCTGCAGCTGGAGTGCTTCTTCAGTACTTGTAGACGCAGGCAATGTTGATTCGATGTAAAGGAGATTTATGAATGGTGGGAATCCGGAAGGGGCGCATGACATCACCGGCCGATTCCGGGTTACGTCAGGCATCGCGGCCAGCCAAAACCAACTGATTCGGTTCGCCGATTTCTGAGAGGAAAACAAAATCCCCTTCCACTGCTCTGATGGCATGCCGTCGTTTCCGGTCTTTTGAGCACTGCCTCCTTTCTATCGCCATATAGTCATTCTACTCCCATTCCAGTCAATTCTGGGGATACCTGCTCTGCTTTACTACGGATCACTTTCTTGCTCTCCTCCCATCACGCCATGCGTTGCATCGTCTCCGAAACCACTTTATCGATCTAACATCCATAACTGACTGACAGATTGAGCGGACTGCGTGCGACATTCGCCACTCCTAATGGACACAGAAGCAAACGCCGGGGCGACGACGCCCTCGGAGCCTCCGCAGCTCCCTTACTCTTTACGCACGCGAAAGAAGGCCATCGCTTTCTTCTGGATTCTTTTCATCATTGATACAATGGCTCAGCCGCTCGTCCTATACTGGACGCTGTGGTATGCCACCGACCTCTCACACAACGTGGGTATGTTGTGATCTCGCTCTATACCCGCATGAATATGTCCTACTTTTTACTAATTACATACATTGTTTAGTCTTCAGTATTGTGACTGCTTCTTTGGGAGGTATCTCTGTTTTCGAGTACTTCTATCGGCTATACAACCTCTTCCGCAAGGATTCGCGGGCTCGCCCACTAAATGCACCGAAAGGATGGGTACGATACTTTTCCCTTACCTACTACACGCAACATGTTAACTTTTATGTAGTTGGACTTCTTCCATATCAACTTTACCATTGTTTGGCTGATCCTCGCAGTGGAATTGATTGTGTAAGTGTCATCGTCGACTTGAACATGAGAACTTAGCTGACCTTTCCTTAGAGGAACGGTACCTAAAGAGCCATACGGTAAGCTGGGCTGAATTTGAAATAGCTCTGATTCACCGCTAACATTGCTTGAATTGATAGTACGTCTCGTCGCCATGGTCCTCCCAACCGTTATGTTCTACTTTGGCGGAGTCTACCTCGCTCTCGATATTCTACGCGCATGCGGCGTCAAAGCACCCTTCCGTATCTCCTCCACACCCAAAGGCTCGACAATGCCTACGGCCCTATACGTGCTCATTGAAGATGTCGTTGCGGTGGATGGAGGAGGCGGACAGATCTATCGATATGCGCTCCGTACACGATACCTTGCCAGCCCATACTTTCGTCGAATGTTGTTTCAGATGAATTGTTTCTGGGCTGGAGGATCCGTGGTCTGCGCTGCTGCAATCACCGCGATCATATTCACTGTCGAGGAGTCGGTCGCCTATACTGTAAGTCGGTCTCTTCATAGGTGATATCTCTCTGGTACTAACAACTTGTTAAAGCTGGGATGGACACTTCCTTTCGCGTGGGCTGGTGTCTGGACTTTGATAACCATACCCTGGGTCCAGAGCGACCTTCGACGCGAAAGACAATCGTGGGGTATGAATCACGGCGAGGGTGGCGTAGCGTTCACCGACGACCCGAATGCGCCCTCTGCTCGTACGCGACTCGAGAGCGTTCATGATCGGTTGCCGAACTTCTTTCCTTGGGGTCGGGAAAAACAAGAAAAACAATCTGCGCCATCCACCCCATCCGCCCATTCCTGAGTATCTCAAACAGGGTTGATGTACTCCTCGATTAGTTCCGACGCAAAAACATCGCTTGATTATACGAATCGTTTCGACATTCCTGGTCATACGCAGGATGAGTCAGAATTCAGGTTCTTCAGAACATACCCCATATCAACTCGAATCGAGCAACAGACCCCACCTTGAAGGTTACGAAAATGTTTATGATGAGACTTACGACGGCTGTGCCGATTTTACCTGTACATATAGATACCCGGGCCTTTACTTCGAAGCGACTTGCTTGCAGTTGCACCCTGTGTTAGGATACTTAGATTTATTCTCGGTTTGAGCATTCTCTGTAAATAATGATATATAATATTAAGGTTGTGAACTTTGCCGACCAGCAGCAGATGGCCATAGCGTTCTTCAGTTCGTACTCGATCCTCCCTTCTAGCCGTCACGCCATTATCTTCCCCCAAGGGACATGTACGCGGCCGGCGAAGACGTAACTCGCGTTACTGCTGAGATGTGCCCGAGTATACATCCATGCACCGCTCGATTTGCAGCTGCGGTCGACGCAAGCGCCACGGCGGGAGACACACGCGAGGCTATAGCATGCTCCCGCGAGAGATACTAGCCACTAGAACCGGACCGGCTGTACTTGAAGGGCCCTGTGTGTAGCTCATCCGCCATGGGCCTTTCCAGCATCACAGCATTGGCCCGCCTCCCCAAGCCGAGAGGCCCTCTCATACTCAGTTATCAAGTTATCAAACCCACCTCACATCTCTTGCATCCAGCGACAGCCAGCCATGAATCAAACCGGCCTCAGAGCATAAAACCGAACGGGCAACAGGCGGAAATTCTTCGGGAACCCCAACTGCAGCTCGGACGCCAACACAGTCAAGCCAGCCTCTTTAAACAAGACCCGAAACTTCTCATCCGTGCGCGTAACACTACTATCCTCTTCGTCGTACATATCCTCACCACGGGGGTCCGTTGACTGATTCTCCTTGACAACAATGACCCCGGTATCAGTGAGAGCCCGACGACACCGCACGAAGTAATCCACCAGCTGCCTATCAGTCAAATGGCCGACGCAGAACTGGGTCCAGATGAGATCGTAGCGCTTGTGCGGGTACCAGTCCTCAAGGCCGAGCGTGTAGATGTCGCCGACGGCGTCGGCAGCAAAAGCCGAGTCCCGGAGGACTTGGGTGAATTTGGCGACGGGTTCGACGGCGTCAACGGTCGTGCAGACGTGTCGGAGGAGGCCCTCGGTGACGCGGCCGACGCCCGCGCCGCAGTCGGCGCCCAGCGGGAGCTTACCCTCCAGGGGGCAGCCGGGGATCAGCCGTCGGATTTTGTTTAGGAAGGTTTTCGAGCCGCGCAGGTCGATCCGCGTGTACCACGGGTATTGGCCCAGCATGCCTAGCATGACGTGCGCGTTGGCCGGAACGCTGTTCCAGTATTCGAGGGAGGCCGCATGGTTGATTTTGGCGTCTGGGGCTGTTACGGGGTGAGCGGGGTTGGTGTCGGATGCTGGGTCGGACATTTTGAGGGGGTTATATTGTTGTGAGTCTAAGGGAATTGCGTGGCGCAGTTCAATGCTGTTGAGGTGTCGCGCGCACCCGAGCTTTCTGCGTTCGCGGATATTGATTCTGTTCGGAGGTGGAGGAGCTTCTGCCTCAGGCAGCTAACCAATATATCCGCTTACCTAATCGCGCCGTGAAGAACTACAGCGTCCACGCAAATGCCTGTTTGGGTTCTAGCCATCAACACAGCGGAGATCGTGTCTTGAAGACAGCTGAAGATGGCAACGGACGAGTCTCCTGGTGCAGAACATGCTGCTTTTATGCAATGGGCGCAGGCCCAAGGTGTGAGCATCAACGGGATCGCTCCGGCGCGATTCCCCGGCCGTCGCCTGGGCATGAAAGCGACTCGGACAATAGAAGTATGTTTTCTGAGGACTATTGTCCCAGGATGAAAGCCTCATAGCTCCCGGGCCTGCAGTTATGCTAACTATCGAAGGAAAACGAGATCATGTTAAATGTGCCCGTATCAGCAATGCTAACCATCGACTCCATCCCATCAGCATTCGTGGCGCAATTTCCATCAGGCACATCCATCCACTGCATCCTAGCTGCATTTCTCGCACACGGAGACACCTCCTTGCTCGAGGAGTTAGATCCTTGGCGCAAGGTATGGCCCGAGTACCGCGAGTTTGAGGATACCATGCCGGTGCTCTGGCCGGAGCATCTCCGACGGTCCAATTCCGCATTTGAGAGCACAGCAAACGACAACCAGAGCAGCAACAGCAACAGCAGCAGTGGGTCACCTTCAGCACCATATCTTCTTCCCCCATCAATCTCCGGGCTCTGGAACACCTTCGAGAAGGAACCAGTAGGCGTAGACTACGAGACGCGATACCAGAACCTCCTAACCCAGCAGGAGAGACGCCTGAGAACCGCATGGGCTCATGCCCTCAAAGTGTACCCAGAGACAGACTGGGACACATTCGCATATTACTGGTTCATCATTAACTCGCGGAGCTTCTACTATGTCTCGCCGGGAAAAGACGAACCAGAGGATTGGAACGACGCTATCGCCATGGTCCCTTTTGCAGATTACTTCAACCATGTCGACGACGCGGTAAGCTCTTCTCCTCGACCACCCACTCTCAACCAGCAGACTGACCCGGTGGGGAAAAGGCCTGCGAAGTGATCTGGACCGGCCAGAACTACCTCTTCAAAGCAACCCGCCAATACGGTATGTGGCCCATCAACTACCCGACGACTTGCTTGGGACCAACCATCTAACGGAGACGAATCACAGAACAAGGCGAAGAAATCTACATGAGCTACGGCTCGCACTCGAACGACTTCCTCTTCGTGGAATGTAAGCATCGACCACTAGCAGCAGCAGCACCATCACATCCACCAACCCATACCATGCTAACAAAAAGATAGACGGCTTCTTCCTCCCCACGAACCCAAGTGACAGCATCTACCTAGACGACATAATCTTCCAAGACCTGACCCTCGAGCAGAAGAAAGACCTAGCGGCCCAGGATCTCTTCGGGTAACATACACCTCCCTCCACCTCCCTCAGCTCGACCTACCTACCGTACCTTATCCCCGCGCATCCCCCTCCCCTGCCTTCCTTACACCCAATATGAAATCATACAACAGAACTAACAAGTACCCAGAAACTTCGAACTCACCCTTCCCCAACCCACCTCCTCCCCCAAAATATCAACCTCGACCCCCACACCCCTCGAAGCAGCAGCAGCCCTAAAAACCATGACCCGCCGGGACTGGAAACTCTGGCTCTCGGGCCGCTCGCAGCGGGGGTTCTCGGCCGAGAAGTCCGCGGAGGTTAAAAGGGGCTGGATCGAGGTGTATCACTGGGAGAGTGAGATGGTGATTGCTCGGATCGAGAGGATTTTAGTTGATGATAGTGAGTGTCATAATCCCGTTGGAGGTGTCGTGAGTAATGGTGGTGAGGCGAGGAAAGATGGTGGCGGGGCGTCGTCGTCCTCTGATGGGGATAAGAAGGAGAAGGGGAGGATGGGGTCCGCGGCGTGGGAGCGCGGGAGACTTGAGATGTTGGTGGAGCGGTGGAGACAGGTGCGGGGGTTGTGTGAGGGGGCGTTGGAGGGATTGTAGGTAGGAAGATAGCTTGTCGGTGAGGTTTTTGATTTGAGGTCTGAATGACCGGTTCACTGGATGTTGGGATGGTGGAATAGGCATAGATAACGGATAGCATTCCCTCATGGTTCGACTCTGAAGTGCTCTTAGTTATAGCTATACAAGCATAATATGGATGTAGTACTCACTTTCTGAACCATCGTATTAGAGCATATCAACAGGACTAGCTGGTCAACGTATCCCATAAAAGCCACCATGTCTAACATACCATCGGCAACTATACTGGTAAGTATGATAATTCAGATACCTTTTATTGCACCGTCTATCCTATCTATATACCCACAAAACAATAACAACACACCGTATGTTCAATGCGCACGGATCGCGCACGATCCAGCAATGCAACTCCTTTAGACGGCCGTAAAAACCCTTCCATGCAAAGGATATACATACGCCAATCAGCGTCTAGGGACTGAACCCAGTCGAATAAAAAACAGTAACAGTGACGGAACAGAGCGATCGAAGAAAAGAGATTAGAGCTATAAGTCTGCGCGCCGGGAGGGAATCAAGAATGTTGAATCAAAGTATCAAGGAGCCAGAGACAAACGCCTGATAATATCCACGGACTCCATGGCGGAAACAGCATATCGTAGTGCTGACGCCTATGTACGACCCACTGCATTGGGGTTATCATATGGCAAATGCAAGGTGAGGAATGTGCAATAAGAGAGGGTTCCCGTGAAGAGGAACAAGAGGACTATAAAACAAGGGATTTTGGGAGGGGTGCGATGTCTGGAGGATTGCCTTTCGCCGGGGTGAAAGAGGAGGCTATTTCCGAGAGGGCATCAATTTGCGGCCGAAGTTGCGGATCGATGTCGTCTTGTGGCTAGAGCTACTCCAAAATTAGTTCTATTCAAGGAAGAATTTCATAAAGCTCAACCATGCTTACCTTTCTTCCGGTCCTTCCCAGAGCTTCGTGGTTTGAGATCGAGGAATTGCTTGACCCGAAGTCATTGGCCGGCTTGGGGGATTTACAAGGCGGCGGGATTGCTACATCACAAGTTAACAAGAATATCAATGCGCAGTCATTCTGTAAGGAACTTACCTCCCAACGAGCATCCACATCAACCTCGCTCGCCGATCGAGAGTCAGACATTACCCCGGGAGGTTCGTTGATGCTGAGCATGCTAGACCCGAGTGAGTTCGATCGTGCAAGTGGCAACGTCCCGGAGTGCCCAGAGCGCTGTGACTCCGAATATTCGCTGTTTGAGTCGACACTGGCCAGGCTACTGGCTTTCTCAGACGTTGATTGCGCCACACTGTCAGAGTTGTGTAGAAGTTGGGATGAGCTTACAAGCTCGCGATACCGCTTCTGCTGCTGTTGTTGTTGCTTGGAAGGTCGGTGGTGGGAGAACTTGTTTCCAAGGATCGCAGGTGCATGCGAGATGAGAGCTTTGATCACATCCTTCTTCAGCCGCAACGCCAGGTCCAGGTTTGACCATGTCTTGTTCTGATACTCGAGAACCGGCAAACGGAAGACGAAGTCGTGGAGATCCTCCAGGTTGTGGTCTCCTTTGCCTTTATAACTCAGGCAGAGCACCACGTCGTGCACCTTGACATGAGCCAATGTCATATAGTTCGATGCACGTGACATCATCTGAGCTAGGTCATCAGGAGCCTCCTTGGACTTGCCTTTGTTAGGTAGCCTTCCAAGAGCGAATTTCTTTTGTTTTTCGTCACCAGTAGAATTCGTTCCTGTGGTATTGGCCAACGATTTCTCAGTGGGCTGTCTTGACAGCATCCGCAAGCTGTCGACCGATCTCTTCTTGCTCAACGCACCGCTCGTCGACGGGCGCATCAGAAGATTCGGGTCTTTGTCTTTGTGGATAGGAGTCAAGGCAAGACCCATGAGATGACGATGTTGCGACCTGGGCCTGCCTTCCTCCGCCAGGGAAAGTGTGGGCTGAAGCCTTAGTTCAATGGCTCCAGAGCCTTTCAGGGACAAATCGTCGGTTGACATGTCACTCTGATCGTGTCCAGGAGATGTCTTTGGGCGTTCTTCTTCCTCTGAGTCGGACGATCCATCGATAGGTTTCATATTCTTGATCATGAAGGGTGAAAACCCACCATTCTCAAAAGCAGTAGAACCAACGTTAGGAAACATGTACTCGAACACCTTCTGGCCAAGCACTTGCTCGAGTTGAACTTTGAGAGGGAAGAGAGAAACCTCGAAGTCGTCCACTACTGGGATACCAGCAACCGCCTCTAGCATGTGCCATTTGACCTTGATCATATAATCATCAGGACCATTGAGGTTGCGGGCTTGGTCAAGGTAAGGGACGATTATTTGTGGATAGATAGCATCTGGAAGGAGGTTGAGGCCATACAGTCGTTCAACCGCAACTTCATTGTGATTCGATCCGTCGCTGTTGTCGGTGCGGTCGTATGCAGCATTTCTCAATTGGAACTCGACTAGTGGTTCGCATTGGTCCTTCATCAAATGCCAAACAACCTCACTAGCCGAGATGTTCCAGCGGAGAACGCCATTGGCTTTCGACATGGTGGGATCAATCTTTCTTTGGGAGCTCGTAATTGCTTTCATCAAAAAGAACAGCTCGTCCTCGCATTGTGTAAGGTCTTTCTCGAGGACCAAGCGGTCCTCCCAGCCCTGCTTGTCCAGGTATTTGGCATGAATCTGGAAATGTTCTTTGATCTCCTCTAGTTGTCGGATGCGTGCCTGGAGCTTGAACACCATCTCCGGAGCTCCTCTCAAGTCGCTGAAATCAGAAGTGAGCATGATTCTCTCAAGACGCTCATTGCGAACCTTTTCCAACGGTTCGCTGTAAAGCAAGAGGTCCAGAACAATGATATACATGGAGTAATACTCGGCCGAATCACAGATAGCTCTGAAGTGAGGAAAGTCAACACTGATGTGGTCCATCCTCGGCTCCTGATCTTCAACGTTGATATGCTGGCCTGGCTGGCCCTTTGCCACTTCTTCATTGTACTTCAAACGAAGGTTGTTGTACTTGTCATATCGTAGACTTGCCGACGTCTTTTGAATAATTCTCGAGAAACCAAATGGGTTTAACTCAAAGTCAAACACCGCTTCAAGAGTCAACCAAGGTGGCCACGCGGAGCCCGGGGAATTGCCATATTTGTTGCCTGCATAGAACTGAAGGTGATTCATCAGGTTCTTCTGCGTTGCCACAAAGAACTGGGCTCCATCCATGCAAAGTGAGAAGCGACGCTGTACAAGGCCGCTGACATCATCAGACACTCGCTCCTTGTCCATGATCGATACCACCTGCAGTTGCATGCCTTTCGCAGCAACTAACAGCACGGACTTCTGATTCTTCTCGCTCTGAAGTTGAATCTGAGGGGCAATGAGCCGCAAGTGATAACTGTTTTGGGGGGTGAATTCCGGCGCGATGTTTTCACTAGAACCATCTGATGCAGGAGTGCTTGGCTTTCTCTGTTCTTGATTTTCTTGCTCCTCCGCGCTCACGAAACGCTTCGCATCATTTAGCAACTGCTCAATGCGATCCTCAACACTGTCATCATCCTCACTATCAACAAGGCCTCGGGCATCCGAGGGGCGCCTCGATGCAGTGCGGAACAGTTTTGAATGTTTCTGCTTATTTCTGTTTTGTTCCTCAACAATGTCTAGAATGAATTTGACTGCGCGTCGAGACATGTAGTACACGAAACCCCGGCGCTGGCTCACTTGGTGGATGTAGCGAAGCATAATGTTCCTCAAGGAATTATTCCACTTGAGCTGAACGTTATGTATGATGAACCGATTGTTGAAATCACTTGCCAATTCATCATCAGGCCCATTGTAAAGTCCATCCATGTCAGCATCTCGAGCGTCACTCGCCGAATCTGAGTCAGCCCCCATCTTAGAAGCGCTGTCATTGGCGAATGCCTCCGGGCTTTTATCGACTGGGCTTTTCTCCTCCCGGGCTATCTGTCTTTCGATTCTTTGTAAGCCAGCAGTGAGAAAAGCTCGTCTCCTTGCCAAGGTTTCTGCTTGTCTCAGATAGTCGGCGTGTTTCCTTTTTAAGTCAGGATCGTGGTCCACCTCCTTCGCGATACGAAGTTCCTGCTCGCCAATAGTCCGGTTGCAGTCGCGCATTTGGGCCTCGACCGAGACCAATCGATCCCGGATGAGCTCCATCTGTACTCGACGAGGTTCGTTGTTCTCAGACATAACGCATATATGGGTCGGCTCGTCACCAAATGAACTATACCCGGTTTCATCGGGAACTATTTGACCGTGGTCTGTCTGACGGAAGTAAGTGAAACGTGGTGTAAATGCCAGAGGCAATATTTGAGTTCGAGGGTTCGACTCTTGAGGCAGTATCCAGTCCAATTCCACAAAATCATCCATGTCAATCCAGTCCAAGTTCTGATCGGGGATGGTGAACCGAGACAGATCCACAGAAGCCACGGGCTGCTGAAAGGAGGATAAGATGTCATCCCTGTTCTTCTCAATGTCATCGAAATTCGTGCCTTCTATGCTGGCCGAGACAGCACGGAAGTCTGCTGCCTGCAGATCTAATTGTGCCTGGTTGATCCGCATTGCGCTCGCCTTGGTTTGCTTTAGGCGACCCTTGGCTTGAGTTTTGACTTGCTCCCGTCTTTGATGGACATCGAGCTTCAGACTGTCCAGTCGAACTTTGATGCCTGTAGCTGTCACGACATCTTCCGCGTAGTCCTCCCGATCCTTGTGCTTGTAGATGTGAGCCACAAACAACGGGGCAAGTAACAACTTATACTTCACAGTCGCCAAATGACGATTGAATTTCTTGCTTGTCTTCGTGATACCTGGCCAAAGCGGTCCCTGCCGTACTGGAAGTGACATAACGCCCGAGAAAAGAGACCACCAATTGAAGAAATGAGTGAAGAAGCGAGGACTCAAATGTACGGTGTTGTAGCTCGCGGACGGCTGGACAGAGTCGACGGACCAGTTTCGGCTTACTGGCGCAATAACAGAAATTGACAGGTGAATGTGGTTACTGCGGAAGCCGCGGTAGGCGTCATAATTCTGAGGACAGGTTAGCTTGAATGCCTAAGACAATCTTCACGCATAGCTTACCTCTTTATGCGCTGGGTCGATCAGTAGGGGATTTTGAAGGACAACATCATAATGAGGCCTAAATTGGGAAGATCGTTCGTTCTCGTTGACGTTCCGCTCAAATACTAATCCCGCTACCAGGCGTACGTCACCTGACAGCTTCATAACAACCTTCTTGAAGTGAGCTGCATTCTTCAAGTCACTGGAGGATGAACACGTTTCCAGGTCTTGAGCTGTAGCCTCAGCCATGTACCGTGCCTCGTGGCTGTAGTCAGGAATCGCTAGTACGTATTCTCCACTCGTGACGCTCATAAACTCCATCGGATCATCGCTGGTATGAATTTCCCATTTGACATCCTTGCGCCAACACATGACGAATCCGCCGCCGAACCCAGTGATAACATAGGGATCGCGCGATCCTTTGAGACGGAGATGAACGTCCCCATCCTCCTTCCATACCACCTTGATTCGGGAATGGAAACTAAGTCGTATCTTGTCCCAGAAGCCAACTCGGTCGGAAGGATCTATTTCGGTCTTTGTGAACCCTTCAATAATTTTCATCATGTCCTGCATGACAGGCTGATAGGACATGCCCCAGGAGATGCTTGTGGGAAGGCTGGTATTGATCACAAATGTGGGATCCGAGTACGTCTTCACAGGGGAAACAGACCGCCAGACCTCAATAGCGAAAGGTGGGCTTATCGACCCGTCTGAAAGCTCGGTGGAAGGGACCAATTCCAGCTTGACCTGTCTCGCAGATTTGTGATCGCGGTATTCCTCAGCAATCACAAAATTTGTCCGCAGCGACCAGCTTGACATTCTTGGAGATTGTCCGGGCCGAAGGGCCGGTATATGTAAGAGGTCCAGGGGATAATCCCTAAGATTGACCCGGGCTTCCCCCATGTCCAGTTGTATACTCATGGGAACAAGCAAAGCATACTTCGTGGACATGGGCATACCCTTTCCGATGCTATGCAGGAATTTGGGATAGTCTTCGAGAGGGAAGAACGGCTTATCTATCACAAGATTGATATCACTTATCAAAGCTGACAGAAGAGCAGGCCGATTTGGTATCGACAGGACAGTCTCTGATTCTTGCACATCTTCGGGCGGCTCATCAGCACCGGAGAAGAGGTTCCTCACCTCCCTTATGGATGTACCTTGAAACCGTAGGGCGGAGTCGATCTTTGATTTCCAAGACCGGGCATTATGCTCTTGAAGCCGGTACCACGCGTTCTCCGCAGAGATCTTAGATTCGCACGACAGACAGGCAGCACCTTCAGTATCATAACGGAACTTTCGTTCTCTTCCGCGTTTGTCATCGTTCGAGCTCTTCCGCGGCTTGGCGTCAGCACTTTTACTTCGCCTTCTCTCCTCACTTTGGCGTTCACTGCGAAGAGTCCGGTGGCTTGACCTTGTACGAAGTCTAGATGAGGTGCGTCGCTGGTCTGTCTCCTTGATTTTCTCGAGTTTGAGTTCGAATGCCTCTTCCCGAGCCAGGCGTTGACGCTGTTCGAGTAAACCGGCACGGTAGATGCACCCTAACTTCCACTCGAAAGCATCGTCTTCCATCTCGAAGAGTAAAGCTTTGCTGCGTAAGGAGATTCTGGGCACTTCCTTAGGATCTTCCGGATCCCTCGCAGATCCAAATTCGGCCGAGTGACCCTTGAACCTTTGATGAAGCTGTTTGAGTGCCTTTGACGTATTGATGAGGTTATCAAAGATGCGATGCATTACCATATGATGTGGAACTCCAAGTCGGATAAAGTCTGCCCAAACATCAATCGATTTCTGCTCAACCATACTGGTGCCTTGCTTCAGTTTCATCTTGCGCAGGTCAAGTCTAACATTGTTCATGCTTATGATTCTTGCCCAAATCCCTCTGAGTTTGGGCGCTTCGGCATGTAAGCGCACCAAATGAGCTCGGACAAAGGGAGTAGAAAGGCGATGGGACCCTCCTGTTAGCCCGTAAATCTGTAACAACATCGGGGGATCGGCAGGAAGAAAAGACTTGACTTGGATGACCGTTGCTCTCACGTCGACGGTGACAAGCTCGCCTCTTGAGGAAGTCCGTGGCGATGGAGGACTGGAGAAATCATTTAGACCTTGATATGCTTCCTGATCTGAATTTTCAGAAGATCTCCGCATGAACGCGTTTTTGAGCACAGAAACGGCAACTCCAAGACAGTAATACCGATAGAGCGAGTACTGAAGGTAAACTCCCTTGAAGACAGAATTGATATTGAAGATCGGTCCAAGACGGTCACTCATGGTGCTCAAAGCGACCTCAAATCGTGGAAGCGAGAAGAAAGGCTCGGCCTCTAGGAAATCCTCCGATTCTATGACGAATCCCTCAAAGCCGCGGACATGAATGGCAAGTCGACGACCATCGGCAGCAACACCTAGTTTCTGTCTAGGTGGCGACGTAGGGAACCTGAAAGACGACTCATCACCTATTGTGGAATGGCTCGGCGTACGTCGTCTCGAAAAGCTGACAGCAATCGGTTCAGACTTCTGCGCTTTATAATCTGCAGTCCACGATTGAAGCTGCAAAGAGACGCCACGGGATAATGACGAGACACTGGCATCGACACCGGCGATTTCCAAGCTGAGACCAGTCGCCTCGAACTGGAACCGAAGCAGCCACGGGGGAACGCGCCTCAGAACACTAGGCTTCCGCTCTTCGATAGCCATAGAGACCTTTCTCTTATGCTTGGTGTGAGCTCGGAACTGCTCAATGACCTCCTGAATCCCTCGGTTTACTTCATCATTGACCATATGTGCAGAAGCGGTATTCAAGCTACCCGATGCGATCACGCGTACTTCGGGAGAAGCACTCAATAAGATCTTGAACTCCAACGATTCAGTCGTGAGAAGGTTATGTTTTATACCAGAGGGGGTCTGATAGTATAATTTGTGTGAGGCCACCCGATAGATGGAAGACAATGAGTAATGCACCCCACCCTCTGAAGAGTGCGAAGACTCGATGTCAAGCGAGATAGCAGATATTGAGGATATGAGAAGATTGTAGTCGTCGTCGGAAGCATGAGGTGGTTTGGATATCGGCAGAACAAATCTAACCACGGGCTCGTGGATGGATACTTTGATACTAGCCTTGGGAAGTAGTCGCGATATCAGGCGATGGTTATCTCGCTTCTTGCCCCTAGGTGGTGGCCTCCGGGATTGCGATAATCCCAGAAGTCTCGATACCTGTCCCGGCTCAAGATCGAGGGAAGGCGAGGTGACCACCAGATTGGCGAATAGAATGTTGGTATTGCGCTCCTCAGGGTTATAGTCATCAAACGAGCTGATGGTCTTGGAGGGGAGCGTAGTCTTTATCGTCGTGGTGGCCATCGGGATATAAAGAATGTTATCGCTTTCACCTGAACCGTCGTCCAAGCTGACAGAGAGAGAGATAGCCGCAAGAAGGGCCTGATGCGCGACATCGTTGCGCTGGAAATACATCCGGTGAGCAGGGCTCTGCTGGTCCATTTTGTGTAAATCAATGCCTATCTCATGAGACACGATATTGAGGAACACGGGGTTTTGTTTCTCGGACGATGGTTGGAAAGCTCGAGACAGCCGAAAAAAGCTCAGCGCCACCTGGATCCCTTGTATTCCACGTAGTATAGATCCGGCAAACTCCTTCGAATCCGCGACTGTCTGCACAATCGAGTCGTCTCTGCTCCCCGGTTGGTCGAGTTCTTCAACAAAGTCGGCGAACGACACCTCATCATCGGTATTGTTGTCCAGAGGTCCCATCGGCGATTGCTTGAGTTTCTTGACGCGCTGCATGAATGTCATGAGGTCGTCATACGGGATATGCATCCTGCCCACCTTGAGAGCTATCGATGCGTCCCTGAGCCCCTCAAGATCTTTGTGGAGGACACCATGTATGTTCATCCGAACATTGTCCAGCACTTCGGTTGATTCGCCTCCCTCAATGGCAAGTAGCACATTCTGAACATTCATGATCCATTCAGCCGGCTTTTGCTCACTGGCGTCGGTCTTCCCAAGACGAAACAATTTCCCTCGGTCAACCATTTTGCGCCTAGTATCCACACCCAAGGACAACGATCCCACTTGGATCTGGCCCGCTTCGACCACGCTTACGGTAGTATTGACGGCCACGACATCCACCAACTTCAGCCAATGAATTTTCCGATGTAATTGCTTCACCTGCTCCTTCATGCGTGTCAAGCTCTTCCAGGTCTTGCTCCGTTGCTTCGGGGGGCGCCCATCCTTTTCCGTGTTTTCTTTACGCGATTCATCGTCTTCCGAAGGGCTCTGCTGCTCCAAGGCGTCCGGACTGTTTCCTGGTTTGCGACCCTTGTCCAAGACTGACGGATCCAGCGTCAGCTTGAGGTCGGTTAATTTGAGACTAAGCCATGTTGGTTGCGCGAAGGACGGTGGATGTAAGGATAGCCCGAGGCCACGGAGTTCGATCTGCACGCCATCTTTCGGTACGTAGGTTATTCGACGGAGGGAAAAATATCCTATTCGTTGAATCGAGACTCCGGTCGCAATCCGGACGATGGCGAAGATGAGGAAGGATAGGAGGTATAGGAGGAGGAATCCCACGAGAATCGTGGTCGGGCTGAAGAGCGTCATCGTAGTTCGCGACCAGCGGGACTGACCGGTTGCACAGGACGGGCAGTCGTCAGCCAAGAAATCATGGAGGTGCTGGAAGTCGTTCGAGAACTGTATCCGTAGGAGAAGTAATAGATATTGAGAGGCCGTCAAAGGCCCCGATGGGTGAGTGATCTGATCAGGACCGACAGCCCTGAATCGAGCCCGCGATCCTCCTGTGTTCGAGGGGGTTTCGGCCTGCGGGACCGGCGAAGGACAGGTCTCCGTTAATACGAGACGTGCCGACCAGCCGGAGAATTGTTGCGACAAAGAGGGAGCAGTCGTAAGTCAGTCATGCTTCTTCTTTGTTCAATGAGATCTTCACCAACTATATGAAAGTGTGGTGTTGGTGGGTTGAGGGGGGAAGGTGAGAGAAGAGGGATGTGGATGATGCTTAGGAGGGCAGCATCCAGCAAGCAACTGTAAGGAACAAGAACAAGGATAATACAACCAGCTGTCAGCGGCGGGAAAGGTCGAACCCGGCGCGGGCAGAACTGGAAGCGGAAAGCCATCCACTTTGCCCAGTGGCCGGACCGCCCGGCTGGTATTTAATAAGTGGGTTTGCCCGTCTCTTAGGGGTGGTTCGTCAGATCATAATGAAGCTCATCTTACCGTCTTGGGTAATTCTCAGGGCCAATTTGTGGTTGTTCCAGACAGAACTACTTGAAACATGGTACAGATTGATTGGAATTGTCATACAATTCTATCTCCCCAGTTGCATGTTAAGTGAAATGTCATGCACTTTAACCACAACCCCTGTTGCAGCCACTCGTGCCATCTGGCCTCTTGCTTGCATGGAGGTACAGTACAACCATGACAGTACACCAATGCTGTACCCCTTGTGCCTTATAGAGCTCTAGTCCCTGGTAGGATAAGCTCTAGAATGCACAGTTATTCCGTTTTGCCGTGAATCGGAGTCCCATGGCCTCGACGAGATCGCACAAGATCTCGGAATCGAGCCATGACCGAGCTACGTCTTTCAAACAACTCATAATTCTAAGGATGAATTCCTGGCCTTGAGCGATATATACAAAGATACAATAGCGCTGTATTATACATGATGGGGTTGACTCCCCATTTGTAAGCAGTAGAGCGACGCAGATGATGCGTTCAGGTTCCGTGTTTGAAGTCTGGCCTTGGGATAACTGGCCTCTGATGGGACAATCACGGCTGATGCAGAATCGCCGAATGATCGTCGCGGCACCCTGCATGGCTGGGGCCAAGTACTGCGATGAAGCTGGTCCTCTTATTTGCTTCAGAGGTCAAGCCGATGACTGTTAACCCCACGAACAGTCGAAGAAAGTGAGGTCATTCGTGTTAGAGGATGCGTTCAACTTTCTGGTCATCTGGTGGCACTGTCAGACGAGGGCAGTTCCGGCCCTTGAGACTTGAGCTTCTCAAGGGCTTCAATCTTTTCATCCAAAATTGCGATCTCGGCCTCAATGCTCAGGAGCTTCTCGCGCAGTATTCCCCTATAATCGTCATCCGACAGAGACTTGAGCGGGATCCATTTCGAGTCGGCGATCCGTTGAAGGATCGGCTTCGATGGAGTGTTCGCCTTTTCTAGTTGCCATGCGTCGATCGCGTTATAAGTGCTTTGGCCCAAATAGCCTAGTGCCGAGAAAAACACCACCCCTGGAATTAGCCGACCCCCTGACGCCGGGAATCAGTATCTGCACACAATGTTGTCGAGCATTCAAGGCAATCACAATATGAATTCATCGACATACCGAGCAATCTGGTGACAGTGCCTCCAGCGATACCCCCGGACAGAGCGCTGACATAAGCGCGTTGCTTAGAATCTGCATTGTTTTCAAACTGATATTTTAAGATGTTCTCTCTCAAGACTGCCAGGAGGAATCAGAATTACTCATTCCCAAGGCGACACGAAGCCAAGAGGGAGCACTTACACCAGAAGCCACTCCCAGTTGCAGCCCACTGGACACCGCAAGAGAGAGAATGGATGACCGGATTAGGAGATCGGATGACACCTGCAACACCTCCATATACAAGGCCAAGGGAGCCTGTTGTGACATGTCAGTGAGCTGTCTAGACCAGATTCATGATATGCTGTCCCAGGACATGGGTCTTGAGATGATGCGAAAAATGTACAACCGTAGAGGCTTCGCCGGGTTGAAGACTAACCGCTCAAGGCACCCGCCTTGACGACGGGGGGAAACAATGAATTGCCTTTGTTCTGCTCGCTCATCTTGCGCGCTGTCGACTTTGTAGTCGTGGCCTCAAAACTACTTTGTATGAGGATCAATTACACAATAAGGCTGACGATTCCACAGAGTAATTGGTTCGACGCCTGGAAAGAGACATGAGCTCACGTGACCTTCTATCAGCATATCTCTATTTGTCATACTTCGATGTGCATAAACTAACTAAACGATGCATTCAACCGTAACTTACCGTTAGTTACTCATCGACATATAATGATTCGATATCGAGCCAGTTCCATTCGCTCGTGTGCATCCTAGCAGTGAGGGTTATGGGACTCAAAATTATACTGCCCATCCCTAAAGATCATAACAATAAAAGGCAAGCAACGCAATACAATCAGGGAACATTTCATATGCACTGACTGGTCTATATTGATTCGAGGAAAGGTCATACATCTCAGGATCTCTCAAGTCGGCAACTTAGCTATTGCGAATATCTTAACTATTCTTTTTCTCTCCTCTGAGAGGGTAGATGTACGAGTAGATGCTCTTTCTACATACTTCCATTTCGGAGCAAGTCAGCGTCGATTGAGTGTGCGGGCGGAGGATGATGTCACCGCAGCGGGTCTGTGGGATCAACCGGAGGCCCTCTCGATCTGCCCGCAATCCAAGCGGGTCCGACTGTCGGACAGGAGAGGTCAACCTCTTCTTCCTTCTGTCTCTGGTGGCTTTGGTCATGATCTGACTTATGCTTGCGGTTCTGCATGAGCTTATACGCTCTGGTTAGCCCTCACATCAGCCGAATTCTGGCCATGTCCCTGCAACTTGCCCTGGCTTTCTACTCGACACTTGACCTCGTTACTATGAGATAGTACCGCAGAGCTCACGGCAGCAGTCGGGCACACCGTCTGGGTCTCAGTGGCAATGCCCCAAGTTGTTGGCCTAATCGCAAAGTCGCATTGTGAGTTTAAACTTCATAGCCGAGTGATATAACCCGCTTCGAGACCTGTTTAAATCATGCGTGGCCGCCGTTCGTGGGACTGGAGCTAGGCCTTGAAATTTCCACCTGTGCTCGAACATGGATGCTAACACCAGTGCATAATAGGCACGTCTCTGCGCTAGTTTGCCCAGTCTAGATGAAGCGACTCGCGTATCACGCAAACTGCCATCATTGTTCTTGCCAACGATTTTGCGACACATTCGCCCAATCATTGACCTAGCCGGGGAGATGACTTTACATTGAACACCATTTGAAACTCAGTATGTTCAGTACTCTGGCAAGACCTGGTGTTTCCCTCTGCGTACACGTCGCAAGTACAAACCGCAATCGGTCGACGGGAGCCAAACAGTCACAACCGCTCCATTCTTGTGCGTCAGTCAATCCAAGAACAGTCTGTGCCTAAACTCGAGACACTACTATTTAATGCCTTGATTATCACCTGCGCAGCTCGGGTAGACAGGCGCTGATATTATCCTGGTAGCAGGATTGGTGAACGGTCCAGGAAGGGCTTCATGGAAAGCACTCGTATCTACGTTTCATTCTACTTCCGGATTCGATGGTGGCTTGCGCAGGGTGAATTTGATGTCTCAGCAAGCTTTCAGGGCTGGTCTTGAGCCAATGTGCGGCATGTCTGCTAATTAAACAATGGTGTTGCTTGCCCGTTGCTATTCACGTACCGACTTGGCTGACCTTCCCCTGAGCAAGCCCATCTTTCACAATCAAAAGGCGAATGTGCAATGGTCCACACTCTTCTGTCCAATTGTATAGATGCGGCGAGAGTATGCAGTATTGTCAAGTGGCTGCAAGTCATCCGGGGGTTTTTACTTCCCTTTGTTTCACAACGGGCATGGAACCTTGCTTCGTCGCGAACCGCTGAGAAAATGATGGGGCCAGCAGCTGTAACATACTATGAGGAGAATGGCAAGAATGAAGAAATCTTACCTAATTCTCCTTGTTCATGAAAGCTAAATAGCGTGATAGAAATGTTCATGCAGTAGTGGTGCAGGTGTCTGGCTCTGCACAGAAGAGATGTTCCGAGGGATGAGGAAACAAAGACCTCTACAAACGACAGATTGAACAGGGGTCAAACTATGCAAATCCTGGAAAAGAGGTATCGGGATTTTATTTTATTTCTGGGCAAAATAAAGAGAAGAAAAGAATAGAAAAGCGAAAACCATGAACAAAGTGGAGAGTCTCAGTTGCTCTCCGCAAAATACTCCAGATGAGAGATCAGAGAAATCAAAAGGGTGGAAAGACTGGAAGGGGAAAAAAGCCCTCTCGGGAAGCTAGACTAAGACTTTGGTTGGGTCGAGCACCGGCAGGCCCAAAAGCCGCACCAACACTTTTTGGAGGCTGACTTTTTTAGTGTCATCACTAAAAATTATCCTCACGGATAAACCTACTTTCCCCCTCTGTTCTTCCAACTGCGGAGCTTCCTGCATCCCAACCCACCCATCGCTCAACGTCCTTTGAACGTCACCCTCCGCATTCTCGCAAGACTTCCTCTTTGGAAGCCTTTCTCTTTATCTAAACACTCACCCTTAACCCAGAGGCGCGCACAGGAACTTCCCTTGGCGCGTTTCCCCGATCTCGAACAACCGCAATCATGGGTTCGTTTGCAACCCCTCCCTGTGATTCTGCGCACTGTCGCAATCCATACCTCTCTGTCTCTTATGGTAGTTCTTGATACTGATGGCTGTTTTTTATTTTGTTCAGCGCCCGGAAAGCAGAAAGCCCAGAAGATGTCGTTAGGCAACTTCTTGGCCGACGAGTGTAAGTCTCTCAAGACACTACCCCATTCCCCCGCGGGGACGGACATGACTGATAATATCAGCCCTTGGCTCTTGGGCCGACGAGATGGACGACATGCCTTTGCCTGGTAAGTACTTATCTTCTTAATTGTTAGTCTCATCGCATTTCACTAATCTTTTGATGATTTCTAGCCGGTACGTGTTTGCAGCGCGCCCCCAGCCCCATCAAGTCAGCATCAATCTAATCATCTTTTAGCCCCTTCTTCGTCCGGCTTCGGAGGCTTCGGAGGCGACCGTCGCCCTGCTGGCCTTTCCTCTTCTGCCGGCTTCGGTAATGGATTTGGTGGTATGATACCTTCGCTACAGGTCTACGTTGAGGAGTTTCGCTGTCTAACATGGTTTGATGAAAGAACGCGAGCGCGGTGGTTACGCCGTGAGAGAGCCCCTCCCTCTCCCCACTCAGCCTCCGTATACCGCCCACGTTGGCAACTTGTCCTTCGATGCCGCCTCTGCCGACATCTCCGACCTTTTCGCCGAATGCGGTGTGACCAATGTCCGTGTTGTGGAGGATAAGTTGACCAAGGCCCCCAAGGGTTTTGGATACGTCGAATTTGAGACTGTCGATGGCCTGAAGAAGGCTCTTGACCTCTCTGGCGCTACTCTCCAGGGTAGAGCCATTCGTGTCAGCATCGCTGAGCCTCGTAGGTGTTATCACTCTGGGACTTTGTTATGTACACGCTGACACCACCCTTTAGCCAAGGAACGCGATGTCAAGGAATTCGACTGGACCCGCAAGGGACCTCTTCCGGATGCCCCTCAGCGCCGTGTGCCTGAGCGCTCCAACTTCGGACGCAACCTTGATAACATGTCTGATGCAGGCAGTGAACGTGGCGGTAGCAACCGTCGCAGCAACTTCGAAAGCGACGGCAAGTTCCGCGATTTCAACAACTGGGAGCGCAAGGGTCCTCTCTCTCCTCCCGCCCCCGTGAGGGAAGGTCGTCCTCGCAGCAATGAAGGACCCGGTTTCAGACGCAGCTCTCCCGCCTGGGGTGAGGGACGCTCCCACGAGGGACCCCATGAGGGACGCTCTCAGGACGGCTCTCGTCCTCCTCGCCGCGAATTCCAGGAACGCCAGGAACGCACCCCTACCGCTGCCGAGCTTGATAACTCTTGGCGCTCCAGAATGCGCCCCGATCAGCCTAAGGAGCCCAGCAACCCCCCTTCACCCGCTGCTGCGCCCGCCGCCCCCGCCGCTCCTAGCCGTCCCAAGTTGAACCTTCAAAAACGGACCGTGGCCGAGACCGCTTCGAGCCCCGCTGCCGGTGGCGAATCCAAGGCTAGCATCTTCGGTGGTGCTCGTCCCATTGATACCGCTGCTCGTGAGAAGGAGGTTGAGGAACGTCGCCAACTTGCGATCCGCCAGAAGAAGGAGGCTGATGAGAAGGCCAAGGCCGAGAAGGGCGAGAAGCAGCGCGCCTCTAAGGAGCAGGCCAAGACCGACAAGCCGGTGTCTACGGCTGATCCCAACGGAAGAGACACTGTTGAGACCCCTCAGGGTGGCAAGAGCTTCGATATCCTCCGGCAGGCCGGTGACGAAGAGAGTGGCGAGAAGGCTGATCAGGATCAGGGAGAGGGATCGGCCGCTAAGGGCGCTGAGGCTGCCACCGATGCGCCTGCTAGCAAGGCCAACGGTAGCTGGCGCAGCGCTCCGGCTGAGGCCCAGGCAGCTGACGAGGAGGGCTGGAGCACGGTGAGCTCGGGGAGACAGCGCAACAACCGCCGCGGTGGCCGCACGTTCGCATAGATTCATCGATACCCCCGAGCTGTTCGTCACTTGACCGAAATATCGCGCTATTACAGCCAGAACGTCCCAGCAAGCGGCATCGGTTCCTTGCAGTGGACTGAGCCTAACTGTCCTCCTTGTGCTCTCTTCGAATAGCCGGATTGATTTTGGTTATGTCGGTGGCTAATTTGTTTTGATGACCTGTTGTCTTCACGTCTTTGACATTCTCCCTTCCTTGCTCTTCCGATTGCTGTTCCGGCTAGGTCTTCAACCAAGGTCTAGTTATTGTTCTCAGTCAAGCATGTCGAAAAGTTTCCTTTTCCCCTTTTCCTAGTTTCTTCGGTTTTCCTCTGAGCTAGTTATTCCCATGTACGTGGATGAACTGTTATACACCAATGATCATGACGGCTGATGTGAAGGAAGAAATGTATACGTTAACTGTTTCTAACTCATGGCTTCCTCTCCTAATCCATTCTGCAACATCGCTCTTTCACTGTCGACAATCTCTGATCTTCCTCTTTCTGTATCATGTTCGGGGTCTAGGGACGGCGTGTGGAGTCCTGCCTTCTGCTTTGTTGATGAGGCCATGCCCTCTAATTTGACGAGACGAGCAGTTGAGAGCCCATACATGACATGCACATTGGTGGAATCCTCCTCGAAAACTGGCTCACAACCATCCGCTGATGCAGTCACCCACATAACTGCCTACTGGCCTACCTGCTTCAAGAGTGGATAGTCCACGTATGTCTTTGCTGGGTTCGTTCGGATTAGGGCGTATGTGATTTACTTCATTTGCTTGAGATTAGTGCAATAATAGAATGATCTAAGTCGATACAGTAACAGTCCACGGTGTATGTACGATGCATGCCATGTAATATTTTATGGTTGGGAATTTATCAAGCCGTGCAGCCGCGCACGCACACTATCTCGGCTGAGAGCCACCAACAAGCGGTGCAGAAGAGACCGAGATAAGAAATAGACCGAGACTTAGACTTTGCGGATCTCAGCCGATGCCAATCAACACAGACAAGTCATGCGCTGGCGATGCAGTTCTGCGATATTTTACCCAGTTGAGTTTAGAGGCAGAGGGAGAAAAGGGCAAATCATTCCTTCCCCCACCAGCCTAAGTATACTTACTACTAACTAGTATAGTCGACTTGTCAGCTCAGCCCACCTTTTCTTGCTTTGTTTTTCTCAACCCCTCCATTTGGGCTTTCCCCGATGTCGCTTGCTATTTAACTCCCTGAAAACCGTGATCATGATGTGCGACTGGGGCTCTGAACTTCGTTGCTAAATCCTCCTCCACCGCGATCATATTCTCACTTCCCCCCGCGCGACGGCGACGGTGGAGATACTCAGGATGTTAGCCACACACCACAACCATCCCGCGCCATGGAAGCTGGCCTTTCGCTCCTCTAAGACCTTTGTGACTTGGGTGGTGGCCATTGCTTGTTTCACGGTGAGTGAGGAGTTCTTTCTGCTGTCTGTCTCGAACTAAATGCTAATTGCTGGTAAAATGCGCCCAGGACGTTTTCATCTACGGCATGGTGCGCACCCAGTGACGAACCCTGGGAATTCCCAGGCCTGATAAGAAGCTCTACTCCTAGATCGTTCCCATCTTACCGATTGTCTTGAAAACACGGGTCTCTGTACCCGAGGAAGACTGTACGATACTTCCCCCCGGAAGATTAATAGGCACGCGCGATAGGAAACACCATTAATAGACTTCACAGTACAGCAATGGATGTCGATCATGCTTGCTGCCTTTGGAGGGGGTATATTCTTCGGGTCTCGTGAGTCCGCCACATTGAAGGTTCTGGTCCAGGTCAAGGGATACTGATCAGCCTACAGCCATCTTCGGGTACTTCGCGGACAGAAGCTCGTCGCGCCAGCTTCCTTTCATGATCGGCTTGCTGGCCCTCGGCGGGACGACCGTGGTGTTCTGGTTCGCCAGGACGGTGGCGTCGCTGGTGATTGCGCGGGCTCTGCAGGGTCTATCTGCTGCGGTGGTGTGGACTGTCGGCATGGCGCTTGTTGTGGACACCGTTGGGAAGGACCAGGTTGGGGCTGCTATGGGTTATGTCTCGATGGCGTTGACTGTGGGCACGGTATTTGGTCCGTTTATCGGGGGAATTATGTATGTTGCGATTGCGCAATCCTTGTGGGAACGAAGAGTTGAAGCGCTGATTGCTAACCTTCATGCACACAGGCTCTCGCGAGTAGGGTATCACTCGGTGTTCTTGCTGGCAATCGCGTTGATCGTTGTGGATATCAGTCTTCGTCTGGTGATGGTTGAGCAGAAGACGGCCGCGAAGTGGCTTCCGATTAAGACGGAAGAGTCCAGTGGACTGCTGGATAGTCCTGCTGGCGCTGGTTGTGTTGGATACAGCACCCTTGGCGATCAAGACAGCGCTAGCTCACTGTGTCCCCCTGATGATGTCCTCATCGAGTCTCCGGGCAAGGAACGTGGTGAGCCCGACTCGAGTGGGAAAGCAACGTCTGTCCCGGGCATTGTTCGCCTTATATGCTCAGGCAAATTGATGGTCGTCCTGGTGGCAACTGTCGTTGATGCCATTTTATACTCCTCTTTTGACACGGTGCGTATATACTATGGACATTGCATCCTGACCAGGCAACTGATCCTCCTGTCTCAGGTACTCCCACTCTACGTCATGAAGACATTCGACTGGGGCCCCATGGGAATCGGCTTGTGTTTTCTGCCCTTGTTCGCCCCGTCATTCGCATCTCCATGGATCGGTACGTCTACTCACACCTTTACCCAGGGCCCTTCTAACCTGAAATCTAGGCGACGCCGTCGACCGTCTCGGAGCTTTGCAGATCGCCTTCATCGGTTTCCTCCTCGATTGCCCCACCTTCCTCCTCTTTCAGCTCGTCACAGAGAACACAATCCAGCATCAGGCTCTGTTGGTAGTGTTTCTCTTATTGGCTGGAGCCGCATCAACCCTGCAGATGGTCTCCCTGATGGTGGAGGTGGGTCGGGTCACGGAGCGATATGAGCGGGAGTATCCGGGCATCTTCGGCCACCAGGGAGGAACCGCGCAGGCATACGGGCTATTCAACGTTGCCTGGTCTGGTGGTCAGGTACTCGGGCCTTTGATGGCGGGTCTGCTGGTCGACCAGGCTGGGTGGGCGACCATGGTGTCGACGTTTGGGGTGATGAGCGGAGGGATTGCGGTTATGATTGCGCTGTCGGATCGGAAGGTGAGAGGAGGGCTGTGGGAAGAAACTAGGGGTTGAGGTTCAAAGCTTTCTGGGTGTACATGCTATTCACATGGCATGGCTGCAGACTATCTGAAGGATTGAGGGGGTCTTGTCTCAGATGCAGTTGTGTTGAAGGGTGAAGGAGATCCGTAATGGAGGTATATATGCAGTGGAAGTATATAGTCGCAGATAACGTTGTGATGAGACATGAATCCATACGATATGACGAACCATCACCAACAATGACTACGAAATTAATCAGATAAATTGGCCAGAGCATTTACTTCTCGATTGTCAAATCTCCTATTGATTGTTGTCACCACTACTCCAACCTTAGTTGATTGTTCAACCACCAACAGATAAACTTCCCCGCAACACCAAAAATTTTACCGCGGGATTTTTTCTTCGTCTTTTCTTCGCCGCCACCGCCGAGCTTATGTCTTCCCCTCCCACCCCCCACACTCTCTACTTCTAATCCGACTACTATCCTCTCCAGTCCTTAACTTTGGCGCCCTCACCCCGCGTTTTCGCCCACCTGCTGCGACGAGGCCTAATCCCGAAGTCCAGTATGGCCATTGTCCCCGTCGACACGACGCTCCAGGTGCCGCCGCCGGACGCGGTGCAGGAGCCGCCCGCGGTGGCCGTGACGCCGTGCGACCCGTGGCCAGCGCCCTACTACTTCGAGGGCGGACTGCGGCGCGTGAAGCCGTACCACTTCACGTACAACACGTACTGCAAGGAGCGGTGGCGGGGTCGCGAACTGCTGGATATTTTCCTATCGGAGTTCCGGGATCGGCCTGCGGAATACTACGTACGATATCTCCTTTCTCTGCCCTACCCCCTACACCCCAGTTAGCCTTCAGCAATCAACCAAGCCCCGGGGAGGAAGAAAGAACCGAGTAAGCTAACGTTCAAATGTGGGATCCTATAGAAAAAAGCCCTAGAAACCGGGCTGGTCTGCGTAAACGGCAAACCGGGGACGCCGCACACGGTGGTGAAGAACGGGGAGATAATCTCGCACACGCTGCACCGACATGAGCCGCCGGTGACGGGCAAGGAGATCGGGATCATCCACGAGGACGAGGACCTGATCGTGATCGACAAGCCGGCGGGGGTGCCGGTGCACTCGGCGGGGCGGTACCACTACAACTCTGTGCTGGAGATTATGCGATCGCAGCGGCATCCGGAGTGGGTGCCGCGGCCGTGCAACCGCCTGGACCGGCTGACATCCGGGGTGATGTTCCTGGGGAAACACGCCAAGGCGGCGGAGGTGATGAGCACGAAGCTCAAGGCGCGCACTTTACAGAAGGAGTACGTGGCGCGCGTCAAGGGCCGGTTCCCGGACGGGGTGGTCGTGTGCGATCAGCCCATCATGTCGGTTAGTCCGAAGGTTGGGCTGAATCGTGTGCGGGCGACGGGGAAGGAGGCCAAGACCAAGTTTAGGCGGTTGGCGTATTTTCCTCCTTCCTCTCAGACATCCTCACCCTCTTCGGAGGGAGAGGGAGACGACTCCAACAGAGTGGCGACGCCGCCGGCGATCTACGCCAACGAAGAAGAAGGCTACAGCATCGTGCACTGCCTGCCGCTGACGGGCCGGACGCACCAGATTCGCGTGCACCTGCAGTTCCTGGGCCACCCGATCTCGAACGACCCGATCTACTCGAACCGCAAGGTCTTCGGGCCGGAGCTGGGCAAGCACGACACCTCGGCGGAGCGTGACCAGGAGCTGATCGCCCGGCTGTCGAACATGGGCAAGACCGAGACGGCCGTCGACAGCACGACGACCAGCTACCGCACGCACCTGACCGCCGCGCCGCTGGTGCCGCCCGGCACGGACTCGTCCGTCGTCGAGGAGATCATGTCGCGCGAGCACGAGGCCGCCGTCGAGCGCTACCACAAGCGCAAGGGCGAGCGCCTGTCCGGCGAGCGCTGCCCCGTCTGCGACACCGAGCTGTACACCGACCCCAGCCCCGAGGAGCTGGGCATCTTCCTGCACGCCGCCGCCTACGCCGATAAGGGCGAGGACGGCTGGAAGTACACCAGCCAGATGCCCAGCTGGGGCCTGCCGCCTAAGGGCATGGATGGGCCTCGCACCATGCCGGCCTGGGTCGATGTCCCCGAGCACGAGGAGATTGTCATCGGGTATGGCACGGTGCCGGAGATCGGCGGCGATGATGCCGCGGCTGGTGCCTCCGAGGTCAATGTTCCGGCGTTGGTGCAAGGCGTCGGGCTCGTGGATATCTCGGCGGAGAGGCAGGCGCATGAAGCCTCTGCTGCTGCGGCTGCTGCTGCTGCTGCTGCTGCCGCCGCCGCCGCCGTGGCTACTGAGGATAATGCGGAAGAGGAGGGCGTTAGCGCTGCAGCGACAGCGTAGGGCTCTGACATTGGCATTGACACGATCCGGTACAGTATATAATCCTTTAGATGGGCCTGGCCTTAGACACGCAAGATATCAAATAGAATACCTGCATTCGAGTCTACAATGCAATGAAAGCCATGATACCACTCCGGGACAAAAACCACAAGTAGAATCATTTCTTACGACCCTACACTACACCCAGACCTACAACCTACAACCAACCAACGAGCAAGAAGACAAAAAAAATTTCCCAGACCAGCAGCACCAGCCAAGCCACGAGCGCGCACGCATCGCATCGAATTTCTCATCTGACTAACATAAATCCGACTCCAGCATCAATAAGCCAAGCCAAACCTGTCTTTAAAAAGATAAAACAGACCCAGAACCCAAGGACATCCATCTCACCCACATGGACAAAACGAAACAGCAGTCATGTCATTCCGTTCCATCCACGCCAAGGCCGCAGACCGCATCACCAATATAAATCCCCAGGTGACACAGCACAGATAGATATCCCGGACTAGAGCCGCTTCATCTCGGATTTCTTGTTTCAGAAAGATTTTTATTCAAAAGAAGGATGGATTCATGGAAACGATATTGCATTCAAGCTTTTCTTTTTTTCCTCAAAAACAGATTCGTAAGTCTGTGTTTCTCTTTTATTTGCGGTCATGACATGATGATGATGAGGTATGGAGGGTGTTCGAGGTATGAAGAAGGTAGTAGAAGGTAGGGTAGGTGGGGAAAAGCTCTTTACATTATCATTCCATAAATAGGTCTTCTTCTTTTTTTGCTTTCTTAACAGGTAACAAGAAAATCCATTTAAGCCTCAGTGGTGACACGGCCCTTGGGGTTGGTGACCTTGACGCCGAGAGCCTTGGCCTTGGCGATGATGTCGACACGCTTGCGGGAGGAGACGGCGGAGGCGATCCTATTTCAGATATCATTAGAGAGAGTGTTTGGGTTGATGTGGCAGTCAAAGGAGGCGTACTCAGCAGCGTAGGTGCGGTTGTGCATGAGAAGAAGCTCGACGTCCTTGGGGTTGTGGACGAGGAAAGCCTTGTGGCCGGAAGGCATCATGTGCTTGGTCTTCTTGTTGCTGCCGTAACCGATCTATACATCTCAGAATTAGTGGGAGTTGGGTTGAATATCCGGAGAGAAGGACGTACCGAGGGCATGGGGATGTTGCCCTTGAAGCGTCTACGGACGCGGTTGTCGATACCCTTGGGCTTGCGCCATGACTCCGGCACGCACTTGAAGCGGTCGGACTGGTGACGGAAGAAACGCTTGGTGCCTGTAGCAAACGCAGATTGTCAATGATGAGGTTCTCGCAGACTGATAGAAGTTCGACGGGTTCGCTCGCAAAGGAATGAGCAGCTCAGTTCGCAGTTTTCATCGTGTCAGGTGCGCAGGTCAATCCGGTGTCAGTGGTGATCGTGCGTGCATGTTTTGCGAATATGGTTGATCGTCGAATATGTTTTGTTTGGCGCATCTTGAATCGAACATCTTCGTCCCGATAATTTGCAATTCCATGAGACCGATTCCCTCCTTGGCCGCATTTCTCAACATCGCTCGCGAATTTTCATTTTCCGAAAACATCGTGCAATATCGTACTCGCGTCTTGCTGCTGTATCACGACTGCTGACTGACTGACTGGCTACCAACGACCGACAATTGACCGATGACTGGAAAAAAAAACTCGACTGGCTCCGATTCCCGGCAGGATGTGGTGGGTATGAGATAGAAAAAAGGTATGAACGTACGCTTCTTGACGATGGGGACGTGCTTCTTTGCGAGGACCATCTTGAACAATAATCCGTCAGTAGGGCGTGAGACCACGAGCAACGATCCAACACGTACCTTGTCGTCTTCTCGCGGGCTGGCGCTGGGAGTTGTCGTAGGGGTCGAAAATCGGTCTCGAGATTTCGCGGTCAGGTTTGGCCGCCCAAGCAAGACTCGCCCTAGTGGCTTCGCTTAGCGAGTCTAACCCCCATCGGTGCGTTAGGGCTCGCCCCGCGTGCCCTTGTCCGCCCGCCTTCTGCTTCCGGTTAGCGCATGATTCCCGTGCCGCTAAAGAATGACTAATCTATAACCATTTAACTAACTAATGCATTATACTAGGTAGTTACTATGTACGGGGTGGACTCTCTACCTTCTCTATCGCCTAGTTACTGCAGGTGCAGGTCAATTCGCGCTCCATTGCTAGTGAAGATCCCCTCCATCACCTCCAAATCCGCCAACGCCTCTTCCGGCCGCAACAGCGCTTGCACCGCACCGTCCCGAATCGATGCCGCGAACCCGGCCACCTCGTGGTTCACTCCACGGCCTGTGAAGGGCACATCGACATGCTCGCCCTTGACCGTGACCCGGTCACCGTTCAAGGTCACAGCACCCTGAGCGCAGTCGAACTCGAACACGAAATCGTTGAACGCCGATCCATACGACATCGTGATTGCTCCCGACGCGCCGGACTTGGTCTGCGCCACCGCATCCACGGTGTCCATGGGAGCCAGATACTCCTGCAGGAGAGACGATTGCGCGGACAACGAGGCCAGGGCATCAGTTTCGCCGAGAATAAGCCGCAATCCCGCGACCAGGTGGACGCCGCCGTCGAGGACGAACCCGCCCTGGTGAGACGGGATGCGTCGCCACTCCGTCTCTGGTGGTCATTGTCAGCCCCGTTCTTTGTAGCTTGTAAACCGAACTCGTAGACCGAGAATCTTACTCAAGTACTTGAAGTCGGTCTTGATTAGACTGCGCACGCACACCCGGAAATTCTTCACCCCGCCCAGCTTGCGTACTTCCTCTGCGGTCCGGATAAACTTGGCCAGGTAGCGATAGTTCTCTGCCACAGCCCAGAGAGTCTTGGTGGTGTCAACTTTGGCATTGTACCACTTCAGGAGCTCCTGGGCGGTTGCTAGGTCCTTTGCGATGGGCTTCTCGGACAGAACATGCTTCCCTGCGGAAAGAGCCTGCTTGATGTGATCTGGCTGGGCGAGGATTGGTAGACTGTACAGGTGAGCTGGTCAAAGCTCGGGAACATTGTGTCCTGTACCAAATACTCACGCGATGATGACAGCTTGGATGTCACTCCGAGCTAGAAGGTCTGCGTAGCTCTTGCCGGCGCCGGCATCTTCCGAATATAGGTCTACTCCCTCGACTTCAGAGGCGAGATTTTGCGCCGATTGAAGGGAGCGGGAATAGATTGCCTTGATCGTGAACTCGGATGAAGCGCGCACCACGGGCTGCAGGTGGCCACGTTAGCTGAGAGCTCCGAAAGACGCACCGTCAAAGTGATAGTGGGATTCGTACCAAATGCTCTTCCCGGGCAAAAATGCCTGGATGTTCTGTCAGATTATGCAGACTAATCAATCTAAGTATACTGTGAAATTGGGCGCCTACCACTTCCAATGATAGCAACTCCGATAGACATGTTTGTCGTAAGCTTTCTATACCTTAGTTTGAGGAGGATCAAAGAGAGAGCAAACCAGGCTGGGGATCAGTAGCCACGGGGGACCCTGAGGTGGGTCTGCAACCGGACTAATTCCTGGCATCCCGCCGCGGGGTTCCTTAGACTGGATGATGCCATCACCATGTCAACAAAGGTCTCATTTCTCAGCCAGGGAAAGCCGAGAGTCAAGAAGACACCGACCATTAAGAATATGTATAACCAAAGAAAATTCACCGGGGCAAGTATATATGAATTGATGCAATCATCTTATGCAGAATACCAATAATTCAAACAAAAACGCCATAGCTCGATGCAGATCGTCCCTCATAAACACGGTGACCTATTGACCAATCAGGTCATATCACAAGTCAAACTCAGAAGGTCAAGCCAAGTGACCGATCGCCAGAAACACCAAAAGGGTTATGGGTATAAGACTGTAGGAATGCAATCTGAAAATCACGGACAGAAAACCAGAGTAAGATGCACAGAAAGGGGGCGTATCGTCCGAGGATTCACAATCCATGCGCATGTATCCACCCAAAATGCTAGCCAACCATAGCTCGGATGCGTTCAACTCTTTCCATCGCTTTTTCCAATCGGTCAAGGCGGTTTCTCTTCTCGACGTCCCGGCGCTCCAGTACTGCCACGCGCTCCTCGAGTCTTGCTCTCGCCTTGCGCTCCTGCGCAACCATCTCATTCGCCTGGCTGAACAGTTGCGCCGTCAATTCCTCCAACTCGGTGCTGGCTTGCGATAATTGTGTTTCCGCCGCCTTGCGCAGGCTCTGTTCCCGATTGAGCGCGTTCTGTAGTTCCAACGTCTCCTCGTAGCTAGGAATCGGTGGCGGAGAAATTACTGGCTGGGCTTGAGGTGCGCTCGGGGCGCCGGGTCGGCGGGAGGGCAGCAGGGAGGTCAGCGTGGATAAGCGTCCGCTCTGCTGACCCGGTGATTTCGGGGAGGTGTGCAACGAGGGGGGCGACATGGACAAATCCGTGATCCTGTGGAATTGGTTCGACGAGGTGGAGGATATAGAGGAGCCATTTCGTGAACTTTGCGTGGTGGACTGGGCGTGGAGGCGGCGGATTTCTTCTTCATACTCGGCCATTCTCTCGGCTAGCGATTGAAATGCAGGCCGCGTTAGCCCAGACAAACCGACTGCAGACTGGCTGCGATGCAGTATTCCTTACCCATCTGCGTCGCCTGGAGGTTGAGGAATTCGAGCTGCCCCTCTAGTTCTTTCACTCGATCTTGGGCTTCATCTTTCGGTTTTCCTTGCGGCGAAACCCGGTCATATCCGCACGTTGGGCAAGTCTTCCCTGAGACCATCCCGGCGGCGCTATTCATGGTGGGCAGGGTGCCGACCAGCATAGTAGATGCCAGGGCTGTGGTCATGGTGGTCGACATTATTCGTAAAGCATGGGCAGAAGGCCGATAAGAACCAGATATGAGAAGCAACGTCAGGGTGACGAATCGTGAAACCGAGTTGCGGAAATGAAAGGACGCCGGACCGTGTCGCAGGAGGCGGAAGTTTAGACTTAAGAGCAGGCGTGAAGAAAAGGAACACAGAAAACGGGTTTATAAATAGAGGATAGAAAGGCGGCAAAACGAAGAACGCCAAGTAGAAGCAGGAGTAGAACCGACCAAAGAGGGGGCAAAGGAGTGACTTGGCTGAGAAAATAGTCAGTTGAGAGGGGGGAAAGAAAAGAGAGGTCGGAGGTGCAAGAAACGATGGAGGAAAAGGTAACTAAGAATAACAACAATAGCAGCGACACAAGAGGAGGCATCAATAAGTATGAGTAAGTTGGCCGGAAGCGGTGGGGGAGGAGAGAGAGGGAGAACCGTTGGCTGCAGGTGGTGGATATTCAGTGTCAATAGTCGGTTCTATTGTACAGTACATGTACATGTATGCAGATGGTAGAATTGGGACCCTGAATTCTGGAGATTCATTTAAGAATCCATGTTGTGGCTGGACTCTCTCCGACTGCATCTCTGAAGTTCCCTTCCCTGCCTACTCCATTCTTTCTTTCTTTCTTTAAGGGCCAGCGATCAACATTTTACTTTAAAACGACACGTGTGGATCGAGGGTCTCTCCCCGCCCAACTAGACTAACTAGTGTGATTGTGGCCAGTCCTTTTTCGCGATTTCCTCCCTTCCTCCCCGGTCAGGCCCCCTGGTGATCGGATCGATTAGCATGAGAGTATCCAGCCGCGAAGGACAGCCGACTGCCCAAAACACCCATACCATCAAACTACAGTTGAACCACATAAAAAAGTAGATAAGGCAGCATTGTATCGCCTGGGGAAAAAAAAGCAGCCCATCATCTTCAAGCAGTTATCTAAATTCTCATCCAGTTTTACACAAAATCATATAAGTCCTTCAAACTAGGTTGGTGGCTGACCTTTCCCCCTTTCCTCCCCTCACCTCCTTTCAAAGGGCATCCACCCACATACACAAGATGACGTCCAAAAACCTGAACCGCACCAATATCGATATCGTCCTGGCCGAATTCAAGAAAGATCGCGCAGCAAGTGTTCCGTTCCCTATTCGTTATCTCTTATTCGATCGCAAATTTCGCCAAGACATATTCTACGAAATTCCGCGGGACGTCGAGCCGGATACTCTCAAACGTGCTTTGAATCAATACGTCCGCGAGCGGGGCACGACAATTGAGTATAGCCATGATGTCTTTCAAGCTTGGCCACGGTGCTCTTCAGGAGAGGATGAGGCCCCCCGTTCTGACAGCGGCGGCAACGATGATGCTCCTGCTACTTCCTAGCGTGGCGATTGAGTGGGATAACGTGGGAGACTGTATTATGACGCTTTATTCATCGAACGACTGTAATGACGACACGATCGAGCAGGTTTATGATTTTGGGGAAAGTGATCTTTGTGTCCCGCCCGATTTCACTTGGAGCTCCTTTGATATTTCAGGATCTTAGATTTTAGGATATTAGGCAATAAGATGAGTACTAGCTGAGGTTGAGGATCAAGAATGCAAGACGGAGAGTCCACAGTATAAAAGTAATCCAGGAGCCAAACTTCCATTCTTGATTTAAATGCTACTCATCTTAGAGAATCCCTAGGGCTATCTCAGAAAGTCAAACAATAATATCAGGCAAGACAAGGATGGATTCTCCTCGGACTACGGCCATTGTGCCCCACACACATCCACAATTCAGCACTACAATGCAGAGCTACCTAACTCTGCTGGAGTTCCGAACCCGTACAATGCTTCGCTTGACTACGTAGTTGGCTAATGAGAAGACTTTTAAGCAACTGGCTATGTACACTGGGCAAGTTGAACAAGGTGTGGGTCGACGCCAGTTACAGACGGAATGGGAAGCCACCAGCAAGTTTCCCATTAAGGCTTCACTGCCTCAGATGCAAGTTGAACGCGAACTCTTTCACTGCCGAGGTAGGCAGTACTTTGCACCATTCGCAAGTGATGGGCTTTACAGTGACGAAAAATGTTAGTTGGTGCTCAAGAAGCTTCTGAATTCTTCCTTTAGTATGAGGGCTCGGCGGAAGCATGTGAAGGTGTGTACTAAGGCTTGGGACGTATATAGTCATCAACCTATAGGACACTTCATGGGTAGGCTATCAGCAAATCTCGGTCCTACCAGTGGTGGTGATCCGAGTCTATCCCAGCCATTCCAATGAGGTTGGCTTAGTAACGCTATGACCGACGTTCTTGTTCCTGGCCTTTGACTTCGATCGATCTCCAGGGTAACACCAGCCATGCGACGCTTGTTGACTGGCTTTGTGCAGGAAAGGATCGAGATATACTCCTTGCTAGGGTCAAATTAACCTCAGGACGTTGTGCGACGATGCCACTATGATAATAAAGAGGACGGTGGGTCGACATTATATTCCCCGCCCTCCCTTGCGGCTTCCTGTGCCACAATCACCAGCCACTGTCGTCGATATTGTAGTGACTAGAAGTAAGAGCGGTACATAGACGCATTTGTTTATCTATGACTATAATCTTAGGTAGGCTATGAATACAGTAGCAATATCTCAGTCATAATGATGCCTCACGATAATGCTAGGTCGCCACACGACGAGTGTACTTAAGAGAACGCTCAGATAGGAATAGGCGCATAGTGACTGAATCGCCTTTCAGGATCATACTTCTTCTTAAGCTCCTTCAACTTGCTCAACCGCCAGTATTCGTAGCCATAGATTGATTCTGGTGGCTCGTCACCAAGAGCATAGTTGACGTACGAGTGGAGTTCTGCCTTGCCGCTGCCCTCGATAAGCATTCGCCTGATTGCTTCGCCAGCCTCGATGGCAGTGTGATCCAGACTCGTGTTTGCACGATAGAAGATAAGGGGATATCCAATCACATTGTCTTCCCTGTGGGGATATGCTGTCGAGCTTGTTGGGATGGCTTTGACGCCCTGTAATGGAAAGCCCTCTAACATGAACTCGGAAGCCCTGAACGGCGAGTTGCCCGCAGTGAGATTTGTAAAAGCATCGTACACCATACGCTGCGTCGTAGTATTCCAACTCGGAAGGCCGACGGGAAAGTGAAGCGCGGAAACGTTTTTTGCGGTGCAGTATGTGGGGTTGCTGAAATCAAAACGTATCCACCTCGCTACATCCTTGTAGGTTCCGGATCCGGAGGGGACAGAGATAGGATTTATATTGCGAAAGGCATCGGTATAAACGGGATCGACGCGAGATACATTTTCTTGCAGGACCGAGAGTTGAATCACTGGCTAGCAGCTAGTTAACATGAGATGACATATCTTTGTTGAGAAAATCAGCTTACGTTAACAGCGTCTACGCTGGCATTTCGCAACATAAAGCCGATCAGGACCACGGTAGGAGGCTGATTCGGTAGAAGGCGGTTCCACGTCGCAAAGACATCCTCGATGTTAGCACGACCAAAGGTGTAGTCCTCGTGAGCCCATAGACCTTGATCGGGAACATCATAGATTTTTGCTGTAATCGAAGTGACAATCCCGAAATTGTGCCCGGCACCCCGCAAGGCCCAAAACAGGTCAGGATCGGGGTCTGAAGCCGTGACATCGAGAAGCTCTCCGTCTGCAGTCACCAAGTGCAGTGAAACAACCTGATCGCCGGCATAGCCGTATTTACCCTGCAGAATACTGTGGCCGATCCCAAGGAGCGGGCCGAGGTAGCTAGTGCACTCACAAGAACCGGTCACTGTAGGGCTATCAGCAACATAGCACGCACAGAGTACGGTGTGAGGCCACGAACCTGCATATTTCCCTTTCTTCCACAAGGCTTCGATGAGATTACCGGCTAGAATACCGCCACCGATTGTAGCCGTATCGCCATCTTCTGATATGATGGTCCAGTCAAGCTTATGCAACCATATCTCGATGCCAAAATGGAGATTTGCTAGAGTAATCATCGCTCCATGAGAGCCGGATTGTGCCAGAAAGGGTATTTCTTGTTCATTGGCGTATTTGACCTAGTCCATTGTTAAGATCGAAGGCACAATTAGTAAAGATGTAGCATACCGTTTCCGCAACATCTTGTTCCGTGGCAACCTCAACAACAATGGTGGGACGAGGTTTAGCAAAAGCTGACCATCGGTACGTTGCCCTCTTGAAATCTGTGTTGTTTGGAAGAATTATCCGTGCGCCTGAAGAGAGTCGAGGGCCGAGTTCGGCTGTGATATTCGGGAACCCGATCGCAGCGACGATGTTATGTGCTAGAAGCGTACAAAGAAGGCCCAATATGCAGGCCCTCAGTTTCAAAGTCAGCATTATGAAAATGACAGACTAAGACGTAGTGTTGACTGTGGATTGATGAGTGGTCAAGACTTGAAGATAATCGTCTAATGTGCTGTTAATGAGTCTGAGTGGTAGGCATGGGTTTTGAATGATAGTGCTAAGATCAGTGTCATAGCACCGATTATAGAGCTTTTCAATTGATTGAGAAGACTAGAGAGAGCGAATTGAGTCATTTTGAGTCTTGAAGTTAGAGTGCAGCGCTTGAAGGAAGGTGCGTGGAGAAGGAGGAGATTTAGAAGGAAGGACTTGAGGTATACTGCTGTGCTGTATGTGACACCCGATTAACCAGGTGTCGACTGCAACAATGGATGCACGAGTTATGCCGCTTCTGGCTTAGCTTAAAAAAGACCTCGGCATTTTCTTTCCTGGAGATCCTCTATTGCGCATATATCTTTACTGTCATGCTCCTCGAATTCGAACAGCTTGAATTTTAGAGCTTATGATAGTATGGCCGATCTAGAGTAGATTCGACAACATTAAAGAGAAAAGAGCAAGCCATCATTGTACTTGGGCCTTCAAACTAATTTGTGCATCAAGCCTGCGCAGCTTTCCAAGACAAGACTTAGAACAGTCTCAATCCATGCCAACTCGAGTCCATTGAACGAAAGAATAGACTACCTCAAAGGATCTGTTCTCGACCTGATAGGAGATAAGATGCAAAGATTCACTGCAACAAGCGATCGGCACCATCAGCCGAGGTCCCCTGAACCCAACCTCCAGAGCCCCACATCCCGTAGGAATCATAAGCCCATTAACCGCTCTTCGCATGGCAGTCTACTCCAGATCACTACACAAGCACAAGCTTATTATCGCCTATCGTCACTCCCTCCTGAAGAAACATTCCAAACCCAAGAACAGCAAACAATTCCCTCCGAGTAAAGCTACCAAGCACATTTCCCTCCATCCCCAGCTCTTTCAAAAATGTCCACATCGACAGCCGCCAAAAAGCGGCGCACGCGCAGCGACTACCGCTTCCACCAAACCCACCAAACAAGATGGTCAGCGCATCCCCTCGTCTTCATCCTTCTAATTCCCTCTATCCACCCCCTTCAAGCTCCCCCTCTCAATACCAACATTACTCATACCACAAAAGGTACGACAACGACATGTACGCGCACTTAAACAACACAGTATACACAATGCTCTTCGACTCGATCATAAACACGTACCTAATCACGCACTGCGGCATGAACCCATTCAGCCACAACAATCCTGGCGAGAAGAACCGAACTGCCTCTATGCCTAGTACGCAAGCCACCTCCAGCTCGCCACCAACCCCCCAACTCGGCATCATCATCTCCTCGCACTGCGACTACTTCGCCAGCGTCTCGTTCCCGGACGTCCTCGACCTAGGACTAAGGGTGACGAAGCTCGGGCGCTCGAGCGTGACCTACGAGGTGGGCGTGTTCCGGCGGGGCGACGAGGAGGTGAAGGTGGTGGGCGGGTACACGCATGTGTTCGTGGCGCGGGAGACGATGCGGCCGACGGCTGGGGGGATGGATGTGGCGGTGCGGAGGGGGTTGGAGCGGTTGCTTGTTCCAGAGGATGAGGAGGGGGACAGTGGGAATGGGAAGGCGAAGTTGTGAGGTTAGATCTTGGTTTTTACGTTTACTCCTTATTACTCGTATGTATACTATATATGTATATGTTCGCCTCTGGCGCGTCGGTTTTGGGGAGAGGGAATCAGTAGCTGTTGATATGTGTGAGTTGGGGCGGTAGATGGGGCCTCATTGCGTGTAAGGTCCAGTGGAGGTTGAAAGAGTCCCCGTTCGCTAGACGGTGTAGGGAGAGCTACAATGCTTTCCTACAACCATACCAGGATAGAAGAGCACATGGCTCGGAGAAGCTACACAATTGGATCAAGCATAAAGCATAAGCATAAGCATACTTCAAGTCCACAACGCATCGATAACAGTGGCATCAGACTATCACATGCTTTTGTGACCGCCGATCCACTTCCTTCTTATGACATATCTCATGCAGCTGTCATGCAGATCCTCGACACCTAAACTTTTACTTCGGGTGCATTCCCGGGCTAGTTCTACACTTCCCTATCGAAAAGAACGATAACCTAATGGAAACTTATGAATCACTTTCAGCCTTCTTCATTCATTCTGCGCACCACACAGACAGTATCTAACAAAGGTATCTCCGAAATTTCCTAGCAGGCAAAGAATCTATAGCAAACAAGGAAGAAAACAAACATCTATCCGGTTATCTATAACCTAGACCCAAACGCCTTCGTCGCTATGTAAAGCAAGTTCTCTACCCAATCAAAGCAGTAGAGCCATCCCAGCAAGTTCATAAGCGAGTTATGCGTGACACATGAAGCGAAAAGCAAACAAACAAACACACAGCGAAAAAAAGACGCTAGAACGCTAGCTCGAAAGAGAAATATTCATTTTGAATCGGTCGTGAACGGCCAACGCGTGCGCTGTAGAGACCAGCTGCAGACGCCACTAAAATGCGATGGTCGAACATTCCAAGACAGACAGTCGATGTCGAGTGATCAGGTCAACTTGCTCGGCACAACGCTAGCACGGGAGACGTTCGAACTCTCAGGGAACAGTTCCCGGCGCATGGTGCGCGCCTCCGAGTCGTAGTGCCATTTTTGATACGGACCCGGGATGAACTTGCCCTTGGCATCCCAGCCGGCAACCCAGGTGTAGCCATCGTCCAACAGAAAGAACAGAAGTCGTTCGGGCTTAGCTCCCTCGTGGATAAGGACAGAGTGCCAGCGGCAGCGCTCCTCCATCTCGTGTTCGAAGATGTAGCGGTGGAGGATGCGACTGTAGACAAGAGGTACCGGTAGCTTCTCCTCGTACTCATTGCCATCCTTGTGGACGAGGTGCCATCCCCGGCCAGGGATGTACTTGTAGATACCAGGAACAGGGCTCTCCCAATGTTCCTCTTTGTGAATGGATCCGTGGATGCGTTCTCCACGTTGGAACCAATATACGGGACAGAATGCTTTGCGGAGACAGATAAAGAGGTTGGGCGCCATTGTGACGGATGAGAGACCCAAGTCGCGATTGATAATAGATTTGATGATGATGAGAAGTGGTAAGGAAGATAATCAATGAAGCGCTTGCTTGCTGGCGATAAAAGTCAAGTTGAAGACAAAAAGTTGCGAGTAGCAACGTCGGGTTATTGAGCGAGGTGCATATTGATATAAAGAAACAGACACAGGAGAATCTGAAGTTGAGAAGGACCCAAGGGATAGAAGAAGACGGGCAACAATCAATGACGATTGAAAATGCTCTCGAGTGCCTCAAGAAAGGGGTCAGATTCGTCGACTGGGCTGGTTGCCGACAGCTGTAAGGATGCGGTGTGCGATAGTAGGTATGAATGCACAGGTGCCTGTCCGAGATCTAGGCCTGAGCTGAGTAGGACAGGGTGGCTTGCTTTTTCTCTTTTATTCTTCAGAAAGAGTCGCAAGAGACCAAACTCGGGGTTGAATCGGGTTTGGGGACGGGTTTTATTGGCAATGAGACGGGATCGACAGGTCAAGACCAGCGAGAGGGGCCGTGAAATGACCTAAGAGTAGACGCGCAGAGAGATGCAGCGATCGACTGATGTATGGCGGACGCCCAGCTGGATATTGCTAGTGCTTCTTAGAACCGCATGCTAGCAATCTCGCATCTGACTGGATGGAAATAGCAAGATCAGCATGCCGGAAGGATGCAGGACGTTCCCATGCAGGAAGGGAAGAGTGATGAATATAAAAGATTAATGGGAAAACCGGAAAAAGAAAAGGGCGAGTGAGCCGAGAAAGTGTGGCTTTTTTTTCCCTCTTCCCAAGGAGGGGGAAAAACGACGAGTGGTGATGGTGTGAGACTATTAGTGGATGCCTGGGGGGCGGTCTGAGGTCAGCCCCAAATCCCACTCTGCAATTGTTCACTTCCCTGACTTCTCTCTGGGTTCAAGAGCTTGCCAAGTGGGGATTGGACATCAAGCATCGAAACCCAAGGAAAACTCTTCGATGGCCGCGGGAACCGGAAGGGGCGAGACCTTCTTCGAGTTAAGGAAACTTCCAGGGCAACAGCAAATTTGCACATTGAAAAAAAAAACGACGACGCGGGAGACTCCCGAGACCCACTGGGCCCACTGAACTGCTTCCTGGGTTGCTTTGGGTCTATTAAAGTTTTCTGCTGCATTTCCTTTGGTGGTTCTGGTTGTGTAGTTTAATATTTTCTATACTTGAATCAGCCACGGGAAGTTGTCCCGGTGTGAGATAGAACAAATCATCTTGTGGCGGGCGAAGTGGTGGTGGTGACAGTGGTGGTGACAGTGGTGGTGATCATGGATGGTGGTGTGAGTGTGCGTGTACGGTGGAGATTGTGGAAAAAGACCCAGTGGGGTGGATATCTTCGTATTGGACTCATGACGGTGTCAAGCCATCTCAATCTCATCTGTCACTTGCTTCAAGAGGCGACGGGAGGGAGGCTGTACTCAGCCATGAGATTAGTAAATTATCTCACCACAACTAGGACGAAAGAGTAACAAACCATGATAGATGGCAATGACTCAATTCTGCCCAGAGTGTCATCCAGTCACCCGAAGTATCCCGTAGTGAACATCCTCCAATTTAGTGTTTGCGACAAGACATCACCGACCCCAGAGTCAAAATCCTCTCTGGCCTGCATTCTTTGGCGGAGGGTCCCAATCTCCACCCCCCTACCTCGACCTCCCTTGACCCGAACGAATTTAGTTCGAAGTATCCCCTCATGCATTGGACAGCTGGCCGGCTAGTCGACTAGGGGCCGGGTGATATCACAAGCAACCGGACATATGTGTGTGTGTGTGTGTGTGTGCCATGCCACTCGCTCTTCCTATCAGGTCGACCAACCTCGGCGAAAACCGTATAGCCATGTCGAAATCAGCTAAACGGTCACCGCATGAGCCATCTTGGCGGCCGGACACTGAGGGTATGAGAGGGCGGCTATGCTGTCATGTCGCATCAATCACAGAACCCCTGGTTATCTTGATCGGGTCCGGGCGCTGTCATGGGTGATGATGTCGAATGAACCCGCATCTGCAGTTAATTTGATAATGCGATGATAACCGGGCTTCGCGGAGTTGGCTCAGGTCTACCCCCTCTTATTCCTACATCTTTGACTGGGGGGAGGGGCGGCGGTGTCAGAACTGAGTTTGTGGGCTGTGATGGATGTAAATGGAATGCGAGTGATTCGAATGAGCAGCAGAGGGGAAGTTTAGGAGGCTCTGTCAGCGCGGTGCAGGTCGCACAGAGTAGAACATGCGATGCTGTCATCAGCCTCGGATCCTGACACGAGGAGAGGAGGAGGTGGGAAGAAAGAAAGGAAGAAAGGAGGGGCTGCATGAATTCAGTGTGAGATGCAAATCCCACGCTAGATGCAGAGAGAAGTAAGGAGGCTCCTTACTATAATTATTTTCCTGGCCGCTGGCCTGAAATCAAGCTGAGTGGAGTTCTAGTCGCTTCCAATTCCACCGCCAGCCAGTCAGCCCTATTTGTTAAGGCTGCATATGCGCCATCCTACGTTCGCCGACTGCTGCCTACGCGCCCAGTTCTATGCATTCTACTCCAAGACAGGAATCACTGGCCAAGACGTTCACATCACTTGACCCGAAGCCAGTGCGCGCATTCCATACAAGCAGGTCTGGGCCAAGAATCATTTAAGGCAATTAATATTTTCACTTGCTGCAGTGGCGTCATTCATCAATGGTTATGTCTCGGTGCCCCATATCGTTGAGCCAGCCGTTGAAACTTGACTGCCTCGCGCAGAACCATCCCTTCGTTCAACTGCCCCGTTTCTTTACGGAATAACTCCTGCCATGGAGTCTGGCTTTCGGGCATTCCATATCCTCCTTTAGCCTCGAGCTCGTCCCGGCGTCTTCGCAGCTCCTCCGCAGAAAGCAAAATATCAACCCGACGTTTGTTGAGGTCAACACGCAGGCGATCGCCATCCTTCAGGATGGCCAGATTCCCCCCTGCAGCTGCCTCGGGGCTCGCGTTTAGAATCGACGGCGATCCGGAGGTACCCGATTGTCGGCCATCGCCAATGCAAGGGAGCGATTTGACTCCTTGTCGCAGGAGCTTCCCCGGAGGATGCATGTTGACCACTTCAGCTGCACCTGGGTAGCCGAGTGGTCCAGCCCCGCGCATCACTAGGATACTCTTGTCGGTGATCTGAGTTGTAGGATCCTCCAGTCGGTGGTGATAATCCTCAGGCCCGTCGAAGACCACCACGGCTCCCTCAAACGCATTGGGATCGCTGGGGTTCTCCAGAAAGCTCTTCCTGAACTGCTCGGATATCACGCAGGTCTTCATGATTGCAGAATCAAAGAGCGTACCCCGTAAGTGCAGAAAGCCGGCATCCTGAAGGATAGGTTCGTCATAAGCCCGGATCGTCCGACGGTCCCAGGTGTGTTTTCCCCGCACATTTTCTGCTACTGTGTGACCATTGCATGTGATGGCCTCCGCATTCAACTTGCCTGCGTCCAGAAGTTCTACCATGATTGCAGGAAGTCCGCCTGCGCGATAATATTCTTCGCCAAGCAGCTCCCCCGCAGGTTGCATATTCAGCAGAAGTGGAATGTGGAACCCCAGACGATCCCAATCGTCGAGGGAAAGGTCAACTCCTATGTGTTTGGCAATAGCGTTGATGTGAATCGGGGCATTAGTACTACCACCAATCGCTGTATTCGCCACTATCACATTTTCGAAAGCTTCGCGCGTCATGATATCACTGGGTTTGAGATCGGAATGAACCATTTCCACGATCCGGACACCCGTCTCATATGCGCATTGGCTTCGCTCGCGATATGGAGCAGGGATGGCAGCGGATCCAGGTAGCGCCATACCCAAGGCTTCGGCCAGCGCATTCATTGTCGACGCTGTGCCCATAGTGTTGCAGTGTCCTGCGGACGGGGTCCTATTGCTCGGAAGGTGAGAAAAGATCGAGTTCGGAATATTGGAGTATCACAACGTACCCTCGAGAGATATAGTCCACAAACTCTTCAGTGTTGATCTCACCGGCAGCATACTTTTCTCTGCCTTTCCAGACAACCATGCCCGACCCGGCCAACTCGTTCTTGACATAACCGTTGAGCATGGGGCCAACGTTCATACAGATGGCTGGGATATTCTTGAAAACATAAAGTCAGCATATTACCACCTCTCCCAGCAGACGTAGTCCACGAGATAACATACCACAGTGGCAGCCGCCATCAAGCAAGCCGGGGTCGTCTTATCACAACCTGTGAGCATCACGACTCCATCCAAAAAGTACCCATGCAGAACCTCCACCAGACTCAGATAAGACAAATTGCGATCAATGCACGCCGTGGGCCGCCGACTCGTCTCCTGAATGGGGTGAGTCGGAAATTCAAACGCAATACCGCCCGCAGATCTGATGCCCTCCCGAACCCGTTTCGCAAGCTCCAAATGATGCCGATTGCACGGAGCCAAGTCTGACCCCGTCTGCGCAATGCCGATGATGGGCTTGCCGGACATCAGCTCCTCTCGGGTCATCCCGTAGTTGAGATAGCGCTCGATGTACAACGCCATCATGCCCGGGTCCTCTTCGCACCGGAACCAGTCCGCCGAGCGTAGTCTCCGACCCCGCTTGGGGCCGGACGCACCACCGCCCTTGGTCATCGTCGCCAACGTCTTCTCCAGCTCCATGGTTCGCTTCCGGAGTGCCAGCAGCTCGGACTCGCAGTCCTCAATGTTGACGGGGGCGGGGGCGCCATTGTTGGTGCTGCAGGCACAGCCCTCGCAGGCCGCTTGGGACCCACACGGCATCTTTGTTGAAATGTGAAGAATACGTAGACTAGAGCCCTTCGATCAGCCAATCGATAAAACACAGACGCGGTATATAGGGGAAATTTGGTTCCAAGCAGAAAGACGCACCCGTGACTCAATCGGAGAGTCCCCGAATTACACTGCCGAGATTCCTCGGGCCAGAATCTCCGTCGGAGTCGTGACTCGTAGTAGTAGAGGCAGAAGTAGATAAGCCCGCGTGCGGGGTGAAAATCGGCTGATTTCCGCAGGGGAAGAGGAGAAAATGTTTTGCAATCGTGAGCGCGGAACCACGGGGAGAAGACCTTTTTAAATCAATTATTCATTGATCAATGAATAGCAAACGCTGGGGTCGGGAAAGGGACCCAGAGAGACGAGGAGTGGAATTGGGGAAGTTCCAAGCAAACGAACTGGAAACCCGATCGCGTGGCTCTCGGTTCGGGTTGGTTTGCATTCCTCCATCCATCATCCATCATCGATTGCTCTTTTTACCCCACGCTATCCCAGATTCTGGGCGGATCAGAGGGTGGGGGTTTCCTTTTGACCCTCTTCCCTCTTCCCTCTTTCCACCCTTTCGTTCCACTTATTCTTCGATGACTCTTTCGCAGCCCTCTCGGATTCTTGTTCTTCAGTGCCGGTGCCGTGGGGGAATTCACGTTCTAAAGCCAGGTCTCGGACGAGAAAGTGAGACAGGCGTTGACAAAGTTACTCTCCGCTTACTGACTAAGTCTGGCATCCCACGCTTTCCCCGCGGACGGGAGGTTGTTTGCCCACTATGACGCTACATCATCTTTGACTGACTTATCATAACACATTCGGTCTACCGAAATCATCAAGTGGTTCTTCTCATTCATTCGTCTTGGAAGTCAACCCTGAAACGCCCATGATGCCAGAGGTGTGCTGGTTCTAACTTAGCCAGCGAGTCTATCACCATGAGATTGGACCCAACAAATAGGTATCGAGGTCCAACAAAACGCGAAAAAAGAAAGAAAAAATAAATGGACAGAAAGAAAACACAAAGATTCGCTTCAGGTCGTCATGAAGAAAGACGTCTACTGGGTCGTGCATTGTGCAGTCTCTCCCTCCTCATCGTCGTCCTCCCAGGCAGATCCGCCCTCCGGGTCATGAGCCCCGAAGTCTTCGATGTTTCCCTTGGGATCGTATTGGACTTCATCCACCGTCTCGGCGGTAATAGGGGCGTCCGGCTTGGGCAGGACCTCCCTAAGCTGCTCCAGAACCGCCGGCGTGGGCTTCCACGTCTCATCGGGGAATTTGATGTTGACGATCAGGTACAGATCGCCACGAGCATCGCCGCGCTTGTTCGGCATTCCTTCACCAGGTACTTTCAAGACCTGGTTGGGGGAAAGCACTTGGCCAGGAACCTTGGGATGCTTGAGCTCAATTCCACGGCCATCAAGATGCTTGATCACAACTCGGGAGAAGCCGGTCAAGGCCTCGGCCAACGTGACATCGATCTCCGCTGTCAAGTCTGGGCCAGCTCTCTTGAAGACGGGGTGCTCCTCCTCTACCAGGTGGAAGATAATGTCTCCAGGTTCCTGACCCGGCGCCTCGTCAGCCTCGCCCTCCAAGATGATCTTGTCTCCTTCCCTGGGCGTAATATTAGCCATCATCCTGCGGTATTTCCGACATCGGCTCTTACCTCGCCCCGCGAGGGATGTAGATCTCCAACAGCTTCTTCGCTTCAGTCGTCTTCTGACCCTTGCACTTCTTGCATTTGTCCTTGTCGCTGAAGAACTCGCCCTGCCCCTTACACGTGCTGCAAGTAACCATAGTGGGCGAAAGGAACTGGCCCATGGGTCTTAGAATCTGCTTGACACCTACAGCCCGTGAACATTAGCTCAAATACCATCGCACGAGCCAAAAAGAATTGCGTACCATGTCCATCACAAGTAGCACATTTCTTCGCCGTAGCCCTCTCCTTGCCGCCCTTGCCCCGACACAGAGAACAGATGACGTTCTTGGTGCTCGAGAACTTGACCGTCTTGCCCTTATAGAGATCCTCCAAGCTAACTTCATACTTCTGCTCCTCGTTCGGACTTCTGCGGGGCTTGCGCGCCTGAGGTCCGCCAGGCATGCCACCCATGCCGCCCATACCGCCGAACATCTGCGCGAGGATATCATCGAGGTCCGGACCTGCCCCCATGCCCGGCTCACCGGACCCGTTGAACGCACTCATGCCGTGGGTATCGTAGAGGTGGCGCTTCTCTTCATCGTAGAGGATATCGTAGGCTTCCTGGACAGCCTTGAAACGGACCTCTGCGGCTTCTCGCTCGGCTTCAGGGACCTTGTCGGGGTGATTGGCGAGCGCGGCCTATCCACGGGAATGTATTGTTAAACAATCTTTCGAGCACAGTGGGCGTTGAAATAACCCTCTTACCTTGCGATAAGCCTTGCGGATCTCATCTTTGCTTGCGGTGCTGGAAATTTCGAGGACCTCTACAAAATCACGTCAGAATCAGTCGCTCATCGACCACTTCCCGCCGCAGCGCAATACGGCATCCAAAACATACCATAGAGATCGATCTCGAGCTTAGTAGACACTGCATCACATCAGCATAGCGTTCTTCCGAGGCCGGTGAAATTTTCCTGGGCAACATACTGGCAGGCGGTAACGGGTAAGAATCCCGACTCTCGAACAACTCAGAAAAGCGAAATCTTGGGTATCAGTTCTGAATAAAGAGAAAGAAGACAAGCAAACAGAAGTATATTTATGCACAGCACGGAGCAAGAAAAGAGAACCCGGTTGGAAGGGAGCGACTTCGGAGAGGATGCTGTCAAGTGAGGAAAAACAACGCAAAAGAAAGCTTGTGATAATAATTTATTGCCGTCGAATGAAGCCAATCAAATGTCCGGTATTTCCGCGTCCGCCTTTTTTTGCTGCGGATTTAATTTCACCTCCGCCCGGAGGTTTTGCTGCGTCTTCGCATCTCCCCACATCTGTTTTCTTATACTAAGTAGCTCCCCGGATTGACGGGGAAATAAGCAGCAGCTTCTCTCCATGATGATGAGACGATCGGTTGCCAGCCTCCGGGCCCGACGAACGTGGATCTGCACGCAATGTCGAGCTGGTTATGCCTCCGTCGCAACTAACGCCATACCACGCAATGCCGACAACAAGAAGACCAATCTCCCCGACGGCCCTGCTAGAACGCGCTTTGCGCCGTCGCCCACTGGTTATCTCCATCTGGGATCGCTGCGAACCGCACTGTTCAATTATCTGCTAGCCAAGCGCACTGGTGGCCAGTTCTTGCTGCGCATCGAGGATACCGACCAGGTTCGAAGCTCAACCAAGCCGCCGATAAATGACGCTGTGCGCTGAATGACGGATACAACAGAAACGAACAATCCCGGGAGCCGAGCAGAGGCTTTACGATGATCTCCGATGGGCTGGATTACATTGGGACGAAGGTCAGCGCTTGTGTATTGTATGTCTCGCTGCCGTGCGATTCGTACTGATAGCAGATGGGTTGCGATAGGTCCGATCGTGGGGGGTCCGTATGGCCCGTATAGACAGGTGAGTCCGCAAGATCCATTGTCACTTGACTTGGTAATTGACGACTGGGGTGCATTGCAGTCCGAACGAACCGAAATCTACCGCAAGCACGTCGACGAATTGATCGATAACGGCCACGCGTATCGCTGCTTTTGCTCCGCCGAACGACTGGACGCGCACGCGAGACATCGTAGCGAAGCTGGATTGGCGCCGGGATATGACAGGAAATGCGCCGGACTCTCTGCCGAGGAATCCGCCGAAAGAGCATCCAGGGGCCAAGAGCATGTTGTTCGACTCAAGGTGAAGGTAGAAGGATATCCCATGTACCACGATTTCGTCTACGGCAAGACAGGACGGAAATGGACGCCGAATAAGCTTGACCTGATTGACCGGATATATGCCGATCCTATCCTGCTCAAGTCGGACGGGTACCCAACATACCACCTGGCCAACGTGGTGGATGATCATCTCATGAAGATCACGCATGTCATCCGTGGCACGGTAAGCTACGCCGCTCGCACAAGATCGGGATCGTATTTTAACGAAACGGCCAGGAATGGATGCCCTCGACCCCGTTGCACGTTGCTCTCTACGACGCCTTCAAGTGGACTCCCCCTCAATTCGGGCATGTTCCCCTGCTTGTCGAACCATCCGGCCAAAAGCTCAGCAAGCGCAATGCAGATATCGACCTTGCCTTCTTCAAGGACAGGCAGGGTGTCTTCCCCTCGACACTTTTGAACTTCGCCGCGCTTCTTGGCTGGTCCCACCTTCAGAAGTCCGACATCTTCAACTTAGAAGAACTGGAACAAGTCGTATGTTCACGGGCCATCCACCCAACTCTATCTCGATTCCTCATGTGCTAATCCTTCTTCAACTCACCAGTTCAACCTCAAAATCACACGCGGTAACACCATTGTCGCCTTTGAAAAGCTCTGGTTCCTCCAAAAAGCGCACGCGCAGCGCTTCGCCTCTACCCCAGAGAGCCCCGAATTCCAAGAAATGGTACAGAAAGTTACCACGGCGGCCGAAGCCATCTACCCTGCCGACCAACTGTATGTCTTCTGTCTTCCACTTCTATTTCAAATGTCATGTCCATTGACCAATAAACCCCCCTATCCAGCTCCTCAATCCTCAATGGCCGCCCCCTAGCCTCCTACATAACCGCTCTCCTCCAGTCCGACGCCAAATCCTATACCACAGCCGAACACTTCATCGCCCGCAACCAAACCTTCTTCCACTCCACGAAAAACATGAACCGTCCCATGTATACGCCAGCTTCCTCCCCATCCTCCACCTACCCCCCAACCTCAACCGCCATCCCCATCTCCACGCTCCACACCGCCGCCACAGCCTTCTCTCTGGTCCCGTCCGCGCACTGGACCGTGGAGACCCATCGCGCCAACATCGCCGCCTACGACGGCTCCGCCGCCATCCTCTCCGACAACACTGACCATTTCGAGAACGAAGAGTCCCGCAAGTCAGCGGACAAGTTTTTCAAGAAGGAACTGTACCATTACCTGCGCTGGGCGCTGTCAGCGGGGGCCCCGGGCCCCGGAATCCCGGAGACGATGGCGATCCTCGGGCGAGACGAGACGGTGCGCCGGTTGCAGCACGCCAAGACGTTGACGTTGAAGTTGGCACCGAATGGCGGGGTGAAGCGGTACAAGGGGCCACAGGAGTCGTCTGCTACTGCTGCTGCCGCCGCCGGACCGAAGGATAGTTCGTGGATGGGGTCACTTGCGCCGAAGAGTTCTTGAAGTATGGAGCGCTCCTGGGATCGTGAGAGAAGATGAAAAGGGTGGAGTGTATGGTTGGACGGAAGAAGAGCAGTGCGCCTGAGGTATATGCTGTTTGACCGGTTCGAGACGATCTGTGACTGTACATTATGTGTATGATAGATACGTGTATCAATATTTTCCCACAGGAGACACCACTCAAGAGCGCCATACTACTGAGTGACTGGATTATTGGATACATAGAGAGTGTGTTTATATGAGGACATCCTGGCGGTGAAACCCGCCAGCCGTTCCTAAGAAGGAATTACCCCTGCCCTCAGCTTTTGCCGCTGGGCAGTAGGTAGATCCATGACAACTTACGTCTCCTTTGACGCGGACTGACCCAGTTAAGCAGACATACGAGCAGAGTACTGATCTATTCTCAAAGAAAGCAAGGCCTCGAACCACTAAGTCAGAATAGCCCTTCGATGTCGACCCAGCATGCAGTCCGGGCGCTCCACGCCAACAGGGGGTATCGCAGCCTCACCACTCCACCTCTCAACTCGAACCCGCGATTGAAGCTCACATATCCACGACCCTCAGTGCATTCACAGCTACACCCACCTACTACATCCTTATCATTCCCCCGACAGTTGAGCAATATGGGTAACGGCTCACTGATCGAAGAGCAAACATTGCCGTTCTACCACCAGCAACGGTATTATCCGGTCCGTATTGGTGACACTCTCAAGGATCGGTATAGCATTATTGCCAAGCTTGGTTACGGCGGTTATTCCACTGCGTGGCTTGCCCGGGACGAGAGGTTTTGGGTGTGGACTTACGCATGACGTCCATCGACTGATCTAACTATCTAGAACCAAGCAGTATGCTTCACTTGAGGTGTGCATCGAGCAGGATAATGACCAGCCATCGCCTGTGTTGAACGAAATCAACATGCTCCGACGAATGGAGAAACGCGCTGAAGCTGGTAGCCATCCCTGGCCTATTTTTTACCCGACATGCTACCGACATCTTTGAGCTTCACAACTCTCCTGGACGGGCATTATTGCATCGCGGCCAAGCCCCAGGGCTACAGCCTGCGCACGCTACAGACATCGTTTCCGAATGCAAGGGTGCCGAAAATCTTAGTGAGGTCTTTGAATGTACCCGGCTGTTCTTCGCTATCAATTGGCTACAGGCCGTCTGCCATCTTATCCACACCGGTCAGATCAAATTCCAGGCAGGGATATTGTGCGCGCGTGCTCATAGATCCATAGATATTTCAACACCTCAAAATGTTTTGAACTGAGATTGAGGATGATAGTAGTCTGAAGGACAATGAGGACCAAGAAGCGCAAGATCCCACCCAGCATTCCTATTATCAGTGACACCGGTGTCACTGTTTATCCGTCTCGAACACCATTTCTAGAACTCGGCGGCATTCCGATGTTGACTGATTTCGGTGAGATGCGAGAGGGTGATAGTGACGGGCGGGTCAACGACGAATGGATCATGCCCGATCTCTATCGAGCGCCCGAGGTGCTTCTGCAGATTCCCTGGACTTTTCAGGTTGAGATGTGGTCTGTGGGTGGGATGGTAAGTGATTAGTGCGTCAAAGGTTCCAGGTACTGTTTCCTGACGACCTCATCTGCTAGACACTCGAACTTCTAGAAGGCAGAAACCTGTTTGATCCGATGGATCATGTCAATGAGCAATATGCCTCGGACGGCCGCCGCTGCACATGCTCGAAAAGAGCCCTCTCTTTCGAGACCTATTTTGACAAGAATGGTTGGTGGTGTACTCATCTTCCCCCCAATTGCCCTCCCGATAGCGGGGGAAGGGGAGGTGGTCAGGGATCAGATGCATCTAATATCGTACTAGGGCAACTGGAAACTATCCGAGGCCCCAGTCCCCCAAACGTCCTTGGAGGACTTTGTCAGAACGATTCCCCCGGGCGAAGAGAAGGACCTGTTTCACAGGTTTATACGAAAGATGCTAGCCTGGAATCCAGAAGCAAGGGCGACAGCCAACGAGATCATCAACGCCGGAATGGCTTCTCAGGCCGTTTGATTTGGTGATGTAGTGCGTTTGAGGGGCATCATATCAAGCTCTTATCATGAGATGAGTTGAAGTCAGCAGTGCTCCTTCCATTATGTGGTGTCATAGATCTCGGATCTTAGGGAAGTCTAGTCTCACGTCTTACACTAGAGATACCTACGCATCCCCCTCCCCTCTCTACTATGAAAAGAATAACCCCTAACTTCAGAATAACAATTTATAAAGATACTCAAGCAGACAAGAGGAGCGAACAGAATAATGAATTAATTGAACCAGTAACGCGATGCTGATATCACGGACAAATCAGAACAAGCACAAAGTAAAAGGAGGCTGCCTGGCAGGCGACGTATACACGATATCACAGAAAGCTAATCAGCCACACCAGGGAGAATTAAGAAAAGACAAAAGGAAGAAAAGGAGAGTCCGAGTTACTAACTAACACGACTAACTAACTCGTATAAAAGGAACAAAGTCCCCTAAATTAGTTCTTGCGGAATCAGTCAATCAAAGACAGACAGGCGATAAAGCCCGCTGGGCGGTCGTGTAATCTCCAAGCCCACTTGATCCTGGAGGGAAACTCCAGGGAAGGGCTGCTGCATTAATCAAATGGAAGAAGGGCAAAACAATAGTACAAGAAGTTCGAGGGGTCTTTCCATCCAATTGATAGAAAGCTTTTTTTGAGAATCGGGTGCAAGCAACATGTCACGGCATCCAAGTCATGTCGTTCGTTGTTTAGAGATTGCATTGAAATGTGGGACCTCGATCACGCGGTGAAGGAGGTCCGGTCAGTGGCCAGGCATCGCAGATGATCTGGATACCACCAATAGTGAATTCAGAGGCTGAAGCAAAACAAAAAACAACAATAGCATAACAGCGTTGGTATAATCTCGAGAATTTCAACAAAGAAGATTAGGGGGTGCGTTGAGCAGCACTTTGTATTAGGTTTGCCTCAGAACGGGCATGGAAGCTCAAGCAGGAGAACTGCCGGCATGGCACGGCAGGAACAGGCGGATCTCAGCCAGACAAGTCGACTGGTCTCCGTTGTTCTAGGCCCAGAAAGCTGGGTGTGGGGTGTTAGTATATGGAGCAGCGAAAAATGTCCCAAGCTCTTTAGTAAGGCTCCAGATCATCCGTCCATTCATCATCACCTCCACCTGCATGCATCATCTGTCCGTGCTGAATGTCCGCCGGCTCATCGGGGCTCACACTCCGAATGCCTTTGGCTTTCTTCCCTCCGAGCGAAAGGACAGGGGTCTCCTCGGGGGCCAACAGGCGTTTCCCGTGAGCCGCACGGAGTTTGGCGTAATAGACGTCGCTAGCATCGGCTTCCGACTCAGTGCCTGAGTCGAACGTTTCCCAGTTCTCGGATCCGGTATTCGCTGAGATGACGGTCGAGGAGCTGGACACTTGTCTGGGTGCAGGAGCTGGGGGTGGGGCAGCACGCTGCAGATAAGGATTAGGTTTAGGGAACCCTTGCATGGAGGAGGATAACGACGAGGCCGACGAATGCGAGGACTGGGAAAACCCAGTGGATCGTTGAGAAAATGCTGACGAGCTAATGAAGGACCGCTGGTTGCGATCATCGTACACGTCTTCGGGGCTGACTGGTCGGACGAATGAATTGGACAAGGCGCTGGCACTCCGTGGAGGGTCGAAGAGGTAGGACATTCGCTCCTCCCGCGATTCACCACCAGTCAATGCCCGCATTCTAGGTGGAGGCGGGCGAGGTGCCGGGATTTTGCCATTGATCGTGCTCGAGGAATAAGCCCCAGGAACTGCCCGGCGTTGGGGGAAATTGTTCCCATGGGGCATGTTTCCGAGAGGAATCCGGGCTGGTATCTTCGAAGGAGACTTGGTACCCGCTCTGGAGGGCGCTCTCGAAGGTCCAATGGTGTTGTATTTGGTCGGAGGATGATGAGGATGATGGCCAGTGGGCGTCTTGCTTGCGGAGCGAGGTGGTGGGGCCCCTCGCATCACGCTCGCAGGGCGCGACGGGGGCTGCATCTGGCCGGTGCTCCGCTTGGTGGCACTGGCCGGGACAGCGGAGGGCGTCTTGGATCGCGGAGGAGGTTTAGCAGCGACTGGGGTGAGCTCGTCCAGGTATCGTTCTCCGTGGATGAGGAATGGCCGGCCGTAATCTTCTTCCCACCTCTCCAGCTCCTTCCTCAGATCGGCCTCAACCTTAGGCAATTCCTTGGCGATTCGCTTCCTCATCTTCTCCTCCCTCAACAGCTTTCCTGGATCGCGCCTCTCTCCCTTCGCGCCACGCGCCATGAGGCGGGAGGCGTCTTGACTGGAGATGGCTAGAGCCTCTCGTTCCGCCAAGAGACTGCGGTGCTTGTTTATGAGTTGCAAAGCTGGCGCCCGCTGTGCCTTGAGAGTCTCCAAACGCGCAATTTCGCCTTCATGCGCTTCGAGAAGCGCATCACTGAAGACATCTGAGAAAGCAGGAGTGAAATCAATCATCTCCTCTTCCGAGAAGTAAAGAGCATCCCATAGTTCCTGCAACCGAACCCGGGCATCTTCAACAAAGAGATGCAGATTCTGGCTCTTGAGCTCGTTGAGCCGGCCTAGTTCTTCCTCGAACTCGTTAATGGTCCGGAGGCCGCAGCCACGGTTTGCAGCGAGGAATTCCTTCCGGTCGGTCTCGTCAATATTGAATCGTTCCCAAAGTGCTTCCACCGCAGTCCTCAAGTCCTTCAGCTTGCGCTCCCGGCTTCTCTTTTCCTCCAACAGCTTCTCGCGTCTCGCCTTCAGGTTGTTCAGATCGGATTCGTGGAGACCTAGTTGCTCGGGTGCCTCCCGGTAGTACTTGACGATGTTCGTGTCCGTCTGCACCTGGGGAGTGCCAAGCTCGGCCCACAGCTTGATGATCTCCTCGCAGGTGGTTTTAACAAACTCCAGCCGCCGGTGGTATTCTTCGTAGACTCTCGTGAATTCGTCGTCCAGGGCGGTAACGTAGGATGGGGAAAGATCAAAGCTCGGCGAAATCGTAGAACCAGGTGCTGTCGGCGGCAGATCGATATTGACGAAGGTTGCTTCGAGATGCGACGAATAGGATTCGAGAGCCTCAACCAGTTCTGTCCAGTCATTAGATTAGTCCACTAAACGGCCCTCCCTTGCGCCGAAGAAGAAACAAGAAAAGCGACAACTCACTCCTCACTTGCTCGAAGCGCTCCTTATGCAGTTTGCTCAATGCGCCATGCTCCTCGCGCAGGAAAGCCAGACAACGGTTGAGCGGGTAGCTGATCCGCAAGGCGTTGTGGTCGAGCTGATACTGTCCATTGGCCTTCTCATCCACCAGCGAGTGTTCCATATGTTGGATAGCAGTGATCAATCGCTGCGCCTCTTCTTCCATGTCCTTCTTCTCACTGAATATGTAGTCGAGGATTTAGCCGCCCGTTCTTGGCAAAAGATTGAAACCGGGGACATTTCTTCCATCGCGCAGTGTGGTGTGTGTGTGTGTGTGTGTGTTAACTTACGTGTCCACGAGTTTGAGGTGGTTGTTCAGCGTTTCTGACAAAGCATTGAAGAGCTATTGCAGTAGATTCCCATCTCAGTCAGTTCGCGCAAAGTCACTTGCAGAAGAAGAAAGAGGAGGAGCGCAAAGTCGAGGGGCAAACAAACCTCTGCCTCGCGCGCGTCGCGCTCATGGCTCGGAACCCCAATGTCATCAAAGATCCCATGCAGTTCGGAGACGATAGTGTTGACCTGAGTGGTCAAGTAGCTTGTATCGACCGCCATCGCGAATCAGAGGCGTCCCTCTCAAGGCGAGGTGGATCACACGGAGAAAACGGATGTGCAAGGACCGGTCGGGTCTGAAGTTTGCTTGCTTGGAGAGAGTGTGTGATGCGATTTTACGCGCAACCCACCGACGAGCCGATCGCCTTGGAGCGAACGCGATCCACCGTCATATAAGATCAGCGGCGACAATGCGCCTTCACCTGTCAAAGTAGTGTCGCGGTAGACCACAACAGAGTCTGCAAGGCGGACAGCACAAGGGAAAGAAAAAAAGGATCACAAAAAGTCGAATGGCATCTGCGAGAACCGGGCACACAAAGCTGTGTAATTTATTTACACGTCCACAGCTGCAAGCAGATGCAAGGGTGACTGGGGTGGGTTAGTGGAGAGAGAGAGAGAGAGAGAGCGAGTGTGTGTGGATGGAGAAGGAGAGATAGATCAAGAGAAGGGGGGGCGTGTCAACACTCGAACACTACACTTTACAATCGAGCACAGCCGGGGAATTCCAGCCGCTTTCATCTCGATTGCCAGTCGCTTTCCCGCCCGGCCTTGTTTGAGCTTCCCGCGGCGTTTCTGCAGCAACCGCTGAGTCAGAGGCTGACCGCCTAGATCTGCCGGATGATCTGCTGGGGTCTCGTCACCGCCCTTTTGGCCGCCTTGTCGCCGCTTGTGCCTCCGCAATGCTGTCAACCGTAGATAACCGCAATCAGTGAACTTACTTACAACCTCATTTCCGTCGATAACACCACCCACGCCGCCATTATCTTCATGTCCTTACCATCACCGATCTAGAATTAATCCTCACATTACTCCATCCTCCAATACCTAACCAAGCTTCTCCACCCAACTTCACACCTCATAAAACCAATCCACAGCCACCATGCAACAAGCAGCCCAGCAATCATGGGGTGAGTGCCGACCTCCTTTCCCTCCTTTCCCCCCACCCAAAACCAAACAAAAACTAACCCGAAACAGAGCTCGAAAACGCAATAAGCCTCTACGATCCGCAGCGCGACACACTATACGCCTACGACGAGGCAACGCACAAGTCGCTCTCCGCGCAACGACCGTGGGCCAAAGACCCACAATACTTCAAACACGTGCGGATCTCAGCACTCGCACTACTCAAGATGGTAATGCACGCGCGGTCGGGCGGGAACCTCGAAGTGATGGGTCTGATGCAGGGGTACATCGTCTCGGAAACCTTCGTAGTGACGGACGCGTACCGGCTGCCGGTGGAAGGGACGGAGACGCGGGTGAACGCGCAAGAGGAAGCCAACGAGTACATGGTGTCGTACCTGCAGTCGTGCCGGGATGCGGGGCGGATGGAGAACGCCGTGGGCTGGTACCACAGCCACCCGGGGTATGGGTGCTGGCTATCGGGGATCGATGTCACGACGCAGGATATGCAGCAGCTCGGCGGGCCGTTTGTTGCGGTGGTGATTGATCCCGAGAGGACGATTTCGGCGGGGAAGGTTGATATTGGGGCTTTCCGGACATATCCTAAGGGGTATTCGCCGCCGAAGGAGGAAGGGGGGCCTGAGGATGGAGCGGCGGGGGCTGGTGCTGCTGGTGGTGCTGGGGATTATCAGACGGTGCCGTTGAGTAAGGCTGAGGATTTTGGCGCTCACGCCGCGCATTACTATTCGCTGGAGGTTTCCATTTTCAAAAGTGTGCTGGACACTGAGATCCTCGCCCTCCTCTGGAATAAGTACTGGGTTGCCACCCTCAGTCAGAGCCCGCTCTTCGCTACCCGCGACTACGGCAGCAAGCAGATGATGGATCTCAGCCAGAAGGTCCGGCGCGCCATCCGCGGTGTCGACGGCGGCACTATCTCTAGGGCCAACATGGCTCAGACCCGCGATCAACAGCTGGATCGCGTCGCGCGGGATGGGCAGCGGATCGTGTCGGAGGAGGTCAAGGGCCTTCTCGCGGCCGAGGTGAAAATGAAATTGTTTCAGGGCATTGGACAGGCAACCGATACAAGCTCCCAGCCTAAATAAGCTAGACAGGCTTCAGGTCCATATTATGAGGTGAAATGACTTTATGCATGCTTGTCTTCGATGTCTGAAACCATCGCGGTCGGTGCATCGACGGGGGCCGGCATTGTGTCCCACCGTGGTTCTCTCCGTTCGCTACATAACCGTTACTACCAACCAGTATCTTGTAGGGCTATCAAGGCGGGATCTGCTCTGCACTTCATATTTACATGTCTATGTTACAAGGGAGTTTGTTCCTGGGCCCCGACCGGGGAGCGCCATTGATATGGTCTATACACTAAACAGGAGGTATATCCTCGGTAATAGAACAGGTAGGTACAAGTATGGAAAGAAAGATAGAAGCACGGTTAGAACCACGTTCCAACACAAATAGCACATGCCTGCGTAACATGTGTTGTGACAAATTTCATTATCCGAACAATGAACAAGGCCTTATGTTCACTCCATCAACTCCAGGTGAGATCACGGGATCATCAGAATCGCGTACAAGAAACGAAGGGCGCTAGGTCACTGTACATAGCAAGATATGTGGTAGTAAGATATGATCAATATTTGAGACAAATATTCATTCAAAGAAAAGAAGAAGCAGAGGCGACTGCTGAACCGTCGAGGTGAGAGAAGGAAACAAAGGAAATTGCAAGGTCATGTTGCGTTGAAGTTGGTCGCAAAAAAGAACGAAACTCTCAGTCAGGCGTAAGCGAAACGACGGGGACTGAGATCGGTAGAAAGAATTGTTCTAGGTCGTAATCGAGAGTCGTCAGCGCCTTTCATGACGACGCTCGTTGAATAATACAGGTGTCCAGGCGGAGGACTTCGCCTCATCGTTCCAGTCGTATTTGTGTTTTTGTGAAATTTTCTCTTCTTGTCGATGATAGGCAACAACGCGATGCGAAGATCCTGGACTAGATCTTCTCATGCATGGTTCTTCAAAGCTAGATAATACCAAGGTGAACATCCAGTTTCCGCGCTGCAACTAGCCGCAAGCACGTAAAGACGGCAGGATTGAGGTCCACTATCCCACTTGAGAAGCAGCATGTAAAATCAAAGACATGTCGATTTCTCCGAAACCAATTGAGGTGTCGCTCCACAGAAGCAAGTGGACACCGGGGTATTCGCGATATGCTTTAGTGTCAAACACAGAGTGCAGGGGGAAATTCGCCACTTTGTTTGTGGTAAGTGGTGGTGGACGGAAAACACCTTGATAGGCTCGGCTGATTGAGATAAGGTTGTGCGGCGCAGTTGGGATGAGTGGATGTGTATGCAGCTCCCACCCTTGCTTATCACGCAACCAGGGGGTCGGCTGGGCGCATCTGATAGGCTCGTTGTGGGCGGCAGTTCGATTCAAAGTTTGACTGGTGAAAGGAGCGGTCACGTCCAAGCGCAGGTAATGAATGTGACGCCGACAGGGAATGGCCTTGCACCATACCTGGCCCGAAAGGAAGCACCGACGGAGAAGTGGTGAAGCGGCGGTTTACAGGAAGCCCGATTCGGACAGGAGTCTACGTGTCAGAAACCAAAATCGTTAGTCTTCGATCATTCACTCAGAAAATTTCAAATGACCAACGGGCCCTCAGCGTATACGATACCGCCTAGGTGAGTCGTCATGGCCCCACAGGTAGCGGAACGAGTGCTGGGATAAGGGAGGGAAACCAGAACACAAGTTGACATTATCGTGTTGACGCGACCATGCTCGCAAAGGTCAAGGTACGCATGCTAGGAGTCATGGCTGTGTTCTTGCCATTCCCTTTGGTAGGACTGGCGGTTGCAGTGTTGGGAGCAATAGGAGTATTGCTAGCAGCATACCTTGCGATTTTCTCGTCCTCCCTCTCCCTCGGCTCCACCTCCAGACTGCGGTCGTACATGTTATGCACGTCGCCTGCCGCTTGTAGATTACTAAGGATGTAATCCTGCAGCTCGGGGACTGGCTGCAGAAGATACGGGACGTTCTGGTACTGCTGAATGTCACGGATCACTTCCGCCGTTTTCGCGCGCTTGTTGAAATTGATCAATTCGGATGGTGTCAAAGATGGAATACCATCCTCAATGAACGTCAAATCGGTCAGATAGACACCTGGTGAGATATCAGCCACTGAAAACTCAAGGCCAGGGGAAGCGCGCTAGTAGGATGTATACAAGTCTCCTTACCAAAGAATGGAATGCAAGGTGGATTGGCCAGATGCAGTGTCTCGCGGTATTCACCAAAATTCTTCGTGCTCGCCATAAGGCGGCGCATCTGCTCTAGCACAGCAGACGTGCGTCCACTGACTTGAGACCATGTGCGTCCCAAACGGTGGATGGGTGCTGTTCCCAGAGCAGAAATGATGGATGTTAGAGTGGAGTAATTGTTCAGCGCGCGACATTTCTGGAGATGGTTAGTGTCGGACGAATTAGGGCTAAGGAGGTTTGCATACATCTGCGATGTTGACAAAGTGTTTAATGACCACCACACGCTTCTTGACATCATTGTGAGTGAGAATCATCTCCGCAACCCAATTTGTCAATTGGTTGGAATGAAGAATGAGAGCCTTTACGTTGGCAGCAGGTTCAGACTCTTCGGGGCCAACCTTCTTTTGCCATGTCTTGTTCAGACACTCCGTAGGCCGGATCTTAGAGTAAAGACGGGATTCAATAATCGTAAGCTGTCGAGCAAACTCCGTCGGATCGATGTCCAAGAATTTCATCTTCTTCATATTCTTCGGAATTATCGGCGTCGGAGCTGCGGTTGATTGAGTGGGAACCAAGCGCTTGACAGTGGTATCCTGGCCCTTAAGTCGCTGTTCAATTACTGCCAGTAGCTGTGGTGAGCCCGGGGTCTTGGTGGTTGCGATGGAATCTTTGGTAAACGAGTGAACATGTTCAAGCAATGCCATGTGTGCCGCGTCATTGGGCTCCATCCAAAAGTTTTCAAACCAACTCTTCAGTATGTTGACAACACGGAACCGAATGGGCTTCTGTTTCCTGTCGACCCACATCTGCATCTCGTCCGGGTTGAGGCCGAATGGAGGCTGGATGTTGAATCGCTGGGTGATCAGCTCGAAAAGCTCCTTGGCAGTCGTGAACGAGCGATAGGTGAGAAGGAAAGTATTGTTGAAGGAAGCATCGAGCTTGTCATGGCGTGTCAATTGCTCCACCAAACCGGCTAGGGTGCCGCACTTGAGGGTGGGATTGTCATTCTTCGTATCGAAGAACACCTCGCCTTCGTGATCCATCTTTAAGAACCAGGGGGTCTCTTCCGGCTCGCGAACCGGCTCTCGCACAGATTCCCGCGGGATCGCAGCTGGTGGTGCTTGCCCAAAGAATCTTTGCGCCTTATCCATATTGCGTCGGACTTTCTCAGTAGAGTTCTCGATCGAGTACGAAGATGGAATCCCAATCGATTCCGTTGCGATTCTCGATTGAGACTCTGCGCGGCTATGAATGCCTTTGGGCTTCTCGCTGTCTCCACCCAGACGACTCTCAGCGCGGGAGGCTGATGCGGGCTCAGGAACCTGTTCAAGAAGGAGTGATAGCGAGAATCCAATCTGGGAAACGAAGTTCTCCAGTTGTCTCGCGACGCTGCGAACCGCGTTCAAACGATCCTCAAGAGAATCACCGCGCAATTCAGCCCATTCGTCTCCTAGAGGAGCCGTAACTGCTTGGCAGCTCACAACAAAGTCGGCAATTGCATCGTACACCCGTTGTTTCTGCAAACTGAAATCGACGAGTTGGGGATTCTGAAAACCGGTTCCAAGGGGCGCCAGATTGATAGATTCGACAGCTGAGATCCACGGGCGGTATTGGTCGACAACCTTGATGGCAGCGGCCGACACTGAGTTACCGATGTTCTCGTGTTCCACGATGGTGACAATTTTCTTCTGATTGAGCGTAAGACGTTCCTCCAGACGACGAATGCTGCCAACGAAGTTCCTCCTGAGAATGTCAATCTTGTCTAGCAAGGCTGCGTCAAGGGGCACAGACGGCTCCGCTCGCATATCCGTCCCATCGTGGTCCAGAAAACAAGTCGGACCAGGTTCATTGAGAAGAACGCCGTTGTTCTGCCAGTAGCCGCCCGAATGACTACCACCAACGAAGCCTGGGACGATACGATTGATGGAATCGCCGCGCTGCTGCCTGGCCACTTCGGCAAATCCATAGACACCCTGCAACACGCCATCCGCCTCCTGCAGGCACTTGTTGACGGAATCTGGGCCTGGCCAATCAGCTGCAGCAATATGCGATGAGAGCACCAACTTGGAGAATTTGGACATCATATCCCTGAAATTGGGATAGAGCGCTTTGTTGGTGGAAATGATCGACGGATTGCCCGAATGGTTGTCCGTTGTGTCCGAGCCAGCCGCCAGCAACATGCGTAGATGATCGGAAATGTCCTCTGCCTTCCGCACATACTCCGACCGGTCGCCGTTCAACAGCGTCTGTCGGTAGACTTCGACAGCCTGTCGCATGTTCTCAACAAGCAAAGGCCAAGTCAGAACGGCCGAAGCACCATCGTCAACAAAATGCGAGGGGACTTCCGAAGAGATAGAAGGGCGATGGATGTTATCGGAGATGGAATTGTTACTACTTGGCGGAGCGCCTCCAAAGAAGTTTTGCGCGCACCGCATCGCTTGATATGACAGCTTATCGTCACTGATAGATTTCGTCGCCGACGGTGGGTGTAACGAGTCCATCGATGTGGCGGGTGACACCCCATCGAGGTATGACTGACGCCTCCGAGACATCGAGTCGCGGGAGGTCAACATCAGAGACTCGCCCTCCGCTTCGGATGCCGAACCATCGTAGTCGTCCTCGTCACGTTCGAACCCACGGGCCATTAGTTCTGGGGGTGGTCGAGTCTGGTCAGGCACGATCACCGTGTTCCGGTCATACGGGCCGGTCTCATTGGCCGTCGGGTTTTCGAAGGGCAACTCCATAGTGCTGTAGCCGGTGAGCGTGTTGAAGTAGAACAAGCGGCCGTCGGGTGTAGCCTGCGGGATCCAGAAAGCAGCCTCCTCCTGGTCCTTGGGCGCTGTTGCGCCCTCGATTGGTAGGATCGGCTGCGAATCGCGCGAGTTCCCTGCTGAGTCAACTTCGTCGGCCTCTTGTTCCTCCTCGTAATCCTCTCCGGCGCCGGAGTCCACGATAGCATCCTCCTCCTCGCGACCATGCGAAAGCTGCTCCTCTTCGATTTCGCTGAGATCGGTGATCACGGTACAATAGTTGCTGGGAAACCAGCCCCTCACACTGTTATTGATGACTCCGTCCCACCAACCGGTTTCTAATTGATTCAACACTTGGATAACGTCGCCTCGGCGGAAGCTGAGACTGGTGTGATCGTCTGCGTCATAATCGTACATGGCCCGCACGAACAGCGCCGGCGGCGGTTCGGGGCTCGGGGTGTAGCGGCCTTCAGTCGTCATTTTCATCGGAGATACTTGTCCCCTGGTTGGCTGATCGGCGGTGAGATCTCGGGTTGGGAACGAAAGACTATTGCCACGGCTCCGCTGGCCTGTTGTGGGAGTGGTCACTTGCTCTTCGGGGTATTCGATAGTGGTTGTAAAAGTGTTGATCTTGGTCGGCAGTGAAGAAGATCGGGTGTCAACAGCCAATGGCTCGGCGAGGCGGGATTCGAACATCGGGTATCGCAGCAATTGACGCTCGGACGACGGAGCAGGAAGGAGAACGAAAGTTGGCTCGTAAAGAGCCGCCGCAAATTAAGGCTGGACGCACTTTTAACGAAAGGTGTTGCTCATGACTGGCTGAGGTAGGTGTTTTGGAGTGTAAAAGACCGACAGGAATTATAATGATAAGACGGGGGAGGGGGAGGAGGGGAAAGAGGGTGGGCGGTAAATGGGGGGGTGGTGGAAAGGCGGGTTGCAGAATCACCCGCGGCAGAGATAGCCTGTGCTGTGCTGTGCTTGTGCTGTGCTGTGCTCTGCTGATGAAATCGATCCAACAGTCGGGCTAGATCACAAGTCTTGTGCTGCTATCGGTCGGGAAACCAACGTCTTAGGTGATCCTTCTCAAAACCTGGAATTGGCCAGGCATTGGAGAAAAGTTGGGAAGGAAGAGAACTTGGAAGAAAAAGGGGAACAAAGACGGAAGTCGGAGATTGGGGAAGGGGAGGAGAGGTGGGAGAGGGGGGAGAGGGGGTAGAGGTGGAGGGGAGGGGAGGTAGTAAGTAGTTGTAGTAGTAGCTTTGGTGAGGGAGCAAGGAAGAGAATTAGGGGAGGAGCAGCAGTTCAAACAGTATTAGTTAGTTAGTGATTGATGGTCAGTGGTAGTGGTGGTAGTGGTGGTACTGCTGGGCTGGTGGTGGTGGTGGGCAGATTGGCTGGGGATAAGACAACAAGACAAGTCATGACCAGACAGTGACTGGGCAGATGTGGGAACTTCCTCACCAAAGGTGGAGTGACCATACCGTAGTCCGTATTCTTACCGGCCCGTTACTGGCACTCTGGATATCGATCCAGAAGCGGAGAAGACCCAACTTGAAATACTGGTACGTACTGGACCGTTTCCATCATTATTACGGGACCTGCACGCGCAAAATGGCTGTGATTGATTGATTGATTGACTGATTGATTGAGTGAGTCCGACTTCTTCTCCTGCTTCTACTTTTTGTCCGCTGCAGCTGAGTATCAGCTCAGCTCAGTACTTCTTGAACACCTGGTGCACTGCTGCTGGATGGAAAAAGCAGCAGAGCATGCCTAAAAATGGAAACCCGGCCTAGAAACTATTGCCGCCAGACATTCATGCAGAATTTTCCTCTCCTACTTTCTTACGGCGCGTCGTCTTACTTTCTCCTCAGCTTTCTCGCCACCCAACAAGAAGTAGGTATCGTAACTGCCTTGCCCAGCAGTGGACTAAATTAGTCTGGTGTTGTTTATAGTAGTAGTCTTGTGTTCTATCCAAAGGGCTTTCCGGCTTCTATCCGAAGGAAAGAAAGTTCTTCCTAGGCAAGACAGACCCAGTCTCATAAACGTTGAGTGGAGCTATCAAAACATCAGAAGTACTGTACCTCCATACAAGGACGAGTTTCCCCTCCAGACAGGTCGCTGTGAATTGCGAAAGAGAGAACTGCACGAGCCCTCGCAGCCATCCGATGGACTGACTGGTCCAACACGAAGTACTATTGGAAGAAGAAGGTTGTATGGCGCAGGCGGAACCGTACATGCTCCATAACCACCCAGTCTGCGATTGGCAGTACGTCAAGTCCCGTACGTGCGCCTTGCGGACCCTAATGGGGCTCTTGAGGAGGGGGGAAGCCAGCCGGTAGGCCAGTCAAGAGCTGTGGCCTGCAGCAGTCACGAAAGACACCGTCCGGTTTGTCTCTTGTCATTCGTATTATGGGGACCATTTGGAATGGGCGATGGGGCAGAGACAAAGTCGAGACTTCTTGTCATCTGAGACCGGTTGATTTAAGGGGCTTTTCAGTGGAGTAGGAAATCTATCTTTCTGTATCGACAAGCCACGGGGGGGGGGCTGAGTAGTGAACAGGCAAGCAGGCAAGCAGGCAAGCAGGCAAGCAAGATTTGAAAAGAGAAACTATTTGGCTTGGAAAGTCGCTTCGTATTGGAATTGAATCACTCACACTTACTCTTTCTCTCTGGCATCTGCAGATCCCATCGATTGCCCGGCGATTAGGGCCCGAGTCTCGACCCTTTTTTTCCTTGTTTTGACTGATCCGATCCAGATGAACGTTGTTGTTGTCGGTAGTTTTTTCCCGGACTCCCCGATCCAGGCGCAGGACCGTTTTGACCGCTCGATTTTCTGGCCATTCTAAAGGTTCACTGGAATAACTAGTCACGATCATGATTCAGCCAACCCTACTTCTACTGATAGAACCCAGATTTTCCACGTACATCACGAAAGTATACCGACGACTATTGGGTAAATCCTTCTACTCTGGGAGTTTCTGACCTTGGATACGAAGATTGTGCCCCTTGCCCCGGTGGAGAACCACCACCAACCAGTACAACACCGCCCTGCACGAAACACAACGCAACGCAATGCAACATATTAACTACGGCTGATGATGATGATGAGGATGATGAGGATGATGATGATGAAAGCTATTGTTGGCCACCAACCCGTCCCTGTCAGCGCCTCGAACACCTCTGACGACATTGCATATCGCGGACCCTGGACCGTTTTCTGAATGGGTGATCATTTGTTATCGCTGATGTCCCGTCCTGGCCCTCTGCCCTGTGATACCGCATATGCCAGGCCTAAGGGTGCTGTGCTATACGTCCAGCCTATCAAGCGCCGCGGAGATACGTAGACTCCTGCGAGGGATTGAGGACGAGACAGGTGAAGAAGTGACGCCGCAGCCGTTAATATGGCGCTTGTCTAGACGTACAGTACTTTCATCACAAGAATGACCCCTGTTGTTATTATTGGCAAGTATGCGTAGATATCGGTCGAAATGTCCCTCCCCCCTTTGGGCCTTGACTAGGATGATGTTTGACAAGTGCATGTCAACGGCAGCAAACGTTTCAGCGGCTGGGGGCGCCATCATCACCATGGCGAGACTGCTTCGATCTCTGAAGATGGGGTCATGGTTGCACCTGTTCTGGTAAACAGCCTTGGTGCTCACGGCATTATTTTGGTTTTGTACTGGAACGTCGACTGACTTGATGCTCGTCAGCACGGGGGGAAATTTCCCCAGTCGACTTAGCTGACGATAGGCTATCGGACAAGCTCTCTCCTGAGACATGAGATGCATTGTAACCTGCATAAGTCACCACATTCCCCTCTCCTCGTGCATGGCACTAGTCGCATGTCCCGGGATCATGATGTCGGCAACGTATGCCTTGTGTTGATCGAATCCTAATTTTTGGGCGCGATGATTATGGAATCAGCCCTCGGGCAACGAGGCACTCGATATGTGAGCTTGAATTTGTGCTATACTAGCGTCATCCTGAATATGCTACAGCCACCAATCATGCAGTTTGCTATCATCAGGGGACCTTTGCTGGGGGCTACTTTCCTGACGCTCGAAGGTAGACTAGCTTGCAGAGGCTGGGTGCGACTATGAATAGGTATACTAGGGTTTGTCTACCATGTCTCGCTTCGAATACCAGTGCCAGTTTACCATGTCTCGCTCCGGCAAATAATGCCTTCAATGGATATCATCAACAGATCTCCAATATACTGCAGTATCCTGAGCCACACAACTTTCACACAACTACTTTAACATACAACAGTGCTTGCGTCGTTAGCAACTGCTTTACGGAGTACACCAACTCAGATTATTACTGGACCAGACCAATGGCTTCTACACATTCTCACTGCAAGAAGCTAACCGCGAAGCTCCAGATATAACCATCGTTTCTGACCACTGACTTTGCAGAAACTCAAACGATAGGACTACTCAGCGGAGCAACCTACTTGAATACAATTCACCACCACACCCACACTCTATGATATCAAAACTACCCATGGATCTCCAACATACGAGATGCAATATCACAACAGCGGAAGGAATATCACACAATGAAAAGACTGCCGCACGACTACGCCATCATCCCGGATCATTTAAAACAAAGAGGGACATCAAAACCCCCCGTGCTAGCAGCGCAACTAAGAGCATCGCCGAAGCCTCGTCATCCCAAGCCCAAAACTCTCACCAGATACAGCCCATGCACCCGTCAGCCCTAGCCGCCACAATCAAACCCAAACTCCCTCCGAACATCAGCAGAACGCAGCAGCTAAACCCCTTCCCTCCACTCATCCAGACCAAGTCTATACACCAACCACCCCCGGAGGACAACAGACACACTCAGCACATCCACCCCACCTCAGAAAACCCGACAAGCAACCGAAGATCACCGTCGCCATCGCCATCACCTCATACCCTCCCCAATGCTCAATCGACCGACCCAATCCTCGCGCCACGCAAAGGACACCTCCATCACCCTCTCAGAGTCCCCGAATCAGATTATACCTGATCCCACAGGAGGCATCCCCAACCCACCACCCCACGGAACCATCCAACCCTAGCGCAAGCCCATAACCAACCCGAGAACCAGTGCAGAGTCCGAGAATGGAAAGCAAAGTCCCCACCGGAGGAGGTACGAGTAAAAAGGTTTTGATATCATACAGACACCGGCATATCCGCCACGTGCTTCAAGTCATAAGCAATCGGTAATCCTCGTGTGCGACGGGGACTAAGGGGGGCGTGGTGGCGGGTTTCAGATTAAAAGGATTATGGGCCTTCAGCCTAGCGACATTGTGTCTTGGCTTGTTCCATCGTTCTCGATGTCCGGAGGGCACCGGAAGAGCGGAGGGGGAAATAGTCTATCTTTTAGTAAGAGTTGGGGCGATGTGGGTTTTGTTGTAGGGGTGAGGGTGCTGATTACGTGGATTGGGGTGGGATTGGTACTGTGTAAGTATGGAATACAAGCGACGTTTGGGGGTGGGATTCATGCTTATGTTTGACATGTGAGATTTGAAGGTATTTGTTAGGTGGTCGTAGGGGAGATGGTGATAGTGGCGTGCGTTGGGTAATCTACGAGTTTGATTGATGAAACGCTTAGACAGAGTCCCCGTCACCATCGCATCGAGAATGCTCTGATATCCAACTCTACTACTAAGCCTTAGGCTATTGGGCTTGTACATCAGTCCAACTACTCTCGTGTCTTCGGTATACGCATACCGCACGCATCCACGAGAGACCAGGAGTATACATCCCGACACGAAGTAAGACACCACGAACCATCAGAGGAAATCCGAATACGATACTCCGTAGACGCATAGAAATCCCGCCCAATCACCCCCTCTGATCCAAGACACCGAGGGGCCAAGATGCGCAAGGCTCAGCGATCATCGACTCCGAACCAAGCAACCGGCAACCCCTTGTAGGACAGCATACAATAAGCTTAAAGGAGGATATTCGACACGAGCAGGACCAGACGCGATGGGATGTCTTCCAGCTCCCACCAATAACACCCGGCTCGCCCCTCGAACAACCCGCCAATAGCGAATCGCATGAACCTGCATGATACTTATAATTGATAGACCTTCTGTAAGGGGATATGCATACATACCTCGAGGATAGGGACCAAGAAGGGGGAGGGGGGGAGTGCATCCCTCACAGCCTTACTGACTTTAGAATAAGCCACTATAGCGGATTATACAATCGCACCGCGCGGAAAGCAAGAAAATCAAAAGAAGGACCACTGACTTGCTCGTCATCAAGCAGGTTAACTACCTCTCCTCTCTCGCGTAAGCCATGCACAATATACGGGTTGCGAACCATGTGCGCACACGGAGAGTAAACCGGCGCAAATACCGAGCCCCGGGCCCGCCTCAGCCTAGGTAGAAACCGTGGTATAATCCGCGCCATCTACGGAGCCGTTTGTCGTCGACCATCGTAGGGAGGGTATTTGGACGGCGACCATGACGTCTGTAGACCCCGGTTATCATCATCATCATCATCATCATCATCACCATCATTATCATCCCAATTGTGTTTTCTATTGATTCCTCCGAGGGCTCGGTTGGCATCGATTATAGAGGTGAGAGAGCAAACCTCACACCATCAGAGTGAATGTCCTCGACTCCTCGCACAACCAATCACCCGAAAATCAGCACAATCCAATCAACACTAGGCAAGACAAAGAGTGCCTCTGGACACTAGCTGATTCATCCGCGATGATCGCGATCATCCATTCCCAGTAAGTGTGCCTGGCCAGCCAGGGCCAGGGCCGGCCATCCCGAGCCGACGCGGATGGATGGACGGACGGGCGTATCCCATTATACCTAATCCAGCAATAGTACACAAACTCAGTCAGTCAGCTCAGCTCTCTGCCAGGTACATTACAAGGCAGCACTCAACCTCATTTCTTCCCGCGCGCATTACCTGATTACCCCTTTTTTTCCCCTTCAGTAACATGTCCAACTGCGAGTAACTTCGGGTCCTCTCATATCCAAGATCAAACTCCCGTACGCGTCGAATCCAATTCGCAGAAAGCCTTACACTCTCCTCCCCACCACCACATTCAATCCCACTCATCGTTCGAGAAGCCTTCTAGTCTTGTGGCGCTTGAGAATATGTAACTCTGGCGGGGAACCCCGGAGACTGGAGTCCGAGGGGTGGTCTTGAACGACGGACGCGTAACGTGTCTTGCTTTTGCTCGGCGTTTCGGCTTGATTACTTAGTGGTCAGGTCAGTCTGGGTTTAGGGGTTCGGATGGTTCGGTGGTTTGTTTTTGTGTTTGTTCTAGAATTTGGGCTTAGGTGTGGTTGTTGTTTTGGTGCGGTTGCTTGGTTGGAGGTGTTCTTTGGTGTACTGTAGAATTGGCTGTAGATTTGGCGGGGGTAGTTGAAAGTGTTGGGATAGTTTTATGCTGTAAGATATCTAGTGAACTGAGATCTGTAAAAGGTAAATGGATGTTGAACTAAATGTAAGATGTTTCCCGCATCTTCTGTGGCACGTTGCTAGTGCATATAGTCTTTGTTGCTGAGATGTGTTTATAGATAATCATGCGGTGGTGTATACATTGTCCTATCGCGAAATATATCTTCCACACCCTACTCACCACAACACAAACCATACCAAGAATTAATAGCACAACAATTAGTAGGTAGGATATCACAGCCACAGAACACTCACGCAAAACAATAATCAATCAACAACAAGAAGAACTACTACCCCAATCCCACCGCCGAATTCCAAGATTTTTCCCCCCCGGCAAAACAAAGATAAGGAACAAGCAGCACCACGAACCACGGAAACCGAAGCCGCAGACGGGAGCGAACCACGGTACCGCTTCTTGAACATGACATCTCAGTCGCACGCAGTCCCTGACTGACGGCTGGCCACTGTTGTATACCTCCCAGCTACATCCCACAGGATGAACCTACACCTACACCCAAACACAAAAACACAGTACAACATCAAACACCACAGAATAAACATACCCGCACGATTGAATGCCCACAGCCCACCCAAACCTTTGAAGCAAACCCACAGACCAAGCTAACTACCGAATCCATCCTTAAAATAGAGCGCCGCTGGGTGCGCCTCGACCGTCTAGAACGCCGACAAGTAGGTCAAGACACCTCAAACCCTGTCTTCACCTTTAGCGAAGACAACGCACAATCCCCAAGAATATCAACGAAATTGATGCAGAAATTACTCCTAGAAAGAAAGGCTGCTGGGAAATCTACAGCAGCATAACTTAAGCTAGTCCAGTGGATAGAAACCTAGGCTTCCTATTCTTCCCGTCCTGTGTTCGATTTCTTTTCTGTTTGTGGATGGTGGGTGGGGCGGGGCTTTCTGTTATTGTTGTGATAGTGATAGGGTTGGTATCCATTCGATTTGATCTATAGCGACAGCCCGATCCATCCAATATGTACTGTAACATCCATCCATCCCTAAAGCACCCAAGATATCTACCCTAAATACTCACCAGAAACGAAGCCCAAAGACCAGCCCCCAACGTAAAAGCGGTCAAGAACTACCAAGAAACACGGAACCATTCAACAAAGGACAGGCAGGAAGGACACGCAGGTGTGCACGGATGTACACCCCGAAATGAACAGAAAAATTCTTTCACCGACTTTGGGACGCGGGATGGGTTTCGGAGACGGGTGGATGGATGGCTAGGCAGGTTGCGGGTTGCGGGTTGCTTCCGTTGGGGTGTAGGTACTAGGTACTGTACTTATGGGCTTGGTTGCTTGGTTGCTTGGTCAAGAGATGGATATATACTTCGTGATGGGTCTAAAATATGCCTATACTCCTCCGTACACTTAGTTGCTTAGTTGGGTAGACTAGGTAGGTAGGTATACAGGACGGTGAGTGAGGGTTGCGCTTATTGCAGCCAGGCGCGGGCAATAGAACTCGACGTACGCCCAGAGAAAGAATACTTATCAACCATGCAGGATAGCTGGACTAGTGTCGGAACCCGGGGAACAAGTTCCTGCAACGGTACCTGGTGGGTACCAGTATTAGTGGTAGGCTAGTAGTTGACCGACCATGCCTGAGTGATCGAACTTCGAACTTCCATCTACCATCTTAAAATAAAGTACAGTAGTCACGGCGTAGGGCGGTAGACCTCTAGACCGACCACATCGACCGCCTGTCTTGTACTGTACGTAAATCCAAAGGAAATATTCCCGGGTAGCCGCAGCGCCGCGTTCAAAAGCAGACGGACAATAGACCAAATCAGCAAATATGTCGGCAGGGTTTGCCGCCGGTGTGTCTGGCTGGTTGCTGCGCATTTTGACTTGTCTCAACTCTCAGAAACCTACTCTCCCTTTCTCATACGAAGTTCTTTTGAAAGCATGTGTTTGAGGCTGGTTAATGGCTGGGATGAATGCCGGACACGACTCCGAATCTTCCTTCTGCTCTTCGGAAGGACGTGGCAAGTGGGTAACTGTGAAAGGAATGATAGATAAGCAGCAGCATGCCCTCGCCCCTCCGGAGAATAAGTCGACTGCTTCCTGTTGAATCGTATCAAATATGATCGGTCATGGAAGGGGAAAGAGGATCGGTATGTACGGAAGTTTCTGTCGAAGAAGACCCAACCCTACTCAACCCCGTGCGCCAATCCAGGAGGCCGGGACGGTGGGCCGGAGCCCAGATTTGCGTGGTAGAAGTGGAGTATTTGAAGATCCAAAGCCTCTCTGGCATGTTATCTATCTCAAATTGAATGTCCTTCGATGCTGGAAAATCCGGTGCTTATGGAAGCAGTAAAGTAAGTACCCAAGCAAGCACAAAGTACCAGACAACAACAACAACAGCACACACACAGTTAACTGGGTCGGACCGCTGCATGGGCCGGAAAGTGGATCGGAGGGAACGGGATCTTGGCCCAAGGGTTCGACTCCTCTCTGGGAGTCCGAGTCACCCCTCTCTTGCACACATCCAACGAGGAATTCAGGCGGCTGGACGTGTAAGAAATGGCCCGAGTGGTTGAGCCGATGGATGAGACGGTTCAGTCAATCAATCTATCGACCTTCTCGAAAGCGTTAAGCCCGCGCCATCGGTCCTTCACCGCTCTATTAATTTTCTGCAGTTGCTGCTTCTGGCAGTACACAAAGCGGTGAGGCCAGCACACGTATGATGTGCCCAGCTGTTGCAAGTCGCTAGTTTATGGCACTGGCACTGATCAGTTAGGCCGTCCTGGGCCCTGCATCTATGCACTAGGTACGGAGTCCGGCGACAAAGAAAGGAAATCTAGGGCCGGCGGTCATGGGTCAACAACAGGAGGGGAAATAACATCATAGGGGGAGTGAAGATCACCCCGTCGGTTCGGCGATGTTATGCAGAGACAAATTGCACCACAGAACAATCCGGACAATCAGCCTTCAAGCTTGATGAATCGGTTTACATAATCCAAGACATTAAAGAATGACCCACAGGTTAGGTAATTCACCTTTCTGTGAATCGAGGGGTGAGGGGTGAAGGATGTCTTGGGGATCTGGATCGAATCAAGCGACCGATGGATAGATAGGGGGATAGCGAAGATGCTTATTGCTAGTTGTTCGCGGGGTACTTTTGTACTCATACTTCCCAGTGTGTTCCCACTTTGATGGTCATGTGCGTGTTCCCCTAGTAACTACTAAACTTCTCCGTAACCGCGTCGGGGTCCATAAGAGACGCCCCACATGCCGGGTTTTTACGGGCATCTGCGTCGTGGTGATAATGATTAAGATGAAGACTGGGAATTAGTTAGTGGAATTGAAACCATCCCAGTCCTTGCTGCTGGCACAGGAAGAAAGGCACTTCAAGTCATCTCTTTCAGACACGGGAACCATGATTTCTCCAACATGGACCTGGCGATGAGGAGTACAAAGAAGATCAAGAAGCAACAAACCAAGCGCGGACGGAAAACGGGGCATTGATAAGATTGGAGGACAAGAGCCAGACAGACCTGGAGACTCAAGTCATCCACGATCATCATCTGACCTTTTTTTGGGTGATTGGTGATGTACTGTACAGTCCAGTCCAGTAGGTAGCTAGTGACTAAAGTAAAGTGGACCAACCGACTTGTTCCCTCTGACGCGGAACAAGGGCGCGTCTCCGAGTGAGGCTGGTTAGGCGCGACTGCGGACTTGGACTTGGACTTGAACTGGGACTTGGGGACAGGCAGGCAGCCATGGATGATGATGATGACTTGACTGACCTGCCACTAAGGGAACTGTCGCTCCGAGGCTAAGCCCGCCTCGGTATAAACCTATAGGGAAAAGGCCCTATTGTTCGCCCATGCCACTGATGCAGATGGGGACCAGACTAAGGTCGGCGGGCGATGCTAGGTCGACGCATCTCTGGCTTGGATGCAGAATTTCCCAAAAACAGAAACAATAGTGTTTGATGATGATAATGATGCAGACCTGCAGCTTTTCAAAAAAAAGAGCCCAGCTGGATCGCGCCGATTTGCAGTTCTTCGTTGCTTTCCCTTGTGTGTGCATAGGAGAGAGGAGGGGAGGGGGGTTGGCTGTCGTGGTGCCTTCCATGCGCGAACACAAGACACATAATGTACAGTATGGTAGCAGGGACACCGGGCATATCTGAAACTGAGTACTACGTAGGGGGTGGATAAGACCAATCGTCGTGGCGGACGGCGATGGAACTCAGAGAAAAGAAAGTTGAATCGTCCTGTCGCGTACCTGAGTCTTCAACTGCGGATGGCACCGCGCGCGATGTTGATCCAGCTGACCCGAGCTGCGACGGGGGGCAAAAAATATCGTCAAGAAGGATGATCTGAGTGAGTGAGTAGAGTACGGTGTAGGGCGGGCTGAATAGGCTTTTCGTACTGTCCATGCGCTGCCTCTTTTGGGTCGGGGCAATATTGAATATGTTGAATGCGCTTCCAGAACCCATTAGACAGATGTGGATTGACTGACTACCGATAGAGCGGCTGGTGATCTGTCAGGCTGAGAGACATCACATCGTCAGCAATATTCTCCTATTGCTGCGTGGTGGCAGGTGGCAGTTCTTGTTGTTGTTGTTGGTGGTGTTTTTGTTTTCCTCGCAGTTCGGAAGGCCAAGCATGCTTTTGGACAATGGACTGTTTGGCATGAATGGCTTGGCATAATGAGTCGAGTGATTTGGAACTCTCTCCATATCCCCATATCCCTACATGGTTGGCGGGAACTACAGAGTACTGTACTTAGATAATAGATATCTATAGAATAAGCTGAGTGCGGGATGATTTGTTCGGGCGAATTGCAATTAGCGACTAAGAAGCGCAGCAGCAGCATCATCATCATCATCGTCTTTCCCTCGTCATGGTGATGACGGTCAAGGGGGGTCTGGAACAACGGCCGCTCCTTCGGTCCAGTCCAAGATCCACCCGACTAGCTCAACTCTGTAGGAGTCACTTCCAATTGGTGCGCCCGTGGATGAAATCACACAGAAATTAGATGCCGTGGCTAATGCTCAAATCCGAAATCCGTGTCCCGGACTGGACGGAGTGTGTCTAGCATTGATCATCTTACAGGAGAAGTCCGACTCCGCGTAGATTGTATGTAAGCCTATACTGGTTTGGTAGCTCCGGAGGGGTCCTAAGGAGGGGTGAAGAAGTGGGTGAGAGGGGGAAAAGGGACAGAAAGAGGGACAGAAAGAGGGACAGGAGGGGTAATCCAGTGGCGGGTGTTCGGAGAGGGAGGGGGGAGGTTCCATCTTTTCTTCGTCATGCTGCCTCACAAAAGGAGGGGGAATGGAAGGTTGAATCGATTCCACAGTTGAAAAAAGAAAAAGTAAAACCGAGACGAACAGACAAGAAGCTAAGGGTTTGTCAATAATGCAACAGGAACCAGGATGATCGATATATTGATTCTCGGCCCTGAATGTTGAAGTTCATACTGTACAGAAGAGAAAAGCCCGCTTAGCCTGTGTGGGAAAAGAATCCATGGTGGAAATGAAGGGAGAGCATACACGAATCATGTCGGCACTGATCCTCCGTGGCATTCAAATGTCGGTGCATCCTTGTTGGAGGGGCAAGGGGGGCCTGACGAGGGGCGAAAAGAGAGAAGGGGGAAAGAAAAAAACAATTAAATCTGCGGAAAAAAAAAGAGAAAAGGTAAATAAAACCCCAGGTTAGGAAAAGAAAAAGGCAGAGAAAGGGAAAAGGGAAGAGAGGGGCGGTCCAGGTGCGTGTGATTGATTGATTGATCAATTGTCATCCAGAGAGAGAGAGAGAGAGAGAGAGAGAGAGAGAGAGAAGAGAGAGTGGAAGAGGCTGGTCTAACCTTCTTCAGCCTGCTGGTGCTTGAGTATGTTCGCATCCTTCCCTCTCACTGTGGAGCGTTCGCACGCAATGGTCAAGACTCAAGACATATCAATTGAAATTGTATTGAGTATATTCGGCTGGCTGTGCTCTGCCTCCACGCTCACAATAGTTTCAAGAGCAACGATGAATTACAATCTATTAGTATTTGACTCTTGTAGTGACCGGCCCCGCAGTCACCGACCGGGCTGGAGTAAAAAGTACCACCCAAATTGCGGCCGTGGGCTGTCAGATAGGGGGAGGGGGAGGGGGAGAGAGACCAGACTCCAGAGGGAGGGGCGCGCGATAGATAGATACTAGATAGATAGGGATGACTTCGATAATCAATTAGTGCCCTTGCCCTTGACCTACCTTACTTCCCCGACCAACGTTACTAAGACAACTCCAAGATTCTTGTTTCTGTTCTTGTTCTTGTTCTTGTTCTTGTTCTTGTGCTCAGCACCCACTCAACAAAGTTGCATACCATCATACTGAGTACCATACCGCTTTGAAGCAGCTCCCATACCAAGCCCAACCCCACAATCATGAAATATTCGTCACAGAAAGGAACCCGAGTCGAAGCCGGAGAACCAACCAATGCAGTTCGGGAAATGCCAGAGGCTCCGAGGCCTCTCCCAGCCTTAGTACCCTTTTGGTTCAATGAAGTTATTCTACCTACTAGGGTTAGATCGCAGGTGACTGCCGCTGGATGAGGGTTCCGTCACTAAGCAAAACAGGGATAGAACAGCAACCATCTAATCACCATCGGACAGCCATCCAGGATAGAACAAAAACACCTGAGACTTTGGATCGAATTCAGATCTAAAGAACTTCCATCCATGATCAGGGGAGGAAACATGTACCATGCTGCCCAATGTTATGCATATATGGAGTCTAATCCTCCCATACCAAAACAAAAGAAACGTCCAAAAAATCTTCGGATTATTTTTATCGGATGTTGACATGTTCTTTTTGCTTTTTTGATTTTCTCTGAGAATTTATTTATTTATTTTTTTTTTGGGGGAGGGAAGATTTTTTGCTTTTTTACTCTGGCTGTGTGTAGCGTAGCGTGTACTGCGGAGAGGGAAATTGAAGAGTGGATATGGATGGATGCTCCCTCACATCGGACTAAACTAACAAACGGTCGATTCAGCCAGACGAAGGACAAGCAGGACCCCCCGGCTGAACCGGGTTGACGGGTTGGAAAGAGTCCATGTGGGTTTTTGGAGGGGGAAAGACTGAGAGAGAACGAAGTGTCTGTCTGTGACTCTGGCTTCGGTAAATGTAATTGGGGAAAACCGACCAGAATTATGGGTCGAGGGGAAGAGGAAAGGACGTGTTCTAAGCAGTTTGCGGGTTAGTGCCGTGACGCGGGTTAGTCAGAATCAAGTGGCAATAGGGTGGGCAGTGCGTGTCCGTTCCCTAAGGTCGCCAAATTCGCCTGTTTTCCCTTCCCCCTCCGTCAGTCCCGCTGGGAAAGAAAGCCCCTCTTTTCCGCCTCCGACTTCCCTGTTCTCCTGCGCTGTTCGTCGCCCAAAATCAACTGCCAACAGTGTCTGCTGGTCACGACCGCCTCACTTGTCGCGATCCAGCGATCGCCCGAATCTTCTTTGGCTTGTGCCCACGCACATCCTGGCGCGACTTGCTCCCACTTCCTCCCCTCCCCCCCCCTCTCCCTTCCTTCGACCCAGACTCTTCCTCTGTCTGTCTCTTGTCTCTCTCTCTCTCCCTCCCGCGAATTCGCACCGCACTTCTACTTTCTCCTCATCCATTCAACATCCCCCTCCCTCCCTCCTCCCTCCCTCTTCTCTTGCCCATTCCTAATTCTTTCTTCCTCTTTACTTCTTCTGTCTTCCTCCCTCTTTCTCTTTTCTCTCTTAACATCTTTTCCCCCTCTCCGCCCTCTTCCCTTCCCCTCCCCTCCTCCCTCCGTCTACTCTCTCCCACTGGGTCATTATTCAACATCTTGCTCGCTATCTTCTCTCTTATTCTTCTGGGTCTTTCTCTTTCCACTTTCCTCTGCCGATTTCCGCCATCCTGGCCTTCCACACCACTTCCACGATTCTCACCTCTTAATCCGCCTGTGGCTGGATAACTTCAACCCCTCCCCTCATCCCTTCCGAGTTCAACCTACGCTCTTCCTCCCCCCCCCCAGATACCCCCACACAAGGAATGATCGGACAACAAACCGAATCCTTGTCGTCTACCCGTCTTCAGAATCGGTGTGAAATCACGAAAGGGACGATAGCGCAATCCTCGCCCTCGAACCTGTTCTATTGAGATTCAACTCCGGCTTTTGGTACCGCTGCCCGCGCCTCTTCAGCCATGGCTCCCAGCGCGCCCAACTCGGCCGCCGCCGCCCCCGCCAAAAAGACATCAGTCCCCGAGAAGAAATACAAATGCCAATTTTGCAATCGCGCCTTCAGTCGAAGTGAACATCGCAGCAGACACGAACGATCGCGTAAGTACTCCACCGATTTTTGAGGTGCAAAATTCTTTGTTGATCGGGTTTTGCTGCGCTGATCATAGTGGCGGTGTGAGGCTAACCGGGAATGCGACGCACAGATACCAAAGAGAGACCCTTCAAATGCTTGAAATGTCGAAGCACCTTCGTGCGTCGAGACCTCCTTCTTCGTCATGATCGTACAGTCCACGCCAAGGATGGTGGGATCCCGTTGGTGTCCGAAGGCAGGCGACGTGGTGGCGCAGGTGTGCGGAAATCTTCCCCCGCCTCGGGCCCCGCCAGCAAACCCTCGATCACCATCGACCCGACCACACTGGAACAGATTGAGGCAAGCAGTGACGGTATGGTCGATCTTGAAACCGCAGCCATGTTGATGACAGATTTCCAACATAAGGCCGCAGCCGCCGCGACTGGCCAAACCAACGATCGTGCTGAATCCGATCGCTCGTTCTCTCCCGGACGCGGTTCGCTATTAGAGCCTTCTGTGGGATATATGTCCGGAAATGCAACGTTACCACAAATGCCGTGGGACACTCTCGTCTCGCCCGCGGACGCAAAGCACTCCATGGGATCGCCTTTCGCGTCCCACGAGGGTGGACCCGATTCGCATCCACTTCCGTCGGTGATGGATCGGCACGGTCCCGTAGGCGATGGTCTGGCTCCCTCGCTCCACTCTCTGGTCAATTCGCTCCCCATGTCGGGAACCTCGACGCCGAATGCCCTGTCCCCGTACCCTTCGATGACGGGCCCCGTCAGCCCTGTGAATTACCGTAGATCCCCCGGCCCCAGCCAGGCTTTGACGTTGCCCAAGGCTCCTCAAATCGCTAGCGAAACCGAGCGGAACATGATTGTCGATCGCCTAGAGAACGCGGACTCTCTTGGTGTCCTGCCCGACTCATTTCAGCTACCCCCCACATCCGCCTTGAACAAGTACCTGTCGACGTATTTCAACCTGTACCACCCCCATCTGCCCTTTTTGCACCAGGAGTCGTTCCAGCCAGTCGATGTCTCGGCGCCCTTGCTCCTTGCGGTTCTCTCGATCGGTGCTCTGTATACTTTTGAGCGGAAGGACGCGTTCATGCTTCACGTGGGATCCAAGATGCTGGTCAACCAATTCTTGCAACACAAGGAGAACTTCGACTCGAGGAAATGTCCTCTGTGGGCGATGCAGAGCACCCTCCTGAACATGATCTTCGAGAGCTGGAGTGGCGACCCCAAGGGACTTGAGTGGACCTGCTCTATCAAGAGTCTTCTGGCGAATGTGAGTACTAGCCTTATCAATGCCTGGGACGCCGGTACTGACTGGTTATAGATGGTTGCTGGAAACCGTTATCAATTGAAGCTTCGCACTGAGGGTCGTGAGGGCCTTCCTAGCCGGGAGGAGTGGATCGAGGATGAGTCTTGCCGCCGTACCTATTATGCGGTGTACATTTTCTTCGGCATGCTCACCTTGACTTTCAACCACACCCCAGCCATGAGCTTCGACGAATTCGACAACCTCGAGCTGCCTTCCTCCGAGTCGTTGTGGAACCTCGATGTGACCGATGACGACGCCTGGCGCCGTAACTTGGCTAACGCTTCCACCTTGACCGTCCGAGAAGCGCACGACTGTCTTTTCCAGGGCGAGCAGACCCGGTACAGCGCATTCGCCACCCGCGTTCTCATCAACGCCCTGTTCCTTCAGGTTTGGAACCACAAGCGCAGCTTCGAGGCTCTCCAGGACGTGGTCACCGAGTACAAGCTTCGTCTCGCCTTGGAGACGTGGGAAAGCTCCCTCGAAGTGTGCGAACCCGAGACGATTGTGGTACCCCTCAGTACCCCTCAGAAGGGTCACCCATTGATCTTCAACTCGATGGCGGTCTACCGGAACACCCGCGCTCGCCTGGAAGTGGATCTCAAGTCGATCCAGGAGGCGCTGCGTTACCACTCATCGTACGAGGTGGCTGCTGCCATGACCGTGGCTCGCGAGAAGGTCAAGCGGTCTCAGGAGATGAACAAGGTCATTCAATCCTGTTTCGAATGCATCGAAATTGCGGCCGTTCAAGGAATCAACTGGGTGGCGCAGACGTCTGCCACGAACTGGAGCGTCGAGCACCCCCTGTGTGGCTTGGATTTGATGGTGATCCTCAGTCTCTGGCTCTATCGCCTGGAACATGACGAAGAGCCGGCGACCGAGGCCGAAATTGCCATCTACAACAAGGTGCGGAATTTGTTTGATGACGACGCCATCGACGCTTTTGGTAAACTCAGCTCTACCGTGGCCCGTGTATGGGGTAATATCCTAGACGGTGTGGTAGTTTGGGGGTAAGTTTCTCTTTGAATGTTGTGCTTGAACCTAGGTTACTGACTATGGGGACAGCATTACCAAGCTCATGGGCGAGTCATTCAAACTTCATTCCCAAGCCTTGATCGGCTACGAAGATTCGTTGCGCGTTGCGAAGGACCAGCCTATCCATGCAATGCCCACCAAGACGCTGGCCAGTGTGGGGACGGCATACTAGTGCCGCACACATGTGCAACGGGCGAGGTGACACGGTTCGCCTCCGACATATACACTTCTTTACATTCCTTCAACATTATCTTTGGGACACTGGATTTCGGTTTAGGGTCGGGAACGGATGCGCAAGTCTGGGCGGCAAGATGTGATTTCCGGTGATGAACTCAACCGCCGCATAATGATTCCTTGCTGGCGTTCCCCGGCTCCTTTTTCTTCTTTCGTGTTACGCGTTATGGTTTGATTTTCTGTTGGTTTTGCAAGAGCTCACGGGAGTCCGGTGTGGTGATTTTCCTGTTTTGATGGGTTTGATTTCTTTCCCAGGCAACATCTCGACACCCGGCTGGTCCTGTGTGTTCTTCCCTAGCACTCGGTGGAGTTGTTGTTTTTTTTTTTCTTTTTTTTTTTTTTCTTTTCTTTCTTTGCTTTGCCTATTTCCTCGCCTCTACACCCTTAATTATTAGTACCGTCCGTTCGATTCTTGCGCATGAGCGTGTTTGGTCTATATTTTCGGTCGGAGACAAGTTTGTCGCTGGCCTTTTTTTTTCTTTTTTTGATACCTTTTGTCCGTTATATACTTGATTCATTTCTCTTCTCTTCTTTATTTTCGTTCCCCCTTTCCTTCGTCCTTCGTTGACATACACTTCGACCATTTATCACTGTTAGTTTTTGATGCCATCTTAATGTGAGCTTGCTTGCTGTTCATCATGTTTAACGCGTCCCCGCCTGTCTGTTGTCCTGTTCTCCGCTCTCTGCCTGTTGTGCTTTTTTGATCCTTTTTTGCCTGAAGATTTCAATGTCGATTTTTGTTTCTGCATCGTTGCACATGTTTAGTTTTGGTTGTAGTTATTCTGTACAATAAGTAATTTGCACACAAAATATAACTCTTTGGCGGGGATTTCCTTTGCAAGTAGAAAGTATTCTTGGGGGAGGTTTACGTGAGGTGCGGATTGAGCTTGCTCTAAGAACTTGATTGTTTGCTATCCGCTTCGGACATATAGACACTAGTGTATACCATCTATCTATCTATCATCTATCAATCCATCTAATTACCTATACACGGCCACACCAACCCGAAATCAATGACTCTCACAGCCAAACGGACAGCTAAAGAGCGAGCCTACGTACAAACAGGATCCACGAACCCGCGCGTCCAAGCCAACGAGCCAGCAATCACAACAAAGAACCCCAACGCAACCGCCACACTAACCACACCGTAGAGATACGCATCACGCCGCCGCGCCAGACCATTCAACTCCGCAACCCACGTACTGATCGTCGTAGCAGCACCGCAGAACCCATCCATGACGCCCTGCAGCACCTGGCAGCTGACCCTTATCCCGGCGCTCACGGTGGCCGTCGTCGCCGCCGCCGCCCCGACGCCCTCCACGCGCTGCAGATCGAAGCACATCGCCAGCACGATCGTGCCCAGCATATTCACCGTGAAGGTTCCTAACGGGAACCGCGGAAGCCGGGCGTTTAGCCACAGCGATAGGTGATACCTCAGGAGACAGCCGAGCGGGGCGAAGACTATCGCGAAGACCGCGTCGCTGCGCCAGTGGTCGTGGGGTGGGAAGATCGCGAGGAGGATCGCGCCGAGCCAGGCTCCCCAGCCGAGGAGGATGAAGATGGGGTCCAGGGGAATGCGCACGGCGGTAAACCGGAAGAGGGAGGGGGTTTGGTTGGCGAGGAGGGCGAGGTGCGAGCCGAACAGCAGCGCCGAGATGCTCAGGGCTACTGTGCTAATTATCACGGCTAGCACCGCCATGAAGCTGTAGCCGCCGTTGCGGCTGGGGGTCGGGGTGCCTGCGGTCAGGTACGGCGAGGGCAGCGAGTTGGTGAGCGCAAGGAAGGTGTCGCGGATGAACGACGAGAAGGAGGTGAAGCTGCCGCAGAACCCTGTCGTCAGCCCGATGTATAGCGGGATGGTCTTCTTCACGGCCTTGTGGTTCTCTGGTCTGTGGCGCGTGAAGAACGTTTGGTCTTCGAGCAGGAAGCCCATTATCAGTGTGCCCGCGACGTTGGCCCACAGCACGCTGGTGCTGATCGGTGCGCCCGGGTAGTCGGTTAGGGATTGTAGGCCTAGGCGGGCTAGGGTGCCGAAGATGGAGAAGAAGACTAGGTAGGAGTGGGTGTAGAGGGCTTTTCTCCTTTGGGATGTCGGTGCGCTGGGTGGTGGTGCGTATGGTTCTTCGGGCGGCTTTTCGTGCGCATGCGGCGCGCGGCTGCTGCCCTCCTCCAGAGACCAGGATTGACGCTGCGAGGCATATTCGGTTGTTGGTGGTGGTGCGCTGATGTCGGTTAGGGCGTGGTTTTCTGGGTCGGGGACTGTCATTGTTGCGGATATGGTGGTTGTGGCTGTGGTTGTGAGGCCATTGTGGTGGTTAGACGTCTGTCACTCTGTCGCAAAACAAGTCCAAGTCGGAGAGAAGTCCGTGTGGGTCAGTGGAGCGAAGGGCGCATTCTGGTTCGCTGGCCGGATCTGGAGATCGATAACAGTCCAACTAAGGTAGATAAGAATCGGGGTAGAGATAGATAGACAGATAGTCTCACCCAGGAGCAAAGAAGATAAGAGTGATTGTTGTCAGCAGGGAGGAGTGAAGCAGGAAAGAGAAAGGATAAATTCCAGCTGGAGCATGCCTGAGCAAGCTATCATGGGACCAGTGACGTTTGCCTGGTTTGTTAGTTTGTGTTGTTTTCTTTCCTTTACCCCTCATTCCATCCACTCTGCATCGACTCAACGCATTAACAACGCAGCAACGCACATGCTATAAAACCCGCTTCGTATCTCCTGCCCGATTCCGACCTCACTTACAGCTACCTACACTTCAAATCAGTCTGCTGCAATACAATACCAGTACTCAACACCATGGCCCTCCCTTCTAACGTCCACGTCTCCTCCCACCCCCTCCTGCAAGCCAAGCTCTCGCAGCTCCGCTCCTCCTCCACCTCCACCCGCCAGACCCGCGATTTGGTCCACGAGATCGCCACGATTCTGGGCGTGGAAGCCTTTGCATCGGGGTGGAAGACGAAGCAAGATGGGACTGTACGTTCTCCAGTTCCTATCTACGACCACCTCCTCACCACAACACTAACGTCTACTAGGACAAAACGCCACTAGGCATCGAATACCCCACCACAACCCTCGACCCCTCCAACATCGCCTTGGTCCCTATCCTACGGTCCGGACTAGGCATGACAGACGGTACGAGCGCTTCCTCCACCTCTAACCCTCAACCCCAGACCCATCCATCGGGAAGCCAAAAAAACTAACAATCCGGGGGAAAAGCAATCAACTCCCTCCTCCCAACCTCCATCCCAATCTACCACCTCGGCCTCTTCCGCGAGCGCCTCACGCTGCAACCAGTCGAATACTACAACAACCTCCCGTTCCACCGCGACACGGACACCAACACGGCGGCGGCGGATACCGCCATCCTGCTGGACCCGATCATCGCGACGGGCGCCACGGCCGAGGCGGCCATCCAGCTGCTGCGCGAGTGGGGCGTCAAGCGCGTCGTGATGCTGAGCGTGCTGGGGTCCGAGGCGGGGATCCGGCGCGCGGCGGGCACGTGGGCCGAGGGCGTGGAGGTGTGGACGGGGGCGGTGGATGAGCGGTGCGATGAGCGCGGGATGATTGTGCCTGGGCTAGGGGATATTGGAGATCGGTTGTTTGTTGCTATTGGGAAGTAATCCGGTAGAGGGGGAAGATAAGCGGAGGGTATCAATTGGTATCTGTATTTTCAGTTGTGATCTGTGTAAAGGGAACAGCTATTATGAGTATCACCAGGGCTTAAACACACCAGATAGCAGGAAGCAAGCAGCAGGCACCAGTTAGAAGAACAAAGGAATGAATCAATGTCCACCCCATCTCGACCCCGTACCCATAACCTCCATCTCGACCCCATTGTCCGCATTCTCCCCCACCCCCGCACCCCCGGCCATCTTCTTCACAGCTCCCACCCCCGGACTCCCACTCCGACTAACAGGAGTCGACCCAGACATCCCACCACCATATCCCCCAACCCCGGAGGAAGTAGCGGAAGCAACAGGATGCGACCTCAAACTCAGCCCCCTCTTACTCAGTCCCGAGCCCACCCCCGAACCTACTTCCCATTTCCCAACCGTCCCCTCCACCTTTTGTTCCCCAGAACCACCACCATTACCACCACCATTACCACCACCCTTGGGAAAACCAGACCCAGGCGTATACCCAAAGGAACCCAACCCCTCCGCCCGCTCAATCACCTTCTCAATCCCGATCGCCGACCCAGACGCCGTAGCAGCCAGGGAAGACGTGGTGGTAGTCGCCATCATCCGCGGCGTGGAGCTACCAGGCCACGGCCACGAGCTTGATCCTGACCCCGGTGCTGCGCCAGAGCCAGAGCCAGGGCCCGGTCCCGCTCCCAGTCCCGCTCCGGCGGTGATGGTCGTCGATGTGCCCATTGCTTGGTAGTTTGGGTTTAGGAGTCGTTGGCGCAGATGCGGGTCCACACCGCGGGTGCGTTGCATCTGGTGGCGGAGTTTTGTGCGTTGGTCTTCGCGGTGTTCGGTTGCTATTATTGCATTTAGTCAGTTGGGTAGGCTAGGTTGGGTTGGGGGTTTTTGGTTTAGGGGTGTTGGGGGTGGTATAACACAGGTTCGAAGTCAAGGTGAGAGAGGTTGGTAGGCAGTCAGGAAACACTCACCACGCCAGAAATACACATACACGCCCATCACGACGAAACACGCTACTAGGAATCCGAATAAGATGCCTAGTTCGTGGCCCAGGGATTTCATGGGCGTGTAGGGTGGGATGTTGTTCTGGAATGGGTTGGACATTTTGGGGAGGTTGTTCTCCTGTGCTTCGTGGGGGTTGGTTGTGTTGTGTTGTGGCTTGTAGGTCCTGCTGCTGAGGGCTTCATGTATGTGCTGCTGCTGGTGCCAGGCTGAGATAGTGGTGCTGCTTGGTGGATTTGTTAATAATGACAAGCAGACGTTCTAAGGAAGAGACTGGAATATGGTGGACGAACGGTTGGAGTTGATCTGGGGAGTTGTCAGTTTCAGTGGATTTGGTAGATACTGAATGCCAGAGATCTCACTTGTCGTCGCAAAGCGAGAGTAACACGGTCCTGTGTTAACAGGTAGAAGCAAAACTACTTGCGCATGCCTATGCAGTCACCAGGCAGTGGCAGTGTGAATAAATCACCGGCAGTTCCCCGCCGATGCGCTGTCAGCGTCAGGATACGAGGCCAACGGACTCTCTTTGTCTGGCGCCGGGACAGACAGACAGACAGGCCAAGCCATCCTCCCTCGTTGACCACCGAGGCTTTGATCGTATTCATATTGCTGGGCTGGGATCGGGCAACGCCCTGGACAAAGAGCGAGTCCCATCGGACAAGTAACCTGCAACTAAGACTTGGCTCACATGACACACGGAGCGGGAGATTTCTCCATTGGTGCGGCGAGATTTCGTGCTCAGGGCCATTGTGAGAGATTACCTTCTATCATCATCATCATCAAAGTCTGAAATAGTGTTCATAAATAATATTGGTAGATACATCATGAGAATAGAACAAGAAAATATCAGCGAGCCGCCTGTCGGCTCGACCCAAAATTCCAAGGTATCATATACACGTACAGTGAAGCGTCAGAAGATAAGACAAGTAGAAACCCAGTCTATACACGGTGGCTTGGGTATGCATGCAAGATGGAAAGAAGAAAAGGTATAGAACAAGGGACCTGCAGGGACCGTGCCCGATATCCACACGGTATTAGATGACCAGTCCGCTGCAGACCAAATGCAGGTCGGAGAGGGTGGACAAGAAGTATGCGATGCGCTCGTAGCAGAACAGAAAAGGGCGAACCAACAATCCAATCGCGGTCGCCGGACAACGTCGTAAAAAAGGTGATCGAAAATTATAAAACTCCGTATGCAAGATGGATGCGATGTTGTTTGTTGTTGTTGATGAAGGTGGAGTCGCAACAAGGAGCCCTTCAACCCAGCATAACTGCCGCCAGCGCGGTACAGGTCAAGCCGATGGCCATTCCAATCCACGGCGTCTGTCCGAGGGTTCCTTCACTGCGAGCACGCAGAGCCTTGGTGTCCCTCGAGGAGGAGGCGGCCAGCGTCCCCAGTCCGCTATCGAGAGTCAACCCTTGGTCCGCACCGGTATCCTCGCTGGCCTGTATCTCCCGCTCCTGCCATTGACGGATGTCTTGTGGGATCCCCAGCACAGTTTCCTGGTCGGGCCGGATTTGAATCTCTGGTAAGGGTGCAGGCGGGGTGGTATTCGGCAGGGAGGGGGTGGGAGAAGGTGCCCGGTCGGCGTCGGCGGCGAGGGCTATCGTCGGGACAAGACAAAGAACGATCGTCGAGGGCTTCATCGTGCGAGTGTAAAACGGCAACAAATCTCAAGGCGACACAAAAAGCAATCGGAGGGTGTAGATATAATACAGAATTTTGTTGTGGGTTGCAGATGTGGTGGGTTTAGATTAGATCGAGTGCGATGCGCAAGGCTGCCTCCACCGGATCCCGAACGTGCGCAATCTCACTCGTGCAGACCGAGAGAATCCACCACCACTGTTTACGGTTGCCAGGCGTCGAACTAGAATAACCCAGCAAGCTCCACGGTAAGCAGCCAAGTCGGATGGAATCTGGAACCGACAGCGTAGTTGTCGCACACTCGGACGGGTCGAGGCGAGGACGGGAGAAAAAAAGAACGATTAAGCAGATCTCCTGAAACTGGCGGGAACGAGGAACGACACAGCCACGGGAACGACAGGCAGCAAAACCAAAACTCAATTCGACCCGGGGGACGGGAAGCGAGAGTAGAGTCAAATTCGAGGCACAAGTAACGAACCAGGAGACAAGAGGAGGAGGAGGAGGGGGAGGAGAGTAAATAGGAGGAAGGAGGAAGAGGGAGGAAGAAGGAGAGCAAGCAAACAGTGGAACAACAACAATAAGAATAATAAGAAGCAGCAGCAGCAGCAGCAGAAGAGGGAAGGAGAAGAAAAAGGGCCCGGCCGCCCCCCTCCCCCCAGGGGGTAAATTTCCACTGAGTTCCCACTTTTCAGTCCTCAATACCACAATTACCGTACGCAGGCAGTATGGCCAGGCGCTGACAGGCCAACGGGCGCTGACCCTGTACTGAAAGTACTGAAAGTAGGCCAATTAGTGAAAACCCAATGGCTTATTAGCGGGAAGAGTCAAGCTTCTTCGGGACAAGCGACAAGGCACTGCCCCCACTCTCTCTTCTTTACCTGTGCAGTCATTGGCTGTCGAGTTGAGCCGTGCCCGCACGGGTGAACTAGTGCCAGTTGATCGAATGTCTCGTGCCAGCGACCGAAGCTTGTCAGGGCTTTACAGCTTGCAACTTGCAAGTTACCGCCGTGGAACAGCCTAGTGTACTTGCAGTGGAGCTCAGGGTCGTTTTCCCTGTAAGGTAACAACTAACAATCACTTATCGACTGTCCGCCTATCATCGCTCGACGGGCCTCCACGCGAGCCCTCTTCGCCTCTTAGTCAGCGCCGCAGCCCGCGGGATCCAATCATTCAAACCCTGAAGTGAGACATTAATCTGCCGCGGAGAGATTAAGATTGACCAAGTGAGACGTTGACACTAGGCTACTAGATACAATGAGGAGGATTGTCTATCTACAACTCTGCATATACAGACTGGACTATGCAACTATCTCAGTCGAGTCTCCTGCCACCATAGTTCGCTCTCCCGACTACTGCAGGTTAATCCATGGCAGATGATCATCCTCAGCGGCTAAGAATAGGTTCCCATTCATTCCCTGGTCAAATGGGAAGATGGATGTCATGATCACCTGGTCTACCCGACCATGATGATGATCAACATCAGCCGACAAAGCCTGCAGAGGGGCTGGTCGGGCTGGTTGTACGGTGCAACAAGTTACAACCACTCACTGAGCAAGTCTCCAGGGCATTGGTTGGTTGTATGGCGTCATCATAGCCCCTCCGCCCACCACCACCACCACCACAACAACTACAATACTAACACCCAACCACCCATCCTGAATGTGACGTACATTGACAGCCCAGAAATAAACAACAATTAGTGACAATACTCCATGCAGATCTTTTCATTCAGTCATTGACAGCTGTCTATCAATCAATCTACTAAGTAGGTACTCATGCCCCCACTCCCCAGCCTCACAGCATCTTCTCCCAGTTCGGCGTCACTGTAAACTTGCCGCTGAGCTGACCCATCGCCCACACCTTCTTTTCGTCATCGGGGAACTCCTCGTCGCCCGCATTCGGCGGCGTGGACACAATCAAAGCTTCCTGGAGGAAGTCCACGGCCGTCGCGCGGTCCAAGTCGAAGCTGATTCCACCCCAGTCCATCGTCACCCGACCCGAAGCGTGGACGTTCAACTTGCCGACTCGGCCAGCCGAGAGGCCCGGATCGGCGGCCGTGACCAGCTTGGACGAGCCGCGCGCAACCGTCGCCTCGTCCTCCCCATCGACGATTTCCATCTCGTCTTCGCGCTTGACCGGTTGTTGTGATGGTGGGGGTTGCTCGGTCGGTGCTGCGTCGGTGGTCTCGGTACCGGGGAGCACCAGGTTGGGGGTCAATGGCGGGAACTGCATGAGGAACAGCTGCCCGGCCAGTTTATCCTTGGCGGATTCATCTTCTTCCTCCTGCTGTTGTCCCTCGCCCTCCTTGTCCTTCTCCTCGCCCTCCGCCGCCGCAGCAGATGTCCCCGCCGAGGTCTCGGGGGCCTCCGGACGCGGCTCCTTTTGAAAGAGATCCTTGACGATCTCCAGATCCTGCTCATGCCTCTCGTACTCCTCGATCTCCTCCTTTGTGCGTAGCAAACTCTTCGGATCGACGACCACCTCAGGCTCAGGACTGGGGACGGCAGACGACGTCTCAGAGACAGACTTAGACGGGCTCAGCTTGCGGCGCACCTTGACCTTCTGGACTGGGAGCAAATTATCATCGACCATCGTAGCAGCCTCATCGACACGAGGCACATCAGTCATAACGCGGTCATCATCATCCGTAGGCTCCTCCTTGACGGGGGATTCATTGTCCTCCTCCTCATCCACCTCATCATCCTGCTCCACAAACAAAGCATTATCCTCCTTCTTTTTCTCTTCCTTCCTCTTCGCCTTGGCCTCAGCCTCCTTCTTCGCTTGCCCAGCACCAGTAGTACTAGACTCCATATTAACACTAACAACGCGTTCCTCATGCTCATGCCTCTCAAGCCGCAAGGGCCGCATGCCCCCACGGCCCTCCAACCGAAACCCACCCTTCCCCTTCTTCCCTTCCCCAGAACCATCAAACTCATCCTCCTCCCCCTCACTCCCCAAATTAATCCGATCAATACTAACGCGCACCTCCCCATCACTCTCATCAGAACTCACATACCCCTCCCCACCAGCCCCCGTATCCCCCTGCGGCAACTCCATAACACTCCGAGACCTAGACCTCGCATCAAACCCACCCACCAACGCGCCCCCACGGCCCCGTCTGGCAGGCCCATTCATCCCACCACCACCCCGCATATCCCCTCGCCCCCGGCCGCCACGGCCGCCACCGCGCCCACGCTGGATAGCAGCCGCCTCCCGCAACCGCTCACGATTCCGCTGTGCCTCGAGCTTCTCAATCGCATCGCGCTCCTCCTTACTCCGACGGTTCACAGCGCGGGGCTTGTATTTCAGGGTTGGTTTGGCGGGTTGCGCGTTACTATCGAGGCCGGTTGGGGCTAAAGCCGCACCGGAAGGCGTGGGTGAAGGCCGCGCGATGCTTCCGGAGGGTGGGGTGCGTTTCTTTAGGGTTTGGAGTCTTTGCACCGGGGGTTTTGGTGCGCTGGCGCTGGCGCCGGGAGTTGGCGTCGGTGTTGATGTGTTAGAGTCTGTCGTTGCGGTCGTGGGGGTCGTGGTCGTGGTTGCTGCTGCGGCGGCGCCGGCGGCGGTGGTGCGCCGGGTTCCTGCGGCGTTGGCGGTTGCTCCTCCGCGGCGGGGAGGAGCTTTGGGGGGCATCTTTCGTGAATTTTGCTGTGCTTCTCGGTGTCTTTTTTTGGGAGGGTGAAGCTGGCAATCGAGGATGATTTGAGTTGGGTTTGGGTATTGATGTAGAGGTGTCGAGACGGTGTCAGTTCGTAAAATGAGATGAGATGATGAGGTGTGGTTGGAGGAATACTGACAGAACTTCCGCTGATGGAAACTTTTTTCGTCCCCCGTCGGTAGGCCGCTAGGCGGTAACTCGGGGCAGAAAATCCGGTCGGCGAAGCGCGCGTTCTGGGTCGGTCAGGTGCAAGGGCGGGGCTGCGGAAGTTTAGTGCCGCTAGTCTGGATCGGGCTTGCTCTGGCCACTTCATTCTCGGCATCTGTCAGTTTCAATACTGCTGAGTCAGCTATTTCATTGCTTCATTGTTGTTCATCGAACAATGAGGAATCACCATATTAACTCAATTAGATTATAGTTCGATGAATAACTACTAGGGACTGCCAGTGGACTAGCATTTTACTTGGTCTAATAAAGTATGCTAAAGATCCTCAGCTCAAATTGCTGTCAAGATCTACAACCAGAACCCACATGAAACATATATATTTCTTATCCGATCACACTAGACTTGACAGCTATAACTTCACCCCCAGCAGATCGGTTGGAGCAATGATCCAGCCATTCAAAACAACAAAACCAATCAATCCAGATACATTGGCACAGTCATCGCATCTTAAAGAGTGGTGGACGCGACCACGCAACCCACAGGGCCGCATCAGATTCAGCTGCAAAAAATAACGCCAAAAGAACACGACACAATAAGCACAATCAACCCGCTCAGTTCAATCGCTAGAACTATTGAGAATAGAATGCAGAGTGTAATACGACAAGCATGACGATGTGAATGACCGTAACAGGAGCCCGGGGCTCGTCAAGTTGATGCGAGGTTGTGAGGTCGACAGTCGGAGGGAGCGTGGGTGGTATGTAGATCGTAGGTGAAGGATCAGAGAGTATGTGAGACGCAAAGGTCGATGTTGGAATGAGCGACGCATCCAAAAGCCCCCCGAGCAGCCACCAAACCACGCCCCACCGAAGTAGAGAAGTGGCACGAGATGCGCAGCAGGAGGACAGGTGATTTCCGGATGGAGGGCCAACGGTACAGGATCAGGGTTATGAAAGGAGGGGATAGATGCGATACACAGAAGTAATTTCCACTCGTCTATGTTAAAAGGTAAAATATGTTTGCGAAAATGCAGCCATCCAGGCACAGCTCATCAGTCGATATTTGGACAAACAGGTGCAGGCGCGAATGTGAATCAGAGATGATAAGGCATCATGACCGTCATCCTTCATGCCGGATACAGGATGGGTCTAGCGCTTGCGTTTCTTATTCTTGTCGGCAACGACAGACGATGACGATGACGACGAGACCATTGGCGCGGCAGCAGCCACCAGAGGTTGCGCTTCGGCACCATTGGTAGGCGAGTCAACCGTTTTCTTGACAGGGACCCCCATGTGACGACCGTACCGGCCTTTGCGACCGTTGCCTTCGTCTTCACTGATGCAGCCATCAAGGCCAATTCCAGCATCCTTGCAGCGGCCGCAAGGGCGTTGCCGATCGCAGCCTTTCTTGCTCTTGCGGCATCGCTGGCAACGCGGCTTGGTGGATAGGTCCTCCTCGTCGGCAGCGAGTGGATGGGGGTGTTGGTGTTGGAGGGTCACGGACGAGGTCGAGCTCTTGCGAACGGGCGCCGGGCTGGCTAGGACCGGGGACACCGCTGCTTTCTGGGTAGTCACCGCGGGCATCGGCTTAGCCTTGCGCACTGCACCATTGGTGGTCGCCTTGCTTGTCTTGTTCGGGCGCCCTGGTGCCGACTTGGATCCACGGGCCTTGGTCGAGACCGTGCTGCCGGCGCGGACCTTCGCCTTCTTAGATTTGGGAACAGACTCGTGGTAAAGGGAGTCATCATCCATCTCATGCTTGATAGTGTGGTCATGATGTTCCTCTTGGTGATACTCATCATCGTAGCCGTCGTAACTACCATCCGAACTGTCGAAACTCGGCAGAATGTCATCCAACCGCTTGTGGGTGCGCTTCATGGCACCCGGGGGCAGCATTGGGCTGGAGTCCAGCCTCTGCTTGGTTCGAATGGGTAGATCATCATCGTCATCCTCGCTGTACTCGTCACCGTCGCTGGTGGCGCCGGTCGAGGAGGCGGCATCCGCAGCACCGCTGAAGGCATCGTCCAGGGTGGAGGCGGACGTACGACCGTGCGAGAAATTAGAAGCATCCCCCAGACGAATCAGCTGCATAGCCACATCCTCATCAGAGATGCAGCTCGCAATGGTCGGGTCGGGGGTGGGGAGGACCCCTGGAGCCGCGTTACGACCAGCCGAATTACTGTACTGCCCCGACGATTGTGTGGTGGCCCGGTCGCGCAAGCGATGTCCGTGGTCCGGAACCACCGGCGTGGCATAGACCGAATTTTGACCATGATGCAGGCTGTATGCTTGCTCATTATGTCCATAGCTCTGAGGGGAAGGAAGAAGGGGTTGTTGCGAGTTATAGGGCCGCTGAGTGGGGCGGGCAAAAGGTGAGACGGCTCCTTCTTGGCCGATCGACCGGCGCTGAGGGGAGATGGAAGAGGTGGAAGTAGTGAGAGGCACCTGAGGGGGAGCGAACAGCGGCAATTCCTGTATAATCGCGAGATTGAGGGTCAGCAGATGGTCTAGCATGGATGCGACGAGTGGTGGTTTCCCCTACCGAGCTTTCGAACTTGGGCCGCTTTCTGCGACCATCTTGAAGGATGTTCTCCATGCTAATGTCTGAGCTACCCAGTTGCTCACTACGAGGCTTCCTTGCGCCCGAGACAGATCCGTAGCCGGCTTCGCTGTCGCTATAGCCTCCATCCTCCATGAAGCTGCCATGCGTGCTGGAGCCTCTGCTCTTGTTGCCCCCGCGCGACGACTGTTTGTGCTGGGATGCGCTGCGACGGCTGCGCCCGGACGGCGACATGCTGCGCTTCCGAGCGAGCCGGGAGGCGGGCCGTGAAGGTGGCTGTCCATGCTCCAAGATGTGCGCCGCCTGCATTGCCGGCGCCATCTGGAAAGGCTCTCCCAAACTGGGACGCTTGCGAGCATCCATAGGAAGGTGCCCATAGAAGCGGTCCCCGTAACCTTCGGTATAGGCTTGCACGGGAATGACTCGCACGTATACAGTCATGTTATTTCGGAGGTTTTCATACCTGGCAATGAGGGTGATACCCTGCTCATCCTCAAAGCTAACCCCACTAGCAGTAGTATCGTAGATCCCATAAAAATTCTTGACAGTAGTCACAATGGAATCCGTGGTATCATGAGGGTAGATTTGCACTCGCATAGGTATGCGAGCCCGCACCTTGGAATTCTCATCGAGTAGCAGCTCAAAGGCGACGTTCTTGGGCACCGAACTCCTGGGGGAAGGCTCTTGAGGCGAGCGATAGTCGGTATAGGCAGGCGACGCCCCAGGAGCCGCATGCTGTTCGTATGAGACAGCCTGCATGGTGGAAAAGGTCCAAAAGGGGGTGCTACCACACTGCTACTACATTGATGATCGTATCAACCGGCTGCTCTCGAATTGGGGGAGGATAGCATCGATCCGGGTAAGGAGGGAAGAGGATGATGGGTGGGGGTTTTTGCGGATGGGGAGGAGTGAAGAGGCAGAGACGGGAAATACGAGGAAGGGTATGGGCAAAGTCCATCCAAACCTACCACAACAGAAAACCCAGAAGAGGTTGGTTAAAAGATGGATGACCCGCGATTGATTTTATTGACAGGATCGATGACCCCGGGTTGTGGTGGATGGGATGAGGACACCCCAAGTCGCAACAGCCGAAAGCGACGGGAAAGGCAAGAAAAAACCGATCGATACTGGAACGGAAACCAGCCTAAATGTCAGCACAATGTGTTCTCAGACAAATCCAAATGAGTGAGAAGTGTTTCGAGAAATAGATGATGATAGGGAGCAGATGGTAGATCCAGGCCTGTTGGATCCTGATGGATCGCAGAGTTGAGAGGGTGGGTGTGGTGATGGTGTTGAGGAGCAGGGAAGAAACAACCCGAATCGGCCGGAATGAGGAGGGAGAGGAACAAAGACACACCGATGACAGGTCAAACTGTATTATCCAGAGTCGCACCCATGTACCAGATCCGACAGGATGAAGAAGGAAGGATAGCGATGGCGATGGGGGGAGGAAGTCGGAGGTTGGGCCGTGGGCGAAGTGAGTCGTTCTACCAAGCGCTTGGGTATGTCAGCGGTGGCATCACGCAGAGCCGAAGCGAGTCAGGAGAACAGAGCGGGTCAGGGCCCCATGTTGCAGTCGGGGACACAAATATAGGAGAAAAAACGATGGAGGAGAACCTACCAGACAGATACTGCACCCAAAAATCGAGAAAGGATGGAGAAGGGAGAGGCGATGGGCGAACGAAGTCGAGGATTGGGGTTGTCGAAAGAGGGTTGAGGGAGGAGAGGAGGAAGAAGAAGAGGGAGAGAGAGAGAGGGAAGAGAGAAGCCCACTGACTGACTGAGTGAAAGGCAAGCAAGCCCAGAAGTGGTTTCACCCACACCACCACTTCAGCAGCTACTGGGGTCGGTGACCACATACGCCTCACGTTCCCCTCCTTTCCAATATGCCTTATGGCCAACTCATAAACATCTCGAAATTCGTTCTTTCTCTCAATTGTATGTCTCTAACTTCTATATTCGCCGAATTGTGCCGTGCGCGTTGGTCTATTGAATCGCAAAGTCCCAGATCGCATTCCGTCCACGGCCCGGATACGACGGCGTCTACGGGGAACATCAACTCCTCGCCTGCGACCATTTGGGGTCCTAGGCGGTATTTAATTTCGATTGCCATGAGTCGCAATCCCTGCCTGTATAGAATCATGGTCTCATTTTGAACTGTAAACAAACGAAAGATGGGCTAGAGCGTGCGAAAGACATCTGGATAGCTAAGACATCAAGCCGGGTCTGGCGCAAACCAACAGCGACTTCCCCCTCCCCATCCGCGGATCTCCGTTCTTGGGAATACGCATGTTTATCGGATCAGGACGAGTTTCGCATAAAACTAAGTGACCTATATCTACATCTTTCCATGTGCGTAGCATATTCTACTCGACACTGTTGGGTCCTAATCTCGTCGCACGACACAAACGCAGAGAGAGGTGAGAGACAGAGACAGAGACAGAGAGGGTATGAAGAATAGAGGGAAAGCGGAGTGGCGTCGGGTTGGCTGGCACATCCTCAGCGCGGCCACGTCGAATGACACCCCCGATCAACATCCCGGTCACCACCAGACATGGTCGAGCGATCCCTAAAGGAAAATGATCCGGTTCGAAGTCACCGCCTGAATTCGTTCTTTTGTTTAGGAAAATCCAAACACGAAGCACACTCCGACAGGCGCAGACCCAGGCGGAGAAAGAGAGCTTGGAATCTATCGCAAATCAGTCAATGCGACCAGACCATCTCCCCGTCACTCATTGCGCCAATGCGATCCGGATTGTTCCTTGTGGATTTCTAGCTGGAAAACGGATTCACTAAGACATGCAGGGCTGAATTCCCGCCCGGAGGTTGATTCATGCTCACAGACCCTGGGGTTGAAGCAAGCGATGCGACCATCATTGACTTCTTTTGCGCCCCCCCCCCCCCCCCAGTCTGTCCCATCACAAGCATGTGGGTTAAACTGATTGCTGGAGCTAGATGAATGAACGAACGGGAATGGGGCAACAGAGAGGGACAAAGATGGAGAGGATGGGGGCATTATTGGCTCTGGCTTCAGGCCAACAGCACCGACCAGCGATCACGCCCAATTGTTGCCTCGTTTCATGATCTGCGCCTGTCCAGACTTGTCCTTTCTCTTTTACCCCTCCCTCCCTCGGCCACCGCGGACTACGTAAGGTTGGATGAATGGATGGATAGATGGATGCTTGGATGAATGAATGGACGAAGAATTGTCCCTCGTCAACATTCGGGCAGGCACAAGTCATTCATTCATTTCCCCATCGACCTCTTTTTCTTTCCTTTCCCTTGCCTTCCCCTCCCCAGGTTTCCGAACGTATGTGTAAATGCATTCTATCCGCGGGTAGAGCGTGTCCATCCGGCCGCCTCTCTTAACATCCAGTGATCATTCATTTCCCAGTCAGTCTGCAGGTCCCGGTGTGACATCGCATTCTGCTCTTCTATTCATTTCCGTCATCCTCTCTCCAAAGGTACTCCCTCCTCCTTTAGCCACCCGGTGGCTCGCAAAGGTCAGGCTTGACATATGTCTATGTCCCTCATTCCTGACTCGAGGAACCTTGGGGCATTGGGGACGGGGGAATCTGGAGCGACTAAGAAAGCATGAACGGAAGTGCAAAATAAGACACAGAAACGAACAACTCCGAGCCACGACCAACCGGCGCAACGATGTCGTTAGCCGAGTGGGGTGGAAAGGGATTTGGAGCAGGTGCAGTGTGCAGCCACCCACACCCTAAGCAGTAAGGTTATGGTTATAGGTCAGATAGCCATCATCCAGGAGGATTTCTTCTTGCGATTTCCCGGATTGATACAATAGATAGAACAGCAAGTGTCAAGACACTGTTGAATGAAATGGTGGTCGTTGTCGTACGTAGTTGCAATGTTCTTCGGATGGAGTGAGGGACGGAGAACTCGGCGGGGCTCTTGTCCCATTGGAGTCAATCAATAAACTCCGAATAAAGAAAGGATTGAAGTGACGCTCGTCCTGCAACGCCGACTATTGTTGTTGTCTCTTGCCCACACCGAAACTTTGCGCTCATTCAATAGTCCACTTCGGCTCACCCGCAACACCTCAAAAAAGTCAGCGGTCTCCGTTTCCTGCTTCTGCTTCCGCTGTCGCTCTATCTTTATCTTCATCCTTCCTCTCTGCTTTTAGTTTAACTCATCAATTTAACTTATCAAGAGCTCACTCGTGCGGATACTTTCCCCTCAATCCTCTGCGAAAAGGCGCAACCAATCCACGGGACGGTCCTCGGTAGGACTGATTGCTACAGGCGCGATCGGCGATTGTCCAGACGAAGATTGTTCCCCTCCATGATAGGCAGCGCCGGGTCCGCGTCCCACAGTGGCTTCCTGGCGACGTTGGCATTTGCACGGGTGTAAACGGGAACCAGAGAACAGGCCGAAGCAAAATGAATCCCAAGAGACTGAAGACAATCCCCAAAACTTGTAAAGCCAGCGAGAAACAGGAGTTCTTCAAGTCATTGACACTATCTTCATTATTCTTTTCCGGGTGATCTTTCATCATCATCGTTCATTCCTACCATGCGCTGGCTCCGATCTCAAGCGCAAGGACCATTCCTTCCCTTCGTCAATCCTTCTTCTCCCTTTTCTTCAGCACCTTAGTCAAAATTTACCTCGAAAGATCATGAGCGGCCTTTATGGACGCTAAGTCTGTTCCCAAAAATACATTGCGCCTTGTAGCCTCGATCGATGAATCTGTTCGTCAACCGCTATCCATTGCGGCATTCAAGCCAAATACTGGAGCGAAATTGGTGGAGCGTAGCGCCCGGGAGCAATCACGTGCTCTCGCGTTGCCAGGCTGGCGATTTCGTGTCGCTCGGCGCGTTCCCCGCCCGTTCCTAGTTCAGCCCCTGTCCATTCTCGCCCAGAGCAGGAATGCATCGATGTAATCCAAAGGCAGAATCGCATTGTCTGTGGGATAATGATTCCAGTCAGAAATATTCTCATTTCACAATGGGATGCAAGATATCTGAGGGGAAGAGAAATTCGGTGATGGCGGGAAGACGCGCTCAGTGATGTCACCCACGCTGCACAGCAGAACAAACCAAACAAACGGGACAAACTACACTCACAGAAGCTGACCTAAGCATAGCTGCTGGTTGTTGACGGTAACCAAGTAAGGAAGTGACCGTTTTGGGTAATGCCCTTGTTGCCATCCAACAACTGGACCTGAACTGTTTTTGTCCTGCCCTGTCGCGCCCTCCCACTCCCTTCCTCGTCGCTGCTCCTCGTCGCCATTCGATTTTTTTCTCGATTCTCTGCCTGTTACTCTCAGGTCTCGTGCGAATTCAGTGTTCGTCCTTTGTCTCGGCCCTCACTGAATTAATTCTTCGTTTTCCTGCACTTGGCGTGGTTGTTGTTGTTGTTTGTTTGGGGCCGCTTTTAGTATAACTTTAGCTGCTGCGACGACTGCTCTTGCGCAGGACGCAGAGAAAGTAAACAACAACAGCCCCCGTTCCATCCAACTGTCCACGTCGAGTCCTGGAGGCTCAGAGTGATCGTTGACTTGAGCCCACCATGGATGCTAAGGTACGTTATTGTCTTTTTGTCGCCCCGTTCAAATACTGTCGATCATTGGGTCGGCCAGATGTTGTCCCCTCAGTCCACAATTTTGCCACGCGCCATGGGACTTGGACTTTCTCGAAACTTCTTTTCCAAGGTCGCGTTAGGCTTCAGCATAGGACTGACAGTAAATTGTCTTTCTAGCCTCAGAGAATCCGTGTCCGTGGCGACGAGAATGCCCCCTTCCCTGCTGCGGCCGGCAAAACCCTCCACCAGCGCAACAAATCCACCCCTGCGCTGTCGGCTCTGTACCAGAATGGCGCTGTGAAGCCTACCTCCAAGCGAGCAGCGTTCGGCGATGTCAGCAACACTTCCAAGCCCGTCAATACCACCCGCGATGACACATCCCTTGCTGGGAGGAAGCAGTCGAAAGCTGCCGAAAAGCCGGCCGCGGCCGTCGAGAAAAAGTCCACAGTCCTAGCACAGCCAGCCCAGCGTCCACTGGGGATGAAGGGCATCCTGAGCAATGTTACCAACGTCACTCATGCGAAGCCTGTCGAGTCATCGAAAAAGACTGCCGTGCAGCAACACGCAGCCAATACCCGCAAGACTTTGAACAAGCGGGCCACCATCTTCAAGGACTCATCAAAGGCACCAGCCGACAAATGCGAAAACACATCCAAGGAAATCAACAAGGAAGCGAAGCAAGGAAAGGTTGAACCGTCTCTTGCACATGCGCCTACCGCACCTGCGAAGCAACATGGCGCAAAGGAAGAAACCAAATCAGATGAGATCCCAAAGCCTGTGCTGGGACAACTGGAAGAGCACTCTGGTGTAGTCGAAGATGATGACAAGGATCTGCCCAAGGTTGACGATGATGTCTGCAAAGTGCAAGATTTGAAGGAGAATCACCAGTCCCGTGAGGAACTCGACTCTGCAAATCAGGATGTCTCTGATCCTGTCATCAAGCCTCCCCGCGAATCTGCGTCAAGCTCCCACGTCACCCAGGATCGCCTGCCAGCTCAGGCCGAATTCGAGGAGTATTGGGACGATGAAGAGGAGGAGAATGAGGACGATGATGGATACATCACGGCTCGCTCCTACCGTTCGCGTGGGGAGAACACCACTGGTGGCGCCACGACAGTCCTGTTTCCCAAGTACACCCAGCAGGTCAGACGAGAGCTAGCCATTGCAAAGCAGGTTGTTGAGGCCACGCGTACAGAGGAAGACATTGAAGATGAGTTTTGGGACACTAGTATGGTTGCGGAGTACGGTGAGGACATATTCGAGTACATGAGAGAGCAGGAGGTATGTTCCTTTGGTGAATAGTGGCCCTCATCAGGAGTGAATTACTAACCATTATGCTATGAATAGATCAAGTTGTTGCCAAATGCGCATTACATGGACAACCAGGCCGAGATCCAGTGGTCAATGCGCTCGGTGCTCATGGATTGGCTAGTGCAGGTCCACCATCGGTTCTCTCTGTTGCCCGAAACCCTCTATCTGTGTGTTAACTACATTGATCGGTTTTTGTCCTGCAAGATCGTCTCCCTCAACAAGCTTCAATTGGTGGGCGCCACTGCGATTTTCATCGCCGCCAAGTATGAAGAGATCAACTGTCCGTCCATCCAAGAGATCGTCTACATGGTTGACGGCGGTTACTCTGCGGATGAGATTCTGAAGGCTGAATGGTTCATGTTGAGTATGTTGCAGTTCGAACTGGGATGGCCCGGTCCGATGAGTTTTCTGCGCCGCATCAGCAAAGCCGACGACTATGATCTGGAAACGCGCACCCTTGCCAAGTACTTTCTGGAGATTACCATCATGGATGAACGCTTCGTTGGCAGTCCTGCTAGCTTCGTTGCCGCGGGGGCTCATTGTCTGGCAATGCTGATGCTGAGAAAGGGCGACTGGGTATGGACCTCCTTAAATTGGATGTACTGGACCATGCTAATCAGCCACAGACACCCGCCCACGCTCACTATGCAGGGTACACTTACTCTCAGCTGCTTCCACTCATCTCCCTCATGGTGGAGTGCTGCGAGAGACCTGGCAAACATCATGCCGCAATTTACGAGAAGTATACTGACAAGCGATACAAGCGTGCTTCTCTCTTCGTCGAGGCCGAGATGAAGAGAGGGTTTCTTCTTCCCGACAACCATAAGGACAGCTCTTCTATCAGCCAGAACTCGACGCTCGAAGCAGCCCACTATTGCAAAAAAGTCAATGTCTAGTACTGTTTCTCATCCAATCCTCCACTCTTGCTCTTGCCCAGGCGATTCTTGTGCTCTTCTATGAGACATGATATCGGCTCATGGCTGTCTGAATGAGCTGAGCACCGGAACACAAGACCAAAGATGAACTTAACCACACAACATTTTACCGACCAGGAACTTGGTCCCCTCTTTCACTCGTTACATTTTCTTACATCCTAATTGATGAGGCTAAGGGCAATGCCCCGAGTCAAGCACATTGGACTTAGACACCACAGAAGAAAAAACCCCGATCACTGTGTCAGGGACATCGGGTATCAAGGGAAGGCGGAGTTATTTTGATTTTTGCATTGATCTAATGATTCGGATGACACGAAAGCCGCGCAAACAATCCAGGCTCGGGAGTTTATGGAATCGATGGCTCGTTATCTTTCTTTCTTCCTTTCTGAAACCTGCCATTCCTTCAGGTTCTGCCATTTCCCTCTCCTTTGTCTCTTCGCAACCTCCTCTTTCTTACGCACCACCACCTATCCCATGTCGACTCTTGATGACTTTACGTTCCCGGCATGCTTTGGTCCCCATGGACAGATACCTCACGATACGAGACGCAAGCCTGTCAAAGAGTATCATGGACAATTAATTTTCCTATCTCCCTGTTTTCTCATGTCCTGGATTTTGGAATGACCTTGTTCTTTCCTTCTCACGCGGCAAACCTTTTTTTCCCCCTCCACTTGCGGATTATCATCCAGGATTATGGCGCAGGTTTTAATGACAATTCGAACTTACTTTTCTTTCTTATGCAAAATTTGTCAGAATGCGTACCTTGACCTCATAAGCTTTTTAGACTCGATAGGTAAGTATGTATTTTGAGCTATCATTCGCGCCGCCCTGCGTTTGGCATCGTTTGCCCACCAAGTGACCTTTAGTGCCGAATGCCTTCCAGTTCTGACAATTTATCTGGTATACCCCAAGATGATGCCTAACCAAGATAAGTCTCTAGTATTTCACGCAACTATTTACTTTTCACCACTCTAGGTCACTATTTCGCCAAGAAAGTCAACTTCTGATCCCCTCTCTATCTGGTCCATAGCATGGTATAATCCCCTTTCCTCCAAAAGTTTACCAAAAAGCATCCAAATAGCTTCCGTCCTCTCTAAAAAGAAACCCAACGAATAATCTTCCCAAGAACCATCCTACACACAAAAAAAAAGCAAATCCCATTCCAACCACACCCAATAAACATGACAGGGCAGAGCAGGCAACCAGAACCCAACCTCACCCTCACTGATCCAACCCATTAAACTCCACCAACCGCTTCACCACCTCAATCACCTGCCCCGCCAGACCACCATCGACCGCGCCCCCCGCAGAGCCAGGCGCCTGATCGATGCGCCGAGCGATCACCTCATCGAGCATCATCCGCAACCGGGATACGAGGACGCCGATGCGCGCCCAGCCGCGCAGCCGCAGCCACCCGTCTACTATCAACCCGCGACCCGTGGTGTCTAGGTCGATGGAGCCGCAGAAGAGGAGGAGGGAATAGGCGTTGAATGCTTTATTGATGATATTAGTTATTTAAGTAGATAGATAGATAGGTGAAGTTATATCTCGGGGGTTTGTTGGGCTTGGTGGATTAGGGATGGGAGTTGGGGTTGGGATTGTGCCTGGGGGGGGAAAAAAAAAAACTCACGAGTCAAGTCTCTCACAAACACCTTGCTTGTCGCCATCTTGGTGAAGTAGCTTAGGTAGGCGGCGCCGCCGGGGTAGTTCTGGGCTGAGAAGAGCAAAGAGCTTGGGTGGATGAAGACCCGTCCGTTCTCTTGGTTGAAGTACTTGATTGTGCGTGCATCGGGGTCGATTTCTACTGTGCCTGTGATCGAGGAGGCGAATTTCTTGTCGGGGAAGGAGATCTGTGCGACCTGCGGCTGGAAGGCGCCTGCTATTAGAGCGCGGAGGAGGGGTTTGTTGTGCGTGTTGCGGTTCCAGGTGTTGTTGTTGGTGTTGTTGTTGCTGCTGCGAGAGGATGATGGGGGCTGGGATTGGGATTGAGAGGAGTAATCGACGGGGAGGAGGCCCGCGTCTTTGAGGGAGGTGAGGAGTTGGGCTCGGTTGGAGGAGATGTCGCGCAGCGTTTGGTGAGAGAGGAAATTGGCGGCGCACCAGCTTTGCGTTTGCCAGTAGCCGTGGGCTTGCACTCGATCCGACCATTGTTGGTACGCGAGCAGGTCCGTCAGTAGGTCGCCGTCGTTGGCGCCCTTGGTGAAGGCCGCTTTGGCGGCCGTGGCTTCCTCGCGTTTGTCGCGCGGCGAAACGAAGGGGCTCTTGACGGTCAGGATGGCGGAGATGGTCACGCAGGCGTCGATGCAGCTGAAGATGGAGCCGTAGACCATCAGCTTGGCGCACCGGAGGTCCGCGGGGATCATCGAGAGGTAGCGGCCTAGCGCTGTCAGTCGGTCGTGATCGAGGGCTCCGACGCGGTGCAAGAAATCTAGGGCGCCCTCGACGGCCGTGCTTTCGGGCGGTGTAATCGTGTTGGCGAGGAAGTGAGCGACGTCGTTGATGCCTTGCATCGCTTTCACCGAGAGACATAGTTGCTCCAACGGCACGCGTCGGATCTCCGGGTCGGGTCGATGGGGCATGCTCGTCTCGGCCTTGCGCGTGTAGAGCTTGTAACATGATCCTGCTCTGACACGACCGGCACGTCCGCGCCGTTGCTTGCAGGCGGCTTGCGAAGCCCAGACCTCTTGCAGCCGTACGATGTTGTCTCGGGGGTCGTAGCTCGTCTCTTTCACGCGGCCGGTATCAATGACGGCCACGATGTCTTCGATAGTGATAGACGTCTCGGCGACGTTGGTGGCTGCGATGACTTTTCTCATGCCCTTCGGGGCACTCAGGAATACACGCCGTTGTTCGGCTGGCAAAAGAGACGCGTGCAAAGGTAGAGGGTGGGCGTTCGGGATTCTCCTCACGGCGTTGAGACATCTTTCGATCTCCATGGTACCGGGCAAGAAGATCAGAATACCACCGGGCTGGTCGCCCAGCTTGGCATCGATGTATCGGACGGTAGAGGCAATCAGCTCGTAGTTGATACCCATTCCGATGCTCCGAAGTACCTTGCCGAGGGGCTCATCGGACTGTGACGAAGATGTAGTCTCCTCGTCGAAATCCCGCTCTGTGAGCTCGGGATAGAATCCTGTATCGCGAATAACATCGTCCAAGTAGTAATCGTCGACAGGGAAAGTACGTCCTGGGATATTAACCAGGCCAACCGACTGGCGGCCGCCAAAGTAGTTGATGAAGATATTTGCATCGAGGGTTGCACTCATCAGGATGACCTTGATATCTTTGCGGTGGCGAAGAACATCTCTGAGAAGCGCTAAGAGGAAATCAGTGTCGAGGCTTCGCTCGTGCACCTCATCGACAACGACGTGAGTGACATCTGAGAGAGAGCTTGCAACATTGCCATCAGGGCCACTGCCCGACTGCATGCGACGGAGCAAGACACCCGTCGTCACGAACGTGATCTTCGTCCGGCCCGACTTGATCTTGGATTCTCCTCGAATGATGTACCCAACCTCTTCGCCAACAGACGCGCAGCGCTCATCGCTGACTCGATCGGCCAGTCCCAAAGCTGAGATTCTGCGCGGCTGAGTACAGATGATGTTCGCGGCAGCGCCGAGGTCTCTCTTAATCAGGTCATCGAGCAGGAACTGAACAGACTGTGTACTCTTTCCACTACCAGTCTCTCCGGAAATGATCGTAACTTGATGTGTGTTCACAGCATTGATAATGGCCTCCTGAGTGTTCCAGGCAGGGAGCGATTGGCGCTTCCGTAGCATATCTTGTTGCTCCTTAGTTGACTGCTTTGCTTCCCAGGACTCGCGCAATGAGATGCTTTGCGGTGCACCTGGTTGCCATTTGACCTCGTTACCCTTCTTGCGCGATGAGCGCACTGGGAGGTTTGAGGTGGTCCCGGCTGGAGCAAGAGGGGCTGTCACCGTCGAGATGTCTCGCAGCTTTCCTGGATTCTCCATGACTGCCGGGAGATTGGTCTCCAGCCAGTCCAGCATATTGTATATCATCGACTCTCCCAAGAAGTTCTCTTCGGAGTACTGCACCACCTGGCGAATCGCACTGAGACGTATATAAGCGGGAATACCTTTCGCCTGAATGGAGATTACCGGCGGAGAAGATGGGTAATGTGTCGAAGGCCGTTGAAACCGGAAAGTCAAAGACTCTGGTAGGTCAGGATTCTCGCCTTTAATCTCGCAGACTTTGTCAGAAACCCGAGAGTAACGCTCTCCAAAGATAGCCTCCAGGGTCTCCTGCTCTTCTACCCACAAATCTTCCTCCCCGGACGAAGAAGGCTCGGCAGTGGCATCTCCACCGTGCACCAGTGTATTTTGGAGGAACTCCGCTGCGGCAAGTTCATCACCTTTCTTATTATCCAAAATCCGCGTGCAGAGATCGGCAGGGTAGCCGATAGAGGTGAGACGTTTAATCTTTGCCTCTCTGGCAAGGTCATCGCTTGCCAGGCTCACGCCAGCGGAATAACCCTCAGGCAGACACCAACGAGGCAGATCATCCTCTGGCACATAAATGAGAAGCCATTCCAGGACCTCTTCCCGGTCCTTACAAGTGCCAACAGCCTCCTCGACGTGGCTGCGCCGGAATCCGAGCCGAGTGAGCTCGTCGACGATGGCACTGCGCTCCTTTTGCGGGATTTCCACCCCGTACGGATTCCAGATCGCATGCTCACGCAACATGCCCTCGATCTCACGACGAATCTTGCTTCCAAGGTCGACCTTGGGCGCATGCGACCAGATTTTCCTGCTCTTGTTCTCGCCGCCGGCGCCGGCGCCGGAACCCAGTCCCAGATCGACTGTTGTATCCGCGGCCTTGGCCGCCTGAGCCTTCTCCCTCTCCTTGCGCTTCTTCTCCAGATCAGCCGCGGCGCTCTCCCGTTCCAGCTTCGCCAGGAACGGGTCAGCCTCGTACATCCAGCTCTTTCCTTCTTTGCAATCCGCGGCCTTAAGGGCAGCAAAATCTTCCCGCCAAAGCTTCTTGTACGTCGGCGGCATCATCATATGTAGGTTCTTCATATTGCAGACTCGGTACAGCGTATACGCTGCGGCGAAATGTCGAGCTTCTAGCGCGGTGGGCTGAGCAGCGAGGTGTTTATGCGACGGAGGCAGTTTCATCGGGGGAAGGACGATCGTTTCGCGAGTCTTGGGGTCAATGCGCTTCAATATAACGCTGGAGACAAAGCCCTCCGAGACTTTCATCTATGTCAATAGCATAACCGTCAGTTTCGAATGGCTCACCTTGCAGCGCATGCGGCAATGAGTCTAGGGCTCAAGGAAAAGCCTACCATGGTGTATTCCGGCTTCTCCCATTTCTGCTTCTGGCAATGCTCCGCGAGCATATTCACAGGCAGTTTCCCCGTCCATGATGCGCCTCCAATGACCTCTTTGACAGAGGGTTTCTTCTGCTCGTCGGTTGCGCCCTGTGCTTTTTTGGCCTTCTCAGCAGCAGATTGCTCGGCCGCAGCTTTGGCCTGCTTAGTCCCCGGTTTGGGTGCGCCGCCCCGGTTCTCGGACTTTTTCTTGGGGGCCATTGCTGTTGAGCAAGAGATGCCCCTCGCTTCGAAGCCTTCAATTGAAGGAGTTCGACTTCTTGTCAGTGACTAGACAGGAAAGAGGCTGTGGCTGAGGGGAGTCCCTTTGGTTTTGCTGGCGAATGGATAATCAATCAATGGGTTTGATTTGGCAGTGATTGTTGTCCCGCACTTGACCGCTTTGGTGGATTTGGTTGTCTGCGGGGGTGATTTCATGGCAGTCTCCGCATCTCACCTCTACTACTATTCTTCATCCATGCGAATATACGAAATTGAACAAGCAATACTCAACAGTGCTATGATATTTTTCTTGATGCTATAAACCTACTAATATGTCCGAGTCATCAGGCTACAAAGCCGACAGTTCAGGCGATGTGAACGAGAAGAGTCCGACGAAGAGAGATGCCTGTACGTCTTGCCCTGCCGTTGCCTATGCGCTGCGCTGCGCTGCGATCGCGCCGTCTCAAGCCTTACTACCCCATCCACTCTCTTACACCATCGCCTCGCATGGAACAGAAGAAGAGATCTAGGGCTATAACTGACAGAAACACCAACACAGTCACAGAACTAATGTCTACGAAAAGCAAGCAGCGCAAACCCACGACAACCTCCACCTCCACCTCATCCTCCAAAGCCCAAACCACCTCCTCCAAACGCAGAGCCATCGGCGGCCCCCGCGACGGGCTAGGCGCCTACATCGCGAACCCAACCTCCTTCCCCGCAAGCACCGTAATCTACCACACCCCCGACTTCGTCGCGATCCGCGACGCCTTCCCAAAATCCACCTGCCACCTGCTCCTACTCCCGCGCGACCCCACCAAAACACGTCTACATCCCTTCGAAGCCTTCACAGATGCAGCCTTCCTCGCGCGCGTGCGATCGGAAACCGAGAAGCTGCGCGCGCTGGCGGCGAGCGAGCTGCGCCGACTGCACGGGGCGTATTCAGCGCAGGAGGCGGAGCGACGGAAGGCGCTTGAAGAAGATGACGGGGCGGAGGGGGCGGAGGAGCTGCCGCGAGGGCGCGACTGGGCGCGGGAGATCATGTGCGGGATCCATGCGCATCCGTCTATGAACCATCTCCATGTGCATGTTATCTCCGTGGACCGGTACAGTGCGCGGCTGAAGCATCGGAAGCACTACAATAGTTTCTCTACGCCGTTCTTTGTGCCGATGGAGGATTTCCCGCTTGCGGATGATGATCCTCGCCGGCGGCCCGATGAGCAGGGGTATCTGCGGAGGGATTTTGTCTGTTGGCGCTGTGGGAGGGACTTTGGGAATAGGTTCGCGGAGCTGAAGGTGCATCTTGCGGAGGAGTTTGAGGCATGGAGACGGTTATAATAGGTTGCCATGGAGTTAAGGCCCGGGGAGTGGGGGTTGGAATTCAAATGACTCAGGGGTGTAGTTATCCCTTAAGTCTTCATTGGTCATCCTTGGGTTTTGCTAATAGAGCCTCCGAAAGCCTAAGCTGCGAGAGCGTCGATTGCCTAGATAGAATGTGGACATAGATGTACACGCAAAATTGAAAGGACAGGAATAGCAGTCGACCGATCACGTTCTCAGCGATCATACCTGCCAACTGGTTTATATCCTATCGTCAGACTCGAGGAAGGAACCACTCAAGGTCCCCTCAACGAGCATTAAAACCTTCCTATAACTTCATCTTACACAGCCACCGTTCACAATGCCACCAGAGCCATTTAAGCACGGCTCTTGGAGCGGGAGCTGCTGCCCTTCACCTTCCGGGCCTCAGGGCGGTTGATGTGGTGGGCGGGGATCCAGTCAGCATTGTAGGTGGTAGCAGAGGTAACGGCCGGACCCTCGACGGAGATCTCCTCCTTCTTGGCCACACCAGTGGTCTTCTTGGCGGTCTCAGGGGCCTTGCCAGCGCGACGCTTCTGGGGGAAGTAGGGGGCGATCCAGACGGTATAGAAGAAGTAGACGACACCGGAGAAGCAGGCCAACAGGAAGAAGTACAAGAAGATGCTGTGACCAGCAGGATTAGTCGACCTTCTTACACAATTGGATGAGATTTGGGGGGCTCACATCTGAGGGTCGAAGATGCTAGTCTCGGGCTCAACCACAGTGACGGTGCCGTTGAAGGTGTACAGAGTGTAGACGTTACCCTCGATATCGGAGATGACGGAAGCAAGCTCGAGTCTCAAGTCCTGGGGGTGCATCTCGATGGCGAAGTTGAAGTTCACGCTCTCCTTCTCCCCAGCCGGGATCTCGAGGCTGTAACTGTGGGCGGTCAGGTTGCGAACAATGCGGTTCTCTTCCTCACCCAGAGACCACAGCGAGCCTCCAATGAAGTTGACCGTCACCGGGTTGGGCTCATCGTTGGAAAAAGTGACCAGAGCCTGGGTCGGGTGGCCATTGACCAGCTTCACGCCGAAGAACTCAGAGGCAGGGAAAGCAGCGTCCGCGGTGACAGCAAGGTTGGGGGTCTGGGGAGCCTCCTCCTTCGCAACAGCATCCTATACAGATAAGAAAAGCCATTGCGTTAGCGAATCGAGTATACAGACACGTGAGCAATCTGATTCAGACGAGGGCAAAACATACAGCCGCGAGACCGCCGCCGATCAAGGCCTGGACGGAGAGAAGAGCCAGAGACAAGAAACCAAAGCGAGCCATTGTGAGACGGCTACAGGTGGAGATGAAAGAACCGAGCGAGAAGAAAACGAAGAAGATGAAGGGAGGGAAGGAGAGGAAGGTGGGGTGAGGGGAGGGAGAAAGAGAAAGAGGATAGTTAAAGGATGATGATGGATGATGGAAGAGGAAGACGGACGGACGTTTGCTCCACGTAGGCGTTTCGGTTGCTTTCCCCATGTGGCTGACTCAGCTTTCCCGGGGGCGGTCAGCCTGACTGACTGATGATTGACTGACTCCCGGCAAACAAACTGCCTGTCTGTCCGTTCCGTTTGCCGCGCGCTGCGTTTATCCAGTCTCATTCACTCGGTAGTTAGTGCAAGTGTCAATTAAATCCAGCCAGCTCCGCGCCCGTTTACTCCAAAGTTGCAATCCTCTGTAGAGTGAATCTTCCTATATTTCAGTGAATATTTAGTTAAAATTAATTCCTGAATTTATCTGCCTATATCGTCCAGCTCTTTTGAAGAATAATATATAACACGTCTTATTACAAACTGTTCCCCAGATCTCAAACTGACCCAAAAAAAATCCCATTACTTCCTTGCATTCATTCGTGTCCAGAGCTATCGTTTCGCAACTCAATCCCATCCTAAACAGTCAACCATGACGACTTCCACATATCTCGATCGCTATAGGAGCCTGGCGTATGCAGAACAAAAGAAAAACCTGCTGATCGAGGTATCGTACCTACTCAGATTTCGCGAGAGGCCATATATATGTCCTGTACTGTGAGTTGTGTTGACACCACGTTTTCCGGCGCCTAGGAACTCCTGCAGCGGGTGGCACAGCTCGAAGATGCATACGAACAAGAAAAGCTTGACCATAATCGCGAGAAACGGTTTAACCGAGAGATTCAGGTACACGAGATGGAATTAATGGAGCAACTCTCGAGATTCCAGCTGTCAACGGTGGGTCCCGGACACAACCAGATATATACTTTAGTTCCCGCCAAACGCAGTCCGTGCTGACGGCAACCGTTGAAACGGACTTTCTAGAACCGCAAACCATATATAATCGCTCTCCTCGATGGATCTGGGATCATATTTCAGGATGAGTTTCTAAAAAAAGGTGGCCAGGGGGGCAAGCTCGCCGCCCAAAAGCTGCACCAGGAGCTTGAGGTCTTTGTGGCCAACCAACTTCCCAGCGCCAGAAGCCCCAAAGTCCTAGTTAGGATGTACGTCAATGTGAAAGGACTAAACGAGGCCTGTGTCAGAGGAGGCATTACGACAGACCCCGCTCTACTGGAGGACTTCACTCGCGGCTTCAACAGTGGCTATCCTTCATTCGATATTGTGGATATTGGCGCTGGAACGGACAGTGCGCATGATAAGATCGCAGGTAAGCTTCGCCATGCTCCACCTCATCCTCACAAGAAACCAGCCTCGCCATCGTAGTCCACCCGCTGATATGACCAATGTCCCTCATCCAGAGGCTTTCGAACTGAATCTATACAACTGCCACTGCCACCAGCTCCTGCTAGGTTGCGCGGACGAGAAGTCCTTCTTCCAGATCCTGGGCGATAGCCTCCACGACAAGGACCTGATGGGACGGGTGACCTTGATCGAAGCGCTGCCCTTCGGCGAGAACCTCAACGCCGTGCGCGCATCCTTCCGAACAATGAGCTGCTCCGAGATCTTCCGCGAATCCAAGATCTGCCCGATTTGGTCGCCCTGGAAAGCCGCCGTGGCCACGCAGCCGCGGTCCCTGCTCACACCATCGCCCAAACTAGAGACAAAGCCATCGCCACCCCGCGCCTCCCTCACCAGAACATCCACCAGCGTCAGCGCACCGCTATCGCCTTACACATCCTCCTCCCGACCATCCAGCCCGGAAGAGGAGTTCCAAGTGGTCCGCGGCAAAGCGGCCGCTGCGCCCGCACGCCCTAAGGTTGTCGAGCGCAACAAGTTCGGCCAGCGGGTCGATCGGCTCGATCTCAAGAACATCAATCAGCAGGAGATGAACCGGCTCAAGAAGTTGAAGCTGTGCAATTTCTACTACCTCCAGGGCGAGTGTCCCGTCGACGACTGCCAGCACGACCACTCGCACAAGCTGACCAGGAACGAGCATGTCATCTTGGCGGCTATCGCCCGTATGATCCCCTGCCGCTATGGGCTTGAATGCGATGAGCCCGAGTGTACGTATGGCCATCGGTGTCCATATAGTGAGCCGGGAGAAAGGGAATGCCATTGGGGCTCGTCGTGTCGGTTTGATCCAGCCTCGCATGGAATCGATACCACGATTGTGAAGGTGACGAAGATCTAGCGTTTCTGTGCACTAGCATATGATAGTCGTTGAAAGCATTCCTTTTTTCGATTTTCATTTTCTTTTTTGACTGGCCCAAGTCATTATCTTCTTTTGTGATGTTTTTTCTCTGTGCTGTCGCCGTAAGCTAGTCTTAATTTGGGGCTCATTACACGGGGGCATTGTTCTCAGCTTTCCCGCGGCTTTGCTGGCGCAGCTTATTCACGACTCGTCCCATTTCGTTCAGCAGCTTCAGACAGGGTCTCAGTCTGTCCCTGCATACACAAATGCGACTAATCCAGAATCCCCACAAAAAACTTTCCTCGTTATCGTGACTTCGGACATTTGAGTAGGAAGGTGAGAAGTGAAGATATGAGATGCACCGAGTGTAGCTCAAAATGGCCTCCAAGATATTACACTAAACGGTACTATCAATGCCAATATATAAAAACACACCGATTAAGACCCTTCAAGCTTCGATCGTGGTCATGAACATCGCAAATCGCTTCTCCCACCCAAAACAATCCTCATGGGTACACTCGGTGTCATCATCACTGTCGAGCGTGTGGACGCGATGCCTGCACGTGACACCGTATTCCTTGATGCAGCAATTAAACGGTTGCTGAGATAACGCACCCAGGTTAGGAGGTGTTCCATTTCCTTCCTTCGTGGCTGCTTGTTTGAGCTCTTCTAGATTTCCCCAAAGATGGAACAGCTTTTCTCGCAGGTCCGAAAGATCGGCCGAGTTCTTTCTTAAGCTGGAAATACTGTCTTAGTATGTGACCCCTTATATAGGGTTAAATTGTATACTTACTCAACTGCATCGAGGCCATGGAGATACACAGCGTCAGGACCAGATACAAACAATCTGACTTGTTGCTTTGGCTGTCCGGGTGGGGGTGGAGGCACGCTTTCGACTAGGAGGCAGAAGCGCCATTCCCATGTCGTGAAGCTGCTATCTTCTTCTCTGTCACTCTCTTCGTTCGCTGGAGCTGGACCTACTGGGACCGAAAAGTCTTCCAGTCTAGGAGGAAAATAATCGACCACGCGAACTTTCGACCGGTAACAAAAGTTCTGAAACGGGAAGCGGTATTCGATATTGTCTGGTGACAAGTTGGTATGTTCTTCAGAGGCGACAATGGCTTCGAGACTTCGAATAGGTACTGATGGGTTGCCTGCGCGCACTATCGTGGACTGTCAGATTCTGCCTACCTGGAATGCATTGCCATGAAGTGACCTACCGGTTGGGTTTGCTTCATAGCGACTGCGGTTGGTGACAGGGGGTGACAGAGGCTTTTGGCTTTCCTCGGGCTTTTCTTTCTTCCGTGCTTTTACTTTGGATTTCTTGGGAGCCTTTGACTTGTCTTCGTCAGATGGCTTTCGTTTTCGAGAATTCGATTCCCAGTATTCTGTTTTCCGTTCGATCAGCTGCTGGGCCCGAACATCCTTGTGAGCTTGTACGACTAGCACGTTCGCCGAAAGGGGGTGGGTCTTATTGGTATGAACAACTGCTTCCAACCCTCCGTTGATTCGACTCTTTCTGATGTGCACGTTGTAAACCAGAATGACATCGTTCTCTTTGACGAACTGGCGGGCGTAGCTTGCGTGTGGCTCCCATAACGTGACCGGAAGCGACAACTGCCCAGCCGGCCCTGTCCATTTTCTCCGGAATCGCCTCTGGTAGCCGAAGGTGTCCCCTTCACAGCCATCGTTTCCCTCCCCTTGATCAGGTGAGTAATCGTGCAGATCCTTGTTGGCTGTATAATCCGTGAGGTAGAGCAAGACCTTTTCACTGTCATTAGGGTACATTTTGATCACTTCCCCGACCAAGTCAACAAAGGTCTGCTCTTGAATGTCTTTGATGAGCGAGAACTTCTTGCGGTTGTATGACCTGGAGTTTGGAGCAGAGGTTTGAACCACGTAGGGAGGCGGAGGGCGGGATGCCACTGCAGCCTTGCGAAAGTCATGGATGCTGGTAATCTTGTCCAGCAAGTATAGGGCCTTCCTTCTCTCGACGTTGTCAGGCTCAAAGGGTTGTGGTCCACAGATGGGCGAAGACCTGGCAACTGGATCTGGGTCTGGACGGAAAATGGCCCATGGGATGTCCTTGTCCTGCGCGGCCACTCCTACAGTCCCACCTTGTAACGACCGCACCTGCAGCAAGAGTATGTGAGTATCAATTGAGCGAGAAAGAAATGAATTTGAGTTCGGGCACGAACCCATAAGTTGCGCAGGAGTATCACATCATGCACTTGAACGGGTGGCAGACTATTCTCATTGTCCCTGAAGTATTTGACCTTTAGCCCGTCCCATGTATGGCCATTCTCCAGGTTCGAGTCCTTGACCGTAAAGGTGACACAGGTAGACGAGCCCCTGGACTTCCAGACGCCCGGCATCACATCGACCACGACCCCAATGATATTAACATTACCGGGCGATGCGAGCGCCTTGGAAATGTCCACTAATCTTGGAATGAAATTGGCTGGCATTGTGACGGGCATTGGCAATATTACAGGTGTTAGGGGAACATAAGAAGGTATCCCAGGCCATGAACGGTGCGGTTATGCTGGAATCGATGTCATTGATTGTTTCCGACTCGATTGGCGGACTACTGCATCGGTCTGGAGACAGGGATGTGATGGTCCAGTTCGTAAATGTGCTGTTGGCTAGAGCCAAGTACTCGTCACGGTAACAGACCAAGTTTGCAAGAACTGTAACACATTTTCTTGTACGGTTGGAGTAGAGAGTGTAGAATAGGAAGCTGCAAGATGATCAAATGATAAGACGCGTTCCGTGGTTTTGGTGCTTCTTTCCTCACACGCGTTGATTAAGCTTTATATACTGTAGCATAGAGCTCTACATCAGCAATTCGCTCGCATGGCTTAGATGGTAAAGCGCAGCACTAGTAATGCTGAGATCCTCGGTTCGAGTCCGAGTGTGAGCAATTTCTTCTTTTCTTTTTGTCTTTTTCCCCATCTCAATTTCTGGCTTAAAAGAGGCCTATGTTTGTTTTGCCTCTTCCCAGACGGCCAATCAGCTCTCCTTAACGACAGCCCCTCCGCGGCAACATCGCTTAAGCGGAAGTGGCGCTTGCAAGCCGCCGTGGCCGAAAGCAGCAAATCACAAGGCATCCCGTGACTGGAGCCAATCCCACCTCAGAGCATCAACACTTTTTTCCCCTCCTTCAACTTCACTTCTTTCTTTGCGCTCATCTCTTTTTTTGTCCAAGGCTAGCTTTCCCCTGGTCCCCTTTCCTCAAAACCATCTAGTACTGGTTTTTCTGTCTCGTTTCTGACTGCCCCTAGTTCATACTCCATTTCTTTTACCCCCCCTCTCCCCCTCTTAGCTGATCAGTCTTGTGGGCTTTGTTTTCACCCCTCTTGTGTCCTAAGCAACCATGGCCGAACGTTACATCCCCGAGCATCGCCGCACCCAGTTCAAGGCCCGCAATCAGTTCAAGCCCGACGAACTTCGTCGTCGTCGTGAGGAACAGCAGGTTGAAATTCGCAAGCAGAAGAGAGAAGAGAACTTGGCCAAGCGGAGAGGTATCCAGACCCGTGATGGTGGAATTGGTGTAGGCGGCGGTGTTGCTGCTGAGAGTGATGATGAGGCCAGTGCCATCGAGAGCGAGGTATGCATTTCTCCTGTTTAATTATTCGCCGCTTGATTCAGTTCGTTATCGCTCTTGTTTTGTGGCTCGTGTGCTTGGTTTTTTTTGCAAGCGGCGGCGGCGCAGCTTATTTTGCGTCCTCAAAAAGCGAAGCAATGAGCTTTTCACCGCTTTGTCGCCAAACAGAGCTTGAACTGGATGTATCCTCCGAGCGCACAACAACACCTTTCTTTTATCATTTCCTATCTTTTACCATCGTCGTATCATTTCGATGGCTAACAGATCGCCTTTTAGCTTAACGTTGAGCTCCCGGAGATGGTCAAGGGTGTCTTCTCTGAGCAGATCGACCAGCAGATCCAGGCCACTACCAAGTTCCGGAAGCTGCTTTCGAAGGAGCGCAATCCTCCCATCGAGCGTGTCATCGAGACCGGGGTTGTGAGCCGCTTTGTCGAGTTCCTCCGTTCCCCTCACACTCTTGTTCAGTTCGAAGCTGCTTGGGCTTTGACCAACATTGCCTCCGGTTCCGCCCAGCAAACCCAGGTGGTCATCGAGGCTGGCGCTGTGCCGATTTTCGTCGAGCTCCTAAGCAGCCCTGAGCCCGATGTGCGGGAGCAGGCCGTCTGGGCGCTTGGTAACATTGCTGGTGACAGCCCTCAGTGCCGCGACTTCGTGCTTAACGCCGGTGCTCTCCGTCCCCTCCTCAACCTGATCAACGACGGTCGCAAGCTGAGCATGCTCCGCAACGCCACCTGGACTTTGAGCAACTTCTGCCGTGGCAAGACTCCTCAACCTGACTGGAACACGGTATGTTCATCCGCGATTAGATAGGAAAAGCCCCGCGCTGACACCCACATTCCAACAGATTGCCCCCGCCCTTCCCGTCCTTGCCAAGCTTATCTACATGCTTGATGACGAAGTCCTGATTGATGCTTGCTGGGCTATCTCTTACTTGTCCGATGGCGCCAACGACAAGATCCAGGCTGTTATCGAGGCCGGCATCCCCCGTCGCCTCGTGGAGCTCCTTATGCACGCCTCGACCTCTGTCCAGACTCCCGCTCTTCGGTCCGTTGGAAACATCGTGACTGGTGACGATATCCAGACCCAGGTCATCATCAACTGCGGTGCTCTCCCCGCTCTCCTTTCCCTCCTGAGCTCCACCAAGGATGGCATTCGCAAGGAAGCTTGCTGGACTATCTCCAACATCACTGCCGGCAACTCCACCCAGATCCAGGCCGTTGTTGATGCCGGTATCATTCCTCCTCTCATCAACCTCCTTGCCAACGGTGACTTCAAGACCCGCAAGGAAGCTTGCTGGGCTATTTCCAACGCGACCTCGGGTGGTCTCCAGAAGCCCGAGCAGATCCGTTACCTTGTTACCCAGGGATGCATCAAGCCCCTGTGCGACTTGCTTGCTTGCCCTGACAACAAGATTATCCAGGTTGCCTTGGATGGCCTCGAGAACATCCTCAAGGTTGGTGATATGGACAAGGAGGCTGCGCAGTCTGGCGATGCCCGCGTCAACCGCTACGCTCTGTTCATCGAGGAGGCTGGTGGCATGGAGAAGATCCACGACTGCCAGAACAACGCCAACGAGGAGATCTACATGAAGGCGTACAACATCATTGAGAAGTACTTCTCTGATGAGGATGAGGCTGGTGACATTGATGAGGTCGCTCCTCAGCAAACGCAGACTGGATTTGCCCTTGGCACTACGCAACAACAGCCTGGCGGCTTCAACTTCGCTAACGGCGGTGATTCCATGGACATGTAAAGAACGGAATCTCATTTGCACCTCAATCTGAACCTCCCACGATCTGGTGTACCTATCTTAATCCTATGCCTTATCGCTAGATCGGGACCACCAGGTGGCCTGAGAAGACTGCCCTGTGGACGCCTCAGCCTCTGAGTTCGTGGAGGCTCTGGTACGTTGGCGCTCCCGATTACTCCCGGCTCAGGCTCTTTGACGTAAGAGCCTGGAGGGAGAGCCCGTGGCAGCACGACACATGCCCCTCTTCTCCCCCAAATTCCCTTTTTGCAACTCTCGAGGTTTCGACATTTGCGTTGTTCCCTCTCCCCGCCCTCTCATACTCGCACTCCCCCTTTTGATAAGTTCACGATAAACAAGATTCACCATCATGTAACCCTTCCCAACTGTCTTTGTCATTATCGTAGCATCCCTCATACACCGGCGTATCTGTCTCTTTTTTTCGGTCTCATGTTTATGTCTCTCCTGGATGGTTGTTCTTTTGTTGCCCTTCGGTTGTTGTACCCCGTTTCTTTTTGTGGGTCTAGGATGCGACTGTCCGCCTTTGCTCTTCTGGAGAGTAAGAGTGAGTATATCGCCAGCTGTATACAATTTCCCGTCTCTCTTGGAGCTTTCGGTTCACAGGAAGGGAAGAAGGGTGGATGACGATGCGCTCTTCCCGCGATATCTCTATCGGTCTGTTCAGTGACGGTGGCGGAGTAGATTCCGTTCTAGGCCAAAAAAATGGAAAGCTTCTTATTCAGAGTTCCTTGTAAAGAACGCAATTCGCCTAGACATGGTGATATAGTGTGCCATTTTATGGTGGGCGATGACTTAGGACACACATAAAACCTGAAGGGATAGTCCATCCCAAGGCAGATGCAGAGGCAGAGTTATGCCCTTACCAAGATTAATGAAACGTTGTGGCGTTCGCCATCTTAACTGAGGAGACGATCACTGTCTGAAGGTAAAACCGCATCATCTCTAACAACCACCTGAATCCTCACCATCAAGACGGGAATCAAGCTAGAAGAGAAGCCGAAGTAGAGCCCGCATATCATTTCTGTGTCTATTTCCATATAAATTCACTCCCATCGAGTTGTGAGGACTTTATGAACTGGCTGGATCAAACGTAGTATCCAGCCTACTAGATCTATATGTAGCTTTGTCCCAAGGCGTATGAAGGCTAAGAGCCGACGACGGTCGAGCACGGAGGTTTCGCACCCAGGGGTCAAATCACAGAAAGCCTCACTGACCCAATGCTTGTCCCAACCGTAAGCATCCAGCTAAACAGTGGTGCCACTGCTCTGGACCACCACGCACAGCATTAATTAGTTAGTACTGACCCACCCCGACCTACCTGCTTGCTGCCTTCGATGAGCCGCATACCGCGGTATACCTAGGACCGAATCTACCGGGTCGGCGACTGCGAAGTGCAGTACTGTACGTCCTCGAATGGATACTCTGGCATCACTTTTCTTGATGCTATTCTGTTGCCTGTGTAGGTCCCACCTCGCCCACTGTGTGTCTCTTTAGAAAGTGGTTGCCTGCTCCAGTGTTTGGTTTGATCTGTTATGTGGGGTAAGATCTAGTGAGTGAATGAGTTTCTTGCCACCAGGGTAGCGTGTTATTCTTTATCGAAGCGTTACATTTCAGGTGGAGACCCTGGGATCTTGATCACCGGGGCCCTTTGCTTGATACTTCGTACTGTATCTTGTCTTGTTGCCTGCGCTACCGGTAGTCCCGCTTCCAGTGCGTATTACCCTAGCGATTCGCACGGCCCAGCCACTGGAACGGATCCCGCGGGGGGAATATTTCCATCTCGACCTATCTCTTCTTACTCGGAGATAGATGGTTGCCTATTGTGGTGGTAGTTGACAGCTTGACATACATCATAATGGGTGGTGGGGGCGGCCCTTGCCATCGGGAGCGGAAAATAGCAGCCTTGCCTTGGATCTCCTCCCGTCTTAGCCATCGCATCCTTAAAATCGGAGACACCATAACAAATGGAAGGATATCCTTGCCAGAGAAGGCTTGTTGCTTCTGGTGAGACGGGGGATGTATGCAAGGGCGGAGGAGCGACGGGATCGGGGCTAAAGGGTCGGACATTTTCCAATCCGCGCCGGAGAGAGAGAGAAAGGGGGAATGAATATTCTACTAAGTAGCATCCTCATATTCGCCGCCGTCGGGGCACCGGCGACCAGGGATTCTAGTCTCGGTAGAGAGGAGGATGTTTTGGATACTCCTTCTGGGAGAGACGAGATCCGTCGATGCGCCCCCAACACTAGAGAGAGGTTGGGTGGTTGACTGGCGCTAAGTAGCAAGTGAATAGGCAGCACTCAAATCGTTTTTGGGATAGTGGTGGGTGCTGCAAGGTCTAATGTTGGACCCTCGTGTAGAGAGGAAGGGCGCTATAACTTAGTAGCGAGACAAATATACGGATGTCGCCGTTTTCCCTCGGTTGTGATTGGTAGAAACTAAGGGAAAGGTTATTGAGTGTAAGCATTCAGAGTGTTGGTTGACGGGGGGGTCTTTCCAATGCCCGAGCCCTAATCCTTCCCAAGTCTAGAATTCTAGAGTCCAGACTTGTCTTAAGGCTGTGTGTGTGGTCCCTGGAAGGGTTCAGGTGATAAGTCCCTTTTTTTTTGGTTTTCGCACAGTTAGCGCCCTTTTGCTTTTTCATGCACGTCTTACGGCGACTTGTTTGGTTTTTGGGTTTATTGCCCGAGGGTCAGTGAGTGGGAGCGAGCAAAGCCGGAGATGCCAGCATCTTCTTGCAACACATCGGAGGGGAATGGGGGCCAGGGGCTTGTCTCACCTTTTGCATTTGCGCTTGCTTGCTTTCTTTGTGACTGAATTTTCTTGTGTTCGACTTCTTTTTCTGTTGCCTTATCCCGTAGGCAGCATAATTTTGGGTGAGGTTGAGGGAAAGGATGAGGTTGTCTGGTTGAGATGAAATGCAGGGCGCCTTTTGGTGAAGATAACTCGATGAGTGCTTCATGGAGACTCACTAGACACTAATTCGATTAGCGTAGGCGCTCTATCCAATCAATCTGACCATCTCCTTCAGGGTCCACGTCTGTTTTGCTTAATTAAGTAGTATCTACTTAGGTATCTACATTTTCTCTTCACTGAGTAAATCAGAGTTTGGAGGGTTTCCTCCAATGACAGCCTTGCTCCCAGCACATGGGCGGACCCGATCTAGCCGTGAAGAAGGAAGACCATTCGGTTGTCAAGACCGACTTTGTTGACTTAAATTGATCTGCTTCTGGTCTGATCGGTTTCATAGGGGGGTCTGGAAGGAACTAGGGAAAGGGAAGGCTGATGATCTTTGAGAATGAATCTAGTCAGAGTGACTCTCACTTACTACTATTTCCATCTCTACTCTCTCTCCTTCCCTGTTCGCGACATTCCTCACCACCTCATCACCACCACCACCACCACCACCACCACCACCGCTCTGTCTGCGTGAGAAACAGACAGAGAATAAAAGGACTGTATCTGTTACTCTCCCTCCTGTCTACCTTCTTGTATCTCTACCATGGTACTGAATGATTCCTACGCCATGGCATCTCCTCATTCACCCTCGTCTTCCCCGCATTCTTTTCGTTCCTCGCAGTCGATGTTGGACCCCACGGAGCGCTATCAGATGGACCACCAGCCATGGACCAGCGATTCTCTCACCATCACGAAGGAATGCAGCAACTCAATAAGCGAATTTGACCTCGAGGCCGATCCCGAAAGATCTCATTCGGTTCGTCGCAAAGGCTATCTACGGTCGTGGTGGATGCGGGGACCGGCTCTTATCGCCGCCGCCTTCAACATTGCGCCTCGCGATAAACGGCCCGAGGCTGCTGGCCTTTCCTGCTCCACTCCCTTTCACAAATCATCATCCGTACGACATTCTCCCAAGTCCAGAAGGCTGCTTCGCTGTTTGCTCTATCCGATCGTCTGCATTCTGATCATGTTGTAAGTCATACCATCGCACCATGCAAACACCCCCCACTCACAGAAATACCAATAGAGGCATTGTTCAGTTCATTGCCATTGTCTGTGGCATAGTCATTGCATTCTTTCCCAGCGAGGTCGACCGCGCAGTCGAGCGGTGGCAACCGGGTAGCACGACCTCTGCCATCAATCTCTCGCGCTGGCCCACCGATGCCTCTCGTGGCATCAACCCCGTCAAATGTCACTCGCATAACGACTACTGGCGCCCCGTCCCGTTGTTCTCTGCCCTCAAGGCCGGCTGCGTCGGCGTCGAGGCCGATGTCTGGCTGTTCGACGAGGAACTCTATGTGGGCCACACCACCTCATCGCTGACCCCGAAGCGCACGCTGCGCACCCTGTACATCAATCCCCTCCTCAGGATCCTCGAACGGCAAAACCCCCTCACCGAGTTCCACCCCCAACTCCATCGTCCACTCCAGGGCGTTTTCAGCACCGATCCATCCCAAACCATCATCCTACTGATCGACATCAAGACCAACGGCTACGACACCTACAACAAAGTCGTCACACAACTGGCACCGCTCCGTGAGCGCGGCTACCTGACATACTTCAACGGCACCGATGTTGTTCCCGGCCCGATCACAGTCGTCGGCACGGGCAACACGCCCTTCGATCTGGTCACGGCCAATACCACATACCGGGACATCTTCTTCGATGCGCCACTCAACGTACTTGCCGAGAACGATGCCAATAGCGGTGACGACGATTTCTCCTCCGACGAGACACGCCACCTGACCCAAACCCAAAGAAGCACGGCCACCGGGGCCACCACCGCCCGCGACACTGACAATAGCCTTACGGCGCGAAATGTCGGTCAAGGCCTCACGGGCGTCTCCCAAACCGACACCTTCGACCGCACCAACAGCTTCTATGCCTCGGTCTCCTTCAAGAAATCCATCGGCTTCCCTTGGACCTTCCGCCTCACGGACCAGCAGATCGACACGATCCGAGCGCAGATCCGCGCCGCTCACCGCCGCGGCCTCAAGGTCCGCTACTGGGACGTCCCGGACTGGCCGCGCCTTCTCCGCAACCACCTCTGGGCCGTGCTCGTGCAGGAGGGCGTCGATATCCTGAATGTCGATGATCTGCAGAGCGCCGCCCGCCAGGATTGGAGGCCGAAATGGTCGGATCTGTGGCATTAGTTTTTCTAGTCACTAGATGCAAGGAGTGAGTTTCTTGATTTTCTCGGAACACAAAGAAAAAGAAGGCCTCGGAGTTTCCTATGTGCGTATTTTATGAATTGCCTTTCTTTCCCTCCGATTTGATAGAGCTTTCCTTTTTCTATTTGCGTTTGGCTTGTTCAGCTTTGTTTCTGTGTTCTTGTTATGAATGTTGGTGATACCCTTTTTTTTGATGTTGGATTTTGTTTTCTTGGTTTTAGTCTGTTCCTGTTGCTGTTGTTGTTTCGGATGCGGCCTTTCACGTGTTCTGCTTCGAAATTGCTGCTTAAGAGAGAAGACAGGTTTAAATCTGGATATCTGGTATCTGTGATGTGGCTGGGACGTCGTGGGTGCAGGTGGGGAATTGCGTTGTCTAGACTACTTCATGCTTTTTACCTTACCTTCTAGAAAGAAGAGGGGAGATTAAGACGAGAGAAGAGAAATTTAGATAGAGCATCATCTTTAGCTTTGGCAGAAGATCCTTGCTTATGCAAGAGAAAATATGCTAATTAACCATGAGAAACCTTGGGTGCAAGGCAACAGTTTGGGTATCATTTGACCTCCTTTGTGGGGGTCATGGGGTAAATAAAACACAGCACAATAAGAAACGCTTTTGTGAAGACGACGAAACCAAAATCTCACAAGCAGAATAATGCCTCCTCGCCGAACTCTTTGTAGACCGTCCCTTCCTCGCGCAGGATTGCTCCGAGCCAGTCCTTAGCGGTGGCGAAGTCGGGGGCTCCGAACTTGACTAGCACGAACCCGGCGCGGACCCGGGCCGCTGTGAAGGTCACCTGCTCGTCGAAGTTGGGCGGGGACTCCGTGGCGGCGGAGGAGCCGCTGGCCACGGTCGAGGGGGAAGACCAATTGCGGGCGCCGATGCGCGGCAGGGAGGTGAAGCGGTCCATGACGAAGTTGGCGAGGTTCTCGAACACGGGCCCGTAGAGGATCAGGGTGCCGACAACGCCGTGCGGGTACGTCCGTTCGCGGATCAGGTTGGTGTGCGTCAAGAGCTCGGGGTTTCGGTCCAGCTGGTCCTGGTCGAGCTCGCGGTCCAGGATGAGCGAGTCGCGAAGCAGGAGCTTCTTCTTGCCCAGCTCGTCGGTGGTCCACACCTCATTCTTGCCGCGCCAGAGGTGGAAGTCCCAGTTCTCGCCGCGGGAGGCGCGGCCCTGCGTCACCCAGTCTAGGATGCAAAGGCTGCTGCGGCGCGGGTCTTTGCTGGCGGTGGGCCCGTCCACGGTGAAAGTCTGCACCTGCTCGTAGCGGCTGTCCTTGTAGGGGACGGCGGGGTCCGGGAGGTAGCAGAGGGCGGCCTCCTGGCCGACGTGGACGCTCAGGGTCTGGCTGCTCTTGTCGGAGAGGATGTGTTTCGGGGTGCCGCGCTGGCCCTTGACGCTTGCGTTGGGCTCGGTTTTGAAGATCTTGGTGCTGCCCTGCGGCGTGGTCACCACCATGCGCGTGCGCGGGTCGAGCGTGATCGAGACATTGATCTTGTCGCCGGGCAGGAGTCCGCCGCCGTAGGTGAGGAGGTACAGGTGCACGGGTTGCGAGGGACAGGTGAGCGCTGAGGACTTGGGGACGAACCCCGGCGTGCGAGTGAGCAGCTTGAGCGGGTATTTGTAGGTCAGCGTCGTCAGGGTCGGGTTCGACGGTGGCAGCAGGGAGAGCACGACTTGGCCCTCTCCTGGCTTCGCTATGCACGACTCAAAGGGAGATTTTATTGGCATCCTGGGTGGCTTGTGGTGGGTTTGGAGTGGCAGCGGCAGCGGCAGCGGCAACGGCAGCGGGGGCAGAGGGAGGGGGATGTTTCAAGGAAGAATGTGATTTTGATTTTTGCGGGGAAAGCTCGGGAAGAGAGGCTAGAAGAACGAGGACTGATGAAGGAAAGAAGAAAGGAAAAAGAGGGTCGTCGATCCGTCGGCTTTTAACAGCATTGTCTCTTCACAAGTTCACACAACCCCAGCAATGCTTTTTTTAGATTCAATTTTTCAATAAATCTCAAAAAGCAATTCCAGACAGACACACAGGGGAGATGGCGTCATGAGCGGCGTTGAGTTGGTTCGTTTATCCCTTGGCTCTGCATTGATTGTGCATTCGGAAATGGAGCTTGGGGGGTCCTTTCTGACGAAAGAGATCAGTCAGATCGCACTGCCGACGCGCGAGTCTCCAGTTACTGAACTTCCTGAAGTTTGATGGCTGCGAATCCTCCAGCGGAAGCGGGGTTTAATCGACCCCGTGGATGAATGAGTCGGGGATGGTCAGTCTTGTCAGTTCTTGGCTCAGTGAGAATGGACTCAAACTGGAGAGTGAATGGAGCATAGTCAGAGTGAGTGAGGCAGAGCCCCTGTTTCCATTACGGCATAAATATCACCAACTGCGCAATTGCCTTTTCGGGGAGGAAGGCTAGTCAGCTGACTGGGCCTGATCTGCCCCTTGGTTCCGCCTTGGCATTCTTGGCGGTTCTCACCCTCTTGCATGACTAAGGATGCTAGGTGCAGTCCCGTGACTTGCATGAAACAACCACCCTTGAGTTCCAGGCACGCAGGCACGCAGGCACGCAGCCAGCCTCAGGCAGCAATGGACCATCATCAGGCACCCAACTCAAGCGCGTCTCCGTCTCGCCGTTGTGTTTCTGTCGGTCTGTCGGTCTGTCTACTATTAACTGCTGCTGCTTGTCTCATTCCCCTCACTCCCACCACCACCACCACCACCACCACCACCACCCTCTTTTCCCTCCGCCAGTCTCATTCACGAACGCACATGCTCGCCCTCCCAATTGACTAACCCCGGAATCCCACTGTCAAACTCCCCTGCTTTACTGTTCCCGCCAGTCCACCCGCCGGACGGTGCCAAACACACCAAACACACGCGCGCGCAACCCGGTGCAGAAGCCCAACATCGCGTTCCCCAACTCCGTGCCGATCTAGCCTGCCCCATCCAGTCAACAAATTAATCCAGTACGGCCTACTACCTTGCGCAAATCCTTCAATCTAAACTTGCTCATCCCCTCCTCGTAGCTAACGATGTGTACTCGAGTTACAGTGTACTAATACCGAGACCCCCGCAAGAATGGAGACCGAATCGCCTCTCTCGACACCGCAGCCTGGCCTGGCCACCCAGAGCGACGCCTCCCCCTCAACCGATCGGAGAAAATCTGGGCGCGTGACGCGCAGACCCGAACTCTACTCACAAAGCTACAGCGCCAGCAACGGCGCGACAACCACCAGCGGAGCCAAACGTAAGCGGACCGCGACCGGCGACAACAACGATGAAGATGAGGAAGGTGATCAGAGTGACGACCACGCATCGGAATCCGACAGCGTGGAATCCGCCGATGAAGAGCCCGATGAGGAAGAACTGAGAGAGAAGAAGCGCGCCGCGCGCAAGGCATCCACGAAAAAGCAGCCCGCCGGCTCTTCGTCAAAGTCGAAGTCAAACAAGTCCCGGTCGGCCCGGTCGGCCAAGAAACCCAAGGTCGCCGCTGCTGCTGCTGGTAATGGCATCGGCCGTCAGTTGGCCTTGCGACCGGCCGCGAATGGGAAGCGGCCGACGGCACGGCCCAAGCAGATGAAAGCGCGGTTGACCATGGCTGCTCGACAAGGCGGCCTCTACGGTAAGCAAGCAGCCCTGCGCTCTGGTTGACGGTGCTCGATTTGTCAACCGCGTTGCTGACGTGGTGTATAGCGGAGATTTATGGAAAGGGCCGCAATGTGGAAACCGTCGCTGCGGAGTGGCTGACCCAGTACCAGGAGGATCAGTCGGAAGCCGTGTCTGAATTGGTTAATATGATTCTGAGGTGCTCGGGAACTGATGTCGAGGTTGATTCTGATGATGTCGAGGACGTCGACAATGTACCGACTCGTGTCGAAGACTTGGCCAACCAATACGATGCTTCTGGAATTTCCGAATACCCTCTCATCTCAAGATCCAGGAAACTAAGGTCTTTCCAACCTGTTCTCGAAAGCTTCTTCATCACTCTGATCCAGACACTCCATCACTCCTCAGTCTTCTATACCGACCCGAACTTATACGAAAATCTGCTGGTCTGGATTGCCGGATTCTCCACCAGCAGGTGCCGGCCATTCAGACATACGTCCACCATTATCGCCCTGGCAATCATGAACGCCCTCTGTGACCTCGCGCGTGAGATCACAACTTTGGTGTCAACATCTCGCAAGCAGCTTGAGGGTGAGAAGAAAAAGAAGAACGTGAACAAAGGAAGGGCCGATGCTATCGCATCAGCTATCGAAGAGAATGAACAGAAGCTCGAGACGATCGACAATGCTCTGAAAGATGGCGTGGACGTCATCTTCGTGCATCGCTACCGGGATGTTGACCCCCTGATTCGAACAGAATGCATGATATCATTAGGACGGTGGATGCGCACCTATCGAGAATTCTTCTTCGAAGGCCAGTTTCAACGCTATTTTGGCTGGATCCTCGCGGACAGCGCTCCTCAGGCGCGCCTCGCTACAGTCAACCAATTACGCGACCTCTATGCAAACAGAGACAATGTCGCAGGGCTCCGCACGTTCACCGAGCGTTATCGGCCACGGTTGGTTGAAATGGCCGCCCATGACGCAGATATCACAGTGCGCGCCTCGGTGATAGAGTTGCTCGACATCATGCGCGATATCGGGCTGATTGAGCCTGCCGACATCGACACCGTTGGTAAACTCGTCTTCGATAATGAAGCGCGAGTCCGTAAGGCAGCCGGTCGTTTCTTTGTCGCCAACGTCGAGGACGTTTTCGACTCTACATTGGAAGAACTTGGCGAAGACGTGAACGAAATATTCGGTGACGAGGATGAAGACGATTTCGAATCCCCGAAGCGTTCCTGGATCAAGTTCAAGTGTCTGGCCGACATACTCCAAGCCTACGACGGTCTGGAGAACGAAGAGCATCCAGAAGATTCCTCAGTGCCCCCGCGGGATGCGCTCTTGGGAGCCTCAATGGATACCCGATTTGTTCTGGCCACGGAGGCTATCTATCCTCATCTTGATGAACTCTCTCACTGGCAATCTCTTGCCGGATATCTCCTCTACGATCACTCCCAAATTTCTGACGATGCCACGGAGGACGACACTGCTGCTTCGGTCCGCCAAGCTTACAAGATGCAGGAAGGCCAGGAAGTGATTCTTCTTGAGGTTCTGTGCTGTGCCGTGAAATTGCGCGTACTTGACATTGCGAAGTCCGACATCGATAAAAGAGGCCGGAAGGTCAAGGCCCTGACCGACAAGCTCCCCGAACTGCAGGAGGAGATTGCACACAGTCTTGCGCAGATCATTCCGCAGCTTCTGAATAAGTTCGGCTCGGTACCGGAGGCTGCCTCTGCCGTTCTCAGACTTGAGCACCTCGTGGATCTTGGCAAGATCGAAGATATCCAGAAAGATGCCGCTGCTTATACCTCCCTGCTGAACGACATTAACAAGCAGTTCCTCACCCATTCAGATCGCGATGTCTTGGCCGAAGCCAGCGTTGCATTCTTGCACGCAAAGAGCTCGGATGACATGCGTGAGGCACTGGAAGGCAAGGTGCAAGAGCTCTGGGACCATATGATTGACACCCTGGGTGCATTGTCTCGGAAGAAGGAGATTGCAGAGGGAGGCTTGATACCTCCGGCCACTCTCAACGAACTCATCAACACGGTAACCAGAATCTCGAACCTGGCTAGTATAATCGACTGCACGCACGTTTTGGAGACAATGCCATCTACACGGACTAAGGGAAAGAGTAAGGACTTTTCGGAAGCACCGTTTAACACTTTCTTGCATCTTGTCGAGCGTGGCCTCCGTGCAGAAGAAGACGATGAAGAGCTGGTCAAGGCGGAGACGGAACTGGTGACCAACGCCATGAGGACGCTACTTTTCTACTTCATGTGGAAGGTTCAGTCGTTGATCTCAGCTCTCAATGCCGGCAAAGCGTCATTCAACACTGCGTTCTTCGAAGCGCTGACCAAAGGCCGCGAAATGTTCGTTGCAGCCTTGACTGCTATCATGAAGCACCGCTCGGGTCTAGATGATATCCGCTTCTGTGCAGCCACGACGCTCCTAGACCTACAGACTCTCTTCGGCACCCTCCGCCATGCTGGACTAGGCGCAGGCAACGACGAAGATACCATCTTCCAGACACAGAGCTTGGTCCACGAGATCGGACCCGAGCCCAAGGCCCTGATTACCAGGATCCACGGCATAGCGGAGCGGACCTATGCCAAGAAGCTCCGCATTCCGCTCGAACCCGCCGACGATGACGCTCCATTGTCTGATGACGATATCCAAAAAGCGCCGGTGGATGAGGACGAGGAAGAAGAGGAGGAGGACCCTGAACAACCTCTCGACGATGAGCGTCTCCGATCTAGTATCCTGGCGGAGCAACGGCTCTGCGAGCTGACCGGAAAGATCGTTCTTGCTATTGTAGGCCGCATCCTTGACGCATCTGGCTCCGATCAGGGCCAGTTGAGGAAGAGACTCCTCCAACACAAGGCCAAGCTAGGCCGGAATTACCGTGAGGTCCTGGCCTTCCTCGAGAATCGCAAGCCCAAGAGCGCCGCCTCGCGAGCCACTCCTGCCCATTCCAGGGCGAAGCAGCCCGCTGCTTCTCAGCCCACAAACGATAAGTCTCGCAACGGCGGCGGTGGCGTCATCACCGCAAACAACAACCAGCGCAAGGATACCCACAAATCCGCCGAGAGGATAGAAGACGATGACGATGAAGAAGAAGTGGATGTTGAAGAGGAAGAAGAAGAAGAAGAAGAAGAAGAAGAGGTAGAAGAGGAGGCACACGAGGGCGGCGAAGAGGATGGAGAGGAAGACCTCCGAGCTAGAGGACTCGTTGAGGAAGAGAACATCGACCTTGATCAAGGCGAGGCCGTGGACCAGGACCCGGCCTCCCCGGAGTCGGACGACGAGGACGAAGTCATGGGTGATTAGTTTGGTTGTGACGTTTTCTTTTCGTGTGTTTTATATTCCAATGTTTATTACCTGCTTTGAGGAAGGGAAGTTAGGAGGCAAAATCTACGGTGTTGTTTGTTTTGAGTTCTTTGAAGCCCGGCTTTTGTATGGTAGGTTGATATCTCTACTTTAGAATTGACGTCTGTCTCTGTAGTTATGATAGCGCGATGTATTCATGCTCAAGTGCTGCATATATTCCCCTAGTTACCCCAATTATTATCCATATACATCCTCACCCACCAACTACAAAAAAGGACAATCTGAACCCCCAAGATCAACGACAAGGGGAGAGATCTTATCAGCAACGGCGATAAGATACGCCGCTCTCAGCGGCCCCGTCCGCAACGACAAAAAAAAAATTCCCCTACTGACACTCCAACACTTCGCAACGCAACCAACACAACCACCCCAACTCAACCATTTGATATAATTAAACCACCAAAATGCCACACAAACACAAACGCAGACAAAAAGACTCAGAGTACGTCTGCCCCTCCCCCCTCTCCCCTCCCCTCCCGCCACCCCATTTTATCTAGAATCAAACCTAACGAGAAATAAAACAGAACCTACGACCTCCCCCCAACCCAAATCGCCAAATCCCTCCCCGTCCGCGACCCGACCAGCACCAACACCAGCGCCTCCAAGAATAAACACCAACCCAAGAACCACAACCGAAAGAAACCCAACGGCGCCGCGCGGAAAGAAGCGCCCGCGAAGAAGAATACCGCTAATGCCGCCAACGCCACCGCCAACAAGAATAGTGGTAGCGCGGCGGCATCGCGCCCGAAGTCCGCGTTCGATGACGATGATACGCCTCGTGCTTTTCGGCGGTTGATGCAGCGACAATTACTGGGTTCATTGTCATCGAAGAGGAAGAATAGGGATGGGAGTGATGATGATGACGATGATAATGAGGGGATAAGTGGAGGTGGTAATAAGAAGCGGAAGCGCGGGAATGGTGATGATCAGTCTGGAGCTGGTGCTGCCGCTGCGGGGCGGAAGAAGAAGGCTACTACTACTACCACTACTACTCCTACTAGCACCACTGAAGAAGAAGGAGGGAAAGTAGCGCAACCGAAGATCCTACCGGGCGAAAAACTTTCCGACTTCGCGGCGCGCGTGAACCGCGAGATGCCGCTCTCTGCTATGAAGCGAACCAACAAGCCTGCGGCGTCTGAAGTGGCCAATATACGCGAGCACAAGGTCACGAAGCATGAGAAGCACCTGCGGCGACTGCAGGCGATGTGGCGGAAGGATGAGGCGGAGATCGTGGAGAAGGAGCGGGCGGAGCGTGAGGAGCGCGCCGAGGAGATGGATGAGCAGTTGCAGTTGTGGAAGACGTGGGAGGTTGAGGCTGGGAAGCGAAAGGCGAAGAAGAAGGGGTCGGGCAGACGCAAGAAGGCGGGTGATGATGGGGTGGTCGTCGATGATGATCCCGATCCGTGGGCTAAGCTGAACAAGCGCGATCGCGTCAATAAGCAGCTGAATCCCCTCGATGTCGTCCAGGCGCCGCCGCAGTTGACGAAACCGCGCGAGGTCTTCAAGGTACGCGGCGGCGCTAGGGTCGATGTCGCTAACGTGCCGGCTGCTGTGGGCAGTTTGCGGCGTCGCGAGGAGTTGGCGACCGAGAGACGGAATATCGTCGAGGAGTATCGGCGGTTGATGGCTGAGAAGCGGAAGGCCGCTTAGTTCTCGCTTGTTCCTCCTTACGACATGTAATAGGGAAGGTGGTATGTGTGTGTTGGATATGTTGGAGAGGTATAAAATCAATAATGTCCTTCATTGCAAAAATGCTTTTCTGTTTTGGGGATGGTATATACAGAGATTCAAATCCTTTATGTCGCCCGTGTAAATAACCTCAAAGTTACATAACTTTACTCCTGCTGTACCGCCTTGATGTAATCCGCGGCCTTGGCCTTGACCTCCTCCACCATCTTCTCGTTACCAAGCTTGTCCTCGAAAGCAAGCCACTTCTTGAAGAAGAAGCGCGCCTGCTTGGGGCGCACCTTCTTGCTGGCCTCGATGGCCGGGCCGCCCTTCTTGGTATCCCGGATGCCGAGCACACGCTCGAACAACCGGCGCACCTGCTCGGCATCGCCGTGCTTGATCTCCAGATCCAAGAGGATGTTCCACAGGTCAACCCGCTTGGGGAACGAGGACAGGAGACCCTCAAATACTGTCCGGCCGCGCTCGACGTCGCCGTTCTCGGAGCGGAACTCGATCTGCGCGAACTTGGAGGTCGTCTCCACGTGGGTGTGCGAGGGGAGTGATTGAAGGGCGCGCGGAAGCAGAGCGCGACCACGCTCAGCATCAGCCATCGTGTCGAACAGGAAGCTGGCATAGTTGACGAAGAACTTTGAGGAATTGGAGACCTTCTTCTTGAGCGCAGTCTGGAAGAGCTCATCCGCTTTCTATAATTCCACTCCGTTAGTATATTGGTATTAACAACTTTCCATAGAAGGATACTGACCTCGGTCTTGCCGGACTGGATGTAGATGCTGATCAACCGTTCGTAAACCTCCTGAGTGTCGTTGTATTGACAAGCGCGCTTGAAGACCTCCTCCAGCGAATCGTCGGTGCCGTAGGTGTTTTCCAAGTTAAGCATGGCAACCCAGATGTTCAGCTTCTCCGCATCTTGTCCAATGGTAATGGTACGAAGGGCACGCTCGGCAATCTCCTTGGCCTTTTCAACCTCACCCAGTTCCAACTGGAAGGCCATGTATTGCAGCCAAAGCATAGAGGAATCAGGCTCACCAAGGAGCAGACGCTCGTAGTCGGCCACGGACTGGGGTCCATTGGCATCCAAGTCGCCAGTTCGGTCAACCTGGATCTCGGGCTTGCGGTTCTTCTTCTTCTTAGGGCGAGTCTCGGCATCTGAGTCAGAATCGGACTGCGCCGCCTCCTCCGTGTCCTTGGAGTTGCCGCTCCAGTCGAAGCCGCGTGCACCAAGTCCGCCTTGTTGAGCGGATGGTGCCTCGTCCATTGACTCATCCTCGCTCTCACTTTCATCATCCTCGTCCTCGTCGACTTCAACTCCACCCATGGACACATCGCTGTCCTCGTCACTGTCTTCGACGTCAACGCCACCAATGCCATCGAGGCTGACGCCCTCCGACTCGTCGCCATCCTCGTCGCTGTCCTCATCCTCATCCTCATCCTCGTCGTCACCATCGTTGAAATACGAAGCCTTGAGACCGAAAGAGACCTTCTCCTGCTTACGGTCGATCTTCAGGATAACCGCCTTGACAGCATCACCCTCCTCGTAGAGAGTGCGTGCGTCGTCAACGCGCTTCTCAGCCATTTCACTGCGGTGGCAAAGACCACTGATGTTGGCCGAGCCGTCAATGACGATGAACGCACCAAATTCTTGCACCTTGCGGATCTTTCCCGTAACAACCTGACCAGGCTTGAGGTCGTGGAGTGTGAGCGGGGCCTTGTAGTTCGGATCCAAAACAGACTCCTTCAAGCTCATCTGCAATTTGCCTTGCTCGTGATCGGCAACAGTAACACGGCCCTTGACCAGCTGGTCGTTCTGGAAAGAGTCCTTCCACTCCTTGAGATAGGAGTCGGAAAGGTCGGAGACACGAACGTAGGCAGTGACACCATGGCCAACAGTCACGAAAAGACCGTTGTCGGCGACTCTGCGAATGAAACCGCGGACAACATCGTTGACCTCAAGGTCCTTGATCGAAGTGATCTCCTTGTCCTGCACAGGTAGCGACGAGCTCAGAACCTTCGATGGACGCGTGGAAAGGGAGATCTTCTTCTTTTCCTTATCGACGCTGACAACGTAGGCACGAAGAACTTCGTTCTTCTGGTAGACCGTAGGGTTGGCCTTGGTGTAATCATCTGCCATGTCGATCAAGTCAATCGCACCGACGATCGAGTCGCTGAGTTGCAGGATGACCTGTCTCTCAGTCACCTTAGTAACTCTGCCGGGCAAAATCATGCCCGTCGTGATGTCATCGAAAGAAAGCTTGTCAGAGCGTTGTCTAGCCGACAGGTCGAGACGACCCTTCTCGGCATCAACTGCTGTGACATGGACCTTCACGGCAGATCCAACGGGGTAATGCTTATCCACATCGGCCAGAAGAGAGAGGTCGTCCGAAGCATCCATGAGGCGCAACCTTCCGCGGACGTTGGGGGACAAGTTGATCCAGAGGCAGTTGTCAGCGATGTTGTTGACAAAGCCCACCCAGGACGAGCCAGGCTGAACCTGTTCCAAGTTCAGCGGGCTAGGGTTGCTGGCCTGCAGGAAGCTTGGCTTGACAGAAAGTTCGAAGACAGGGAACTTTCCGGTACGGTGGCTGATGGGAAGGAACTTGTGGTTCCGAGCGTCGTGGACACCCAGGATCCTTGCCTCAATCTGCTGCTTAGGACGAAAGAGACGAAGGGGTTGTTTGCGGTCCTTGATGTCCTCCCACTTGTCGAAGACTTCGGAAACATCGATCCGACCCTGGATGTTGTCGGCAAGCTGGACGTTGACTTGCGTCGCGCGAACGGAAACGACCTTGCACTTGACGATTCTTCCGAAGGTAAAGTCTGACATCGAGGCAATGCCTTCATCGATAGCGTTTGTGACTGCATCGTTAGTAGGAGCAGGCTTGGCAACAGGCTTCTTAGGACCAGCGTGGGTGGCCTCAGCAGGCTTCATGCTCAGAATGAAACGCTTGAAATCGGTATCGAGCGAGTGGACCGTCGCAGTGACGACCTGCGATCTGACCATGTCGTAGCTCGGCTTGTTGACATTCTCATCGGCGATGAGGCGCTTGGGAACGAGTCCAATAAGACCACCCATGAATTCGACAAACAAACCATTCTGAGTGATGTTGCGAACAAATCCAGTAACTTCAGCGCCTTCCTTGAGGTCTTCGAAAGATTCAGGCATAGAGCCCTGCTTGGCGGCTTTCTTGAGGGACTGTCTGCCGGTAACCTTGATCAGCCTGTGGGCCCGCTGGATGTCGAGAACAAGGAGTTCGTTGAGCTTCTGGCCGACTCGAATCTTGGAAAGGGTCGAAGCTTGCTTCGAGGGAGAACCGTCGATAACATGTTCAAGGTTCAATCGAGCCACAAGGCCGTATTCATCCAGTTTGAGGAGCAGGTCGTCACTTGATTTCTCGAACACGGTGCCCGAAACAAGCAAGCCAGGGTGGATCTTCTCAAAAGCCTCTTTGTAGGTCTCGGTGAAAGTCGAAGGATCTTTGCAAGACACTACAAGCTTTCCGAGCGTGTCATCCACGCTTAGCGCGTGCACATTGACAACCTGACCTTGTCTGAAATGCTGCGAAGGATCCTTGATGTAGGCCTCACTCATCTCCGAGACAGGGAGGAAACCACGGATGGAACCGTAGAATTGGACCACTGCACCATGAGATTTGATGCTGACAATGGTACCTGGAGACTGGGACCCCGGGGTAATGTCCTTATAGTCCTTCCAGATAGCGGACTCGCTGTTCAGCAGACTCTTCTTGAGAGTTAACCGAATCTGGCGCTTCTCCAAGTTGACGGACAGGATCCTTGCCGAAACAGTCATACCCTCGCGGAATTTCTTCTCGGGAAATTGAAGAAGGGTATCAGCGAAGTGCATAGAAGGTACAAGTCCAGTAATCCCGTCAGCGAGGACGACGATGAGACCATCCAGGCCATTGGCTCCAATCAAGAGCTTCTCAATCGTTCCCTTGACGACCGCTCCCACCGTCACATCCTCGAGTCGGAGGAATGGCTGATCAATGATCTTCCTCTCGAAAGACAACAGGTAAAGGTTATCGATGTGGCTATAGCCGACGACTCTGGCTTCATGGACGGTGTTCAGGCTGAAGGGACCATGTTCGGCGGAAATGTTCTCCACTTGGCCATCGGCCAACCTCGAGACGTGAACGAAACCGATGTGTTTCGTAGATCCAATCTGGACGTAGACTCCCATTCCAGGGTCAACTTGGATGACCTTGGTCTCAGGAAGAATGGCCGAAATGGCGGGTGCGTCGCCGGCGGAATCTGGTCCGTGGCTGTCAAATGCGAACTTGGCAACATGATCGAGCAATGTGAATCCGACCTTGAAGGGCTCAGAGGCAGGGAAGGTACAGACCAAACGGGCCTTGATCTTTGCGCCGGTCTGATACTTCTTGATCAGGTCTTCCTTTCCTGTGTTGGCTCCAGACTGCACAAAATCCACGGTTGCATCCAACATGCCCATGATCTTTCCAACCATTCCAGTCGATGTCACTTCGGTCAACAGGATTTCTGCGGCGGTACCGGGAAGGAAAGAGCTGATTGTAGGGGCATTGCTGAGATAGTGCGACTTCTTGATGGATCCAGCAGATTGAAGGTTTGCCGAAAGCTTGACGACGCTGCCGTTGGCGTTCTGACCAGTCACCATACACAAAAAGACCGAGCCTTCCTTGATGGTAGAAGTATCCGTCTTAGGGTCGATTTCCTTCGATGACATGAAACCCTTGACATCAGCACCCTCGATGCCCAGATCCATGATCAAACCGTGATCTTCCACGCTGACAACTGAAGCTTGAACTGCAGCATTGGCGATAAGGTCTGATTTCGAGAGCCCGGTGTTCGCCTGTCGGGGATCCACGGAAAGCTCTATGCGCCGCCTGTTCTTGGGATTGGCATCGGCAGCATTACTTCCAACGGAGACAACGTTTGCCCGCAGATATTGTCCCAGATAGAAGTATTTGTGGAGATCCAAAGCATCTTCATCCTCCTCCTCTTCATCCTCCTCGTCGCTACCGTCCTCCTTGAGGAGTTTCTCAATCTTCTCCTCCAGCACCCGCGACATGGAGGTTAGGGGCACATAACCGGTAAGGTTGTTGGGCAACGAAAGTCCGATGTTGTGGGCGCTGATACTCGAGACTTGACCGAGGACCATGCTACCAGGCACAATTCGCTATTTTTGTCAGCGCACAAGTGCTACAAGCTAGCGACCAGGCTCGCTTACCTTGAAGTTAAGACCCTCGATCCGAATGCCTTTCTCTTGCGCATCCTTCTCCCCTTGCTTCTTTCCCTTAACCTTCTTCTTGCGGGACTTCTGACCAGCGGTTGCATTCGCCTCTCCAGCATCCTCCATATCCGTATCCTCCTCAAACTCTCCATCTTCAAATTTGCCGGAAGAGGGCTTAGCACCTTTCTGTTCGAATAGAACGTCTTTCGTGGCTTGAATTTGAATCTGTTTCCGCTCGAGAGGGGTCAAGACACTGCCACCACCACGAGGGAAAGATGGTTCATCGTCGCGCAGCACTGACAGCTCGGAGGCCTTTGGCGCATCCGACTTTGGCTTGCTATCGTCGGAGGCATTCTTCTGTTTCTTTTCTGCCTTGTGATCGTCTGCGCCAACTCGTACGCGCTTCTGAGGTTGACGGGTCGTTACCTCCTCTGCGGCATTACCCTTGCGCTTGATGGGAGCCATGCTTGGTAACAGAAAGAAAAAGACTTGATGAGCTGCTCCAAAGCTCCCAGTCCGAGTAGTTTGACCGGCGGACTTGCAGACGAAAAATTAAAATTTTTGGACGGAAAAGCCGATGATCGGGGGGACCGCCTTCCGGATCGGGAAGACTCTTCAGCTTTAATGGAAACTCCGACCGCTTGCCAAGTTGGGAAACGCGCGTCACGAAAAAGGCACGTCGACACGAGTTTGAGTGACTCGACCCGTGACTGTAACCGCGCCAGGCAGAAAAAGGACGGACTATCATTGCTGGGGCCAGCCTTCATTCTCAAGCCCAGCTCCACTCAATGCCTCCCAATCTCTGCCACTGCACCTGCGCCAACTAATCCATCCTCTTTTCCCTACCCATTTCATAGAATGTCTCTGTGTTTTGGTCTGTCTATGGGGCACAATGGACGGCTATCATGATCTCCCCGAAGTACCTCGTTCGGAGCCCGTTTTCCCTCCCTCATCACAGGAGATTCCTTCCTCTCCACCCTCAATAGCCTCCGATGTTGGCTTCAGACGCAAGCCCAGAAAGCCTCCTCCGGTCACCCCACGCTCATTCAAGAGGTTCTTCACACCTCGGTCTATGCTAAATGGCGTCAATAACAACAATGCGAGCTCGGTCAGGACCAACCGCCAGGCACTCAAGACGCTCAGCTCCCCCGCTGTCAACCGCCTAGGTCCGGCCTTCACGAAGACCTTGAAGGCCATTGAGCACACATCTGAATCCCCAGAGTTGATACGGACCCCGAGCAAGAGAAGGAAGCTTTCCTTCTCCTCCATTGGCTCTTCTCTACAATCGTCACCCCTCAAAGAGGTCCATGTCAGGGAGTCAATTAATTACGATCAAGAATTAGGCGCCCCGGTCCGAAAAATCGAATTAAATGTGAGCAGCATTCCGGAGCATGAGCCTAAGGTCAGCACCTTCACCTCCAAACCTCCTCGACAGGTTCCTCCTGTTCGTCGGTCCAAGGCACTACAAACTTCGGGCGCGCTATACATGCGGAGTGTAATGGAAAATCGCGCGAATCGAGTAACCATGCGAGCAAACTCTGGGGCTGGTAAGTCATCATGTATATAGCATACTTGTCGCATGTTCTCACTATCTTCAAGGCTGGCAGGATATGACCTCGAATTTCTACTCCCGCCCAAGTGACAGCCACAACTGCGCGAGCGTTGCCGGAGACCGTTATGTTCTCCCGTTCTGCACGGCATCCTGCAATAGTGAGTTAACCCGGATGCAATGAGAAATCATGCTGCGTATGCTGATCGTCTTGTAGCCAATAGTCTTGTTGCTGTGGGTGACGAGGAAGGTGGTATCAGATTACTGGATTCTGCCAAAGACGACAAGAGCGGGTTTTCGCAAGCATACCTTACCTTCCGTCCACATATGAACTCAATCATGGACCTGGAATTTTCATCTGATGATCTACTACTCGCAACAGCCTCTGGCGACCAGACTGCGCTTGTTGTCGATATGACCACCCAAACTCCGGTTTATTGTCTCTCGAACCACGTCTCCTCAGTCAAGCGAGTTCAATTCCAGCCAGCGGCTAACAACAAGGTTCTGGCGACTTGCAGCAGAGACGGCAATGTCAACATTTGGGACCTTCGATGCAAAGGTTTCGATAAACCATGCCTGCAAGTGCAGTGCTCGCTTGAGTCCGCGTCAGAGCCCACTACTTCCCCTATCTCCTCAAAAACAACGTTTCCCCAGGTCATGAACACTATTCATGGCGCGCATGCTTGGATGCCACAGACGCATACAGTGCCAGGATTAGAACCCCAAACTCGCCGCTCCGATATCACCGTGACTTCACTAGCCTTCCTTCCTCCCGGCCGCGAGAACCTATTCGTCACTGCCTCCGAGGCCAACGCCTGCGTACGACTATGGGATCTGCGTACGACACATCACAACCGTCGTAACCGGCCTGTCCTCCCTCTTTCTACCACTCGAGAACCCGAGAGCCACGCCAAGTACAGGCGCTTTGGTCTTACATCGATGACTTTCGGCGGAGACGGCTCCCGACTTTATACCCTATGCCGCGATGGCACCGTTTATACATACTCAACCTCCCACCTAGTCCTTGGCAATGCCCCAGAGCTTTCCCTCAACAACGACCGCCCACGCCGCTCGGGGGGCTCCGACAAGGAAGGCCTCGGTCCCCTCTACGGCTTCCGCCACCCTCGTCTGCAGGTTTCCTCCTTCTACGTTAAAGTCGGGGTTCGTAAAGCCGCCGGCGATAAACCTGAAATGCTCGCCGTCGGAAGCAGCGATCGCTGCGCCGTTCTCTTCCCCACAGACGAGAGATTCCTTTCGAACCCATCCGCAAGCTCCACCCCACCGGAGACCGACTCACTACCCAGCACCCCAAACTCCACCCGCTCCGGCCTCCTCCGCCGCACCAACTCAGGGGCCGGCCTGTCCGGCCGACTCGAAGACACCATCCCCATCTACCAGTCCGGTACTCCTCTAGTCGAAGGCCACGCCAAAGAAGTTTCAGCCGTATCCTGGACCGTCGACGGCGAACTCGTCACGGTCAGCGATGACTACAGCGCGCGTTGCTGGCGGGAAGGCCCCGAAGCTCGGGATCTCCGTACAAGCGGAGAGACCGAGGGCAAGAGGTGGCGCTGCGGCTGGGCGCAAACGCAAGACTCGTATGACGACGAAGACGAATGAATTCCTGATTTCCTTGACCTACCTCTTTATTTTGAACGTTGAACTCTTCCCAGCGCTTTCACACATTCTTGTTTCCCTGCTCGTGTCGTGCATTCTATGGTGTTTAGGCCTATATCAAGGTGTATGTGTTTTAGCGGGTGTTTTTGTTCATTTGGTTTGTCCTATTCCTGTTCTTCGAGAACCTGTTATCATGCTGTTCTCCTTTATGAAAGCGTGTTGTTTGTTGTAAAGCGGAGGGCCGCGGGAGAGGAGGTTTTGTTTCGGGTAGTTGAGGGGTGCGTACAACCTGCTGTCGATAATGAAAGCTATCGAATTCCCTAAATCAAGCTCTGCAGTCTCTTATTGTGTAATTTACTTCTCAGGAGGGTAATAACAAAATCCCACCACCCAATCTCAGTCTTGAATATAAGTCACAGGTTAGGGGTGTATGCCATGTGATTGAACCGAACAATACTATGGCCTCAGAAGAAAGCACAATGAAACAATATCCAGATGATACAATAATGTACTTCATATCTTGATTATACTTTTTCTCTTCCTTCATCCTAAATATCTAGAACTCCGCATGAAGAAACAAGGAAACGGATGGAAAATCGCGTTCCAAACATGTTTAGTGGCCGTGTCCATCATCCTCCTGCCTCTCGGGGTCCAACTTGATCATGGTATCGATACGCATGATGGCAATGCAGGCCTCGACGGCACTCTTGAGCTGCTTGATCTTACCCATGCTCGGCTCCAAAACACCGGCCTTGAGGGTGTCGTGGACACGACCCTTGGTCAGGTCGAGACCGTAGTTGCGGTAGGTCTTCTTCTTGGCGATGGCCTTCTCCTCCTCGTTGGCATCACCGTCCTGCACACGCTGCGAAAGGGCATGTCGGACACGGAGCTGGGCAACAAGCTCAGAAGAGTCCTTGGCGGCGTTGACGGCCAAGGTCTTGGGGACGGTCAGAAGGGACTGGGCGAATTCGCCGATGGCGAGTTGCTCACGAGAGCCCTGGGAAAGACGATTAGTTTTGATTCAAAGGTAAAAAGGGGATGAGGGTGGTGGATGAACGTACAACTGTGACGGCGAACTCCTCCAGATAAATGTGAAGAGCAGTCTCAACGGCACCACCACCAGGGACAATGCTGCCGCTCTCCAGAGTCCGCTTTACGGCGCACAATGAGTCGTGCACCGAACGCTCCATCTCGTCCAGGGTGAAATCGTTGGGACCTCGCAGGATGATCGAAGCAGAAGTGTGTACCTTGGTGCCCTTGACAAGGATACACTCATCATCGGATATCCGCTCCTGCACAACTTCCTCTGCGTAACCCAAGTTCGAGGCCTCGAACTTCTCATCCCCGTTCAAGTCTGACAGGGTGCTCACCAAGGTGGCACCGGTGGCCTTAGCGATCCGGCGGAGATCCTCCTTCTTGCAACGACGGACGGCCATGGCACCCCTCTCAACGAAAAGCTTGAGAACCATGTCGTCGATACCCTTGGTGGTGAGGACGACATTAGCTCCGGACTTGAGGATCATCTCAACACGCTCGAGAACGATGCCGGCTTCTCTCTCGCGGATCTTCTCCAGCTGATCGGGATCGTCGACTGTGATCTGAACACCCAGCTTCATTCTCTCCTTCTGCAGGTTCATGTCCAAACAGGCAATCTTCGCATCGGTTATCCGGGTCTTCATGGCTTGGGAAGCGACGGTGCAGTTTAGAGCGTAGCCGTTGACGAGGACGGACTCCTTGCTGCTCTTTCCGTGCGCCTTCAGCAGGTTGACAGCCTTAACGGGATACTTGACTTCGTTTCTCTGGTTGGTGGTCTTGACGGCCAGCATGGCGTCGACGACCATGTTGGCGAAGAAGTCGCCATCTGCGCCAATGATCTTGCTGGACATAGAAGTCTTCGCAATGTTGACCAGACTGTCCTTTCCAAGGGTCTCAACCTTCGTGGTGATGTTCTCGTTCATATATTTGACGGCTTCTCTGAGGGCAAGTCTGTAACCGTTGATGATGGTGGTAGGGTGTATGCGGTTCTTCATCAATTCGTTGCCTCGTCGCAGGAGCTCTGCAGCAATCAAAACGACCGACGTGGTACCATCACCGACCTCCTTATCCTGTTGTTGAGCCAAGTCGACGAGGATTTTTCCGGCGGGGTGCTCGATATCGAGAAGACTGAGAATGGTGGCACCGTCGTTGGTCACCGTAACATCCTAGATGTGCGTCAGGAAGCTGTTTTGGTGAACGTGGGGTCGAGGCTATGCATACGCCAATATCATCCACCATCATCTTGTCCAATCCGGAGGGACCAAAGGAGCTCTTGACGACATTTGCGATGGCCTGCGTGGCAAGCACTGCAGAGATAATTAGGATTCATCTTCGACAGTTGTGTCGTCGACTGATGACATACCGTTCTGCTCCCGTACATCGGCACCGGTGATTTTCTGTCCACCCAAGACTGTGCGAGATTGTAGTCAGTTTCCAGAGGTCCAGGGGAACGTGGGAGTCCGATGAAATGTGGGAAATGGAAACTCACAAAGCGTGTCCGCATTTCGCGGGGCCTCAAAGATGCCTGCCATGACTGATGAAACAGACAGAGAATGTGGAGGAGAGGGGGCAAAGAAATAGAAGCTCCGACTGAAACAGAACTGCTTTGCTTTGCTTTGCTTCTTGCTGCTTGCTGCTTGCTGCTCGATTCGACTTGTTCGGGCCTTGTCTTTGCGCTAAAAGTTCTGCCGGGCCCGGGGCGGTGAGGAAGCGCAAAGAGACATCCCACTTTGACTCAAAAGAGGGGCGGCCCTTCGCTTTCCCTCTCCGCGCTACCGCTCGACTTCCCCATCTTTTGTCTCTCACGACTGCATTTTCGAGTTTGGTCCTTCTTCCTCCTTCTTTCGCGTGAAGGTCTCCTCCTCAAACTCCAAAATGTCCAGCCAAGCCCCCGCTGAAGCTGCGGTTCCCGCCGAATCGGCTGCCGCTCAAACCCTGCCTGACCGCACCCAGGCCCCCGCCGAGGCCGCTCCCCAGGGCGGCGAGGTTTCCAAAAACGCCGCGAAGAAGGCTGCGAAGCTGGCCAAGCTGGCTGCTGAGAAAGCCGATAAGAAAGCTGGCAAGCCTGCCGAAAAGGGAATTGGCAAGCAGGAAGCCAAGAAGCCCGCTTCTAAGGCCCCCAAGAAGAAGATTGACGGCGCCGCTCTGATCGGTATTGATGTCTCCAAGGAGGAGGACTTCCCCGGCTGGTACCAGCAGGTCCTGACCAAGGGTGATATGCTTGACTACTACGATGTCTCCGGATGCTTCATTCTCAAGGTGACTCGCACTCTGTCGAACCTGGGTCGTACTTCTACTAACCTGTGCGCCAGCCCGCTTCGTACTCTATCTGGGAGGAGATCCAGAACTGGTTCAATGGTCACATCAAGAAGATGGGCGTCAAGAACTGCTCCTTCCCCCTCTTCGTGTCTGAGGATGTTCTGCAGAGAGAGAAGGACCACATCGAAGGTTTCGCTGCTGAGGTCGCCTGGGTCACCCATGCGTATGCAATTCCCTTATCTTTGGTCGCGTGATGCGCCGTTTGCTAATAAATCTCTCTCGATCCTACAGTGGTTCCACCCCTCTTGAGAAGAAGATCGCTATCCGTCCCACCTCTGAGACCGTCATGTACCCTTACTACGCTAAGTGGATCAGAAGTCACCGTGACCTTCCTCTGAAGCTGAACCAGTGGAACTCCGTCGTCCGTTGGGAGTTCAAGCACCCCCAGCCCTTCCTGAGAACCAGAGAGTTCCTGTGGCAAGAAGGCCACACTGCCCACCTCACCCAGGACAAGGCCCACGAGGAAGTCATGCAGATCCTCGACCTCTACGCTCGCATCTATGAGGAGCTTCTGGCCGTCCCCGTCGTCAAAGGCCAGAAGACCGAGAAGGAGAAGTTCGCCGGTGGTCTCTACACCACCACCGTCGAGGGCTACATCCCGGCGACCGGCCGTGGTATCCAGGGTGGTACCTCCCACGGTCTTGGCCAGAACTTCAGTAAGATGTTCGGCATCACCGTCGAGGACCCCTCGGCCAAGGGCGACGAGAAGAAGCCCCCCATCCACGTGTGGCAGAACTCCTGGGGTCTGTCGACCCGTACCCTGGGTGTCATGGTGATGATCCACAGTGACAACCGCGGTCTTGTCCTCCCTCCCCGCGTGGCCGAGACTCAAACCGTGATCGTCCCCGTCGGTGTGACCGCCAAGACCACCGACGAGGAGCGCAGCAAGCTTTACGCCGAGATCGACCGCCTAGCTTCCGTCCTCCAGGACGCTGGCGTCCGCGCCATCTCCGACCTCCGCGAGGGCTACTCCCCCGGCTGGAAGTTCAACGAGTGGGAGCTGCGCGGTGTGCCGCTGCGCATCGAGTTCGGCCCCGGCGAGATGGCCGGTGGCTTCGTCACCGCCGCTCGCCGTGATATCCCCGGTAAGGACGGCAAGGCGCCCATCCAGGTTGCCGAGCTGGCGACCGCCGTGCCCGCGCTCCTCGAGACCATCCAGAAGGACCTGTACAACCGCGCCGACAACGAGTACCGCTCCCACCGCAAGCTTATCACCAACTGGGACGACTTCACCCCGGCCCTCAACGAAAAGAACATCTGCATCATCCCCCACTGCTTGACCGAGGAGTGCGAAGATCAGATCAAGGACATGAGCGCCCGCAAGGCCGAGGAGGACTCCGGCGAGGCCCAGGACGCCCGCGCCCCCAGCATGGGCGCCAAGTCCCTGTGCATTCCCTTCGACCAGCCCGAGGGCATTGTCCCCGGCGAGACCAAGTGTACCAACCCCAAGTGTACGCGCTTCGCCGAGAAGTGGTGCATGTTCGGCCGTAAGTTTAACCCTCCCCCCTCTCCGGTCATCATCTCCCCCGAACCATCTTCGCTAATCTGTGTCCAACCTCCATACAGGCTCGTACTAAGAACGTCTTCCGTCATACCTGCAATATCATCACTTACTTATTACAACTACCACTACCACTACCATCGCTACTTGCGATCTATTTCCCAAGAAGTGATTCCAATTTCTCATTCTATGTGCATATCCTCATCTATCTTCGTACTATGACTGTTATGACTTTGTTTTCCTGCCATTACAGTTTCGCGTCGTGTGTTTGAAAAGGAAAAAAGTGTCTGGGGCTCAGGGGAAACATAAACCTCCGGTGGAAGGAGATTGAAAGTGGGGAGGAGGGTGAGGTGTTCCGGAAGAAGCATAAACATGTGTGGAGATGGAGTTTTAGAGAAGAATTCAGAGTTTCTAGAAATTCCCCCCTTGCTTTTTATGCATGAGATACCTTTTTTCTTTTTCTCTTTCTTATCCAAATGGGCAGTATGATTTCTGATTTGAGGAGTTTGGTAGACGAGTTCATTTTGTAGGCAGTACTGGTAAGAAAGAGGTGATTGCTTGCAATGAGAGTGGAAGATTGATGGTGATTATCTCGTTTTTATTGATCACTAGTAGCTAGGTAGGTCTGTCTTGGTATGCGAAGGAAGGAAGGAAAGATATGAGATTGAGTGGATACAGTAAAGTGTATGGGTGAAAGCGCCAATAGCTTTAAGTGCAATGGGAAATAGGAGAGTATGCATACATGCAACGAATGGAGATTAGCACAGGGGATCCTCAGTAGTGGCTCGCTGGATCGAGGGAGCCCGTGCAAACAAGTCAGCTTCAGTGCCACAATAAACAGAATCATGCGACATGATGTTCAGCAAATCGGCCGTGAGAAGGACATCACATATTTTGCTTCTTCCAAAAAAAAAAACAAAAAGGGATGACTGGGGTTAGACGAGTAGAGAGAAAGAGTGTACATATCAGCGTGGGATTAGACATGCGAATTTAGGGTATCATGAAATGGTTTCATAGGAGAGACATTGCTCCTCGGATTAGGTAGGTCAGGCAACCTGAAAGAGTCGCTTCTCAAAGGAGAGATAGAATCTCAACATGGCTAGTTAACATTCAAGGTGTTGTTGCTGGGCTTGCGCGGCCAGCTCATGATGCGGTAGGGGGATTTGATGCTTGGATTCGACGCAGAGGTGGCTGCACCGGGCTCGTAGTCAACTCCGTGAATACGGACCTCCGGCGGCTCCAGGCTGGGTAGTTCGATGATTTCTTCGTCATTTTCGTCGTCCGAGAAGCTGGACCGGGATCCTTGTGTGGAGTCGGAACCGTGGGCGCGCATGTAGAGGATGGATGGTGTGGGTTTGAAGCGATTCGCCTGCTCGCACGAAAGAGACTGCGCGGAAGTGGGTTGGCTCGTGTTTCCATGTAGGGGGCTGGTCTTCTTCGAGATCATGCCGGATGTAGCTTCCTCGGTTCGAAGTAATAGATCCATAAAAGTCATCGGCATTTCAGGTTCCTCAATGGCTTCTTCGCTCGCCTCCGCCTCGCCCAGAACTTTGTCCGAGGGCAATGGAGCATCTGTGTGCCTCCGTCGACTGATACCTCCGGGTGCTTGAGGTATCGCCGTCGATGGTACGCTTGTCGAAATACTTCTTCGTTGTTCCGAGTTCCTCTTATGCTTCCTGAAAGAGCTCTTTCGGATCAACTTGAGGAGCTGGCCTTCTTTTGCACTGGGCCCCCTTTCCGGCACAGTATCAGGGTAAAGCGGCACGCTTAGACCCTTATCGAAAGACTCCTGAGAAGGGGAAGGGCTAAGGGAACATTCTGTGTCGGGGAACGTCAATCGTTTGAAGGCGTCGTGGGAATTGATCTCACGGACGATAGCATCCTGGAGGGTTTCAAATGTTGGGTGGGGTGTCACTACCGGCTCGGACGTGTAAGCCTGTCGAAACATGTCCATGATTTCTGCAACCTTCTCCGTAGACGGAGGTAAAGGTGAGACTGCCGTCGGTGTAGCCACTGGCAGGGGGCTATTCATGACCTCTGCGATACTTAGGGGCCGCGTTGACCCAGCGGTGTTGGGAGTCGGGGGCTGAATGACGCGGTGCGTAGCTTTTGTGTTGGGCTTGCCTCGAGCTGCCAGTTTTGTATTGATAGAGAGATCCCGGACATTCTTCTTAGATTGGTTTCGACTCGAATTCGAACCTTCCTGGTCCTTCGAGTTGGAGATGACTCCAGATGTATTTTTTGTGGACCCATTTTCCTCCAGACCCTGCTCGTGGCTGATTGACAGCGGTATGGTGGGACTATCTGGCAAAGGAGTATTACTCCATCTACGGCCTTGCTTGTAGGCTGGAGGTACGCCCAGGTAGCCATTGCCGGGTGTAGGAGGCTCCGTGTCAGAAGTTTTGGGCCGTTCGGCCACCAGGTTTGGTGCTGACCTCTGAGAGCGCAGGGAGCTTCTTTCGAAGCTTATTTTTCTTGAGGAATTCGGTCGTTCATCGCGCGCTGACGACGCTGTCGCTGTGAGCTTCTCCGAGGTCGTAGTTGCCACTCGTTCTTCCCTAGCCCGCAAGCGGGTGCGACCTTTCGTGGCATCTCTTTCACTTCGGGGGTTCGACCTAAGTGGTGATCCATGTGCTGATTTAGATCGCGGACTCGCACTACGTGCAAGAGAACGACTGCTGCCTCTGAATGTGTTTCTTAATGTTGCATCTCCTTGGTAAGAAGTAGGACGCGGGTACGCCACTTTGTGGAAAAAAGTCCCTTTGAGGAAGAAAGCCATGTTTCTTTCCGCGATGTCCTCATTGTACGGCGTGATAGGCGACAAAGAAGTAGGGCACTGGATATGGTAGCGATGAGACGAGAACAGCGCGTCCAGTAAGTCAACATGCCGTGGGGTTTTGTCAGGAATTGGACTCGAAGGATGCGAAGACGGCGGTTGAGAGTAAGACGACACGGGACGCGTGTGCAACCCTTGGGTTGGCTGAGAGATTCTGGAGCCAGAGTTCAAGGGTTGTGATGTTGCTGCCCTGGGCAATGCAGAGGAATGGCAATCGCCGGCCAAGCTTCTTGTCTGAGGGTCTCGATTGTCGTGAGTTTCTGACGATGTCTTCTCTGCGTGAAAGAAGCGTTTGAGAGAAGCCATTATGGTGCTGAGGTTCCTTCATGAACCTTTCAGATTTCGATGTAAATGTTGATGAGTGTGGCTGCGAGAGCCTAGAATTTGTGTCTGATGGAAGATTTTGGAAATCGTAGGCGACTGCTTCCAAAGCGAGCGAGATGTCAATAAAGCTTCAGTCAGATCTCGATATAGCGTTCGTAAACCAGTGTTCTTTTATATCGTTCCTAGCCCATTATGCAGGCTTGGAGTAGGCTCACCGTGCCCAGGAATTGAACAGTAGGCGGGATGAGGAACAAGGGGGGAAAACAGAAGTAAATGAGGAGGGAAGAGGAGAATAAAGAGGTTCCGTTTTGTGGCTGCTCAGTTCGCAGATCTCATATTTGTTCCGGTCTACATCAGGGGCAGAAGTGGTCCAGGTCTCGGTAATGGAGCTTGGGAGGATGGGGCTCAGCCAACAGCCGGAAGAGATCTGGTGGACACAATCATAGGGTGTGCATCAATCTCGATTTGCGCATCTGAGATCCGATCAGTGACGACAGTGCCTACCCCCTGGAATTCAGTCAGATATCTCTTGCAGCCCATGTCTGTCAATTCGCCGTTGTTCACCACCTCCTCAGGTCAATGACCGTTGCAACCGAATTTGACCAAATTGTGCGCCCTAACGCCCTACAGTCATAACCTAAAAGCTAGAGTTGCTTACCCACTTGACAGCGAGGGCAGTCTCAGGAGTTTACTATTAATGGCACTCACGGCGTACTAGTATGGCTGTAAGGCCTGCAGGATGCAGATCTAATTTCAGTGGCAGTCTTAGCAGCCGAGCTTTACCTTATTTAGTTACTCCAACCAGCCTATCAGGCAGTGGGTGATCAATAGCGAGAGGAACTCTCGATTTCATGCTCTAACGGGGACAAAAAGACAACAAAGTTCTGTCGGCTAAACGGTGACAGGTTAGGCGCAGTTGGAGGATGTTGGAGCCGCGCCAGTCATAGGCGATAAATGTCGCGGGATGGAGCCACGAACACCCCTTCCGATGAGCGGGTCTCGAACGAAGGAACGTGCTATTGCCAATTGGACATATCGGGTAGCTGATCGTCAATAGACAATGAACGGCGCGGGCTCGGAGTGGAACTGGGCTTGCCAGCCGAGCACCAGCGCTCTTGGAACTTGGAATCGCCCCATTGCGATAGTAGTGATTGACAGGGGCAAGGTCGCCGACTAGGCCACCATCAAGGCTTGGGTGGTCAGGAGGAAGAGATCTATTGTGGTTGACAGGAACGACGTGGAAGTTTGACACATTGCTAAGAGATAGACAAGTTAGTGTATCGTTCAGTTGCCCGTGTGCTTTCTTTTTTTGGGGGGGGTCTTATTCCAATTGTATGCTTTACCTTGGTGTTATGAATTGGGAGAGTTTGCGGGGGTTCTCCGGACCTTCTTCACACGACCCATCCATCCATCTTGTAGAGGGGAAGCCTCCATGCCCCTTAATTGGAGGTCACGATCAAAGAGTTTCATCAACGCCGATCGCGGTGGCACCAACCTTGATTGAAAGAGAATTTGCCACTGGAGAGATACAACTGCGATGTCGCAAAACTGAGCAGGGGCTTTGGTGGTTCGATGTTATTGACAATGGACGGAGCGACCGAGTCGGGATTAGGTAAGAGGCATGTCTACGCACTGTGAATGCTCTTTTGCATACACTTGTGTAGCATAGACTAGATTGTCCCCTTGATTCCTGCCACGGTCTTTTCTTTTCTTCCATTCAACGTAGTGTTTGTGCTCGCTCCTCTCAAACCCTCCAGCTCGCCTGCATATATATTGCTCTATTCATCGGCTCAAATAACTATAACTATCGCTTGAGCTCTTCAGACAAATCGACAGGTTCTTGAGCAATCTTCTGAATTCCCTTCAAAGGCTACAGTGTGGATCTACTCTTAGACTAGCGGTCTCAGCAGTAAATCTGCTCTACGTCACAAGCGAAGGTTGCCTGCACTCCGGGCAAGCCGACATCAGGAATGCCGCAACTCACTCATAAGAATAAGCATAAATGCCTGCGATCTTGGTGCAGGCGAGGCCGATCCAAATGACTCTGAGGACTTGGCATGACCGGAAACGGAATGCATAGATCAGGAATTTTTCAAGACTAGTGTGCTGCACACAACACTACTAGCATTGTAAAAGGGGAGAACACCAGTCACCCTACGCTTGGTCAGGTGCTGAGCACATCAGGCTCATGGTCATCATGTTTGCTGAATAGGATGAAGACATGCTCAAGCCGGGCTTCTACACATGCCTTCCATCGCACGAGCGGAATTAACCTTGTATCGCGATGATCCCATGCCACATGGGAACATTATCGATAAGCGAACACCTATGAACTGCAACCATAATGCTAGACTCATCCCTACAATGGTTTCCAGGTTCCGGCAGGGATAGACTATCGGCGCGGGAACAGTCAGCCCTAAGAGCCCGGGATTCCGATGATGCAGTTCTGCAATCAGAGCCCCTCCGCAAGGAGCCCAACTGCAGTTCGTTTTAGATAACAGGGAAGCGTCAAGGTCGGCGGCTTGTCCGGATGCTCACCCAGCTCATCAGGGCCAGGATGCATTTCAAACCCCACATTTCTGGACGATGGAGCCAAACGTATGGAGAAGGAGGGTCGTTCCTACCTCTGCAGAAAAAAACTACTTACCGTGCCATGCGGGGAAGGTAGCCTGCAATACTGGTAGTAGAGCGCAAGACGTTACATGGGGGACCGGAGGTTACTTAATGCTCGACGTCAATGAACTCTTCCGGCGATGACCTGCTGCACTCCACCTTTCCACCAGTTCCGAATCAGGCCTCAACTCTCCAATGCGTCCTACGCTCTCAGCTGAAAGTGAGACATTTCCGAGACACTCAAGCAAGCAGGCAGGCAGTCAGCGACTCAGTGGTGTAGTATTCTCGTCCTTTGCCACGACTTCCATCCTTCTTAACGACTCTACCTTGCTCATATCTCTACCGACCGTACAATGAGGTTTCAGACTGCGAATTAGGTGTGCACAAGACTGGGGCCCGGAGCTCTTTTTCGGACGATTCCTCCAGCATGGAGGACTCGAAAATTGCGCAACATGAACTTACTCCCCGGGACATATCTGAACACGTGGAGGATAAAGCTTGGGATGAGGACAAAATCACGAAGGCAGCCTGCTCCGACCAGTCTCCTAACAGCAGCATCGGCGAGGGGAATGTTGATTCGGTCACCGACAGCGAAAAGCAGAAGATAGCAGAAGGAGCTGCACACTTTCGAAGGTTGGGCTGGAAACGTCTAACCGTTGTGCTTGTCGTTGAGGCTATCGCTCTCGGTGTCCTGACGCTGCCAGCCTCATTTGCGACCTTAGGGATGGTGGCAGGTACGATCTGCTGCATCGGAGTGGGCGTCATCGCAATCTATGCCAGCTATCTTGTCGGAGAAATGAAGATCGCATTTCCCACCATTCATCATTACGGTGATGTTGGAACTCTCATGTTGGGGAAGTTCGGCAGAGAGCTTTTCGGTGTCATGTTTGTGCTACAGCTCATTCTGGTGACTGCATCCTACTGCTTGACCGGCACAATTACTTTTGATGTCCTGACCAATAATGCGACATGCTCCATGGTATTCGGGATTGTTTCGGCTGTGTTACTGATGCTATTGGCCGTCATGCCATCCTTTACCGACGCGGCTATCCTGGGCTACATCGACTTCGGCTCGATAATGGCAGCCATCATTATCGCCATCATTGCTACTGGCGTGGAAGCTGCGAACAAGCCCGGGGGACTAGCAGGGGTCAATTGGTCCGCATGGCCCAGACCTGGCACGACTGTTGCAGACGGGTTCATCGCAGTTTCAAATATCGTGTTTGCTTACAGTTTCGCCATGTATCAATTCTCCTTCATGGACGAAATGCACAAGCCACAGGACTATATGAAGTCTATCTGGACATTGGGTGGCCTAGAGATCGTGATCTACACTCTCGTGGGCGCATTGATCTATGCTTTTGTTGGTGTAGACGTCCAAAGTCCCGCACTGCTCTCCATGAGCAGTTTGATGACCAAAATCGCATTCGGGGTAGCATTGCCGGTAATTTACATTTCTGGCGCTCTCAACAACACGGTCACGGCTCGATATGTACATCTGCGCCTGTACGAGAATTCGGTGGTCAGATACATCAACACCCCTAAAGGCTGGACGACATGGCTACTTGTTCTACTGGCCATCACAGTCTGTGCCTGGGTCATCTCGGAGGTGATTCCCTTTTTCAACGATCTCCTCGCTCTCAGTTCGGCATTATTTGTTTCTGGATTTGTTCTTTATATCCCAGCCGTCATGTGGTTCATGTTTCTTCGTAAGAGCGAGGGCAACAATCGAAAACGATTACTGCACGACTTATCCGCTGCGTTTCTGTTCTGTGTTGGCATTATCGTGTTGGGTGGTGGGACCTATTCCAGTATTGTCGATATTGTGAGTTGTCCAGCTCTTTTTTTCTGTTTGAGATGCGGCTGCTAATCTGTGTTTTAGAAGCGTCAGTTCGACAGAGAGACTGTAAGAGGCGTCTTCACATGTGCGCCCATGGCTTGACGCGACCTGTCATCTGATGGGGCTCGCTCGCTCACATGAATTCTCACAGCATTGATACTTGGGTGTATATGGCTCGCTGGTTCAAATGTACATGGCTAGCATATCGCTACGCACTCAATGGTCGTGCGAGATAGGAGAAATCCAAGTTGAGACAATAAGCTTTTCTTCAAGTAGAAAATGCCAGCGAGTGCAATCAAAATATTCTAACCATCAGCACGTCAACTCGCAGCGCTCAGTCATCCGTTTGGCTGTAAACCGGAACATGAGACGCATCAGCGCTCTCTGTCCGCATTCCAGAACTCTTTGTCGTCTCCTCGATCATCATCTGCTGCACCGCTTCGTTGGCGGGCAGACTTTCGTAGGGATGGACGAAGACCAGGACCCGTGGACCGTCAGTGATGGCTTTGTCCTCGGCACGAGTATGGGCAACGTCCGCCATGAAGTCGGAGTAGTGCTGAGGTGGGTTGACGGAAGGCAGGTGGATCTTTCCGGGTTGTGTAGTTGGCTGCCTCGAGGTGCTGGATGGATGTATTGATGTAGTCGGGACTGTGCCATGCCTCTGTGTCATATAGGATTGTTGCGAAGTTCGACATCTTTTTTTAAAAGTTGATGGTAACGTGATGGTATGTTAAACGCTCTGAGGAGAGTCCATTCTCAAGCCACTATAAGCCTTTCTTCTCGCCTGTGTTGTGGTCAGTCTTCCACCTAAATATACGACCAAAGTAGAGCTGCAGATACCTAGTTGGATTTCCCTGCATTATCATGCAGCCCGGTGATAGGACACAGAGAGAGAGAGAGAGTGGGGGGGGGGAGAGGGGGGAGAGCAGGTGTTTCAATTCTGGTGGACAAAAGTTCTTGAAGCCAGGAGAGATATTGCGCCTTGTCAATGTAGTCACCAAGCAGAAAAACTAAAAATAATCTTTCGAGAGGGATACGCGGGCTGTGTCACATTGTGAGAGGCGACGGAGAGGGGAAGAAGAGATAGAAGATACTAAGGAAAGAGGCCATCATTCCCATTCTTCCACGCTTGACCGAAGCTCTGCTCTAGTAGTACAAAGTAGTCGCAACAACCACCTCCAAAGGCCCATTGTTATGTACTTGCCAACACACTCCAATCACACAAAAGTACAGTATCAATCCTCAGTCCCTACCTTCACCTTACCAATATTAAATACCATCTGGAGTATGATCACGAATCCCAGTCCCAGCCCCAACCTCGCCCTTGCCTTAACTCTTCTCATCCTCTCCATCCTCATCAGAGTAAATAGCACAATCCTCTCCCTGCGAACTATCCCCCCACATCCCCACCCTCACCAACGACGAATCCGACGACCAACACGACATCCGCTCCCGAGACTCAATTAACCTCAACTCCGGCGCTATAATCTCAGAAGCAGAAGCACAAGCAGCCGTCGCAGACGCAGACTTGCCCTCATTCACCACCGCAGGCATCACCCCCCGATCCCCAAGGTAAAACACACAGCTCTTCCTCCGTCCACCATGCGTTCCATCCACCCAATCATCCTCATCCTCACCCTCATCATCCGCAACATCAGACCCCGACTCCGACAACATAAAGGATGTCTCCGGCGGATAGATCCTCGGCGCGCTCGTCTTTTTCTGTTTCTGCGTCTTGTTCGTCTGCCGTAGTGGCTGCTGCTCCTGCTCATGCTTCTCAAGAGAAGAGCCGGCCCCTTCTCCCCAAGCAGCAGTAGATTGAGACCCGACCTCATGGGCAGTGGTCTCAGCAGCAGCAGCAGAAGTACCACCGCCAGCACCCTCTCCTCGAGCCCGACCCTGAGTATGAATCTGAGCCTCACCACCCCGCACCCCCTTGTAATCGAACCCTCCCGCATGCACCTTTAAATCGAGCTCCTGCTTGAGACGATACCATTTCAGCCGGGCGGTGGGCTGCGTTACTCCTGTTGCTTTCGCGACGGCGGGCCAGTTGATCTTTTGTGGCGTGTGTTAGTTTCTGTGGTGGTTACGTAGTGTGGTTTGTTTTGGGGTTGGAAGTTTGGGGATGGGGTGAAGAAGGAACTTGGCCTAGTCGTTGAGTTTCGTTTGTGCTAAGATGAAACAAGTTGGTCTTGATAGTGTAGTGACGTTCTTTGGGGTGATTTGAGGTGAGGTGAGGACGGGCCTTACGGTGTTGGAGTCTGCGTTTAGCAGGATCACGTAGAGGAGCAGGACGTCGGCTTCGGCGGTGGGTTTGGGGGCTGTGGTGGGTGTTGCGTTGTGCATTTGGTTTATTGTTTATGTGGTTGTTGTTGTTGTTGTCTGGGATATGGGAGGTGAGTTAGGAGGGCTGGATGTGGACGTGCTTGGTTGGTTTGGTTTGATCTTCGAAGGATGAGAAGTAGATGAGCTTCTCGAAAGTAGTTGGTGAGGATAGAGACAGTTATGTTCTGGGTAAAGAAGGAAGGTACTGAGGACTTGGGAGGAAATTCAACATAAATAGAGAAGAAGAGAGGGTCGGTCGGTGTTTTGTGGTTCTTTGTGAATGCAGCAGACAATAAATACTGCTGGGTTAGCCATCGCCATACAAACGGCAAGCTGCATGTCTCGTTTACACACAATGCGTTGTTTTGTGTATGCCACGAATGTAGCCACAAAGGTAAGCAGACGGAGAGTGAAGGCCCATGCATTCATTTCATGTTAAGTGATATCTAGAAAAGGATATATCGTATCGACAACAGCATGGCATTATTCTTTTGATCCGCTATATTTCATTAATGCTTCTTGCTTCCTTTTCACAAGTCGCCTGTCGTCACGTCAACCCAGCGTAGCGTTCAGCCGATTCCCTGACGGCTTCGACAAGGACGGTGTGAGCTCCGCGCGCCGCATTGACCGCTCCATCAATCAGCGCTTCATGGTTCAGACTGCTATCATCCACCCCCAAAGAAGCCTTGGAGTGATCGCCCTTGAGCCAGATCTCGGTAATCTCGTCCCGAGCAGGCATGTAAGCGACCACGCACGCAGACAGAATGGACTTGTGCTCGGCCGGATCCGTATCCAGCATCAACTTGGGCGTTCGTTTTCCCTCCTCGGTGACTTCGTCGTCAGAGACGATGGCAGCCACGCCGCCCGCCACCAGGTCCAAGCAGTCGATGCGCGCGTCGGCAATGGCTGCGGACGCGGCCGTGATACACCCGGCCAGAACGTTCATCATGCCCCAGGGAGCGTCGTGCGAGTCGGGCGCATCCCCCCACCAACGATCGTCTTCGGCCTCGAGGATGGTGATCGTGATATCCAGGCCACTCTTCGGCCACCGTTCCGCGACGATGACGCCTCGGAGCGCAGTCTCAAGGTGCACGCCCAGGTCGCGTTCGCTGGCGTCCCGGATGTGTCCCTTCCGTTGGCGGGCAGCGAAGGGCGCGTATTTCACGTGGGTTGTAAGGACGAGGTTGGGCGAGAAGGTCGCCGACCGGGGGAGGGGTTTCGGTCCATGGACGGTACAGGCGAGCTTCAGCGCCGACGAGGGGGGGATCAAGGACTTAGGGGAGGAACGAGCTGCGGCGAGGGAGGCAGACGGTTCGTATTCGAGGTATGCGGAGCCGGAAGCTGAAGGGATCAACCCCGTCTTGAGGACTGATTCATTATCAACATTAGTCTTTCGTGTCTGTGGGTTGATGGGAGGGCCGGTGCCCTTACAGATCTTGCGCAACTCATTAGGTTGTCTATGACGCCGAGGTCTTTCTATGACAGCGCCGGAGGTGGACTTGAGAGAGGAGGCGAACACCGCAGGCCTCGTGCCGCTAGGCGGCCCATTGATTCTTCGTCTGTCAGTCATTACACATGTCTTTGCGTCCTGCGATCAGTTGAGACAAGTGACCGAAGGGAAAGCAGCGAGTGGGCAGATAATGAATTGGGGTTGATAAAGCGATCCGATAGCTGCGCGGTCGACCTGCCCGCAAAGCGACAATTTTGAGAGGTGTTTGCATGGTTTGCAGGGTGGGAGCGCGGAAGCTCGGCGCATTCTTTTTCCCTTCCCCTCGTGGGTTTTTCTTCTCTTTTCTCGCTTCGCGCTTTTCTTCTCCTTCCCTTCCTCTCTCTTCCCACACAACACAATGAATGTTGTTAATGGACAGCCTGCCCTTCATATGCGAAAGTGCATGATGCGTCTTTTGTTTAATCGACACTTCATTTGGAACTAATTTGTAGAATGTGAGTATCACCTTCCCACCTCATACTACCATCACTTGCATGATGAAAGCGATCCAAAAATCGAAGTTCTGGCGACATACACATGGGCCATTGAACAAACATGCATCACCATCTGACAACCATACTTGATATGCTTTGTGTGCTCAGTCATCATACTGCAGTGGACAATCGGCTAACGTTCACTAAAGACAGGTTCAACCAAACTCATTCATGAATGAGGTACTTATAACTAATGTAAAAGAACTGGTATGTCTGCCTTGAATGTCTATCTTATGCCTACCTTACCCAACCCGAGTACACCGCTCGGCCTTATTTCATGATGAGAAAAATTTCTTTTCAGTTCTGCTTCTGCAAAATTTTTGAAGATAACCAAATACCTTACCAAAAAACTCCTGATGCCAATTACATTCACAAACGCTTTCTTCACCCATATGAGGAAAACAAGCATGCTAACAGCTGCAAAGACTCCAGGTACTGTAGCTTCAATGCCACCATTTCATCCACACAACATCTCCACACAAGCCACCAATGGTAAGAACCTCCTTTTTTTTTTTTCATTCACCCACAACAAACACCCCAATGTCTATGATGACAACAAGTCAATCCATTCAATGATCTCCCACCGTGGAGAACCGCCCCTCGAGCCGTGCGAAATCTCTCCCTGATAATCCCTCGCAACATTCCGCACTGAGCAAATGTATATTACGAGTGGGCAAATCGGTACCGTCTTTCTCATCTCCCTTATACTGGACCTTTACGGTGTGGGATGATCTTCGGATCATTCCGCCCGAAAGGGAGGAAGGTTGTGGAGCTCTTGAGGAGGCGGATTCACGCCGGTCTGTCTTAACTTTTACATTTCACCTCTTTGAGGGCTTGTGGGAAACCTTCGGGGGTGACTTTCTGCTACGCTTGACTTGTGTCAGCGCCTTCCTTCTGGCTCGAAGTTCGTTTTGGACGGCGAGTTGGGGGGTCGGGGCTGGCAGGGGAAGGGATGAATTAACCGGCTTGGCTGATTTTTTTTCCACTTTCAACCTATTCTGCTGTCGATGGAGAATGCTCTCTCTGGTTTTGAGTAGCGAGTATGCTGACAGTACTGGCTTGCAGGTTTGATTTTGATGAGAATCGCTTTTGGGCTAGTGTGTGGGATAGTGGCTAGTCGTAGATAGCACGGAATATGAACGGAAATCAATTGGATTTCTCTGCATCTCTTGATCGTCGAGTCCACTCTTTTATCCTCATTTGACCCAAGTCGTCTGAGTGGTAAGTATCTTGTTCTTCTTTCTTTGCTTCCAATCATCCTCGCTCCTATCATCCGATCGTCGTCGTTCAGAAGATGTTTGCATATCTACGTATTTGCTACTTCAGAGCCTTCATGGCCATGAGACAAAATTTCACCACATGCCTGATGGACATTCGACGATCTTGCCCTTTTTCCTCTCTGCCCTTGTTTTTTGGTATCTCATGCCTACCTATCCTCAATCGCACACCTCTTCAACACAATACAAAGAATTTTTGAAAAGTGGAAAACAAGTCCCAAGCAATATGCGTATGTATGGTATCCCAAGGTAAAAAGCATATGTACACGTAGAGCTAGCTGAGGAGTGTATCCCTGCGAAGAATGTCGCCTCGGCCATGTCATAGTAAGAGCTTTTGAGTCTGGTTTCACAGTGTATACTTGCCTGTCTTCCTTTCTATCTGGGTGTGTTTTGTGTTATGCGTTCGTGTGACCGAGTGGAAAAAAAGTGTATGAGCAGTGCGACGAAGTCGGGACTGTGGTTACTCGACATGTCCGTCGATGTTGGCAATGTGAAATGGGGATGGATATATATTTGATTAAGCTTCGAAGCAATCTCATGCCACAACAACCTCGCCTTTTCCGGGGGTTTCACTTGGAGTCGAAGTGCCGTTGCTCGTCATGCTGTAAGGAGCCTGCAGATACACCACACTGTCAGGTTTCTTCTCTTGTATTCCATGGCATGGGCTGTGGTGGCTGAGGAGCGTTGCTTACCAGAACTCGCTTGGCGTTACATATCCTCCACGCGAGATTGCGGACCGTTCCATCGGCGCGAACGACTTCGGGCGCGAATTCCACGCCAAACCTGAAGAAGAGAAGGAGCGTTAGTGGGCCATACAGCACGGGAGGCAGGATTTTAACATGATAAACTCACATCTGATGTACGGCGAAGACAACTCGTTTGGCATACTTGCCATTTCGTTCCACCTGGCTGCCGAATTGCTCATCCACCGTCTCGGGTGCGATTTCCGGGTCCTGATCCAGGCAGTTGCGGATTACGGGCAATAGTTTCAGCTCGACAGCCGCTTGAAGGTCCTCCGGGTTGCTCTCCAAGATATCCTCCTCGTCAAACCGAGCAGCGCGGATCTCGAAGGGTCGCGAGATGGCCATCACGTTGTGCTTGCCATTGTGGTGGTAGCGGAACTCGAAGGCACCCTGGGTCCAGAAGAGCTTGTCACCTGTGAAGACGACTTCACCCCTGAAGACGTCGTCTGTGTCACCATCCGAACGCTGGAAGCCTGGTACCCTGACATCAGTCGTCACAATGCCTTTCTCGCAGGTCAGGTTATCGTAGACACCGGCGTTCGTCGCGATCCATCTGCCTTGGGAAGAAACCCGCGTAACCTCACGTGAGGTGTTGTCAGTGACACGGTAGAGACCGATCCAGTCCTTCTTGCTGTGGTTCAGAGGAGCCGTCCATCGGACTTTGATCGGTGCACCGTATTCAAATACCAGGTTTCTGAGATCGCCTCGTCTGTCCAGGGGCACACGCGCGTCAGCACCTTCCCTACCACTATACGGGTCGATCGCATCCACAGAGGACGATAGAGTGCCCTCAACCACCAACGAGTAATCCCGCGAATCATATCCTGCAAGATCTTCGTCAATGCGGGAGATGGTAACACGGGCGGGATACGTCTGAAAGAGTGCAGTGGTATCTTTCACGAAGGTGTTAACACCGGCGGCAAGCTTAGGGCGCGCCGTATCGATTAGCTCTTCGATGAACTCGAATGATTCGTCCACGATCTTATCCACGCTACCATGCAGTTGGCGGAGCGAAGGGGGCAGGGATCGCTTGAGGCTCTTAACAAGCCCCGCATCTTGTCGCAAGCTTTGGCCATAGAGCTTTTGCATGTGAGGACGCTCAACAAATTGAATGAAAGCCATGCTTAAGACGTGACTTATTAGCGCGAGGAAAATGATTGCTCCGCTACTTGTTATCAGAACAGCACCCCAGACACCTGCCAGACCCAAAACACGTTCAGGGTTGTTCAGGAAGCGGTAGATGCCATTATACGTCAATTTGTGAGATCCCTGGAAGAAGAAATCACCGTAGAACCAGCCGAACTCGCCCAGCGATTCGTAAATGCTGACCGAGGTCCATGTCTGCAGGCAGATAAGCCCTACGCCCAGGACATGTCGGAGCAAGACCAAACCGTAGCCCCAGTCAGCAGGAAAGGTGTACATCTTCCACACGGCGGCAATGAAGCTCGCATAGCACATTATCATGCTCAGATGGTACGTGCCCTTCCACTGATTCCAAGCTTCGTGGGGGGTCTCGCCATACTTGACGAAATGTCGAGTCCATGCTTTACAGTTTGATTGACGGATAAGGAGGTACCCGGTACCGACGGAGAACCAGAGTCTCCAGATTGCTGCATTGGCCACGAAAATGAATTGATAGCGAGGTGTAGACGGCGTCAGGACGGTCAGGGCGAATACAAGGAACTGGACCAGCAAGGACGAGCTATCTGTTATCCGATGCAGGTCCAAGTTGTGGAGCCCTAGTAAACTGTGGACCGATGGAGGAGGGTTGCTTGTTGGGTAGTTTGTCGCATGGGGCAGCTGCTCATCAACCGGTGATGAGGCAACAGAAGGCTCGCTGGCCTGGGACGATGTGGATACAAAATCTTGCTCCGTCATACGCTTGCGCGGAGGAGGAGGATTGTACGTCTTGTCGATATGCGGATTCTCGACAAATACCAAGAACGCAAATTGAGCTGCATGGGCGAGGATGGAGATGAACAGCACTTTGTAGCTTGCTGCCATCAACGAAATGCCGTAGTATCCGGCGTACCCGACGGAGTACATCGGATGAGGAGCCATCTCGAAGACACCGTCGAACGTCAACTCTTGGTCAATGAGAAAGAAGAAATCTCCCCAGTACCACGCAAAATCTTTCACCACGCGATGAGCATCTAGTTTAACCCAGAGGTTGAACAGCACTAACGCGATACCAGATGCCCAGCGCACAATAGTCATCAGAACACCCTCATCAACGGGGTGATGGCTACATGCTATGGCAAAAAGGCAGTATGACGTAAAGTCACACATGAGAATAAGGTCCACGAGGCGACGAAAGACGAGCCAAGTATTGTACTCGAGCGGAGCCTCGTCGAACGAATAATCGACAGGGACCTTAGTTTCCAGTTCGCGCTTGATTAGTTTATACAGGTTAGGATGGGGATTCTGGTTCGTGGACGGGTTCACAAAGATTTTGGTCTGTTCGGCCCACCGAACAAGTGTGTTGTGGTGAGACTGATTGTGTAGAAGCCATCCGATGCCAATGTTGTATGCCGCCCGCCAAAAGAGATAGACGACAGCAAACACTGGGACTTTTGCACCTTGGGGGAGTTGCCGTAATAGGAAAATATGAGCACCCAGAATGAGAAGAACAAGGACATCAGAAAGGTTTTTGGGTTCTGAAGGAGACAAGAGTTGAGAGACCATATCATGGGTCTGAGGCACCGTGAACACTAACACATTGTCAAATAGCGTTAGTGCAACTGCTAACTGGGGCAGATTAAACGGATATCTCAAGCTAGACCAGGGGGGTGAAAAATGCCACTAACCTGTACCACCAGGGGTGCGGCCGAAGGTCTTTTTGTCCTTCTGTGCATCATCCTTGGCCTCAACCTCGCCAGTAGCCGTGAGGGCCTCGGACTTTGCCATTGGATCGGGCTGAGAGACGGCTACAGTTCTCTCGCGTAGCGCGTGCTCACCCAGATTAGAGCCTGTTGAGAGGCCACGATCCATTGTTGAAATGAAACTATGAATTCTGTTGGGTTGTACCCGGCAGATGCAAAGGGAGGGACAAGAGAATGAATGGGAGAAGAAGAGGGAAGAACAGAAGTAGCAGAAGCATGTGACAGCCTTGGCTGTGACTGAGACAGTGGGGGAAATTCAACCGGCGGGAAGGCAATGATTGGTGTTTGAATTCATCCGAACCAACCAGCCGCATCCAGCAATTTCTCTAGGTTGAACAGGGAGAGATTTAGGACTAAGAGTGAGAAAGATAGAAAGGAAATATCTACGCAGGAAGAAAAGAGGTCAGTCCAGCTATTTATGATTAATTGAGAACTACAAAAGCCAGGAAAAAACGTTGGGGGTGAGACAAAGCACCTAGACTCACTAGCCATGCCTCTCTCCTCTTTCCCCGTCGGTTATGGCTTGAGGTGGATCCCTTGCCCTGGGGAAGGGAAAGCATCGATGGGCCCTCGACGGACGGACAGCTTGGAAAGGGCGGTTCGACGCCAATCATGACGCTCATCGGAGTCTGGGTGGGATTCAGACAGAATGGGTCGGAATGAGGGAGAAAGACTGGAATTGAATCGACTGCATATCCATCGGAAGGGTCCAGTGCCGTGGTGTGGTGAATGAATGTCACTCCCGCATTAATCTCCCCGAATAGTGGCATTGCATTCTGCTGCACCACAAAGACTATTATATTAAGTCTGATGGGCGGTAACTGCGGTCTTCTCATCCTCTGAGTTTCACTGGACAGTTCTCTTCTCGCTAAGCCTCGATGATGGTCTTAGTGCCACCATGGAAGATGAAGCTGCGGAAGCTATGTATCTACTGTGCCTAGTTATGCAAGCTTTTTGGCTCTTAATGGGCATCTGCGCGCTTTCCAGTCATCCTAGAACCCCTCACGGAGGGAAGGGAAGAATCAGACAAGCTAGGTCTGGGTTGTTCATGTGCAAGTCCTATCCGTCGCAAGGACGCTCAGGGTTTCAAGCATTGACCCAAATACCATCGGGTCAAGTCTATTAATGCACCATGGAGTTATTAATCCTGTATCCAAGAAAAATGAGGCCTCAAATAGCCCGGGTGGACTCGATCATCGTGGTTTCCTGGTTTATACGAAAAGGTTTAGAGTTCTGACATCGCATTCCTGGTCGATATCTCCGTCTAGTTATATTGGTCCTACCGCTTTGCCCCTCATTTGACATCCTGGAGATCCGAGGACTCGCTTTTACTTAAAATCAAGGGATGGGACGTGGGAGCCATTGAACTTGATATAAGCAATCAATGACCTGAAATATTCCATCAAATTAGCAACCTTGTTGTCAAATTACTCAGCCCGTACTCCGATGGACGGGCCTGTAGCATGTATTAGATGGGTGGGATTATGAAGATAGCATAGATGTTTCTACGCTGAAGCCAGCAAAGGTTCACCTCAACCACATGTTGGAGAAGGATAACGCTTACCAGCCACTATCGGTACCGAAGCGATTGTACAGATTTAGACATAATTATACGAGAAGCTTAGATGTCCTTTGCCATATCAATCAATCTTATCACTGCATCAGCAACGACACCGCTGGGATCTCAATGCAGCCCCACACCAATCGCCACGGCAGTGTTTGTCATCTCCCGATAAGTTAAGTGCTGATTATCAAGCATCTTCCGCAGTCATCGACCCCCGCCACTTTTCCTTCAGGACTCTCTCGAACCATTAATAAAACTGTGTTCAATATTTCCGATTGTTAGATAATATTCGCAGTGAACCCAGAGATCAGATAGAACCCCGCGCAAAATGGCACCTTCCCTCGAGGAGCCAACAACGGCGCATTTCGACGCGCCCTCCAAGATGGCACCGAATCTCGTCGCGCCCGAGCCAGGTCAGTTCCTGTTTCGCTCCGAGTGATATGTACTTTGATACTAATGATTTTCTTTTCTCTAGAGCACTGCCCTGGTCCCGAATCCGAACAAGCCGGTCAAGGCGACGCTTGTGCCGGTTGCCCGAATCAGCAAATCTGCGCCTCCGCTCCCAAAGGCCCCGACCCCGACATTCCCATCATCACCGAAAGACTATCACAAATCCGACACAAGATCCTCGTGCTGTCCGGCAAAGGAGGCGTAGGAAAATCAACGTTTACCTCGCTGCTCGCCCACGCGTTTGCTGCGAACCCCGATTCCACAGTCGGCGTCATGGATACAGACATTTGCGGGCCGTCGATTCCGAAAATGATGGGAGTCGAGGCGGAGACTATCCATGTCAGCAACGCAGGCTGGAGTCCCGTCTGGGTTACAGATAATTTGGCTGCGATGAGTGTACAGTTTATGCTGCCCAACCGGGATGATGCGGTGATCTGGCGAGGCCCCAAGAAGAACGGTCTCATCAAGCAGTTCTTGAAGGATGTGGACTGGGGAGAGATGGACTACTTGGTTATCGATACACCTCCCGGAACTTCAGATGAGCACTTGTCTGTCAACTCGCTGCTGAAAGACTCCGGTGTTGATGGTGCGGTGGTCGTCACGACTCCGCAGGAGGTCTCTTTGCTGGACGTGCGCAAAGAAATTGATTTCTGTCGGAAGGCCGGTATTCGTATTCTGGGCTTGGTCGAGAACATGTCGGGCTTCGTTTGCAAAAATTGCAACACTGAGTCGCAAATTTTCCGAGCTACCACTGGGGGCGGGAAGCGCCTCGCCAAGAAGATGGGTATTCCGTTCTTGGGCGCGGTACCTCTTGATCCGAGAGTTGGAATGGCGTGCGACTACGGCGAGAGCTTTGTGGAAAACTTCCCGGACAGCCCAGCTTCGAAGGCGATCAAGCAGGTTGTGCGCTCGGTCGCGCAGTTCATCGGCGAGGAACCGGACAACGTTCTGCCGGAGGACATGGTCGAATAAAAAGCATTATTTTCTTTCCTTTCATGCCTGTCAGCGCGGTGCATTGGGACAGCAAGCCAGGGGATTCACGATTTGCCAATATTGTTAGGCGTTTGGGCCATAGATTCAGTTATTTTGATACCAGCTTTACATGGAAGACACCTCATTCTCTTGTTTACGTACTCTTCTTATTATTCTTCTGCCATCCAGAGGTTCGCCCTGCACTTGGGGCGATCTATAACTTGGGGGCGGAGCGGTTCAGGTACTGTATTTAGTTAACAAACCCAAAGGATCAAGATCCGGGGCAGTTGAATGGTTTGTCCACACGAGAAACCCAGTGCTAACACGAGCCAGCTTCGTGATAGTGCTCACCCCGCCCCGGATCAACTTGGGGTCGGAATATTGTTGATCATGTCTGTCGATTGAGGATATAAACGCCTATCAAGTCCTTTCTCTGCCCCGAGCCCCTTGGCATCTTCGACTTGACACTCCATAGACCGGATTTAACCCCTTGAATTTCACCGTTAGCTTGGCCTAGCTTGGCTCAGTTTGAGACTGGGGCATTATGAATCAATGCGGACCCGCTTCACCACCTGCCTCGAGGCCGACACATGGAACAACACCCCTAAAATAACCGTCGCGATCCGAAGAGACCCTTGTTGAGGATCTCATCTCTGCCGAATCTCTGCCGAGAGACTATTTGGCTGGGCCAACGGGCTTGATGCCATTGCCAAACGCCTGGTGGTGTTCAGCCAAGCCAGCCCTCCGTATTTTTGACTGTCTCCTGACGCAACCTTTCTCTCGTCTTTGGTTTCTTTCTTTTCCTGCCCCTTGGGCCAATAATTTGGGGCTGGCTCGGCCACGGATGAGGGGCTAGGCTTATTGCGATGGTGGGCTGTCACTGCGTACGCGGCCTAAGGTCGGATCGACCGGACGACGGTAATATTCCCTTCTATGGAGTCTAGGCCGGAGTCGTTATATATATGCGTAGAATGAAAATAGTAGCACTACCCCTCCATGTTGTGCAGAACCCATCCTTGCTGGCTGGACCGTGCCATGTACCCAAGCTAGAAAGAAAGTAGATAAGTGTTGAAGCTGTGACACTTCTATCGCTGGGCCTGCTTCACGATGGAGGGTTGTTTCAGGATTTCCGAGAGCTGATTGGCCGCCAGCCCGGAAGCCGAGCGGCTGGCGGTTTCGGTGATTACCTGGACAAGTGCCTGGAGGCGATGGCAACATGGGCAACTCCTTTCCCAACTTTTTCGCTTATTCGCCTTCGCAGGCGCCTGTCAGGCTGATCATTCTTCTCGGCTCTCCGTACCCATGGACGCGGTGATGCTTGCTAACAGGGGGCAATCCCTCGGATTGGCTCATCTCCGGACCTCACTGGCTCCTCAGTGGATTCATCGCTCAATTCTTGCAGTAACGGGTTAAGACCGGCGTATCTCACATTGAGTTGGAACAATGCCACGCTCCAGTGAACCCATTCCCCAAGGACCATGCGTCAGTTCTTGACTCTTGGGTTCTTGGTCTTTTCTGGGCGTAGGGCTTGGACCCTTTTCGAGTTGTATCCCAGTCCTCGGGATCCTCGAGTTTCTTCTTTCTGGGTTGCTCTCTTATAGACCGCAGGTGGTTCTTTTCTCTCTCTTCCTGACTCAATCGAGATTGTAGCTCGTTCATTTACTTTACTTCGCTTCTGCTGTCTTTCCCTTCACTGGGGAGGGATCGTTTTATTTCTTTTTTCTGTTCTTAGCGAACTCTTGCTTGGGTTCTTGTTCTCGTTCCTTGGTGGTTGTGCTTACATTCACCTGCCAGCAATCCTTCTTGTCCATACTGTTTGTTGTTGGCTCAGTCTGGACTCGGCCCCCATACTTTACTTTCCCCTATAAACTGCGCGCAGTGTCTTCAGGAAAGGGGTCTCACTTCAAAGACTAATCATTGCGTTCTTTGTTTTGTGTTGCTTTTCTAGACCTTCCTTGACTTGGATGTTCACTCTTTGACCGACTAATCAATCCCACATACTCCAACTGAGCTACAATCATGCAGCTCTCGCAGTCTCTCTTTTTGTTTGCGTTTTTCGCTTACAGCGTTGTTGCCTTGCCGACCTCGGATCGCATTCAGCACAAGGGCAGATCTTACAAGGTCAGTCGTGTTCGTCGTGGAGATGGAGAATTGCATGGACCGTCGGCATTGCGGAAGGCATACCGGAAGTTTGGCATTGTTCCCACCAACCTCAACATCGAGCTGGAAGATTTCGAGCCTGTCACCACTGTGAAACACAATGTCGCCGCTGCCAACGATAACAATGCCGAACCAGATCAGGTTGGCGCTGTCAGCGCAACCTCGGTGGAAAGTGATGCGGAGTTTGTTTCGCCGGTCGAGATCGGTGGCCAGAAGATCGTCGTCACCTTCGACACGGGCTCAGCGGACTTGTAAGGAAATGTCTAGTTTGGCATCGCATTGCTCGGATTACTGACAAGAGACTTATGATAGCTGGGTCCTGGACACTCGTCTCAACAAAACCCTCGATGGCCATACCCAGTACAATCCCGCCAATTCGACCACCTTCAAGGAAATGCAAGGCGCCACTTTCAACGTCTCCTACGGCGATAACTCGTATGCTGCCGGTCCCGTCGGAATTGACACGGTCAACATCGGTGGCGCCCTCGTTAAGAACCAAGCCATCGGTATCCCAACGGAGGTCTCCCAGTCTTTCATCGAAGACAACAACTCAAACGGCCTGGTGGGACTGGGTTTCTCCTCCATCAACAGCATCGAGCCCCAGGCGCAAAACACCTTCCTTGCCAATGCTGCGCCTAACCTGGACGAGCCGGTCTTCACTGCTGCCCTCAAGAGCGATGGCGTGGGCGAGTACGGGTTTGGTCTGATCGACTCGACTAAGTACCAGGGTACCATGGCCAACGTCAGTGTGGACAGCTCGAGCGGATACTGGCAATTTGACACTCCTGAATTCGCTGTGGGCAATGGTACGATGGGGCCGATTAACTCCACCAAGACGGCGATTGCTGATACCGGCACTTCCCTCATGCTGATGGACCAGCAAGTTGTGGACGCTTACTATGCCGAAGTGCCCAGCGCTGTGTATGTGAGCAGTGCTGGTGGTTACATCTTTCCCTGCAACACTTCGCTTCCCAGCTTCTCAATTGCATTGGGAGCGGAGCACCTGGCCACGGTCCCTGGAAACTTGATTAAGTTCTCTAAGGTTGGCACCAACACCACAACTGGACAAGCCCGTAAGTATCCCTGCTCGATGATACATTGAAGTAGCATCTCATTGACTGATTCTATAGTTTGCTTTGGTGGTATCCAATCGAATTCTGGCGCCACGCTCCAAATTCTGGGCGACGTCTTCCTGAAGGCCTTCTATGTTGTCTTCGACATGCGTGGGCCCTCCCTGGGCGTCGCTGCACCCAAGTGATCTTTGGATGTGCACAATGTCCGTCGATGTAACCTACATAATAGTGTGAGAATTAGAGCTGCAATAGCTTGCTGTAGGAAACCGAACTGTACAATAGAATGCGATCAAATGAATGCCAAAAATTATAGAAGTAGAAGCAAATAGAAATAGATGTATACGCTGACTAATTTTATGAACCTTTGATCATAAAGTTCTGGTCGCAAAGAACAAGGGGAGAATAAGGAGGTTCTACCCGCGTACAGCACAGCCCAATTGACAGCGCAACTGAATCTTCTCCAACTCTTCAAAGCCTTTCAATTGCTCAAGATCCCGTCTTCTGACTGGGATCCTCGTAAGGCAAGTTGACTTCAATCAGGTCGGCCGTGAGCCTTCTGCGGGCCGCCAGCACTGGAACCCCGCGGTTCGCTCCTCTTCCTTGGGCGACGGCAAGATTATTCGCTGCCCCTCTTCTTCATCCTCTTCCTCTTCCTCTTCGACCACTCCCTCTTCCTTTCTTCCACCACTCCTCCCTCGCCATCCGCTCCTTCGCAAACATGGCTATCAACTCCGCCCCCGAATCCTCCCTCCTCTCCCTTCTCTACCGGTCGTACCCGACCGCCATCTCCCCGGACGCCACCGAGCCCGACCTCCACACGGCCACTCCGAAAATCTTCCCGCACACCAAGTTTTCCGTCACCGAGGAGGCCGATGTCAAGCAATGGCTGGCCACGATCTCCGGCCTGCAGCACGCCCAGGTCAAGGACGACAAGACTGTGATCTCCAACATTCTCGGCCAGCTGAACAGCCACTTGGCCACCCACACGACTCTCTTGGGCGCTAAGCCCTCCGTCGCCGACATTGCCGTCTACGCTCTGCTCGCGCCCCTCGTTGAGAAGTGGTCCCCCGAGGAACGCACCGGCGAGCAGGGCTACCACCACATCGTCCGCCATGTCGACTTCGTCCAGAATAGCCGGCTGTTCTCTCTGCAGATCCCCGAGGAAGAGAAGGTCGCCATCGACTTGAACGACGTGCGCTTCGTGCCCAAGCCCGTCGATCCCAAGGCCGAGAAGGAGCGCAAGAAGAAGGAGAAGGCTGCCGCCGCCGCTGCCGGTGGTGCTGACGCCGCTGGCAAGCCTCTGGTCGTCGGCCAGGGCAAGCCCGCCCCCGAGAAGAAGACCGATGCCCCTGCTGCCACTGAGGCTCCTGCTGCTGCCGCCGCCGCCAAACCCGAAGGCAAGCCTAAGAAGGAGAAGAAAGAGAAGCAGCCCAGACAGCCCAAGGCAGCGCCTGCACCCGCTGCGCCCCCCTCGCCCTCCATCATCGACCTCCGGGTCGGCCACATCCTCCGCGCGATCAACCACCCCAACGCCGACTCCCTGTTCGTCTCGACAATCGACTGCGGTGATGCCCCGGGTACCGAGAACACGTCTCTGGATGAGGCAACAGGCAAGACGGTGCGCACCGTGTGCTCGGGCCTGAACGGCCTCGTGCCGTTGGAGGAGATGCAGGGCCGCAAGATCGTCGCCGTCTGCAACCTGAAGCCCGTCACCATGCGCGGCATCAAGTCCGTTGCCATGGTTCTGGCCGCCTCCCCTCGCGTTGCCGAGGGCGAGGATTCCCACGCCGGCCCCGTCGAGCTCGTCTCCCCGCCCGCCGACGCCCCCGCCGGTGAGCGCGTCACCTTCGAGGGCTGGTCCGAGGGCGAGCCCGAGAAGGTCCTCAACCCCAAGAAGAAGGTCTGGGAGACCTTCCAGCCCGGTTTCACCACCACCGACAACCTGGAGGTCGCTTTCGAGAGCGCCGCCGTCCCCGCCGTCCAGGGCCAGGAGGGTAAGCCCGCTCTCGGTCTGTTGAAGACTGCCTCCGGCGGTCTCTGCACGGTCAAGAGCTTGAAGGGTGCTACCGTTCGGTAAACGGGTTTGGTTCTGTCGCCGAGAGGAGAGTTAAGAAGAATACTACGTACATACAGATATGATCCCCCACCGCCATGCAGAGGAGAGAGAAAGAAAGAGAAAATTAGCGAGATCCCCACCATTACCCTTACTTAGCCCTCCCTAAAAGAAAAAAGAATCAATTACTTTTCTCATTCTATACATTCCTCATTCCACATCTCTACATGTTCTAAAACCCACCACCGCGTTATTCAATCACAAGCGAGCGTAGCGTAGACAGTATAGATTGGTATGCCGATATCCAGCCGCCATTTGACAACTTCAACAAGGATCATTCACTGAAAACCCACAACAATGACAACCCTCCCCTCCAGAAGATCCTGCGCAATGGTTCCCTATGAATGGTACGAATGTATCGTGTAACGAGACACAACCCTCCGCCCGCATCATACCATCCCATCCCATCCATCCATCCATCCCCGGATATTATCCCTCTTGCATTACGGTAGGCGATAATCGTAGAATTCAATGCTTCACGATTCGATTTGTTGTTCGAATTATGGATGGTAAGCTAAGAGCCAGCAACCAATACGATTTCCTCCGGCTTGAAGACCGACCGACCGCCCCCTCTTTGTCCAGTCTGCTCTATTCATTACTCTATCTAGCTCAGTGACTGGCTGGCAAAGCTAGGTATCTCCTCGTTCTGACCGTATACATGCATCACCCGGCCTTGTTCTCCTCTTCTTTACCTTACCCCGCAACTGTGGTGTGGTTCCCCTCTTAAATAAGCCGTAGAGGCGGGGGTGTTCGCTTTTCCGAATCGCTTTCTACGAAGGCTCGGGTTTGTGACTTCGTTTATATTGCTAGGGATTGTTGAAATACTTGTACTCTTACGCACGCGCCGGATTTGTAAGGTGATCACCATGAGAGCGGTCCGGTTCTACGCTGCGGGGGATATCCGGGTTGATCAGATTGAGGAGCCGAGTTGCGGGGAAGGGCAGGTTAAGGTATGTTTTACCTTCGATTTCTTCGTTTTGTTTGGGCTTGCGTTTCTTGACCGGACCGAAGAAATTGGCTGAGGCTTGCGCTTGAGATACGGCCTGCGTTTGTGGGGATTTGTGGAAGTGGTATGTTCGTCCAACGCCCATTGTCGACGTGGTAGAGGGAGGAGCAGAGGGCGATCAACACACTACACAAACAGTACAGTTGACAAGTTTGGGCGGGTAGACTTGCACGAATACACGTGCGGGCCGATCCTGGTACCCTGGACGCCACATGCGATCACCGGGGGACAGCTGCCCACGACTCTGGGCCATGAGTTCAGCGGCACAGTCGAGGAGGTGGGGTGCGGCGACGTCGCGGGCCTTCAGGTTGGAGACCGCGTCGCGGTTCGGCCTAACCTGTCGGATGGCGATTGTCCGCCCTGTTTGCGGGGGACCCCGAACTGTTGTCGCAATCTGGGGTTTGTGGGCTATAGTAGTGAGTTGAGTCCTACCGGAGGGGATGGTCAGAGCACACTTAAGCTGGCGGCTAATATTAGGCTGATATTCTCAAAACCCCTAGGTAATGCAGGGGGCTTGTCGGACCACGTCGTGGTCGACGCAGGACATGCCATTCCACTACCTGATTCCATTCCTCTGGATGTCGGCGGTGAGTGAGTGAGAGGAGAGGAGCAGAGGACTAGTCTGGCGCAATCGCTGACGCGATCCCTCTAGCTCTGGTCGAGCCCCTGTCTGTAGCGTGGCACGCGGCGGACCGCAGCCCTCTCGGGGATGCTCGGACTGTTCTCGTCGTCGGGGGCGGCCCAATTGGCCTTGCCGTGGTTCAAGTGCTCCAAGCCCGAGGAATAGAGTCTATCGTTGTTGTGGAAATCTCGTCGCGACGACGCGAATTTGCTAAAAGACTAGGCGCGACTCATGTCATTGATCCCCGGACAGAAGATGTCGTCTCCATGGTAAGAGCGATGACTGGAGACGCGGGCGCAGACGTGGCCTTTGAGTGCTCCGGCGTCCAGGCTGGATTGAATACAGCTCTGCGAGGCATCCGGGTCCGAGGAACGGTCACGATCGTGTCGCTCTGGGAGGCGAAGCCTGTGATTGACGCCGGCGCGATCGTGCTGGATGAGAAGCATGTAATTGGGGCGGCTATATTTGCCGATGGCATCTTTGAAGCCGTCATTGAAGCTATACGCTCGGGTATGCTGAGTGGCGCGCTACTTCTGTCTTCCTGTCCGCATCGCTGATTCTCGATTCGTTGTTTCTTTAGGCAAGCTCAACCCTCAAGCTATGATCACCAGCAAGATCCGAATGGAGGACATTGTCGAGGAGGGATTCAAGGCCCTAATCAACGAGAAGGATAAACATGTCAAGATCTTGGTTGATATCTCGGCGTAAAGTTGCAGGGCGAGGAGCTTAGGTGAGACAGTCCGACCTGGTCAGATGCGGCTGAGGGTCACACAGCTTTCGCATTGAAATGAATTGGTATTGCCAAGTCGTGTCTTCCGAGGTCGAAGATGATAGCCTAAGGCAAGTGTGATGGCACGTTTTGTGCGTAATCTGACGCCAGCCACTTTCCCATTTCCCCACCGAAGCTGAAGTGAAGGCATTGCAAGAACCGAAGGGCTGTCAGCAATGCCAAGAGAAGCCAGCCACGATAGACATTCTTCTTCTGTAGTTCTTAGTTCTGCCCTGGCCCCGGGGATGGCCGACGGCAAACCAGCGTAAAGCCCTGAGTTCGTGCGTGTCACTGCTTAACCTCATTTGGCCTTCCAAAGCGACTTTTTCATCCTTAGGAACCAACACGTGTGGATACGAGCGACGGGCAGATTCTTGGCCAGGGTTGGCGAGTTGGCGAGTGCGACTACGACAGCACGGCGGCCATTCCATCCATTCCACCGGAACTGCAATGGGTGATGATGCCAAGCAATACACGCCGAGAGGAAAAAGCCAAGCGGGGTGCTTCCTCGTTACCTCGTATCACCAACCCAGAAGTCATGATGTCGTAGTTGGTAGGTAGAAGTCTGTTCTCACCACCGATCCCTTAGGGTACAGAAAAGTAACCCAAAAGGTCGGCTCCGGAGTGGCCATGTTCCAGCGGGAGTGAAGGAGGGGGTTTGTCTAGATGCGAAGCCGACAGACAGACATCCATCGATCCCATCTCGACTTCAGACTCCTCTTCCAGATTCTAGACGCTGCGTCTCCCCGGTCCTGTGCTAAGCGACTAGTAACTAACTATCTACTAGTCAGATAGTCTTACTAGTCAGTCATATTCTGACAGCCAGACCGCTCGGACAAAGTTCGAGGTACAATATACCCTCTTTCGGATATCGGGACCTGATATATCCTTTCCGACCGAGCTGGGGTGGTGAACCTATGAGGCTTTAAACGCAGTCGTCAAAACGACGACGAACTGTTTCCCATCCGGGCGATCCAAGCCGTACTCCCATCACGCGGTCCAGAGACAAATAGTCGCAATGCAAACGACAAAAAAAGCATCAATGTCGAATGCCTCACGCCGAGCTAGCCGTAGGTACTAGGTGGTAGCAGGACTGTGTAAACCATACTACTGTTACCCCGGTGGCTGCAGAAGAACATGCGTTCGATCGCGCGACTTTCGACCCTGTCCGAGCCGGGCAAAGGAACGCCACTTGATTTTTTTTATTTTTTTACTTTTTTTTGTTTGTGATCTCCAGGTCGATGCGAAAAGAGACAAAGTTCTCCTCCTTCAGATACTCACGGGCCTTTTTACCAGTGGACCTGGGGAGATCGTGACTCCATCTACTTCCACCCCCGCCTCCCCTGCTTGGAGTGGGAGTGCCATTCACTGAACCACAGCTGGTAGCGAGGGAAAGCCCCTCTTTGTATTTGGACCAAGCTTGTTGTTGTTTGGTTTTAGATGTGCGTGAGATTGGGTTGGTTTCGTGGTTTGTCGTCATCATCCGTCCTTGAAAGGACGGGTTCCGGGGTAAATTTGCGCAGTGGGAAGGGGGATATCTATGGAAGGATCGGAGAATAAACATACAGGAAGTGCCAGACAAAGAAAAGGTCAGTTGGAGGTTAATCTTTCGGAATCTCTGGGTCGCAGTTGTTCTTCCCGAGTCCGGCTTTTCTCTAGCTCTTTCCACTTACCTTACCTACTTCAATTTAACTACTTTCGACTAACTACGTACTACAAGTCATGGTCGACTCAGATACCTTCAATTACATCCAGATACACTTTCCTCCTTCGCTCACTTGATACTATTCATGCAGGGATGAGAAGCGCCCCGAACGAGGGGAGTAATGGGGCACTCTGGAGCAATGGAAGGATTATTACAGTCATTTGGTGCAATCCAACTGGACTGGAGCAGGCAAATCGCCATGTCCGATGTATGTATGTCTCGCCTGCAACACCCCTCCCTTACCCCCAATGGATATGACCTGATCTGACCTGGCTTGGCTATGTCCTTCTTTTGTTTTCTTTTTTTCACTGCACGCTTTGCTTAGAATAGAATTGGGAAGTTTCCAGACATCTTCTGTATGAGCATGGTTTCTGTACTCTGTATGTACTTCCATCTGGTTGCTGACCGTTCGGTAGTTTATTGGAATCTCATCTTATCAAAATGTTGATCAGTAGTATTTATTATGACCAGTTCGTCCCCGCAATCTGGTTGGAACAAAAGCCTTTCTCTTCTTTCCCTGCATTGCTTCTACTTTGACTTCATCTTCACAACCCGAGAGAGAGAAAGAGAGAGAGGTCTCAACGACTAGACCATCCATCCATCCATACATCTTCTATTAATACCTTCGGGAAAAGAGTCTGTTCCTCCCGAGGTGGAACCGCCTCCCAAACGAAACCCCCACTCGCAAACCCAGTGTTTCACTCTGGTTGGTGTCGCTGAACTCTTGGGATCTTACTATTTTTTCGGGGGGGCCCTCTGGGTTCAGTCTGGCACATCATCATCGCCGCCCCAGGTGGTTTTCTGGTTGGGAGCACCTTTTCCTTGGTTTGCAATCCCGATCGAACAAACTTGCGGCCACTGGTTCCTCCTCCAGGTATTATTTTCTTTTCTCCTTTCCTACCTTCCACCTTTTTCGTCTTTTCTTTTATTTTTTTTATTCCTTCTTTAAAAAAATCATCCACTCGTTTCCTGCCCTCAATTTATATTCTGATTTGTCTGAATTGGCATCATTTTGGCTTCCTTTCAAATTGCCTGCCGCCCGGCCTGGCCTCTTTACATAGCCCCTAAATTTTTGCTACCATTACTACTTGACTAGTCGGCCTTGTCGGCGCACTTGCGGTGGGCCGGCGATTGTCGATCGCCATAGATTTATAACCGCTTTCTAACCTCCTCAGATCCTGCATCGCATCGCTCTATTCTGTTTACTTGTGCCAACTTCTGATTGAAGCATGTCGGACTGACCTTGCGTCGACGTTGCACGATCTGTCTGTACTATATCCCTTACCGTGAACCTCATCTCCCGCTCGTCCAGTCGTTTCATTCATTATCAACATGGGAACTCCACTGGTTGGTACGGCCATCATCACGGGGGCCAATGGCTTGCTGGGATCAGAGGTCGCCGTCTCCATTGCCAAAGCACAGCCCTTTGTCCACCTCTTGTTGGTGGCTCGGGATATCAGATCCGACGCCGTGAAGGATGTATTAAACCGGATCCGATTGATCGGGCCTAGATCCGTCGAGGTGGTCAAGGCCGATCTGGCCTCCTTCAATTCGGTAGCGAGCTTTGCTCAGTATACCGTGGAGAGGGTCCGCAGCAAAGAGATCCCTCCCGTCATTCTTTTGATCAATTCCGCGGCCAGCTCGTCATACGTCACCGATCAAGTCACACGAGATGGGTACGACCCCGTCTATCAAACCAACTGCATCGCGCCGTTCTTGTTGACCGTGAGTCTGCTCGAGGCCTTCCGAGCCGGCGACGGGACCCCGAACGGCGGTGCCCGAGTCATCAATATCGGCTGTGCGACCATGTCCAAGGGTTCCCTGGACTACTTCGATGAGCAAGAACCGGACCACGCCACCCAGACCCCGGGAACTCCGATCAGTGCGAAGGAAGCGACCGCCCGGTTCGGAAGCAGTAAATTGTTGATGAGCGCGGCCATGTATGCCTTGCGGCGAAGTCTGGTACTCGTGAGTGTATCCCTTTTCATTGTTATTCTCGGGTTGACCAGGACTGACTGTGCCTTCGTAGGCTGGTAACATCTCGCTCAATGTATATACGATGGACCCCGGTTATATGACCGGGGAGAGCCATCTGACCGCCTCGGCACCTAAGTCGGTGCGCATGGCGCACCAGACCCGGTCTGGGCTCCGGCCGATCTTGCGAGTCTTCTCCAAGAGTGCAATCAACAAGGCTAGTGTTCCAGCCAAGGTCATAGCGAAGGTCGCATTCCAGAAGGAGACGGTGGAGAATTGGGGCAGAGAGCGCTATTATATCTTGGATAGCGAGTACGAGGCCGGATCCGTCATTCCCGTGTTGCGAGACCTGCCGCGCATGGATGCGCTGCTCCAGAAGGTGATGCAACAGATCGAGATTGGTGTTAAGGGCATGGGCTCGCCTCAGTCCAGAGTGTCTCGACTGAGTCACCCTTGAGTGGGTCAAATCGGACCTACGGTTCTCATCTTTTTGTGGCGTTTCTAGCTTGCATTCATCTTGTCGGTTTGATCGTTGGGAAGGAGTTCAAAAACCCGAGCATTCTTTGAGGCGTCTTGTTGGTTTCCTTTTGCTCTTTTGCAAGCTTGGAGTTCTTCACCCGGGACCTATATGATATTAGGATGTTCTGTAAATAGAGAGCTTATCTGTATACGTGGGAAATCTATCCAATGAGGAAGAGTATTCGAATTCTTTGAGGCAAGATCTTCATTTTTTGGCTTGAGAGTCGTCGGTGATGGCTGCAAACGGGCGGGTGCCGGAGCGGACGGAGTTTAGGTTGAGGGCCGCATTCGGATCTGGACCCAGATTGAGTGCCCGCGGATCACACCTGGCGGCTCAACCTTCTCTCTCGACGCAATCATTGATCTCCGTCAAGCCTCCGGGCTGTTCAGCTCCTCACCCTCCTTCTCTTCACTTCCGAATTCTCTTCCTATCCAAACGCTCTCGGATTTGCGATCCCTCCGCCGATCTTCGTCTCGCTCTTATCCACATCCACCTTTCTCTCGTCAGCGCATTCTGCTCGGTAGTCTGAGGAAGGTGAGCCTGCAGTCGTCTCTTCAACATCAGCAGCACCTTGACAATCGATCTGTAATTCAAAGCGGGCTCCCTAGCTACATGTCATCTTAGGAGAGATGAACAGGCATCACGCCTTTGGCAATGGATACGCCGCCTATCCCCGTGGCAAAAGCAATAATTCCTTCTCTATCTCCCCACATCGGTACGCGATCTATCTGTTGGCGAATCTCATGTGCCACCATCCTGTCTCACGTCGGTGGATACAGCATTGGAATTTGCGCTGACACTTGACTTTGCTAGCTTTCAACCCCGATCACAGCCTGCTTTGCGACGTCGAAGACAACTCTTTCAGCGACTCTGTCTCTTTTGCGGTGTCTCCTTGCTACTGCTCGTCTTGATATTCCCGTCACTGCGCGCCTCGCTCCTTCCGGTGGTATCTCTCGGCCTACTCCACTCGTACGAGGATCTTCAAATCGAGACCATCCGATACTATGACTTGTCCAAGGTGCAAGGAACGGCAAGTGGTTGGGAGCACGGGGAGCGGGTGCTCATGTGTACCCCCCTCCGCGACGCTTCCTCCCACTTGCCCATGTTCTTCTCGCATCTACGGAACCTCACCTACCCGCACAATCTGATCGACCTGGCTTTCTTGGTGTCGGACTCCGAAGATGACACGATGGGGATGCTGTCGCGCATGCTGGACGAGCTCCAGCACGACGCGGACCCGAAGATGCCCTTCGGTGAGATCTCTGTTATCCAGAAGGACTTTGGGCAGCTGGTCAACCAGGATGTCGAGAGTCGGCACGGGTTCGCCGCGCAGGCCAGCCGCAGGAAGTTGATGGCCCAGGCTCGGAACTGGCTGCTGAGCGCCACGCTGCGCCCGACGCACAGCTGGGTTTATTGGCGAGACGCGGATGTCTTGACAGCGCCGCGGACTATCTTGGAGGATCTGATGCGGCATGATAAGGATGTGATTGTGCCGAGTGAGTTTTGTTCTTGTGCGCATGTATCCTAACTTGATGACTGACGATGACTAGATGTGTGGCGACCCCTTCCCGACTGGCTGGGTGGAGAGCAACCGTACGATCTGAATTCGTGGCAAGAATCTGAAACTGCTCTGGCGCTGGCCGAGACGCTGGATGAGGACGCGGTCATCGTGGAAGGTTATGCGGAGTACGCTACCTGGCGCCCGCATCTTGCCTATCTGCGCGACCCGTATGGTGATCCGGACATGGAAATGGAGCTTGACGGTGTCGGCGGTGTGAGTATTCTGGCGAAGGCAAGGGTTTTCCGCTCGGGTGTGCACTTCCCAGCTTTCAGCTTCGAAAAGCATGCTGAGACTGAAGCCTTCGGCAAGGTGAGTATTTGGCGGTTCCTTTTATTTGTCAACATGCGTGAGACTAATACTCGGCAGATGGCCAAGCGCATGGGCTTTTCGGTCATTGGTCTTCCGCATTACACCATCTGGCATCTTTATGAGCCAAGCGTGGACGACCTGCGGCACATGGAAGAAATGGAACAGGAACGGAAAGAGCGCGAGAGAGAGGAGAAAGATCAGGCTGATCGTGCTGACCGCGTGCAGACCCTGTTCAAAGACGTCAAGGTGCAGTGGGACATCGATCATGCATTTGTCGAGGACGCCATCGCCGAGGAAGATAAAAAGCAAGAGACCGCCGCTTCGGGGCCGCCTTCGAGCGAGGCACTCAAGGGCTCCGAGGAAGGTCCTCTCGCGCCAGCTGTGAAAGAGCGGGGTGGTGTCGAACAGAGCGGCGAGGTCCACGATACCAACATAAAAGAAGCCATGCGATGATGAGGCTTTCTTGTTTGGTGCCGGTATCGAGCGACCAGTTATTCAAGCTCAACATACCACCCCCTGTGCTGGTCATGGGCGGATGTACTTTTCTCATTTCCAAATGTACCACCGCGTTCTCGTTGTTCCTGCCTTTTTACCTGTCATCAATCATTTACTAGGATATTTTGCATGGTGTCGTTGATCGCTTTCATGATAGGAAGATCTCCGAATATAGTATACAGCATAGACCTTCCACTTTTATTCTATTTAGTGTTAACAATCACATATAACTAAGTAGAGAGAATAACCAACCTACGATCTAACTTCTTTTCAATATGGAAGCCTTCCACGAATAAGGGTTGACGGCGAGTAAGGCAACAATAACCTTCTTTAGCCCAAGCGGGATCCATTAAGCAATGGCCCGTGCGTTTATCAATGCCGCCGCGGGCTGCACGCGTTCCGCGTCAATTCTTCCAACCCAGGCACCATTTTCACAGAGCTTCAGGAGCAACATACCCAACCCTCTCCTTTAACATCCCGCCCTCCATAACGATTCCAGATAAAAAGAGGGCTACTAAGATGTCCACGCAATCCGCCCAAAGCATCCTCTTCACCCACACAGCCCCGCAACAAGGCATCCGATTACTCGAACTCCCACCGGAAGTGGCAGACCTCCTTACCAGCGCGAACCCTCCCACGTATTGCTCCTAATTCTTCGTTCCTTTCTCAGCAGATTAACAAGCTTATATACTGACGAGATACGCTTAAAATAAAGACTCTACCTCAAATCCCCAGCCACAAACACAAACACCACCACCGCAACAAAACCAACAGAAACCCACCATCGCGAATACGTCAACCTCTGCACCCCCACGCAAACCTACCGCATCCGCCAAGTCCAGTCCTCAAACTCCCTCCACATCCTCCAACCAAGCACCGGAGGCGAGGATGTCCGCCGCGATCTAGCTGCCGTCGTCGATCTGCGCGCTGCCGCCACTAGGACCCAGCCCGCTTCATCTGCTGAGTCCGGTGAGGTAGACGGTGGTGATATGCTGGATAACAATCTAGACATCAACCTCGCGCAAACGGTCACCACGATCGCGAAGTGCGGGTCAACGCTCGAGTTACACGTTCCCGAGAACGGGTTCGGCGCAGCGGAGTTCCTTTCTGGGGGGGCGTTAGGGCTTCTACGGCGTTTCCAGTTGGGGGATGATACCACTGGTTTTGGCGACCGGGCAGGAAAAGCGGAGGATGAGGATGAACGCGCCCTGATGGAGACTATCTTCGCTGATGTGCCGGTTTCTAGGGCCGAGTGTGAGAGGGCCTGGGTTCAGGCGTGTGCGTTTTTGTGGCGTGGCGTCGGGTGGGTGCCTTCTTCGGAGGCTAAGATGGGGGTTTGGAAGAGGGTTGTTGAGGGCGCGCTGGTGCAGGGGATTGATCTCCGGGCGCAGTTTTTGGTGGAGGATTTGTGGGGGGCTGTTTGTGGTGAGGATGACGATGGGGACGAGGGGCCCGGGCCGTGTCCGAGGGCGTTGTTTGAGGCGGTTGTGCGGCGGGTTGATGGGGATGAGAATCGGAAACTTGGGGAGGGGTTGAAGTGTGAGTTTGCCCCTCTTTTTTTGGTCGGGTCTAGGTGTGCCTACTGGGTTGGTTGCTGATGTTTTCTTGTTTCGGAATTAGGGGCCGGTCTTGATAAGGAGGCTTGTGTGCGCTGGGTGGGCGAGACGTATCTCGAGGCTATGGCGCCCACGGCTGGCGATGCCATTGGCCGTACTCAATTTCTCACTGCGTGGAAGGATCATCTACCCGAGGCTTGGAGGGAGGAGGTGGCTTTGTCCAAATTGACGGTATGTTGGTATTGTTATGTGTTTATGCAGAGATGGTCCCCATTGACTCTCGTTCGTTACCTTACAGGACTCCGTTTATAAACTGCCCGACCCAACCTCCATTTGCTTCGTGACCGAATTCGAGCGGCAGCGAGCCAAGAAGAATCTCCCCACGGATGCGAGTGCATCGACAGCAGCCAAGAAGTCCAGGAACTGGCATGAGCTCTTCAAGAACCAAAAGCGACAGAAGCGGTGACGCTCTAGTGTAAATTCCAGTATGTATCCCAATGCGAAGAAAACAAAATGCAAGCCATCCACAACCCTAACACCAGGCATATTTCTCATTCAGGCACCATTCCACCGTCTCGCCCAGCCCAAACTCGGCACCGCTCCATCTCATCGACGCGATGCTGTCCTTTTGACGGTGGATCAGCTCGGCAGTCGAGTCGACCATGGCCACGGCTTCCTGCAGGAGGGGCGTCGGGTTCCAGAACTCGACCGTGCTCATGTTCCATTCATCTGCCTCCAGCTGAGCGCGTTTCAAGATGGCAGCCATGGCTTTGATGGTCCGCTGTCTCTCCTCCGGTGAGGCTGGCTCATCGTATACCCACCGCAGAATGTATAGAGTGTTTTCCTCAGGCACCTCACCAAAGTTCCTGTTCCATGCGCAGTATACCCCCGCTGCGTCCTCTCCCGCACCTTTCACTAGAGGGGCTTCCCTATCCGGGAAAAGAGCCTTGACGAAAAACTCCTCTCTCGCCCAATGCCATTGGAGATGGTCGTAATCCGGTGCAATTGCAACCTTGGGAGTGGACGTCTTCAGGGATGCTTCGCGGAGGAATTCGCGCTCCTTCTCCAGGATCCGTTCGTTGCACACGCGGTCACGAACATCTTTCGCAGTCAAAGTTTTGACCTTGGGGAGGGATGCGCCTGTGCCTGTCGAGGCGAATTGCTCCTCTGTGATGGGTGGAAGTGCGAAGTGAGAAGACAGGAATGGCTTCCAGCCAAACTTGGCATAGAAGTTTTTCCCAATGTCGGAGAAGAGAATGCTGAAGAGCGACTTCTTCCTGCTTTCGGACTCCATATTCCACGTATCGACCTTGTTGCTGAGCTCCTCCATCATCCTCTTTGCATATCCCTTGCCTCTGAACTCGGGCCGACAATAAACGCTTCCAATCCCGTTGGTCGAGACGTCTTCCACCCTGCCGTCTTGCGCCAGCCAGGCTTTCTTTTTGTATGTTTCGCAGGAGCCCAGGATGGTTCTATCTCCCTCGGGCTCTCTGCGGTCGACCAAGATCCAGCTGGTGAGGCCATGCTTGACCAACTGCTGCTGATGGAGATGGTTCTCTCGCGCGATATACGTGTCGAGGTCCAGGCGACCTTTCCAGGCGATGCTGTTCAGCTTCAAAGCCTCGAGCTTCTCCGCAGGCGTCGCCGGAACCAGGATGAGTTCCGGAGAATCACCTTGCGGGAGAGCGACTCCATTGGTGTAGGTGTTATCGGCAGCAATCATGATGGTGGTCTTCAAGAATCACTTGAAGATCAACGAAAGTGTTTCCTGTTTCTGAAGAAGATGGAACCGTGGAACGGGCAGAGCCGGGGTATATATGTACTTGTACGAAGGCAAATGACTCGGTGACGTGTTTTCCCGGCACTCAATTGTAAATACGACGGCGGATCCCGTGAACTGTATGTGCTTCCACAGGGAGATTGGATGGAAAAGGAGCTGCAAGGGGGGGCCGCCTTAACAATATAAGTGCTGAACCCTTTCCCCTCTTCACTCCAGCTCGATGACGGTAACAGACACTGGAGATTTGGTACCAAAGGAAGTCAACTCCGACGGGGAAGGTTTCCTATTTGCCGTGGTGGCCGAGGACAAGCGACGGCAAGCGCTGGACTCCGTACCTGCTTGCCTTTCTTGTCGCGCGGCGACTGAACTATAACCTGAATGATGTAGTCAGGTGCAGATTTCGGTGCCTGTTTTGTGTCGGTTGATGACCAATGCCAAGGTAAGTAGGGTGCTGCCGAAAAATGATGTTATGAGGAGTGTGTGTCCTGAAAGAATAGTGTATGCTGGTGGTGTTGGTCAGTATACTCGGGAAAGATAAGTTCTTTGTTCAGTACTTTCGATGTACTGTACCTACCCTCCCTGTCAGCTCCGTGCCTAGCCTTGCTGCCTTTGATAGTACTAAGACCGGAGCTCCGGCTTATCGGGGGCCGACGGGGAAGGAGAAAAAGCGGGGGACGACTGTCAGCTACTATCTTCTATATGGGGTAGGCGGTCAGCCTTGTCAGTCAGCCAGTTTGCTGCTGCGGTTTCAGTTGATGCCTCAGGAGCCAGGGCTGGCTGGGCTGTCACTCACTCCAACTCACTCACTTACTTACTCACCTCAGGCTCTCTCTCACTCTCCCTCCCTTCCCCACTCCAATCCTCAGCTCTGTTGATGTATTCCCCGTTCGGCCCGCCTCAGCTCTCAAACATCAACCATATCACCCGTCTCTCATCCAAGAGGACCTACCGACTTCCACTCTCCAGTCGGCATTATCTCGACGTGTTGTGCAAAGGAGTTGCGGCCCAGGGTTCGCAAAGCATCCATAGGTGGGCAGCTTTCATTGTTTCCAGTGCCTAGCCGCTACTCTGTGCTTCTCGAAAACCTAGCGCAGATCCAGAAGCGAGATCATGACCTCTGCTTCACTTTCACCTACCTGGGACCACTGATTCCTCCACTAGCCAATCAACGCCAGTAGTACCTATCGTCCGTATTCACCTCATCCTTAACAGGCAATTATCTTGTTCAACGACATGCTTAACAAGACACTGTACCCAGCGCCGGAGACTTTAAGCTAAGCCTCAGGCGCTCCCTTTCATCGCAAAGGTCCTGTTTTCCATCTACCCACCTCTCACTTCACTCCACCATAGATCCCATCCAACAGCCGCTGGAAGCATCCTGCCGGGTTCCAGGAACGGCTGACCGACCTTGATCAACCTTGTCCTCCGAGATTAACCATGGCATATCGTCATCTTTACGCATCTAGTGCTTCGCCAGTCCTCACAGGGCTCGAGGACCTGCAGGCGCTAGATTATGGGGATGCCCATCTTGACGAAGCTTTCCTGCTGGCCGATCTAGACCCATTTGATGGCTGGGGAATACCCTCAGACAACAATGGGTTAAGCCAAGTGCCATTTCCCACTGACCAAAGACCTGCCAAGAAACAGAGAAGAGACGATACAATGGACGTCTTTGCTATGACAGAAATGCCCGCTCAATCCCGCAACCCTGACCCCGACTCCAACATCCTGCGACAAGGGATTGCCCGAAATTCTCCGACAATCATCGATCTCACTGAAGACGAGCAGCCACTGACTGAGATCCTAGAGATCTTCCCAGACATTGATCCGGACTACTTAAAAGGCCTCATCGATCGGCACCTAAAGCTTGTGTTACAGGCTAAAGCAGAGATTCTACTCACGGCCACTGATCGAGACTTAGCAAAAGGCCTTGTCATCGAGGAGATTCTCCGGAACCCTCACTACCCCAGAAAACAGAAAAGGCTCAAGAGAACTCTCGACGAGTCTGATTCAGCAAAGAAAGACGAAGAAGATACCCTGAAGTGGTCGAAGACTTTTCCTCAAAGAGGAAGTGATCTATACCTTGAAATCACGTAAGTGAGAGACCTATCCCAGATTTCCTGGATATAAAGCAAGCTGAAGGTCACTCAAGTTCTCGGTTACTGACCATCGAATTTCCGACTGTGCCCTGGACGTTCATCTACAACCTCACCCTGGATAAAAGGGAACTCTATGCTACTTATCTCACTCTATCTGCACTGGAGGACCCTCTGACCAAGTCGGATAAGCCCTACACGAACGAACCCCGCCGCAACACACGCGGGTATACAGACCTGTACAAGACCTACCCAGAAAATCTGCCAATCATGCAGAATATCAAAAGAGAACTGCAAGCTGCGGCGCAGAAGGCCAAGGAGTGGAGTGCAGGTACGTCACCTTATGCGGATTGGATCCTTCAGTCGCTGATGCGCGATGGCGATGAAGCGGCCCTTCGTGAGAAGTTCGAAGGGAATGAGAAGGAAGCCGAGGAGCGCAACATTCGAACGGGGAACCTTGTGGAATGCCAGTGCTGTTTCGAAGAAGTCCCCGCGAATAAAGTCATGCCGTGTGAAGGGATGGATGTTCATTTCTTCTGCCATACTTGCATTCAATCTTCGGCAAAGACACAAATCGGCATGATGAGGTATAAGCTACAATGCTTCGATGGGAGTGGGTGCCAAGCACAGTTTGATCGTCACGGGCTTGAGCACGTCCTAGGAGCTAAGATGATGGAGAAGCTTGATTCCCTGCAGCAGCAGGATGAGATTCAACAGGCTGGGCTGGAAGGGCTCGAGTCGTGCCCCTTCTGCGACTTCCAGGCAATATGTGGCCCCACCGAAGTGGATCGAGAGTTTCAATGCAAGAACCCAGAGTGCCAAGTGGTTAGCTGTCGCTTGTGCAAGGAGAAGAGTCACCTCCCGAGCAACTGTGAAGAGGCCAAGAAAGAGAAGGGTCTCCCCCACCGCCATCGGGTAGAAGAAGCACTGAGTGAGGCGCTCATCCGGACTTGTCCGCAGTGCAAAGTCAAGATTGTCAAAACATCTGGCTGCAACAAGATGACCTGCACCAAATGCGGTACCAATATGTGCTATATTTGCCACGTGAAAATTGGCCCAAATTACGACCACTTCGATAAAGCACCCACGTGGTGTAAATTGCACGATGTCCACGGTGTAGATCCACACCAGGCGCAGATAGCCCAGGCCGAAGCCGATACCATCGCCAGGATCCTAAAAGAGAACCCTAATGTCACTGAGGATGAGATTCGAGTGAATCGCGCAGAAAGGAACCAGAATCGTCTGCCTCGTCAGCGAGGTCAGCTGCCTCAGCCTGTACGAGATCGAGCTCGACAGGCCGCCAATGTTCGTGGTATTGGGCCTCCTCGTCAACCTGTGCAGCAACGTCAGCCTGTGCAGCAACGTCAACCTGTGCAGCAACATCAACCTGTGCTGCAACGTCAACTTGTGCAGCAACGTCAACCTGTGCAGCAACATCAACCTGTGCTGCAACGTCAACTTGTGCAGCAACGTCAACTTGTGCAGCAACGTCAACCTGCGCAACCGCGCCAACCTGTTCAGCCCCGCCAACACTTTCAACAACGCCCACTTGTACAGCCGCCTCAGGTCAGACAAAATCTAGGTCCCAACAACGGCGCTGTGGGCGTTGGTAATCGCCAAGCGCAGGCCAACATGAATAGAGGCATCATGCCAGGCCTCACTGACAAGAACGTGCAAGACTACAACAACGAGGTGGACATCTGGGCAAGAAACATGGCAAACAACAAACATTTCTATGCCAACAGAGTACGAGACCTATACGTCACTGAATTTCCAAGGGACCCTCCTGGCAACAATTACCCTCTTCCCAATCTACATGTGAATCAGGCAATTCCTGGAGTTTTACCACAGGCCAACCCTCAGAACGCTCAGCCTAGGCCAGCAAATCATCCTCCTCCGTACTTCGCTCTCAATCACGGCCAGGCTGCACCCATGGCAGCGCACTTTCCTCCTAATGCAGCAATTTGGTCGCCAGATACGGCTGTGCCCTTCGAATTTCCATTCTACACACCACCAGCGCTTCCATAGAATGTCCAAAGACTATCCGGTGGACTGGGAGTATATGGACGCGATTAGTCCTCTACTCTAGTTATTCACGACACAAACTGAGTTCATCCAGAAAGGATTGTCTGTCACTGGGCGCGGGCGCCCACCTCGGTCATTCACGACCTTTGCTTCTTGAGCTGCGAATTTTGATGAATTACAATAATTGTTTATGCTTCTTAGGCTTCTCTCCTCACTTTTGGAAACAGTCCCATTTACACATACCATACTCACACTCGGTTATGCAACTTTGGCTATTTTGTCCCTGGGTACCATCTGAAAAATGCAAGGCGTTCAGGAGTTGAATATCTCACCATCTCAACTGTTTCCTCATCAAGCGTACAGATTGTTTCACTCTTGGCTTTGGCTTTTTGCACCAGTAATGTGGTGTATGATCTACACTTTAATTCCAGCAATGCGGGACAGACGCGTCATTCCTTCTTTGGGCTTCAAGTTTTGGGATTTGGTTTCCAGTCGGACGATATAGGGAAGGAGTACTTTACTCCCTGCAGAGCAGGATAATATCTAGCAAGCTTTTCCTTGGAATAATAGCAATCACTACCAGGCACAAGCTGACCGAGTAATAGCAGTAGCAGTAGTGGTGGTGGTAGTACCTCATCCCACCTATGTAATGCAGCCAACTTTTTTATGAAAGTATAGTTCCCAGTATCAAGACGCAATGCATGGAGGTAAGTTCCAACCAACCTATCCGTACGTGCATGGTAGAATAAAAGTGCCACTCACTCCGCCTTCCATATCCATTGAACCAAGCAGCAATCCTAACTCGACATACTACAACACTTCACACCTCCCTTTACTTCCTACTTCTTGCTAAATAGCACTATCGAAAAGGTGCCCAACGGTAATTGATCCAGTCAATCAAAGTTCCAGCCAGGATTTCTTCCTAAGAATTTACACCCGTTCAACAAAACAAAACTCAAGAGTGCCTACCTACCTTACCATAACTAACTAACATACAAGCACACTTAAGCAAAGCAAAGCAAAGCAAACCTAGATCCCAAGCATGACTCAGAGCAGTCATTCATCTCTCACAGTGCCCCGAGTCTATATAGTCATCCATCTAAGAAAAAATCCCCATGGTTCCCACTCTCTGCAGTGCCTCAATCACAAATCATAATGACAATCCTCAGGTCGGCAGGAGGAAGTGTATGGATGCTAGATGGCCAGTAATTGACTCACCACTCGATTACGTACTAATATGTACATAACCCCGAATCGTTCCCATCTACTCGACTCGGTGCGTTAGCATTGAACCCCATGGGCTGGGCTGGACGTGGACAAGATTTGAGGGCTAGAAGTTTGAATCCGCTAGTATAGTATATAACTTCGTATTCATATGTGCGGTCTTGCCAGGAACTAAAGGTTTGTGCTCAGGCTGTCGAAACTTGTGGGGAACACCAAAACTGATTGAAATCGAACAGGGGCATCGAACCAGGGGAGAAAACAGGATTAAGTTGGGGGATCGGTCGATTTGTCCGGGAAGGGAAGGTTGGAACTCAATCATCTCCCGTCAGTCCCGTCAATCCACATGACCGATTACAAAGAACCAGCCCCGTGCGGAATATTAGGCTCGACGCATTCGGGGTAAAAAAAAACAAGGTGGATAACCGTTCCATGGTTAAATTGCTAGTAATATGGATTTGCTAGGATCATGTAGTTGGAGAGAGAACGAGCTCGACAAAAGAGAAGAGAGAGATACAGCTAGGAAATGGTATGAAAGTGGTTGAGCAGTCCCTTGAAGTGAGGATGGTAGAAATGTGGAGAATATGAAGTGGAGAGGAAGAAGAGAAAGAGAAAGAGAAAAAAAGAAAAGCAGATAATGAAAGAAGAGTGTAAAGAAATGACAATGGAAAAGACAAGAGAAGGAACGTGACAAAATGATGATCAGGAAACGTTGAAAACGAAGAGCGAGCACAGAAAGACAAGAAAAGATATCAACCAAATCTATGATGATGCCATGCGAGTCCCAAAAATCGTCCGCTCCCCATTTTATATATTTGCGCCGCTCAATCGACGACAATTCCTAAATTTCCTCATCCATCATGTATGTTCGATCATTGGCCACGCTAAATAGAATGAGATATATGAAAAATGAAAAAATGAGTAAAAGATGCAGCAACACGGCTGGTCGGAAAGTCACAACGAACTAGACAAACAGGGTACGGCAATCGTGATTAAAACGAAGGTTCATGGCGGATGTTCCGAATCCACCGGTTCGTTGAACTTTTGCCGTGCCTCCTCCACCCATAGTTCCAGTCGAAGCTCACCAGCTTCTACCCGGCGGACCGGGACCGTCTTCGCGCGTCCGTTCGACACTTTCGGGGGTGGTGGCTGCGGTTCGCCATTTCTCAGCTTCGAGACCGAAAATGGTGCGGTACACGACCTGAGGTGGACTTTGCCCGGCTCAGCGACAATCCACGTCTGTTCTTCGGTCGTTGATCCTGCGGGAGGGAGGGCGTCTTCCCGCACTTCAATGCACACGGTAAAACTGAATTCGTCATCTCGAGGTAGCGGCGTCAGCCGTGCGCAGGCAGAAGCCAATCGTGCGAGACAAGCGCGAAACTGTGCCTCCAGGTCGACCGTGGGAGGAGCAGGAGCTCGATCGGGCAGGGGGATTCCGGCCTTGGAAGGATCCTCCTTTCTGTCCTCAAAGGTGGTATGAATCTCCCCGGCGGGAACGCGGGGAAAGCCCGACAGATCAAACGCATATCTTTCGAGGGGCTGGTTCGTGCGGAGCGAGGAGATGATGATGCTGACCGCGGTGATCGTGCCTTTCAGGATCTCGGTTCCGACCGCAATGGACGCATCATTGATGTAGTCACACACCTTCGGGTGACGGGATTGTCGGACTGGATAGTTGTAGGCCCGGACAGGCAGAAACGTTGCTCGCGGGTACACTGACCGGAGGAACAGGATCTGGTGTATCGAGACGGTGAGGAAGTTGGTGAAAGATGCCGCCAACGCAGACTGATTGTTGGGCAGCGACTTCGGGGCGGTGACAGGAGTTGAGAACGTTGTCATGGTGGTTGTAACGGAAGGGATTGTGGTACTCTCACTGGCAATAGGCATTGCCGTCGAAGGCTCTGGTATCGTCGTTTCCACGGGAAAAATGGTATTGACGGGATCTCGGAGTAACTGAGTGCTGTTCCACCCTGAGGCTAATCATCGCTCTGCCTTTATCGAGAGTCACGAGTCAATCACTGGTTTTCTCTCCGATGGTGTGCTCGGGAGTTTACTCCATTCTGGAAAATATTCGCAAAGTGACAGGGGGGATTAATTGAGGGGAGAGGGACGGTGGGAAGGGAATATGAAGAAAGAGGGGGAAAGGAGGGGTGAAGAGGGGAGAAACCACAAGACCTCGTTGATAGAGAAGAAAGTGGTTGTTGATACAGAAGGAGGGGGGAGGCGGGGATGGGAGTTGCAAACGATAAGCAATTTGAGTCAGAGGGAAATGCGATCGGGGAGTTGGCGGGGCAAGGGTTTGAGAGAGGGAAATGGGCGAGTAGAGGGAACAGCGAAGGTGAGGATGTAAGTGGAGGTGATTATGGAGATGGTGATGGTGATGGAAGGTAAAGGAAGAGCGGAAAGGGAAAGAGAAGAGAAGAGGGGTGAAAGAGAGAGAGGATTAGACATACGTTGGGTGGACTGGACAACGAGACAAGCAGATCTCAGAGCATGGAGGACTTCTTCTTCTTCTTCGTTCGTTGCGATCGTGACAAACGGCGAGGGGGAGAGAGTGTGTGAGTGTGTGTATTGACAACCCAAGTAATAATCAGAGAGGGGAGAGAAGAGAGTGAGAGAGAGAGAGTAGAGATAATGCGGTGATGATGTTGTTGATGATGATGGAATTTCTCTTTTTCCCCTGCCCTGGTTGGATGTCCTTTCTCAATTAAATTCTTTTTTTAAAAAAAAAAATTGTCCCTTCTTCCTCACAAGTACTGCCTCCCTGAACAACAAACAACAACCACCTTTCCCACAGGATCACTGCAAAGAAAAGAGGATGGAGAGAGAGAGAGAAGGAAAAGGAAAAGGAAAAACAACACGGATGTTTGATATAGCTTTTCCCTTTGCTTCTTCTAGTCTTCCTTAACCTCTTGCGCCAACAGAGAAGAGGAGTGGAGGGTGATATGAAACCGACCCTTTTAAGAGGGGAGGGGGAGGGGGAAGTGGAAGTGGTAAGTGGGCGCGGCGTGAAAGGGAGAAAGAGAGAGAGAAGGAAGAGAGAGAGAGAGAGAGAGGTGGGCTGCTTGCTGCTGGTGCTGCTCTGAACTGTATCGGATTGGGATAAGCCCAAGGATTCCCAGGGGAGCCCGCTTAAAGATCCCGGAGCTAGTGAGGGTAAATTGAGGAGCAGATAGTGAAAGTAAAGGCTGAAATCCGCAGTCAATACAAGAAGCAACAAAAAGAACACCAAACTAAACCGAGAGAGGGAGAGAGAGAGAGGAAATGAGGCAGAAGAGGGTGTAGGAGGGAGGAAGAGAGAAAAAGAGAGAGAGTGGAAGGGGGAGAGAAGAAGGAGAGTTTGCGGGCAACTCAGTCTTTCGGAGGGGAAAGCTTGTCGGGCGACGAGGGAGTCGTCAACAGCAAAAGGCGCCCAAGTCATTCATTCATCTCTCTCTCTCTCTCTCTCTCTACCTAGTACTTCGTGCTCTCTCTCTTTCCACTTCTACTTCCACTTCCCCTCCCGTCACGTGGTTGCGTCATGAGTGTGGATGCTCTGCAGCATTTCAGGCCGATTATTACTCATTACCGACTACATCCTCCCCCCGTTGTACGAATTGGATGTATCCCCAAAATGAGGATTATCATTCAGCTTCCTTCAAATAATTCAGACTACCGTCTCTACTGACGGGGGTTGGGTTAGAGTGGAACGGCATAGAGACTATAGTAATCCAAACAACAAACGGTGTAAGTGAGTAGCAGTATAGAGGCGAAAAGCATTTGGTCATTGTGCATTATACCTCCCCTTCATTGACCATTCAGAGCTCGGAGGCAAACTGCAGGCAAATGCAAAAAAAGAAAACGGAAAAGAACAACAGCACTGACACTAAGATAATTCCATTACAGGTGAGGGAAGGATAGGATAGGATAGGACTTACTCGGAGCGAAAATCAAACACAGAAAAAGAAAACAAAAACCAATATCTGTCTGTATTGACAACGAACAAGATTGGATGACCGGGGGGGAAAAGTGCCCAAAGTTCATCATGAACATTCCCCACTCGTTCTGTGCCGAGCAATAATGCACATTCGCTGCTGAGGACCGCCTCTTCCGTTTTTGCCAGGCCGATCATCTGCTACCAACACTTGACTCGCACCCGCGGAGGTAACAAGGAAAGGCGTGCAAGTCTGCAAGAAGAACAAATGCCAGCCATGGTTGACCGGCGGTGGGTATAAGGAACCAAAGTCTAAATTGTTCCTTCTCATGCTCAGGTAAATTCTTCCCACTGCGGAAATGGGTCTATAACCCGGGTTTCATCCAGTCTTTTCTGGTCTTCAAGGCGGGCAGCCTTATTAGCCCTCCTCCTCCCCGGTCTGTAGATATCAGTCTGATATCACTCTCTGGGTTTGGCTTGACGATCATGGCGAGTGTAGATAATCACCCATTCGTCCTCCGCACTGCTCCTCAAATCCCTTGACTTGGGAGTCTTATTTGGAGCGTTAAAGTTCCACTGCAGCACTTCATCGCTTTCGACTTACATATTTCCCTTCCTCAGCTGCCCGTGTGTCTTACCCGAGGTTGTTGGCCTCATTGGCCCTGGACAGCTGATTTCAACACCTACCTACATAGTTGTATGGGGTAGTAAGGCACATACTACATACCATCTCTCTCCAGGCAATGAATCATTCTACTACTTTCCTGTTTGGGGGTTTGCCGCCCTCAGCTGCTCATCTCAAATAATCAACAGCTTGCCGGTTTCCCCTTCCTTCAGAGAACCCCACCATGATCAACTTACTTACAGGTTACAATTAATCAGCCCCCCATTTTCCCATCAAAAAGTTACAACTTACCCGAAATTCTTTACATAACCATACCCAACGCCACTCAACCCCAAGTACCTTTGTCGTGGTTGCGTACACCAGCTAACACACTTTTGTTGCTTTGCCGGGTACCTTACCTAGTAGGTACAGTGCTTGGAGTACCTGGGTTCGCCTCGAGGATACCCGATAGTTAGATATCAGCTATCAATCAGACCACTCTCTTCCCCTTTCCCCCTGCCCCCTTCCTCAGGGGCATGAACTCGGATCCTAATCCTATTCTACCGAGAAAGCGCCCATGCAGCGACACCAAAAGTTCCTTCCCCTAAACCTTACACTGCATGAACTTCAATCAAAGACCTTATAAGCCATTAACGTTCTCACGTCACCGAATCCCTACATAGTACATCATTCGTTAGGCGGACACTTACCCGCGGATTAGATTGCTCCATTTCTCGAAGTGATCACCGTTACTCTTTCTCTTCTCGAACCCCCCGAACCAGATCTTCTCCACAGGACGCCACAAGCCCAGAGGAGATCCGTAACTCGGGTACACTAACAATTCCCTCTCTCTTTTTTTCTCGCACATTGCTGCCAAGTGCTACTGAACACGCTTGTCGTCAGCTTTTTTCTTCGCCCTCACCTGATCATTATCTCGATTAAGGACCCATGCTGTCCCTTGGCTCACTGCGGGTCACTACATCTGAGCCTTACTCATAAAAACATTTGTATAGTCGGGTAGCCGTACCAACATCATACTCATGTATCTTGTTGGAACCAGCCGAATTTTTGTTCCTTCAATCCCCACTACGTTGCCCCAACTATCACGGCATCCTTGCTCGGGCATATTACACCTTGATTCGCGTAGCAAGCGTCCTACAGTCTTGAGGCTGGCTGGGTGGTATTCGCCTTTACTGCTGATCATTGTGAAGGCTATAAAGCGGCCGGTATCGTCGGGAGCTGGGGCGCGCAGATCTTGATATAAATATCATCGATCGTTGCGGAAGGGCCACATGCTGGAAAGCCTTTTTGGGTTTGCCCTGGTGGGACAAGGTCGAAGTATCATGGGTCAGATGAGGATGGAATGCGATCATAGCAACACGTGATAGTCTTTTCTTTCATTCATATCTGGGGTAAGACGAAAATCGATGGATCTTCCCTGGCACTAAAGGTCTTCGTAGGACGAGGAGGACCACAGAGGTTGGACTTGTATCACAAGCCCGATCGATCTCCTGGTCGTGAGATGTTCTATAAAGTGTGGCTCTATGCGTAACGGGTTCGGTGGTTCCTGAGAAGATCCTGTCATGGATTAGCGCACGATCGGTATCCTGGTCATTCGGAGGTATGGGCTGGCTTCTATGCACTTGGTGCGCGATTCGAAATGCGCCGCTTCACGCCACGGCAAGATAGACGAATGACCTGTGCTATCATTTGTGAAGCACACCATGCTTCGCGAAGAGCAATCTGGCTAGCGCGTTGCTACCTCGACCGAGAAGCATCCATTGGCCAGTATGCCCGTTTCTCCGGCTGAGAAGGTGGTGTCTGATGCCCTACTTCTCCATTGCAGATTATGGTGTAGCTGAACTGATCATAATCCGGCGAGGACTCCCATTAGCAGATCAAGGTAGGAACATAATGAACCTCCATTCCACAATCTTCAACACTGCGGCTGCTACTTCAGACTTCTCTTCTGGCTGGTTCATCGTGATTGATGCGTCTTCCACCCAAACAAAGCCAGATCTGCACTCCAGGACTCGCTTCGCCAATAATCGAACAGCATTGGGGACTTGTAGAGGCTAGACAGAATAATTAACATTTTTTAGAGTCATGTCAGAAAAGAAGAAGACTTCGTCGAAGGTTCAGAGTCAGACATGTCACCAGTTATTGTCTCGGTTGTTGCCCCTCTTTCTCCCCACCAGACAAGCGACAAGTGGGAGAGATCTTCGCCCCTCACCGCCTTTCTTCTGCCGCCCGGTCTTCTGCCCCTCATTCACGGTTGTCGCGACAATTCGCGGTCTGATTTGATCTACCTACTGCTAATTACCACCTGAACCGGTTATCGGGTATCAGAGATCGAGGGGACAATCAACACGCGGGATTCCCCCGGGACATGATCTTCTCTAGTCTCGTACATACTCTTCTCCCTCGACATAAATCCATTCCTTGTTACTTAATTCCTTTCACTTATCCTCGTCCATCATGGAGCAAGAGCTCCTGTCACTGCTGGCAGACACCCAGTCGCCGGTGGCTGATACCAGAAAAGCCGCTGAACTACAGCTTCTCCGTCTCTACCCCAACGAGAACTTCCCTCTCTCTCTTGCTGCGATCGCTTCTCACGACCCTGTTCCCACCAATCTCCGTCAGTCGGCCCTTTCCGTTCTCCGGACTTTCATTGCCGCGGCTTGGTCCCCGGTGCTCGATGAATTCAAGGGTCAGATCCTTGTCAACGACGACAACAAAGTGCAGATTCGGCGTGCTCTATTGGAGCTAGCGACGATCAAGGAGACACCCGAGCGCAAGGTGAAGTCTTCCGCTAGCTTTGCTGTCAGCAAGATCGCCAGCGCCGATTTCCCAGAGCAGTGGCCGGAGCTCTTGCCTACTCTACTCCAGATCATCAATGACACCAACAGCACAGCCACTGCCCTCCACGGCGCGCTCAAAGTCCTTCTAGACCTGGTTGATACCGGCTTCAGCGAAGAGCAATTTTTCAATGTTGCCAGAGACCTTGTCACCTCCCTATTCAATGTGGCTACTAATGAGTCGAGGAAGCCCATCTTGAGGGCACTGGCCGTTGCGGTCTTTCGTGCTTGCTTTGATACTCTGGAGATGGTACTTGAACAACACAAGACGGCCGTCAAGCAGTTCATGGATGAAGTGCTCAATGGCTGGTCTCCGTTCTTCATTGCGACGCTCAAGGCCCCTCTACCACAAGCGCCCAGCGAACATGAAGAATCTAAGGATAGCGAGATTCCGTCTCAGTGGAGAGGCGTCATCGGTTTGAAGCTGCAGGTTGTCAAGGTATATTCCCTTCATGCCACAGACTTACCCGTTCTTTTGTTCTTGCTTTGCTAATTTCATCGTTTCGTTAGACCTTGATGAAGATCCGTATGGTGTTCCCCGGTCTGATGACACCCCAGAGCCCGGTATACTTCTCGACTATCTGGACCGAACTGTCCAATATCCAATCAACGTATCACGGGTTCTATATCGATGAGGAGAGGCAAGGGCGTTTGGAAGACGTAGACGGACTTCCCTACACACTAGACTTCTTGGTCCTGGAAGAATTAGATCTCATCCAGATGCTTTTGAAGGCGCCGCCGGTCAAAGCAGAGCTTCAGCAGCAGCTACAGAACGCTGGACAGGCGGCCGCCACAGCAAGCTGGTTGCCCGAAATCCTGAAACTGGCAGGTTCTTATGCTCAGATCACTTCGGAGGAAGAGGGGCTATGGGACATCGATGTGAATCTCTTTCTCTCAGAAGAGACCTCTGTCACTGCCAACTACACCCCCCGCACATGTAGTGGAGATTTGGCCATCAAGCTGGGCGACTGGCTCAAGGCCACCGCTATCGAGGGTCTGCATGCTCATCTGAACTCCGTGTTCTCCGATCCCTCTTCTACGTAAGCAGCCCTTCTTCAAATGTTTCGCATCAAGGACTAACACTATGTCTGTCTTTCAGATGGAAGGCTCGTGAATCCGCCCTCTACATTCTAAGCCAGCTTCTTCGTGACTTCAGCGAGGTTTCCCAAGAGATTCCCGTCGGGCTCGCCAATGAGTTCAGCAACTTCATCCAGTTCGCGATTCAACAGGAAGAGGAGTTCTTGCGGGCGCGTGGTTACCTCGCCGCTGGAATCCTCTGCCAGGTTGCAGAAGCGTCCTTCCAGCAAACCGCGGTCTCTTATCTCGAGGCTTCTCTCAAGGCGGTGACTGAAGATCCTTCAGAAGTCGTCAGGGTATCCTGTATCCGGGGACTACAGGATCTCATGCCGTCACTTCCCTCCAGCGCCACCGTTCCACTTCAGGCGGCTGCCATCTCTGCGTTGTCAGACTTTATCTCCTCGCATGACATTTCGGAATCCTCTGACAGTGATGATCTCAAGGTCACCCTTGCGGAGACTTTGCGGGATATCATCATTGTTAACCCAAGTGTGGTCCTGTCTTCCAATGCCATTGACGTGCTGTTCAACATTGCCAGTAATGGACCCAACAACTTCCAGTTGACGATGATTGTTACGGAGGCCTTCGAGGACATTGTGGAAGCTGTTGCAGAACAAGGCCCCGAGTCCTTTGTTCGCCTCTGCGAAAAGGTACTCCCATCTTTGACTGGAGCAATTGATGTTGGCAACTTGACTCAGGAAAATGCCCTCACGAATTTCGCCGCGGACCTCATTCGAGCTCTCGCAGAAAGAGCTTCTGAGCCCCTGCCGGCGGGCTTCGTCGAAACTGTTATGCCCAAGTTGAACCGCCTGTTGCTGGATTCCACTGATGGGGAGTTGATTCGTCCTGCCACAGAAGCTGTACGCCACATGCTTTCGCACGATTTCAACCAGTTCGTCGCATGGAGAGATCCTGATAGTGGCAAGGAGGCGACTGAAGTTGCTCTCATCATTATCGATCGTTTGCTGGGGCCTGCTGTTGACGATAATGCGGCAACGGAAGTTGGACAGTTGGCAGCCGAATTGGTCGAGCGGGCGGGTTCCGAGCGACTTGGACCCTACCTGCCACAGCTTCTTCGGGCTGTTGCCCAGCGTCTCGCGACCGCGCAACAGGCCCCGTTCATCCAGAGTCTGATCCTAGTCTTCGCCCGGTTGACGCTCATCAGCGCGCGTGAAGTTGTCGACTTTTTGGCGCAGGTAGACATTGGCGGCCAGAGCGGTCTCCCGATCGTCCTCGGCAAGTGGCTGGAAAACTCGGTCAATTTCGCCGGCTATGACGAAATCAAGCAGAACATCATCGCCCTTGCGACGCTCTACAATCTCGAAGACCCTCGCCTGGCCCAGGTGCAGGTCAAGGGTGATCTCATCATCCAGGACACGGGCCGCATCCGCACCCGGTCCCAGGCTCGCAAGAACCCCGATCAGTACACGACGGTAACCGCCCCTCTCAAGATCATCAAGGTCCTGGTCGAGGAACTGGCCGCGGCCTCCGGCAGCAAGGAGATCGACGCTGCCACCGCGGCGGCGTTGGAGGAAGAGGGCAGTGACGAGGACGACGAATGGGAGGACATTCCGGGCAACACCCTCGACCTCAACCTGGGGATCACGAAGCAGGAGCTGATGGCCTTCGGCGAGGGCGGCAGCGAGAGTGTGTTTGGAGTACGCAAGCGTGACGACGAAACCCAGGGCTTTCTGCTGGACTTCTTCCGCAACGCATCCCTGAAGCCCGATTTCCAGCACTTGTTTGCAGCCTTGACTCCGGCCGAGCAGGAGAAGCTGCACAGCTTGGGTTGATCGGGTGGTCGGTTTTAGTTGTGCATCAAGCTCTTTATCCTGTAGGGATGTGCGCGAATATCCAGTCCCGATCGGATCTGCATGCCGTACAGCAAGTACATAAAAACAATTTAATCACATTTACTGAATGGATTTCTCCCCACTACACTTCACAATAAGTAATGCATTGGAGCTGGTAGAAATGCCTATCATTCTTGAAGCAATAACTGCACCGCGATGAAAGTACCAAGATCAAAGAGCGGGAAGTTTACCGATCGATCGATCGATCGATCGATGTTATTGCAGGATGATTAAACACAAGACGCGGCGAATCATAAGGTATCTGTAAGCACTAACCGAAACAAAGTTATGTTCTGTCTCAACCCTCAAGGTAGAAGCAGAGGCAAGATGTGCCGAGCATGATGAAAGCGAGACTCTTGATTTCATTGCAACGGAAGTTTCCCGAGTCTATTGAGCTTACAGTATCTACATGTGGATACATAAGCAGTGCCAAAGGGGCGAAGATGGGAAGCAAAGACCTTTGTTGGCTAGTAGATTTACTTGTTTACTTGCTTGGGAATAATTCAAAGACTTGCTGTAGTAGGTTGTAGTCTAGCTTTAGATATGTATACCCACTGGCATCAAAGACTAGGAAAACCATCCCGGAGGATTTTAGTGTATGCGTGCCAACAACTTATTGGGGAGGGAAGGGAGGAGGGATTCCGGCAAGTTTTTTGACACACAGAGACAGTGTCACACACAAACAGTAAACACACCACGGAAGGAAAAGATGGATGGACGGGCGGGCGGGCGGGTTTAGCCGTGCGGGGGCATTTTTCTTTTCTCTTGTCAGTTGTCTTGGATAGACTAAGTGGAAAAAGGATGGACTTTTGTTTGCGGTGTTGGTTGGGATTGATTGATTAGGAAATGGTAAGTGAAAGTGAAACATACCTATCTACTCTGGGATGGGAGCCCCCGGACCTATGGATTGGGGGTATTTGGTGGTTTGTTGGTAGGTTGTAGGTTGCAAGATCGGAGTAAGTTTCTACCTAGTGGTAAGCTGAGGACAGTGTCTGTTTGGGCTTGTTGTTATGGACTGTGTCTGGATTTAGGTTGTTCGTGTTTTGCTTTGGGTTTGTGTGGTTGTTGGCTGTTTGGTTGAGGTGGTTCTGGTTTGTTGGTGAGATGTATCCATCTATTAAGCTGAGGCCGTCGCTGCTTTACCCTTAGGGAAGGGAAACTGGGATTAGTTGGCAGGTACTAGGTACAGAAGAAGGGAGGGACTTGTAGATCGGTGCAGACGGCGATCTGTTGGTTTCTGCGGAGGGTTGCTCTACGAGTAGTTACTAGTTGGTGCGTCGGGAATTCCAAATCGTAAGGTACTAAGTCTACTGTAGCTTCTTACCTAAGTTACTGTAGGGTTGGTGTGAACTTTGGAGAGAGGGGGATGTCGTATCCAGCCAATAAGTGGGTTGAATAAGTGTCGGAGAAGAGGGGAGGAGGAGATCAATTCTACCGGTAAGTGGGTTGGTTGTTTGCTGGACTGATCACTGTTCGATCGGTTCTTTAGTTCTCTTTATCTTATTCCTCTTCTATGAGGGAAAGAAAACAGTGAGCAAGAAATGAACAGGAAGAAAGCGAAGAAAAGACAAAACCAAAGGCTGCATGATGGAGATTGAGGTGATTGACGATACCAAGCAAATCACCCCCATTCCAATGGGCCGGGCAGGGCACACCGCCCGCCACCCTCTGCCGGACCCGACACTCTGTCTCTTGGGTCCCAGACCTAGACCCCCGGTCAATGCACGCTCCTTTCAATAAGATACTTTGGACTGGAACTTACACAATCGGTAGTTCTCTGGAATGGTAGACAGGTAAAGTGACTTGGACCGGCCATTCTTTCCTTCTCTTTCCCACTGTTCCTCTCTTCCACCGGTCTTCTGTCCCAGTTTTTTCCTTCTTCCAGTCCTTCTGGCCAGATTCTTTTTCTCTTGTCAATCGCTTGTTTCTTTCGCTTGTACAGTTGACGAACATCTGCCGCTCGTTTCCCTGTCGGTTCTTTCTGTCTCTACTCCCATCGATCAATATGCAGCAACCCAATTCTGATGAACAAATTCAGATTGATGTAAGTCGTCCTTTGTTGCTGCGTTTATTTTCTCCATCTTCTTTTGGCTGTTCCTTTCTTAAGCCCAGTTACTCCATTCTACTATACATTGCCCATGTCTCCGCCGCAGCAAGTGCTGCTCTTGTCGCATCCTCGGGACAATATACGGATCTGTTGCAGCATTGTTCTCTAGCACGTACCTCTGAGTCAATTGAACGGGGTAGTCGATGGCAAAATTCATAAAAGTATAGTCATGATCATGCCACGACGTATGCTGCGTCTACCTCTCTTGAGCCACCCAACCACCGATGTCGTGCTTCATATACTTGCTTTTCCCCCAGCCTTTGTCTCATTGTTCGAAAGACAGCTTTCGTCCCGCATTCTTCCGGTTTGCAGTGCGCACGATGGCACAATGATTGACCGGTTCTAGACCAGCAGCGACGATGACTCCCTCCTCGACGTACAGTCATTGATCGACTCTAGCTTCACAATCTCCTCCACCGTCCGCGACTACTGCTTCGAGAATGGCCGCCGCTACCACGCCTACCGCAACGGCCAGTACCCCATCCCCAACGACGAGGAGGAGCAGGACCGCCTCAGCCTGATGCACGGCCTCTTCAAAGCCATCACCGGCGGCCAACTGCACCGGGCCCCCATCCAGCTGCACGATCAATCAAAGCGCGTCCTCGACGTCGGCACCGGCACGGGCATTTGGGCCCTTGAGGTCGCCGAGGCGTACCCCAACGCGGAAGTCATCGGCACCGATCTCAGCCCCATCCAGCCGAATTGGGTCTTGCCCAATTGCTCGTTCATCATCGACGACGCGGAGAGTGACTGGGCGTTTCCCCCCGAGGAGGCCTTCGACTACATCCACGGCCGGTCCCTCGGCGGCTCGATCTCGGACTGGGAGCGCTTCCTTCGGCAGGCGTACCAACACGTCAAGCCCGGCGGCTGGGTCGAGATCCAGGAGTTCGAGACCTGGATCCGCTCCGACGACGGCACCGACCAGCAGGCCGTGCTGATCCACGATTATCAGCGCAAACTGGACGAGGCGAGTCAGAAGTTCGGGCGGCGCATGAATATCGCCTCAAACCTAGGCGAGTGGATGCAGCGTGCTGGGTTTCAGAATGTTAGGGATGATACTTATAAGGTGAGTTTGACAGTCTACCTCTCCGACATGTCCGTTGCGCAAGTAGACTTATAGTCTTTTCTTGTGCATACAGTGTCCGTTAGGTGGGTGGCCGAAAAACCCACATCTGAAGGAAATCGGTCGTATGGGGAAGATTGCCTTATTCGAGGCCATTGGGCCCTACTCGCTCGCGCTGTTCACCCGGGTCATGGATTACACATACGACCAGGCGCACCAGTATGCGCAGGATGTGCGGCAGGAACTTGTGCATGGCTCGTTCCATATCTATACGTTGTTCCACTATGTGTATGGCCAGCGGCCTTTAGATGAGTGATGACGATGATGACGATGACGACGACGACAGTAACAACAACGAATGATGCATGGCACTAATGACTGGGACGATGTACATGATGCACGGGTGCGACCTGGCGCGGAGCTCGGATCTTTGCTTTTTTTTGTTTCTGGGAGATTCTTTCAATACCCTTGCTGTTCCTAGATTATATACTCCAGAGAAAGTACTTATATACCATTACCCCAGCCTCCCATCTCCAATACCCATGTACATGTGTTAAAGCAGAGAGATACGACAGGCGTCATAATCAACCCTGCAGCGAAAATCCCACCCCATCCCCAGACCCCATAGCCACCAGATTCGCGCGCATCCTCTCTGCGCGCTCCCCGATGCCAAACGCCGCATCATCGCGGCGCACCCACGCACCAACACCATGCTGCAACACAGCCGTCGCCCGCACCTTCCCCGCTGCTCCGCTCCCACCCTCCCCCTCTTCCTCCTCCCCATTTCCCACCTCCCGAACCTTCAACCCAATACTCCCATGCAACGTCAACCGAGGCTCCTCCACCTGCCCCGCAGGTTTAGCCCGATACACCCCACGGTGCAGGATATTACTATCGTAGAACACGGCATCACCCGGCTGCAGCTCAACAACCAGCTGCCCAGGCAACTCCGACGCATAGGGATCCGCGGCGCGCTCGACCTCCGTGCGCACGCGCCGATGCGATCCCGGAATCACGATCAGCGAGCGGTCCTCGCACAGTGCCAGGTTATACTGCGCGTGCGACTGGCGGCCCTGCGGACTCTTCTGGTGCAGGAGCCTTAGCTCTTCGTCTGGCGTCACGTGCTCAGGGATGTCGTCGCGGTGCCACCTGAGCGCGAAATCGTGCGTTTCCGGCGCCACGAGGAGGTTGAAGAGTTCCATTACTAGGGGTTCATTGTCGGGTGCGTCTTCAGTTGAGGGTGAGTTGTTGGTTGGTTGGGGTGACTGGACTGTGCCGGGCGCGCTGCGCACCCCGAGCAACTCCTCCGCTACGGCCAGCACCTTCTCGGAGAAGTAGAAGCGCGCGAAGTCCGCTCGGCCTGGCATCTCTGGGTGCAGTAGGTGCTGCACGCCCCAGATGCCGCCTTCGGAGGCTGGCGGCGCGGTGCTGGGCCACGGTGGGAATTGCTTGGGCACTGTGCGGAAGTACGGCCATTGGCCTGTTCGCGTCAGCTGTGTTGCCTTTGTCGCTATGGTGCGGTAGTGCGTGATTTCTTCGGGGGTGAGGAGGGATGGAATGCGCACGAAGCCATCGCGTTGGAGGGCTGTTAGGTAGGGGGTTGCGGTTGCGGTCATTTTGGTTATTTTCTTTTGGGGGTGGTGGTGGTGGTTTGGCCGTTGGAGGGAGGAGGTTGTGTTTGCAGTCGTTGTGGGAATTGGAGTTGGAGATGAGGAGAAGAAGTGGGGGAAGGCAAATTGTTAATGGGGCTCGGTATATATACGTAGTTTATTTGTTCAGTTGGCATACTACTAACTCACTTGTTTATTGGGGAGGTAACGAAGTACAATATTTGGAGTCACATTTGCGACAATGTCTACTACCACTAAAAGCACAGTCGTAAGCTGTTGGATACTACCATGGTAGTAAAAGGTTACTTTGTGTCGGTAGTGGCTTGTCGGATGTTGGAATTGCTTAAATTGCTTGTCCTGCCCCGCTATGTCGCTTGAGTCAGACTATGCATAGTCAGATAATTTGCGATTGCTATTTGTTTTGTTGCTTTGTTGCTACGTACGCGTAAGTCCAGGAAGCTGAAAAGAAAGGGGGGTCCGGGGGTTCTCCCCCGGGACGCTTTCCTCTAGGTATAGGATTTGAGGTGCTTACTGCTCAGGAAGCTGAAGGAAAAGGGGGATCCGGGGATTCTCCCCCGGAACGCTTTACTCTGGAATTAGAATTGAGGGTGTTGGGAAGCTGCAAATTTACCCCGCGGCGCAAAAGCGATCGATAAGAGAGGCAAAGCGGGGTCGAAAGTAACCATGGAAAGATGGTTACATGTTGTTGTGGTATTACTATTTTTATGTCCTGCTGAGCTAATAGCTTGTTTCAGTCGCTATCCTTACATATTAAGCACTTATAATTCTGTACTCTGACAAGCAATGATCCGATCCTCAAAAGCTACTCGTACTTACTCCATAGTATGACGAAGCGTGTTTGTGTGGCGTGGCTGATACCTGCCAAGCCATTGAAGCGGATTGTCTCAGCCATTTTTTGACTGAGTACTCCGCAACTACACCGCATGGCTACATCATCTATGCTCACCACAAAGGCTGTGAATAACACAGCCACAAGAGGACAAACACAGCAGCAGCGTACTTGGCTGACAATTCCCGAGGCTCTCTCCAATTCTGACAGCCGTTGCAGCATCTAAATAACCATGACAGTCACACTTGTGGCACGGCCAAGGATTTACTCAAACGGGCGGATGGCGGGGCAACTTGGATTTGGCACGCTTTGAAGTCTGGGCAGATTGTCTTGGCTGTGGCTTGCGCTTCTCGCAGATCACCGACAAACCAACTTGCTTCGTGATTTTTCTCTCCCCTCTCTTTTTTCCTTCTTCACCGTCTCTGGTCTCTCTCTCTTTCGGATAATAACTCTGCAGTCTCTCTTCCCGCTGCATGCGCCTGTAGGGACTTCTTTTCCCTCCTTACTGCTTCTATACTCTCCACCCACTCGTGCCCGGAGACCCTGCAGATCCCCCAAGCTATGGCCCCGCGCCTGAACCTGGGCTCCCACGCCCTTCTCGTCCTGGGTCTCTTGCTGGTTCTGCTTCCGGCTCAGACCTATGCCTTTGGCGCTGGAAGTAAATCTCTCCTTCGGGCACTTTTGTTTTCGATTCCTCGCGCGCTGACACCAGCTAGATATCGCTTCCATCTCCGCCGTGGAGGGCAAGAACTGGCGTCATGGAGACATCGAGGATATGCTGAAGACGGTCGCCTTCATCAAGGGCCACAAATGGACCTCCACCATGGTCAAGCGCGTTTACTTTGGGAACTGGTTGCGTGATTAGTGAGTCGGACACAGATGAACCCCGCCTTGTCGCCCACCAACCAACTAATCCCTCTCCAGCTCGCAGGCCATGGACGTCGGCACCCTCAAGAACCTTCCGGCCGACACTATCCGCATCCTTGTCTGGATCTTGTCCTTCATGACCTTTGGATACGCGACAGCGGAGTTTGAGGTCACTTCCGACAGACTTGGTGTTTATCGCCCTGAGGAACATATCGAGTTCGTAACCTACCTCTGCTTCATGCATGCGTGTTGTTAGAAACTAACACTCGTCTCTGAAGTAACCCCAAAGACTACGCCGATAACCAGGATGCCCGGCAGTATGACGAACGCTTGCGCGGGCCGATCCGCCAGGTCGAACTCGACATCGACTCCGAAACCGGCATGAAGAACTACATCGCCAACGAAGGTGGAGATTGGACGACCAGCTCTGGGTATATCAAGTACAGCTTGGCGCGGAGCATCCACTATGGGCGCACTTATACTCACGGCAGAGACAAGGGCAACGAGGAAGACCTTTGCGAGGCTCTGCGCTGTCTGGGCCAGGGCCTTCACACCCTGGAGGACTTCGCAGCCCACACCAACTACTGTGAGCTTGCACTGCGTGAGATGGGCTTCAAGAATGTGTTCCCGCACACTGGTGTCAACACGGAGTTGAATGTTCGTGGTCATCGGGTCTTTCCGCTTGTCACGGGAACCTTTGGTATGGTGGACTTCTTCCATTCCGTTCTGGGAGAAGCCACAGATCATTTCACGCAGTCGGAGGTTAATGAGATGGACATCGCCCTCGGGGATGCCCAATCTAACTCTTCTGCTAACGCCCTCGGTGCCTTCACCGGCTTGTTGGGCAACATTCCGGGAACAAAGGATCTCGTTGCTGAGGCTGAGGAGCTTAAGCGTCGCTCGGAGGTGCAGGAATCTGCGAACCGGGGCGGCGGTGCTCGCGAAGGCTACGGTACTAGCAGGGGGCTCGACGACGACTACGGGTCGCAGCGCTCGCAGGGCTTTGATGATTTTGAGTCGCAGCGTTCTCGGGGCTTTGATGACTTCGACTCGCAGCGCTCTCGAGGCTTCGATGACTATGAGACGAGCAGCTATAGGGCGGGCGAATCAGCGCGGCCTCAGTCTAGTGGAGGATCTGGAGGTTCGGGATTGCAAGACTTTGATCCGAACCAGACGATTGCACAGATCTACCCTATCCTCGAGTTCAGAGACAAGGTCGTTCGCAAGCTTACCTCGATTATCGAGAAGATCCCCGGGCTGGAGACCGTCGTTGAAAAGGTCACGGAGACCCTGACAGTCTTCATCATGTCTCTGCTCGCCCCATTCATTCGTCCCATCATCAATGCCGCTTCGAAGTCGCTGCAAGCCGGCTCGTCCGGTGTGATTGATGCGTCTGGCAAGCATCAGTATGAGCCATGGACTGACCCTGACTGTACCGACCCGACCCACTCCATGTTGTCCAAGGACCACTTTGCCAATATCCTCAACGAGCCCGCCGGTCAGGTTGCGTCTGCTATTCTCAGGTATGTGGCACCGCGTGTCCTCCATGCTTGGGAGAACATCAACATCTCGGAGGAGCAGGTCTTGGAGGATTGCTTGAAGGTGTTCCACCACCCCGCTCTCCGAGACAACCGCAACGAGGCTCACCGGACCATGTTTGAAGCCGTTGAGTCTTGGGTCCAGTCTAGATCAGACAGAGGCTCGAGACTGAACGACATTTTGAGCGCTGAGGGTGTGAGAGCAGGCAAGAATACGGGCGGTGTTCCTCACACCCACGGCGGTGGTGGGAACGCATCGGGACACAGTCAGCAGCAGCATCGTCCTCCGTCCTCGCAGCAGCAGCAGCAGCAGCAGCAGAGCTCTGGCCTTCCTTTTGACATTTCTAGTCTTCCTATTCCTGGGATCTCCAACCTGGGCAACCTCAGCAGTGCTTTCTCCAACCTTGGGGTCGGCGGATCGAGGAACGAGGAGTCGGCGCAGACTGAGAGCTCGTCATATCAGACCTCTTACCAAAGTGAGCAGCGCGAGCAACACTCGTACCAGTCTCAGCAGCAATATCAGGGGCAGTCTCAGTCCACCTATGAGCAGTCCTCATACCACCATCAGTCATCGCGTCCTTCATATGCCGATCAGACTTCCGACTATGAGGGATCCTACGGGCGGCCTCGTCCTCAGGAACGGCGGCCATCCTACCCTGAGCAGTCCTATGGTTCCTACGAGCAGTCTCGTCCTTACGAGTCGCGCCCATCGTACCCCAGCCAGGGCTACGACTACAATGGCTCGCGCGAGGAGTCCCACCATTACAATCAGTCACGCCCCTCCTACCCCAGTCAAGGATATGAGTATGGCGAGTCCGAGGGCGATCACCACCGCCGTCACGGTGACCATCCCCATCATCCCCCCGGTCCTCCTCACCCTGGCCCGCCTTATGGTTCCTACGGCGGTGGATACAACCAAGGCTACGGCTCGGGTGAGTATCGCTACTGAACGGCGTGTACAGCACAAGCTGCGCTCAGAGTAGAGCACGTACTACTATCATCTCAACACTGTTGTCTTCGTTTTTTTATTTTATTTTCCAACCGATCCGTGTATTCCTAGAATGAAACCTCTGGTCAAATGAGAGTTAATTAATGATAAGATAAATCAGCATCTTTTTATTAAATTTCCCTTCTGTGCATCAACCCTCGAGCGTTGTTGAACAACTTGTAACCTGACGAAAACATGACACAAGAATATGAGGTTAAACTAAGATCAGCCTTCAACAAGACCAGCCCGGCTAGCTCAATCGGCAGAGCGTGAGACTCTTAATCTCAAGGTTGCGGGTTCAACCCCCGCGTTGGGCTTTATCTTTTGCTTTTTCTTTCTGGCTGCCCCGTCATATATACCCCGCCCTCGTCCAACCGGCAGGTTTGTTCTCACCCTCTCTTTTTCTAGAGAGGTGTTTTCAGTTCTGTTTTAGTTTTGCATTGACTGTCTGCTCATATCAAAAGTACGTACAGCGCCGACCACTCTTTTTCTAAGTTGGTTATGTCCCATATATGTCCTGTCTGTAGGCAGATACTTCTTAATGGATATATATCCGAACATGGGAACCGTGGTATTCGCACTGTGCCCACCATGTCAGGGCAAATTCACCAACTAAGCGAGGAGGAGAGGTCGCTGGTTATCTCCATGGAGCGGGTTCATGAGTAGTAAGGTAGGTAGGTAGGTAGGTAAGGTCATTCGCTGGGCAGAGCGAGACGATACACAACCCCAGTGTAAAGTCCCGCAGCCGGGTCGGATTTCAAGCTATACAGTTAGAGGACGATTGACAGACTAACTTTTACCAGCTAAGAGTGGGTATAAACTGGAATAGTTACGGTGTGGTATGTTCAGCTGAAGATATAGATAGATATGTATATATTGTATGAGCTCGATCGGAAGGTAACGCGCGCTATAATTATAGGATATTACATAGACCCGAGATATAGTAATCCTCATTGAGGAAGAGTAAAAAGGAGGAGAAAGCGAAACGCCGAGATCTACCCCTGCCGTTCACGCCATATATATCAACGCTGCCGTGTAAAAGTCAAATCAAGATCAGAAGCTGGATGGAGACGATGGAGATGCTGGGTGCTCTGTTGCTGTTGGATATGTGGTCGGTGGTATGATGAAGGATGCTATAGGTGATAGAGTCTAGGAGGATTGGGTATGGGGGATTGAAATCCGGATGGATATACCAGACTGAGATCTATAGTTTCGTCCCCTCTCGGCCGCTATCGCTGAGTCTGCGAGGACGAAGCGGGATGGTGGAGGTGCTCGGTCCCGCGGCGGCAGCGGGACTACTCCCAGCGGGTGTCGCGGTGCGGGCGCCTCCGGTGCGCTGTGCGCCCTGATGCTGATGGAGTCGCGGGTTCAGCAGCCATTGGACCTGCATGCGCACGCTGCTTACTGCGGCGTTGGTGTGGGCCATGTCCTCCTTGATGCGGAGGCACTCGCTCATGATCGCCATGCTGGCGCGGGCGTCGAGGTCCGTGATCGCGTGCGAGAGCTGGCCGACTTCTTCGCGGAGGGACTCGTGCAGGGAAAGAAGGTAGTTGGTTGTGGTCGCGGTGTACTGGTTGGAGCTGTCGATCTGGGACTGGCTGTTCGAGGATGCTGGGTCGTTGCTGCGGCGGGTGGGACTGGAGGTTGTTGCACGACCGTCCGCGACGGGGACGGCCGTCGGTGACTGGGCCAGGGTGGTTCGGATATTCGCCAGCCCATCCTCGAAGATCTCGTTCCGCTGCTTGAGATGGCGGATAGTGAGCTCCAGAGAATCGAGCCGGGCGTTCTGAGCCTCGAAGTACGGGCCCATCGCGATCAGAGGACAGGTCTGTTCGTGCGTGGCCAGGTCGCCACGCTTGAGTTGGATGGGGCAGCCATATTTAGAGGCAGGGCATGCGTGGATAGACTCGGGGCAGGAGTTTGCGTGTTGCTTGAGTTCCCGGCGGAGAATGGAGGTCTGGCAGTCCGGGCAAGTGGTCTGGAGGTTGGGACATAGTTCGGAGAAGTGTTCCTGCGGGCGATATCACGTCAGTAAGCTGCAGGGTTGCGCTGCGACCGATCTGGGGAGTTGCACACCCCGTAGTCTTGTTCCATGATATTCCCCTCACAGCGCGTGCATTGGCGAAGTTCATGCAAGCATCTCCCGTCCGGGTCGAGGCCCTTCTTCCGTGTCTTCATCCCACACGAGCCCAGCGGGCAGTCCATCAGCCTATATCCACAGTACTTGTCGACATGGGTCTGGATAAACACCCTGGGCGCTACCTCCTCACACCCTTCGTTGCGGTATGGGCATCGTACTCGAATCTCGTCGCACATATTGATCAAGAGGCGGGGGAGTTTGAGGTAGACCCCGCCCGTGTGTGTCCGACAGGTGGGACAGGTAAATTCGTCTCGAGCCGCAGCGAAAGTCGTGATGGCTGAGACGAGACATTTCTGGCAGAATACATGGTCGCACTTTAAGCGCACCGGGTGAATGAAGGGGCAGTGGCATATCGGACACATGAGGTGGTCATCGTAGCTGGAAACGTAGTCTAGTGAGCGCAGGTCGACGACATCGTCGCGGTCGCTATTCGATTCCATGACCAACAGGTCTTCGAGAGTGATGTTTGTCATGTTGAAATGGTTTTCTCAGCCATGAGAGGCACCCGGTGTGTTGTAGGTGCCCTGGTCGTGATTCTCCGCCCGTCCGGGAGTCGAGGACGCTGAACCAGGAGAGAGAGGAGATCAGCCGTTCAATTGCCGTTGTTGCGATGGAAGATGAAACGATAGCCCGAAGCAAAGACCCATGAGGGGTTTGACAGATAGTAGAGAAGGGGATGAATGGGGCGAAGGGGTGTTCAAAGAGCGTTGCGAGCCAGCCAGGAAAGAAAGACAGAAGATGAATTGCGGGGAGGGAAACCACATGGAATGAAGACTGAAGACGATTCAATGCGGCGCGGGCGGAGAGCGGCAGATCCACCACGCACTGCTGCAGCCGATGATCCATCCTCGTCCTTCGATTCCTCGATTCCATCTCATCTCATCTCATCTGACTCACTCACCTTCCCATTCAGCCACTCGACTCTATTTTGCTTCGCAATCATTGCCCCTCAGCCTGGTGCTGTTTCCCTTCCCAGGCGGAAGCCATCACCAACGCAGTCATCATCCAGCCTCACACGGAATCCGTACATCGCACCCGACCGTTCCGTCTACTCCGCATCATCTCATCTCACATCATCTAGCCCAGCATCTCTCAAAACCGTCCAAGCCTTCACGTTGAGCCGCCAAATCTATATCTACTCCGCCCTCCTATCTATCACAACCAACCGCCCACCATGCCGAACCCCTCGCAGCTCCTCCTCCTAGCCGACCACATCAAGCTCTCGCTCCTGGAGCGTCAACGCGCGATCTCACTCAGCCTGGAGCCCAACAGCCAAGACGGGGAGATCTCACGCTCACTAGACTCGCTCAAAGAAGGCATCGAAGGCATCGAAGCAGACTGCGCACGACTGGAAGCGCAGAAAGGCGCCAACGACGAAGACGCCACGGACCTCCGCGACCAGCTCACCCACCTCCACTCACAATACGACGACCTCTCCGCGCAATTCCACACCATCACGGCGGCAATCGCCACGGCAGCCTCGCCTTCTTCTTCCTCATCCCCAGATCTCAAACAACCAGTCCCACAGCACCCATCCTCGAAATCCGTGCGCTTCATGGACGCCGCGGCGGCGGCCGAAGCAGACGAAGACGAAGCACACCGCCGTAACCTCTTCCGACCATACCGCGACTCGCCTTCCCCCCCACCCAACACTGCCACCAACAACATGGACGACTCCTCAAACGAGCAGATCTACGACCACCACGAGCAGGTGCTGCGCGACCAGGACGAGCAGCTGGACCGACTAGGCGAGTCGATCGGCCGGCAGCACCAGCTGAGTATCCAGATCGGTGACGAGCTGGAGGGTCATGTGGCGTTGCTGGACGATCTGGACGGCCATGTGGATCGGCACCAGGGTCGGCTGGATAAGGCGCGCAACCGCCTGGATCGGTTCCGCCGCAGTGCCGGCGAGAATTGGAGTATGATGACTATTGTCGGGTTGATTATTACACTGGTGATTTTGATTGTGCTTCTGAAGTGAACCTTGAGGCGGTTTTTCTCGGGTATATACATAGGGGTTCGGTTCGGGTTGTGTAGGGGGATGTGGGTGTGAATCCCAATGCTGGGGGCGAATCAGGGCGTTCTTGTGATGTTTTTAATGTGTGCTTTCTGTCTTGTCTCAATTACCCTCTCGCGCCTCCTTGTGGTTTCTCTTGCAGTTTATATATCGATGGACGACACCTAATTCTTTATTTCTGATGGGTCTGTGGGCGTTAATGGTATACATACTACATACAATATACATCGCACCTCAGCTGTGTTCTCGATGCTAAGCATAATAGATTATATTGTAATCTAAAATTCTAGGAAGATGGAATCTCATATACTACAAGAACCTTATCACTCACCATCTACATTCACATTGAAGTCCCAACCAACCATAAAACAAGCTACACACCACTACCACCCCCAAAATCACAGAAAAAAAAAAAGAAAAAGAAAAACGACTTCAATTCAAACTAAAACTAGCATCAAGCTAGATAGAAACAAAGCGAAAGAAAACCCAATACCGAAAAGAAAGAAACAACCTATTTATTGGGTCTTATTCACAGGACCATCCCGGTTCGGGAGACCTTTCGTGCGCTCCTGCAACGTCGCAAAGTCCTTGTCGTCGCTGTCGATGTCGCCGCGATCCGCCTTGACCTATTATTTACAGGTTAGTAAAGATGAACTCGGGCTTTTCGACAAGTATTGAATTGGAGAGAATGGTAATTGGTAGCTAGCTCGAAGCAAGCTAGGCTAAGCTACCTGTTTGGGTGGATTGTTTCCTGCTGCCGTGGAAAGGTAGGAAGGAAGAGGGCAGGGTATATCTTACCGACGCTTCGCTGTTGCTGGCGAGCTCTTGCTTCCACTTGGCGGTGCCTTGCTTGCTGTGCTTCAATTGGTCGTGCTTGTGTTCTTCGTAGATTTTGTCGAGGTCGTCGCGGTCTTTTTGTATTTGTTAGTTTGAGGTTTGGGGGTATTGATGGGTGGGAGGATGAGTAAGGGTTGTTCGTTTGTGGATTGAAGAGAATGGGTTGATGAAGAGCTAAACTGGTGAAAAGGTGGCAGGGAACTCACTGCGATCGCTCTCATTCAGGCCTGCGCGCGGGGCGGAGGTGTGTAGAGCTGAGGTGATGGCAGGGCGGACAGGGGTGGTGGCCGAGGCCAGACGGGGGGCAATGGATGCGCGAACGGTGGTGAGGAAGGACATTGTGTGTGAGATGGAATGGTTCTGTGGTGGCTGTTAGTTCTTTAGTCGTTGCTGTTGGTTGTTGCTGTCGTGGTGGTAAGGTTGATGAGATGCGGTTGATGAGGTCGATGACAGTGTTGGCAGGAGGTAAAAGAGTCATCGACACTGAAGAGCTGAGCAGCTTTACTTACTAAGTCAATAGTAAATGGATAATATAGACAGATGGCGGTTCCAACGAGGAACTGATAATGCAAGCTATCTCAATGGGTGAAGGGTGTAGTATCAACGATAACGGCTTGAAAATTCCGGACGAAGGGTGGCTTTTAAAGCAGCGAACAACTGAATTATGTTCTGCCTCGGGTAATGTGGACGGAGGGGAGTGCTCTACGTCGACGTCGGTCCAGCCAGAAATGACTCCATTATTATTGCTGGTCGGCGAGGAGGAAAAGTCGCATTGCGTGCGTGTGAAGACCAGGCTTCGGTGACGTCATGGATACATGTTGCGGTCTTTTCTGGGTCCGCTGGCTCCAGCAGCGCAGAGAATCCACTGATGCCCATTGCCTTTGGCCGACGTGGAGTATAAGCTCAACATACAGGCCTGGTTGGGGAGAAGTTCTATGTTTGTATGGATAGGATGTGTAGGTAGTACCTGTACTTGCTCACTCCTGTTTTGGGCTGGAAGTGTGTTTGTATGTAGTACGGTCTGTGGTTATTAAAGTCTTCTTGCTAGCTAACTATAGATTCTATCCCTTGATCCGGGCAGCTTCCAATCTAGGAGTGAAGGTACGTCCGTCTGCCATGTTTGCTGCTGCAGATCAAGGGTATGACATCACCCACTCCATGTCTCACTATCCCCTTAAAATTTTGGGTAATCCCTCGTTATCGTGTAGGACGGACTAGCCGTCCATTCCATTGCTTCTTTCCTTTCTTCAGGCCCATGGATGTCCTCGTTGAGCCCTCTGTTGGTACATGGTCGAGCCAGTTGAGCATGGATATATTTTCCGCACCAGCCGCGGCAGCTGAACAAACGAGCTCCCAGCAACCCCACGTCTAGGCTTGTCGACAGACGGAAACCCACATGTTGCTCCTGACCTGCAACGACCCGTCAGCCTATCTGGATCTATGCACATGCCACCACCTACTTTGCACTTTCGTCAACCTTCGAACCAACCGCAGGAACTCACTATCCAACCGGGATCTCTCGTTCTATCTCTCACAAAAGCGACGTTTCAAGAAATCGACACGATGGAATGAAGATGGCTGAGATTGAGCAAGTCCAAACTAATGGAACAACTATGTATAGGCATTACCCGCGGAGTCAACAAGATATAGACATAGGGAACTCGATGGACGATCAACCACCCAGAAAATAACATCATACACTGCATATGGATCACACTCGCCGGGAGTCCCCAGGTACAGAATTATCCGAACGAATCAACGCGGAAGCAGACAGAAGTGAAACAAGCCGTCGTCGGCCGACAGACGAACAGAAGAAAGCAACATCGGTCTAGACTTCGCTGCGAAGGCGACAGATCCCGCAGAACTCCACATCCAGTCCATGGATTTTCACAGCCAGTTGACCTGAGATAGTAACAAGCACCGCGTGTCACCAACCCCCAAACCATTTACACAAAGATTTTCAAAAAGAAGAGAAAAAGAAGCGACATATAGGTTAAAAGCAACCAGAGTATCCCAAAAAGCACAACAAAACCCAATGCAGACGTATATCGTTTCCGCCTTTCTAGATCCCAGAAAGCATGAGATAAGAATCCCGTCCCACCCAAAAAAGTGCACAAACACCGAGCCAAAAGATAAAAAACCGCTAACATGTCTGGCATAGCCGCCAGAGGAAATCCAAAAGCAACTCCGGAACCTAGATGAGCGCCGAGATGGCAAAAATGCCGCGCTTTCTATACATCGTCGCGGACATAGGCAAAGCAGGTGATTTTCCCTAACCGAAGGAAGAAAATGAGGTATCGTGGGTGATGAAACGCAAAAATCGAGTCGCAGGCGCCGTCGCTCGCAAGAAGCCGACATCAGAGTCTAGGTATAAGTGTGTTCGAAGTCGTCATCGGTAAAAAGTGTATATACAGAGAATAACTGGTTTAGCCGTTGGCGTTTTTGCAATCGTCAAGCGAAGTAAGGGGGGGGAATGTAGGTTTGATCGTGAATGCGATGGCCGTGTCGAACAGAAATAAGCAAGAGAGAATTATAAACCCGCGGTTAGGGAGCCCGATGATGCAGAAGCCGGACGAAGGAAGAAGAACGTGCCATGGGCGGAAGTAGGCCCGAATTGCCAGTGGAGTGGCGACTTGCCAACACACGGTTCTCACCACCGCCGTTGAGCATTCTGCATCGAGGCTGGCGAGATCGACGTCGGCGGGCTGGTCAGGGTCATACCCGTGTTGGGGTTGACGATAGGAATGACCTTGCGGGTGCGAACGGCAGAAGGCTGTTGGTAGTTCACGTGATTAAGATTACCAGTAACCCCTGAGTGAACATAGGCATTCGTCGACGCAGGAGACAAGGAAATGGAAGGCGTGACTTGTTGCACAGGCTGAATCTGATGCTGAAGAGGAGACGAATCAGGGGATCCACTGGAGAGCGAGGAGCGATCGGAAGATGCGGAATGAATGGAGTGCAGCTGTAAGAAAAATCCACGTTAGCCATTTGCCCTCAGGGAGGATAGACGCCCAGGTACGGGCCCATCTTGACGATAATACATACATCATCCTCTGTCAATAGACCGGGACAGAATTCCAGGTCATCATCCAAGTCAAACGAGCGTCCAGCCTCGAATCGTGCACGGAAAGCAGTTACAGCGGGAGCCTCAGCCAATTCCCGCATACTTTTGACACCGCGGAACTGGCGCTGGGCATTCTGCGCAGCCATTTTCGGTCCCCGACGAGAGCGACCGCCATGGTGGTTGTTCGAGGTCGTCATGTGGGTGGCGGCGCCGTGGTGAGGGTGCTGGTGCTGGTGCTGTTGCTGGTGGCCGTAGAAGAAGGTCGACATCTTGACGGGATGGTGAATAGAGAGTGCAGTGAACGAAACAGAGGCGTTATATCGTTGACCGAGGAGGCTCAGAGTTGTGGAAGTGGATACAAACAAGGGCCGACGCTCTGGAATCCGGCAAACAAGTACTCCGAACAAACCAGAGGAACTAAAAGGGAATAGGGTATGCGGAGAAGAATGACAGAGAGTCGGAGTGGAATGTACGAATCGTAGTGAAGGAGGAGAAGGAAACCGGAACGAAATGGATCAGAAGTGATAATTGGGAAGCAGAATAATGAAGACGAACAGGGGGGAAGTAGGAAGTGTAAATGCGAAAGGTGGGAAGAGGAGGAAGAAGAAGAAGAAGAGAGATTGGAGGAGGGGGGGGTGTGAGTGGTGTGAATTTGCACGCTTAGTTTGGGTTGTGGGATGGGGAATGGAATCGCTGATTGACTGAGAACAATGGGCGGGCGGGACAAGAAAGGTGGAAAAGAGAGCGAGAAAAAGAGAGCGCTGCAGCGGGCGCCCGGAGCGGACGGGAGGCGAGAGAGACAGAGAGGGAGAGAGGGTGAGGGAGAGCAAGAGGGGCTGAGCCAGTGGTGGAAAGGAAGTTCGGTGGAGAACCGCAAGGGAAGCGCGGTAAGTTACGTATCTGACCGTATGAGGAGGGAGGGAGTGTTCATTCCTTCTTTCGAGAAACCGAGTCTTTACTGAGTCTACTCCCTATCCTACCTAGTAGTTGCTAGTCAGTCCCTAGAAGCGGTCGATCTGCACCCATACCTAGTAGCGTCCAACTCTCGGTATTTCGCCGCTTTTGGTATGGGTACTGTAAAACTGGTAACCGGCGGTTTCATACCGGTGGGCGCTAAACTGAGCCAGGTCACGCACCATCCTTACAAAGTAGTAAGGCAGGGCAGAGTCCTCCAACCAGATCCTTGTCAACGCATGTTCAAGTGGCAAGGCAAATCCTCCGAAAGCCAATTGTCGCCTGTTTGAGACGCTCTGGGTGGACTCATGGCAGCCACTGCCTCTACAAGTCCAATGAGGAGATGTCTCCCGACTGTAATCAACAGCTAAGCGGGTTAAAGTGACGTTGAGAAAGACCGATCTAGTCCTCTTTCAGCCTAAGACCTACATCACCTCGACGCCTAATATCTGCGACCTCCGGGCGCTTCGATCTAAACGGTACTACTTTTTCAGTCGTGCAAGCGGCTGTCGCTCGGCCGGTCCTGCTCTTAAGGCTGTAGCGTTGAAATCGAAATACGACGTACAAATCGTACATACAATACGGGGGAGTACAGGGGATGGTATGATGATGATGATGATGATGATGGTGATGGCGATGCTGCCACCACTGGTAATAGTATGATGATGTTGCATACGCCCGTTGACACTGGAAGGTGGGGGATCTTCGGCCAATATTGATCAGGCTATCGTCTCTACCCTCTCTCATCGCATGTACGATGACGATGAACAATGGTCCAGCTATATCAAGTCCATGCCAACTCTCAGCAATCACTGCTGGCTCCGTACAAGTGTTCAATGCTGGAAGGAATTCAGGGGGAGAAGAAGGCATCGTATCTGTAATCCGTCCCGTCAGGTATCAGATCCATCGGCGTCTCTAAAGGGAAAAGGGTTGGTACTAGCCTGGAGGAAGAGGTATGTGGTTTCCACTTCCGAAGACAGGCATGCGCTGGCAAACAGGCAAAATGCCTACTACGACATCTGCGGGTAATGATTTGCAAAGGCGTGTGTGGTGAGACCCACCTGCATGAGCCACTGATTTGCAGTCTTGGGGATTGTCGGTACAATTCCCATGAACCGTGCCACTGGGGGTTTGGGAGATGTTTGGGAGTGTGTTTGGGAGGAGAGTCTGACTGTTGTCTGAAGGCAAAGTCCTGAGGTCTGACTTCCTCTGTGTTGCTCGGACTAGAGATTGCCGACGATCGAGAAAAGAGAGGAGATTTGACTGACTAAAAAAATCAATGGTAGCACCACAAGTCACCTCCTGGCTCAGCGGGCCGTTCACAATTTTGTCCAAGTCCCAACCATTGATCATGGCCACCCTTCGGCGGCTTCGACAACTATTCCATAATGAAAACTAACTCTCCACATGATGCTCAGAGACTTTCTCCATATTCTATATCTCCACCCACACCAAAATCTAGTGCCCAATAATAGTGCTATTGCAAGGACCCCCATAATCACCCAAACCAGATGAATAAAGGTCATGTTGTGAACCTTTGTTTTGTCAACAAATCAATTCCCAGGTAACCAACCAAGATATACCGACTGAGTGCCATACACAAAATAGTCACTTAAATATGCAATGACAGTAATTGTCATCATCGTTGATCAGGGAAAATATCTACACACAAATCATCTTAATCCTGACCATCGTGCTCTACGTAAAGGGCTGGCTAGTAGATCAAATTGTCATTACTTCGTCAGGATCTAAGATCTCTAATCGGGGGTTGGGTGCAGCTCCATGCTGCTAAAATCATGCTCTATTTCCGTCCACATGGGGACAACGCTACAGCCACACTATGGCTCTGTGCTGCACGGACACAGATACTGTACCACCCCTTTCCAGACACGATAGTACGGGCAATGTACCCCTATCTATGAATAGCATCTGCTCCCAACAAACAGCAAAAGGAAGAAGATGCCAATTGTCCCGATGCCCACGCGAATCCAGTACGGACATTGAGCCATTGAGCCATTGAGCCAAATGTACAGTAGTAAGCGATTAGACTTCGGGAAAGGTGAGAGAGAGAGAGAGAGCCATCTTCAAGGACTGCTGTTGGCTTCGCCTACACAACTCACTGGATGCAACAAAAGGCGACCACTGCAGCACCGTCGCAATGAGCAGCAAGCAAACGGGGCTGTAAGCTGCAAGCTGATAGGCTCGCAAGCTCACAGCTTTCCTCTCTGCTCATGGCCCCATGGCCTCATGGCCTGCAGCCTACTGCAGGTTGTCGGGTGGTGCGGCCATGCCTGGACTTGGTCCTGGGGCCCTGGCGGCCTAGCCTGCCAACTGCCTGCAGGGAAGAGAAGCACAGCACACAGTACCGGTAGACAACGTTAGCCATTGGTGTGTCAGAGAGACCAACTGGAACACCCTCTCCCGCGTTGCATATTGAGTTCGGCATTGTTAGGTAAACTCAGCATGATTCCTGATGGGAGCTCCTCCTTCTCTATGCTTTAGCTTTTGTGAACCTGCTGTCTCACCGCCCTTTGCATACGGGGACAGCGAAGGGGACGGAATGGTCTACTCCGTTCATCATGAGAGGTCAATGGGGCTAACCCTCATGAGAGGAGGGAACGAGAGGCAAAAAGGGTGGTGATGGTGCTGATAATGATCTCATGATAGCATTGGTTATGATTATGCAATCTTCAGAAGGCGGGGGGGAGGGTTGATTCCGGACTACGGAGTTGACTCTGAAAGACGCACCTCTTTTGGGGAAGGGATGAGTTCCCTCGACGTGGAAAAGGCTGGCTAGTGACTTTGGGATCTCCACTGTCCGTCATCACTGGTATTGAGTAATGTTGATTACTACGTACTGTATCGCCACAGTATGAAAGAAAGCTTGCTAGAGGACGCTCGCTAATCCCCCATGTTCGAAAGGGGGCAAAGGCAGCCACATCCATCTTAGCTTTCGAATAAAGTTTCTTACCCCAGGGATTGGCCCGAATGTCATCGAACAAGAAGAATGTATTGGATGTGGTCTAGTTCCAAACCAGAGGTCTCAACTTTTCGATTGACGGAAGAGCCCCGATCTACGATGTATTCGTACTTTGTCTTCGCCACTCGAGGCGGCAGGTCGACTGACACAGCCCCGGCCGACTGATCCGACCAAAAGAGTTGTCTGGGTGGATTATCTTATCTATCGAATCTCAGGTTCCCTGTAAGCCGTCCGGCTGGAAAGTAAAGAGTTTCCAATTTCCAGGACTCGGAGTGCGTAAGCGCGGGGAAGAAGCAAGCACATACAGTATACCAGCCTACATACCTCGAGGCAAGGGATATGAAACACACGCTCGGCCTGCCACTGGCTGGTGGTCTCAGCAAGCGCCAATGCTGTCTGGGTAAACTGGCTTTGTACTGTAGTCTATGCTGCAGACAACTTCGTGCATACCCCTCATTTGTCTCTGATCGATTTTAACGGACCGACTTTGGTCAGTTCCCCTGCTCTAGTTCAGTCTGCAAACCGCTGCGCACTTACAGTAGTCTAGCTTAGTGAATATGTCCTGTATAGATGCTCCCCGCGGACCGTGATTTGCCTATACCACTAAATAGATCACTTTGCGAGCGGACTACCACCCAGACACCCTAAAGCAGGTACACATGGCACCAAGACATATGCATCAGTATCGGTAGAATAGGCGGAGGAAGCTGTTGAGTCGTGCTTGTGTTCTAGTTCGGTGCTCTGACTCATCTTGCTTATTGTAGGACTGCGGTCTAGATCGAAGGTGCAAATGTAGATTCGGAATGCACTAGCTCCCTTCCACCTTCTTCAATGACGCTTGAGGGACAGGCCAGGAATGAATGGCTGCAGTTCATCAGGAACTCAGAGGTTCAGGTTCCTTGGCTCTTGCAAGCCATGGAACAAAGGGTGGCTACTTTCCCGATCGTCTGTTCGATTATGTGGTTTGGTTTGAGTCAGATGACCTAGTACTGGGATAGATGACCTATGCTTATCGTAGTATGTATCTTCCCCTACAATTGAAACTATACACATGAAATGCAGACTCCATCGATAATCAAACTCCCTCAGTCAAGAGATAAAACCACTGTCCTAGCATCAACCCATCATAAAGGGCACCATCTTCTTTACTCAACAAGCAAAAAAGCAAGGCAAGTTCTCCATGCCCACAGGTCTCCAACTTCTACTTTCTGGATATCCAAGCAGCTGGCTACCCTTCCATACAATATACAACCCACATAGCTAACCCCCAAGTCAATCAGAACTTTGCCCGCCTTTACCCCCCATCTGCCCGAATAATGCACCCTTCAAGCAGCACCAACAGGGCCCTTAAACTGCCCTGGCTATACAAGGCGACTTCTACCGCCTCATCAAGCCACATACACCCGACCTATGATCACCAATCAAAAGAGACGCGATAGACAACGGAGATCCGTCCCAAGTTCTCACCCTCTCCCGAGTACTTTCACAATAGTACTAACAAGACCCCTCCCCACCTACATTTATAAACCAATCCGGAAAAGCAGAGCCCGCCGCATGCCCTCCTCGTTCACTGAGTCAGACGAGCCGGTAATCCCTGAAGTATGAGAACACATGTACTTCAATCAAATAGAGCCGAGGAAGTCGGTGACCTTGCTTTCCGTGTTCTTGCTGTAGTTGTCTACGATATGGCCGGTGGTGTGGTGGAGTTGATTGTGTTGAGTTGAGCGTATGCTCCTGATGATCGTTGGCGGGGGTGAGTATGCAGACGTCGGCTCGGTGGGCTTGAGGATGTGCTCTCTGTTCTCATTTAAGGTGCTGTTTGATCTCGGGTAGTCCGTAGGGAATGAGGGGGGCGCGGGGGAGGGGGGGGGGGGAAGGGGGTCGTTTAGTGCATGGTAGTAGATCGTGGATGGGTGTGCTTCATAGAGGAGTTCGAGAGGTCGGAAGGCGGTGCGTTTGAGTGCAGCAGGTACAAGATATGGGTGGGTGTAGTTTGCAGGTGTCTCTGGGTATATAAATGTAGCTTGTGGTGTTATTGGAATTGCCAGGATCATCAAGCAGAGAGAATCTGGTGCCTAGTATGTACATGCTATATATCCGTGTGGCTGGATTGTGTACGGCATAGTACTCGTGGTAGTCTTTTCTATCTTGAGGGGATTCTATGTAGTGATCATGAGAATACAAACATGATAGGAACGCGGTAGTGAGCGGAGAAGATAATTGAACGCTATGATCAAATGCTGTAGCGCATATGCCTTTAATGAGAACCTGGAAGAATTCTGGCGTGCCTGTGCTTCGGAGAGATGTGCATGTAAAAAATCCTTGCTCAATGAGTAATCTGTTCTGTATCTTGTGGCTTTACAGTTGGGTGTACTATTATATCAGTCAGAGAAGTTCACTCAGAGTATAGGTACACGTTTTCTTACCGAAGCATACTAGAAGCATTTGATGTCATATACTCACACATGTATCAAAAGTCTTCGAAATATTCCTCTACTCCGGTATATTTCCCCGTGCTGTGCAATGGATTTATGGACAAGGAATGTACGCATGCTGAGCAGGGATGTCAACTGTTCCGCTCAGATTGCACCAATCTCAGCAACCCAGGCATCAAACGCCTCTCCGTCGGGTAGAGACGATTGCTCGTCACAATGCACAATGACAAACAGATCGAGCCACATTGCCCACATTACCCCGCGAGTGGCGAAGTTTTAACCCTGACTCTGTAGTCTAACACCTGTATTACTTCTAAATAAGCCTGTATGCTGCCACCCCAATGCAGGCATTTTCTGAGCCAGTAGCAAACAGCACGGCTTCAAACAAAACGGCTTCGAGCTCTGCTCCTCATTCGACGGCGCAACGACCAGATCAAGGGCTTAGAGCACTGGCTCCTGCTTCTGGGGTTATGATGCAATGTGTGACAAGCCTGCTCACATTTCCGTTCTGGAACGTCGCACAAGCAAGGCTTGGGATCTCTTCGCCTTGCGGGATACAAACGCATCAACGGAGTCAACCTTAACCTCACTTATCGAGGTTCTTGGTTTTGACCATGCGACCGAGGAGTTCCTTGCAATGCTTTTCGCTGTACTGCTCCCAGATTTCGTACAGTGAGACCAGCTCTTGGGTGCACTCAATGACTGCTGTGATATCGATCTCACTCTCCGCAAGCCATGCGACCAGCCTCTGGATTCGGGCCGGAGGGCCACTGCCGTTCTTATCACTTAATGCCGCAAGGATGTTCAAGCCGCCATCTCGCATCGCCCCAGCCAAGGGTGCCGCGGAGCCATGAAAACTGGTCTGGCTGGGCTTGAATACCACGGCAACTATGATGGCCATGACGGCAATGACATGCGGTGGGTATAGAAGTGGCAGGTCAGTCAAGTAGTGATCGTTGATCACGGACCACGCGAGTGCAACCTCGTCCGACGTCAGTGAGAGCTCCGGTTGAAGTTCGGATAAAGTTCGATACGGATGATGGACGATGAGTTGCGAGCTCATCTCCGAGATCAGGGAGAACTCGCACTCGCCCAGCTTTGAGACATCCGGAGCAATGAACTCTGCGCAGATGTCAGCAACACATTGACAATTGCGAAGACAGCTAGTGACTCCTACCCGGCCAGAGACCTCGCGCCTCCCCGACGACAAATCGAATGTGCTGAGGACATTCCTCCATTTTACAGGCGAGGTAGAAGGCCGTCGTCACGACCAGGTAAGGGTTCGTATGTCTGATCTCATTCTTGGTGTAGAACCGCTTGACATATACTTGCGCTGTCGCCAGCGCTTGTTGTCGCGTGGACATTCTCTTGCCCAGCTTGATTAACTCTGTTCAAATGTTTAGTTGAAATGTCACTAAAATGGATCAAAAATCACGGCAAGGCTCACGTTGACTGAAATAAATGTTAAGCAGCCGTTGGTCCGGCAAAGGGAACTGCGAATGGGCGGCTTTGTCTTTCTCCCTGAAGCTTTCGCGGATCTCTGCCAGTTTCTCGCGGGTGAACAACCAATGTCGTCGTTGGGTCGAGGCCCAATAATTGGCAGCCATGCTGGAGGAGTCTAGTATGTCAGGATTGAAGTCGACGTTGTCATCGATGAGGCATTCTCGGCGAGAACTATGTATGTATGTATTGAAAGTATGTATGGATGAATTGTGCGTGATTGGGGAGATTTTGGGCGTCCCAATGAGTTGTCTACCGCCTGTTTACAGGCAGGCTTATGATCATCGCAGTTGCCTTGGCTGGTCCAAATCTCAAGACTTTCAGCTTCTCATTGGTAATGAGAACAGGGTTGAGAAGGATGAAGTCACCAACAATACGGGAGTAAGGCGATATTGGGTAGGGAAGGAGGGTCACTGGCAATCAAGAGGAGATTCGATGAATGATTGATTAGTAGTTCATTTGGCAGGTGACCATCGGAGAGAAACGCTTCCCGAAGAGGTTTAGTCGCTGAATGACCTCCTCTCTCCCCGCCTCAGGCAGCCTCTTTTCCCTCTTTCTCAGCGTGAGAGACCGGGCCGGGGTCTAGTTTTCTTCCGGCCATAGATTTCCGCCCGCCCCGTAGTTTGCAAAGCAAAGAAAAAGAAAAGCAAATCATCGCGGCTCGATTTCTGACGGCTATCGGGTCTTCTTCCAGCTGAGAAAAACAAGAAAGACCCCTAACAACAATGTTTGCCAGTTTATCGCCCTCTTTATAAAATCTACCCCCAAGCTCCACTGAGTCCTAGCTTTGCGACTTCGATGCTAGAATTATCTTCCAACTCTCCTCCTACCCTGCTGCGACAGGGCTCCGATCGATCACTAGCCCCCGTGACCCCTCCTAGCAAAATAATATGACGGAGTTCCGATAATCTCTCGAATAACCGAACATGGATAACGGCGAGTCGAAATCAGATCGTGACCAGCGAGTCGCCCGACTCTGGGCCCGTCTAGACACCAAGGGAGAAGGTCATCTTGATTTCAATGGTTTAAAAAAGGGGTTCAAAAAGATTGATCACCGTAAGCTTCACTATGACCCGACCCCGTGCTTCTGATGCAGGTGACCGACCCCGTACCTCAAACCACAGCTCTCAAGAATGCGGACAGCATGCTGCGCAGCATTATCGACGCGGTCGACACCAATGGAGATGGATATATAGATTATCCTGGTAAGATCACGCGCATGCTTTCAACGGGCTTTTGTCTCTCTCTCTTTTTCTCCCGGACAACTTGAACGCCGGACTTTTTTCCTTTCCAGCCTAATCATCATCAGAATTCCGCGCATTTGTCGACCACACTGAGGTCGGATTATGGCAACTTTTCGAGAGCATCGACCACAATCACAACGGAGAAATCGATAAGAACGAACTGAAAACCGCCTTTGCGAATTCTGGGGTAACGGTGTCCAACGCCAAGTTAGAGGAGTTCTTTGCGGAGGTCGACAGGAACAAGGATGGCGTCATCTCTTATGCGGAGTGGAGGTATGTCTAATGGCGGTCAGCTGAAGAAGTCTCGGGGGGTTTGCGAACTAAATGATCGTCTGTTATTTAGGGATTTCCTGCTCTTCCTCCCCGCCTACTCGTCTTCCAACCTACGTTCCGTCCTGTCATACTACACGGCCACGGGCAATCTAAACCCGGAAGGAGATGTCCACATCAATGATCTGCAGGGTTTAGGTACAGACCTCTCGTTTCTTAGATGTTATATCTTGGCCTTGAAAAACCTCCTGCACCAGATCTCCCCAGTGCACCTTTTGACCAGCCTTCTCCCATCAGCCTATGCGGAGACCGGCGGAGTACCAGAGCCCGGATTCGCTTTTGAGACTGCTTCCGTACCGTTGGATGGTGATCCGGAGCTGGAGTGGCTGCCTATACCCAGGACCGTCGCCATGTGGATGTCCTTCCGATATTATGAACAGAAGATAACCGAGAACACTCCTCAATTAGGTTACTTCCTCGCGGGCGGAGTCGCAGGAGCCGTGTCTCGGACAGCCACTGCCCCTCTAGATCGGCTTAAAGTGTACCTCATCGCCCAGACCGGCGTGAAGCAGTCAGCAGTCCGCGCGGCAAAGGATGGGGCTCCGCTGCGTGCAGCGGGAAAGGCGTCCAAAACACTCGCCGAGGCCGTGAAAGAACTATGGCGTGCAGGAGGTCTTCGGAGTCTGTTTGCAGGTATGTTCTGGACACGTCCTCGTGGGCTGGAGCCACGCTGATTGTCGAAGGAAACGGCTTGAATGTCGTCAAGGTTATGCCCGAATCAGCCATTAAGTTTGGCGCCTATGAGGTAATTGTTCCTGAGTGAAGGTTATCTTACGGTACTGACGCGGGAATAGTCGGCCAAACGCGCGTTTGCCCGCCTTGAAGGTCACAATGATACAAAGCAACTTAGACCGACTTCACAGTTCCTGTCCGGCGGCTGTGGTGGAATGGTGGCACAGTATGCTGCATCACACCTCGTTCCATTTATTCAATATCTAACGGTGTAATAGGTGCTTTGTGTACCCTCTCGATACCCTCAAATTGTAGGTTCTCTTGGCAATATTGCGCAGATAAGCGTGCTTGAGGCTAATACTGCTCCTAGCCGGATGCAATGTTCAACCGTTGAAGGTGGTCCGCGAGGCAACCAGCTTATTGCAGCTACGGCCAAGAAGGTCTGGAACAAGCATGGAATCCTCGGCTTCTTCCGCGGCTTGCCCCTTGGTCTTGTGGGGATGTTTCCCTATGCTGCCATTGATTTGACGACATTCGAGTACATGAAGCGGGGCTTGCTGGCTCGCAAGGCTCGGCTACACAACTGCCATGAGGACGACGTCCCGCTCAACAACTTCACAACCGGTGCGATTGGCGCCACGAGTGGAGGCTTTAGCGCTTCCATGGTCTACCCATTGAACGTGCTTCGAACGAGGTTGCAAGCTCAAGGCACTATTCTCCATCCCACGACATATACCGGCATCCTTGACGTCGCCCGCAAAACCATCCAGGCAGAAGGTTTCCGCGGTCTCTACAAAGGACTTACACCCAATCTCCTCAAGGTCGCACCTGCTGTTTCGATTAGCTACGTCGTCTACGAAAACGCCAAGCGAGCTCTCGGGTTGAGATAAGGGCGTGGGAGAAGTTTCACCCTTCCTCCTTAGGCCGCCCCATCACCCGCTTTTCGATTTACCTTCCTCGATTTTTAGAATTCATTTTCCGAGATACCCTAGAAAAGCCAGTGGCCCTCACCGGCCACCATTGTGTTCACTCAGTCCGGGTGACAATGCGCGATCCTCGATTCCTCTACCTACCAAATAGAGGGGATCCTTCTTCCCGCAAGCTCTCCCGCGCCGAAAACCTCCCAAGGCTTTGCTGTTTTGATTTTCCGTCGTTTACATATGGACACATCACGAATTCCATATAGCAGTTGGATGAGTCAGTCGTTTGGAAGAGTCGCATGTCCGACCTTCGCTAAGCATAGAAGGCGTCATGCGGTAGAGCATGTTTAGGAGTTTTGAGTTTCCGATTCTTGTGGCCCCTAGCCCGCCCAAATCTTGTATAATGGAATTTCTTGTATGTGTTCCTGAAGGGAATGAGTGCCTCTCTACTTATGTAGCTAGCTAGCTTCATTTCTTTTTCGTATGTATATAAGAACTTTTGTCGTCGTTATAGTCTGGAATGATGATATGAAAGGGTACGTTTATCATTTCCGCGAGCGTAATCAGGAAGTTTGTATTCATTCCAACCGTGCAAATCACTCAAAAACATATCAAAAATCCACCCACGATCCATCCATCAATTCCTATCAAATCCAAATCTAGATAACAGCCCTAACCTCTTCCCCCAACGGCAAAATATCCGGCACAGGCCCCACAGGCGTGATGCCAAACGGATTAATTTGCTTATGACTCTTAGTATAATGCTTCTTGATATGCTCAAAGTTGGTAGTGTCCCTAAACGCCGGAACTTCCCAATACAACCGACGCAGCCAGCGATGGATAGCGGGGTACCCGGAGCGGATATCGCGGAGGTTACACTTGAAGTGCTGGACGTAGACGGGATCGAAGCGCACGATGGTCGTGAACAACCTAATATCCGCCTCGGTGATGTTGTCGCCGAAGAAATACGGCCGCTGTTTGTTATCGGCCAGGTGCTTCTCGATCCGGTCCAGCGACGCGAACAGCTGCGTCACGGCCTTCTCGTACGCTTCCTGCGTCGTCGCGAACCCGGCCTTGTAGACCCCGTTGTTGACGTCGTTGTAGATCCACTCGTTGGAGTTGTCGATGTCGGATCGTAGGGCCTGGGGATAGGGGTCGATCTTTTGGTATTGCTCTGGTAGGAGGGCGTCGAATTCGTGGTAGAGCATGCGGATTATTTCGGCGCTCTTGTTGTTTTGGGATTGTGTTAGTTGGTGGTAGGGGCGGGGTTTGGGGGTTATCTTTGGGCAAGGGGCAGGGGCTTACCTCATTGCTGACGATGCGCTGCGTCTTCTTGTCGTAGAGAACCGGTACCGTGAAGCGCGCGGCGTAGTTCGGGTCCTCCGCGAAGTAAATATCGCGCAGGTGCGTGAAGTTCTCGTGTAGAGGGTCTGATGTCACGTTGTGCTCTGGTTGGGCCTCGTCGGCTGTGGCGAAGCGCCATCCTGTTTTATCTCGGAATATTCCCCCGGGTGAGCTTTTATGCCTCTGAGTGTTGCAAATGCAGGGTGGTGATTGTAGCTCGTACCTTTGTCGCCTAGGTGCCAGTGCACCGAAGTGAACGAGATGAAGTCCTCCAGGCCCTTGAGTTTGCGGGTGATTAGGGTGCGGTGGGCTATGTGGAATTAGTACTGAGCTGTTTTTTTGAGATTCACTCGGAACAAGCTTACCCCAGGGACAGGCGTAGGAGACATAGAGGTGGTAGCGGCCCTTCTCGGGAGGGAATTCGGCGCCGGGCTTGCTGGAGATGAAGTTGCGGAAGGCCGAGGTTTGACGCTTGAATTCGCCGGACTTGTCGGCCGGGTTGACCCAGTCGGTGATCTTGCCTGAGTCGTTGGTCTGTTTATTCCATTCGCATGAAGTGTCAGTAAGGATAATTACTGGATTGGGTAAACAGGTTAGGAATTTTCATACCGCCATGGTGCGGGCTGAAGAAATGATAGCTGGTGGTGATGGTGCGGAGAGGACGGAGCTTGGTGCTTGGGAGAACCCCGCGTAGACTCTGGGTTGCAAGAAATGCTGCGACAGCTGGCGGATACGAGGCAATGCCGTGAACATGAGCAAGCAGACCTCAAGTAGTCGAGGACAATTGACGCCTTTATACTCTTGGATTCAAACAAGCTGGCAGGATCTGTTGAGAAATTGAATACGAGATCGAGGCCACTCGCCGAGGGGCAATGCGGGGGAGTGGAGATGACGTTATCAAATGCTTAGTGATGCGCCAGTCAGCCGCCATGACAAACCGTTAGCTCAGCATAACTGTGCCCTAAGATTCCCAAAGAAGAAAATGGTGGTAAAGACAAATGTGGCATTGTTTCTACTTGCATAACAACATTTATCTACGTCCATCCTTGCATCTCATTCAGCACCAACAATAGCCAGGCGATTTATCGCTCCGTTTACTTTCTCAACTTCACCATCACATAAGGGATCTCAACATCCTCCTCCGTCGTATCTTCCGCGGTCACCTCGAAAATGATATTCTTCTGGTGCTCAGGAACAGGCTTCTTGCTAATGTGCTCGACCAATTTGCTCATCCTGTACAACGGTTGGTTAGTACAACGATCATAGAAGTCGGGGAAAGCCATATGAGAATACATACTTCAAAGGAAGACGGTCCTTGAGCTTAGATGGTGGGTAGAAGCTGGCGTACAGCAGACTGACGCCAGAGCTGACCATGCTGATCTCCAGACCCAGATCAGAGAAATGCTTGAGGAAGTCTTGAAGTGGGATATCGTCCAACTCAAATCGGTCCCAAATCTGGTCAATCGTGACCTCACCCTCCTTGCCCTGGTACTTGCCCTTCGGACTAGCAATAGGTTCACTGAAGCCAAGGAAGGGCAGCGCCAGATTGACGAAGCCGTTCTTGTATTGTTCAATGTCATCCTTGCCGTCGATGATCTTGTACAATTCAAGCGCAACCAGTCCAGTCACCAGAGCCGTAGTTGTGGCAATAGCAGGAATGATCTTGCCAGCAATAAACTTCGTCTTGTGACGGTCGGCCTGGGGGATATCGTAGTTGTCGGCACGTAAATTGCTAGCTGCAGTGATGAAGTCAATGTGGTGGTTGGTGTCGTCGTCCTTCTCGAACTCGACGGGTTTCAAACGGAAGCCAGCCAGAGACTTGGGGGATGGGAGCGACTCAACGAGCCGTTGAATCTCCTGCCCATCATCGAAAGAGGAGCCGGACGCAGGAGCGTCCGGATCCGGGTCATTCTCATTAGCCTGGATTTTGACGCCTGACTTGGGGGTGAACTCCGGAATGATCATATTGTCGACGATCTTCCTATAGTAGCCCTTGTCTGCACCAGGGTTCTTGACACCGTAGTTGAAAGCATGAAGATTGGCTCCAGCGATGACGAAAGAAAGGTGGGTGGGGTTGGAGCTGTCGAACTTCAGTGGAGTGGGAGCTCGCTTGGGTCCAGACCAGAACGGTTGCCCAGTAGAGGTCTTAGAGTCCTTGGGGAAGTTGTACAGGAGTTGCTGGATGGAGTTGTTGTACTGAGCCTCAAATTGCTGACGAGCCCAAACAATGCAGTCATCGAAAGTCAAAGGCTTCTCGGTCACCAAGAAGTCACGCAAATGCTCGAGAGTCTGCTTCTCGTTGCCGGCCTGCTTGAGTGTCTGCTCGATGTAATTGGGCTGCGACAGATACATGTTGACGGCTTCCGGAGGACCGACAAAATACGTCTGGAAGAGATCTCTAGCCCAAGCAATAGTGTGCTCAATGCGGTTGGGGAAACTCTTCAGGGTACACATAGGGAAGGTCTTCTCCGGAGGATCCTGAGAGCTCGAGTAGGACTCGGTGATACGGGGAAGGACGACTTGAGTGTTGCCCTTGGTACCGAGAGTGCCACTCTCAAGCAATGGCTTTCTGAAGAAGACACAGCGACGATCGACATACGTTCTCGCGTCAACGTTGTCCAAAGCATTCGTCACACCGTCCAAGCGCTCCCAGAACTCCTCGTTGAAGATGTGTTCGGTATCAGCGCCTACACGGTCACGAAGAGTGACGATCTTGCCCTTCAGCTCGGGATTCATTGCCTCTGCAGCAGCAGAGGCACATTCACTCTTGAGCTTTCCGACATCTCTGCTGCGGAACAAGAACTGCCGGTTAAGGTTGCTCTTCTCGATCTGGTCCATGTCGGTGACGTAGATCTTTCCCTTGGGGCCAGTTCCCAGGCCCATCATAGCCCAGTTCTTCAGCGTCTCGCAGCCGATGGCACCAGATCCAACCAGGAACTGAGTGACATTAGAGATCTTTTCTTGGAACTCCTTTCCAAAGACGGCAATCTGGCCGTCGTAGCGGGTACCCAGAGGCTTGCAGGCCTCCTCGGACCGCGTAACGGAAGTGGGAAGAGACTCCAGTGAGTCGAAGTACAGCCACTGATGCACAGGGTTGAATTTACCGGAGACAGCTTTCAGAACCTCCTGCGCCGCGATACCTCCGAACAATGCGGCCAGTGGGTTCAAATCACCGCGGGCTTGGTAGCTGAGCTCCTTGAGGAGCTTTTCGTCCAGCTCTACCTTTTCCTCCAGGCTGGAAGCTATTTCATTGGCGATTTTCAGCACTTCTTGAGCATCACTGTCATTGTGGGGACGAGGAAGGTCACCGCCATGACCTTCTGCAAACTTATGAAGCGCCTGAACCCCAACGTGGAGCTGCAGGGGACGATCGAATTTGGCGAAATCGGACACCATGACCTCAGGCTTCTTGAGCTGTTCTTGGAGTGGCGCGAAATCCATGAACTTGGGCATCTTCACCTGAGTATAGATACCACCATCCTGGTACGAGCCAAGCCCAGACACATCTCCGATAGAGAAAGTATAAGGGCCCTTGACCGTGATCTTGCGAGGAGCACAGCCGTTAAGACCCTCCATACCATTAACTTCCGAGAAAGTCACGAAGTCACCATCTTCCAAGCCGTGTCGGGTCTCGTCCAGTGCCGAAACTAAGCCTTCCTCGTCGATATTTGCCACGATCCCACTGAGTGGCTCCTCGCCCGTAGCATCTCCGACCGTAAAGTTCTTTCCAAAGTCGTTGAAGAGATAACCAAAAAGACCGAAAGTATCCGTGATGGTGAGGTAGATACCGTTCTTGTGGCAGAAGTCGGCGATAGCGAGCTGTTCTTTCAAAGGCGTCAAGGTAAGGACAATCGCTTGGTAGCGCTTCAGCTGCTCCAGGTCGTCAACAAGGCTGGAGCCTTCATGGACTGTGACAGGAACATAGGAGTTCAATTCGGCGACTCTCGGGGCTGTCACCTCGGCACGAGGCTTGCCGACATCTTGAGGCTGAAGGAAGAACTGAGAAGAGAGGTCTGAGATGGCAACCGGCGCAGGATCGTACAAGGTGAGGGACTTCACACCGGCAAGGGCGATGTTCTTGGCTACGAACACATGAGTAAGTGTGCTCCTGGTCTTGCTAGGATGGGAAAAGTGCTTACCGATTTCGACACCTAGGCCCTTCAAACCAACAACCAGGACATTCGAGGAGCCCATACGCTTCATAGCTTCATGACCGAGGACATACCTACACAGGTGATCAACCGTCAGTATCCGGTCCAGCCACCACAAGAGTAAACTAGCTTATGCTTACAGTTGTCGGCTGTACAGAGACTCGTCAATCTCTCCCTGCTTGATCAACTCCACAGTTTCCTGTGGGTTGTCAAGTTGCATCTTGGAGTCCTATAAACGGTCAGCTGCCGATGACTGAGACGGTGGCGTAAGTATATCAAAAAGACATACGGTCATGATCTTCTTCTCCGGCGGAGCTTTGTTATCAACAGACGCTCTGCGCTTTCCAGGCTTCGCAGCGTCACGAACAGGAAGTTCGGAGGAAATTGTGAACGTTTTCAGGAGAAAGTCTTGCCGCAGGAGCAAGACTTTCTAACAAGGTTGAGATGGGCCTACAGCTCCGACTGTAGGTCACGGAGGAGGGGTAGAGGCGGTGGGATAGAGGAGAGCGGGGAAAAAAGGTGTAACGAGGAGAGAAAAGAGAGATTGAAAGTCTTTTAGGGAGCAAGTGAGTGAAAGAAATCTCGGGATATAAGAAAAGAGTTAAAAGCAAAAAAGCAGTTGAATAGACAGAGAAGAGGAGAAAGATGGATCACAAATGTCGCGACCTCTCTTGGTGGCGACGTAAGAGGGACAAGCTGTCGATGAATGACTCAGCCTTGTCACGGGGCGTGATTGGCCAGAGCCCCGCAGACAGTCCGGCACCACCGGTACCTTACTACTACCTTACTAGTACGTAGGAGTAACTAGTTGCCCGCAAAGTAAGGAAAGCGGAAAGAAGGGACCGTCCCGGCCGGAAGATGCGCTGCCCATGCACTCGCTCTGTTGATGTGTCGCTCGCGGCATGATTTTTTGCACTCGAAATCCCAATCACGCTCTCAATGGTGCTTGTGATAGAGAAGCCTACGACTTGATGAAGATCTCCCGTACCTGTGACGTCGACTGGACTGATTGGCTAGTACCCCATACGTTCTATGCCTGGCCTGTATCACTACCTACCTCCGCAAATCTCGCGCCGCGCCGCGCCGCGATACTGAGCCAGACGCCAGCAAAGAAGCTCGCCTATAGTCACGGCCTCATGCCTGTGTCCTTACATGTGTCGGTTTGAACTTCTGGGACGTTCAATTCTCCACTTGCAACGTCAAAAGAATAAACGAGATAGCGATATCTCCCCGAGGTTCGTCGCGTCCCTTGAATAGCGCGTTCATATCTGACTTCGAGACTGCTATCGCCCAGAGACCTACCCCCACAATGCTCCACGAAATCCTCCTCTGCCTCTCAGGCCAGCCATCGCCTCTTTTCGATACGCAAGATGAAGGATATGCTCTTGCTGAGGATACCTTCCCGCTCGTCTCTCCTTCGGAAAAAGCCCTCCTCGCCTCACTTGCCCATTTGAGCCGTCTCCATGCTGAATTGCGACAGCACACGGCAACGATATCAGCCTCCCACGAATCCGTCATTTGTCGTGCAGTCTCCACTGCCATCAGCTCACAACACCTTCGGGAGTTCCAGAAAAAGATACTGGAGGTGGAGAAGGCAATTCTGGTCGAGGACAGCGGGTATGTTGGTGGTTACGGAATTGTACCATTGTCAACAATAGTTGGGGAATTCTCGCCCTGGACACGCCGACTAGAATGGATGCGAAAGGTTGTAAGGCATATACAGTTTGCAAACACGAAAGGAGATGGCCCAACTTGCAGTAGCGCAGCCTTGATTGACCACCTTCGAGCGGAGCTGCAGACGGGTTACGCCGATGTGAGGGAGATCGCACTGAGTCTGGTCAACACTGCTGAGACTGCTTGGGTCAGACAACTATCAACGTGGTTACTCTACGGGAACCTTCCAATTCTTGGGAGATCTGACTTCTTTATCCAAGAAGAGAATACGGTTGGAAGTAGCCAGCTCTCAGATGCGACAAATTATGGACTGCACTCGGAACTTCTACCGCAATTTGTGCTACCCCAGACAGCGGCGTCTATTCTGTTCATTGGCAAGACGTTGAATCTGATCCGAGCGAAACGGAGTGCTTCGAGTGAAGTCAATGCCAACGGTCTCTCAACGTCTCCAGTTACTCTACGCGAAGAGCATATTAAACATCTTGCTGCGCTGAAGTCACCCATGACAGCACCAATGCTATCAAGTGTTATTGTTTCTATAAGACTTTCCCTTTCCCAAAGCACACTTTCAACCCTCCTGCCGACAGCTAAGATACTCGAGACATTGTCTGTCTTACATGGCTTTTTGCTCCTTGGACGCGGAGAATTTGTGACAGCCCTCGTTTCACATGCAGACTCTCGTCTACATGAAAAGCGCCAGCGAATCGTGACTTCAACAATCAGGAATAAGGCTTCTACTGAAATCGGAAGCCCATCAATCACGGAGGCTGATGTAATGGCAACCCTGACCCAGACATTGTCGGAGCTTTACTCTTTACAAGATGAAGAAGATCCCGCGGATGATCTTCTGGATCTCGCGAAGGCAGTTCTCCGATCAACGATCAATGGGCGCACAGGTGATGAAGACGAGGCGCTGCCCCAAGTCGCGAAGATAGCCTACTCAGAGACTAAATTGTCCAACATAGCATTCGATGACCTCCTGTTTCCGATAGCAACGAGCCTTTCGGTGCAAGTCAACCCTCCTCTCGACTTGTTTCTTTCCACTTCTGATGTCTTCGTGTATTCGAAGATCCACTCTTATCTCTTAGGCATCCGGCGTGCTCATATCCATCTTGGTGACCTTTGGAAGCGCACTTCTCTCCGAAGATGCCATCCTTCGCCCCTGGGGCCCCCTCGCAGCAATACTCCCTATGGTCAAAATAGGCTCAAAGAAGGGAGGCAAAGACATAATGCAAGACTCCGGCAGATGAGGGCAATTTGGGCAACATGTAGTGGCTCTTTGTTTGTGCTCTCAGAGATCGGAAGTTACTTTCAAGGAGAGATCATTAATGAATCATGGCAACATTTTCAAGAATGGATTAAAAGTGGCACGGTCCGATCGACATTTGCTACAAGCTCCCGACCCGGGACCGCATCATCGTCAAAGAGCAAACAGACCAGTGGTCCTTTGCCATCTGCTCCGGCGTCAAATGTGAGCTCTGATAACAGCCACGACATTAGACGCCATGATCCGGAGACGATAACGGCTGCACACCGTCGCTATCTTTTTACTCTCGTTCAAGCTCTTTTCCTCACCGACGTGCCATTTACAAAAGCGCTGAGGTCTCTGCTCACCGGCATCGAGCATTTCATCGCGCTTGTAGTGCGGCTGGAGAACATACAGCGCAACATGGACCTAGAAACAGACGAAGGGGTGTTCGACTCCTTAGTAGACTACGCAGGAGAGGAACGCGAAGTGTGGCAAGCACTTGGTGCTGCTCAAATTGGCGTCGAAGGTGGGATAAGAGACGTTGTCTCACGTCTTCGAGACATCGACGATAGCCGATCCGGTGAAGGGCGGCAGTTGTTCGACATGGTGAAGGACACAGGCGATGACTGGTCCTATCAGCCCATGGGAGCTGAGCCCGGCCTCCACCACTATGTCCCCCGAAAGGCAGCCGGTGTTGACCGGCTTTTGATGAAATTGGAATTCGGCAATGCTAATGGAAGCATTGGACCTGGTGCTGCAATTACGAGCGAGATTGTGGGCATGGCATAATTCGTCCTGGACGAGCTGGAGAGCATCGTCAGACGGACAATATCAAGATGAATGCATCGCCCCAATTAGCTTGGAACGGAACAAACCCATCATACACGCATCTAGCCAATTTTCCATGCCCGAGTTCGATTTCTAATGTACTGATGACGAATAGGACAAGGCGGCATTACCCGGAGTCGGATGTCTTTCCCAGCATTGTGGACCATGACTCCGGAGAAATGCCGACTGCCTATGCCTTGGCAAGTATGAAGCTCCAGTAGCATTGCGCAAAATATGGCAATCCAGCATAAGAAAGGTTTGATGCCAGCTTCAGAACTTCTGCACTTATAGCGTGATGCAAATGGGCGAGTGGCTCACGCATCGGGTTTGGAGATCCACACGAATTGCAATGAAGCTTGCATTATTTCAGTCTGAGATGCAGAAACTCAACAATTTCTGCATTGGCTATAAATAAAATGAAGAGGGAAAAAAAGGCACCGTTGCACATGATCCATGGTGGGCCTTTTCACGGGTTACTTAAAAAGGCAATCCTTTCATGACGGGCACAGATCTGATCTCTATCCGAGATCCGGGATTTTCTTGGTTTGCGATTGACAGAGATATGCAAACATTCTATCCGTTGCATACGCTGGCCACCCTTGACTCGAGTCAACTCGTTCCTGAATCAGGATCTCGCTCAAGGCGTCTGTTGGCGCAAGGGGCTGTCCGGGAAGGTTCACATCGTCAAACACTGGAAGGCTTGGCAGATCCCTGGCATCTACAGGATGTTCTGGAATGCGTTGATCGTAACGGACATGCAGTCAGCTCGACGCGCTCAAGGCCAGCCTTCGGGATGTCATTTTTTGGAAGCTTCGCGGATTCGCACCCGAAAATACGATTATTTAATGGACCATAAGCTTACAGCGATATACGAGTGAATTAGAGTTCAGTTTGGGCCCAGCATAAATAAGAATACGCTGCCGCCGGCTTTATACGAGCACCTGGCAGATAAACACTCGTGTACACACACTGGACATGTATGCGCAACAGTGATTTTCCAACTCAGTGCGGGGGATCTGCAACCAACAAAATCGGCCAAGTAGCTTCGGAGCTAATTCAGCGACCTTGCAAGGATTGCGCCCGGGGATAAGTGCCATTTCCTAGGATGGGTCGCGACATGCCATGTTGTAAGGGTTTGTCAAGCATGACACCATCATTGAGGATGCCGAGACCGTCATTGGAGGGTGGTCGTTCCATGGATTGGACTTCGGCCAAAGAAGCCGGGGTGAACTCATCCTCTGCAGCCACTACACTGCCCGGTACAAACGAGCGGGAAAAGGGCCCCTTGAACCGAGCGTTATATGGATGAGCTCAGGAGTATCCGGGAAAACAGGCGACTTTGCTTGTTGGAGTTGCAGTGACCATCCTTGCTGTGCTCGTTGTCGGTCTCATTTGAATTCGGACCAGCAACTCGGCCTCCCCATACTCGGGAATCCCGTTCTTGTGGGCCTTTCAATCCACCCTGATGGATGATCGTCATCCCTCGATCAACTGATCAAGGTCGCTGGCCCGGCTCTGCAACCAAGCAATGGGAGGTAACTCCGCGAAGGCGCCTCGAACACGACCTTTGCCCCAATCAGTTCGTTATCTGCCTGCCCCGAGACGCGACAACTCCCTGTGGCAAGCTTAATCCGCGGGGCAATACTAATGCATGGATTAGTTCCTGTACCATGGAATTTAGCTCGCACTGAGCTAGCGCGGGTCCTGAAGTCATCGTGAAAGCAGCTCTGGATCCCGACAGCGGATCCATTGATGCCATCACGCGGCCAGCTTGATTTTTTCTTGGCTGTTCCTCCTTTGTACGACAGCTACAGCTGGTCTCTGGGTTAGTGATTATTGGGACTGTATCGTGGGGTGGTAAGAAATATAAACTCCAGCTTTGTCCTGTAGTAAAGGCGAGAAAAGATTCGAGGATGTATTGTGGCCATTCGACCTTGAGGTGGTAGTGTGGCTTTCCCCTTCCCATCTTTCCATCTTCAGTTGAACGCATATTCTCCACTTTGATAATGCGCGTCACGATGTACCGGTCGCTCCCTACATTGCGGCGAGCAGGCTTTTGCGTGCCTGCTGCCATCGGTCGAGCCTCGTATTCCACGAACTCGACACCACATGGCACACATCACATCCAGACCCGTGTCTCATCGCTGAAGCCCGAGCAAAAGAACGGACGTCGATTCCGCGAGTTCGACCTCGAAGACCGGGTCTTCGCCGTTACAGGAGGCGGACGAGGACTGGGGCTCGCGATGGCCGAAGCTCTAATGGAAGCCGGCGCAAAGGGTAAGCCACCTTCATTACCTCCTACCTCAGGGCTTCCATCTCCTAGTTCCCTTCTCTCCCAGTCCTCTCCACCACCCCAGACGCATCTTCACCACTACTAACACGACAACCAACCCACCAAAAGTCCACTGCCTCGACCGCCTCGAAAACCCGCACCCGGACTTCGTCGCCGCGCAAGACCACGCAACCAGCACCAACAACGGCGGCCGACTACACTACCACCGCCTGGACGTGCGCGACGCAGCGCAAGTGAACTCGGTGTTTGCGACGATCGCCTCGCAAGACAAACGGCTGGACGGGCTCATCGCAGCCGCCGGCATCAACCACCTGCAGTCGGCGCTCGAGCACACGCAGGCGGCGCTCGACGAGGTGCTGTCCATCAACTACACGGGCGTCTTCAACTCGGCGACCGCCGCCGCGCGCCAGATGTTCGCCTACCAGCAGCGCGGCTCGATCCTGCTGGTGGCCAGCATGAGCGGCCTGATCGCCAACAAGGGCATGACCTCGCCCGTCTACAACTCGTCCAAGGCCGCCGTCATCCAGCTGGCCCGCTCGCTGGCCATGGAGTGGGGCCGTCACGGCATCCGCGTCAACAGTCTCTGCCCCGGCCATATCCTGACCCCGATGGTCGAGCAGGTGTTCCAGCAGAATCCGGCTGCGAGGGCCATCTGGGAGGCGGAGAATATGTTGGGCCGCTTGGCTACGCCGGAGGAGTTTCGCGGTGCCGCGTTGTTTGCGTTGAGTGATGCTAGTAGTTTTATGACCGGGAGTACTTTGGTTATTGATGGGGGGCATACCGCTTGGTAGATCCTTTTACCCGGAGGGGAGTGGGGTCAGTTGTGGGAGAAGGGTCTGGCACTGCGCTGATTCATCTGACGTGAGGGAGTGAAGTACACATATATACGTACGAGTGGGCGTGAGTTGCCGTTACATAATGTCTATTTACGTGAAGTGGGTATAGCCTGATAGGGTTGGGAGAAGAAGAAAAAGGAAGAACGGACATATTCTCGCGGTTCGCGGTTTTGCTCCGTGTTATACGTGACTTTGTGTTCTGCCTACCGTTTGCTGATGACTGCATATTAGGAGCGTTGTCTTCTGAGGACTGGACTGTCTTGGTCTTGTTTTATAGCTTCTTAATGTGAATCTTATACTGATCATTCTCACTTCTCCGGGTTACTTATGGGCTGTCGTATCTATTGGTCTCACGGGACACAGGATGATGACGGAATGTGTTATTGTGTAAGAGATTTCGAATGCTTAACTCTAGTTGAGTGACAATTTCAAGCAAACCCCCAGGCTCTATCAGACCCTTAGATAAACCAATCCATATCACTTCCCGATGACCAATAACCAAACAAATCATTCTAAACGAATCAGTAAATCGATCTAGATCGACCCTCAATATCCATACATTCATCCATCAATCCAACCTAACAACCCCAGAGCAATCAGAGAATATACCCCTGACCACCACCGTCACCATTCCCTTCCTCATCCACAGCACCACCTCTTCTCCCGCTCCCACCAAGAATCAACCCCTGACTCTCGACCCCCCCGCCCCTCCTCTCCATCTCAAACTCCTCATCCCCCTCCTCCTTCCTCACCAGAGCCAGATTCCGCTCACCCCCCTGCCGACCCTCCCACCTCAACCACGCCCTCAAACCCACCGCCAAAACAGCAACCAAAACCATAAACCCTGCACAAACCGCCATACCACGCACATACCACGGCCCATCAGTCGCCGGATACAACCTCGTCCCCAACAACGGCCCACACTGACCTACAACATTCAGCAACGCAACACTGGCGCCCTTCCCCTCGCCCGCGGGCCGGTTATCCATGCTCCAGGTGATGATCAGCGTGATAGCGGAGAAGAACCCTGCGATTGCGGGGTAGAGGCTTAGATATCGGATTAGGTTTATGGTTGATGTTGGCCCTGCTTGGGCTTGGGGTTGGGTTCGCTGGGAAGAGTAGAGGCCTGTTAGTGCGAGCGTGAGGTATGCTGTCGCAGACACTAAGGCGTGGGCGATTAGGTAGGGGCTGCGTGTGCGGTGGCGGTCCGAGTAGTAGGCTGTTAGTAGGACTGTTAGGAAGGCGAGGAGGTAGGGTGGGGCGCTGAGGGCTTGCGAGGCTTGGGGGGTATTGTTCATGCTATTGTTTCATTTCCCGAACCTCCCTCCCGGTTAGGGAGAGGGGAGGGGGAAGTAGGGTTAGCTTGGGTGTTTATTCTGGGTTTGTGGGTGGGGGGAGGCATGGCTTACTCTGCGATTATTGTTGGGAGGAAGACGGGCATTGAGCTAAAGGCGACGTTGCAGCTGAAGAACATGAACTGTCGTTTGTATGTGGTTAGGATTGAGGTTCGTGGGTGTCCTGTGCATGCATCGGCGAGCTGGGATTGGGCACGAGGGAAGGGAAGCTCACGGCGGTGATGTACGATTTGGGGTCTGCCAGCGTCTTGCGCACTTCGCCCCAGTCGAATGCGCCGCTGGTTCGGGTTCGACGCGATGTGACCCCACTGCTACTGCTGCTGCTGCTGCTGCTGCTGCTGCTGTCCATGCGCAGCTGAGCGATCATTCTCTGCCGAGGGTCCAGGAAGCGCGCGGTTCCAGGCGAGTCCGGGATCCAGAACCAGGCGAAGACGGCGACAATCACGCTGGGAAACCCTTCCACCAGGAACAGCGTGCGCCATGGGGCGATGGGCCCTCCGTCGCTGAACTTGACGATCACCCAGGCCAGGCTGCTGGCGAAGGACGAGGCCAGAGGCGCAGCGGAGATGAACAGCCCGTTGCGGAAGGCGAGCTCCTCACGCTTATAGAATAGCGAGAGGTAGAACGGCACGCCGGGCCCGAAGGCTGCTTCGGTGATTCCGAGCGCCGCGCGCAGGAAGACCAGCGCGCCGAAGGAGGTGACCAGCGACTGGAAGGAGGCCACCAGGCCCCATCCCAGCACGCACAGCGCGATGTAGATGTGCGCCGGCACCAGTCGGTACATCAGCGTCATCCATTCGAACAGGATGTAGGTGATGTAGAAGGCCGTGAGGAGCCATTCATACTGCGACGATGACAGCTGCAGGTCCTCGGACAGGCCGGCGATCTTCGCATTGCCGATGTCTGCATCGCTGGTTAGCTTGGTGGTGGCAGGGGGAATTCGCGGGAGATGGATAATTGGATGGACATACTTGACCGGTCAAGGAAGGAGAGTAAGTAGAGTAGAGCCAGGAACGGGATAAGCTTGCGGTCAAATCGCTTCACCACCTGTTGCTCTTCCACGGTCGTGTATTTGAGGAGATCGTGCGAACTTCTGCTGGAGCTCGGCCGGAAATCGTCATAGGAATCATATCCATCATCGATCCCATCATCGGAAGAGCCTGAACGGTCCCCATCGTTGCTGAAATCCGTCTGCACTTTTAGGGCTCCTGTCGCTGGACGACCAGGACGAGATGAGTGACCATCATTCTCTGATCTATCAGAGGCTGGTGTATACAGCAGTCCATCGGAGGAAGAGGATCCACTGCTGAAAGGGGAAGATGTGGTTCCGGTCGGGCCAGCGCGCAAGGAGGCCATTGGGCTGAGTGCGCGTTGCGTCGGTCAAGCAAGTCAATTCATGCCTTTTTGTGGTTACAAAAGAATTTCAAAGCAAAGTAGATTCATTCGATTAAAGCCAATTTATCGACGACGGAAGGTTAAGGCAGGATGCAAAAGAAGAGGAGACAGTTTTCAAGGATCGATAAGAGTGAACGACAACTCCTCCGGAGCACGTGGCGGCAGCTCTCAAGCTAAAGAGCCGGCGATCTGCAGCCAAGAAACTCATTCAACACCCACTCGTTAACTAATTATCCTCCTATCAATTTTAAAAAGAAGAAGAAACTTTTCCGCTACATACAACACCCTCTTCCAGATCATCCCCGCATTTTTGTATCCAATCGCCATGAACATAGAGCACCTTGGTCAGTTAATAGATAGCAGAACGAGCAGATACCCAATGTACCCCCTCATGTCATCCTCGATATTCATTCCGTGCCCAGAAGGCTGGGATCTGGCTCAGTTGTCACGCGAAGGGCGGTAGCTATCAATGGGGCGCTTACGCTTGTGTGGCAAAGAGACGCTGCCCTCGGGGTTGTCGCTGTTACCGTTGGAGGGTTCCTCGAATGGACGTCCGGGATCTCCTCCACGAGGTGCCTCATAAACCCTGGGGCGCGGAGTTGGATCTCCCACAAAGCGACGGGAATCCTCGCGACGTGGCCCGCGGTAGGGGATTCCGGGGCCACGACTCGGGTCTTCAAAGCGACGCTGACGACCTCCGGAGAGCTGCGCGGCGCGGTCGCGGGCCAGCCGGAAATGATATTCGATGTCCGGAATGAGGGAATGGTTGGGACGCCCGTTGGCCCGGAGGTACTGCAGCGCATTCTCCGCCGTGTCGCGCAGGAACCGAACGGAGGACTCTGTATCTGTGTTGCTCTCGCTCCGGCGGTAGAAGTCGTTCTTCGCCTGGCGGAAGCGGATGATGAGGCGGTTGATGTTCGGCTGGATGCTGACCCCGTGGCAGGGGGAGCCAGGTCTTCCGGGTGCACCTTGTGTGGCCGGGGCATCCGCACCAACGCTGGGGTCGATGAGGGCGCTGGCGGCTCCGGTGACACTGTCGCTGTCGCCGAGTCCGAAGGCTAAACGAGCCGTGTCAGCTTGAAAGACTTGCCAAGGTCAGTGAATGGGGGATGGACACACTTACCGTTGTCCAATTCGAGGTTAAATTGCATGTAATCGGAGGCAACTTGCTGGTTAACCGAGCAGGAGATGTTAGCTCCGAGAAACTCAGTTAGGTAGAAGTCTTGCACTTCGGAGCCGATTCCAAGCCCATTCTGACCGATCTCAACCAGAGCCCGGTCATAGAGGCTAATTTCACCGTCGGCGGCATCCTGAGATCGCCGGGTGATGAGAGCAATGTGGTTTTGAATGATCCGGCGCAGGACATCGATGTTCGCTGAGTTCCGGTAGAGATGAAGCAAGAGAGGAGAGGGCTCGTGGTTGGAGGCGCGCCATTTGGCCACTATCTGATCCAACTTCCGGATCAGATGTGGCTCCAAAGTAGACGCGGAGAGGAGATTGGACATGGTCCCAGGTTGGCTGTGTTCCCGTCTAGGACACAAAGACAAACTAGAACACAATTGATGGAGAGTTCTTGACAGTTGTCCTAAGCTGTAGACATTGCACTCTTGGCAGAGAAAGACAGCAACAGGAGAGAAGGTAATCAGGGAAATAGAAATTACGCTGGCAGCGCCTGAGGTGAACACCTTCACTCGCCATGGTCCGCTTAGTCGGCGATGGGCCCACTTTTGGGGCAGCGCAGTGTCATGCGTGTTGGAGGGAGAGGAAACAAGTCTATTTACTGTTCAAGATCGAACGTCAGGGGCCGCAAATACTCCAAGACGGGCATGAAGGAAAACACGGAACCCGGCAGGAACTGGCGGTGCCGGAAGGAACCTTACCAACAAATGCAGGGCCAATATTAGTGAGATCACTGAGGCCGTTGTGTAGAACTGGGATTTTGTCTGGATGTGTTGGACTTAAGGGGTGTCGTGCATCTGTTATGGAATAATTGAGGTGTCCAAACATGTAGAAAGTTACATTCGCAAGGGCGACGTTGGAGTAGGGAGTGTATAGAGCCTCAAAAGCTTCAAGATTACTATGTCAGAGAGATGTAGACAAAATAGAGCAATTAGTTACAGACATCGGCAAGACGACAAGAACAGGGAACAAGTTGTCATCAGTCATCACTTGGCATCGGTATCGTATCATACAGTCAGACAATCAGTTGATCTGGTTCCATAGATGCTTGACTTCGTCCACCAGCACCGAGACTTTGCTGCCCTGTCCATTCTTCGCGCAGTCCTTCCAGACGCCGCCATCGCGGACACACCAGACCGACTCATCGAGGCGCAGAGTACAGCTAGTCTTGACGCCAAGCTTCGAGCTGTGGATGGCGCTCTCTCGCAATAAGGCGAGGCCACTGAGCGGCGCCTCATGGCTGCCATGGCCGGGATCATCATTTTCCTGACTGGCACAGGCGTTCAAGGCGCCAAAGTCGATCCCATGCTCCAAGGCACATTGCTCGACATGATGACGCTCCGGGATCCTGGAGTACGACCCGACAAGACAGTTTGCAAAGCCAAGGGAGCGAATGGTTGGGGTACGCGCAGACATGGAATTCACGGTAACCTCATCTCCTTGTAGTGGGAAAGGAAGATTTGCCGCACAGAGAAGGAGCATGTCTCCGAGGCATTCGCCCGGGCCATGCTTGCATTGGATGTCCGTGGACTTGTTAGACACTCTGGGGCATGATATTAGCCAGACGTTCTTCCCTGGGAAGTGAAATATAACTCACTCGGCAATGAACGACAATTTGAAGTCAACCTTGTCGCTGATTTGCTCCATCGCAGGTACGACAAGCTGCTGTAGACAGTCACGAGCATCTGGGCATTTGCTCATGATGTGCGCCTCCAAGGGTACTTTCTTGGCGGCCTGCACTGCGGAGGTTCCGGGCAGTGGAGGCATCGAGAGCGCCTCCTCACCGTCCGTCAAGACCAACGCAGGACCATCATGATATCTTTTGCCTTGATGGCAGGAAAAGAAATTGAGGTCAGAGACAGAAATCGGGGACCAAGAGACGAGCAAGCCGATGAAAGCGACGATGGTCAAATAGGCGGCGAGCCGGGTAATGAATCGGTCGCGTCGGCGGCTGAAGGGACGTGAAACAGCGGAGTCGGAGGTGTCAACGTAGCCGATCTCGTGAGCTTCCTTCTCCATCTTGGCGATGTGGTAGTACTCCGATAAGTACTGGACTAAAATTTGTTGACCGTGTAGTTTCACTGTAGTTGCAGTAAAGGAGGATGGGCTAAGGGGGGGAAATGGATGATGAGCGCAGGGAAGGTGGGGAGATCGTAGTCCATCATCCGTCATCCGTGGTCCGCATCAGATTCCGTCTACGTACGAGTCAGCGGCCCGGCAATTTTGCCCTCGCGTTACTACGTAACTTACTGTACACTTGCAAAGGAACCAAAAAACAGTACCTTTTCTCATCGTGTTCCAAGGTGATGGAACTTTTTATCTAATCTATGGTTGCTAAATGCCTCGGGAATTAGGTTTCAGATTCGAAGATTGCCGCTCCACAGGAGTCTTAGTTCTGCTCTGCTATTCCGATTGCCATACTTATCGGGCGAATCATACACTGAGGTTGCATCGTCGCATCAAAGCTGCTGGCATTGGGACGAAGAAACGCCTAATGCACCCCGTACGCACTGCGACTCTCGGTGTGCTTCGTAGCAGCCCTAGGCAAATGGACGGCTCATGATCTATGCTGCCAACCCATACTAATCCGTGCGAGATGGAGCACAGCACAATTCAACCGTTGGTGGCCTGCGCGGTGCCGACTAATCCCCTCTCATATTGTCACATCACCGTCATAACATGGACCATGATATCAGCAGTCAATGCTCCCCTACCGTAGGAGGTGCCATGCGAAAGCTGACATGTTCTGCTGCTATACTGAGATACTGGAGCCTTACCCGCAGTGCCGGGGAAACACCTCAGACATCGGGTTTATGGTTACATTCTAACTGTCAGGGGAGCAATCTCGTTTGTCGCACACGTTACAGAAGCAATGAGCGATGCATCCGAAACACCGGACCTTCGCTATTTATTGGCTTATATTGCGAATCATGTATGTTGTCGCATGATCCCGTTTCGGCGATCTGTCGGTGAGAACTTCCATCATGGACCTGACAGCGCAGCCCCTATGTAGGTGCAATGCTAATGGAACTAACGCGTCTCAGATTAGCTGTTTGCAAACAAGCACTCAATTTCGATATCGGTGATGAGGCCTGCCACGCTAGTCGACGTAATTGGGAAGCTCTCCGAAGCATTAACCGTGCATCTGTTGGAAGCTCCAGTTCCCATGGAGGAGCACATCAAGGGTCAATAGGTAGAGGAACTAGTAGGGAAATGCTTCGACAGGACCCGTTAGCCTATTGCGCAGATCACAGGGCAATTTGCTTGGCTAGCCCGGAATCTCCGCAAGTGTGCCAGTCATCGTCTCTGCCCTGGGCTCCAGCTTCCTCTTCCACCCCCAAATGAGTCTCCGACTTCGGAGCTTTGACCGCATCGCCCATAGCCTTCTGCATCTGAGGCGGTTCTACCCACCCCAACAAGAAGCCCAGTGTTGATGACTTCATGCTCTATCCGAGGACCCGTCTCGATAACTCTTTGTATGCTGTGGCTTGTCTGATTGGGGCCCACCGCGCAGCGGTCACAGCATCGCAACTATAAGCGAGGAGTCATACCTAGGGACCCAGACTTTGTCTTTGGCCAATCGGGGGGGGACGAGCTTTCTCCGGCGAAGATTAGACGTGAGTGGTCTGAGAATAATACATCGCAACTGAGCATTGGCGGCGAGGCATGGTGTCATGGCAAATTGTTTGGTCGGCAATGCTGTATACGAGACAGACAGAGGTCGAAGCGCATGTTCCATCTGACTCAACATCAGCCATTCCTCCACTCGGCTGTCTAAACGAATAACGAAAGTTTGAACTAGTGTCTATTTCCAAAGCCAGGCTTGGAAAGTACCATATTGTGACTCGCGGGCATGATACGCATAATAGACCAATTGCCCCACCATCTACCACATGGCCGGAGGGGCGTTCGACCAGGATATCGACCTAACAAGTTGGCTTCAAAACTTCGACTACCGTATAGGAGTTGAAATTCTGTCCATCGCGACATGAGTATATGTCCCTCTCTTTCAGAAGGAGAATTGCCGCTGAAGACAGCATCCATTGCACTGACTCTGGCGTCTGCTGTCATGGGCGGGAGCGGGACGAGTAATTTAGTAGTAGTAGTAGACCGTCAGCCAGGCTTAGCAGGCGAAAGAGTCAAGAGGTGCAAGAGCAAGAGGTATGGCAAAGAGGACCAGAGGACCCGTCAGAAAGGAGAAGCCAGCAGTCACCGAATGAGAATGAAGGGCGTGATTTCTATGTTGGCATAGAATCTGCGATAAGAGAATAAAGAGAGAAGGTGACGTTAACTAAGCGGCCCGGAAGAAGGCACTAGTAACTAACCGTGGACTGCTGCTCCAACCTAAGAGGGGAAAAGACCACGAAGGGCGGGAGAAACACAACAAACAACAAACAACAAACAACAAACAACAACTTCTTATTGTTTGTTGTCACTCACCTTCTAAGGATGTCTACATACGACTATATAACGATGTCTTGGTACTTAATAACTGACTATACACAATCATGGAAGCAATTCCTGAAGGATTACAATCAATGAATGCATTTCATCTTTCATCTTGAATTAAAGGGGAGAAACAAGGCCCGGAGGGAAGTCCAGAACTAGATCGAACCATCATCGCCAAACCATCCACTCCATCCACTCCTCCCATGGTAGCGTCACATCGCCTCAGGCTGCCCGCCGATGGTCGCATTTTGCTTTCACCCCCCATTTCATCCACAACGGCTCACTGGCGGCTCTGAAGGCTAATACGTACTCTCTTTCCTTTTTTCCCCCTTCTCCCTTCCCTCTTCTTCCAACTTTGCCCGTTTCCTTTTCTTTCCTTCTCCTCCGTGTCCCTCTTTCTGCCTACTGGACTGACTACCTTAGTCTTCTTGGGGTGGGGAACGGCAATGATTTCTTCTCACGCACTGGCTGGTCCTGTTCCTCTCTATTGTAATGATCATAATACTTAATTGAAAACTATTTCCACCTTGAGTTCCTCCGATATTGTTCACATATCTTGCTCAAGGTACCTACCACATTTGTGCTCTACCAATTGTAACAGTATGTCTTTGACCCTTCAGTCCCCCCTCCCCCCCTCCCCCCTTCTTACAGTCCACTCCTGCCAGACTCCCTGCATCACGATCGTCACTGTCGCATCCTTCTTGCCCGGCAGAATATCTGTCTATCTGTCTTTCCTCGTTTCGTCATGCAGCCATACCACTGCAGTTGATAACCGCTGGCACTCAGTCTGTGCGTTGACTGTAACCTCGGGGACTGACCGTCGCTCTCATCACAGTCTAGAGCCAACTGCAAGTTAACGTTCTCCCTTGAGGACCTATCGTTCCCAGAAACTACAATTACAGCGGAGAGTTCCCCCGGGCTAGGGCTTACATCTTGGATTCCTTCAGCATTCAACAGGATCGCGTACGACGGCGCTCACCAGGACTTAATCCCCCCATTCCTGTTCCCCCACATCCCGTCCTACCTGGAAAACATTCCACGAGGACAAGCAGATAAACACCATACCTGAACCCTTCCTTCCGCCAACTTACCGCTCTGTCGCACAAGTTCACCCTTCATCGAAACAACTGCTACCCGCCAGTCACACGCGCCGGTAGCTTGCCTCTCCTACCGCTCTTCTCGGCGCGGATCCCTCCAAAACATGACCTCGATGAGTTCGACAGAGGTGGACAAGAGCAAGGATGAAGACCACGAAAACACACACGAGGACCCTCTTGAGGAAGAGGAGGAGGAGGAAGGCGCTGATGTGGATCCCTCTCACCAGGAATACCTAGAACGCCAGCGCAGACTGGATGAGTTTCTGTCACCGCTGATCTTGGACGAAGCCGTTCTGTATCAGCTTGCGCGTCGCTTTTCTACCATTTATAGAGACTTGGCCTTGCATTCCAAAGAACAGTTTCTTCCGACGCCGGTGACCCGTCTACCCACCGGTCTCGAGACGGGTCGATACCTAGCCATCGATGTCGGTGGAACCAATCTCCGGGTTGCCTTCATCGAATTGCTTGGCGAGGCAGCCGAGTCCGATACACCGCCGGGCGATGCGTCGGCGAGATCCAGGGACACCTTGCGAAAAGCACAGAGGCAGCGCGTCAAGCGGACTCTCGAAAGAGCATGGCCCATCCAAGAGCATCTGAAAATGGACAAGGCGGAGGATCTATTTTCGTGGATTGGCGACTGCATCGCGGAAGTCGTGGCTGAGAACCTGACCTCGGAGAGCACTCGGGGCGAAATCCCCGAGGAATTGGAGATGGGCATCACATTCAGTTTTCCCATCATGTGAGTGCCGCCTTAGAGAGCTGGCAGGATTTGTCCTGTCTTACTGACGAGACGTAGGCAAGAGTCTCTCACCGAGGCAACCTTGATGCCGATGGGCAAAGGATTCGCCATCACATCGGACCTCGATCTCCGCAAGATCCTACTTAGTGGCTACGAGAAACACACCAGACGCCTGGACGATGAATGTGAGCCATCGAGCAAACGCCGGAAGCTCTTCAATCTCCCCAAGTTGAAGATTGCTGCGATTACCAATGACACCGTGGCCACTATTGCTTCGCTTGCCTACTCTGTCAAGTCACTGCCCAACAGCAGGGTTGCGATGGGTATCATTGTGGGGACGGGGTGCAATGCAACCATTCCGATGAATCTTAACTCGCTCCACAGCTCCAAAGCGAAACAGGTGCGACAAAAAGACCCCGAGGCGCAAGAAACCGTGGTAAACACCGAATGGACGATTTCCGGTGCCGCTCCACCGTTGAAAGAGCTCAGCATAATCACTCACTGGGACGTCGAGCTTGACCAGGCATGTGCCCGCCCGGGATTCCAACCCTTCGAGTATATGACAGGCGGCCGATACATCGGAGAACTCATTCGGCTTATTCTCTGCGATTATTTCACGAAACAAGGTGGTTTGTCTAGGAAGGATCTACCCGCGCCTCTTAGCAAAGAGTATGCATTGACTACTTCGTTCATATCCAACAAAGTTGCCCGCTCCCGGTCCGACCAGGAACTGGCGAGTGAGCTGGCTCGTTGTATGCCGCCTCCGGAAACTAGCGAGTGGAACTGGGACGCATCGGCGGCAAACGCCTTCCGCAAGATAGCCAGGACTGTGCAACGGCGCTCAGCAGGATTGATCGCGGCAGCCGTTGTGGGACTCCTTGCTTGCGCGCACGAGATTGAGCTGAAGGTCGACAGTCCCGACGGCTCACCGACAACTGAAAATCATGTCGCGCTGGATTTATCCGCCGTATCGGAGAATCTTTCTCCTGTATTGGATTCGGAGGGATCGGGTGCCAGTGGGTCCAGGAGCAATCACAGTCCCATTGTCCCGGTGTTGTCCCCCACACCCGTTCCCGCAGACTGGCAGTCCGGGCCCGAGGAACTCGTTGTCGCATACACAGGTGGGATTATCCAACATTACCCTAACTTCAAGGAGATGTGTCAACAGTACATTGACCGACTCATTATGAGGACGGGTCCGCAGAAGAGTGGCAAGTCGGTGTTCTTGCGAGAGGCGTCCGATGGGGGTGTCATTGGCGCAGGTGTTTTGGCAGGCATGATTGGGAACATGTAGAATGCTGGAAATAAATCGTCCCGACTATGTGTAGACAGACAGCTTGGCTTTGGGCTTGAACCTGGACCTGCGATCGTAGGCTCCAAATACCGATATTGTGGAGGGCATACTATTGGTATATGCGTAAGGCGTTCCAAGGTGGCAACATATTCCTCTCGATATTTGATCAGATTATATTTCATGCTATACTGGGATACTAGGATACAAATGGTTGACAGAATGTGTTTTGATTACCACGAGTAAGGTATCTCGTAAAATCGTTATCACGTCGTTTCAGGGAAGCCAGAGGGCCAAGAAGATAGATATGTTAGCCCTGATCAAAGAGCATCCTCGCTTGCAGTCTAGTGCTCAGACGCAGGCCTGAACAGAATACGAATCAGAAGAGCAGGATGTTGGACCCCTTTCTTCTCAGATATACCGGAACATGTTGTTCCGCACGCTGCGCTTCATGGCCGTGGGCTTGCCATCCTCATATTCGATCCCGGACGCACCCCCGTCCCCGGACATCTGCTCGAGGCGTTCCCGGAGTTCTTGGTCCGCCTGCGAGACGCTTTTCGTTTTGGACGGAGTGGATGTCTTCTGCGCCGATGTGTTTTCGTTTGTTTGTGTCTTGGATGTAGATTTATCTGAAGAATTTTAGAGAAGAAGCCCTCTTACACAGCTGCTCGAGTGGGATTTTACTGACCCTTGGTATTATCTGCTAGTCTATTTGCGGTCGAGGAGATATACATTTTGCCAGATGGAATGTGTGCAAAGAGGAAACGCTGAGAGGAGGTCTGGCCTGCTAGCCTCGAACACCTGCGGGCTAGACACGAGCTGAACATTTTGATGAGAGTCTCAGAAGAAGATAAAGTGACATAAACAATTCCAAGTTGTCACCCACCCTTGACCATCGCAAAATAAACCCATTTATCGCATTGATGTAATGGGAGAGCAACACATTACGTCACATGACCCTAGCCCATCACAGACATCACGTGAAGATACCTCTCAGTTGACAAACCCACTGATTACCACCACCGCATCCTCACCTCCAATCCACCGATCCCCACCGCACCGCCTCACTCACCTCCAAGCCAAACAGACCAGAGCAGCAGGCCCCAAGATGAGCGCCCAAGCATACTACGAGCTCTACCGCGGGAGCAGGTACGTTCCTCTGCAGAACCTTGAAAATCCCACAGACACAAAACTAACCCGGGATAACACCAGCATCGGCCTCTCCCTCACGGACACCCTAGATGACCTGATCAACGAAGGCCGCATCGAGCCCCAGCTCGCCATGAAGATTCTGTCCACGTTTGATCGCATCGTGACGGAGGTGTTGGCGGATAAAGTGCGCGCGCGGTTGAACTTTAAGGTACCTCACTTTACTTTTTTGTCTACCTACCTACCTGTCCACTGGCTGGCTGGCTGCCTAGCGCTTGCTCTCGTTTGCGAGCTTGCACAGAGCAATATCTTTCTGGGCCGGCGCAGAGCCTAAGCACCATGTATTCCAGATCTGAAACTAACGATGCGACCACCGAAAAATACAGGGCCACCTCGATACATACCGATTCTGCGACGAAGTCTGGACGTTCCTGATCAAGGACGTGACCTTCAAGTTGGATAATCAGACTACCGTGTCGGCCGATAAGGTTAAGATCGTGAGCTGTAATAGCAAGAGGCCTGGGGAGGTTTGAATGATGCTCCGGGGACCTGAGCCCACTGGGGTGGCAGGGAGAAGAGAAAGGGATACTGGTTACGGGACTTTACGTTCGCTTCGGTCTGCGCTTATGGCGTTCTTCTGCTTATGCGTGCGACAAGACTGACCTAGAGGTTTTTGTCTCTGGGTTGTTTTTCTGTTTAAATGGGTTCGGGCGTTACTGGAGGGATGGAGGTTTGCGTGCATATCTTTTAAGAGAGGGTCACCGCTGAGAAATTCCTTGCTTTATGTGCATGGAGTGTATTTAGATTTATTTGCTTATGGAAATGTGATACCCGACGTTGAAAGTATACTATCTCGGTGAAGTAAATGAGAAGTGCGAATGACAGTGACAGCGCTCGGCCGGCCGGGCTCAAGTCAACGGTAGGGTGGAGCAAGTCCGAGAAGGGTTATATAGGCAGGACTTAATCTACGAGGGCGGCGCCGGGTATCTAATCTACGATTGAGTACTCCGTACCTCTCCACGCGTCTCCGTCGCAGTCAACCCAACTCAACTCACCTCTACTATACTCAACAAAACAATGTCCATCCCTATAACTCTCTAAAAAAAACCCACCCAAGGACAATGCCCCGCAACCTCCCCTGGCTCCTCGAGACCACCTCAACCAAAAACTCCCCTTCATCTCGAGACACCACCCCGCCCGCACGACCACGCTCACGCCGCGCGACAGCATCCACGAAACAAAATGCGCCCACCCCCGGACCAAGTTCCAACTCGCGACCCCGCCACCGAGACTTCCTGAGATCCTGTACGCCTCCTTCTACCTTCCACCATCTCTATCTACCTTCTTTGAACCCAGAAGTAACTAATGAACGGAACAGCACCAACACCGCCCTCCTCCCCAATCCACCGCTGTCCATCGGAAGAGCAAGTTTAACCCCACCTTCTCCCCCACACCCACTAATGTACTCATGCTAACAGCGCAAAGATACATACTCCCAAGCGACGAAATCTACATGATGGTCGAAGACGAATTCTACGCCGTCGCACAGACCTTCACGCAGCATCTGCATTACGCTGAATACGTGCGCCGGAAGAAGGAGGTGAAGGCGTTGAAGCAGTTACAACAATTTCAGAAGGATGGACCGCTGCGGCCGACGGATGGGGTTACGGTGTTGAGTGAGGAGCAGAAGAGGGTTCAGGCGCGGGGGGCGTTAGAAGCTAAGCAAAGGGTTGGGCTTGAGAGGTTGGGGGGTGGTGGGAGGCCGGTTGTTGATAGTGATGATGATACAGGAGACGATGTGGGGGATAATCTGGGGCAGGAGGAGGAAGAGGATGAGACTTGGGCGGGCACTTCGTTGCATGAGTTGATGGTTAGTCCTCGGAAGGTGCGCTCGTTGGTTGGGATGCAGGGGATTCGGTCTTCGACGAGGGCGGCGGCTGGGTTTGCGGTGGCGGGGACGGGGAGAGATATCGGGGATGGTGAATATGATGAAGAAACCGCATCTGATGACGACGATGACCTGGACGCGCATGTGAAACTGGAGACAACACCCACGGCGCAAAGGCGCTCACACATGTTACGCTCGACAAGCTCGGATTCGAAGACGTCAGACACCAAAACTACAACTCCCAGGGCCGAAAACGCGCGATCTATGAATACTACCAGTACAGCTACAGCTACATATCGTACACCAACTCCTTCTTCCATTAATGCCAAGAGGAGATTATTCTTTGACGACTGGGACCAGCTGCCAGAGCCGCCCGAGTCGACCGTCCAGGGACAATCCCGCCTGTCGTCGTCGTCCAGTGAAACTCCACCGCCGATCCCCCGCGCCAGTGATCCCAAGGCAAAGAAATCGCGTCTCAACGAAGTGCCAACCTTCCTTCTTTAAAGCTGTCGGTTCCCAAGTGGCGTGCGAACATTGCGTGCGAGCCTACACGCTGTGTGTGCGGCGTGACAAGGTGGTTGACACCGGGATTTTTGGTTTGTGTCGCCGTCGCCGTCATCGTCGTCGTTGTCTTTCTGGAGTAGTATGCTTCTCATTCCTCTTCGGAGGGCAGTGGCTTCGCGGCGGCCCGAACACTCAACTTGCGGACATGAGTCTTGATCTTGTCCCGGGTGGACGGTTGACGTTCGGTGGCCGTGATGGCGATGTCCTTCTCCTTCTCGAAAGTCGATCCACGACTGTGTAGTGTGGCGGCACTAGAAAGCGCGTTAGATAAATGAGGGTGCGGTGCAGCTGAGAAATGGCAATCGCCTTACTCGTCATCCGGGAAAAACGAAGGCATCTCCTCCTTTCGGAAATCGGTAGGGGGTCCCTGCATTTCTTTATTAGCATTTGACTCGGGCATATCGGCAACATGCAAAGAATTCTCGACTCACGATCTCCAGCACCCGCTGCTGCGGCTTTTCGCGCTTGAACGGTGCCTTAACCAGTCGAACTAGCTGCCGGAAACACTCCATGGTTCTTGTTTCTTTGGTGGTGTTATGTGGGTTGTTTCTTGGTGTTGTGAGGTGAAAACGAGAGTGGGTGATGCAAAAGTCGAAGTATTGCAAATCAGTGGGATTTCAAACGAATGTCGGGGTCGGTATACAACGAGGTAAGAACCGAGCAAGCGATAGTGGTGATTGATGACGATCGGTGATGCTGATAATTAAGAGGCGATAGTTTCCAAATCCAGTATCCTCGCGGACAATCCCAGCGATCCGGTGAAGCGAGCGAAATGCTTTTAGATTGTCTAAAAACAGGGGAGGGAAGACAGCAGTCTTTCTATTCAAATGAGGGGCGAAGGCTATGCAGTGATGCAGCGATCCAAGTAACCGAAAGAAACACCGAAACAAGAAACACGGAGAAAGAAAAGACTTCTGAACGAGGGACAGGCGGCTCCGAAAAAGAAAGAAGGAAAAGAAAAAGGCTTGCTCTATGACATTGGGCGGGGATTGAGAAAGAAAAGAAGAAGAAAGAGAGATCTCTTTCGCGAATCGAGATGAAGCGGCCAGTGGGGGGGGAGGATAATATATTCAGAAATGAAATCAATTCGCCCTGGAATTTTCAGGGAGAAAGAGAGAGCGAAAAGAGATCAGGGCCTGCAGCAACGGTAGGTTATTTGCTTTTTTTTTTTACTTTTTAGGAGCCAAATAAATTGCTAATATTTCCTCTGTCTCCCCCCGGTCGGTCCTCCTTTCTGAGTCGCTCTCCCTCTTTCCGCCCGTGTAAAATGTAAGAATCCAAATAATGCAGGTCTTCTTCTTTGGGAAGATCGGCAAAAAAAGGAAAGGAAAGGGAATTTCCTATCGCATGACCCAAAAGAAAGACCAGAATCCCCGTTGTGACAGCTTTAGTTGTGTCTAATCTAGGATGATGTTTTTTTGGTTGGTTTATTCGGGGAAGAGGGGAGGGAGGAGAGAGTATGTGACACATTCAATTTATCCTCCCTTTTCCTTTTCCCTTTCTCTTTTCCGTCCCTATTCACCACCCCCCATTGTTCTTCCTCTTTCTTGTCTCTCTCTTTCTCCCCTGGCTGCTTACTCTTCTCCCCCGCCGGCCCCCAGGGTCCAGAAGCGGGTTTTCCCAACCAAGATGACGACAGTTTTTATCGTCAACTCGCCAAATATGTTCCGGCCCCCCCCCATCTTCCCACCTCCCTTCCTCCGGGCTCCGTTTCCTGCCCCCTTCCTTTCCAATTGGGGGCGCCGATGCGCTGCGCTGCACTGCAATGCATTGGCGGGCGGGCTGGCGCGCACCCGCGGCTAGATCTGGTTTGTGGTTTGTGGTTACCGCGAACGGTGGAGCAGACAGACATAGGTGTCATTTCTATGTTTATCGCTCGTTGAGATCATACTACATGTACAGTTAAGTACTATACGTAATCTGAGTAACAACAACCAAGTCAAGCTGAGGTGGCGCAGATGTTACATACATTGGATGTCTAATTCGAGGAAGTCCTCGCCCCGTCATCATTCGGTGAGTGTGCCTGTCGATCTTCCTAATTTGGCAGTTTGAAATATGCGATAAATGATGAATGAATGAATGAATGCTTGGGGGAGTGGAGGGGAGAATCCCTTATTTCCTCATTTTCCTTTAAAAATGTGACTAAGGACCACATACATACTTGGGCGCGTCTTCTGAATTTTCCCTCCTACCCTTGACAATGACAATTGCCAGCCTACCTAGCCTAGAAGGAAGAAGTAGTTAGTATCTAGACAAAGTAGGCCGGACGACGACTCACCATTCCATCGATCACCCCAACCATATTTACCCCATGCGGTGAGTGAGTGAGTGGTCCCTTCCGATCCCGATCATCGAGCCCCAATCGAACCAAACCAAACCAAACCAAACCATACAAAGCAATAATAACTAGTCATCCCTCCCTTTCTCCCGTCGCTTTTGTCTTTAGTGGCAAACCCAAAACAAGAATAGGCATTATGATGTCGGTCGGTTTTGGGGGTGAACTTCTTGAAGATCGGATCTCCATCCATCTCTCTCCGCATTTAGAGACGCCATCCTTACACTCAGTAATCATTACGCAAATGAGGGTTGCATTCCTGTTCCTGAGTCGGATTTATCGTTGTCGTCGCGTTGTGTTGTGTATATAAGTATAGAGTCCCACCGCCGCTACAATTTCATCTCCGACCTGCTTGCTTTGCTGGAGAGGGACGACGCTTGACTGAATATATAAAGAACCCTACTACCGTACTACATAGCCCTCAAGTATTTGTAGATATTGCGAACGACCAGGATTCTCAGTACAAGGAACCTTATCAGTAGAAGCTGCACACTGCCGGGATCCCAGATATAAACAGACAGACAGTCTAGGGCGGCAAAATATTCCGCTGAAGGAAGTGTCACACCGCCCAATTCCACCATCATTTCCCACACTTTGTTTTCTATTCATTCCATTCCCCATCCCAAAAGAGAACCGACCAGATCCAAGGTCCGAGTCCATCCCTCAGCACAATATGGTCCAGGAATCCGAGCATGGCGAGACAATACTGCACTCACTATATGACCGTCAGGTCATCCGGGTAGGAGCACACCTCGTGAAGAAATCAGGCCCGAACCTCCGGTCCCACGAAGCACCGACGCTCCGTTTCATCGCAGAGAAGACGACCATCCCGGTACCCAAGGTGCACGAGACCCACCGGGAGGAAGCCGACGGCGGTCGCGTCACAGCCATCATCATGGACTACATGCCCGGCCAGCGGCTGGACGAGGCGTGGGCGACCTTCGACCACAAGCAGAAACTCTCCATCGCGCGGCAACTGCAGGGCTACGTGGCCCAACTGCGCCAGTTGAAAGGCACATACATTGGCGCCGTGGATCACGGCCAGGCCTTCATTGGCCTGCGGGCAACCATCGCCGGCGGGCCATTTGATTCCGAGGCGCAGTTCAATGATTTCATTTTAAGGGATCTGGTGAAATTACCGGATCTGCTGCAGCACTACGCCAACCATGCGCTCATGGATACGCACGAGATTGTCTTTACTCATGGGGATCTCGCCCCGCGGAATATTCTCGTCCAAGGAGATCGCGTCACTGCTATCCTCGACTGGGAGGACGCTGGCTGGTACCCGGAATATTGGGAATATGTCAAGGCCATGCAACACTTGAAGCCCATGCCCGACTGGCCCGAATACCTGTCTGTCATTCTTCCGCCGCGATACGAGAAAGAGTACTTAGGAATGGCCTTTCTGGCGCGTCTACGACGCCACTAGTTGTCCCAACGATGAATTCCTTATAGAAAATATACCAGGTACAGTGATCGAACGAAACCAACAGTCATCGAACCACAAGTGCATTGGTACCCTTTTGCTCTTCGATCCATATTGTCCGGATGCCTTTGCAGTCTGAGAACAAGGGACACTTGTCTGGTCATCAGTGAGGGGTTCGCTCGCAGTGCAATTGATCTTGGAAACCGAATTCATCCGGTGTCAGTAAACAAATATCCCTGGTGAGGAAGGCAATCAACTAAACCAACTCGCTAACATACCGTGCAATGTTGTCGAGCCTGCCACCGACCGAATGCATCACTCATCTCCCGCCTCCAAGCACGCATCCGTCATCTTATCAATCGCCGACTCTCGCTGGGAGACACTCAGGTACCCATCGGTCACCATCCGGGCAAGAGCGTCTCCGACCCAATTCTGACAGTTCCAATCCGCATCCCCTGGACCGTTCCTCACCGGGGTTCTGGAAATAACGCCCCGGATAGAGGCTTCGCTGATTGAATCTGGTAGCTCCGCCACTGGTATGGATGACGCAAGCTGTCGGCTCTGATCGGGCCTGTAGTTGTCATATGTCTCGAAGGTGAAAATGCCTGCTGCTCCGGTTACATGCATCAACGACTTTGTATCACTTGGAAATTCGAAGAACAGCCCCGTGTGGCGGTATTTGGTGTAGTCAAGCGGGTCGCCGATATCAACAAGAATAGAAACCTTGGTCGGCATTCCGATGAGAAGGACCGATCAAGGCGAAATCTGATGCCAAAGATCTTGGTTCTGGGAGGAGGTGGCTGGGACTCTCTTTTGTGAAGAGCATGGACAATCGTTCGTTTTCTTGTCGTTGTTTGAATTGCCCCGGAATCCAGATATCATTTATATAGGCCAAGGGACGACAGGAGAGGGAGGGGCGCCGTCTAGTCCCAATATCCCATGTCTCTGTTTCAGGGAGGGTTGATTCGTTGATTGTGACTAACAGATCATTTGCGCTGGTGGTCTATGTTAAATGATTGGAAGACCAAGGACTAACGATCTATCTATCTATCTATCGACCGAAGCGCGCGCGAGAGGCCTCATGCATGATCATGGACGACCATTCATCTCCCTCTTTTTTCCCCCATCCCCGGCCTCCTTCTCCTCTATTTTTAGAAGGTATTGGGTGTAGTGTTTGTGGTTTGTTCATTACAAAACTACATTGTAAGCGTCCAATGGATGCGCTAAGTAAGTGTTGTTGTTACTGATTTGCATTGTTCCGCTGGCCCACGGCGACCTCTCAGCTTCAATTCTCACACTGCTCTCTCTTCCTTAAAAAAAAAAAAAGAGGCCCGGGGGTGGGTTTCTGGTATGTAGGTACTAGCCCTCTGGCGCCCCCGAAAATGTTTCTGCACGCACGCGAGGAAACTCAGGCGGGGCGCCCATTCAAACATGCCCCGCCCGGCAATAGTCGCGTGAGTACAGTAAAGTCAGGAAGGAAACCCAACTCCAAGTACTACTACGTACGGACCTCAGCTGCGACCAAATCTAGATACTGCCTACAGTGCCCACAGCGAACTGACTGACTCCTTTGCTAGTAACTGAAGCGCCGTGGCCATGACCACGACCACGACCACGACCACGACCACGACCACGACCACGACCACGACCACGACCACGACCACGACCACGACCACGACCACGACCATGACCATCCATGTTCAAGAAATGTCACTTTCCGATATAAAACTAACGGAACCAACCTTAGTTACCCAATCTAGATACCCAGGCAGGACACTCGAAAGCGTTTGAAAACTTCACTGGATCAAACCAGAACTCCGTCCCAGTCTCCGTAATACTGCGCATAGAACATATGTCAGAGTATTGAGTATCTCAGAAAGAAAAGTCTACTTCCATTTCCATCGGCGATAAGTAAGTTACGTGCCGGGATAGGATGGATGGAGTCATTATTGCCATATATAACATCCTTGTTCATTCTAGCAAAAATAGGTTAAGCCATTGACTATTGACTGGGTTTCCAGAGCTACAGTCCACACCACAAGGACTGGGTATTTTCACTGTTTATTTAGGGAAGACTTTCCGTGTGTCTACGCTATGAAATATAGGTTGGAAATTTGATAGACTCGCACCGTGGTTGCATGTTTGTGTGTTAGTTGGATGGAAGAAGTCTCGGGTGCCAGAGCTGAAGAATCATCCATACGCATCTATCTACCATCTCTTCTACATGGACCAAGAGACTTCATGTCCACCTCAGTTCCCAACTCAAGGTAAAAGATCCTACAACTACCGTCAACAAGAGAGGGAGCAAGACGAACATACAGCTACAAACCCCGACAACAAACACAGAAACTTAATCGCTACAATCATATTTCAAACTCCATAAAGAAAGTGCATTCAATTCACCTAACCATAAAAATACTTCCTACACCACACCATTCCCATCAGACATCCCGGACCAACCGCGCCCCAGCCCAAGGGTAAGGATAATTCCGCTGGTACCAGTTCACACTACACACAAGTCAGTCAACACCAAGCCCATAGCCTCTCAAGCTGGAAACACAATCAAACTTACAAGGTTGTCCTTCCCGCAATCCTTGGGTGAGTAGCCCAGGAACCTCCCAGGATAACATTATGCTTGCCATCGAAGAAGTCGGCTAGAAGTGATAGCCACATGTCAGAGAACCAGACAGACAAACCCAAGTAAAGGAAAACTCACAAGTGTACCCGGGGTAGATCGTCATCGCCTCGAACCCCTCATGCGGCGCTAGCGTCGTGCTCGTCCATTCCCACACGCCGCCCAGCTCCCCATGCCCGGCCAGTCGGTCACCGTGGTGGATGACCGGGGTCGGGTGCCAGTGTTTGAACCCGACATTGCAGTCGTCGAGGTCCATATACACCGGCTGGGAGACACGCGAAGGCTGGGATACTGGTTGGTGGTCCGGGGTGCGAGGCTTCGAAGGATTGCTGAGTTGCTTGGTGGGGAAGCCGTTTCCGTTCACGCCGTTGGTCTCGCTGTGACATTTGTTAACTTCTAATAACATACAAGAAGGGGGCAGAACTGACCTATGGCCGTTGGGCAGCATGTCATGCTGGGTCCCGTTCACTCGCGCCGCATGGGCATAGATGCTCTTCACTTCCTCGAAGGTGGGGATCCGACAGTCCATCCACGCGGCATACCGCGCCAGCTCATCATAGGACGCAATCACCGGCCAGTCCTGCGCATATTCCAGCGGCACGGATCCGAACACGGTGCGCACAGCGAAGTTCGCCAGATACTCCTTCGTCGCGTGGCCGTTGCTTTGTCCGTCCTGCAGAACACCATTCCCCTCAGGACGAGTCCAGACCCACGACTCGGGTTTCTGTTCCAAATGATTTGCCTGCAGGTATCTCGCATACTCACCGTTCGTGATAGGTCGGCCCTGCGCCTGGAAGGCCTTGACGGTGACCGTTCGCTCCGGCTTCTCGTTGTCCCATGCGTAGGAGACGCTAGGCACCGACTTCCCGTCATCGTCCAGACCGACAGATAGCGTCTGCTCCGGGACGCTGAACCAGTCATTCGGCTTCTCCTGGTCTCGGGCGTCGCGGAACAGCTTCTCGAAGTCCGGCTTGGAGACCGCAGGCGGCGGGTTGATCCTCTCACTGTGGATGAGCATGTAGAGGAACGTCTCCAGGTGCATGGCTTCATGCTCGAAGCCGATCCAGAGGGCTTCGCCAAGAGTGCGATCCTGGGTCAGATCGTGTTTCTGGTAGATCGACCGCACTCGACTGCGAACTCGTTCCTGGTAATCCAGAATCTCGTCGACGGCGGGCCATTCATCGGGGATCTCGCTGTGCGAATGGCACTTTTCAGGGTCATCCACATCGGGATCAATCCCGCGTTCAAAGATCACTTGGTACGACTTGGGCTGAGTCGGCTCGTCACCCAAAGCCCGAGTGAGATGGATGTCTGGTAAAGATTTAGCAAACTGGAAAATAGTCTCCATGCGCAAACACGCCTCACCTAGAAATGTAGGAATGTGTCCAAAATAGAAGATCAAGGCATTACGCAGCTTGATCGGCTTGGATAGCAGCTCTTCGCGAGGCACCATCGACCTGGTGACGATGTCCCAAGCCGTCCAAAGTTTCTGAAACTCCTCGTAGGTCGGAACCGCACCGGCCGCATACTGCGAGGGTTTTGTCGGATAGTTCAGAACCGCCGAAGACAAGACATGAAGATCTGTACCCACCACTTCGAGTCAGCTAAATCAGTTCACAAGCAGCACGCGCGTGCGCAACAGCTGCCAAAAGAAAAGAAGAACGTACGGTACTCCCCAGCCTCATTTCCATACTCCACCTTATGGATCAGCCCAGCATCATGCCACAACTGTTCGCGCTGCCTAACATCATACTTGTACGCCTCTTCGAAGATCAGCTTCTCCCCGGCCCTGAGGAACGTGCCCAGGATCTCCACATCGCGCTTGGGCGCATAGAACGCCCGATGCGTCCCCTCCGCCACGTTGTAATCCGTGACCACGTCCCAGTCCTCCGGCTTGAACGCCTCGAAGCCCAGTACGGCGTTCGCATGCACCAGCCCGTTCTCGTAGAACCGCCGCGTTACGCCCTTGGAGTCATTGTACGCACGGAATACCTTGTCCGGGTCATTGCAGGCGTCCAGCCCAATGATCATCAGGTCGTCCGGGCCCAGCAGCCGAGCGAATTGTCCGAGGAATCCCGCCGCGGCAGACCGGTCGAAGTTCCCGATGGACGAGCCCATCGACATGATCACCGTCGGCAGTTTTCGATTTTCGGGGTGGCCCAGCCACGTCACCGCGTCATCGTACGTTCCGTGCAGGCCGTGGAATTCGACGTGCGTAAAATCATCGATGGAGATCTCGGAGAAGGTGCGCTGCAGCTCAGACAGCGACAGGTCCAGCGCATAGTAGTCGACATGTTTGCCGACGGCCTCGAACTCGCGGAGCAGGATCTCGACCTTGCGGAGATTTCTGGACGAGACAAATGGCTCAGTTTTTAGCTTGACTCCTCCCGGATACATGGGGGGTAAACAAAAGGAAGAGGCTTACCCGCTGCCTAGTTCCAGTAGTTGCGAATTGTCCGGAATGCGCGCCACGATTCTCTGGGCATGGGTGCGCAGCACCTCGATCTCAGCGTTGGTCAGATAGTACTCGTCCAGGTAGGTGATCTCCTCGAAGAGCTTCAGGCCCTGGTCATTGTATAGCAGCATGGTGGGCATTGAGCGGCTGGTGTTGGTGGTGCCAGCGGGAGGAGCAATACCTCGCTGGATCTCGTTGGCCAGGGAGAAGTGCACATCATTTTGATGGATGGCCACGATGTCGACACTCTTTGTCGGACATGTTAACGGAGACATGGTTAAGTTTGAGTGGCTGGAAGTCTATGTTAAGATATACCACGGTCTTTTTGAGGAGTTTAAAAGGAAAACAAGGTTCCAGAGGATAAGGATGTCTCCATTCAAACACAACACCCTAAAGATATGTAGGACTAGCCAAAAGGCACACTCTATATTAGGTATGGGAGAACAAGAAAGAGCAGAGGAGGGAGCACGGAAGAGAAAAAGAAAAAGACCACGAGGTGTCGTGCCTAGGAATGTAGTATAAATGTGTATGTACGTCGGTAGAATTAGGAGTGCGAAGAAGAAAGAGGGGTAAGTAAAATGAGGAGGAGGGGTGAGATGCAGGTCAGTCCGTCAAATCAGTCGGTCCTTGCAGAAAACAGAGACAATCTGAGATGGGGGAGTGTAAATAAATAGAAATAACAGGAAAGAGAAGCCCAGGTGCATAAGTAGTCCGGATGTCTGTGCCTTGTATGGCTTGTATGTTCCTGGACGATTCAGGAAGCCGAGGAGAGCGAGGGAGGGATGCAAACAGCCCACCCCGACAATGCATGGATCTTATCGGTCAGCCATGGATGAGGATACTTTTTCAGGTCTTCAACTACTTTACTTCCATGTCAGTCAGACCACGGCTGGAAGGAGGGGAGGGGAGGAGAGGAGGGGAACTGCAGTGAAGTGATGGGTTTATTTTTACATGGGAACCCCACCATGCAAGGAAGGGAATGAGTTTCTTGGAGGCCACCATGCTTTCTTTTCTGTCTCCGAGCTTCCTCTTTCCCCTCCCCGGTGGGTGGAATGATCCAATGAAGTTTAGTTAAAGGGGAAGGTGACAAATGACGCAGATATGTGGGTGAAGATACCAGCCACTCTGACAATAAAGTTGGTGGAGAGAGAGTGAGAGAGCGAGAGAAGAAAGAGGAAGAGAGCAACAATGAGGGGAAAGAATGAGAAGGTGATGACGTTGTGTTTGCAGTGTTTGACTAGGGTCGTACCGGCCCCACTCCAGAAGTGGAGATCTCCACCGGTTTGTCTCGTTTGGCTGGTTTGTCACTGCCTTTCCTCGTATCTTTCTTAGTAATCCATTCTTTCATTGATCCTCGCCTGACTGAGGGTTCATGGCTCGGCTACCATGGCTGTCATCCCCAATACGACTCAAGCAAGATCTGTGGAATAATTTCCTCGCGTTATTCTGGAGACTGGAAAGAACGATCAACGCGATACGCCAAGGGCATTAACCCAGGATGTGGTGATTACCCCTCATCAGATGATCATCAGCGATCTACCCGTGGACCTGAGGACCAGGAAAGCTGAGTGCAGTCGATAAGATTAGGGCTACAGCAACCCAGCGATCTCAACATCCTTGCTGCAGTCTGATTGCTTGTACAGTTCAAGACTTCAAGTATCTATGTTATATGTCATTCTAGACAAAGACACCCCGGGTGCCGAGTAACCTGTAAATCGCGACATTACGCCTTGATGTTCTGGACAGTACAAAGTGATGCTGCTAAGGGTTGAACGTCCCCCAAAGGAAAGAGGGGAGGGAGACGGACATGCCTCACGCAACACAGACAACAATCTCTTTGTCCAAGGGGCTTTGTCAACAGCGAGCGAGCACCTAGCATGAAAGAACTCACAATGCATCCAGCTCATGGGCCACGAACTATATAACCCCCTATCCACACCTCTGATGAGCGATCGCCATCCGACCGAATTCCCTGACCCCATACGAAAGATAACCGAAAAAAGAGGAATCAAGATGAACGCGCTTCCAGATCTCAAAATCAAAGTCTTCCACCAGTTCGCAGACGAAGAGAAACCAGACACGCCGTATCGCATCGAAGGCGGGGAAGGCGACTCCGACAGCGAGCTCTCGTCCAAATCATCCTCAGCACCAGCATCGGAGAGCGGGGACGCCGCCGCCGCCGCCGCCGCCGCCGAGGACGAAGCCGGGTACGCACACTCGGCCATCGCCGAGGATACACCGTGGAGGGACTTTGTGGACGACTACTGGGAGGTGGACGCGGCGCAGTACGACCGACTGTCGACGCCGTCGCCGACGACGGCGCAAGCGGAGGAGGGGGAGGAGGCGTTCGCGCGGCGGATCGAGGACCGCAGGCAGCTGGCGGAGACGCTGCAGCGGGCGGAGAACCGGTCGCCGATCGATCCGCTCCTGAATGAGTTCGACGCGAGCATCGACCGGTACGAGCTGGCGGTCGCGCTCCTGCAGGCGGCCGACTACATCGACGAGGGCCAGGACTACGCGGCCGAGCATTACGTCGAGGAGGCCATGGTGCCGGCTCGGAGGCTCGAGGACGAGACCGCCCTGGCGCGCTGCCTCTACTGGCAGGGCCGCGTCGAGTACCTGCGCGAGAACTACGCGGACGCCCATCGGATCTTCCAGAAGTGTCGCGCCGGGCTGGCCGAGACGCCCGAGGGCGAGACCATTATCCATTACCTGCGGCTGTCTAGGCCGGACCTGACCGCTGAGGATCGACATCGGATCAGCCTACGCGGGCTGGAAGGGGGTGATGATGGGATGTATACGCCCTTGTCGTCGGATCCGGCGAGTCCTGTGTTCATGAAATCCCATGGTCTTCCCACGAACGCGAAGCGGACTTGGGAAGACAGTGCTCGCAGGGAGACCCAGGAGGACATGGCGCAAGAGGCTAACGACGAGCAGCGGGAAATCATTCACCCCAGATCACGCTGGCGGTTCGCCGCTGAAGAGTTCGATCCAGACGGACTTCAACTGCACCGCAGCCAGAAAGTGTTCACGTTCGAGATGTATCCGCAGGGAATGGCGCCCCGGGCTCGACCGACCAAGATCTTTCAGGAGCATCCCAACGAGGTCCTGATGCCGGAGGACGATTGGAAAGAGATCGACGAGTTTATGCAGGACAAGCGTGTCACCATGAATTTCCTGGAAAATGAAGGGCGGAACTACCAAGAAGCGATAAAGAGGAAAAGTCAAGCGGACAGCAAACGCCAAGCTCCTTGCACCGTCATGTAGGACCCGCCTCATCAGCCATAAAAAGAACTATCCTAAAAAAATCATCGAATAATTCAACTTCTTAATCATCAGTGATCCCGCTAAGTCAACATCGAAACCCTGAAAATAGATGCCATTATCAATCAGCACAATGCTTTCAAGCGTAGCATTCCCACATCATATACGCCAAATCACCAGACAGTCAACTCCGTAACATCTAAGCCCCAAGCCCAAGCAGCAACACCCATAGCCCCGACACTCATAATAAGAGCCATCAACACATTGACAGCATTATTATCCAGAATATCGCGCCCGCTCTCGACCCGCCGACTCTCATGATGCCCTTCGTCCGTCTCCCCAGAAGAAGACCCAACGGAGGTCTGAGTGGCTCTGCTCCCTCTCAGCGCCGCCGTATTGGCAACCGTCTCCGTCGCCCGCAGCTGAGCCCCCGAGGCGCTATGCGCCGGGGTCAGCCCGATGGTGTTGGCAGGTACACCGGGTTTCGTCGAAGAAGGGTGAATAAGGACCTGTGCGCTAAGATCAGCACTCCGCCCACCACACACGAACAATCAACAATCAACAAGAACCCCCTTCCTTTCAGCTCCCTGAAATCCATACTCCCTCCACACCAAAACCCCCCAAAAAGAAAGAAAAGAGAGAAATACCTTCTTCCCCCCCGACCCCTCAACAACCTTTCCAGTCCGCTTATCCACAACACTAGCCTGAAACAACCCCCCCAGAACACTATCCAATACACTCCCCAAAGCGCCCCAAGCAGTAACACCCAGGACCCACCCCACGCGACCCCTCAGCGTATCATCCTGCGAGCAAAACGGCAGAAACGCAGCGGACGAGAGCGCGATCGTGAACGCGCCAAACACACCCGCCAGAAGCCCGGTGCCCGTGACACCGCCATTAGTGCCCGGGGGCACGACGCGGAGGGTGGGCGAGGTGATCAGCCGGGGTTTCGATTTGGAGAGGATGCCGAGCTCGGAGGAGAAGGTGTCGGCGGCGACGGCGGCGTAGTTCCTGTGTGCGCCGTGAAAGTGTCGGTTAGCTGGTTTCCTCATTCTGCTAATTGGGGCTGCGTTTCCAATGAGGAATCGGGGCCCTTACGCGACGATACCAATCATCAGCACGTCCGCGACGTCGCGGCCGTTTGAGAAACATCGGCTTGCATTGTGGCTTGGGGTGGACTTCTTCGCAAGGACGTAGGTATGGGCGAGGATGAGCACGGTAGCGACGATGGAGTTGGCGAGAACCTGGACGTGGGTGCGCGGGCCTTCGCCGCCGTCGGAGCCGGTCGCGGAGAGGGTCAGCCGGGATTTGATCTCGTGTTTGACCTGCACGGAGTTGGGGGTTAGTTACGATGGATAAATAGGTTCAAATGTGTGTGGTGATTACTGTACTCACCTTGGTCACTCGAGTACCCCCAAGGTAGAAAACAGCGAGAAGGATAAACGGGGCGGACCATGGATGCAGAGCGTGGGCGGAAGCTGTCAGGCCGGCCGCAACGAGACCGAGGCTGGTGAGCGATTTATGCGACCAGGCCCGGTAGACGAGGCCAGCGATGGCAGGGACAGCGATGATGGCTTTCATCGTGGTGTGCGCATCCAGGTCGGGAATTCCACCTTGTTGGCCTGCAGGGGTGTGTGTGCGTGTGGAGGGAAGCGGAGAAAAGGGCGAGGCTGAAGGAGCTCTTTAAACTTCCCGGGGTTGCTGCCAAGTGACGTACCCACTTTAAAGTATCGTTAAAGTGTCCGATAAGAATTGAAGCTCGAGTCACGATAGACTAGACCCCGAATCGAAGTCCGAGCGTGATTATCGCTGAACAATAAGAACTCATGACAATCAGATTAGTTTTTATTATGAGTCCTCATTAGAGAGAAACCCCGGTGAGAACGAACCCCTTGCTTACACTCTTACCATCTTGTACAACTATGACTATAGGCAGCCGCTGATTCGTATGCTACCTCATTTCCACCTACCAATCCGAGGATGCTCAGCGAATTTGCAACGATTTATCACTGCACCCAGGTAACTCAGATCATCAAACTCATGGCTCATAAGTACTCGTCAATAACATTATATATACGGATTATATATGACAGGTGATGGCTATATCCACTGTAAGGCTTTGACATCATGTACTGTACACAAAGCCAGCCACGGACACCATAAGTGAAGGTATTTACCAGAAATAAGAACTCGGGGATATCAAACAAACAAACAAACAAACAAGAAGAAATCTCTCTCCCTGGAACTCCTTGAGATCAACCCTGGAATTGTGGACGATCTCGCATCACATCACGTCAATCGCTTGCATGGGTATAGTGAGAATATACGACAGTATGCAATAAGAATCAATGCGACATCAACCATCTCAGAGGGCAAGACCACTGCCATCACCGCTCCACCGATAAAGCGCCAACACCTCTCGCCGACGTTGTTGCTGTTCGCCAAAGTCCTCGGGGATACGGCCTCGAACCTGCGCCAGAGCCGAGCGCATGACCTTGCGGAATGTTCGCTGTAACGGTTTTGTTAGCAAAGGACAATATCATGGTCTTGGAAACGGTGCATACCTGGTACTCAGTGTTCAAGGTTACAACGCAAGCTTCGTGCGCGCGAACAATCGTCTCGCAAGCCCGGACAACGCTCGGACTGGCGTCACCTTGCAATTTATCAGCCGCAAGGAGTAGCAAGAAGCTACCCTGCAGCAGATAGATCCCGAAAAAGAAAGGCATAAAGCTGAGGTCAGGATCGAATTCCAGAATCTCGGCTGCCGCTTCGGCGGCACCAACGGCATGGCTCATCGCGGACACGAAAGCTTCGGTGGAGATCCAGAGATCGTGGTCCTCCAGCAGGTTCACCGGATCCCACTTGCCTGCCAGGAGAATGTGCAGAACATGCATAATGTGGGTGCCGTATGCGACAACCATCTTCGTGTGGACAATCGATTCATTTACCCGAGATCCGACCGTACTGCTAGAACGGCCCGACGGACTGACATGGTCCAAATGAGCGCCCTCCGCAATTTGCTCATTCTCCGCACTTGCCAGGGTCAAGCTATTGGTGTATCGCGCCTCAAACTCCTTCAAGCTTTGAGCATAGGTGTCTAATTGATGAGTGATTTCCAGGACCTGATGCTCCCACTCAGTGCTGTTCCGGAACGCAAGGCCAAAGCGTGGATGGCTCCGAGCATGATGAAGGTCAACGATTCCGCCAAGGATAGTCATCAGCGGTAAGAAGTATCCGAACATGCTGTGGCCGGTGCACTCCAGGGGAGGGCCAACCTGGCGATAACTAGCGGTAGAAAAGTCGCCCGCCTGCCAAAGATCGTCATTCATCGGTTGCAAAAGGCCCCCGCACTCTTTATCGAGCAACGTCAGGGGCCGGTTGTAGCAGAGTGCCAAATGCCGGTCGGTTGCATACAGTAGCCACCACAGCCGTCGGCGCTCTTCCCGCTCCTCTTCCGTCACGTTTAAGTTCGTGTTGCCGGGACCATGTCCCATAGAAGTCATCAATGATGTAGAATGCCGTTTCGAAGGATCCCCTTCGGTGTCGCCTTCGCGCTCTCCGTCCGGTCGTGGGTGGGCAGCGTTTGGCGGCAGCTCACGACCCAACTTTAACTCGCGCGCTAGAGACCAGGCTGCAGTCCACCAACGCATACTGGCGGCCTTGTATTCACTGGCTGAAACTACCGTGGCCAGATGTACATAAGTGGCCACATCATCTACGGCCCCCGTTGCGCTGCTCTGTGCGCCTAACTGGTCCATCGAAACGCCAAAGCCCCCGAGAGCGACCCCGTTGTTGACCATATTGGCTGCATAGTTGGGTGACGTTTCGCCAGTTGCAGGACCATGAATCAAAGGTCGGAGTAGCCCGGTAGTCAACTCCAGTAGTTTTTGACAAACCCGCCCACGAGCGGACGGCGGAGAGGTCAGGAATGCAGCCTCGCTCGTCTGCGCTGCGACCCAAAGCATACTCGCCAGCAGACCAGGGCTACACACGCGTGGTTTCGTAGGATGGAGAAAGGACTGCTTTCGGAAGATGTACCCCACCACATAAGGGGACAGCGGTGAAAGGTGTGAGGAGGAGGAACTAGTGAAGTAGACATCGAGAAGATCACATGCCAGCGATTGCGGGATAATGGAAGCGATATGAGGCAACACGGGCTGCAGCACGGGGTATCGTAACGTACTCGAATATGGAGGCAGGCTAAAGGAAGGGAAGTTCGCCGGAGACGGGGATGGAAGAGGCAACCAACCCGGGGACTGGGCCGGAGGCGATAAGCCCAGGAACGGAGCCGCAGGGTTCTCCGTCGAGTTCCCAAGTCGAAAATGGTTGAGAGCCGAAGCATTGGGTTCCTGCGAGTTAACCAGAGAAAATACGTTCTCGTTGAAGCCCGAGCCCAACCCATGCGACGACAGAATCGAGGTCGGTAGGGAGCGGAGATCGGCTACCGGCATCGGAGCACGATTTGACTCAGTCAACGAATTGAAATGATTCATATGCATCACATCGATGGCGGCCCTTAAGGACGGCTGAGCATGTGGCGGAGCCGACTGCGCATCCTCAATGGCCGACATCCCAGGGGCGGTGGACTTTCGCATCTGCCGTGACGGGGGATTCAGGTGTTGCTGAGCCGTCTCGAAAGTCGCATCATATCGCCCATTGATCTCCTGAGACGATCGCCGGTCCGGGGACATAGGTTCCCCGGCCAGCGGGCCGTTATCCGGGGCCGTCTGCCCGTTGACAGGCTGCGTAACTGCCGCCGCAGCAGCCAGGTCCTTTTTCGAAGCTTTGCCCCGTTTCTTACGTTCCCGAGCGTATTCACAAGTCAACCCAAACTCTGCTCCTTGCCCGTCAGCCAAATGACTCACCCGGGGGACGGGCTCGAGTGGCCCAGTCCACAAAGAAGACAGAAAAGCTTACCGATGCAATGGGCACACGGGTGATTTCCGTCGCATTTGGTTCGGAGCTGATTACATTGATCGCAGGCACGGCTGATTCTTCGCCGGACGGGGGCCGAGGCCGAGTTTTTGCGGATCGCGGAACGGGCCTCGACGAGGGGATCTCGCTGCATGGGCGGTTGGAACCGAGAGTTGGCGCTTGAATTGTTGTGGTTGTTGTCGTCGCGGTAGAAAGCTTGGTCTTTTGGTTTGGAGAGCGAGCTTCGCAAGGAGTCCGAGGGCGCATCGTCGCTGACCGCGGTGCCGGCGGCTTCGCGCGACAGTTGTAATTGTTCGAGGACATACTGCGAGCCCTCGGCGAGGGTGTCGAGCCCGACGGTCTGCGATTGGGCCATTCCTCCCGACTGCGAGGCTGAGGTAAAGGGAGCAAATGAGCTGGCGTATTGTTGAATCGAGGTCGTCGACATCCTCACCAAACGAAGCGATCAGGCGCCCGAGGCATGAGAACGAAGGCGGGCTGCGGGCGACAGACGGGGTTAGATGGAGGGCCGTAAGGCCCCAAGAGTTGGGGAGGGAGAGGAGGAGAAGGTGATAGGATGAAGGAGGGAATAAGACTATGATGGAAAATACCAGTCAGATGATCGGGTCGGAGGAGTGGAAAGAGAATAGGTGTAAGAGAGGAAGAAGGAGGGCTGAAGGAAGAGTGAGTGAGTGAGAGAGTGATTGAGTGAAGAACCGAAGGGAAGAAGAAGAACAACAACAACAAGAACAACAGGTACCGATCAGGTGGAGGAAATTGAGAGAAAGACCGGAGGAGGAGAAAGTTGGAAATGCGGGGACGGGGAAAGCGGGCGGCACTAAAACAGACCCTAACAGTTTGCCACGGACTGTACTTTACTTGGTACTTTACTTGACTTGACTTTACTTTCCTATGTGACTGTAGTAGACTCGAGTCTAGTCTAGTCTATCCTGTTCCCCCATGGGAAGAGAAAGATTGCAAACAAGCAAGCAAGCAAGCGACCGAACCGACTAACTAACCGATTCATAGTATCCAATGAGAAGGAGATTGAGAGTTCGATCATCAAGTCGGACAGTCGGGGGAGAGTGCAGTGGAGTGCATCTCACCCCGCAAAACTCGGAGAAACAATCCAGTCAGTCAGCGTACAGTTCTTTTTGGTTGGGAATGGTTCGGTATATCTGCAAGGCGCATCATCACCATCACCACCACACCATCATTCATGGCAGCCTGGATCTCGGTATGAAAAGACCCCTACTAATTAACTAAGTCTAAGCACTAGTTCCTCCGCGGTTCAGATTTAATTCGACCTTCACCGGATTGGGACAAGCAAGCTATCGTCTCGCACTACCTTACCGGGGACCAGTTTCCTTCAAGTGTTGCTGCGGGTCTGCCACTGCACGAGTCCACGATGTCCTCGAGCTCAGTCAGCAGCGATGGGCGACAGATACCCTTCAGGCTTCATCCCGCGCGAGCCCATCACAAACAACTCTTCCGGCCAGACTCGGCGGTGAATGTCATCTCGAGCTCATCGTCCAAGTGGCAACCCTCAAACCAATGGGGACAGGATTGCTTAAATTGAGACCAGGATGAGGGTGGTCAGATCAGGCCATTTGCAGTCCCACCAACAGAGCAAAAAGGCGGGGAGGGGGAGAGAAAGAGAGAGAGAGAGAGAGGAAAGGCAAACCAACAAGCGACAATCAATGACGGGTCCATGACTCTGGATCTTCACCCCTTCCCCCCAAGTCCGGAGACTGGCCGGTTAATTTAAATCGGTGCAATGGCGCTCTCACGCGATACGAGATTGGCTTGTCCCCTTTGCCCGATTGATCTCGGACCTCTTCCTCCGTGCCTCTGAGAGGAAGACTCACTGGCCAAGGATCCGTGCGTCTACAGAACACAACTCAGGACACACTGACATCCTAATCCACGAGAAAATGAACAAGATCGCACAGTGAAAAAGTAATAGATCATTCCAAAATGTTATATACATCATGATATACATCATGTTCATCGCTTTTCTAGAGTACACAAGAACAAAACCCCCAGTCAGATCATAAGTCCCAAGCTATACAGAAGAAACCATGCGCCCCGCCAATATCATATGCAGGAACACCCGCATCGAAACGCCGTGGTGGAAAGTAGAGATGCGTGCCCACTCAAAGAAATTAAACATACGCAGACAAGGGATATCAATGGATCGGAGAACTCGCAGAGGAAACCACACACCGAGGGCCGGGAAGGGCGCGCTCAACAAAAGAAGTACTTGCTGTCGCGGATACGGCTCACGTCCCAAGTGCCCTTAGTGGGCACCTCACGGAACTGCATCGGAAGCCAGAAATGGGTGTACATGCGTTGCTTCGGTGCGCTCTTCCGGGTTTTAGGCTGCGGTTCTTCCTCGGCGATCTCGACCTCCACGCCTTCTCCATCGGCCTCAAACGTGCCCAGTAGGGACTCGAGAGCGGGATCCGCCTCGTCCGGGTCGAGGCCAGACGCCCGGCTGGTATCCACATTCTCAGGAATGTGACCGACGGCCGTCTCACCCAGCGTGTGCGAGATGGACAGATCCTTATCCTGGCCATCGGCCTCAAAAATACTAGCCGGGGTCTCAATAGCCCGGCCCCGAGCCTGCAGCTCGGGATCGTCGGACTTCAAGAACTTCTGCCGTTCGTATTCAAGAGACAGCTCAAAGATCTTCGTACTTTTGCCATGCACTCTCTTAAGCGCGCGCCACCGCTTGATTTTCTTGCTGATCGGATGGCTGTTGGGTATCCGGGCGAGGAAGAGGTGGTCGCCGTACCGAACTTCAAACTCAGCGGCCAACCGCTTCACTACATCATCGGAATGCATGCGCACAAACGCCTCTCGGAGAAGCTCGTTCATCTTGTCAACGTCAGAGGCATGCGTCCAGAAGGAATCATGGACGGCCGAGAAGCAGAGACCGGCTTTGCGGCAGGCAATGGCGGATAGCATCATGTGCGTGGCGTCAAGGGAGTGGATGAAGTTGGGAGGGAAGGCTTGAAGCTGCTTACGCGCCGACACAACATCCTCGGCTGTAGCATCAACAATGCTCAAGGTCTGCAGACTGGTCGTAATACGTCGGGAGGTGCGAACTCGGTAAGGCTGAACCACAGGCAATCCCAGTGGAGTAGTCCAGATGACCGTGTTTCGCAACTTCTTGGCCGGATCCACAGCGGAGGCAGTGTTCGCTGACATGGCGTCTCCAATGATTTCTTCAATCTGAGAGGGCGACATAGCACGGGTGATACGGCTGGCGCAATCTCCCAGCCAATATTGAATGTCATGGGCACCGTTGAACATAGTGCCCAGGGCTTCGAAGATCTTGCGCGCGATATACAACGCACCTGCATGTCTCTCTTCAGGGCTGAGGTCGGGATAGTGATCGACGAGTTGCTTGCGAACTTGTTTCATGGCACCCATGAAAGTGACACCGTAGACGTTAGTCATGACTGTCTGCTTCACAATTTTGCGGGTGATCTTTCCCTCGAGGAACTTGGCGGTGGGGTTGCCCGCGGCGGCCTCCCGGGAGACCGTGCTCTTAACCCACTCGGCCACACCGCTGTAAACGTCGGATGGACGGTCAGAAGGCTCGAGGTTGACTTGCTGGGCACCAACTTTATCACCACCCAGAGCAGCATAGTGCTGCAGTCCGTTGCAGGAACCATCCTGATGAATGGGCAAGCGGGACAGATACTGGGTAGGGTCCGCCAGCTGGAGTGCATTCCTCAGTTCGCAGCAAGCAGCCAGACACTGCCAAGGGTCTTCAGCCGTCAGCCACCAACGCCGACCCTTCAGACCGTTGTTGGCTGAGTCCAGGACATCGTCCAGATTATCCATTGTAAACTGTTCGCGCTCGGAAAGGCTAGCCTTGTCAAACCCAGCCAAGTTTGCAATCTGGATCTTCAACCACCTGAGACCTTGCGGGCCGAGCTGTTTAGCTTCACTGAAAAGCAGCAAGCCTCGAGCATTGTCGGCGCCCATCTGGTTGAGGTACGGGGGAAGAGGGTAGGCACGGCCACGGAAATCGATATTGTGGGGGAGATAGAAGGTCTCGTCGAGATAAGCGCGGGCGATTTCCATCTGGAAGTTTTGGAAGCAACGCTGCGAATGAATGCCGGATTTGCGGTTCTCCATGGCTTGAACAAGTCTGTCCCACTTCTTTTCAGCATCAAGGCCTTCTTCCGGAGCCGGCCTCGGGGGAGGAGTTAGTTCAGGATCCAAGGGAGCGAGGTTTGCCAGCTGTTCACCAGAGTTCCACGCCTCGACCATGACGTTGAAGACATCGCGGTTGATGACCCATCCCGTGGAGCCTAGAATATCCAAGCCTTGCCGAATTTGCTCAATTCCATTGTTTTCGATCGCAGCTTTCAGGTAAGCGGGCTGCAGACTCTCGCCTGGTGTCGAACGGATTAGCCTACTCTTGTAAACATAGTAAGCGCCATCATCCAAGCTCTTCCAGGGCTTGGGCTCGCAGATCATGGGCAAATGGCGGCCCAAAAAGTCAGAGGGGGGTTCCCTCAGTAACACTTCGACGATAGACGGATGGAGGTGAATGAAGCCAGCACGTCTTCCCCAGATGATTTGGTAGTTATGCTGAAACGCAGGCTGCATCGACATCTCCTTCTTCTGAGTCTCAGGATTGACGACCTGAACCGGGGCCTTGGCAACGTCAAAGAGGAAGCCCATCAATGTGGCGCCAACCTTCGCTTTAACACGAGGCGACCAAGAAACAGACGGGTCCTCTTCCTCTATCTGGCGGACAATGTGATGCCAACGAGCACGGCCATCCTTTTGCTTGCGAATGGCAAGAGCCTGTTTTGTCCGATTCTGGCGGTAAGTGGACTCATTTGCCTTCTGCTTCTCCTTTTGCAGAGTTCGATTTGCGAGAAGCTCGTCGTAGATTTCTTGACCAATATTATAAGAGAGGCCGGCCAGTTTCGTTCCCTGGTCCACTCCCAAGCGACAGAACGTGGAAATGACACTCATTATTGTGATTGCTGCAAGCCGATCCGCATCCATAGACCTTAGGTAGATGCCATACTCCAAGCGATCAGCTTCGGCTGGGCTGCGCGGTTGGTCTTGGAGCCGATGCTCCTCGAAAAGTTCAATCTCTTCTCCAATCTTTGCTTCTAGCGTAGTAAACCACTGGTCGATAATCGGGCCCAGACGCTTCTCAGTGCCATCGTATCCACCCTTTCTCCTTTCCTCAGCCTCGGCGCGCCAGCGGTTCAACGCTGATTGGATGGAATCCTGTTCAAGCTGGCGCTGCCTAGCCTCATTGTGTTGACGCAACTGTTCCTCCGCGGTGCCTTCAAGGCTCATGGACATCGGGACTCTGGAAGGGTCGGAGAAAATCCCAAGGGATTCTTGCAGAGATGAAAGACCAAGACCCTTCTGTTCAACAGCCTTGATATTGGCAATCTCAGACTGGGCACCGTCACCAGCTGTGTCGGGCTTCAGATCACCCATTGCAACACGCTGCAGGTCGGCGGAACAGATCTAAGCAAGGATGATGATTAGACCTTCGCCACTTAGGATGGTGGGACAGCCAGAAATCAAGAAGTAAGGGGAGATAGAATGACTAACCTGCGAGAGCTCACCCAGATCCATTTCCGTAAGGATAGAAGCCGACAAAACCTCTTCCTCCAAAGATTCACGCTTAGCCATTTCCCAGTACCTGCGCACGGTTCTGTCGCGCTTGGAGTCGTGGAACATGCGGAGACACATCCGAATCATGATTGCGTAGGTCGTGCCATCGGGCTTCACATCATTGGCTTCAAGCTCCCCTTCGAAAAACCTCTGGCATGCGGAAACCAGTTCATGCTGCCTAGTCACGGACATATGCGTAACCACCGCGTTCAGGTGGCGGTTGCACAGAGTCAAGTACTCACTTGATCCAGAAGGGTAGCAGCCCTTTAAGCGATTGAGTAGACTAGCTGATCTTTCGTATTGTTGAAGTCGTAGGGAGATATCGAAGTTGGCAAGCATTTCATCGAGATCACCACCCAAGCCCCTCACTTTCCGTTGCACCTTTGGCTTTGTCTGCAAGGCCTCGTTCACAATGATCAGAGACGACGGATCAAAGCCCCGGGGAAGTGGTCTGAAGAAAGGAGACAGTTTCTGATCGAAGTAGTTTTCGCCGGAGAAGGCGGGGCTCTCGTGGGAAGAAGGATTTTCGAAAGGGATATATGACCCCTGAGTGAGGGCGGACTGCTCTGCGGCAGTGGCGAGGCTCCGGTTTGAGCTAAGAGAAGGTCGGCGAGAGCGCTCTGGTGAGTTCGGTGACGAAGAGTTAAGGTGAGACACTGGTCGGGTTGACTGCGAATGAAGCCTTAAGGTTGCTGGCGAAGGCAAGGTCGAGCGGCCTGCGGCTCGCCGCACGCGAGCCAGGCCATTTTTCTGAAGAGCAACCCGGGACAACATGATGGAGGAAAAGCGCTAGAAAGGATGATCGAGGCGTCTCATGTAAATCAACAGAGATTGATTGTGGTGAAAATAGATATTATTGATAAAGAAGAGAAAATAAGACCAGACGCGAAGATGAAGGCGCGAAAAAAGCAGTGTCAACGAGAAGGTGCAGGATGGATTTTTTAATGATCCAAAGCGAGCTTAATGTCAGGCAAGGAAACTCAATTCAAACCGACAAGCCGCACTGCAGCCCTCCAAAGACGCAAAGGAAAAGAATGGGAGGGGAAGGAGATCAAGTGTGAAGGGGAATTGGAAAAACCAATCTACTTCTACTTGGAGGGAAAAGAACGGGAGGAAAAATAGTAGAGAAGAACTTCGGGCCGGGGGAGGCGATAGCGCTGCACATGACTGCACGTGACCTTCTGGAAGCGCGATAAGATTTTCCGCCCACCGGATGATTGATTGGTCAGGATGGGCTTTAGTATTGAATTTCCAGTGCTTTCTGCGGAGATTGCAACTGGAAGAAACTACCTTATGAGGTAGAGGTAGAGGTACGCATGGCCACCTTCGTATACAGTACTCTAGTAGTAAGTTGATGAAGGATCCTCATGGAATGCGAAGATTATTCATTTCTGTACCCAGAAGCCTCAATTGACATACATAAATTTAACTCAATTGTGCTTCCCCATACGACGCAATGCCCTATGACCTCAAAAGCAGCTCCCGTATCTATCTTTACACCATACTTCCAGTAATCATGCCAATCATTGTCCCTCTTAAAAGTACACACCCGCCCAGAACTCCAAAATCTACGCCTGCTCCATAGTCTCTTCAACCGACGACGGCGCCGCCTCCTCCCGCTGCTTCTTCCGATTCTGTTTCATAGCCCAGCCCGTCAGCTCGGGCCGCGCAGGGTCAATCCGCGGGGCGCTCATCTGGTCCAGATACTCCTCGGTCTCAATAGCGGACTGCAGCTGGGGCAGGGTCTCGACATCCTGATGCATCATATAGTTCTCATACAATTGCCACGATTCCTCCGTCTAGCCGACAATCAGCAAAACACGACCCAAAATACCATACTAGGAACGGGGTTGAAGAACTCACCTCAGCATCCACCCACTCATAATCCTTCCACTTCTCATCCTGCATCTGCTTCAGCAGCTCAAGGTTGCCCGCAACCATAGCCGCCTCACCATCCTCCGCCGCCTTAATCTTGACATCAATAGCCCGCGCCTCACTCTCGCCCGCGCGATCCTCCTCCCCTTCCTTCCGCGCCTTCCCCTTCCCCTTAGCAGGGATCTCATCCATGGCATCCATATGATGCAACTGCGGATGCAACTGCACAACCGCCGTAACGGGCGAAAGGTGTAGATTCTCTGTATACCGAAGCCCAAACAGTCAGCATTGCCCCCAAAGCTCACAAACCCAGCCCAGCAGCGCCTTCCCCCCCAAAACAAGAAAACCCCAAGAAAAGATCAAGAGAGAAAGAAAAAAACTCACCCCCCCTAAAAGCCCCCAACATATAAACCGGATCCCCGCCCTCAGGCCCCTTAATCCTCCCACCCAAAGTCTGCACGCGCAACAACTGCGCCGTCTCACCCTTGCCCCCATCAAAGTCCATAGGCGGCCCGCCACCTTCAACCTTGACTTTACCGGAAGCACCACCGCCTGAACCCCCGGTACTGAACCCACCCGCCATACCGTATGCGCCGCCCTCGCGCGCGCGCTGCGATTTCTTCATCGCGTCACCGTACCGCAATCCCTTGCTGACATCGTAGTTGACGCGCGTGTTGATCGGCACGTCGACCTCGACGAGTCCCGTCTGCGGCTTCAACCGGAAGGCGGTGGGTTTCTGGCCGTGGCGGTCGTCGTAGCTGTACCCTGTCGGTCGGTCGAGATATTGCAAGACGTAGCGGGAGATTTCTGAGTCGGTGAGGTAGACGTTGTAGGAGGCGATGATTGGGTCGGCGTCTGTGGTGTCGGCGGTGGTGGTTTGCGTGGGGGGCATTGTGTTGTCTGTGTTAGGGGGTATATGTGGATTTTGTGAGGGGAGGGCTTTCGAAGGTATGCAGTCGTTTGATAGATTCGCTGAGGAGGAGTTTCGGGTGGTCAATGGTGATCAGAGAGATTGATTGGAAGGAGAAGTCAATGGTGGAGTGGGGAGGCTATGTGATGCGCCCTTTTTTTCGTTGCCGTTTTTTTCTTTTATCGGAGGCGGTTGATAAGGCTGGCGTTCCCCGCCGGATGCCTACCGCCTTCCGTTCCAGGGTCGAGGCAGGCCTGCCCGGGTTTGCCGCTCCGGCGCTGTGAGCTGGAGGTTTTATCACACGATGATTATGCTACTGCTCAATACAAGTCTAGTCTGGGAGTCTGAAGGAACAGGAACTGGGTTCATATTAATGCTTCAGATATTGCAGCAATTAGTCATCAAAAAGTATGTACAAGAGAGCTAGCTGTATCATCATCCTAGATCATAAACAGTTCGTCCAAATAAATATTCTCTAAACAATGCAAAGGAGAAAAACGCTCATAGACGAACATCTACTCTTCTTCATCTTCTTCGGCAACCTGGGAGAGATTGTTAGCTAAGTCGGCACAAAATGGCAAAGATAAACTTACTCCTTCGTGAAAGTTCTGTCCATCGGTCGTCGCCTTGATCACACCCGCCCGGATACACCAGTCTCCGAATCGCTCGGGAACCTCGCCATCGGTCTCGCGCTCGGCAGCGTAGCGCTTAAGTAGACCCTTCATGATGTCAAGGATCTCGTCCTCCTTGATGGAGGAGCGGTACAGCTTGTTCAGACGCTGGCCGTGGTAGCCACCGCCCAGGTACATGTTGTACGCGCCGTACGCCTTACCGACGAAGGCAACCTCAGCAAGCCAAGGTCTGGCGCAACCGTTGGGGCAACCGGTCATACGCATGACAATGCTGTCCTGAGCGAGACCAACCTCCTCCAGCGTGGACTCCAGCTTGCCGATGAGCACTGGCAGGTAGCGCTCGGACTCAGCCATGGCAAGACCACAGGTGGGGAAGGCAACACAAGCAGAAGACGACAGACGCAGGCCGCTGAACGCGGTGTTGTCGAGCTTGTACTGGGCCATCAACTCCTTGACCGCAGGCAGATCCTCATCCTTAATGTTGGAGATGATCACGTGCTGGTTACCGGTAAGGCGAAACTCGCCCTTGTCAAGCTTGGCGATCTCGCGCAGACCGGTGCGCATCTTGAAATCGGCGGTATCCTCGATACGACCGTTCTCGATGAAGCAGGTGAAGTGGTTCAGACCCTTCTCATCCTTTAGCCAGCCGAAGGTGTCCACGTTGGAGTCGAACTTGAAAGGACGGGGTTCGGCGAACCGCAGTCCCTCGGGGAGGAGAGCCTCAACCTTCTCCTTAAAGGCAGGGACGCCCATGTCGTCGATGGTGTACTTGAGACGAGCGTGCTTACGATTCTTGCGGTCTCCGTTGTCACGCTGGACGAGCATGATCTTCTCGCAGACGATATGGGCTTGATCCGCAGGGACGTAGCCGAACATGCGTCCAGTCTGGGGGTAGGTCTTCTTATTGTTGTGTGTGGTACCCATACCACCACCGGCAATGATGTTGAAGCCCTCCAGGTGCCCGTCAGCACCCTTGATGGCGATCAAACCAATATCGTGAGCATAGACGTCGGTGTCATTGTGAGGGGGAATAGCGATCGTGATCTTGAACTTGCGGGGAAGGTAGGTAGGGCCGTAGAGGGGTTCGTGGTCAACGACAGCGTCTCCGGCAACCTGAACCTTCTTGTCGTCGTCGTCCTTGAGCCAGATCTCGTGGTAAGCAGAGGTGGCGGGGAGGAGGTGGTCGCTGATCCTTTGGGAAACAGCGTGAGCTTCGCGGTGGAAGGTGGAGAGCTCAGGAAGGGAACTGCACATGACGTTACGGTTGACATCACCGCAGGCCGCAATTGTAGTCATCAGGGACTTGTTAATGGCACGCATAGCGCCACGAAGGTTGCGCTTGATAACACCGTGGAACTGGAAGGTCTGTCTGGTGGTGAGCTTCATGGTCTCGTTACCGTGCGAGCTGCTGATAGCATCCATCTGCAGCCACTGCCAAGGAGTGGCGATACCACTGGGCAGACGGCAACGGATCATGAAGCTGTAAGCAGGCTCAAGTCCTTGGGCCTTGCGCTCATCGCGAACGTCACGGTCATCCTGCATGTAGGTTCCGTGGAACTTGGTCAGCTGCTGGTCACTGGCCGAGATGGCACCAGTGGTCTCATCCAACAGACCCTCGGCAATGGTACCACGCAGGAAGTTGGACTGGATCTTGATATCTTCGTTGGTCAACGGAGCAGGCTCCTCAGGAAGACCCTCGACCTTGTCGACTCCGAGAGCCTGCCAGAGGCGCGGCTCCCATTCAGAGTAGCCAGTCTGATAAGCATCGGGGTCCTGGTCGTCACCCAGACCAATATCAGCAAGCTTGCGACCTCCGAGGAAGGCAACGCGGGCATCGAGATCCTTGGCGGGCTTGTTGTAGTAGATCTTGTCCTCCTTGCGGGGCCAGTAGTGGCTGTCACCGAGACCAAAGACGGAGTAGTTGATCGAAGACAGATCCAAGTCGCCAGAGTTCTTCACAAATTCCCAGAGGCCACGACCATTCTGAGGGAACTCTCCCTGACCAGCAGTACTGGTGATGAAAACCACGTTCTCCTCAGTGGCGAGGTCCTCGGTGGGATAGTCATCCATGGCCATCACCATAGTCTTGAGACCTCTAGCACGACCACGGTTGCCGAGACGTTTGGCAATGTTCTGGGCATTGCCACCATCCGAAGCGAAAAGGATGGTCAACGGAGCACCAAAGAGACCTTCGAGCAGCTTCTCATAAGAGTCCTTGGCTTGGCGTTTCTGCAAAGCGCGGACTTCTGTGCCATACGACTCAGCAAGAACGGGGGAGAATTTGGGTTGACGATTCGTGAGCTGCGTAAGCTGGTTGTCTCGGCGCAGGAACTCCTCGAGCTCGCGTCTGATGCGATCAGAGTCCAAGATGAACTTGGACTCGCCCTTCTCCTCATTGGCAGGGTTCCAGCGGTACAAAGGCCAGTATCCAAGGTCAACAGCCTTCTTGGTTTCTTGAAGAACAGTCAGGGCAGAATCGTTCTCCTGGTTGTAGGGCAAGTAGGCGACAATGACGGAGGGACCCTCGAACTTCTCGGCTTCGGCCATAGCCTGGAGCACTTGGGTGTAGGAGCCATACACAGCGACGGAAGCCACATAGGCATTGCCGTAGTTCATAGCGTACAACCCAATATCCTTCTTTCTGCGGGTGGGATCGGCCGCGGTGCGCTCCGAATAAGGCTGGGAGTCGATGATAAGCATGTTCACGTTGGCGCCGGAGGCGAGAACGTGGTGAACACCAGAGTTTCCGAGATCGTAAGCCCAGGCGTCAGAGCCGATCAGCCACAAAGACTCATCGTAGAAAAGCTTTTTGGAGGCCAGAAGCGTTCTAGCGAGCTGGGAGCCGTCGTTGGACAAGCGAGCGATAACATCGGGGGCCAACTTGTTAGCCTTGGATGCATCAGCGGCACTCAGAGCCCACTTGGATAGCCAAGTGCGGGGAACGTCGGTAGCGAACGTAGTGGCCTTGGAGGCTTCTTCGACCTCGCGGATGAAGCGCTTGCGGTGCTCCAATCGGGCAATTAGCGCACCAAATCCGTACTCAGGGCTGGCAGCAATAGTGGCGGAGATACCGGCATTCTTGGAACCCAGCTGGTTGGCAACGTGAAGGCGTTCACCGAAAAGCTGGTTCAGGATCTTGAGGTAGGCGTTCTCAAGGTGGGGCTGCTCGAGAGAGCTCTGGAGGGCAGGCACCTTGGAGCTTCCAACTTCCAGGTTCTGGATGGGCGAAGCGGAGGTCAAGTTCTGAACAATGCCACGGAGAGCCTGGACCGCAGTCGAAGGCTCAACGTAACCCAGCCTGTAGCCAACAATCTGAGGGGTAGGCCGACCGGCAGCAGGAGAGAGACTGGAGAGCAGGTCCATGAAAGAAGGACCCCATTTGGTGGTCTTGCGAACCTGTTCCAAGACGGCAATCTTCTCCACGGAGCTGGGAATGGAGTTAATGATCTGGCCGCCGATCCATGGGCGGTACAGGCGGGCAGTGATGAGGCCCACACTGCTGAGCTCTCCAGCCTCCTCCTTGCCCAGCACATCCACAAAGACGCCGGTCGAACCGAAGACAAAAATGGCCGACTTGGCATCAGAAGGACCCGTGTATTCAATAGCACGGTAAGTGCGTCCAACAGCGTCAGACAAGTCCTTCCAGATTTGAGAAGTCCACTCGAAAATGTCGGCAGCATTGACAGGACGTACGGAAGAAGCATCGACGGTGGTGGCGGCAGAGCTTGTTCCGCGGCTGTCGGTGCTGCTGTCCCGGCGGGAGGAGCCAACGGAGGAGTTGTCAATGCTCACGCTGGCGGAGAGCTGCGAGGCTTGAGCAGGGGTAGAGGTGCCCTCGGTCTGCTCATTCGTGCTCTCAGCGGCTTCCTCAGAGACGGTGGCGACCCGACCCGAATCAGTGTAAAGGGTCTGGACACCCAGTCCGGGGGTGTGAGTGGCGGTGCCCGAGGCCAGGTTCAACAGAGATCGTACGACATCGGCATTTTCCTGTGTGATAGCCTCATCACGGGCGGAGTTGGCAGGGTCGAAAAAGTGAATGACACCCTTACCAGACTTGCGGGCCAAGGCATGTGCGGTGATAGCGATATCCTGAGCCTCCTGAAGGGTCTCCGAATGCAGGAAGGTGAAGCCACATTGCCTGATGGAGCTGATTACGGAGTAGTCGGGGAAAGGGTAGGGCTCCAGGGCGACATGGAGAACAACTGGGCTGTTCGCCAAGCGGTAGAGGTGAGGAATCGAGGAGAGGAGAGCAGAAGAGCTGGTGACCACGGACACAGCATTGCCAGTCTGCAGCGGGTGGAAGGTCGAGAGAAGAGGGTCCTCGTTGTATCGCACAGCAACGACCTTCTTCACCGTTAGCTTTCCATCCGTGCTAATTGATCGAGTAGTAGGATCGAATAAGAGATAGCACATACCTCTGGTTTGCTTCTGGGCAGAACGCTGGAAGTGTTCTTTGCCTTCAGAGTCTTCAAGGTCTTGGAGAACAAGGAGTCTGCCTGCAGAGAGGGTTGAACGGAGAGGACGACATCACTGGTCAAGTAGGCGATCCTCGCCACTAAAAGGCATACTCGATTAGTCCATCAAATCCAAGACGATGATCGTTGATAGAGGATTATCCGAGGACCCCCAGCAAACATGACAAGGGTTCCATGACATACCTGCTTCTCCAGCGGTCGAAACGGAGGCCATATTGACAATGGTTTGCTACGCAACCGAATGCGCAGTAGGTGAGATGAGATGGAGGGGGAGTGAGGGGAGTTGGGAGATTCGAGAAATGGATATCACCGCATGCGGTGATTCCCCACTCAAATTAGAGACAATGCTAGAAATGGGGGAGAGGGGAGAGAAGCGGAGGTGAGGGGGGGGAAGAGAAACGAGGAAAACAAGAGGGTGTACAGGAGAAAGATAAATAATTTAGCTCGACTGATTTACAGTGGTCTCCTTTTATTTTTTTTTCTTCTCCCCCCCAGGCAGTATGAATCAGTTGGGTTAAAGCAGCAGTGATCTTGTTCGTCTCATAGTAGATTTGGGTCCATCTCCGCCATCGGGGGTTGGATTACCCCCCATCTGATTGGACTGCGATCACGACATCGATGCAAACTGCAGGTGAGCGGAAGTGCAAACAGGCCTAATGCAGGAAAGTGCGGGGATCCCGTGACCTTTGCTCGAGCACGTCACTTTGGCCCGCCTCGGCGGTTTTTGCTTCGAATGCCGATACTTGATGGATTTCAATGGGTTCAATCTTACAGCAGGCAATGTTACTACTGGACCAGTGACACTTCTCATCCCTGCTCAGTCTTGACCCTACAAGGCGGGATTTGGTTGATTTGGGTTGATTATTTTCCGGTGATCCAGAGCGCATCCAACCCAGACCTGCAGCTGAGTCAGCTCACCCAGTGTGTTCTCGGTCGAGAAACCGGGCTCCAGCGCGTAACGGGCTTTGAATTGCAAACCACTATTTTTGTCTGATAGAAAGACAAGGTTCCAGAATCGTCAAATAATATGTATATATGCTCTGCACATCATATGATGCAGCTCTTGGGGCAAAAGTATGGTCGGAAATATATGCAGATCCCTAGCACGATGCACGCAAAATGTACCCTGAAGACGCCAGAATCACACCCAATCCCCCGATATCCCAAGCAAGCAATGTACATGTCCCGGACGCCAGATATAGAAAGGGCATCACAAGACCTCGTCAAAGTCACGTATGTCCACCTCCCAGTAATGGTGGCCCCAGCCAATCCCGTTCCCACACAAATGACACCGACGCCTCCGCCTCCCTGAAGAACAAGAAGACAGTAGAGATGATAGTTACACCATCCCAGTCGTTGCCCGCTTGTCCGATTCGTAAGAAAATAAAAGTATGTAGATATCAACGGTTAAATAACAGGGCTTGAAGAAAAAGGAAAATGTATCACAAAGTTAATGACGAGAAGCCGACAAGGGGTCAAGCCTTAAACAAAGACGTGGAATTACTGGCGCCACGTGCGCAAAAGTATCCTCGACTTGTAGACGATGCAAGTGTTCTTGCGTTTCGAAGATGGGCCACGAATACTCGTCCGGAGGTAGGAATTTGATCCCAAGTCGGATTGAAACCACCTGGCGATAATAACCGTTTGCTTCGAATGCGAGACTAACGGCCATCATTCCAGCCATGCATCTTCGCATTCATTGCCGGTACATGCTCGTGAACTGGCTGCAGCAAGGCGGCCGCCTGCACTGTCGACTGGGAAGGCTGGGGAGGGCCAGTTCCCGACCGCCGTCTCCTTTCTCTCTCAAGTGGACCCGGAAGCTCAGGTTCTTCGTTGCGTGACCGGAAAGTGCGGTTGAGAGTGTTCACCCAATTACCACCCTCCTCATCCTCGCCCAGCCAATAATTGCGACCGATGCTGATCATAAGGCGTCCAAGCTTACCCTGCCATCCTTGGCCATCCGGGCTGTGCGCAGAGAAGGGTTCCCGATCGATATCGGCGACACTCGCCACGCTGGCGATGGAAGTGTTGCGGCTGTGGGTTGGTAACTGAGTGTGTCGCGGTACGGCGACGTAAAGGCGGAGAGCCTGTCGCGCAAAGGCCAGCATCACAAAGACGAAGTAGATGCGGATGGTCCACAGCAAGCAGATGAACACAATGCTTTGGAAGCTTTCGGGTTGGGACACGGCGTCGCCTAGGGCATCCGGTCTCCTTGCATAACGATCGCCTTGGCCCTTGTGCGACGAATCGTACTTTGGACTAGTGAAGCCAGCGGTCTGTGCCATGGTCTCCGCGCCCGGTCCGGAGGCGCTTCCATTGTCGTAATGCTGGGATACAACCAGGAACCATGTCACACCAAAAGCAGTAGTGTAAGCTGCGTTGATGATACTGTCGATAACGTAGAGCCAGGCGAGCGCAAGGCATTGCAAGGGCGATTGTTTGCGGATATAAGGAAATAGATATGTCGTGATACCCAGGGCGAGGAGAGAGTAGAGGTACATCGACAATTGCACAGGCGAGAGATGATAACCGGTCAAAAGGGCGAGCAAGCCATAGAGACCGCTAATTTTGTTGAGAAGCAACGATAAGGTAATCAATGAGGCACCAGTTTGTAGACTCATGACATAGAGAAAGGTCTGTGTGTTGTTGACCGGACCAGCCGGGGTTGGGGAGGTTAGCCTCAATAATTCAAGAAGAGTGACCAGGCAATGGAGAGAGGCGGAAGTCCGTAAATTTTCACCTGTATTTCACTAGCAGGTTCTGGGGAACATACCTCTGGCCGCGGGATGCGGAGGAGACGGGTTGAAAACCCCATGATGCGATTTTGGGGGGAAGGGGAGGGAAATGTGCCAGATCGATAAGAGTTTAGTTAAAGTAGTTGGTGGTGGTTGTGATGAATGGGAAAGGGAGCGACAAAAGAGGCAAAGGAATGGAAGGTGACGACGGAGACTCAGCCCAGGCGGGAGGGAGGGAGGGAGGGGGTGGAAAGAGGCTGGACGGAAGAAGAGAGACAGACGAAGGGGACTCAGTTTAACTAGACAGTTAACTTTCAACAAGTGAACTTGGAAAGTGACGCTGGGCGCCCAATTTGTCGGTAATTGGCCCAGGGGCGCGATTTCTATCCGGTCGGGTCCGTCGATCGCTGCCTTGTCCACTCCTGGCTATTGAGTACTACATAAAGTGTTTAGACTACTGTTTTCATTAATCTGGCTGAACAGACCTGCCCCATGACGTATCTATCACCAGTACTCTCATGCGTTTGTTGTCTATCTGGCACGAGGTGGTCTGCATATTGATTGTCATTGCATTGTTCTTATTTTCTTCCTCTCACAATAGGGCTACTTGCCGAGTTAATCGAAGTGGTGCTATGCAGCCCATGAAAGACTTCTCTCTTCACCCCTTAGGACTAGAACTAACAGGAAAGCACATGAGAAGCCCACTATTACCAAGCCGAGCAAACAAAATCACTCGGCAGACTTATGCACATTATTAATTTTGTTTCCCGCCCACCGACTGAATACGAGTACGAGCAAAGACGTCGTTTGCTCAATCATGCCAACCTACAACCAATCCACAGCCTCACCAAACAGCCACCTTGTTGGAAATCCCACTCAGGGGTTTTGGGGACCTGAATCCACTTGCTTACGCCATTGATAATCTGATTGAGTTCCTGGCGCAGGGGCTACAGTGGAAGAAAGAGCCATCATCAAAATACTCGTGTTTGGAGAACCTGGCGATCATACGACTACGATATCACAAGCCCGCCGTGTAGACCCGCCGCTATTATGTATAATTTCTGCATAAGCTACGCGAGGCTGAGTTCGATGCGACTGTTCACTAATAGACTTAGTGATGTACACCACGCAGTCGATACATCCCAAGGCCGCCAGGTGAAACCAAAGCAAGTTCCAATCTCTCTACAGTCAATACATGAGTGCGATACGCGTGAGTTCAATGCCTATGGCTCCGCTAACCTTCGAAGCAAGCAACAATGACAAGAACACGCCAATTAAGATTAAGAGAAAAGTTGAAGCTTGATCTAAACACGCTATTCACTCGAAAGAAGGGGGACAGAGGGAAATGTACATGTTGAGGTGGGAGAACATTATAGACAATCTCAAGCCTCATCATTGCGATTCAGGCATGAGAGTAAAGAAGGTTATAAGAAGAGTCTGAGCCAGCAGTTGCCAATCCAGTGTTTAGCAGGCGCATCCATCATTGGTCGTGGTCTCTTTCGGGCTAATATTGACATCAATCACTGTGAAAGGAAGGTCAGCAAGTGTTCGCCGCCGAATAGGGGTCACTCCGACGGAGAACTGACTTTGGTTGTCCCCTCTGTTGCCTTCTCCCTCCATACCCGGTAGGGCCTGCGCGATTCTCCGGAAAAGCTGCTTGACATTGTGGCCCACCTTGGCACTCGTTTCGATGAACATCAATCCATTCTTCTTGGCCTCTTCTTCACCCTGTGCTGTCGTAACCTCCCTCTTGTCGTTCAAGTCGGTCTTGTTGCCGACCAGGACAATGATGACGTCGTTTCCGCGCTCTCCTCGGACATCGTCAATCCATTTCCGGGTGTTTTGGAAGGACTTGGCGTTAGAGATATCGTAGACCACCACGGCGACGCTCGAATCTCGAATATAAGAGGGGATCAGGGAACGGAATCGTTCTTGACCGGCGGTATCCCAAAGCTGAAGGCGGACCGTTCTATCTTCCAGGTACATCGTCTGGGTAAAAAGGGCGATTATTAGTGTCAGCCAAGCACGCAAGCAGACATGCAAGCATGAAGTATTATGGAAAGAGCAACGTCGACCGGGCGGACGGTACCTTGGACAGGAAGTCGATTCCAATGGTGGCTTGGTATGTGTTGTCAAACGAATCGTACATGAATCTCGTGATCAGGGAGGTTTTTCCAACTGCGCAACGAGAGTCAGGACCAGCGTGGCGATAGGAGATACATGCGGGGGGAGGGGAGCGTCTTGTCGCGGAAGATATTCATACCACTCTGTTCTCCCAGGAAAACCAGCCTGCAATCCGATTAGCGATCGGCTCAAGCAGCTACCGAGTTGTTCTTCGTGCTGCATACTTGAATTTCTTCAGAGGGTTCGAATACGACCCTACTCCGGAGGTGGAAGCCATGTCTACGGAAATGTGGTGGGAGCGGCGAAATCAGGGGTAGCGGAGATACGTCGCAGACTCGAATGTGATGGTGGCGGTGGGTGAAATTCCAGAGGAAGGTGCAAGGAAAACAGAGAGCGAAGGAGGAAATCTTCGAGAGGGCCGGAATTATTGAGAAGAGAGAGGGAGAAGAATGCGACCAGATCAATCCGTACCAGAGGAAGTTCTAAGGTCTAACAGACAAATAAGTAGCTGTTGACCCATGGGTCCGTCCGGGGAACTTTGACAGTATGTCTGCATAGATTAAACCGACCAGCCAGTCCGACCGGAATAATCCCGGCCCGACCACCACCACCTGCTTGCTGTTCCACCTTGGGCTCGGGTCTATCTATCATAGCTAGCAGCACTGAAGCTCCTACCGTCCCTGTTCCCTGCTTGTCTCTCCATCTTTGACCTGCTCCTCATTCCTGAGGCCCTTTCCTTCTTGCTCTTTGTTCTTCTGCCTCCACTCTCAGGTCATATCTCTCACGAGACATCCACCATGGTTCTCCGTTACTTCACCGGTGTGGTATTCGTGGCCCTCCTGGTGGTAGGACTATGTAAGGAATCCGACCTCCTCAGTTACATAGAAACTCGAATAGGCACTAATCCGATCCGTTTACTCACTTAGATTTACTCTTGACCGGTCAGGGTGAACGGTTCAATGTAAGCGACAATCTCATGGCCCCTCGATCGCGGTGGGATCCTCGCTAATTCGATCCAGGTCGGTTACTTCTTAGAGTCGGTATCCCCGTATGCGTGGGCCAACCTTGGAATTGCTATGTGTATCGGCTTGTCGGTCGTCGGCGCTGGATGGTATGAGAATCCCTCGAATCATTTTGCGGTCACACATCATGCTGAAAGAGTGGTCTTTTAGGGGTATCTTCCTGACGGGATCGTCCATCGTTGGTGGCGGTGTTAAGGCACCCAGAATCCGTACCAAGAACCTAATCTCCATTATCTTTTGTGAGGTCGTCGCCATCTATGGCGTCATCATGGCCATCGTCTTCTCCTCCAAGCTCAACCTGGTCGAGAACGACGGCATCTTCTCTGGCAGCGACTACTACACCGGATATGCACTGTTCTGGGCCGGTATCACCGTCGGTACATGTAACCTGATTTGCGGTATCTCCGTCGGTATCAATGGAAGTGGTGCAGCTCTGGCCGATGCTGCGGATCCTAGCTTGTTCGTCAGCTTCCCCCGGTGTCTGGAAGAGTGGTTGCTAACACCGGCCGCAACAGGTTCGTCAAGATCCTCGTCATCGAGATTTTCAGTTCCGTTCTCGGTCTCTTCGGTCTCATTGTTGGACTTCTGGTGGGCGGCAAGGCACTCGACTTCGGTGCCGCTTGAGGGTATAGGGATTGCGTAGGGGCTTGTTGTTGGTGGGGATGAATTGTATGACTTATATCACGTTTGTCTTCGCTTTTTCTGTTCTTTGTCGTCCGTTATCTACTGCATCGGGGCGTACGGATTCGATTCAACTGTAGAACTTTGTTTTGGCTATGTGTGCAAAATGCATTGTCGATCTCGCTGTTTGCCTGATATTGCGATGGGAAAGAGATGTATGTATAGTAACTGGCAGCGGGGCTGGCCTGGAATATAAAGTGATAGGATGCATAGGGATCAATTTTCTGGTGACTTAGCATTAGCAGGAGAGCGAAGCGTGGAAGAATGCCTCCGGTTTGTTGATAGGCCATCCCGGCCGTTTGTTAGCGTCTCCGCCCCTCTCCGCCATGCTTATCGCTTTTCCCCGCCTACGACAGGAAGCATCTCCGAATCTCGTTCCTCCCTTCCCCTCATCAACGATCTCTCAAAATGGCCGACACCACCATTCTCAAAGCAGCAATCCTCGTTGTTTCGGATACTGCATCTCAAGACCCTTCTACTGACAAAGTCGGTGGCGCTCTTACGAACGTCTTCTCAACGGACGGCCTGAACACCTGGGACCAGCCCGTTATCAAGATCGTCCCTGATAGTGTGCTAGACATCCAACGCGCGATCTGTGACTGGACCGACGGGCCTAACTGGGTCAATCTCATCTGTGTCAGTGGTGGGACGGGTTTTGCGTCTAAAGATATTACACCTGAGGTTTGTGCACTGTCCAACTGGCTACACCACGGATACTCTAGATATTCATCAAGACTAACGTCACAACCAGGCGGTCTCTCCTCTCATCCATCGCCATGCCTCTGGTCTTGTGTGAGTTTTTCAAAGGTCCTTCATGCATTTTAAATTACCCATTAATTGACCAGGACAAAAGACACGGCATGCTCGCCGCATCCCTGAAGGTTACCCCGTGTAAGTCGGACAGCGTTGGATGCATGAATGTCGCTGATAGCATATACCAGTCGCCATAATGTCGAGGCCTGTCGCAGGCGTGCGCGATAAAACCTTGATCGTCACTCTGCCCGGCTCCCCCAAAGGCGCGAAAGAAAACCTCGAAGCAACCATTAAGCTTCTTCCCCACGCATGCAGCCAAGCGGCCGGTGCGAATTCCAGAGCCCTTCACGCAGGCGGTGTCAAGAAGCTCGAGGCCGATGCAGGAGTATCCTCTGCCTCGCCTCAGCCGACCAGCCATGATCATCACCATCACCACCATCACCACGACCACGGCGGTCATTCCCACGGCCACGGTCATGGACACGCTATACCCAGAGCACACACGACTCCCTCCGAGCGGCCACAGTCGAATGACCCGAATGCAGGACCCAACCGCCGCTATCGATCATCGCCATACCCTATGCTCTCCGTGGACGAAGCCCTTCAACTCATCAGCGAGCACACGCCCGAACCTACCGTTTTCGAGGTCCCCGTCACAACAGCTCTAGTCGGGTCCGTTATCGCCGAAGATGTCTACGCCGCGGAGGCGGTCCCAGCATACCGTGCCAGTATCGTCGACGGATACGCGGTGATCGCCTCCGAGACGCCAGACTCCAGCCCTAACACCAAAGGCATCTTCCCTGTGGCGTCGATCACCCACGCCAACGAGGGCGGCACACTCACCCCGCTGGAGCCCGGGACCATCGCGCGCATCACGACCGGCGCCCCGCTGCCCCCCAACGCCAACGCCGTCGTCATGGTCGAAGACACCGTGCTAGCGACCTCAACCCCAGACGGACAAGAAGAAGCCACAGTCGAGATCCTAACCTCGGAGATCCGACCGGGCGAGAACGTTCGCGAACCGGGCAGCGACGTCGCGCTGGGGTCCCTCATCCTTCGGCAAGGCGACCTCATCACATCCGTCGGCGGCGAGATCGGCCTCCTAGCGGCAACAGGCACGCCTACAGTGAAGATCTACCAGAAGCCCTGCGTCGGTGTGCTCAGCACAGGCGACGAGCTAGTTGAACACAACGACGCGCGCAAGCTCACGGGCGGGCAGATCCGGGACTCGAACCGGCCGTCGCTCCTATCCTGCCTCTCCTCCTGGGGATTTCCGACCGTCGACCTGGGCATCGCGCGCGACACGCCAGCAAGCGAACTCGAACAACGCCTCCGCGACGCTCTCCGGGGCGTCGGCACCGCCACCCCACACGGGGTCGACGTGATCATCACTACCGGCGGCGTCTCGATGGGTGAGCTGGACCTGCTCAAGCCGACCATCGAGCGCTCCCTCGGCGGCACGATCCACTTCGGCCGCGTCTCGATGAAACCAGGCAAACCGACCACCTTCGCCACCGTGCCGTTCAAGCCGTCAGCGGCCACCGCCGCCCAGGACGTCCAGCAGGAACGCACCAACAAACTCATCTTCGCCCTCCCCGGTAACCCCGCTTCGGCCCTGGTCACGCTCAACCTGTTCGTTCTCCCGTCGCTGCACAAACTGATGGGCATGGGCCATAGAAGACAAGGAGGCGCGGCCGCGGGCGCCGGATCTGTGCCGCTGGGCCTGCCCCTCGTGTCGGTGGCGCTGGCGCACGCGTTCCCCGCTGACCCCAAGCGCACGGAGTATCACCGGGCGGTCGTGACGGCATCTCGGGCGGATGGGAGGCTGTATGCGACCAGCACGGGAGTGGATGGCGTGGGCCAACGCAGTTCGAGAGTGGGCAGTCTTGCCAGCGCGAATGCGTTAGTGGTCATCAGGCCGGGCAGTGGGAAGGTGGAGAAGGGAGCTTTGGTGGAGGCGCTGATGTTGGGGGGCGTTGTTGCGGATGTTTAATCCTTTCTGACAAACAGGCATGACTCGATACTGGCTGTGTAATTATACTTCTCAATATGTGTCGCGTTATGTGCGCTATATTGCAATGCTGTTTACTTCGCCAAGTCGGAATTCCCAAAATTAGGTGTATCGGATATATATCCCGCGCATGACAATTACCGGTCCGATATAAACCCCATAGAAGATACGGTCACCTGACCCAAATAGATCCGTATTCAAACAAACAAGTAATTTCAGATCTAACCAACCATCTATCCAACGAGAGAGAAAGGCAAAAAATGATGACAAAAGGGTATCAAAAACCTCCACCTCCGCCCTTCCAAGACAAGCAAGCACCAAACCCCAGCGCTCCATTCATCCACATACCCAACCCCAAACAACCCTCCAACCTCCCGCTCCCAACATCCCCTCTAAAGAAAGCAGCAGGTAAATTTACCCCTTAATAACCCGCCACCCCTTCTTCTTCTCCGCCCGTAAGCCAGGCAACGTGGCATCCCTGCCCTGCTTCCTCGCAATCTCGATCACGACGAAGCGCACGAAGTCCGTCAGCGTCCAGTAACTGCTGTGCGCGCTGAGCATGTTCAGGTACTGGATGTTCAGGGGCCCGCCGCCGCCGGACAGGAAGTAGTCGATCTGCCCGTTGTCGTTGAGCAGGAGCATGCGTTTCTCGGCGATCTCTTCGCGGGTGAAGTCGTGGGTTTCCAGCTCGACTTGCGTGGGAAGCTTGGTGATGGTTGCGGGGCGGGTGGCTTGGGGGAGGGAGTGGGTGGGGGCGGGATTGCTCCAGCGGAAGACGCTGCTGAAGGAGGACCAGAGGGTGGAGGTTGTGGTGGGGATGGAGGCCGGTTTGAGGGAGGCGGCGAGATCGCGGTCTACGGCTGCGTTGACGCGGTAGGCGATTGCTGGGGTGGGGGTAAGGTGTTAGTTTGGGAGATTATTTCCTGGGATATGGCGAGTGGAGGGGAGAGGGCTACATCTAGGTAAGACTTACGGTCTGTGGTGTGCATGATGTTGTAGAGGTTGTCAACTGCTAAACAGCCGTAGGTGTCAGCTTCGCCGGCGACGCCGCGGAGTCGGTCATCGCCTTCGCAGCCGGGTTTGTCGCGGCCTCGTCGGGGGAGGAGGTTCGCTGGAGGAATAGTGTTGTGTTAGTCCGAGTCTTGAAATTCTTAGGATGACCAGAATTCGCGATGGGACATACCCTTATTGAGCAGCAGGAAGAACCCAGCTGGGCTGCCGCAGATGAACAGGTTCTTCGTGTCAAACTCAAAAATGTCTCCATGTACGCTCGTTGTGGAGAAATCGAAGCGAGGGATCTTGGTCGGTTGATGACTGAGGATATCCAGGGCCATTGCACTTCCAAGGGAATGGGCTAGGAGGTGGACGCGACCGTTCTGTTGGAATCCCGGATTGTTCTCGCACCAGAGTCGGAAGATGCGGTTGGCTTCTTTGACGACGGCTTGGATCATTTTAGGCTTGTGATGTGAAAGGTAGTACGGGATGTCCAACATGACGTCGCTGATCAAGGATCGTACAGCGGGAATAGTTTCCGGGGTAATGTCCTTGAGGGAATAGTGGTTGGAGGCTGGGTCTCCTGCTGCAGGCGATTCGAGATTGGCCTCATCCAGGGATAGCGTTGAGCGCCAATTCACAGGCAAGGCCATGATTCCCCCGTGTCTGGATCGTACGTGTGGCCACACGGGCTCGCTATTCAGCTCCATGTTGATGGTCCTGCGGAATGCATTGATCGCATGCGTAAAGTGAAAGCTCTCCATTCGTTCAGATAGCTTCTGACCTATACCGTGGATGACAAGGACCAGATCGGTCGGGGCCGGCCGCAGCTCTTCTATCGCGCAGGCATAACAAACCTGTTCTCCGGATGTTGACATAGCTCTAGTCTGGGTGCTCCGAAGGTAGTTCCTGACTTCTACAGGGCTCGGTTTGCTAGGATGTAGTCGGTCCCACAGTCGCCGACTGAAACCGCGGACTACAGGAATTCCAATCTGTCTGCCCTTACGAATCGCACTGAGCGGTCTTCGGCCCCGCGAAACAGACGGAAGAAGACTGGGTCGCAGAATCTGTGCCTCCCTCCAATTAGAGTAGATGACACTCGAGTTCAAGAAGGGCTTGACAGATTCGGAGTGTGCCGGGGTGCCACCAGCAGCACGATTCTCGTCAAGGATAAAAGGCTCGGTCTCAGGATCCTCAGTACGCTTCACTAAATGAGAAACAGCTGCCGACACCTCGGGAGCAGCTGCAGTTGTCGAAGGCCGTGTTGGGTCCTCCTTCGGCCAAAGCCGGTGCACTACCTTTAGCTCCGCGTCAGCGCCGTTCTCGACACAGCTATTAAGTTCGTCCTGCCATGTTTCAGTCCACGGTTTCAGGTAGAGATACCCATCTTCCAGCTTGTTGGCGAGCTCAGTCTCGACTGGCAACATGGTGTTTCTATAGAACCATGTCGCACGAATGACGTTCGATATGTCGTGCAACGGGCTCCAGTATATCGGCTTCATCTAGTGCAAAGGTTACATCTCGGAGCTACAGGACCATAGAATGTACTATACCTTCAACTTGGGCAGTTCCACAAGGTGAAGCCGGGATGCACCCACAGGGATCTTCCACTGTGTTTCATCGATTTCCGCAGACTCTTGAAGATGTTCATCAGATTCCCCAGAGGGTCGCCGATCGATGCTTGTCCTTAGCCCGGAGCGCTTCGCCGTAGTGTGAGAGTTCGCATCCGTTGGCGAGTCTGGGTTGGCGTCTCTCGACAAGGTCGACTCGACCGATCTCCCCAGTAGACTTTGTGGTTTGTGGATGGGGGCTCTGATGAAAGGAGAGCCACTGATACTTGCATCCCGAGAAGTATTGCCCCGAGAGCTGACACTCTCCCTACCGTCAGAAATATTGTCCTCCGCCCGTGGCGACCCGCTGATCATGGTTTCTGCTGCTTCGATATCTTCGCGAGGATACGGTTCTCTGCCCTTGTGAGTGACCTTGCTGGGCCTCAAGTTCTCCTTTGAGTTAGTGTCAAGCGTACGTGACCTCTTCCGAGTTCCTTGATGCTCCCCCTCGGGACCTCCAAACTCGTCTTTGAACCGGCCTCTGAAGCTTTTCAATGCCTTGTCATCCAGGGACAGGGGAGCAGTAGTGGTCTGTTTTCCTGGAGAGTCCTCCAAGCTTGAGCTGCCAGATATCCCCACCTTTTTCTTCCTTTCTGCGCTAGGCACAGGTTCACGTCCCGGCACAATTATTCCCGAATTTCTCTTGGAGCGGCCTTCCTGTGCCTTGGCCTTCCCGACCAGACTCTCCCTCCTGCCTCTCTGTATTGACCTCCAGGCATCTTCCAAAGCAGCGTTATCCCGAACCGAGAAAGGTTGAAGCGGAGCTTTCGCATGGGCGGATCCTTGACCGCCAGTTGAGGGTGGTAGCGCAGTCAACGGGTCATCTATCGGTAGCGGAGAGCTGTAGAAGAACTGCGGCCTGGCAGTTGGGGGGGTTTCTGAGGTGAACCACGAAGATGGATTTGGGTCATCGGCTGCCAGAAAGCATGAAGGTCCGTAGGTATGGATAGGAGCAGCCATGGTGATGGCAGAGAGTAGGTACAGTATCTCTGTATCCGCAAATCACTATCAACGTGAAGAGTTTCTAGCGCAATCAGTCAGACTAAGCCTATGATGGCCTGGCAGGGAGTGACGATGGCACGGTGTAGCACAAAAAGACTTTGAGTGGTCGGTCAGTGCAGCGCGCGCTGGAGGGTCAGCAAGGGAGGGAGATTAAGCATCAAGGAGAGCTTCCAGCTGGCTGAAATTCGGCGAAATGAATGGACGTATCATAGCTTAAAGAGAATAGGTAGCGATCGATGCATGATGATAAGTTTCCGATGGAAGACTGAAGCATTCTCGAGTTTTAAGAAAAAGAACCTGATTGGGAGGGGAGGAAGAGAAACAACTTTCTGGCGATGGGGGTAGGGGAGATGATGACGTCGACCCCACGTGAAAGAGAAAGCATGCAAAACATTTCCCCAACAAACAAACAACAACAACTCAACCCAACTCACACTACAGCTGCCACCTCATCCATTCGAGTTTCACAGCAGTCATGCACCGAGCCACGTTGGTCACTTGAGGCTGTTCATTTGTCTGAGCTCACCTTGTTCGACTATTTCCGCGCTGCTTATGCAATGACTTAGCCACATGATGGAGGTTCGATCGAGACTTCCGCGCGTGACGGAGCGGAAAGCGATAAGAGATACATTTCAGGACTCAACAACATCGCTGATTTGCATTTTTCTAGACTATAGACTAATGACCAGCCAGTACGCTACAGATTACGATCGCGAGGAGAAATGAAAAAGAAATCGAATGAGATGAAAACGAAACGAAGTGCATAACGAAAGGAAGGGGGGAAAAGGCAGCATCAACCGCAATAGCCCGGTAACCGACCAGAGATCCTTCTGTCATCGGCTCGCGCTCAACCACGCTTCATAAACAACAACGCCTGTAGCCGCACGCTTGCAAAGTCATGCATAGCATCCCTGGATGCCCCGAGCATCTCGAGAAGCCTGTGAACTTCGTTCATGTGTTTACGGATTGCACTATCCGGAGTGCAGAAGGTGCGGACGCTCATCTCTTTTCCGATCGCTTTCCAATTGTTCAGATTTGTCCTCAGCTGAACCGGATTGGTCGCGCTTGGTCCGCTGAATTGAACTGTGCAAAGGTTCAATAAGATCAATTGTCGCTGGGTAGCTTGGTCATAATGGAATTCCACTACCCGGGGTCTGTTCTTAGCATCCCAGAAATTGGTGATCTTCGTGATCGATTCGTCGGATAGCAAACCTCGGTGGTACTGTTCAATGAGAAATCTGTTGGCAGCGACACAGATCATGACCTCCATCTGCGAGTAGAGCTTGGCTTGGGTCGGAGCGTCCAGGGAGATGGGCACCGTTCGTGCAGCCCCAAGTCTTTCGTGAAGTGGCCCAGGGAGGTGGGTGCTGGGGTTGGCCTTGAACAAATCACCGGTCTTCGCCGGGGCATGTTAATACAGGGTCTGCCCTTGAAACATGACAGTCACTTACCAGGTCTTCCATCAAATCTTCAACATGCATCTTAAACTTCTTCCCCAGTCTTCGCAAGCCAAGAGACTTATGATTGTTCCCCGCAAGCTCTCTGAGATCTGCATTGCTTCCTAGCCAGCCTTTCTCACCGAAAAGCTTCTTGTGCGCTGACTTGGTCTCGCTCAAGGGGTTGCCAATCAATGAAGCACCAGTCAGGTCTGTTGCAGTTGAGGACAGCTGACGGGTCAGACTGGGCTCTACGGTGGCCGTTTGACCGGCGTCGTGAACACTGTATGGATGGTAGCAGACTTCGTGTCCACGGCCGTCGTGGAGTGTCATGCCCGGCTTCTTTAGCAATTGGATCGTGTCATCGAACTGGGGCCCGTGCATCACGGGCGACGAGGGGGAGTCGAGGGGCGAAAGATCCGAATCGATTCCAACGGGAATGTACTCCGATGAGGATGTTGACTGAGCATCGAGTGGGCTAGCTGCGTAGCTAGTTGGGGAGCTGGACCAGAACTGTATGAACGGCTCATAGAATGGATTGAGCTTAGTAAGGTCGTCATAGTTCAGGTCTCTATCTTTGCTGTCAGTTTCTTGGGGATTAAGCTCGTTTCTGGAACTTACTCCGACTTGAGCACGGTGTACGATGGACAAATGTGGTCGCTCATTGTGAGACTTTTGTTGGGTCAACTTGTTGAATTGGTTTAATTCAGTCAGTTGATACTGAAGCTAGGTAGGCCAGATGTGAGTATGAGACAGAGAAGAGCAGCATCAGGAACAGGATCGGTCGGGAAGAGTGTAGGACGTTTTATGAAGAAGTATGACAGGGAAGATGAGATCTCGATGTCAGTTAGTTCTTTATTGGTCTATTGTCATGAATAACAATGTGTTGTACAGTGGATATAAAGTGCAAGATGATAATATGCTCCCTCAAATGATTTTACTAGCTGGGGTAAAGGATACTCCATTCAGAAGAGAATTCAGGTTAGTGAATAGTCATTCTTATCTGGGACAATGGTGTTGAATAGCCTGTAGCTAGAAATAATCTTTTTCATCAATAGAAGGTTTTATATTTTGAGTCCTCCTGTTTCCATTGATCTCAGCCCCAGAAAGCCAATGATGTCATCAAATTGGTGTTATTGTCTTCGACAATGGTCAACCTATGATAGAAGCCTAAATTGTATGCAGAACCTGTGCTGAAACCTTGAAGCTTCAGCAGCTTCCCTGTCATAAGCTTTCCCTTTCCAGACACGCAACTTGACAGCACGTGCTGCAGATATCGGGCGATTCTGCCTAGGCAGGATTGGAAAGCCCTAGTGTACACTTTGTGTATACTCAAGATGATTCTACATCTATATCACCGCTGATCTGCGCCCAATGCCTAAAGCAGTATGGCGAGCATTTAGCTTCTGGACAAGCATCGGCAGGGACGACAGGCGGGACCGACAAGATCATGATACTCATGGCAATGGCATGAATCGTGAGCATAAGAGTGCATTACCTGTTGCGTGCCTGAGGCACTTGTATCCTCTTCCACCTCAGCTATGTTCGGTCGTCGCAGGTTATTGACATTATGTAATGTGTTACATCTTCCAATGGCGTCCCCTACTTACCGGGTATAGGTCCCATGGAGCCGAGATCTACCGGTGATCTGGGGACCGAGTCAGTCGGGATCGAGCTCAAGGCATTGGAATCGGTAGGCAGCGCTGGCAGAAGATGTGGTCGGAGTAGATTGCCGGGTGGTGGTCGGTAGCGTCGGAGTTACCCCAGTGAACAGCTGGATGCCTCAGGCAAGAATTCTGTCGAGCCTCATACGGAGTACCTATCTGACATCGTAATTCCAAGGTTTTTTGTTCCACATGATGATGCTACATAAACTCTTTGAACACAGTAAAGTACATTGATTGACAGAGATGAGGTATGTCTCTCAATCTCATCTCCCACAATGGCTGAGCCTCGATGCGAGACCTTCCCTTACCTCCGGGCTTGCAGGGACTATCTCCGTACCAATTGCGCAGTGAGTGCGAACTGGTCGGCCATCGGCACGGGCCAAACCAATCCAGTGGGAGGGATTTGGGAGAGGAAATCCCGGGAGAGGCTGCCGAGGAGCAGGGCACGTGACCAATATCTCCACCTGCCGATTTCTTAGCCGCTGCCAGAGTGCGGAGGCTCGGATCGCAGACCGGCAATCCCAGCAACTCCCCGCAAATCCCCCAATTGGAACTGCAGTCAATCCAGTGAATCCACAATCCTGGTTCCTTCTTCTCAGCCTGCAGTTCGGTCGCCCTTTTTCCCCTTACCCCCCCAAGGCTCCTCCACAATCTTGCCCACCATGACCATGAAGTGCCGTTCTACGACTCCGTTGCTTGCCGCTTGGCTGTTTTTGGTGGACCCTGGTCTCAACTCTTCACTCTGTATTTATACCTCCGTCATCCTCGTGTTGTCCAAATGGAATTTCGTTCCCTTGCATCATCACCATCATCATCATAAGCTCAATCAGCAACATTTTCCTTTCTCTCTTTCATTACTCTCCACTCAATCTTTTGGTGGCTGATGATCGTGATCCCGAATCCTTGATCACCGAAGAACTATTTGCTCCCTCCGACGCTATAGTTATCCCGCAAACACCTCCCCAAACAAAACTTTGTGTCGCAAAGTGCCATCATGGTCCACTCCCAAGAAAAGTACGATATCGTCATCGTGGGCGCTGGCCCCGTTGGTATTCTTTTGTCGCTTTGCATGTCTCGTTGGGGATATAATGTCAAGCACATCGATAACCGGCCGGTACCCACCGCCACTGGCCGCGCCGACGGTATCCAGCCCCGCTCGACTGAGATCCTTCGCAATTTGGGCCTGAAGCGCCAGATCATGGCCTACAAGCCCGCCAAGGTCTACGATGTCGCCTTCTGGGATCCTCTCCCCGGAGACCAAGGAATTCACCGCACGGGAAGCTGGCCCAGCTGCCCGCGCTTCATCGATACCAGATATCCCTTCACCACCCTCGTTCACCAGGGTAAGATCGAGCGCGTGTTCATCGACGAGATCCAGAAGGCCGGTACCACCGTCGATAGACCATGGACCATCGTTGGCTTCAAGAACGATGGATTAGACGAGACCTACCCCGTTGAGGTGCAGCTGAAGTGCATCGACACCAACGTGATCAAGACCGTCCGCAGCAAGTACCTCTTCAGTGGTGAAGGTGCTCGCAGTTTTGTCAGACAGGAGCTGGGCATTCAAATCCATCACAAGGACCCCATCTCCTACGTGTGGGGTGTCATGGATGGTGTCGTGAGAACCAACTTCCCTGACATCGAGGTAAGCTTTCCCAATGGCTTTGACAAGCTTGAAAGTGCAGTTACTGATCTTGCATTGCGAACGACAGACTAAGTGCACGATCCACTCCGACGCCGGTTCCATCATGGTCATTCCTCGGGAGGACAACATGGTCCGTCTTTACGTCCAGATCGCGTCGTCGACCGATCCCGACTTCAACCCCCGCAAGACTGCCACCGCCGAAGAAGTGCAGGAGACTGCTAAGAAGATCTTGAAGCCCTACTGGGTCGAGTGGGACCGTGTGGAATGGTACTCCGTCTACCCCATCGGCCAGGGTATCTCGGAACGGTATACCTTGGACGAGCGAGTGTTCATGGGCGGTGATGCTTGCCACACGCACAGCCCCAAGGCTGGTCAGGGTATGAACACGGCCTTCCACGACGCTCTCAACATGGCCTGGAAGATTCACGCCGTCGAGTCGGGATTGGCTAAGCGCGAAATCCTCAAGACCTACGAGAGCGAGCGCAAGGACATCGCCGAGACCCTCTTGAGCTTCGATAACAAGTACGCTGCCTTGTTCTCCAAGCGTCGTCCTACTGCCGGCGAAGTCGGTGAGGCTAGCCACAACGCCGCTGCGACCAATGCCGAGGAGGACCCGTTCGTCAAGACATTCAAGGAATCTTGCGAATTCACTAGTGGCTATGGTGTTGCCTACAAGTCCAGTGTCTTCACTTGGGACGAGACTCACCCCGCTCAGTCTCCTCTGTTCAACATCCCTGGTGTGAAGCTGACCCCTGGTCGTGCCTTCACTCCTAGCACCGTCACCCGCTTGGCTGATGCTAACTTCGTGCACTTGGAGCAGGAGATCCCTGCCAACGGTGCCTTCCGCATTTTCATCTTTGCCGGTAACCAGGCCAAGACCAACAAGGCGATCGCCGACTTGGCTGCCAACCTGGAAAAGGAGCGCTCCTTCCTTTCGGTGTACCGCAGAAGTGACATTGCCGATGTCTCTTTCTTCGAGCGCCACCTTCCTCACTCCAAGCTGTTCTCTCTCTGTGTGATCTATGCCTCTGAGAAGAACAAGGTTGACATGGCGGCCGTGCCCAAGATCCTCCGGGATTACCACCACCACATCTACGCTGACGATATTCCCGATGTGAGAGTCCCTCACGCCAAGTTTGCCGCTCACGAGAAGCTCGGGTTCGACCCTGAGGTGGGCGGTGTTGTCGTTACTCGCCCAGACAGCCACATTGCCTGCACTGTGCAGCTGGTGGAGGGCAGCGGCACCGTTGACGCTCTCAATGCCTTCTTTGGCTCCTTCTCGACCAAGCCCCTGGGCCAGGATCAGCAGGCCAGCCGCCTGTGAGGAATGAGATTTTGAGATGTTTGTAATTTATGGGAGACCGACCTGCAGCTTCAGGGTCTGATGTACATAGTTTCCTTGTTATCCTCGCAGTTTTTGGTTCGTTCTATTGAAGCGATTGCGGCCTGGCATGGTTGGCGTTATTGTATCATTTCTCCGAAATTCAAATTCATATCATTTTCAGGAAATTATTCGCAGTAAATTCGAGTCCCACAATTCATAGAGAAATTGTCAGCGAAAAGCGCATTCCAGAAAGAAAAATGATGTAAAGGCGGCGAGGGCGGTATCTCTGCCGAAGTTGTGACGGCCCCGCACCGGAGCTGGGTATAACTTCGTCCTCACCAGCAACCTGCCAAAACAACACCCTCCAGAAATACCTGCCAAAATGCTTTCCCTCATCCTGTCTGCAGAACTCACTGGGTAAGTGGTGCTACTTCTTTCCAAACTGGACTCAGCCATCCGAGCCCCGCGCGTCTCACCCCCAAGGTTCTCATGTTTCTGCCCATCATGCTTTGCTCTTCCCCGCACCTGATGCAATTTGGCTTCACAAAATCTTATGCATGAATGTAAAGGGCCCTAAATAGTCGCTGATTCGCTATACCGGCGTATTAGAGTCAACGAGCTCCGTCCCAAGGACACTGAAGAGGAGCCCTATTACTTCACCTTCAAGGTCCAATGCACGGGCTGTCGCGAGGTTCATCCCAACTGGGTCAGCTTCAACCGCTTTGTAAGTTAACACACAGCTTTTCATCCCAACCACGACAACTCTTTCTTGTCCTGAATTGAATAATCTCACACTTCAAATACAGGAACAGCACGAAATCCCCGGAAGCCGTGGCGAGGCGAACTTCGTGTGGAAATGCAAGCTCTGCCAGGTAAGTCAGCTGGACATAACCCTGCAGCAACCATCTTGCCTCCTCCCGCCGGCAGTATTCGTATCAGAGAAGAGAGACTGATTCTGGCATCCACCAGAAAACCCACTCCGCCTCGATCATCGCGGGCCCCAACGCCTACGAGGCGAACGACAAGCGCTCCGGCCAGAAGGTGATTGATATCGACTGCCGTGGTCTCGAGTTTACGGATTTCAAGCCTGATGTAAGTTCCTTCCTGGTTTGCATTGCGCGGGGGGTATTGGTAACGAAGGCTTATGTGATTTCTTTGATCAGGGCGACTGGGAGGCTAAGGGTGTTGAGTCGAATACCCCGTTCACTGGCATTGATTTGTCCGAGGGCGAGTGGTATGACTACGACGAGAAGGCTAGCGATGAGGTCGCCATTAAGGAGATTTCCTGGAAGGTGGGAAGGTCTTGAGGACTATTTTATTTTTCATTGATTTAATGAGGATTACTATTCCCTTCTTCTGTGCACATTTGTCGATGAATGTGGCGTTTTAGCCGAATTTGACTTGACTTTTGGCATTCGGTGTCCTGGATAAGATATTACGTGGTATTGGGTCCAAGGTAGTGATGTATGGAATTGAGATAATAAGCTATTCCACCAAGTCGGATTCTACAGCATTTCTGCTCCTAGCTTGAAAGCAAGAATTAAGCAGCAGATCGGATACTGCAGTGCTTTGGAAGGCGGTGACGCAATGCGAGTATCTGATTGGGCCATACCTGCGTCTAGCCGCATCACATTTTCGCGGTATCTCCAGCCCGGCTGCCGTCAACTTGGCGACACTGCGATCAGTCGCTCGACACACTCAACCTCCCAATCCTCCACAACACACGATCATCCCCTTCTTCGACTTCAACCCGGGGACCTCACACGCATTTCTCGCAGGTAACCTTGTTTCTACCTGCCGCGAATCTCCGCTTCGCTTCGTTTTACCACCCCCAAGCTTGCTGAATAGCTAGCATCCGATCAGATTCCAGCAACATGAGTGTACGCACTGCGTTCCTCCCCCGTCACAATCTCTTTGAGCTTGGGCTAGAGAGAATGTCCTCACTGGACCCGAAATGCTGACTTGTAATTCTGCAGTTCAACCCTGTCAACCCCCGCCCTTTCCTCCAAGCTAGGTATGCCCACCCTTCGCTGCGAGCTTCCCGCTTCTCCTTCTCATCGGCCGCGCACCTCTCCTCCACCGCATACAAAACATCTCGTCTGTGTCAATCAAATTCTAACATAATGTCTTGGAAACCAGGGTCGGCGAAGAGGTCATCATCCGCCTGAAATGGGGCCAAACAGAGTACAAGGGCAAGCTGGAGAGCATCGACTCGTACATGAACGTGCTGCTGCGGGATACGGAAGAGTTCATTGATGGCAAGGACACGGGAACTCTGGGTCTGGTGCTGATCCGGTACGTTTCTTCGTTGCTGAGGCGGCTTCGGGGGCTGGGTTTCCCTCGGAGGGAGACATCGGCCCCGGTGTTCTCCCCGAGCAAACAATCCACGCATAGCCACGCCTTAATCATGATCGCTAACGTCGTTCCTTTTCCCGATTAGATGCAACAACATCCTCTGGATGGGCTCCGCGGCAAACGTCGAGATGACGGATCTGGGATTACGGTAAAAAAAAAAGACATAGGTGGTGGCGGGGGTTTCTTTATCAATTCGATCCGATTCGTGACAACCTACCTACCAGTGCGAGTAGGACGGGGACGACAATCTGATACCTTACTCTTTTTCGTCTGCTCTTTCCATTATTATATACCAAATCGAATATCTTCTCCGATGGAAATCAAGAACAGAAAAGAGAACCACACAACCTCGTCTTTACGCATACCACAGACAGGGAGGGAAGTTGTTGGGACTGACGAGGAAAACGATTGATCAGAGGTCGTTGGATTGAGGCTTTCGGGTGTGATCAGGGGAACGAGCAGGGGTTTCGCCCGACATCGCATTTTTCTATCTTCTATGCTATTTATTTCTGGAATATGGCGTTCTACTGAATATCGTTTTCCTCTTTCAGTCATGAACTTTTCAAGGTTAGTTTATGGGTTGAATACAACTTATACATTGTGTGGTGCTTTGTCGAGGCGATTGATCCTTGTTTTGTGGGTGGATGACGCATTTGATGTCCATTCGAATCAATAACGAGGTGGACGAAGATGACCTTGGGGTTATGGGTGGAAAACCCGTTCAATAGCTTGGTGTCTGGTTATAGAGTGGCTATCTCGGTCTTATATCGCTCTTCATATTCTCGTCATGATGCTACTATTCACCAACGCAGAAAGAGCATCATCATCCCTCAAGAAACCCATGTCTCATGACCTAGCTAGGCTAAGAACATGCTAGAACTTTCGATATCCCCCTCATAAGGGTGTTGCACGTCTAAATACAGTCTCGCCTCCGTCGAATCCAGTAGTCTACTTGGTCCATGTAAATCCAGCAATTGAGACAGCTCCAGAAATACTCACTTTCCAATTCAAACCCGTTCTCAACGAAACGACTGTGAGTATACCCACGTCGAGGGTGTCACATTAAGAATGCTTCACACAGGGACCCGGTGTATATCATGAAGACGCTAGATGGACCACGATGCCAAAACATCTGCTGGTACCGAATGTTCCTTCTTCTTGCATTGCACTTTCCCTTCCTAGGTTCTTTCAATATAATTCTCTCCTTTCCTCAATCTCTCTTTGATCGCATACCCTAGATCATTTGGGTTCCGATGTCATCTATTTATCCCATGGATACATAAAACATGGCCAAGGAGGGGACTGTAATCTCTATTGTCTTTTTCGTCTCCCATCCAGCTTTTGATAAACACAGCACGAATCCATCCTGGCTGCATGAACAATTTAAAGACGAGTAAGCTAGATGGAGGAATGGAAGATCCGAGAGTCAAGCTAGGGAGATATTGACCGTCGCAGAGCTCAAGTCATGAACTTCGCCCCGCCTGTCATGTAAGGCAACTCCTGCGATCAATGGCTGTTTTCTTTTCCAAGTCTGAGGCCATGGCTCTTATACTCGACTCAGAATGGACCAAACCCTCTTCCTTTGAAGGTTAACCTGGAGAAGTGCAGTGAAGCTGGAAGTAGGAGGGTAGTATGGAGCCTCTCTCACTGCTTGAACATAATGTGTTCCAAATTATGGTATCATTGTAGTGACGCTATGCCGTGTCGTTGGCGAGGTAGTAGAACATGTGCCGTGAAACTAGAGGTGAACCGCTTCATACCGATACTTGAGTCGGGCTTCCAATGGTCAAAGTGACGGTGTACTCGATTGATGCACGCCTCAAGTCAGTGGCATACTGCTATGAGCTCAGATACACTGTCAAGGTGGTTAGCTTGAATACAGACACAAAGTAGGTATATTCAGTGATCTCGAGCAAATATCTGTAAGCTTTCAAACCAGCAGCGGTAATTTTATCATACCCCTTCCAGCAAAATGGACTCTTATTTGAATTCCAAAGACTGCCTCAGGAATTGAATTGAAAAGGAAGGGCCGTCGCCTGTGTACGGAAGCATGCGATATCTCCCCGCATCGGCCCTTCTCCGGGACCTTCTTTCCCCTCACACTTTCCTCAACGTCATCTACACCATGGCACCCCCCTACCTTGAATATTTGCTGCCGCTGCCAGTATGCAGCAATGTGGAGTGAAGAATGGCCCTATCCACCTGTCTACCCACGACAGTGACACGTTAGCAACCCCCATTCGAGTCGTCGCGTTCGTTGGAGCCTGTATTCATCGTGACTCCACCGATCCTCATCTGGCGTCTCACAGTGGCGACAACGGAAAAAGCGTTCGGGTAATTGACAACACCGCGAGGCTCGAGCCCCCTTTCGCAGAGCGCGGGTTGCCGATATCTAACCAGCCTCGCCTCGGTTGTCCTACTCGCTTTAGAAGAGGGTTCCTTCCAGGCACAGGCAAAAAATCCGTCACTGGCAGCAGGTCAGCATCACCATGCATATCTATGCAGCGGCACCTCTGCAGTAACAGCAGCAGTGTCTGTATTCGTGGGCCAACATGAACAACTGTGCGCCTGCACGCACAGGAATACCTCTTAAGGAACTCTTCTCGATCACTGAACCATGGATGGAGCAGGTCAACCGATTCCCAATGGCGATCCACAAACCCTCCGCCCTTTCCGTCCAATGGCCCGCAATGGATCCGCTGCTTCTATCTTCATACGGTAAAGATCGAAACGGATTGTGGATATCCACGAAGAAAAAGTGGAAAAAATTCATCAGTGCCGCTATCTTAGGTTATCAGTGTGGGCGGCCTCCTTAAAATGCCCCAGGCTTCCGGGGGCTGCTCGCCTTCGTTTCGTTCTTCAGACTGCGTGTATTCTTTTCTTCTTTAGTTTAGCAATTGATTTTCTTTTCCGTCATGGACCTCCCGCTTCCCAATGATATTCTCCTCCTGGTTGGGGAGTTCGTGGAAGATCATTGGGACCGTTACAATCTGCTCTTGGTCTCTCATCGATTTCATGACTTGTTTCTACACTTGCTTTACCGAGCTGCCACTTTGAAGAGCTGCGCTCAAATTCAATCGTTCCTGGGAGCGCTGCTCCATCGCCCCGAGCTGGCTCGGGCTGTCCGCGCAGTGGACTTTCATGACTGGCAGCAGTCTCGAGCGGCCTCAGCTTCTTATCCGTTCGCCGTGACTGATTCAACACATTTCATAAACTTGGCGGAAACCCTCAGCCAGACCGAAGAAGAACAGAAACGATGGGTTCAGGACCTCTCGAATGGAGTCGCGGAAGCATGGTTCGCTCTTCTCTTGCCCTTAATAGGCAATCTGAGACATCTTCAGCTGGCGTACTCCAAGAACAACAATTACCTTGACCGTATGATGCAACGAGCCGTGAAGGGGGAGAATCCATTTCACGTTCAGCCCGCCTTCCGCATGCTGCAAAGTGTTTCCTTGAGCCATTTGCCGGACGACGAGGACAGCCGAGGGAGCTTCACGCCGTTGCAGGTCCTTCCATTCTTTCAATTGCCATCCATGCGAACCTTTTCCGCCGATTCTGTCCTCGAGTCTATGCAATTAGAGGAGAGTGAGTCGCAACTGACGGAAACCGTCAGCTCCTCGCCCATTACAGAGATCACACTCCGCACGAGTAGTGGTTCCCGGGGTATGGTGAGCTTGATCGCTGCCTGCTCTTCCCTGAAATCGTTCAAGTATCAGCACTCCGATTCGCACCTTCTGGCCGAGGGCTACCGGCCATCCTCTTTCTACCGATCGCTAGACGCGAGCAAAGGTTGTCTGCAGAGTTTGTGGCTAGATAATTGCGGCACCCACCTACCTTTCACCATCGCTGGGGCAAACGAGACACACGACGAATGGTTCGGTCCATTGACTGAGTTCACCGCGCTGAAGGATTTGCGTATTCGTCTGCCTAACCTGCTCGATGTCCGCTACCAACTCGATCCATCCTGCCCACTTATGGATATTCTTCCGGCGTCGCTGAATTCCCTTTATGTGGAAGGATGCAAAGAGAACTCGCTGGGTATGCTTGTGAGACAGCTGAAGTCGGTGCTCCAGAAGCGCAAAACACAGTTCTCGAATCTGAAGCGACTAGATATCGAGGGCTCCTTCCACGACGAGGAGGACGAAGAGGCGTCTGGCTATCAGGCGTCCGACTCAACGAATCAGAGGTTCATCCGACCACGGGTGTATGAGATGGCTGAACCGCTACGCGAGGTGTGTGCCGAGGCAGGAATTGACCTCTATCTTCGCGACCGTGACTGTCTGGACACGATGCGAGATTATTTCTGATGACGTCATCACTTTTTGATTTGCGATCGATAGACATTTCAGACTGCATTGCTTTGATCACTCAGCGATACCCGATAAATGTTCTTGCTTTTAGATTTCTCGTGTCGGTTTCCGCGCTTTAATGTTCATACAGGATTTAGCGCTATTCTGGACCATCTTGGATATATCATGATATTTTATACTGCATTAACATCGGGAGGTGAACTAACAATGCCTCGTATTTGGATATTTCTGAAACAGGAATATATGATCAGAAACCTTCATGTTGCCTCACTCGATCGGCACGATTTTTGAATAGTCTTATTCCTTTCCCTGGTCTGCTTGTCAAAGTCTATCAAGCTCGCCGAGAAGGGATTGATCATGTTGATGAGACGAGGTAGTCATGTTGTTGGCTTCTTGTTGGGAAAGCAATTTGTCGATCTCGTAGTGCAAAATTCTCCGTCTTCCCGCAGCTTGATTTATTGACATCCGCTGTCAATATGTGCGGTGAATTGAACATCACTCAGTCACCAATTAGACTCTCCTTGGGGCATCGTGCTTCACGACTGCATTGAGTCATGCGACACCCACTTCAAACTAACAAGGCATAATGTGCCAATGAGGCTCTAGATATTCACAACAGAACTAGACTACGGCGTTCTTGCTCAAATCCTCAGGTGTGTCTCTCAACGACAGTCACTGGTCAGAGGTGGATACTGGTGGAAACAGGATCTGCTTTTAAATGGGTGAGATCTGGCCTCTCACCATAGCTCTTATCCCATAGTCCAGAAATGATTATACAGAGCATCATACTAAACCTTTATCGATATATGCTAGTCCATCGGCGCGGCTATGATGCAGCAGCCTGGAGCCAGTGTGTGTTCTGGAGCCAGTGTGTGTTCTGGAACCCGATCAGGTCGGATAACCGGCACTCCACCGTCTCGAGCAAGGATGAATAAGCATCGACTCATGTTCAGGCACTGCACCTGTGGTGCCCTGTGTGCCTGGATGATGTCAAGGCTGGTAATGCTTACAATTGTCTACCCGCTGCAACAAGGCTCTTTCTCCTCGCGTGGCTTTATCTGGTCTCCATATAGGGAACCCGTTGCTTGCCACCCTCAGCTGATAGCCGATATGACGTTCCCTGCCCCTCGGAAGAGGGGGTTACAGTTCTGTGAGCTGCTTTGACATCATTGACCAATTTATGTCCAGATAAAAGAGCAGCAGCACGCGTATGATTTCCTGCGTTACATATTACTCTTTCAGGCGAGACCGTTGGAGCACTGGCCATGGTGGAGAGAAACGCACAGACCGGCAGCCCTTCCCCGGAGTTTCGGTCGAGTCATTCTAGCGCTTCTAGTACTGTCTTGCATGATGATGTCGAAAAGCAACATCTTGACCGTGAAGAGAAGGATGGGAAGGACCCGAATATTGTTGATTGGGATGGTCCAGATGATCCGGTGCGTCATATATCTACGCTTTGGCAACCTGTCATGGTCACTGACTATGGCATTCAATTACTCAGGAGTATCCTCCCAATTGGTCTAGAGTACGCAAATGGATGATCACCATCATCCTCGGTCTGATGACCGTATCAGTCACATTCGCCTCGTCTGTCTTCAGCACAGCCGCGGCAGTGACGGCTAAGCAATTTGGGGTTTCGGAGGAAGTGATGATTCTGGGCACTAGCTTGTTTGTCCTGGGATATAGCTTTGGGCCGCTGGCGTTCGGCCCTCTGTCTGAACTATACGGTCGCAAGACGCCCCTCTTCGTGGGCTTCTTCATCTTCGCCATCTTCCAGATCCCGGTGGCAGTGGCTCAGAACCTGCAGACGATCTTTGTTTGCCGGTTCTTCGGCGGGCTATTCGCCAGTGCCCCACTAGCCATCGTCGGCGGGATGCTTGCCGACTTCTTTAACCCGGTTGAACGCGGCATCGCCATGGCTGTCTTTGCGGGGAGTACCTTTGTCGGCCCCGTAGCTGGGCCCATCGTCGGTGGGTTCATCACCATGTCGTATCTGGGCTGGCGCTGGACCGAGTACATCACGGCCATCATGGCCTTCTTCTTTGGCACTGTCGGATTCTTGATGGTGCCCGAGACATTCGGCCCGGTCCTGCTGCAACGCCGTGCGCGACGCCTCCGACACGAGACGCGCAACTGGGCGCTCCACGCACGCTCGGAAGAGGAGCCGATCGACCTTAAAAACATCGCGCAGCGATACCTCGTGCGTCCGATCCTAATGCTTTTTTTCGAGCCCATTTTGCTTTTGATCACGTTGTATATGGGCTTCATTTACGGGTTCCTGTATCTGTGCTTCGAGGCCTACCCGATTGCCTTCCAGGAGATGCGCGGATGGAACGAGGGTGTTGGTGCCTTGCCATTTATCGCAGTTACCTGTGGTGTAATTGTAGGCTGTGGGATAATCATTACCTTTACCAAGACCCGGTTCCAGGCTGTCTTGCGAAGGACTGGACATATTGTCCCCGAGGAGAGGTTGATTCCCATGATGATCGGCGGGGTGTTGTTACCGGCGGGCATGTTTTGGTTTGGATGGACTTCCAATCCGGGGATCTCTTGGGTGCCCCAGGCTATTTCTGGTGGCTTTCTGGGGGCGGGCATTTTGTTGATTTTCATGCAGGTAAGTCTACCAACCCCTCCATTTGACATCATATACCATGAGTGACAGTCACTGTATCTGTCTATATGTGAGCGGTAATGATCGTGTATCATCAGCGAGCTGATCGTACGGGGAATGCTATCCAGGGCCTCAATTATATCATCGATTGTTACGGCGTCAACTCCAACTCGGCCATTGCAGCGAACTGCTTCTTCCGGTCCGCATTGGGAGCAGGGTTCCCCATGTTTGCGTTGCCCATGGTATGTCTTCTTGTGGCGATACTTACGATGGATAGCTGATTCGATGCAATGATTAGTTCCATAACCTGGGAGTTAATTGGGCAATGACTCTTCTGGGATGCTTGACTGCGATCTTGTTCCCAGTGCCGATCTTGTTCTATATCTTCGGAAAGCGAATTAGGTCGTGGAGTCGATTTAGTCCGAGTGAGGAGTAAGCGGGGGCTTTTGATTTTTTGATTGTATAGTAGGACTCAGGTTAAAGAATTCTTGTACATACATAGGTAGCAGGATCTTATTGACACACAAAATACGAGGTATACGGGATACGATGGAACTCGAGGCACCTCTGAGAGGCGTGGAAAAGGTGATATTCATGGCTATCGAGGAACTCAGAGAAACGAGGCTATCAACATGGCAACGAGGGCGGTGAGCAGACCTCTGAGAGGCCTCAGGCTCGTCAAGATAAGAGTCCTGCCGGATAAACATCGCTCCGTATGTTATCTTCGGTGCCGACAACAACAATAAATCCGCTTCACCTCCATTCTTCAGCTGTGACTGAACAACAGTCATCGGCGATGGTCGCCACCACATCATCAACTGCCCGGCCAACTTCGGCCGCCGGACTTGGTGAGGAAGAGAATCATGTAGATGAAACTACGGCTCTTCTGGCTTCCAGCAAGCGTACTGATGCCGATCCTGTCACACACGGCTCGGATGCCTCGGACGCTTTGGCAGCGTCAGATGACGAGGAGGACAAACCTCTGCCCAAGGTTCAAATTCTGCTGCTTTGCTATGCACGGGTGGTGGAGCCCCTCGCTTTCTTCTCCATCTTTCCCTATATTAGCCAGATGGTCCAAGACAACGGGGGCGTGAAGGACTCCGACGTCGGCTTCTACAGTGGGCTCATCGAGTCACTGTTCTCGCTGACGCAGGCCATCGTCATGATCTTTTGGGGTCACGCAGCCGACCGCATCGGGCGGAAACCGGTGCTGGTTTTCTCGTTGTTTGGCGTGACCGTGGCGACGGGCCTCTTCGGGCTGGCCAAGACCATCCCGCAGATGATTCTGTTCCGGTGTCTGGCGGGCGTTTTTGCGGGCACCATTGTCACCATCCGCACCATGGTGGCCGAGCACAGCACGAGCAAGACCCAGGCCCGCGCCTTCAGTTGGTTCGCCTTCAGCGGGAACCTAGGCATCTTCCTGGGCCCTTTGCTGGGGGGCAGCCTGGCCGATCCGGTCCACCAGTACCCTGGGGTCTTTGGCTCTGTCCGTTTCTTCGCAGACTATCCCTACGCGCTGTCCAGTCTGGTGGTTGCGATGGTCGGCGCGACTGCTGCGTTCTCTAGCGCCTTCTTCGTGCAAGAGACCTTGAAGAAGGAGCCCGCTGCTGCATTGGAGCAGGAGGGCGAGGAGGCAGCAACACCCGGCGCGCCGATCGCGAGCGGCGACCTCTCGACATGGGAGTTGCTGAAGTCCCCCGGAGTGGGGATGGTCATCTATACCTATGCGCATATCATGGTCCTCGCTTTCGCGTACACGGCCATCATCCCGGTCTTTTGGTTCACCCCGCCGCACCTCGGGGGCTACGGCTTCACAACCCGACAAATGTCGCTACTGATGGGTCTTAATGGCGCTGCCCAAGCGACGTGGCTCCTTTTGATCTTCCCACCCCTGCAGAAGCGCATCGGGACCAACGGGGTGATCCGCCTGTGCGCCTATGCCTATCCGTGGTTCTTCCTGTCCTGCCCAGCGGGCAATCTTCTCCTAAGAATAGGCACCGAGACCTCCATCAAGGTGTTCTGGGTCTTGCTGCCGATCGCCCTGGCCGTCGGGTGCGGCGTCAGCATGAGTTTCACGGCAATCCAGCTCGCGCTCAATGACATCGCCCCGTCGCTCAACGTCTTGGGCACGCTGAACGCGCTGGCTTTGACCGGGGTGAGCGGGCTCAGGGCGTTCTGCCCTGCTGTGTTTGCGAGTTTGTTCGCCCTTGGGGCGGTATCGCAGCTGGCCGGGGGCTACGCTATTTGGGTTCTGATGATTCTGCTTGCATTTGCGTTGCCTGTAGCCGCGCGACGTCTGCCTGAGTCGCAGGAAGTACGCAAGCGTCAGAATGTGCGGGACAGGTGATGCACTCTTCTGAGGGTATGGAATATAGTATGTTATAGACTGGATGGGTATCTTTGATCCGTTATCCTGAGATGAAGACTTTAATATGACGAGCATTTAGACGGGGCTCTATATTATCACAACCTCATTGCTCAGATAAAAGGCATTGCGTTAGCTGAAATGACAGGTCCGACTAAGCCTCCTTTGAGGCTGAAGGGATCATGTGACCAGGGCTAGACATGAATCACGCCAACAACAATCTATCACGACTAGCAGACTCCTTCACAGGGAACCGAACCCATCACAAGCCGGCCATCCTTCGTGTAATCCAAGCGTAAAGTATATACTAGATTGAGTGGATCCCTCACTCAACCTAGATCAGCCATGCACCCACAGCGGATTCAATCCTCAGGACCTGGACCCTGAATCATCTGAGGTCTTCGTCTTTCTAATACGTAGAAAGTTTAACGAAAATGTCGTTGACACCAATACTTCTAGTAAAATATCAGATAGCTTGACCCCCTAATCTTGCAGGACTCTGGCCCCCAAATCCCCCCCACTCCGCCCGGGCTTGTCAATGGAGCCAAGCGCGCCGGGTGTCTCACTTGGTAGCTTGGCAGACTCTGAGCTAGACTGTGTTCAGGCAGGCCAGGGGCTAAGGGCCACATGGCAGGACAACGCCGCGTAGGGAGGAGGAGATTTGGTGTAGCATAATGCACGATGTTATAGGGTCGGGGGGATGTGCGCAGACCCTCAGACCCTTATTATGTGCTCCGCCTCCCTGGTCCCGGGGTTGGAGGTAGTAGAATAAAAACTTCCGCTTTTCGTTTGCAGTTTTGATGATCCTTCTGATTGAGAGTTAATGATTGATTCCCCTTCTACCCTTGTGTATGCTTTAGGGTTTCTTGCTTTATATCCTAATATACCCCCATCTTCAACAAAGATTATATTGTCTTTATTCCCAAGTGACGACACGACATATACCCATGCATTAAGCTTGAGCCCAAAAGCTCAACCAATCCTCCGCGCGGTCCCCGATCCTTGTGGGCCCTGAAGCCCTAACTTCCCCTCCACCACCACCACCTTCACCCCATCCCATCTTATCCCCTTCCACTCACCCACCTCCCGGTCAAAAATGAACCCAACAAGCACAGACGGCAACTGCGGTGCCAACTCCGAGACAAATGCCACATGCCTAAATTCAAACTACGGCAACTGCTGCTCCGCCAAGGGCTACTGCGGATCCACGTCCGCCTACTGCGGCGACGGCTGCAACGCGCACTTCGGAACATGCACTTCCCAACCCAACAACACCAACACCAACACCAACGCCCCTACAACGCAGCAGCAACCTGTCAGCACCGATGGCAACTGCGGCCCTAACTCCTCCACCAAAAACGCCACCTGCCTGACCTCCCCCTACGGCGACTGCTGCTCCGCCAAGGGCTACTGCGGATCTACGTCCGCCTACTGTGGCGACGGCTGCAACGCACTCTTCGGGACGTGCGACGACCCGACGACGCAGACGGTCAGCACGAGCGGGTCCTGCGGCGGCACGGCAAACAGCAACGTGACGTGTCTTGGGAGTGAATTTGGGGATTGTTGCTCGAAACTCGGGTATTGTGGGCGGAATGATGCGTATTGTGGGGTGGGGTGTCAGGTTGGGTTTGGGGTTTGTGATCGTTCTGGGACGGGGACCGCCACACGGACCGCGACAGGGACCGCGACGGCTACGGCTACGGCCTCGCAGCGGGCTTCGACGGACGGGGCCTGCGGCGTCGGGGTTACGTGCGTTGGGAGTGAGTGGGGGGATTGTTGCTCTGGGCATGGGTGGTGCGGTGGGAATGGGACCTATTGTGGTGCTGGGTGTCAGGCTGAGTTCGGGGTTTGTGATGGTGATCTTTCTTCGGGCGAGGGGGGGCTGGGGAAGGGCGCGATTGCAGGAATCAGCGTTGGTGCGGCCGTCGCGGCTTGTATCGTGCTGGCGTTGATTGGGTTCTGGCTGTTTAGGCGTAGGAAGAGTCGTGCTCCAGGGATGATTGATGGGTCCTCGGGGCTGCAAGAGCCTAAGATGCCCCCGGAGATAATGCCTGCGCAGTCGTCGGAGCAGGCGGCTAAGCTGTATCCCTACCCCGTTGAGGCCATGGGGCAGCCTGCTAAATCCCTTGTTGAGATTGGGCAGACTCATGTCATGGGTGAGCTGGATGGGAGGTCCGTTCTTGAGCCGGTCGAGTTACCGGCTCATCGTTGATGGTTTGTTACGGGTATTGGATATATCTGTTGAGGGCGTTGGCTATCATATTTGAACTGGTTATGCTTGATTATTGAATTTGGGCTGGCTGCGAGAGCGAGCTCAACTGTATTGGATGTGGTTACAGGCGTTATGCGGCAAAAAGGGGGCATACCGTAATCGAGGCTTGATTTTTAAACCTTGTCTCACTGTTTTGATATGGAAAGCCCTAGCAGCTTGGGTTGCCACACAGGCTGGAATGAGGTTATAGTGAAACAGGACATGGCTCACTGGATGGAGATAGTCCTAACATCGTTCTCTGAGAACATACACGCTACAGGACTGTCCTTATGGCGCCTTCACTTAGATGTGACCTATGCAAACTCATCTAGCATGGGATTCCCGCTTCGCCGTGCGGCGTTCAGCATTCTGGCTAAGTCTGCATTGACGCGATGGTTTACAAGACACAATTGAAAGCCAATGGCTGAAGACTATATTGCCGCTTGACGACTTACGTTTGGCGGTTATTTCCACAAAGGAGTAATGAAACTCATGACAGACTAAGGATATTATATAGGGTAGTATACCGCTCACCTCCATGAGGATTGGTGACGCTGTTGTGGTTGACGACCATTGACTCAACTAGCACAATTTATAAGGGCATGTCCACCAGCAAAATGACTAGCATATCCGAGAGGCATACCACCATCCTCACTGTCGGGATCACTAGCACCATCATCACCCAGTCTACGACCACCATTCCTGCTGCAGATGGCGGCAGACCCTGCATAACCCGGCATCCACTCGAGCAAAAACCTGATATTGACGCCCTCAAGCGAGCCCGCCGACCAAACGGGCGACTCCGGCGTCACCGCGCGAAGCCACTGATGGAGGAGCAGGCTGTCCTTGTCAACGCTGAAGGTCTTGCGGCCCTCGAACTCATACCGCAGAATCAGTCTCACGGGAAATGGCGCCCCCTTCCATTCCCCCTCGAGGAACACATGCTCCCGAAACAGCTGCACGCGATCGCCCGCGCTGATGCAGCCATCCAGGTCCTTCACGCCCGCAAACACCTCCCGCACCATCGGGAACCCCGCATGCGCCAGCATCCACAGGCTCTCCACCTCCCAGTCCTCCCCCGGCAGCATCATGTTCTCGGGAATCGTCCACTCGACTCGCGACCCGAGGAGCTCGGCGCCGACGGCAAAGAGACCGCACAGGTTATGCGAGAACTTCTCGTACGCGCCCATCGCGCTGTATTTTGGGTACTTGGTGATATGTGGGACGGTAAACGTCCATCCCTTTGGAAGGGCAAGACAGTGAATGGGGGGTCGAGGACTCATTGCTGATTGGGGATTGTTTTGGGATGCGGACCAGGTTATAAGATCAGCTTTTTCTTGGGCAGGGTTGGCTGGGCCCTGTCACAGGGACTGGACCGGTCTTTGACCTGGTGTGACCGTGGATCAAAAATGATTTGTGCCTCTTTATAGCTATGTTGAATGTCAAGGCGAGGAGCAGGAAAGCTCCGCTAAACTGTCTTCTACGTTGAAAGGTACCTACAATGGTTTGCCATAGCAAGGGCTTGACCCTGGCCTTGAATGGAGGTCTTCCTTCGTTTAGTGCTCCGGATATAAGTTCTTGCTGATGGTATCGAAGAAAAACATCTTGGCCTTTCTGCCTGCGCCTTTCTGTACAGACCTGGAAGCTTCAACTGCGCTACTCTGCGCTAAATCTTTGCGCAGAAAGGGGGAGTTAGCGTACGGTAAGGCATTCACATCGGGGCTGTGTAGAGAAGTCCACTGGGTTCATTGAAGGTCGACTTTTGCGGGGTGATAGGTACCTCAAGACATAATGGAAGAACCGGTCCCCCCGACACTATACCAGAGGTGCTGACGTTTGGCATGAAAGGGTTGTTTGCTGAACTCGGTATGATGTGATTGTTTGTGTTTGGGGAACAAAGACAAGGTTGAACAAAACGCATATGGCGCTAGTATTTCATTTTTTAATTTTACCGATTAGATAGATTGGGCTTTGCTTGTAGACTCTTCGATTTGCCCGTAGCCTTCTTCAAACACCTGGTTCTGTCCCCATCCAGATCACCGATCAATCGATGCTCTCACACAACCAAAATTGCGAACTACAGCCCACGAACGAACCCGTCAACCAACCTCTCAACCTCGGCCGGGGCTTCGGTGGGCGGAAAGTGATTTACCCCCGGTAAGACCTCCAGGCGACAGGACGGCATCGCGTGCACGACGGGCCGCGCACAGCATGCGACCGGGGACGCCCGATCCTCTCCTCCTTGCACCACCAAGGCCGGAACCGCGAGTGCCGAGTAGCGGTCGCCGATTGCAAACGTTAGCAGGGCCGATGCGTTGTGTCGAAGGGCGTAGGCCGGCCACTTTGCGGCCTCGTGGGCAGTTGCGGCGTCCAGACCCATACCGGTGAAGAGGGCGACGCAATGGCTGGGAGTATCGATACCCGCAAGCACCGCCTCCAGCGGCAGGTGGGTAGCTAGGTGTTGGCCGTCGAAGTGTACGGCGGTGTAGACGATGCCTTGGACGTGGTCGGGGTGGGTGAGGGCGTACTCCGCCGCAATGTTGCCGCCCATCGAGTGCGTCACGAGCACGACTCGATCAAGGGCAAGGTGTTGAAGCACAGCATGTAGGTCGGCTGCGTGGCGGGCAATGCTGTATGCGTCGGCGGGAGTGGGCTTCGAGGACCGTCCGTATCCTCGGGAGTCGTAGGCGACGCAGCGGTACCGGGATGCCAGTCGGTCGATCAAGGGTTCCCAAATGTGGGTTACCCCAAAGTATCCCGATACAAAGACTAGTGTGGTGTCGCCGGTGGTGCCATGCTGCTGGAAGTAGATCTCCTCCTGGTCGTCGGTGGTGGTGAAAGTCATTGGGGGTAGAGGTGGGGATGGGTAAGAGGATGGAATATGCTGTTGCAGGCTTATGGTCTAGACATAGGCGCAAGGGCTAGGTCGACTTGAGTTAAAGACTCTTTGAAAAAGCCATTCTCTCGGCCATCCCGCCAGGAATCCCACCTCAAATTGGTTAGCTTCATGAAGTAAGTCAAATAAGTAAGCATTATTAGTTATTTGAAGTTAGTAATAAGCATGGCTCGGAGCGAAGGTCACGGCACGGGTCGGGTAGAGTACATACTTTCCTAATCCAGTAATCACGGCTTCCGCTCCGAGCACCACCCAAGTCACGTGCTGACGTCCTTCCTTCCCGGCCCGATCTTGCTCAGTTCTTTCGCTCACCTCCTCATCTTCTTCATCTATCCGATTTCCAACTCATCGATACGTGTCTCCTTCAATCGTCCAGTAAATCTGTACCTTCCCGGGCTTCAGCCGTGCTGATTGGGCCCGGTACATCTCATATCTACAATGCAAAGCTGCTGCAGACAGCGACCTCTTCGGAGCGGAGCGCGGATACTGCTCTCCGCTCCGAATTGCCCACTTCCCACTTCTACCACGAGGTCCTGATGACATACCGGCCTACAGAATCGTATACCCATCCGCTCTCGTTTTCATTCTTAAGGATGGCGCTCCTTTGCCTATGCAGATCAGGTCTTCAGTTTTGGACTTCTAGATCAAGACTGAAATCTCGCAGCCATGTCGTTCGATCATTCACCATCGTCCCCGTCCGAGGTAATCCTTCACCGACTGACTCCCCCATTGACCCAATACTGACCAAAGTCCAGACTGATCTCGAGAAGACAGAAAGCCCATCAGACCAACTACCGATCTATCGCCATGATGGTCGCGCTCTCGGGGTTGCTTTCGACAACATTACGGTGAAGGGCAACAGTGGGGGTCGACGGACGGTGCAGGATCTTCCGCAGATTCTCGTGAATATCCTTGCAGCACCACTGCATTTCACCCGAGCCACGCTCGCTCGCAACACGCGATCGCCATGCAACATCGTTCAGGGGGTATCCGGTGTCATCTTTCCCGGGGAGACGATGTTGGTACTAGGCCGCCCCGGCTCTGGGTGCACGACCATGCTCAAGGTCATTGCTAATAATCGTGACTCGTTCGAAGCAGTCGAGGGACACGTTCAATACGGAGGATGTGAGGCCGACGACATGACCAATGAGCTGAAGTCAGAGGTAGTCTACAGCTCCGAGGACGATGTGCATTTTCCGACCTTGACAGTGCGCAACACGCTGGACTTTGCTTTGAAGCTTCGCAAGCCCGCCAATCATCCTGGAAAGGATGCCCAGTTTTCCGCCGAGTACAGCAACAGATTGATGCAAGCCTTGGGCATTGCCCATACAAGAGACACCGTTGTGGGTGACTCGTACATTCGAGGCATTTCGGGAGGCGAACGCCGCCGCGTCTCGCTGGCAGAGGCTATGACGGTGAACTCGACGCTCGTCAGCTGGGATAACCCCATCCGGGGCCTGGACAGCTCCTCCGCTCTAGCATTTCTGCGGCTGCTGAAACGCATGTCTCGGGCCACCGGCATGGCGAACGTTGTGACCTTGTACCAAGCGTCGGAAAGTATGTACCACGATTGTTTTGACCGTACTTTGGTCATGTACGACGGACGCATGATCTTCTCCGGGAATGTAGCCGACGCGAAGCAATATTTTGTGGACCTGGGATTCCATTGCCCAGACCGGCAGACCACTCCGGACTTTCTGACCGCGGTGACCTCACCGGCCGAACGGACCATACGCCCCGACTACCAGGGCCCCTTATACCTGGACCCCGACTCCCTCGCGAAGGCGTTCCAGCAGAGTCCCCATTTCATCCAGCTGCAGAAGGACTTGAAGCAGTACGCCACCAACGCCCAAGCCAGCAACAAGACGGAATTTCGGCAGCACGTAAGCGAAGTGCGATCAAAATGGGCTCCCAAGCACGCAATCGAGCCGGCCACTATCTGGAAGCAGATTGTCGTGGGCACCGAGCGATACTACCGCTTATTCTGGGGCGATTGGAAGACATTCCTTACCGTCCTCGCGCTGTGCAGCACCAACGCCGTCATCGCCGGCTCCGGATTCTATGCGGCACCTAAAACCGCATCTGGTTCTTTTGAGCGGAGCGGAGCTCTCTTTTTCACAGTTGCATATTTCTGTCTTAATGCCTTGACAGAGGTGGTCAAGACCGTCAATGCACGATCCATCTTGCTTAAACAGCATAATATGGGCCTTATTCATCCGGTAGCCTATGCAATCATCCAGACTCTTGCCGACATCCCGTCCGCGCTCATTCAGACAGTCGTTTTTGCGTGCTGTTACTATTTTCTGATCGGACTGAGTGAGACCGCCTCACAGTTCTTTATCTTTGTTCTTATCGCCTTTGTACACTACTCTGCTGTATCGACAATGTTCCGGATGCTTGGGGCATGGTCTCCGAGCTTAAACATATCACATCTACTCGCAGGGTGCGCCCTTCCGGTCTGCTGCCTCTACTCCGGATACGGTCCCCCGGTCCCAACCATGCATCGATGGGGTTCCTGGATCCGCCGCGTCTCGCCTACGCCTTATGCGCTGGAGGCGTTGATTGGGAATGAGTTCTACAATATTGAGTTGCACTGCACTGACTCCCAGCTCATCCCTTCCGGTCCTGGATACAACGATATTCGCTATCAAGCGTGCCCCATGCAAGGCGCTCATCCCCACTCACCGTTTGTAGATGGCGCTGTGTATGCGCAAGGCATGTACGCTTACACACGCAGCCATCTTTGGCGGAATTTCGGCATCATTCTTGTCTTTTGGTTCCTGTACACTGTGCTTGGGGCCGTGGGTCTCCGAGTGATGACTCGAGACAGTAGCAATGCCGCCGGTCCGGTGTACAAACGCGATGCTGTGATACCGCCAGAGGTTGGGGGGAATGAACCGAGCCCTCAGTCCACAGTGTGCTCCGACCAAGACATTGAGCCCCGGGCCTTTAAAAATAAGAGCGAGCGGCATGATGCTCGCGAAATGGAGGAAACCAGGGATAGTAGTAAGCAGGACTGTCCTCAAGGCAAGGAGGCCACCAGCGCTGGGCCTCCTCCGTCCGTCGACAACCGGGCGGCTTTTACATTCGAGAATCTGAGCTACTTTGTGAATGTGGGGGGCAGAGAGAAGCAACTCCTCGACAACGTCTCTGGCTATGTTAAACCCGGGCAGCTGACCGCCTTGATGGGAGCCTCGGGGGCCGGGAAGACAACCCTACTGGATAATCTTTCCCAGCGCAAATCTGACGGTCGGACAACCGGAGAGATTTGCCTTGGGGGCACGCACCTGAGCCCATCCTTTGCCCGTTCCTGTGGCTTCTGCATGCAGCAAGATATCCATGAACCGAATGCAACTGTTCGGGAGGCTCTTCAATTCAGTGCTATGCTCCGCCAGCCTGCGCATACCCCCCGTGAAAAGAAATTGGAGTATGTAGAACATATCATCTCGCTGCTGGAGCTGGAGAATATCGCAGATGCGTTGGTAGGGAGTAGCGGAGACGGCCAGTTGAATGTGGAGGAAAGGAAGCGGGTTACCATCGGGGTTGAACTGGCTGCAAAACCTTCTTCACTCCTTTTCCTTGACGAGGTAAGGCTTCCATTCACAGTTTTCTGGCAGGAGCTCGACACTGACGGGAATACAGCCAACGTCCGGCCTGGACAGCCAAGCCGCATTCTCCATCGTGGCATTCCTGCAGAAAATCGCCGCGGAGGGAGTTCCGGTTGTTTGTACGATCCATCAGCCCTCAGGCGTGCTCTTTGAGATGTTTGATCATGTTATCTTACTTGCCCCTGGTGGACGGACAGTCTACTTTGGCGAGACTGGTGCCCATGCTTCCATCATCTCAAGCTATTTTGCGAGACACGGCGCCGTGATGGGTTCCGAAGAAAATCCGGCCGAGTTCATTATCTCAACAGTCACGGCCAAAGGACCCAGCGCCAAGGACTGGCCGCATCTCTGGAATAACTCTCCCGAGCGGCAGGCGCTCCGGGAGCGGATTCAAACCATCAAGTCGGCAGTGCCTCCTGCTCCGACAGTCGCCGTCGAGGTCACGCCTCGCGAGACTGGAAGTGAACAATATGCCTTGTCGATCATACCGCAGATCATGATTCTGACCCAGCGACACTGGCGGGCCGTGTGGCGGAATGGCCAGTACAACTTCAGTCGGCTGTTCAAGTCAATCTTTTTCGAGATGTTCGTATCCTTTACCTTTTTCCACATCACGAGCAGCAGTGCTGGTCTACAGAACCACATGCTGGGTATCCTACTCGCTACCTGGGCGATTCCCCTCATTGCAGCCGATGTGCAGTCCGTATGGTATGAGAAGTGGTCTCTCTTCGAAGCCCGCGAGCGGAACGGAATTTATGATTACAAGGCCCTACTGGCCGCATTGGTCCTGGTTGAGATCCCCTGGTTCCTTGGCATGTTCACGCTCAACTTCCTCGTGACGTATTGGACCTTTGGCTTTGCCAGCACTGCTAGTATCGCTGGCTTTGTTTATTTTATGTTTCTGTTATTTGGGCTTTTTGGCCTCGGCTTTATCTACATGACTGCCGCCTTGTTCCCGAATGCCACGATGGCCGGATATGCCATGTCACTGTTTTGGGTCACATTGTTGATGTTTTCCGGAGCAGCCAATCCCCGCAGCGCACTGAACAGTTTCTACCGCCCATGGCTCTGGTGGGCAGACCCTATGACGTATTATTTCGAGGCCACCGTGTCCACCGTGCTTCATGGGGTGGAGAGGGTGCACTGCGCCGCCGGCGAGATGGCTGTGTTTGATCCTGTCCCCTCCCGCACCTGTGGAGAATACCTAGCCTCGTATCTGGCGGCTAATCCGGGGTACGTGGTCAATCTGCACGAACGCCAAAACTGTCAGTTCTGCCCGTATTCCACGGGGGATGACTACGCACAGTCCACCCTTTCATTCTACTACGACGAGCGCTGGCGTGATTGGGCTGTTTTCCTGGGATTTTGTTTGACGAACCTAGTAGTAACTTTCCTCGCGACTTGGGTCTCCCGGGTAAAGCTCCGACTGTGGAGAAAGTGAAGGAAGGAACAATAGGTGGGATGGGAGTTGCTGGACGGTGGCTATATTTTACTGTTTATAGACATTTGGATAGAAGTTCAGAGCTAGAGATCTAGATTTGGAGAGGAAGAAAGTGGTATTTAGACTGTTGATTGTACGATGGGTAATGCACATATCGAGTTTGAACTTGCCAGCAGCTTTCAAGCATTCCAGGTGTCATTTGTTTTGTTGTTTTGTTGTTTTGTTGGAATTCTCTCTGTCGGGTTCTCGGAGTACTTGAGTTTATCGGATATTTCGGAGCGGAAGACGGGTAGGAAAGGCAAATCCTTCCCACTTCCTCCAGCTCCGATTCAGCTCCGTTTCTCTATTCCGCGGGGCCTTTCGTCTCAGCCTACCCTTTCATCATCCACCATTTTTATCGGCATGCCAACTCCTAACTCTTCCTCCTCCTTCCCCTCCTACCAATTAGCCTCGGAACGGAGGGGTCCCATAGCACGGACCGCGCGGGCGTGTGAGCGATGCCGTGTGCGCAAAGTCCGCTGTAACGGCGAAAGCCCTTGCTCCAAATGCCAGTCTGGTCGTCACACGTGTATCTATCGCCCTGCCTCTCAGCTGCGACCATCTCGCCGCAAGAGAGCCACTCGAGACGTCTTTCGAGTTGGCCATCCGGCCACTGCTGCACCACCACCAGCGACACCACCACCGGCATCTCCGGCATTTCCTGGTCCCCGTGTGCGCAACGACCCGGTGCAGTTCAAACGTCAGCGCGAACTTCGCGCGGGCATCGGCGTTTCCAACGTCGAAACAGGCGCCTTTCAGTTCTATGGGCCCTCCTCCCACTTTTGCTTTATCCAGCGTCTCTGCCAACGCATTTCCCGTACCACCAACGAGAGCCTCCTGACCCCCCAAGCCTCGGTGGCCGATGGGGTCGGCAAATGGAACCTGGAGCGCTTCATGTTCTCCACGCGAGGCACCCACGACACAGTGCGCAGCAGCTATGTTCCAGATGCATACCTCTCCAAAGCGATGGGGACGAGGCTAATTGAGTCCTATTTCGAGATTATTCATCCCCAGGTCCCTGTCCTAAATCACGCTGATATAGTGGAACAGTGGGACTCCCTCTGGAAGCCTCCCCTGAAGCTGCCGCATTCCACTGCCCCCAAGGGTGTCGAGATCCTGTTTATGGTCCTCGCCATTGGCGCTCGGGTTATGGTTCCCGAGTCCGCTGAGGACAGCCTGGTCCTCGAAGGCTGGGCGGAGCATTTCGTGAGCAAGGCCAGCCATAACCTCCAGCGGGCCTTCGAGGACCCCAGTCTCATATCTACACATTGGTTCCTACTAAAGGGGATGTATGCGTGTCAGGTGATGCGAGCCAACGAGGCATATCTCTACCTTGGGCATGCCGCGCGCAGTGCCATGGCCTTGGGGATTAATCGGCACCAAGTGGTGGACGGCAGCAACCTGACTGTCCACACGCTTAAACGCACCTTCTGGACAGTCTACGCCCTGGAGCGTCAGTCTGCTCTCTACAACGGTCGCCCGTCTGCCTTTCATGACGATCTGAATGATGCTCCGTACCCGGAGGACTTAGTTGCCTCAGCGCCGAATACCACAAGCCGCTACCACGATCCCACTCGGCTCGGGGCCTTCGTCCGCATCATGGCCGATATAGGTCGACTCGCCGGCCGCGTCGCACTGGAGGTCTACTCACCCAAGAGCATGAGTGACATGTCTAGCCTGACACACCTTCCCGCAGCCGTCGCTGCCATTGACACCGAGCTCGACAGTATCATCACGCGTGACATTCCGCTGTACCTGCACTTTTTTGACGCCAGCCTCCCCGTCGGCCACGGATGGCAGGAAGTTCAGCGCTTGTGCCTGGGGGTCTACTACTACTTCACCCGCATACTACTGCACCGGCCCGCCCTCCTCTTCGAGGCTTTTTTCCCCTCACGTGAGGAAGCCCAGCGCCGCGCGGGCTCTACCTGCGACCTTGCGCAGTCAGTTCACGAGACGATCACCGCTGCCACACTCGTCATCGATCTGACGCACGATGTCTACTTTCACCGGTATCCGCGCGCGCAATGCGACGGCGCGTCGGCAATGATCCTGATCTCTGCCGCCGTCACACTGCTCTACGATGTGCTGGATCCACTCACCACTAACACAAACCACACACATGAGATCTTCGCAGCGGTGGAGCGTGCGGTGGCGTGCCTGGACCGGATTCCGCACGTCGGGCAGCGGAGCGGAAAGGCAGTGAGCTTGGACGTGATGAATGTGGCAAAGGATGCGCTGCGCCGGACCTCCATTGGCGCGGATTGGTCTCAGGAGGAACTGGTGGAGGCATTCCCGTGGTTACAGTGGGTTTCTTGCTCTTTCCTTTACCATCTTCCTCGTTGAATTTCGATTACGGACTAACTTCGAGATTCTGTTCTTTGTATAGGGATAACGATCGTCCTGGGGAGATCACTTCTGCCACTACAGGAATTTTGCCTGATGTTGGCCAGTTGCCTGATGCGCATCAGCCTCATCCCTCGGCGATGGCTGCTGTTCCGAGCGTCGCGGAGGCCGCGCCGTCATCTCTGCCGACAGACCACCAGGCGCCGCCTATAGAGCCAAATTATATCTCTCATTGGTTGGAAGCGGGCTTTCAGCCGGAAGATATCCCGAGTTCTCTATTCTAAAAGAAACCGTTGGGAAGAATGACTTTCCTCAACCTTTTCTTAGAGAAGGGCCTGACGGTTACGGAACGTTTAACATAGGTGGAAGAGTTAGATCTACCACTCAACCCCGCATTTCTGTTTGCATTGGAAAAAGCCCCGTCAACAATGTAGCACTTCGATCAATAGCTTACCCACCGACCAAATACAGTAAGGATTTCGAGTAGGGGACCGGAGATTCTGCTCACTTGGTGACAATGCATGCTAGACTGCCGGGCTGAAAGGAGACCAAGCGCGTTACAAGTCTTTGACTGTTGATGAAGAGGAATGTCTTCAACTTGAGTTGATAAGTACAGTGACCCAATTCTACTGGACCTCACTTGTACAAAGAACCTCCCACCACTGAAGATGGAAGACTTGACGGTGTCGTCTCCTTCTCACATCTTGCACGGTGACGACGAGGCGCCAGCTCTGCTGAGCCCAATAGGTATGTCATACGACTTGGTCAAGGAGAGATAGAACACAGACTGATATTACCGAATCCTAGACAACGCCACCTCTCCGGAACCCGTCCCCATCGGTTCTCTCTGCGACGTCTACACCCTCTGCGAAGTCCCAGAGAAATCAGGCTGGGGCACCAAATGGACCACAAAGAAGCCCGAAGACCTTCTCGCGGCCACACTCGAGCCCACGGAGTCCGATCCGTATGCACTGATTGTGCGCCGGGCTGAAAGGGGCGGGAGCCTGAAAGTGGAGGAAATCACAGTGCAGAGCAAGGGCCATAAAATCGTTCTTGGCTGGTGTTATGAAGGGATACCCCGGACTCATGCTGACTTTGAAGCACGTCGAATTCGAGCCCCCCCCCCGCCCCTCTTCGCACCCTTCGTTCATCGGTGGGATGAGTTCTGTAAGGCTAGGGAGAATGCTCGGTTGGATCCTGCGGTGAAAGCGTATGTGGACTTGCTGCATGGAGTTTTGGAGGAGGAGCTTCATGATTTGTTTTCGTGTCGGGAGGACTTGGTTCGGAATGGGGTTATAACTGCTGATCTTGTGTGGACGTTGTTTAAGCCGGGAGAGATTCTTTTCGGTATGGAAGACGGTGGCTAGCCGTGCGCGTATCAGTGTCTTGAGACCTTGAAAGCCGGGATTGGGGCGACGGAGATCAGGGCGAGGATTGTCGACTTTAACGGCAAGGACTTCCATTATCAGTCGATCTGTTGCTCCGTTGCTCCTTACCCGGGCACGAAGAATATCACAGATTTGGACGTGTTTCCATTGGCTTACCACCCCGAGGCGGAAATCCTGGCGCAGCTTACTGATTACTCGGCGCAGGGCCTGGGAGAAGCTCAAGGGATACCACTATCGAGAGTACCTGGATCCTAGAGATCTCGTTAATGGTGCCAACAGCCGGATCATCATCGATGCGGCAGCTAAGATAATTGATGGGGCGAAGCGGATAATGGAGACATCATGGAATTTGGCTGTGCATAGCTCATACCCAGAATTGAGCCTTGAAAGTACCAAGGTAACTGCCGTTGCTAGAATCTTTCTTACACTCAGAAGTATACTTGTTAGCTGCTTGTCGATACCGGGACATCAGTCTGCAGACTCCTTGAACCGCACCCCAGTTTGGGCTCACCGGCAGGCTTGAGACAGCCCGAACGGAGATACTAAGGGCTAGTTGTTCTCTTATCGATATCATAGATTGGCATAAACAGTAGAGCAGTTAATTTCAATAAGGTTGAGGAGGTCCTGAAACCATGGTGTTGCACATTATGTGAATAACTCGGAGGGAGAATGCAGAGAAAAAGAAGACATTAATAGTCGAATCAATGTACAACCAGTAATTGAGTATTCGAGTCATCAATGTGATCGAATAGCTATGTGCCACTTTTGCTGGAATCCCATGTTATGTGCTGAATTTTTTCCTCTATTTTAAATTATCCTCTTAACTGCCCTTGACTATTTTAATTAGATACATAGTATAAAGTTCCAAGATATATCTATAATACTAGTAGAATATAAGTAATAAGAATTTTTACAAACTATTATTTTTCCAGCTAAACCTCAGAAAATGTACTCCTCAATATCTAACTATTATAAAGATTAATAAGTCACGAAATGATTAGAGATTTATAATATTCCAGAGATTCTTACTTGCAAGGGGACACCTTCTGTTGCGCTGTCTTTATGCGGAGTGGACGCGGCTGGCGGCCAGTGTAGATACAACAAAAGCGTGTACGCGTGTGCTGGTATTTGATCTGACCACCCTAGCAGACTTTTCGACCCTCTCAACGATCGCAGGCTGGGGACAGGCGTCGAGAATCTATCTTCACATCGAGGTAAAAGGCGGAGATTGATAAAAATGCGGGGTATCCAAACAGTTGCTCAACGCGGATTAGCGTGCTTGAGTCCGGGAGGGGTTCAAGAGCGATTAGATTATCGTTATCACATCAATCAGATCTTGATCTCCCTCGTGTTTTGACTCTTAGTCCTTGATGGAAAAAAAGAGGCCGAAAAGTCCTTCGATTCTGTTTTGGAAAGAAACGTAGAGTTTATAAAGACCTGAGGTAAATATCCTTGTCAGGCAAGAACCCCGTTCCCTCCTAGCCTATTGTCGTAAGAAAAGAATTTGAATAACAAAAATGTGATGAGACTAGGAAAAATGTTTTGAGCCTTCTAAGAGATGTGAGTCGTAAAGCCCACTGAGCGAATCGCAATGTATTCACAGTTACCCGTTATGACCAACCAACTTGCCAGAAAACTCCTTCAAAAACCCAAAGCAACCAAACCAATCTATAAACCCCAAACCCGCTCTCCCATCATCGCCCCATCAATCCTTAACAAATCCCTCCCACCGCGGAATCCCTTCCATTTCCAACCCAAACAAATCCAGAACTCGCCCAACAATATGCTCCACGACGTCCGCCAAGCCTGCCGGCTTGGTGTAGAACGCCGGCACGGGCGGGAAGATGACGGCCCCATGCCGCGTCACGCTGAGCATATTCTCCAGATGCACGCTGCTGAGCGGACACTCGCGGGTGACCAGTACCAGGCGGTGGCGCTCCTTGAGCATGACGTCCGCGGCGCGGGCGATCAGATCCTCGCCGTACCCGACGTTGATGGCCGCTAGCGTCTTCATGCTGCAGGGCACGACGATCATGCCTTCGACGCGGAAAGACCCACTGGCGATGGGCGCCGCCAGGTCGTGATTGCTGTAGCTGTAGTCCGCCAGCGCGCGCACGTTAGCCACCGTGTAGTCGGTCTCGTACTTGAGCGTGTTCTCTGCCCATTTGCTGATGATCAGGTGGGTTTCGACGTTGAGGGCGCGCAGCGCGATGAGCGCTTGGATGCCTAGGATGGTGCCTGTTGCGCCGGTGAGGGCGATGATGATGCGCTTGCGGCGCGGGGTTATGGCCGAGGAGGTGGATGATTGTGGTGTCGATGACATTTTGAGGATGTGGGTGGTATGACGGTTTGTTGTGATAAGGGATTTGGAAAACAAGGAGTGGCAGGCTGTGTTTATGTAGGTCATAACATTTGGGTATTAAGAGTTTCATCTCCTGAAATTTGATAGCCTTGACGTGTTTTCATTACCCAAGAAGCGCCGCGTTTCGGAAGTCGGCAAAGAGTTGCGGGGTTGAGGGGCATCGAATCTAAACCAGATCAAGTAGTTTATGTGAACTTGACTATATTAAAGCCTCTTGGCGGGCGTAGCTTGCATTTAGATCGCGATTTGAAGCCGAAGATTGGCTGAAGTTAGGGCTAGTGACTCAGCAATGACGGCTTCGGGTCGCTCGGCCTATCCCGCCATTCCCAGAAGAGGAACATTTTCCGCTGCAGCCCTGCCTTGATGGACTGACCATCTCCGTGACTATACCTCACTCATCCCTATAAAGGGGCCATCATGCTCATCTCTGCATGCCTTAAACAGCATTTCAATCGATACCTTTCTATTTACTGTTATATATCCACTCACTATGGCCGAAACAACCCCTCACGAAGACACCCAAACCGCCGCGGGAAGCTTCCGCCGCTTCATCCAGGAGCTTCAGGCAGAGGACGACCTGGTCGCCATCCAAGAAGAGGTCAACCCTGACCTTGAACTGGCCGCCATCACTCGCAGGGTCTACGAGACCGAGGACAAGGCTCCTTTGTTTGACAACATCAAAGGCCGCAACCCCAACGGTCTCTTCCGCGCCCTGGGAGCTCCCGTCGGCGCCAGCAAGCTTCCCGGCAAGAGGTTCATCCGTATCGCCAAATCATTGGGTCTTCCCTCTGACGCCAGCGGACAAGACATCATTCTCAAGTTCCACGAGGCCAAGCGTCTGCCCAAGATCCCCCCTAAAGAGGTCCCCTCTGGGCCCGTCAAGGAGTTCAAGCTGATTGGCGACGAAATCGACCTCACTGCGCTCCCGGTCCCCAAGCTCCATGCAGACGACGGCGGAAAATTCCTGCAGACATTTGGCATGTACATCGTGCAAAGCCCCGATGGATCGTGGGTGAACTGGTCGATCACGCGAAGTATGCTGCACGGCAAGCGCACCCTCGTCGGGCCCATGATCCCGCGCCAGGACATCGGCCTCATCCGCCAAATGTGGGCCGAGAAGGGTCAAGACTGCCCCTTTGCCCTGTGCTTTGGAGTGCCCCCGGCAGCGATCATGGTCAGCGGCATGCCGTTGCCCAAGGGAGAGAATGAAAGCGAGTACATTGGAGCGCTCATCGGCAGCCCGGTCGAGGTGACCAAATGCGAGACGAACAACCTTCTGGTTCCTGCCAATGCAGAGATCGTGTTTGAGGGAGTCATCTCCCAGACCGAGACCGCTCCCGAAGGCCCCATGGCCGAGTACCCCGGTCTCATCTTCCCCGGCGAGCAGAAGCAATGCCCCCTCCACAAGATCAATGCCATTACCTACCGCAAGGACCCGATCCTCCCGATTTGCGTGACGGGCCGCGCCCCCGAGGAGAGTGAGACGGTCTGGGGTCTCACGCAGGCGGCGGAAGTCTTGACCATTTGCCAGGACGCGGGCCTGCCTATCAAGATGGTCTGGAACCCGTTCGAGTCGCACTGCCTCTGGTTTGTCCTGCAGGTCGACCGCGAGAAGCTGCGCGCGCTGAATACAACCATGGAGGAGTTCAGTGTCAAGGTCGGCCACACTGTGTTTGCCTCCAAGCCGGGATACTATATCCCTATCGTCTACCTTGTTGGCGATGACATCGACCCTACCAACCTGAGGGATGTAATCTGGGCCAACGCCACTCGGTGCCAGCCACGGGAGAACGAGTATTTCTTTGATCAGTATCCGAACATCGGGTTGATTCCGTACGTGTCGCATGGTGCCAAGAGCGGCGAGAACCATCTCAAGGTTGTCCGATGCTGCATGTTTGCCAGTGAATTCTCCGAGGTGCCTACGTACAAACAAGCCTCTTATCGCGGCAACTATCCCCAGGAGATCCAGGATAAGGTGGATGCAAAGTGGTCTACGTATGGATTCTAGTCTTGTTGAGCAGGATTTGATAATCTTCTTTCCTTGTTTCTGAGAACAGACAAGACTGAGTTGTTAGGTAATGTTGATTCCATGTTGTTAATATAATTGTATTTGACATTATGAATTTGATATGCCACTGTTGTGAATACAAGCCATTATGAGAACCTGTTGTATTTTTGAACCAGCATTCATAAAGATCTGACCAACATGCCTGTGTGTTCAATAAACCCACGTCGGCCATTCACCACCCCAGGAAGACCGAGATGAGTTCATGATTAACTCATTGTCTCAGAAGGTGGCTGCTTACTCCCATGGCTTCCCACCCATCCTCCCCTCCTCCTTCTGTTCCATCTTCATCATCCACCACACGGAGCCTTTCTCTCAAAGACATTTATTGTATGTATCCATGTTTTACATCAGCTGGGGCCCTTCTGTATTCTGTCATCGCTTTGATGGTGCCTTTCTATTATCCTTCTTGGCCATATCGACACACCAAGACCAACCCGTGCTACAAATCTCCCCAGCTTAACCCTACCAATGATTCCTTTGTCAGCGAGAAGCATCCAAGTCGATCAATGACTAGGACAAAAGCCTTTGTCCTCAATTAGCTCAAAAGAGCTCTCACGCCGGTACACACTCTATCTCTACAGTCAAGCGTTCTACATCTCCTCCTGCAATAGTGTCACAGGCAGCCTTTTCCCGACAATTCACCACAGATTTCTATCAAAGTAGGTGCCCCGTGTCGCTGCTCACCCAAGCCGCTTGCCCAAGCTAAAACCGCCCCCCTGCTGCAGATGCACACTCCACGATGCCATTTGATCTGAACAACCCCAACCGGACTCCCGCGATCAGCCGCATCCAGGGCCGTGCCCCTTAGCGCGGTGCACTTGTTCTACTCCTCGAAGCATATACACTGTTCACTTGTCTTTCAACAGCGCGGGATCTTATCCGTATTGCGACCGATAGCAATAATTGCGAGGTAGCAGGTAAATAACATTGGCTTATAATTAATGGTTTTCTGGTATGTCTCGCATCCCTGCGATATTCCGCACCGGCTCCGCGTCTAACAACATCAATAGAATACTCCTCATTAGGATAAAAGATTCAAGAGTCTGCCACCTAAATTTAACACAACCAAATCGCGAGAAGTCAATTCTTGAAGCATACCGAGTCTACAGAAAGCCAAGCTAACTGAAAAATCATCCATTAGCATACATAAGCACGCATACAAAGAATGCTCCTTTTATTGGACCTGCCATATCACACCCAAGACATTCCCTTGAAATCCAAGAAACACCTCCACCGCAACGTTCGATCCGAAAAGGTGCACTAGCAGGGGAAGTGCTAGTTGCACCACTGCCGGATCTGAAAAGAAAGCGTCACACCACCGAAATTCTGCTCTCGATGCGATTGACTTTGTTGGTACTTCAAGAGAGTGGCCTAGCTTTCTCTTCGGTGTCTTTAACGGGTTGGCTACCCACGAATCGAATAGCCGGTCATCGATAATTGGAAAGGACGTGGAATAATTCTTTCTTGGAATATACAGTGTGGATATGATCCTGCTCCTAGCAAAACCGGCATCCATAGAAGGATAGGGCCGCATGTTTACCAGACATTATCTGCGGCTTGTAAAGCTGAGAACGTCGATCTTATGATAAGCAACTTGAAGGTCATAACAGCCCCAATGTACAAGAAACGCAAGGATGTGGCGGGGATGAGGTTGCTAGGATAGCTGTTGTTGGTCAGGGTCCCTGAACCTGATGATATGGCGTCCCAGCCCATCAGTCTTTGCCTTTCAGTGTGCCGTCGAATTAAACACAACAGGTGGCAATCCATAAGATCTAAGCTTTTGTTGCTGCTATGCAAGATCAGGCAAATTGGAAAGGATATTCCGCTGAAGGTCGAGTTCAAATCCAATTGTTCAGAGCAGCTTGAAGGTGGTTGGCGAACTGGGCTCAGCAAATGCTGCTATGCGGTATTTGTTGTTCCCCAATTTACAACGATCCGTGCCATAACGTCTCGTCTGTCGGAAAGAAGAACAGAGCGTTTTATGCTTGAAAGGCTCAGTGATGTTGATCTTCACGTTATATATTGCTTGAACCAAAAACAAAGGGTTACAATCCCTTACTGCCTATCCGAAAGAGACCGATTAACATCTTGCGGAGCGAAAACGACGCCTTGGGAACTCAATGACTTACAGGGCTAGCGGGCCAACAATCTGGATAAAGAACGTCAAAAGCAATTAAAGAACCCAGTAGTGGTGTGTATGCACAGTCCACGGCCATGTTCGGGGAGACACAAACTCCGGACAATTGGTTTCTGTCCTGTACACCCTTCAAAGCTCGCTCCCTCAGATCTCTGCGCGGTGATGAGTGTCCTGCAGCGTGCTGAATGGTTTGGGCATCCTGTCATTTCCCCATGGACCGCAGATGCATTGAGTGATCTAGGGAGTGAGTTCCGGAGAGCAAGTGTCGATCGTTGCGCGGACATCATCAACCGGTTCCGAAAGTTCTTACTGCAAATCAACGGAGACAGAAGGGAATCCTTCTGGAAACAGTCTTCGCCCCTTCATGTCTCAGAACTAAGTATTCTACTACGGGCTCGCAGAGGATGCTTTGGTTAATGGATGTTCTCGTCTCTTAGGCTCAGGTAAAATACACGCCCACTGATCTAGGGTTCTCACAGGCAGATAAGACTGGCCTCAGTTGCAGAAGACGAAGTACAGGGGACTTACAGGATCCTACAATCTTTACGAAGATACGGCGATGGCGAGTCTAGTAATGGCTAGGGTAATGGCCAGACCGGAGGTTACTAGGCTCACAGTAGCAGACATATAAATCAGCAAATGATGAGATGTCACCAGACCTGACTACTACCGATCCCGAGACCAAGAAGTCCATCACTGTGAAGAGCTAACTGACTAAGGCTTCTCTGCTCAACAAATTGCAGCTTTCCGAGAGGGAGTGGTTAGAGTGGTTGCAATCTGATCTGGTAAAGCCACACTGGGGTGAGTATTGGGATAATTGGTTGTCCTATTTTCTGGGTCCTCGCGTAGTCCTTTGCTTTATCAGGGTTGTCTTTGTGCTTCGCAGGGCACAGGTTCTGATTGTTGTTGTTTTTTTTTTTCTAGTTCCTCGCGAAAACTTCAATGTCGTCTAGTAGATGCTCGCCTGCCCCCGGCTCCGGCCGGGTTACTCGTTCCGTGAGTTTCCCTGTCCCCGCGAATCTTTCGGGTGTTGCTGACTCGGGTAGTCCGCCGCCGCCGCCGCCGCCGCCGCCCGTCGGCTCACCTTTGAGTGAGCCCGACTCGTCCCCGGACCCCGCCCCGAAATGTCAGGAGGGAACCAAGAGGGGTTGCGGGTTAGCCATAGTTCAGGAACAAATGATCAAAGGTGAAGAATATGAACTGGCTGAATTCTCACGCCGTGTACCCAGCAAGGTGGACTGGGATAGCAGAGATTATCTAGCATATTGTCTGTCCACAATACGGGCAGAAAACTGTGCTAGAAAGGAGGGGGTGTTCTCTGGCCGAGGATTTAATGACGATCAGATGGATGCTATTTTGAGGTCTGTGACCAAGTGGATGTCAGACAGACATGCTCCATCACAGATCAACAAGGCAAATGGAGGCACAAAGTTGTTCAGGACAAAAAGATCATAATGCAGCCCGGCGCGGTCCAGTAATTGCTGTTTAGGAGGAAGGAAAGCAGGCAAAAGAGACAGGGAAGAAAGCCAAATCGTTTCCGATCTGTACTGACTGTTAATCAAGCACACTTGAGACTTCATACTGTGGCACTAGCTCCTCGTTGTTCCCTTGGCTGTGCGTCGTACTCGCCGAATTGCTGAAGCGGAGTCTGCAATTGCGGATTCTTGCCAGCTACTTCCTTACAGAAATTCCGTTGACGAACACGACGTCCCTCTCTGTCCAGCAATGACAGCATACTTATCAATTGCAGCGGAACTGCCCAACCCTCCCTTGCACCAGCTGGCCTCTCTGCTGCATTCCCTTAGGGAACCTCCAACCTGCCTCCGTTGCACCTGCAAACCTTCTTATTCGAAATATGAACAATCATCACCAGTTCTCGTCTTCCTTCTCTCTCGTCCGCCCGTCCGGGCCGACCTTGACGTCCTCCTCCATCAGAACTTCTCTCTTGCGTGGCCATACACTCGCTACGATCTCCTTACCATTGTTGATGACCATGTCGAGGACAACATGTGGATCCAAGCATCCAATATCACGAATAAATCGATCAACAAAGCCAGAAGACCATAACGGATGCCCTACCAGAACAAAATCCGAGGGTGCGAGACACAGAGAAAGACCGCTCCAGGTCATATCAGCACTGTCTGCACTAATCCTACCCTTCCAATAGCAGAAAACCAGGTGTTATAAACCGCATTGGGAGGCAAGCTACGGAGTTATGCAGCCCTCTGCGCAGTATGCGCGTTCTGTCGACACCATATTCAGTATTCGACCAAGTACTGTACCAAGCAAGATCCATCTTTCAAACTGTACCAAAGTCCCAATCATAAGAACCATATATCTCGCTGCAAACCATGTCCAAACAAAAAACAGACACCAATCAGGATCCCACACACAATGGCTTACAATGATGATCTTCGGGCCTGCTATGAAGCCTCGACTCAATACACCAAATATCCCTCATCGACTGTCCTTGCACAACCAATCGATATTGGATGGGGTAGCCCAAGAAGGACGTGTGCAATATCCTCGATACACAATAATACATTGAGAATCCCAGCAAAAAATCACAAAGACACATACGGTCCATTCAAGAACCCAATCAACAATCGCATAATCCGTTCATAACTAGGTTTCTCGACGTCCACATCAAGCTGCTGACAGATCATTCACGGCTTCGTCTCTCTCGGGGAGCTCAACATGTGGTTTCTCCACGGGAGATTGAGGAAGTCTATAATGACATGGCCTGGTGCTACAAACCCCTGCTTATACACCGACAGAATGGCCTGCCGGCGAATACACTGCCAGACTGGATTACATTACTACCTCCTTACGAGGATGGATGGCTGGGCTGGCCTACTCTGAGGCTGACTTCAAGATGAATGCATATTTCACGTGCTGGAGAGATATGTTCAGAAGTGTGCTCGTAAGGACACCCTCCAATTAAGCGCACTGTTCTTACCAGGACCAGGACCAGGACAGGCGTCGTTGCCAATTGACCTGCATAACGGAAGCCCTGAAGTCGCTATCAAACCTCATCTCTAGGTGAACATCGCTTGTTTCAACTCAAATTGGGGCTGTTCTAGTGCGATTTGCTGGATTTTACTTTGCGCTGAGGAGAACACTTCGAGGGTAAATACACTGCGCACGCAGAATTATGTAGCCAGTCGAGGAATGTATATAGTGATAATCGATTAAGCTGCGCTCTGTGATCCACGATTTCGTCTGGCCAATCAAACACACTCGTCGCACAGCTAACCTTACCCTCATGCAGCACTTACTGTAGCGTCTTGCCACTTACCTAATCTCTAAATCAATAAACATTCCAGCAAAACAAACCACCCCAACTACGAACATATCAAGACCACCAACAGATAAATTAGGAATTATAACATAATCATAATACAGGGAGATAGTCGTCAGGATCATAGATCACGTCACCGGCCAGATCCACTGGCAGGATATCTCTCTCTCTCTCTCTCTCTCTCTCATCCTCTGTCATCCCCACCAGAACCATCCAAACCGAAGTATTGGGCCATCGAAGCCATCACTTATACTCCACAGAACACAGAATGGTAATTACCAAGAGGCCGGGCCAAAAGTTCCGTTCGTCTTCAACTGCACAGCCTTACCAGACATATCCAGCGTATCGCCCGCGATATTCGTGCCCCACCATGAAGGGAAGCTCGTGTTGGTGAGATCAATCGCCAAGAAGATCAAGATCGTACACAGATCCAAGCCGACGTCCAGGCCCGCAGACAGGACGTAGTTATAGTGCATCCACCAGCCGCGGAACTTGTCGCGGATGTACTTGTTGAAGATCATACCCACCAAGCCCCAGGTGAGATAGTTCAGTGGGGTGGCGGGCGGGATCAGGCCTGCTCCACCGAAGAGCAGGGGAGCGTTGAGGTACCGGATGTTGGACTTGGGCCACATCCGGGCAGCCAAATAGATAGCTACAGGCAGCAGAGCGCCAGCCAGCCAGAACCACTGCAGGCCGACGTAAAGCTGGCCAGGGGAGAACATGCGCTGCGGACCGATGAGACCCCAGATTACCGAGGCCTGGTAGAACACGCGGCCGTTGGGGCAGCTGTAGTTGTTGGGCTGGTCCAGGCTGCAGATGTCCTTGATCGTGGAGAGACCCCAGTTCATGACGGCGATCTGGACGATAGACGACCATAGGGCAGCGACCATCTGGCCGGCAAAGGACACACGGGGTGGAATTTTCATGTAGTGACCTTATCGAAGAGGTCAGTAAATCATTCGCTTGAAGCTTTATTTGCGAATTGACTATAACTTACCCAGCTTCATATCCTGGTTGAAGTACAACCCTTGGTACATGCTCATATATCCGTAGGTCTTAAACAGCATCATGGCCATAGGCTTACCCGGCTGAATGTACCCGACAATGAACTCGGTCAATACATTCAACCCAAGGGCAATGTTGGTGGACGCCTGGATGATACCGATGGGCACATACCAAATCACGGCGATGATCAGGGCCACAAAAAATGCCCACCAGCTCAGATGGGTAGGATATCCCAGGACGAGGCCAAGGCCGATGGCAATCATTGCAACCATCACCGCACCGTACCACCAGAGCGGGACCGGCTTGAAGCGGGCCATGAGCCGGCCATGAACGTCCTCTTCTTCCTTGCCGAAGTTGCGGAAGCGCACCCACAGCTCGCTCCCATGGAAGAGCCCGGTGTTCACCAACAGAGCGACAATAGTGGCAAAGGAAAGGCCATAGGAGAGTGCGAATGTCGTAGACAGGAAAAGCGGGGAGTACTCTTGGTATGCCTTCAGATCAAGGGTGAACTCAGGCGTCAGGATGCGAGAGACATTGTACTTTGCACCAGTGTTGTCGTAACTGCTAGAGTCACTGATGGGTAGATACTTGAACCACCACATACCACTGAAATGCATACCGATGGTAACAATCCAAAAGAAGATGATCATGCCAATGAGGGTGTTGGCGATCGCATGCCAGGGTGAAATTAGCGGACTGAAGTTGAAGCCCGAGATTTGCGTCCAGTCAAATGTCATGGGAATCAACGACAAGCCGGTCGAGCCGCCGAAAAGCTGGTTGACGACGGGGCTCTGGGGCTTGATCCATGTCACCCACGCAAAGACACTCAGGAATGGTGCAATGAGACCCGGGATCCAGTACCAGCAGAAGGACCCAACCATGACGTAGAGGAAGAATCGATATTTTCCAATTCTCCATCCATTGACCTTGGACGGGTCCGGCTTACGGGTATCGTGGAGCGCGGTGAATAGGGCGCAGTTGATGAGGTTGGAAGGCCAGATCATAGCCGCCGGGGCTACCAAGAACCGGTGGAAGAAGCCCGCCATACCGAACCCGAGCATCTGGGTCGAAATACACATAAGAATCTCAAACGCCCATCCGAAGTGCTGCTTGTAGAAGGCGCGCTGAGCCAGCAGAACGTCTGTCGCGTAAGCGGCACCACCACCAAAAGTGGCATTTGCCATGATGACAATGAGGGCATGTTCCTTCTTGCTGAAGGGGCCGGGGTTGAGATTGAATTGAAGACCGAACAGACTGAAGACCTTGTTTGGCATCACCTTCGCCCATGCCATGCCTACCGGGTATGCAACCACCTGGGCCACATACGACGGAATGACAATGTAGGGGTTGCGCATGGAAAACAGCATGTTCAGAGCCGAACCGATCGTAGCAAAGATCAAGCCAATTGTCCACGCGCGGATGGTGTTGGTGTGGCCGCCCTCGTCATAGTTGGGCACGGCAGCGCGGACTTCGGGATACGGCGAATCGTCCAGCAACTCATGCGCCATGCCTTCACGCGCCCCCTTGTCGGTCGTGTGAAGGGCATCATCGATCTCGTCCGCGACCTCATCCGGTAGGTTGGGATCCCACTGATGCTGTAGCTTGAGGTTTTTGAGGTGGACCGCTGTCTCCTCCGGGGCTGTTTCATCAGCCACCGCGGTGGAGTAGGCCACTTCCTTCTCTTGCATCGTTGTGGTCAGAATGACGAAGCAACGGTGGAAAGAGAAGCTAGATGTTGGGACGAGAAATTCCCAGGCAGAATCAGGTAGAGAATAAATTGAGTTTGTGAGTCAAGAAAGGCAAAGACGAACAGGCGGAGACAGCCAGGTACATATACCGCTTGTACGACCTTCCAATCCTGGCTAGACACCATGCCGCGCCGCGAACGCCGACGGTGGCCCGGTGCATTATCGATGGCAAAATATTAATCAAAATGTTGATAGGAGCGTCCAGTGGTTGCGGTCGAGGCTATCTTTGCGGCTATCAGCCTACCCCAGTTCGTTCGCCATGTGCTAGTGTAACCTGGTACGACTAAGACATTGCCGGTCGGGTGTGTCCCAATCATGGCGATCGCAGGCGAAAACTGGGGGAAACTAAAGTCATTGCAAGCATGGTCAGACCATGCGTAAGGCGTGTGCCACCTGCACGGCCCTGCACCCCGCCCTTCCATACCAGCTTCGCTCGCAGCATTCGCGTCGCTGCGCCCTTCATATGGTAATTGACGGAATAGAAAAACAAGCATGTCCATCAGCCATCTGGACAACAGGTGTTCAGCATTATTTCATACTCGCACGGGAAAGGATGGTTCACCCGATGACTGGGTGGTTGCAGTGGAAATGCAGCTGCCAAGAGTGGGGAATCGTTGTCCTAAGCACTGAAGTTGACTAAGGGGGCTTATCGTGGCTGGCATGTTGAGCGGGATAAGACCATGTGCGTTGACCCGAGACGCCGAGGTTTTGGCGGGCACCACGTCACAATCGAGCCCAAATGCAATCGAGAGATAAAAAGTATTATCAATTGGGTTTCGATGTCTGGGGAAAGACTAGCGGAACCGGAGAAATGTCTAAATAAATTAAATAAAGAGGTGTATACAGGTTCGCCGCCGGTGGCAAGATGGTAGGGAGACCCCCCCGCGCGCATGAATGGCCAACTGCCAAGGGATATGTATGTAACGCTGGTCTGGTCGGAAAGGGCCGTCTTCGCCTCCTGATAAGTGAAGTTTTTCCCCAGGCCAGCCACAGGCCGCGCACTAGACCCCTTTCTGATTCAGGCTTGTTCACGATAAGCTAGCGAGGCGCCCTTCGCTGTTCTTGGTTGGCGCAACCTATAGGCCAGTCAAGCCACCATCTTGGATTATCTCCAGCTTGGCGAGTTATTGGCTTTCCCTCGAAAAGTCTTGATGCAGTCTGCTGGGCTAGACTGGGATTCTTCCATCCTTCCGTAGTCGGAATCCGTGCAGAGTTCCGATGGTTGGGGTCACGCGGACACACCCCCCAACACTAGCGACCGGACTCGTGACTATCCTGTGGAAGCCCTGGATGATAGCCTTATACTTGGAAAGCTTTCAAGCCATCGAAGATATGCCCGTTGTCGATGGTTGTGAGGAGGTGGGTTGTTGTAGACTTGCAGCCTCGTAGGAATGAGTCAGTCTGTTCCAGGAAGGGGAAACAATCGATAAGAACCCAGATACGAAAGGCGGTGAAATCAGGTAAGATTTAGCCGGTACCGGAAGGTTTTGGTAATACTGATGACCAGCGCTGCGAGGCGTGATACGTTCGATATCAGACCGCAGCGTTAGCGCTTCCTCCAGACAATCTGAGCACCGGAGCAAACCCTCCCTACTCCGTACTCCGTGGATCCCCGCCGCATGCGCCGGAGTATCTGTGTCTTGGCCCAACACAGCGAAGGGAGAAGGGGGCTGAATCCTTACTTCCTGCCAGCCTCCTAACGATACAAATCAGTCGTAAGGATTGTGAGATCCTGCTTGCGAGTGTAGATGGCCAAATTGAGAGCCGGCCTCGCTTGATACTGCGCGAATGTCCACTGTGGACAAGCGAGCGTCTCCACTGTTCAAAGTCTGTTCGATATCGCGGATGGAACTGTACTAGAACTTCGGAAGTCGGAAGTGTCAGTCCTGAATAGGATTTGAGCGCCCGAAAATGTCCAACGCAACCATTGATAGCTTCGGTCAGGGCATATGGTTTAGTCTAGGCTTGTTCACCCTCTGCCCAGCCGGGGTCTGCTGGGATTACCTCGTATTCCGTGCAATACTGTCTCAGATTTACCCTGCTTTGCTTCCATTTCTGGGTAACACCGTTGCCTCTTGGGCACGGATGCCTTGAAGCTCGGCAAAGATCTTCTGGCCCTCGAACTCGCTCTTGTTGTGCTTGCATTTAGAAGGTATCGAATCCGATGGTCTGGCGTCGGTATCACAACTCCCATAGCAGACGCTAGGATTGCGGACTAAAGCCCTATCGGTAGACTGGGCTGTCTATCGGTGATCCTCGCCTAGGCACGGAGAATGATACAGACTCCCCCTTGATAAATTGACCGAAATCGCAATAAATGCAGGCCTGTATGCACGTGGGCTGCTAACGAGATCATCTCCATGTTGCAGGGTACTCGGGCCTAGCTTGATCCGGGGCCTCGTGGACGTCGATCTATCTATCAGAGCGCGGTGAACTGCTGATCTGGTGGGCAGAGCGACACACTTACGCTGTGGCTTTGGTGTCGGGGGTTCGCTTACAGGACCTTCATCCCACCCTTCGCCAGTCCCGCCTTCTTGGCACTATGGCGGCCTCATTTGAAACGAAGTAAACGCATTTATTTCTATGGTAAAGATGCCGTGTGCATTGAGCGACTCGATCTAGGCTGTTGTCCCTGCAGCAGGCCATGTCGACCCAAACGGTTCGGCAGGTTGCAGCAGGCCGTCGTTACTTAGTGCCCATTCAAAATCTGCAAGGAATTCTTCGTCGAACAGCACGGGATCCTGTCGGTCCACAACGCCACAGGGGGCGTTGGACGCTCCGCTCATCTGGTCTCTCTGAGGGTCGGCTGTTATCTCCGAGTTAGTATGTTGCCGATAGAGATGCGGAGGGCGGCAACGTACCTCCTTCAGCCACAATTCCATGAGCTGGGTGAGAATAGAACTGTGGCTCAAACTCATCGCGCCACCACCAGATTGCATCAATAATTGGGCTGAGAACTAGTCGGCTGCGAATTCGAAGGCCGATGGATTCTGTCCCATCTGTTCTGCGAAAGGCCTTGGTGCTATTCCATAGTTGAGTCATCACTATGGCGATTTTGGAAGCAATGTCGTGAACGTCCACCGACATGCGTCTGGCCATATTTATTGCACTGAATATTGCCTTTTTCCCTCTTGGAAAGTCAATCTCCGCACGGGTGGGGCATTTCAGGATCCGCAGAAGAGCGGCCGCCGGTAGAAGTAGCCCATAGGTTACCTGCATGGGAGCACTAGCAAGATTCTTCACGCTTTGTACTAGGTCCTGGATGTTGTCAATCGCTTTGCAGGACGTGGTGACAATCTGCGCAAGACAGTCTGGTGCATATATCGTCTCATTCTTGAATAGATGGAACATTTGGATGCACAGACGGCACATTGTAGTAATGAATAGATCGTTCACTAGCTGATCGTCAATGATGGGCCGGGTTAACTGACGATCAGTTGGTTACCTGAACTCGCATGGGCTTCTAAATCGGTTACCTGGCTCTCGAAGGTCCGCAATAGGATATCAAGTGATCTCTCCTGTTCCGCTGGCATGGTTCGAACTCCAAACTCTGTTACGGCTGCGCTACATCGAGCGACCAGGTCCAGGCATCTCATCTCCAGTGCTAGGGACGGCGTGATCTTTTCGAACAAAACTTGTTGTTGGCCCAAATCTTGCTGCAAGTCTACCATTGAACGGGGGCATTGTCCCTTCGTGATACAGGCGCTACCAGTGGTCAGTATCCCAAAGCGGTCGTCGTGGGGTATCTTACCGCTGATATACGATGACACAGCGGGCCCAGAGCTCGGAGCGTCTGTCCATGTCCGCTTCCAACGGTGCAGCCATCTTCCTCCTGGCAAACTCATGACTAGACAAGGGGATGTGCAGACCATTCTGCATCGCAATGTGCAGGAGCATACCACTCAGGGGGAACATCGCATCGGTCTTTTTGGTCTCTTTCGGAAACGGCCAGGTAAGGACTAACAACAGTCCTTGAATGGTGTGCCAAGCAGACGCCGTGAATGTGATTGAGAGCAAGGCCATTTCGATGATATTTGGTGAGAGAGCCATGAGCAGCGTGGGGTTTTCATTGTATGTTCTGGACGCGACGCCTACTATGGCCCAAAAGAGAAAACTCGACTGGTCATGATAAGCATTTGGTGTGGTTTGAGGGTCTAGGATTGGCAGAAAGTGGGCGTAGTCTCGGAAGAATCTTGTTATAACTTAGCGCAGGCTTATCCACTCCTTCTTTACGTAGTACACACATTTTGAACAACTCATCAATCTCAGATCCCGTCAGTCGAACGTTCTTGAGAGTGCGCGGGGCTGTCGGGCTTGGAGCGTGTTGTGAAACCACGTCCGTTCGTGGATCGGCCGAGGCCAGACTTGTTTGAGGCAGGATCTGTGGATAAAGGGCGATTGGAGATGCGTGCGGTTGAGTAGTGAGAGGCAGGTCGGTTCCGGTAGAAGCAGAGTGTACCCCCATTTCCGCCGCCGCTGTCAACAATGCAATAGGAGACTGCGGCAGCGACTCAGAGTGTGAGGACCTCAGCTTGCGGCGCAACTCGTCGGTTTCTTGTTCCAGTTTCGAGAGACGTCTATGAGATTCGTCAGAGCTGTGACTTTCCATCCTCCGAACTAGGAACGCACTGGCGTTTGTGTTCTCTGCGAAATGGGTCCGAGATGACGCAGCGGATTTTCATCCTCGTGCAGCGAGAGCATTGAAAATCAGGGCTCATATAGGCGTCGCATTTTGCCTGTTAGAGAGCTTGTAAAGGACTGATCAGGTAGGAGAGATGCGACAATTGTACCTTCTGTTGGCGACACTCAGTGCAAGCTTTTTTGGCGCGTTTGAGCGAGGGTCTGGGTGCGGTTAGGGGAGCCGATAGATTGTATGCGGAATACTCACGAGTCTGCTTGTGTTTCCATATTGGATGGGAATGTCTGTGTACACTTGACGAGATAGCGACGCGATGGTGGATGGTGGTGTTGTGAAAGTTGGGAGTCGTCGGCCCAGGTTCGGCGGCGGCGGAGCGCCCGGAGATACGGCCATTGTTACCTCCGGGGACTCGTACACTTGATTCTGCTGATGTCAACATCCTGTGTGACTCCTGTGTGACAATAAAGATGCGCGGGGGTAATTATGTCTAATGAAGACTCGATGGAAAACATGTAGTCGTGTTGGACCGTGTCTGGGTTGCAGATGATGGTTTCAGGTGGTGTGCGCGGCCTCGATAGCTCCTGCCTGTTTTATATGTTTGGACACCCCGCCTGTGTGAGATCCCAACTGATTCTGGACGAGACACAATAAACCCATCGACAGTAATTCAAGGCTCATGCCGTGTTCTACTACTGCATTCTTTTTTTATAAAGGGCGGTTGAATATGTATATTTAGCAAAACACCTGGATAAGTGATGCAGATCCGGAACCGGAGAGGTAGAACCTAGCAAACCGGAGCGAGCTCTCTTGTCATTGGGCATCCGTCCCGGTACCGGCCCTGTGTGCTGCCTTAGGCTCCAACGTCTTGCAACACCAAATATGTTTCAAGTATACTATATACTCAGCGCGCTACTCCATGTAGTAATAAGAACAATGACATTGCAGCTGCTCAAAACCATGGAGACGTACTTTGTATTGTCGCATGATATGAGATTGCCAGTTAGCTCCTGCTACTGCAAGCACCCGACTCCTGCTGGGCCAGCCACCACTACCATCGATACTAGAGGAGTCTTCCGATCACAACGGTCCGACAGAGACATGGCAAACGGACAGGAAAGAGAGCAAAGAAATGTACCCCGACAATTTCCTCTTTTTCCTTCATTCCCACACGGCCAGAGCCATACAATCATGCCAGCACATCTACCCAGCCGGGAGTTTTCATATGCATTCTCGAATACAGTCAATTCTATGTAAACCCTCCACCAACGCGAGCGACTACATAAATACGGGGTATAGCAGACCCCATCTCATTATACACCTATTCCCGCTAGTCAGAATCCTCACAGAACATCACAGACCAACCGAGCAACCACACGACGGACTCCACATTCAAAATAAACGTCCTCGTCTACTTCGCCCTGGTCATCGTCACGATCTCGCCGACCCTCAACCGCCTGCTGCGGCGCGGCGTGTACAGGCACTGGCTAGCCGCGCTGCTCCTCCTGCTCTGGAGCTTTCAGCTATTCACATTTCTCCTTTGGGCCGGCATTCGTCTGTTCTGGTCCGCCATCGAGGAACCCCCGCAGTCCCTGGCGACGAAAGGGATCCGGAGCCCGTGGACTGGGAAGGTGATGTTTCCCGGCCAGCTGGCTCTGAGGGAGGCGCTGTCCGAGCTCATTCGACAGGGCACGGTCCAGGAGCATGACATTAAAGCCATCCAGTGGCTGCTGGGTCCCTGGGGCCGGATCGGTCTACAGTTGTTCTGGGTGGCGTTTTGGGATCTGGCCCTGGATCTGATTGAACTGTCCTTCCGGGCGACCAGAGTGCATGCCCGGCGGTTGCGGCGGTTTCTGCGTATTCGGCAGCTGCGGGCTGCGCGGGCTGCGCGGGCCGCGCGTGCCTAGATGGACTTGAATGAGAGGGACTTGCCGGTGTGTTGGGGTGAAGAGCGGTGGGTTTCTTTGGTCTTGTGCGAGAACCGACCAGTGAGGGAGTTCGCACGCTAACTAGAGGAGCGTTGTCCATTGTAGGACTGCCTCACTGATAATGGACCTGTTGATATATGGAGCTCTCCGGTGAGTGAATACCTGAGGCGGAGAAAAAGAGGTGATCGAAATTTGCTTACATGTGATCAATACATTTGTATTAAGCTTGATATCGCATGATTCATATTCTGTAGTAGACGCTCTTAGTATTTTGTAGTATCAAAGCATGCTGTTCAGCCTACCTTCTCGTTATTATTAGAAGCGAAGCTTGTCGCACAGTGGACTCACTTAGCCTCTCCATCGAGGACAAGAAGCCGGGTATTTGGTCGACTGATAGCCTCCGACTATCACATATCCGGACTGCAAATGCGATACGTGGCGTCAACAACAAGCGATCGCTCACAGCAACCACCTGCAGAATGCAAATCCTTCTGCATCGACCTTTACACCATGCAAAGCGGCGGTCACACAGCATGTATGCACCACTATGCCGGGCACGGTACGTTCCAGAATCGCATGCTGAAGAACGATGAAATCCGACCCGACCTTTCAATCAGACATCAGACGTTACTCAACCACCGCAAATCCCCGTTGAAGTTGAGCCATTTCCCTAGTCAGGAATGCGGTAGGAAGCTTAGCGACTCTCAGGTACTGCACCTCTTGACAGCTCCCCACAGCAGATCCTCAGCAAATCAGGCCACCCAACCATCGGAGCACTCCCGATTCACGACCGATGATCTGTCAAAGACAATTCCAAATCCTCGGCCGCCGGAAGCTGGCTGATTGGCGCGAGATGACAGCGGCGGAGGGAGGATTTAGCGTGGAACCTTGACTCTTATCGCGGGGGGATTTAATCCCAGTTATTGGTGGAGAGTGAAGCCTCATGGAGCGTGACATATTAATGCTGTGAAACCGCTCGTGTTATTCGTATTTGCAGATTACTTACTGAGTAGTACGAAGTAGAAAGTAGAAGGTGGTGAATCGGGTTGAGGGCCAGTGACGCAAGTGACCCTCTTCAACCCCTCCAATTCCCCGCCATGTCGTCAACGGTCGACCGAGAACAACGAACAACCACCACCCTATAAGTACCGCCTCGCCGTCTCAAAGGTCCTCATGAGAACCTTGCTCGCTACTATAATTAACCAAATCGATTCACAATGGTCCTGACTGGTCACTGTCTGTGCAAAGCCGTTACCTACACCGTCGAGGTGGAGGAACCCGCCCTGGTCGGCTACGACCACTGCGACGACTGCCAGCGCCAGAGCGGCTCAACCTATTGTACGCTTCCCCAACTCTCCAACTCAAAATGCATACTGATTATCCATATCTAGCACTGGTCGCCGTCGTCCCCAAGGATAAGCTCACTATCCTCGGCCCGACTAAGAGCTGGGCCGGACAGGGTTCGTCCGGCAACGCCGTTCACCGCATCTTCTGCTCCGAGTGCGGCTCGCCCATCGCCCACGACCCCGACGCCGCCCCGGAGATCATCGCCATCAAGGCCGGCACCTTGGACTCCGAGATCAAGAAGAACCTCAAGCCGGTGAGTGCATCCTGCATTACTAGCCCCTGACGATCATATCTGACGTAAGCAGGACACCGAGATCTGGACCGTCAGCAAGCTGCCTTTCTGCCAGGAGCACCTGGCCAAGCCCTTCAAGCATATGCCCGAGTAATCGCCAATGAAAGCATGCGCCCGACTAATGCCTGGTTAATGACAAAAGTGAATATTTGTTGAGCTAATTGATGAATGAATGCAGTCCCTCTTATGTATGTAAGCCGTGGCGCACTGTAAATCTACTCTCCGTAGGTCTACCAGACCCCATTCCCTCAATTCCTAAGACCTCAATCTTTCCTAAGACCTCAATGCTACACCAGAAGGTAAAACGTTCCGGGGGAGAACCTCCGAACCCCCCTTTCCTTTAAGCTTCCTGGTCTACCTCAATCTCAAACCAGAAACAAGCTATCCGGGGGAGAACCCCCGGACCCCCCTTTCTTTCAGCTTCCTGGGCATCTCACTTCTAAGCCAGAATATAAGCATCCCAGGAGAGAACCCCCGGACCCTCCCCTTCCTTTCTTTCAGCTCCCTGGTGTACCTCAATCATTTTACACCAGGATATGACCGAAAAGAACTAGGCGAGGCGACGGCGCGCCTCCTCCTGCGCGGCGGCAACGCGTACAGAAACCTAACGCAGGAGGACAGGAGGGAGAACAGGGGAAGCAAGAGGAACAGGAAGAGCGTGCGGTTGGAGTTCGTGCCGGCTAGCGAGTATATTGCGCGGAATGCGGCGACGGTTCCGGGCCGAAGCCCGCGGGGTTCTTCGAGGCGATGGTCCCGTGGTATGAGGGAATGGCGAAGGGGGAAGCGGCCTTGCAGGATGGGTCGATGGCTAAGGTGCTGGGGAGGGAGGCGAGGCGGGCGTCGGAGCGGATGCGCGAGTTGATGCGCGGTGCTGGGGGGAGGTATACGTGACATCAGAACTATGCGTGATGGTTTGTAGAATTACATTGTTCATGAAAAGGAGCCGGGAGGTGTAGTAGGGGTTGAGGGAGAAGTTGTATATGCTCGGGTGATGCAAGGTGCTTGTGCCGATAATATGAAGTCATTAATCTAAAGGTGAAGCGCAACATTAAAAGACATAATCAAGTCATAGACAGATATCAAGTGCCCAACACTTTTCCAGACCCCCAAACCAAACCAAACCTATACACCCAGTCCGGACCTATACAGCCATAATATGCACCACAATAAAGATACGCATAATCACCCTCTATATCCCTCGTCCACCATCTCTTCCTCCCCCCACTGCCCGCTCTCCGTCCTGCCCCGGCGCATCCTCTCCCGCCGCATATCATGCTGCGGGAATCCATTATGCCGCGTCTCATTCATGGTGACGACCCGCTCCCTCATGCCTCCACCGGGACGACCACCACTGGTCGAGCCCGCCTCGACATCCTCCTGCTCCTCCTTCTCGACCTCGACCTCGTCGTCGGCCCCAAACGTCGACTCGCGCATGAACGGACTCCTCCGCCGGATCTCAGGCCCCTTCAGGATCAACACCACCGGCACGATTGACAACGCCAGCCCGATGAATCCCAACAACGAGCCCGCCCAGCCAAAGCCCAGCGTATCGAACAATTGATAGCTGGCCAGCGGCAAGAAGGCGCCAAACGAGTTGCGACCCAGACTGGCGGCGCTCAGCGCCGAGGCCGCATACTTCTCATACGCATCGGTCAGATAGTTGACGACAGCCATGTAGATGGAGTAGATGCCCAGTCCCGCGGCGGCAATGCCGCACGTCGGGACGATCCAGTGCACGAACGGGAAGCTAGCCCACCCGTACCAGAACAGCCCGCCGGCAAAGAGCACACTGCCCACCACGCTGGTGTACAGGCGCGCCTCGGGGATAGGGCGGCCGGGGATCTCGGTGTTGCGGCGCGCCGACTTCAGGTACAGCATGTCCTGGAGCGGGTTGACGGCCGTGCCGATCAACGCACCCACGGAGATCGCCAGCTGGACCAGCCCCGTCTGCAGCGTGCCCCAGCCGTAGTTGGTCGAGTAGGTCTGCACCACCGAGCTGAAGAACAGATACAGAATCCCCCACGCGAAACTGATCCACAGCGTGAAGAAGATCACCACTGGTTCCGTCAGCAGCATGCGCGTCGGCCGCTCGAACGAGATCTGCAGCAGTCGCCACACGCTCGTGTTGTCCAACTCCGCCTCTGCGTAGATCGGGCGGCCGGTCTCGCGCCGAATTTCCTTCGCGCGCCGCTTCAGGATCACGTCCGCGCGGGTCTCGTGCAGGATGAACCAGAAGATGGGGAGGAGGCCGGTCAGGTAGATGATTTGGATGTAGAAGATCCTATTGTTTATTTCTTGGTGGTTAGCTACCTTTCCCCGAAAACATAATCCTACACCATAAAACGGGGAATCTTTACCATCGCCAGGGATCATTCTTATGGATCTGAACGATCGCAGACCCGATGAACGGACCCAGTGCAATCCCAATCACACTGGTCAGCCCAAACAGCGACATCGGCAGACTGCGCGCCTTATCACCGTACCAGACATCACTGATACTCCCGCCCACGATATTGATCGAGACCGACGAGGCGCCCCCGCCGAAGAACCGCGTCACCACCAGCGTCGCATAGTTCTGCGCAAACGCCGAGGGGAACAGCGAGATGATCAGGAGGATGTACGCCACGAAATACCCCGGCATGCGGCCCGAGGCCTCGGTGAGGGGCACGAAGATCAGCGGCCAGAAGGCGGCCCCCATGTTCCAGGAGGTGGTCGCCCAGTAGAGGTTGGGGAATGGGGTGTTTTGGACGTGGAACCGCTCCTCCATGTAGTCGTTGCCCGCGCCGTAGGAACCCGCGGGAATACCGGTGAGGATGGAGCTGGAGGAAGTGAGTATTCTAGATCCGATTCGCTGAGCTAGGGAAGACTGCCAGCAGCACTTACATGAAGCACACCGTGACGGTCAGAACCCACTTATAGGTTGGACTCCAGTTGAATCTAATGTCTGGTCAACTTCCGGTTTTCCAAAGCGAAACCCTCACAACATACGGATTATCCGGATCATTCTTCCCTTTCCAGGTATGAATCTCAAGGTCCTCCTTGTCGCGCAACTCATTGCGACTGACGACGCCGACATGTCGATCACGGTGAAAGAAAGATCGAACCCTTTTCCCCCCACACCAATGATCAGTAAGAATGATTCATACACTGTGAACAAAAGCATCAAGACTCACCGGCCGAAAAAGGAATCGTCGAAATCATTGGTATGCGCCGTGCTGGCCCGTCGCATCGACGGGCGTCTACTTTCGGAAACACTCATGGTGAGCAGCAGCAGCAACAGCAAAAAAGGGCCGTTTCTGCTTCGAGCAGAAATTTTCACACCCCTCCAATTTTGTTATATACTTCCATACTCTCAACGGTCGGACGCTGGTTCGGCAGCCCGGTGAAGAATCGGCCATAATCGTGTCGTCATGAACCGCATCCGGGCCGAGTGGACCAGAGACTTTCTGTACCGAAAGAAGCCGATAGGAAACCCAGGGAGCATTGATTATGAAATCAAAGACGAGAGGGAGACAGAGGGCAGACCAGAGAAGAGAGCCAAGGGACCCAAAAATTCCCAATGGTCGAGACCTGTTTTTGTAAGGTTCTCCACCACGACGGAAGCGACTTGCATCCGGTTTGAGGGTTTGTTGTTGTTGGGGTGGAGGAATGACATCATGGAAGGTGGGATGACTTCATCGCTGGGTGTTCCCCGCCAGGTTTACCCTAACTGTCCCTCATGTCCCTCATGTCCCTCACTGCACATGTCTCCATCCCCTCATATTTATATCCCCTTGTTTTCCCCTCTTGTCTGTGATCCTCAGATTCCATTCCTAACTCAATTCCCTCCAAACTCAATTCACTTTACATTCCCAAGAAAACAAAACTTTCTCTTTTCTACTCTCCCTAAAATCAGCCAAAATGCCCATCCCCGTCCCCTCCGCCTCCAGCCTCCAGGACCTCTTCAGCCTCAAGGGCAAGGTCGTCATCATCACAGGTGCCTCCGGCCCCCGCGGCATGGGCATCGAGGCCGCCCGCGGGTGCGCCGAGATGGGCGCCGACGTGGCCATCACCTACGCCTCGCGGCCCGAGGGGGGTGAGAAGAACGCGGAGGAGCTGGCCAAGACCTACGGCGTCAAGGCCAAGGCCTACAAGTGCGACGTCGGCAACTACGACAGCGTGCAGAAGCTGGTCGACGACGTGATCAGCGAGTTCGGCAAGGTTGACGCCTTCATCGCCAACGCCGGCCGCACCGCCAACAGCGGCATCCTCGAGGGCTCCGTCCAGGACTGGGAGGAGGTCATCCAGACCGACCTGAACGGCACCTTCCACTGCGCCAAGGCCATCGGCCCCCACTTCAAGAAGCAGGGCAAGGGCAGCTTCGTTATCACCTCCAGCATGTCCGGCCACATCGCCAACTTCCCCCAGGAGCAGACCTCCTACAACGTCGCCAAGGCCGGCTGCATCCACATGGCCCGCTCGCTGGCCAACGAGTGGCGCGACTTCGCCCGCGTCAACAGCATTTCGCCCGGCTACATCGACACCGGTCTGTCCGACTTCGTCGACAAGAAGGTCCAGGACCTCTGGATGTCCATGATCCCCATGGGCCGCAACGGTGACGCCAAGGAGTTGAAGGGTGCCTACGTCTACCTCGTCAGCGACGCCAGCTCGTACACCACCGGTGCCGATTTGCTCATCGACGGTGGCTACTGCGTGCGGTAAACGTACGAGTCCCCGGACGAAATTGGTTTGCATGTACTTAGTTGATACCTAATGCCGACTCTTAACGATTATAATGTGAGAATGAACATGATTCACTGCAAGAATATTTTCGGTTGGAGGTCAAACCTTAAGTAGTACGTAGAGAACACGATAAGAATGTGTTCATCGGGAATTGACCAAGCCTAGGGAGTGAGAACAAGATCTTAACCTGCTGTTCCACGGGCGTCGGTCACATCGGACACCGCATGCAGGCGCTTTAACGGGCTGGCATCAAGTCGTTACATTATAAAAGCAGATCATTCTGGTCTCGTCACAGCTCCACCGAACAAAGGAATAACGGCATACATAGTTAAATCACATCTCCTGATTGTCGCTTGTCATCGAATGGCCTATCCCCCCAACTTCACATCTTACCTTTAACGTTTTCGCCCCCGGATTCTGTCTCCGTTTCATCGACCACTTCCGCCAAATGCATTCGTGGCAGGGTTCGCGCCAGGCGAGGCGGATCCAGCAGGCTCTTCGACTGCAGGAAGATCTCGTCGATTTCCTCGAGCGACCGACCGTTGGTCTCTGGAAAGAAGAAGTACACCGTGGGAACAATGGCCGCGTTCAACACCGCGAAAATGATGTAGTACCGGTACGAGATCGTATCGAAGCCCACCGGAGTCACCTCCGCCAACAAAAAGTTGAATGTCCACACCGCCGCCGTCGATACCGCGCTGATGGCCGCCCGCAGCTGCAGCGGCGCCACCTCCGTCGCATACAGGAAAGTGAGGCCAGAGTAGCCGACGGTGAAGATGAACTCGAACACAAACAGAAAGATCACAGCGACGACCAGCGCAGCGGTGTTGTTCGTTAGCGACGTTGTGCCCGCCAGTATCGCCATCGAAACGGACATACCCGCCGCACTCCAGAGCATCAGCACTCGGCGGCCAAGCCGGTCGATCGTGAAGAAGGCGAGAAAGCCACCCAGTGGCTGTGTCAGGCACATGGCTGCGGCCAAGACCCGAGACTGCACCGCGTCCAAGCCCAGATATTGTTGGAAAATGGTCGTGGCGTAGAAGGTTATCAAATTAATCCCCGACATCTGCTGAAACATCTGCCCGGTGGCGGCCAGCACCGCTCGATGGAACAAGCGCTGTTCACCCATGCTCAGAAGATCTTTCCAGGATCCAGATCCCGTCAGCGCCAGGGATCGCTCAATGTCGCGCATGGCCAACGTGATAGCTTCGTCATGTGGTCCGACATCCGCCAGCGCTGCCAATATCTCGCGAGCTTCCTCGGAGCGGCCACGCTTGAGCAGCCACCGGGGCGATTCAGGTAGGACGCTAACAAAGGCCATTACCATCAACGACAACACTATCTGGAGAGCCAGCGGGAACCGCCAGGACACCGAGCTTCCGGTCACGAAGTAGAAGCCAAAGTCAATCCAAAGCGAGATAGTGATACCCGCTCCAATGAAGATGCCATCCGTCACCACATGCGCACCTCGCTTGCTGGGCTGGGAGATCTCTGCCTGCCACACGGGAACTGTTGCAACGTAGCCGCCCGTGCCTAGCCCCAGCACCAGCCGAGCTACAATGAACTGGGCCAAACCGAAAGAGCTGGCCATGAGGATTGCACCGATCATGGAAACTGCCGATGCCAAGAAGATGACCCGCCGGCGACCGAGGAGATCGCCCAGGTAAATGCATGACAGGGACCCGAAGATGCCACCGACGGTGTAGAGGGCGATTACCGTACCTGTGGGCGATTAGAACACACAACAAAGGTGGACGGTAGGTCGGAATTACCCTGGATGGTAGAGTTGTAGTTTTGCTGCACGCCCGTTGTGGTGAGCGTGTTCATCTGGGGGAAGGTCTCGGCAAACGACTCAAGGGTGAGAAGACCCCCTGTGACGGCTTGGTTGTAGCCATAGCACAGAAATGCTGGACAAACGACGAGCCAAATGATGGCGCGATTCAATTGCGAGCCTCGGAGGCCAAAGTAGGGCGACATGCTGTCACGTTGTACGGATCCACCGAAGCACAAGGAAGCATCAAATACTTTGCAGCAATCACAGTATCGGCCAGGATCCGGTCCTACGCCTGATAATGATACTAACTCTTGGCTCTATCAACATGCATCCATGCTCGATCGCTTTATAGAAGAACATGCGAGATTCGCTGGTGGACGTGCCGGTCATCGCCGGTGCCCGTGGGAACGCCGCATTGACCAGGTTTCCCCAGATTCCGGTTTCTTGGGAATTCAGGACGTGAGTCGCCAGTACGGACCGGGAAAGGTTTGAGGAGCATAAGCGAGCCCAGGGGCGCCTCCTTTCCCCACTGGACAGTGGGACGCTGGCGATCGTCGATGGAAGGCTCCACTAGCCGGGATAGCTTCCATCGGACCCGGCCGATGGAACGGACCTCGGGCCAGGGACCCAGACGAAAACGAGCAGGCGTGCGCCTAGAATGCCATTCCACCTTCCCATTTGATCTTCTTGGCTGTAAGAGGGGGGAAACTCGAAGGTTTGCTCGAGGTTTGTTTGGTGAGAGGTAATTGTATCCCCGTGGTAGCACTGGTCACATGTAGCAGGAGATCATCCATCATGAAGGGCCGACTCTAGCGTACCCTCGTGGTCCGTTCGCATTGGCTCGGCTTGAGAGAGCCCAGGATGATGTTGTGTAGCGGGGGTTTGGTGAGAATCATGGGTTGTAATCGTACAGCCGGCGTGCCGCATTTGAGGGGTAACGGGATTGAGTCTATCGCGTAACTTGTGCTCTTACACTATACACGGGTGAGATAGATACTATGATAGCTTTTTGCGCACATCCGAAGTGCTGATGGTGATTGAAACAATCGACCTTTGTCAAGCAGTCTTGTAAGAGAGATAGGTGATAGACAAATCGATAAGATATGAAAGTAGATAACTGACGTGAAAACATAGCCTTGGTGACGGGGCCTCGGTAGATAATCTATCAGGACACCTCTGGAGTGGAGCCAATTTGTCGTGAGTATGACACATTGTGATCGTTGTAGCGGAGGGGGGAGGAGAGGGGGCAGGGCTCGTTTCAATGGTAGATCGGCTAGAGCTCAGCCAAGTACGACCTGGTCAGTGTTAGCGGGGTTCCATCATCTTGGGTACTATAGGACGGTATTGGATGAATGCTTCACTGACACTGGGATGGATGAGGATGATGATTCCACAAGGATGGCTGAACGGGAGGAGACAACAGCCGGATGAAGGTCATGTGATTATTGTCTACAACGGCAGGTTTCTCAGCTGCCGGAGTGTTGACGCTGCCAGGAGGTGGTGTATTCTACTCTACCCGAGGTACAACGGTGCATTGCAGTAAGTACCTAATTCAATTAGGACCTTTTCTCTTGAAGTGATGGAGTTTGTTCTAATTTCCTCTGGAAATGAGGCCGGGGTGAGCAGGTCATCGCTAGTCTTGTATATGTTACTTCCGTGGGGAAGCCTAAATTAGAGGTAAGCTCAATGTGCCTCAAACTTGTATAGATACATAAATATAGTATTGACCTGTGTGTACGTCGATCACGCAGACTTGTAGTACAGAGCTGCATACTAACACATGGAAGTGCACAGGCCGGATAGAGTAAAAGGTTACGCTATCAGAGACTAGATTCTGAGCCGTGATTTTCTGGGAATAGGTGAAATCCATTCATGAATGAGAAGAAGGATGTTGACCATGCCTTGAACGATTCGTGCAGCATTCATGTTGCCTTGAGTAACATAATAGTCTGCCCAGAACATATCAACTGGGTCCCATAGCTCAGTTGGTTAGAGCGTAACGCTAATAACGTTAAAGTCGAGGGTTCGAGCCCCTCTGGGACCAGCTTTCTTTTTGCCCATGGTCAGGTCATCCAGCAAGATATTTCCCTCGCGCAAGCATATATACAACCAACAGATTAGATTAAATGAGTTTGTGACCCGCCTCTTGCGTCTTTCGTTATCACGACCACAATATAGTAAGTCCACGGTCCACGGTCGGGTGCGCCGCGCGCCTACTACCCTTCATAACTCGACAGACCGTTCTGTTCCACACTTCTACACCCAACTCCCAGTCACACAACTTGAGAGTCTTTGTGGAATTCGAGTCAATCAACATCACCAGAGTTAGACCAGACGGAGCCTCTCCGCTTTGTCACGCTGCCCGCATCCCCTCTTTGTCTTGTAGTCCTTCCAAGCCAAAGGGACATAAAGAGGTCGGTGCGCCGGTGGTCGCCTGGCTAATGTGCGTAACAGCCACTCGGGAGGTCAATTTACAATAACCAAGGCAGAGTAGATATTAGAGGTATCCCTAAGATGGCAGCAGTCTTGACTTCCTGCCAAGCGGTCGCTTTCAAGAGGATACAATGGTAGGTAAACATGCAGTGTTCAGGGGCAGTTTCCAGATCTTGACCGGCTCATTTTGACGAGGTCCTACAGAATAATAGGCCTGTGCCACTGCAATCCCCCCTCCAGCGGCAAGACCCCCAATACTGCTCAGCTTTGCGGCAAGGCCCGATAGCGCCTTGATCTGTGATAGTAGAAGTATAATCGACGAGCCACCTGGCGGGGAAGCTTCGCATCTGATTGTCGACGATGGACCATGTCCTGCCGGTTGTCCAGCTTGTGATTCACGCAGCGAGCTTGCCAAGACAACTCCATTCTCACACCCTCCCATTCTTCACCAAGGTAGAACTCATCACGCTTGGCACCTGACAGTCATCTCCACAGTCGTATCTGAAAGCGGAGCATCATCGCATAAAGGTCAGTCGTATGTTGGAAAAGGTCGTCGCTGGGCGGCCCCCTGTGATTCCTCTCTTAGTCACGCGTACTCAAAAGTGCTGTTCCTGGAGCATACGCCATCGTGAAAAGATGTCCATTCTTGTGGTGGCTGGCAATGCTGGTGAGCATTACCTCCAGCCCTTGGAAGACATCTCTTGGGAGTTTGGGTTGTGCGAGAACTCTCTACAATCTCCGTCAGCCGGCAGCGCCCCATCGTCTGGGGGAGGACTCTACTTACACTCAACAGAACCATGCATAGACTCCGCGTTGATGCCTGCTCCAAACGCGTACTGAAGTCTCTCAGCGGCCTCTTGCCATCTGGACCCCCAGCCATACTACTTTTCGATCGAGGCCTTCGACACCAGTGCCTCTAGAGCCTCGACTGCTTGCCCCGGGAGCAACAGCGATTCAGTCTGAGCCATGTGCATCAAAGTGTCGATGTCATCCCTGGATCGTTGTTTCACCTGGGCTAATCCCTTACTCCAAAGCTCGTTGTGCTGGAGGCCAGCCATTTCCACGGCTAGCTGACCTAATAAAGTTGGACCTGACCTTGAGAATATTGAGGAGTAGAGATCTAAAAGACCAAAGTAGATTTTGGGAATGGCGTGGGAAGCGAAGCTGATGACTGAGATTCCAGGTATAATACGTGGACCGACCTACGGACCATCTGTTCACAGTGACGGCTGGCTGCCCTTTCAAGGTAGCAGCACGCCTTGTCATCTCGTTCAGATGGGTCGGATGAAAGGAGGTACGCAGACACAGCAGAAGTTCGCGTCGCTCACAGTATCTCCTAGGACGACCGCTGCGGTCTATACATCAAGGCGGCAAGGATGCTGCCCTAGGACAAAAGTAAAGATATAGGCTTTGTTGCAGACAAAGCTCATGCCTTTCTGAGCTCAAAATAAAACGACTGATGAAAAGAATGCGATATGTATGGCGGGAAGACAGCATCATCGTTTCTTGATGACGGCACAAAGCTGCTTTGATGATCCACGTCCAACTCCTCCCCTTCCCCCCCTCCCCCTCTTTCCCCCCAAAGCCAAACATCATGGCTATAAATATGAGAGCGGTGTTTCTGCTGGTATCATATACGAATCATATACGACCTCACCACAACACATACGATGGATCATAAGGGACGCCCTGGATCGCCACCCCTGCCTGGCATTTCAGACCTGCCGACAAAAGACATCCTTGGGATCAGTGACCTTTTGGATAACCATGATAGGTATTACTTTGCCCGAACCTGTAAGAAATACTATGGGATTTTCGCGGGGGCCCTCAAGGAGGTCCAAGATCTGTACTCTCCCGCTCAGCAGTATGCCCTCGAGAAACATGCTGATCCCAGTGTCGCGCTGAGACGGGCGATATATGAGGGGCTGCATGACGTTGTCAAAAGCTTCGTGCTACACAATCATGCCGTAATAGGCAGTGCGATCGAACTCGATGGTGACCGCCTGGTGGGGATAGCAATCGGTAACAATGACCATCAGACGGCCCGAATACTGCTGGATAACGGGGTTCACGCTCGTCAAGGCCGCAAAACGCGCGACGGTGTTCCTCAAATATTGGGTAAGTCGGTATACCGGATGAAAAAAAGCCGTTTCGACCCCTCGGATGAGATGGTGGAGCTGCTGCTTTCCTACAGGTTGGAGTGGCATTGGGACGGGACATTCAAGTGGCTCCACCAAAAAGGGAATGAAGAATTCTTACGGCAAGCATTGATTGGAAATTCTGGATTCTTCAATCTGCAATAGCGTGTTAGTAGTGGTCCTTGGAGCCTGGGCAGCAGTGAGCAGGCGATCCCAGCTCTACTGTTGTTTCTCGTCCGCGAGGCACCGGCATCTCAGATGATGGGGTTGATGAATGTCTTTCTTGATTTGATGCCAAGCAACTATTGGACCCCGTCATTCCGGACACTCCTTGAGGCGAGGAAGCCAGAGTTGGCCGTGAGCTTACTTGGGAGAAAGGGCTACTGCTCAACCGATTACCTGTCGCGGGAATTGGATGATGCTGTAAGACTTGACTACCCAAGTGTTGTCGTGACTCTGTTTCAGCGATCCGAGCCTAGAAATCAGGCTGACTCGCAGAAGAGATGGCTGATAGAAGATTTGGCGACGAGATACAAGTTGCGAGAGCGAGATCCAGAACACCAGGTACTTACTGCACTGAAATCCTGGATCTAGGGGGGATATATAGATAGATTTATTGATAGATATTGGATATTGGCTCTGGGCAGGTACTACTGTACTGCACATGGCAGTTGTTGCAAAGTAGAAGAAACCATTTTTGACAATAGAGAAATAGTAGCGTAAGGCCACGCTTCCGCCTACTCCTTTGGACCAATCTGGCCCTTGGCGCACGGACTTCGGCATCCCATCGAAAGCGTGCTTTTTAGTATAAGTATGTAATGTAATGTACTGTACGTGTACTGTACATACATGAGTATATCTCAAGCTCAGAGCTACCCTAACTCCGAGACACTGTTCTAGTCCAACTTGGTCTGGGTCTGACCTTCTCCGCTTCCGGCCCCAGATACCTATTGAGTATTGAGTCCCCACCGCGGACTCCACCGATGATGAGTGGTCCGCGCACACAAGTACTGAACAGTGAACACAGTATTCTCTTCCTAGTTCCTACAATCCCTCTACGAACATATGATAAATGAACTTGAAACTCCCCGCTTTCATGCTGGCTCCCACCCCGCCCACTCGAAAATCAAATTCCCGAATCATCCTGAAACCGCCCATTCGGATCCCAATGATTGTCCGGATCAGCAAACCACCGATCCCAGTTCGCGCAGGTGCGATCCAGCTGCCGCCGCGCGAACGTGGTAGGGTCCGCCATCTGCACGGCGAGAAGATCCTTCAGCTCCAGGTCCTGGAGCGCCAGGCCGCCGGACGCGTGCCACGCGATATGGCAGTGCAGGGTCCAGACGCCTGGGTTATCGGTGCGGAAGGCGATAACGATGAACCCGTTGCTGGGGAGGAGGGCGGCGTCGCGGCGGCGTGGGTTGTCGAGGGTTAGGTCTAGGGAGGCGAGGCCGGCGTAGGGCTGTTCCGAGTACTGGAGGATGGCGAAGTCGTGGCCGTGGAGGTGGATCTGTTTGGTCAGTGTGTCAGAGGGGTGGAAGGGAAGGGGTGGGATGATTATAGAAAGAGAGAGGAACAGGGGAAAAAGGGGCTGACCGGGTGAGCGAGAGGGACCAGCCGGCCTCCGGTCACTGGGGTCGGATTGTCTATGTTGCCCCCGATCAACACCATGTAGTTCCAGGTCGCTATCTGCGATGGGTTCCCTGCGGGCGGCTCTTCGGCTAGGTAGATGACCGAATTCGGATGGTAGGGCGGATCGAGGTGGTTGACGGTGGGCTCGGTGTAGTTGACGAAGACCGGGTCGTCCAGGAACTGCCACACGTTGACCGTCGCGGCGGCGTCGTCGCCCACGGCGGATAGGTTCCATTGGTCGATCGTGATGGACGCCTCGAGGAGGTGGTTGCTGTACTGCACAGCGGTGAGACTGGTCTCCGGCGGATCGATGGTCCAGGGCACGACGGGCACCAGCTCAAGCATGTCGCTGCAGCTCGAATTGTACGGCCACCCGGTCGTGGTTGGTAGCGGGGGCTTGTCGTCGCCATCCCCTCCATACCACAGGATGCCCTGTCTGTCGTCGGGGAAGGTCTCAAAGTTGTGGCAACCCTCGGCAGGCTCGGTCCGGATCCAGTAGCCTTTGTTGTTTCTGGTAATGTGCTTCTTGTCTAGGGTCTCGAGAACAACGTGGTATCGCTGGCCTGTGTGAGCTATTAGTTCGCGCACTTGCCAGGAAAGAGCACGTCAGAGACAGCATTACCAATCCCGATGTAAATGTGATTCGTTGTATACGGTTGGACTGGAACCAAGTCGTTCCCAACTACGGTCAGATTATGCCCGTCAATACTGAAGATAAAGGTACTGTCTGTCGATGCGTTGATCAGCCGTAGTATATATCGTTTTCCCGGCTTGACTCGCTTGTGGTAACGATTCTTAGGGAAAGATCCGGCGTAGCTCCCTATCCAAATATCAATAGGCTTGCCTCTCAGGGAGGCGGAATACAAACCATGTCCGTTAATCAAAATACTAGTTTGTTTGGGAGGCACGCGGGGCGGATCCGCAGCCGGGTTCGCGAACTGCTCCTGGTAGTAATCCATAAACGCACTGCGATGATTGTGATCGGAGATAAGGATCGGATCCAGAGCACTATCGAAGTTCGCGGACGTGGGACCGTGGATGGTCAGCGGACCCAGCAAGCCATCGCTGTACTGCAGACTGTAATGGCTGTGGTACCAGGTCGACCCATACTGGGTCGTGTTGAATACGTAACTGAAGGTGTCTCCGGGGGCAATTGGGCATTGTGTGATGCCAGGGACTCCATCCATGAGGGTGGAGCCGAATTGCCGGATGCCATGCATATGAATAGCGGTTCCGTTCTTTGAGAGATTGTTCTTGACGGTGATGTCTAGAGATTGCGTCGCGGTCTTGCTCAGCAGAGGGGAAAATGTCCGGGATGTCCCGATACTTACTCAGTACGTCTCCCCAACATGCCTCTGGTATGAGATCAGTATATGTTACCGTCAAGGATAGCACTGAAAACTCACGTATCCAAGGACCAGGAAAGGTCTTGTTGAAGACTTTGGCATACGGAAAGTCGATGCCATCCCAATTGGCAGTAGGTTTGGTGTTTTCGCCCACAGTAAGAAAATACTAGGATTGTCAAGGCCCGGGCTGTGTTCGAAGTATGCTGTACGATGAAGATGACTCACCTTGCGCTCAATACCGACAGGAGCCCTGACTTCATAGTCCGTGTCGATGGTGAAGTCCTTGGAAGCATCGGTTCGATGCTTCAACCAGACACCTCGATTGTTGGCCGAAGGATTGTAGGTATACTCGGCTGCCATTGCCGGATAGTGACATTTGAAGGGGCTGCCGTGGGAAGCTTCATCTTCAGCAGCTCCCGGAGGCACAAATGATAAGGTACTGGGTGCAACTGGACCTTGTAATGGCTCCTGCTGATAACGTTCGCCAAATGGGAGAAAGCTAGGCTGAAAGCCAAAGAAAGCAATGATATTGATGATGTAGGTGTGAAACAACATGTTAAACCTGTGTGGAACTCACGAGATGAGAGATTTGCAGACCTTCCCCGGAAGCATGGCAGTTTATGCTTAAGTATTGCAACCAAACCCGAGACGAGATGATTGGATTCGGGGCGGAATAGGCAATAGAGATCTCGTATAAGGCCTCAGGTAGCATCCATGCTGAAATCTTTTCTTGTCAGATATTTACGTGTCATTCGGCTGCAGCTATTGTCATCATTTTCTTTTCCCTGACAAATAGCTTTGAGAACGCAGCCTAGAGTCTATGATTGCTTTGTTCGCGCCGATGAAGGGTAAGCATACTACGCAGCTATTCTTCGGTGCTTATCGTCGCCAGCCCTCTTCCGCCACCTCAGACACACTAAGTGGGAAAGGATGCCAGAAGTGTAAAACATCGACAGACTTGATCGTCATCTCGGAGAGGATGCGACGGATAATGTCAAAGACTCACAATGGTCTAGCCGTGAGCAATGCAGAATATACTGCAGGAGAATGGGCTGCAGCTTGGTTCACGCGGGCCCCGGCGAGAATTCGTTCAAGCACAAGCATGCATCATCTGAGTTCGTATCCGACCCCAGCAAAAGAAGCAATAGACGGGCTGTCTTCGCGTCAGTCATGGCTTCATATGTGTGTTCGTCTTCCAAGAAACTTTGCCTTGGCATTAGCATGACGCAAGGGCGAGAGAAGGAAAGCAAGCTTCCCGTTGCCTTCCAGAACTAAACCCGGAGACGACATCGTGTCAGGCACGTGTATCATGAATGCTGGCTGACTAACGATGTTGCTTTTGCGATCCAATCTCGGGCAATCCAATGTACATTCCTCGAACATCCGGCTCTCTGTGCTACATGGGGGGCAGAGAAACCCAACTGTCCGGCTCTCTCAGGCCCTGTACGTCTGTATTGATCTGTGTAACGATGACACGACAGCGAAAAGCATGTAATCAAGACCGATGAATGGACCTAGCATAGACACCGCGCACTGGTAACACGGACACCCGCACGGCTGTCCACGTTTCCGTGTTGCCATGGTGTGCTGACCCATGCGGATCCGAGAGCGCGTTACGAACCTATCTTCTTCGGGAAAGCTTTCATGATCAAATCCTTGACCGTGATATTTCTACTACTGTCATGGATTGGACATCAGCCATACGCAATCCCGTCATGAGACACGGTCTTCCGCTCTTTAGGATCTCGCAGGGACGCACGGGATGGCCGCCGTAACGCACAGACGTTGAGACAGGAGTAAGAGCAGTAACGTAGAATGCATAGAAAGAAATTGCATTGAGAAAACCACTCCTGTTTCAAAAAAGTTAGCAACATATCCTCCTCATGTTGTATCAGGATCGAGCAGATGGAAGCGCTGTGCAAGTGAAGTGTTGTATTTGCACCTGTCGACTGGGAAGCCAAAATCAGGATGGCGGGGACATTCTCCGGTCACGTGACGGGCAACCTTGCTGAGTCAGGCCTGTTAACGTAATCGGTAAGCGAGTGGTCCATGTAGGCGAGTGGCCCATCTCCGTATTCCATACAAAATAGCTAGTTTCTAAAGCTAAATATCGCAACA